ATTCCCAAATGGGAACACTTCTAATTAGACAAAGTTCCACATGGTTAAATTGTTCAAACCCCAAAAGAATTTTTTTTTTTTTTTTTTCGGTGAAAAAGAAAAGTTGACATGACACATTTGTTATATGTATGTACAATAATGCACACGCTTCATAATTTAGCAACAAGTGCAAAGTGATAAGTAGATTTATCTACAATTGTGCAATTTTGACGCAGCCAAAGCGGAGTGAAAAAAAAATTGCAAAACAGCAAAATAGAGAAAACGATATAAAGTGAAACCTTAGACCAAATTGTTTTATCTGTACCATTGTCTGCCACGAAACATATGTTTCTTTTTTTTCTTTTTTTTTTTTTATGTTGTTATTGTACCTATTGTGTATGCTCCCCACTTGTCAATCGATTTTTATATTTGTAAAGTTTGGCTTAAACCCCCTTCCTACATAATCGACGAAATTATGAATTCACATACTTTAAAAGAAAACGATATGAATGAAATGATTTTAAATCTCATGGATAAGAAGAAAAAGGGTACTGTAGGAAAGAAAAAAAAAATGAAGAAAAGTATCCAAAAGGAGTGTATAAACAAGAAAGACATAAAAAGGTTAAATATGTGAAAAAAAAAAAAAAAAAAAAATGTAACAACAATTTGTTATTTCAAAAAGTGCTGACATGTTCAGGTGTTTTTTTTTTTTTTTTTTTTTCTAGTACTGTGGAGAATGTCTTCAAACAACAAGAAAAAATTTACAGGGATGAAGAGGAAAATGTATTACAGTACATAAAAAATGAGACATCGAGCAAAGAAAAGGAAGTAATAAAACACTTGTTTCTCTTTTTTTAGTCAAAAGTCCCCTGAGATTTGCGGGATGCATTTGGCACCCTCCTGCCTCGTCATACACTTGTCCATTACGACAATCTTCCGACACATCCATTTTTCCACATTTCGAGACAGCTTAACGAGTACTACACGTATTGCCAAAAGTTTAAAAATGAGTATAAGAAAAATTTCAATGAAGCTCTTAAGCATTCGGAGGTAACCCTTTTCACATTCACTCTATACCATAATCCTCAACCATTACCTCGTCCCTGGGTTGACACTCAAATGTCCATCTACCGTCTATTATCTCTCACCAATTATCTACCATCTGCCATCTACCACCGTTATCTCTGCCCCTATCTCTGCCCCTATCTCTGCCCCTATCTCTGCCCCTATCTCTACCTATATGCTTAACCATTTACAGGAAATGAAAAAAGAACTTAAGGACCTTCACATAGAATATTTGGACAACAAGCTACTACTTGGTAAGAAGAAGAAAAATAAAAAAAAAAAAAATGAACCAGCTGTGCGAAAAATACATTCCTGCATATTTAACTAGTCGAATCGTCATTTAAGATATCAACACATAGCAAATCACTCGCTCATCTGGTTTTGCAATTTTAAACACATATCATCAAACAATTATGTTGCACTGTAACCAATTATCCATGCTTTCAGAAAATAAAAGAAAAATGGAGCTAAAAGGGATGTTCAATTTTTATAAGGAAAAGCTTTTAGACATCAAAACCCAGTGTGGAAATAAAACCTTTTGTGATGAAAACTTGAAAAATATAGTTTATGATATTTTAAGTGTCATCCATTGAAAGTATTCACTGTATCTTCTCCCCAAGATTCTTTATATGTTTAATTCAATTTAGTTTTACTTTGAGAAATCAAGGAAAATACAATTTTTTTTTTTTTTTTTTTTTCTTTTTTACAGTGTCCACTTAAATATTTGCAATGTCAATGTGCATATTTTTACAATACGACACCGTAGACACATAAACTTCCTGTACTTACACTTACCTCCTTCTGTAGACGTGTCCATGTGGTATATATGAACTGTTCCCTCGTTTCTGTTTTTTCCCTATTTTTATATAAAATATTTTAAATATGGAACTTAATTTACAAACCAGTTTACGAAATAAACAGAAAAAAAAAAAAAAAAAAAAAAAAAAAAAGGAGCCAATGCAAGACTATTATATATGTACCTTTGAATCAATTTTTCCTTGTCACACAAGAAGGATAATTAGACAACTGGTAAACTGATCAATTCCATATCACGAAGGAGAAAAAACATACATGTTAAAACTTTTTTTTTTTTATGTGTCTACAACACGAACGCATGGAATTTGACACATAATCTGAAACAAATACGTACATAAAAAAAAAAAAAAAAAAAAAAAAAAAAAGGTGCATTCAACTCAGGGGAGAGTCCGTCCACACGGGTATTGCAAAATAACAATTGGGGATATTTTTATTCATCCCCAAATTCGTCATATACCCCTGTGCGAGTTTTCCCAAAGAGCTGCATAAAAATAACATTTTGTCCATTCGATACAAATCGTAATAATATTTTAAATTTCAATTTCGTTTTTTCTTTATATATCTCCTGGGCAAAAACAAACGCATTTAAAATCTGAGAGCGTAGTAGTATTTTTTCGAATTTTTTTATTTTATTTTTTTCTTGATTTAATATGTTAGTAATTATAATACAATTTTCACACACATTATGAAGTCTTAAAAAATTCAAATAATAGAATTTTATATTTCTCTCCACAAGGGAATTGCAAATGCTATTTTTTCCGCCTTTTTCATCAGCAAAAAATAATTCTCTCAATTCGTGTGAACTAAGAGTGTAAAAATCGTTTACTTTTTTTTTTTGTATCTCAAAAAGGAGATTCTTCTTTTCTTCCTTTGAGTTATCTTCTGTTCCGTTTTTCCATCGATCCTTTAGCTTCAATTTCTCATCCAGTATCTTTCCATTTGGAATTGATTTATCCAAATAATTTCTCGAAATGTGATCAAGCTTTTCATTTTCACCATTTTCTTCATTAACACTACGTGGCATTGTCTCAAAAAAAATTTTCAGGTTTTCGTTAGCTTGTTTTATATGATCTTTATTTTCATCAATACCTAGAAAGTACACATGATTGATATTTTTCTGTGGAGTCAAACTAACTTCATTTAATACTTCATAAAAAGTAGATGGTGAATGTAAAGGAAATGATGTGATAGGATATTTAATGCTCGGAGATCCATTGGGGGATGACATTAAAATGCTAAGCGTTTCGAATAGTATACCACCATCATTACAAAAGGGATCAATTACATATAAATTTTTTCCACTGTTAATGTAATTGAAAATGTTAATTTTAAAAATAGCTGAAGCTATAATTGTACTTTTCAAAGAATGTTGATTTTTATATAATACATATATACGTTTGTTCATGTCATTACTTATGTTTATACTTATTTTTAATTCATTATACCTGAACAAGACATGTATTTTTAATGGTTGCAAAGTCGATGGATTTAATTTTTTCTTTTTTAAAAGGATATTTTCATCTCCATTTTTTTCTATATACACTTGTTGTTGCTTTTTAATTACGCTCAGGATAATATTTTTTATCATGCACGTGTGGTATAAACGAGATTTTATACTTTTCACACTTATTTGAGGTTCAACAAGGACACTGCTGAATGGAATATAAGCAGACCAATTGATGCCTTTCACATCATTTATAAAATTGTTTTCATATGCACAGTAAGAATTATGGACTTGCAACCGAATTTGTTCAATGCTTCGACTATTTAATAACAACTTGTACATATACATCAAATTAGACTCAATTTCAATATTATTCTCACTGAAAACGTGGTTATACTTCTCATCATAAATTTTTTCTAGCGACAGAATGTTGTCATTCTTGTAAGGAACGATACACGCATACTTATACAAACCTCCAACATTCTCTTGCTTGCAGTTTACCATCAAATTCGTTGTGCTAATAGTACTGGTGTAATGATGTTTCTTCCATATTTTCCATACTTTCCGCTTAACAAGCATGTTATTGCGAAAATTAGGTTTTAAAAATAATAACATTTTTTCTATATTACCATTTTGTCATTTCTGCCAAATAAAAAAAGAAAAAAAAAAAAAAAAAAAAAAAAAAACTATTCTTCCTGGATAGCTTTTTTTTTTTTTTTTTTTTTTTCCCAAAAAGTTATGAACATGTCAGGCAAAATGTCAAAAAGAAAAAAAGAATGTAAAAAAAAAAAAAAAACAAAAAAAAAATTAAAATAAAATATAATACAACAAAAAATTTTGGAATTCATAATTTAAAAATTGGTATTTTGTCAAGCACAACAACATGCGCAGATGGGGAGGTCCTACAAAAGAAGCAACTGTGTTCAATTTTCCATTTTGTGTTGAAATTAAATAACATTTCTAATTCTTGAGTTAAGTGAATAGGGAAATAAGCGTTTTCTTATTTTTATTTTGCAGCTTTATTATTTTGCAACTGTATTATTTTGCAACTGTATTATTTTGCAACTTTATTATTTCGCAGCTGTATTATTTTACTACTTTCTCATTTTACTACTTTCTCATTTTACTGCTTTATTATTTTACTGCTTTATCATTTCATTATTTTATTTTAATTCGCCAACCCCGTCACACACTCTCATTAAGTGGGACACAACCACATTGCGTAAAAATGTTTTGAGACCCCTATCCTATAACAACTGTAGCATTCTCTTGTGTAACTCTACACACTACGAATGAATGATGTTCCTCACCCATCCCCTTCCCATGTGTAGTTGTTTATTTTGGAGGTTTCAAAAATTTTCAAGCACAGGTATAGTCTTTTAGAGGGGAAAAAAGCACACACATAAAAGCGCACACACAAAAAGAATTTTCGCCGTAGTGCACACACTTCACATGTAGGGAAAAAGCTTTTCATTTTTACGATTGAATCGACAAAGGAACACTTTCGCACGGCGTCGTAGAAAAACTGACACCTCATGGAATTAGTAATTAAGAAGCCCTACATAGAAGTATTCGAAAGAATATTAAAACTGTTCACATCAGTGTGCGAAAACATGCACCTTCGATTGATGAGAGACAAGTTGGAGTTAATTGGATCCAATAACCTAACGAATGAATTGATAATGCATTTGGACAAAAAATTTTTTTCCCTAAATAATGTAAACTGCGATGAGAAATGTGTTAGTGGATCAGTTAATTCTAAAGATCTATACAATTGTCTCTTTAGCTATCAAATAACCAAGTTGTTGAGAAATAATGGGAATTTCCATTTGTGTGGTTATGAAAAGGGCGAAAAGGAGAGGCGGGAATCAAAATGGGAAAACAAAAAGATCGATTTAGACAAGAAATTCGACAAGGTTGTGAACTATAGCGATGCTGCTACTTCTGCTCCTGCTCATCCCCCTAGGCATAGTAACAATCCCAATGAAAAATTAAAATTGAGTGTATCCAAACTGATTCTAAAATTCAATAATGAAAACAATACATTGGAAGTGACTATAAAATTTAGAAAACGCAGTACTCACTGCAGTGCTGTATTAAAATTAAAACCTTTTAAAAATACACTAAAAAATTACGTATACAAAAATGAATCCATTATACAAGTGGAACCTACACTTTTTCTTCTTAACTTAAAGGATCTAGCAAACGAAAGAAATATCTTTCTAAAAAATACAGATAATTCTATCATTATGAGTGCTATAGAAACATCAGATTTTAGTCTGAATAAGGAAAAAATCAAAAGAGAACAATTTTTTTACAATAATAAAAAAATATCCATCCCATCTAGTAAGACCAAATATTTTTTTAAAAATAAAAAATTCGAAGATCATAGTTTGTCTCTCCCACTTAACGAATTAAAAATCATTTTTAAATTTTGCTCCGATCTCAATCTCTTATGTTTATTTTCTACCAAAAATTTTAAGGAAAATGTAGTCATCTGTTTTGGTGGCATGATTACACACATTTTGCAGAAAAATAGGAAGAAAATTTTATCCCACAGTTGTCATTCCAAAGGGGAAGAAAAACTGAACCATGCAGAGACAAACGAAATACATGATAGGTTTTTCCCAAAAGAGGAACACATAGACAGAACATCCTACATAGAGCAGAAGGAAGAATCCATGTCAAGCTCGTGCGTTTTTTACCTATCTGATGACAGTAACTCTAGTGATGAGTACGGTTCCGATATTGATGAAATAGATCAAGTTCTGTATTTTCAACCTAAGTATGAAGAGGAAGATTTTTCAAACGAAAATAATATGCAATATAATGACATTATAACAGGACACATTCATTTCACATCTTACTTTAACGTTTCTTGTAATTTCAATGATTACACTTTTAGCAATGAACATGGGATTAATAACCATTTTGAGAATTCATTTTTTCCTGAAACAAAAGTTGTATCTCACTCTTTTAGAAACGGAGTAAACAAAGATTTATATACAAAACCAGAGGAACCTCACAAGAAAAACATCAATGCTGTCATAAATGTGAATCGAAAAGAAAACACCAATATTATATATTGCAATGATGATTCTACCGATAGAAAGAACCTCTACAAGGGGTATCAAACCCCATCTAAGGATGTTATACATATGGGAGAGAAAAATGAACATTGTAAAGCAGTATCCAGGTTACACATGAGAAATAGAATCAGAGATGACGATAGAGGTGAAGACAGAGACGGAGGCAGAGATAATGATAGAGACAACGGTAGAGATGACATCTCAGGTGTAGCGTCAGAAAAAGATAAAGAACAACATGACTTAAAAAAAATAGAGGAGAAAAAACACCTGAACAGGTCAGGCAAAAGCGACGAATCTTATTATGAAAAGTCAACTCATCTAAAATATTGTGGGAAAAAAAAAACAGGAGAAACATATCACGATTCAACAGTAGAGAAAACAAATGACACAAAGACCCCTACAAACTGTGACCGTCGAAGAGAAACCATGAATTACAAGATTGGAAATGCAGTAGAAGAAAGAATGGATTTTTTGGGAGAGCTTTCATTGGAAGAACTAAATTACGATGTCTTCATGCGAGAAAATCGAACGGAAAGGGACTATTATGCAAATATGGAATCAGAGATAAAAGGTTTACAAAGAACCCTTGAAAATGTAAACAAAATAGAACAGCAGAACAGAAGATATGCGTCCAGAAAAAAACGGGAAAATGAGCCACTGTTATTTCATTTCTCCGACCCAGACGATAACAAAATGGGAAGAGAAGCAGGAAGAGCAAGAAAAAGAAAAAAAAAAAGGGAGTGCCATTTTGCAGATACACATGAGACGTCAAATAAAAGGAGAAATAATTCCATAAAAAAATCAAATGGGTTGTTACTGTATTCTAACAATAAACACATACGAGACGACAGCAGAAGTTATAATTCGGATTCAGAAATAAGCTTTAATGATAATTTATGTAATTCCATGGCTAGCGATTGCTTCTATTCCTTAAGTGAAGAAAACGATGAAATGGAAAATGTCATCGCACCTTTGAATAATCCAAACATGGAATATGAGAACTATTTTGATAATGTATATTCCAAGTATCATCTATATAACAATTTTAAATGTTTTAAAAAAAAAACGGCATGAAAATTTCAATAATGTAGCTCCTGGATGGTATTCATCACATGAAAATTATAAGCATGTAAATGCAAAATGGTTGCCTCTTCAACATACTTCGAGAAATTTCAATTATAGAAGATTAAACACAGATGCAGAAGACGACGATCCAACTGGGGGTGCTAAATTTTGGGGAATGAGATCAAATATGTAAAAACGTAAAGATAAGGATCCAAGCAAATGAATTTTCGAAAAAATGATGAATCGTCTAACAGAATGGGTCCCCATGAGTCTACACCTCGTCACAAGGTGGGAGATGATATGGCGAACCACAAGAGGGGAACAGAATAATAATTTTTCTCGTCCCCTATTTCTTATCCAATCTCTTATCCAATCTCTTATCCAATCTCTTATCCAATCTTTTATCCAATCTTTTATCCAATCTTTTATCCAATTTCTTATCCAATCTCTTATCCAATTTCTTATCCAATCTCTTATCCAATTTCTTATCCAATCTCTTATCCAATTTCTTATCCAATTTCTTATCCAATTTCTTATCCAATTTCTTATCCAATTTCTTATCCAATCTCTTATCCAATTTCTTATCCAATCTCTTATCCAATTTCTTATCCAATTTCGTATTGCCCCACCCTACCCTTTTTGCTAAAGAATAGAACAGTTTTACCTGACCTGTTCATAACAATTTGAAAATGGAAACAAGTGTGAAAGGTAATTCCCACGCCCAGTGGACCACCCCATGTGGACATCCTTCCCAGGGAAAACGTTCCACAATCGTACGGTCTCATCAGGCGAACCAGTGGCAATAGATTCTCCATTTGGACTTAGAGATCCGTACAATATTCTCAACTTATGTCCACTGAGAGTAGAAATTTTTCTCAATTTAGGATAATTCCAGAGTACAATTTGAGCAAGAGAATAACTATGGGTGGAAATAAATTCATGAGTATTTTTTGACCAAAATATATTTGAAACTTGTGAATTTGTATGTACTTGATTTACACAATTTCCATTTGTGGTATTCCAAAAGTATATATTTTTATCAGCAGACCCTCCTCCAGTAGCTAATAAATTATGTTTATGTGGACACCAAGAAAGAGCCTTCACTGCAGCCTTGTGTTTGGAAAATTGAAAAAGAAAATCATTTTTTCTCCATTCCCATATATATACAGAATTATCGTTACCTCCTGAAGCTAATTGCTTAGTGTTATAATTCCACTTTAGTCCACATATTTCTGATGTATGACTATTTAGATGTAAATAGCTATTTTCTTTACATCTAATATCGGAACAAATAATTTTTTTATCCTTACTACCTGTAGTTAAAGTGTTATAATACCAACATAATGTACCAACTCTTAATTTATGGTTTTTATATTTTCTTATTTTTATGTTTTTCTCCACATCCCAAATTTCGACTATTCCATTTGATAAACCAACAGCTATGCTGTTTCCAAAAAAATCCCATTTTAATGATGTAATTGATTTTTTTTTGTCGTTTATTCTTTTCTTTTTTTTCTCCATCTTCTTTGTCTTTTTTTTTTTTAAAGTGAATAATTCATCCCCTTTAGATATATTCTCATTCCAAATACATAACTTATCATTCAGAGCAATACTAATTATATTCTTTTTTGACCAATCTAATAAATTTAAATAAAAATCGTCTACCAAATTAGGTGCACTTAAAATTTTGTAAGGTTCTTTAGAAACATGTCTACTTTCTTTTGTTTCTTCAATGCAAAATTGTATGGGATACGATAAATATGGGGAATTCCCAATAGGATCTTCTAAATGCACTTTGTGTTTACATTCGTTCAGCTTTATATTTGTCCATGCATTTTCGAAAAGGATGTTATTTTCACCACCACCACCAACATACTCCTCCACTTCTTTCTGAATGTTGCATATTTTATCCATGTCGTGTATCCCATGATTTGTAAAAATATTTCTCATATTTACATTTTTCAATCCAAAGAGAGTAATGTCATAATTATTTCTCATCCTATTGCTATGACTATATTTTCCTCTCTTCATATTCACACCACTTTTATTTTCCCCTTCTCGTCCTTTCCAATTTTCTGTATCTATTGCTGAGGCATCTTCATCGCTCCTATTATCCATCATGCAAGAATTTATTTTTATTTTATTTATTTTCTTTTTCATCTTCCTCATCTTCTTCTCCACTTCTCCTATGGGTGGTATAACTCTCCTTTTCAGTGAATATTCATCCATTTTTACTTTTAACTCACTCTGTCTGCTGTATCTTGATTGGTAAGTGTAGTTGTATAAATCTTCTTCCGATCTGTATGTCAATTCATGTTCATCCATCCATACATTTTTGAATATGTTCATTTTGATATTCTTTCCTGATAAGGAAAAAGTTCCTCCCAAATCGAAAGGAAATCCATCCGTACTGTACATTTCGGATTCTCTTTTACGTGTCCTTCCCCAAGTGGTGATCACCCATGGGAGTTTCTTCGACTTGCATCTACTGTTCATGAGACGGTTACTCATTAGTGAGCCATCCGTTAATGTATCGCTCGTCAGTGTACCTCTCATTAGTGTACCTCTCATTAGTGAACTGCTAATACTCGAATCAGCATCAAAGGAACTTCCCATCATGAGTATTCCTTTTTCTTTCACCTTGACTAATGCATCTATTGCAAAAGCGTGGAAAAGAAGTATATCCACAAGTACATCTTTCTAAGACAATATCTCTTATAGCAACTTCTAATTCTGTTTAATAGTAAATGGTTCCAGATTGGCATTAGGAGAGTTTTTCCCCCTTTACGCTTGAAGACACGTCATTTGAATTAAATGTGAAAAAAAAAAAAAAGAAAAAGAAAAATATCGCCCTTTTGGATTACCTTTTCTAATTCGATGTGGAAAAGACGACGTAGCTTAATTTATATATAAAAAAAAAAAAAAAAAAGAGAGATAGATAGTTATCGAGAGAAAGGGAGGGAGAAGGTGAAGAGTTAAACGACATTCCATATATGGTGATACTTCGTATATGAAGCGTGATGGACACAAACTAACAATATAACAATACAATGAATACCTTCATTTTTTTCTTTTCTTTTCATCCCAATTGATTTGTGTACACAAATGCGTGTGATTACAAACGAATGCGCGAGTGCAAAACATTTGTGTGTGTATGATCCATTACTCAGAGGAAAACATCGGGACACGTATGTTTCACTGTCCTCCTCCTGCTGCTCCTCCTCCTTTTCTGTCAGCACACACATCATTGCTTGCCATGGTCCTTGTAAAAAAGTATTTACCTAATTAGAAAATATTATTATCATTAAGTTTTTTCTTAAATTGTTTAAAATATTGTAAAATAAAAAAAAAAAATAAATAAATGGGAAAAAAAGAATGGAAAACTAAGTGTGGCACAAAAATGAATTCATAAACAGCGTAATCCATGCAAATGTAGACCAAAATTGGGAGAAAAAAAAAAAAAAGAAAATGACACTATCTCTTGATGTGTGTGCATTTCTGGCACAAATGAATGAGAATATATAGACTATTCAAAAAAAAAAAAAAAAAAAAAAAGAAAAAATTAAAAGAAGAATTTTTTTTTTTTTTTTTTTTTTTTAAAATCATTTTATGAAATCTTTGTTTTGCTACTGTTTCATCTTAAAAATATGTCATCGATATTGCACCACTGCCAACATGAGTCTCTTTGTTTTATCAGCTACCTCCACCACCACCACCCTACTACATTTGGGTTTACCACTCGTTTGACTTCCATCTCCACAAAAATGTCAAGCTTAAGCCCCCTTGATTGGAAAAACTTCATGAATAATCTCTACCATCACAACATCTTAACAACACATCAGCAGAGACTAAAAAAATGGATGTGGTAACTGTAGCTGTAAATATAAAACAGCTGCATAAAACCTCTGCTAAGCTGCAACATATATTTTTTTCTTTTGGTACTTCATACAATACATATCCAGAATAATATGCAGGATAAATGACATCATATGTGTAATACTCCTTGTAGTACATTGTGCTGTTGTATGTGAAATTATATATCAGTGATGTTTTTTTTTTTTTTTTTTTTTTTTTTTCCCCTTTTTTTATGTGGAGATCAGAGAGGGAACAATTAAATGGCAAGATGAGGTTTGATATGTTAAATTCAGGATGTTATGACTTTCATTCGACGTTTTTCTGCTGCGCTTTTGTTGGTAAAGCTTGTCTTGTCAGGGTTGTTCTCTGGAGATGGGGCAGAAGAGAGCTTGAAAAAGTTGAGAAAAGTAAAAAAAAACGGAAAAAACGGAAAAAACAGAAAAAAACAAATGGCAAAAGAGTGGAAAAAAAATGAGACAATTTAAATTTTGTATTAAAGTTTAAAAGAAAAAAATTTTTTTTTGAAAAGTTTCTGGAAATCCATTTGAAAGGGGAAAAAAAAAAGAAAAAAAAAAAAATTGTCTATTTTACCTGAACAAGTCAGAAAATTGTCCAAAAAATAGCTCTTTTTTTTTTTCTTTTTTTCTTTTTTTTTTTTTTTTGGGTGTGTTATTATATCCTTGCATGCTCGACAATTTCGTCACATTTTGGCTTTATGCAAGACGAAAGTGAAACGCGACAAACATGTGACAAAAAAAAAAAAAAAAAGGCATTGTCCCAAATATGTGTTCATATACACATGTATATGTGTATACGAGACGTCCTTAATTAAAGAAATGTCCTCGCGCGTGGCCTTTGAGCACAACAACCCCAATCACATGCAATTATTTGTAAGTGGCACGGCTAGCGAAATTTTGCCACAAATGCTCAGAAAAGCCGACGAGACAAAAAAAAAAAAAGAAAACAGAAATAGAAGCAGAAACAGAAGCAGAAGCAGAAGCAGAAACAGAAGCAGAAGCAGAAACAGAAGCAGAAGCAGAAACTGTTAAAACAACAACAAGAGTAGCAACAGCTGCAATGGTAGCAGTATGAACAACAATCATCTCTCCCCCAAGTGGTTTCACTCAATATTAGCATACATATTTTTTACCTTTTTTACAACATCAACAGAGAGTAGACAAATTAAGTCACGTCTGCTAAAAGCAGATGGGAGCATATTACTCCTCAATGCCATGAGTTTGAATAACACGTGTTAATACAGTCTATTTAAAAAGTTGTCAATTTAAAGTGGAGAAGGTGGTGAACAAGTATTTTCCCACCTCCCTTTCCTCCCTTGTAAGGGCTAATCACATAGTACATCAAAACATGTAGAATCGCATATATATAAACACGCACGCTTAATGAATGAATAAACGAACATAATAGGACAATATGATCATCCAGTGAAGGCCTATCCTAATCTTAACATGTTTCTCCTCTCCAGAATTCGAGTATCTGTCATTGGCGTTTGCGAATAAAAATTTTTTAAAAGAAAAAAAATAAAAATCATGAATATAACATATTTAATGTACCAGTTGATATGTTCAACAATTAGAGCATCCTCAACTTTTCCACGTTTAGTTTAGTCAGTCATTCTGAAATCATGAGAAGGGAAACAACAAATTTTATGTTTTATTTCGTGCTGTATATGAACCTCTACAGGTTATATATATATGTGTATGTATATGCATACTCTCTGGTTCAGACACATTTTGTTGATTTTTCTTTTTTTTTAAAAAAAAACACAGATGATGTTTTGTTCCAGAGTGTATATTATTACATAATTGATTTGATTTTATTTTTTTTGTAGGGACTCATAAAAATGTGTTTCCTAATTTTTTTTTCTTTTTTTTTTTTTTTGCGTTTTCTCATCTCCCTTTATTCATTGTGCTGAATGCATTTCCTTTAAGTTTATTTAAAAGTGGAGGTTTCATCTTAGTTTTATTTTTTTCACCCATAGCTTCCTTGGACAAACTAACTACAGCTTTGGGTGGAATTTTCGGCACAATTTTGATTTTCGATCTTGGTGCTTCTTTCTTTTCAATGCATCCACTTGTATAAGGTACGGGAGTTTTGTTCCTATTTTTTCTTGAATCGTCGTTTTGTGAATCGTCATTTTGAGAATTGTCTTTTTTTGAATCGTCATTTTGAGAATTGCCTTTTTTTGAATCGTCATTTTGAGAATTGTCTTTTTTTGAATCGTCATTTTGAGAATTGCCTTTTTTTGAATCGTCATTTTGAGAATTGCCTTTTTTTGAATCGTCATTTTGAGAATTGTCTTTTTTTGAATCGTCATTTTGAGAATTGTCTTTTTTTGAATTGCCTTTTTTTGAATCGTCATTTTGAGAATCATCCTTTTTTGAGAGATCTGAGTCTGAGCGTACAGTTTCCTTTGAAGAGGCAAAGGATGCTACCCCTTTGTCATTATTGCAATTCTCTTCCTTTGCTAGAGACGTTTCTTCCTCATGGTTATTCTGTTCATCTATTTTCGTCGTCATGTCCTCATTTTTAGCGATACTGCTGCTGTTTGGACGTTCCATCCTAATTGGTTTTTCTTCAAACATCTCATCATTTTTCTGCTCGCTGGAGCTGTTAGTCCTCTTGCAAATGATCTTTCCACTCTCCTTATGCATCAACACCTTTTTAAGAGGAAACTCCTTTAGTGTCGACATATTTTTTACGTTTTGTAATTTGGCTACAAAGTTATTTTTCTTTTCTGAATTTTTCACATGACCAATTCGATCACTTTGCATATTAGGTACTTTAAGTGGGGGTTTCGTCACGTTCATCTTTTTAAGTATGGGAAGTTTTTTCTCCATTTCTTTCGCCACTTCCCTCTCCTTTTCTTTCGCCACTTCCCTCTCCTTTTCTTTCTCCACTTCCCTCTCCGTTTCTTTCTCCACTTCCCTCTCCGTTTCTTTCGCCACTTCCCTCTCCGCTTCTCTCTCCACTTCCCTATCCACCTCTTTTTTCTGTTCAGATTCCTTCCTGTCTGCACCATCGTTACGGTTTTCTTCTTCCTCATTTGGAGCAGCTGTTTCTTCATCATTCCTCCTTACCAAATTCATTTTTTTTTTGTTTGAAAAAGACATTTTGGAATTATATTTCTCCATATCATTTTTTTCGACACACAGTTTTTCACTTGGAACATGTTTTTCTGTTTCATCGATGTAGCTGGCAGAAGCCACTATATCATCTTCATCTCTGAGCGTAAGCTCCTTTGTGGATTCCTTTAGTAGCATATTTGTGGAGTTTCCTCTCGTTTGGGTCAGGCCATTACTACTAGTATCAGTATTGGTAGAAGTAACAACAGCATCAGCATCTGCATCTGCAGCAGTAGTAGCATTACCATTGTTGTCCTTTCCAACGGAACATTCTTTTAGAGAATCGTTTGTAGGCAATGATTTTTCTGCACATCTTTTGGCTTTGACTTGGTTGGACTCTCCACCCATCGCACTTAGCAATTTAACCACATTAAATGGGTTGTTCTGCTTTATTTCTATCTTATTTGAGAACTTGTTTAACGTGACTGAGTATTTTTTGTAGTTCCTTGGGGATCCCCCCGTGTCGGACACGTCACTGTCCAAGTCATTGTCCACGTCACTTCTGATCCCACTTCTGATCCCACTTCTGATCCCACTTTTGATCCCACTTTTGATCCCACTTTTGATCCCACTTCTGACCCCACTTCTGATCTCACTTCTGATCTCACTTCTGATCTCACTTCTGACCCCACTTTCCCCCATGTTGGACACGCTTTTCTTAACAAGGGAAAATTTACCTTTAGGAAAGACTCCCTTCATCTTCATAGTTTTCTCCTTTATGTTCATTTTTTTCAACCCTCCTTTTTCTCCTTCTCCTTCTTCTTCTTCTCCTCCTCCTCCCCGTCCTTGTCCCCCTGTTGATGGTAAGGACGCCTGGGAAGAACTTGTACAACCTTGTTTTTCAATTGTAATTTTTAAGGACTTTTTTTTTTCTTCATTTTTCACATCCGTGTCATGGATTATTAAATTTCCTGCTCTTTCTAATATCATTTCTATGTTTTTTTTTACAGCATTTTCTATGAACCCCCCTCTATCATTTAAATGATTTTCCTCTCTTTGTACTTCTCCCTTTTCTTTGTTGTTGTTCAAGTCTCGTACATATTTTACACCTAAGTGTGACGAAGTTGTCAATATTTTTTTCCTCTCCTCCTTTTTTTCTTCCCCTCTTACATATTTTTTAGTTTCATTTGTTTCTTCTTTACCATTCCTCTTTGGTATGACGACTCTCTCTTTACTAGGTGGTGCACTCTTTTTAACAGCTAACATTTCACTGTTTTGCTTTATGCACCATTTCATTACTTCCCTCTTCCTTTGTTCACAATTTTTTTCATCCTTCTCTCCTTCACTTTGACATTTCGATTTTGATACTAAATTGGTATCACTTATATTTTTAGCATTCGAAGTCTTTCCTACCATTTTCTGCAAAATCAAGTTTTTCTTTATTGATTCACCCTTTGTGGACATCATCATCTTTGCACTTCCCACTTTGTTGCCAGCATTGCTACTTAGGTTTATTTGTTCCCTTTGTTTGTCATTTTCGATTGTCCCCTCTTTCACTTCTCTCGCTTCTTTCACATCTTTCACTTCTCTCGCTTCTTTCACATCTTTCACTTCTTTTACTTCTTTCACATCTTTCACTTCTTTCACTTCTCTCGCTTCTTTCACATCTTTCACTTCTCTCGCTTCTTTCACATCTTTCACTTCTTTCACTTCTCTCGCTTCTTTCACATCTTTCACTTCTTTTACTTCTTTCACTTCTTTCACTTCTTTCACTTCTCTCTCTTCTTTCACTTCTTTTACTTCTCTCTCTTCGCTCCCATCGGACAGATGCGTGCCCTTAGGAACCCCTTTCTCCAACATTTTTGCAAACGGTGCCTTTTTCAGAATCCTGTTATTCAGCTTTGATGGTGCATTCACAGAACCCACCACTTTATTATTATTCTCCTTCTTAGTAACGAAACTAGTAGAATCTGCTTGATTTTTATTATTATTTGCCTCTTGTTTATTTTCTGTTACGCCATGCAATTCTTCTTTCAAGTTTTCTTCCTTAACATTTTCTACATTTTCTTTAACAACACTACTTACTTTTTCTTGTGGCCCTTTATCTTCATCTGTTGAAAAGTCTTTGGAAATTGTTGCATCACCTTTGCTATTTTTCTTATCTATATGTATTAATTTTATAGGAGGATTAATTAATCTTTTTTCAAGTTCTTGGTTGGGATGCTTGACTGTACTCCATCTTTTTTCATTCGGTTGGTTTGATTCGTTTGACTCTCTCGATTTGTTCATTGTTGTGTCCTCGTTTGACTCTCTCGATTTGTTCATTGTTGTGTCCTCGTTTGACTCTCTCGATTTGTTCATTGTTGTGTCCTCGTTTGACTTGCTCAATCTGTTCAATGGTGTCTCCTCATTTGTCTCCCTCGTCCCTTTGGTCTCACTATCTTTCTCCACTTGTGCCTTTCCCTTAATTGGTTCTAACCCAGGAAGAACCTTATGCATCTGTATTCCCTTTGTAAACACCTTGCTGTCCTTGAAATGAGTCTTGTTTAATGGTGGAAGACCTCTTTTAAAGTTCATATTATCACCTTTCAAATTTTTTTCATCCACATTTGAACCACTCTCACCAGCAGGTTGTTGTTCTATATTGTCTTGTTTTTTAGATGAGACATCCATCAAATCATCTTCTTTTCCATAAACATTTGAAACATTTTTCAACTTTTTCTCGAATGGAACATTTCCCTCTTTGCATTTTTGATCTCTTGTTCTTTCGTTCTCTTGTATGAGTGAATTATCTTGTTGACTTAATTTTTTCTCGTCATTTTCCTTTATGATCCTACAAAATGAATTAGATTCCTCTTTCAGGGATGAATTCTTTGGAGGGTAAACCTTCTTACCTTTTAAAGATACACATAATGACTGTTTTTCCTTTTTCACCTCATGTCCCATTTTCACTTGTTCACTAAGTAACGAAGTTGGTGATTTTTCTCCAAAAATTAAAGTATCTTTTTTCTCTTTATCAGTTCTGTCTATATTCATTTGATCTTCTTCTGTTGGTATTTTCTGAACATCGTCTGGATGTCCAATATTCAATTCATTGCATGATGGTGAGGATGGAGCACTGGCTTTCTTCTTTTCTACAAAATTTGATTTCTTACCATAATGTTTTAACATCGTCGAATTTGTTTTCATGATGCTGATCAGATCTTTTTTTTCTGCTAACTGTGGAGAATTCTTTTCAAAGCCTTCGTCCGAATAGTCCATGCTACTTTTATTCGTGGGGATTAATTTGGAACTATTGCCATTAACATCATAACTCTCACTAGGAGTATGATACATGTTGTTACTTTTTTTCGAATTTATTGAGGGTAATTTGCTAATTTTTTCGGGACTTGATTTTTCTTTTACTAATGCACTTTTTTTGTTTTCACTTTTTAAGGCTTCACCGTTTACACCTGTCGAACTGGTCATCATTGCTTTGTGTGACAAAATTGGCTTTTTCAGAACAAGAGGAAACGATTTCTTCTCCTCCTGGGATATCGATTTTGCAGGCTCTTCTGGCTTCTTCACATCTGTATGGGGTTCTGACTTCTTCACATCTGTATGGGGTTCTGACTTCTTCACATCTGTATGGGGTTCTGACTTCTTCACATCTGTATGGGGTTCTGGCTTTTTTACATCTGTATGGGGTTCTGGCTTCTTCACATCTGTATGAGGTTCTGACTTCTTCACATCTGTATGAGGTTCTGACTTCTTCACATCTGTATGGGGTTCTGGCTTCTTCACATCTGTATGAGGTTCTGGCTTCTTCACATCTGTATGCAGATCCGGCTTCTTCACATCTGCATCCTCTTCGAATGGCATGCACGCTAACTCAGAACCCCTCGAGGGGTAGTACCTCATGGAGTCTCCCAGATGAAAATTCTCCCTGATGCTTTCGTCCCTTGAATCATGTCTTCTTCTTCTTCTTCTTCCTCCTCCCCCTCCATTTTTGTAATTTTCGTTCTTCTTAAGAAGCCTAAAATTGTCCACAAACTTGAGAACATTTTTTTCCTTCACATTGGAAAAATGCTCGAAATCATCCATTTCACCTTCACTAAGAGCCGTTTCATCATAGACATATTTGGAACTATGTCTTCTTCTGTTAGATTTAACATGCTCATTATATGGGAATCTGTCATCACTGCTGTAAATACTTGATCCATTTTTTCTTGTTTTCCTCTTCTTTCTATATTCATCTTTTATTTTTTCTTTCAATATGAATATATTTTTAACAAATTCATCTTCATAAGTGGGTTCTATTGTCTCTTTTTTCGAAGAAAGTACATAATATTCTCCTTCATTTTTTGCTTTTCCTATTGATAATGAATTTGTTGAAAGTGTATTACCTCTAGCTGATTCTATTATGTTTTCACTTTTCTTCCTTCTTAAATGTCTAAATAACCCGTTAAAATATAATTTATTTTTTTCATACTGCACAATACTACCTTTGACAGGGTAAATTTTCCTGTGAGCCAAACACTTATCTTGCTTTAAGTTGTAAATAACGCTACTTCTGCCTTTGTAACTTATTGTATGATTGATTCTTTGCACCAGTTCAGGTTTAGCAATTGTTATAAAATTTTGTAAATTTTTCACTACGGGTTTTTTAATTTCATAAAAACTTTTTTTTAATACCCTTTTAGCTAGCTGATTGTTCTTTATAGGTTTCTTTGCAACATAGTGGCTAGCACTAAAAATTTGTTTTTTTATCCTCTTTTTTTGAATGATTTTATTTTTTATCACTCTATGGATAGGAAGAATTAACACTCTGTTGTCATTCACACATGCATTATAATTTTTATTTTTTTGATCCTCTCTGTTTATTTCGTCTTTTGGATTATTCACTCTATGTGCAGGTATCTCCTTATCGTAACATACAGGATGGATTTTCTTCTCAGTTTTTTTTATTTTTTTAGAATATTGGACTTTATTTAATCCTTGACAAGAATACTGATCGGTGTAACTTTTATGTTTGTTTGTTCTTTTTCGAACATGTCCATAGAATTTTATACCTTCAATATTTTTCAAATAATTTAAAATTTCCTTCATATATTGATTATTGTTAGCACATAAATCTTCATCTGAAGTTTTATTTAATGATTCCTCATGATAATATTTCCTTAAAATTTCCTTCTTATTATTGGTTACTTTTTTTATATTTCCCTTTACTTTTAAGCGAATTTTTTCATTTTTTCGTATTTTGGAAAGTAAATTCTTTTCACTCTTTAGAATTTCCTTGATATTTTTCATCAAGACTATATTTTCTTTTATGCTTTTTTCCTTTTCTACAATTCGATCGTCTATTTCTTCATCATTTAGATTTATAACAGTAACGAGGTTGTAGAACTCCTCATTTTTTCCTCCTATCAGGCCTTTAATTTTTAGGGATTTCATATTGAAAAACTGGGGTGTTTACAGGGTGCGTAATTTAAGTTAACAGCTCGGTTACTCTTGCTTCGATTATTATAATGTATGTAGTGAAGAGATATGATGGGCAAGGGTCGCTGTAACTACTGTAGTGGTTTGGACTACCCTCTCTACCATGTGTTGTATGTGCTACCTAGGATAAGTAACTTGTTCATATCGTTCAAGCTCTACTTAATCTGTGCCCCTTATCCTTTCGTTTAACTACTTTTTAAAAAGTGTTACGAAGGATTCAATTTTGTTGTTCCGATATGTGCAGAACGAACAGTTCTTCGATTTTACCTTGTCCTTATATTCGCAATACATATCTTTTGTTTTTGCGAAATGTTCTTATTCTTTTTTTTTTTTTTATTCTATTTTAGTATATTTTATTTCAGTATATTCTATTTTAGTGCATTTTATTTTAGAATATTTTATTTCAGTATATTTTTTTTTTTTTTTTTTTTTTTTTTTTTATGTTTCTACACTCCTGATCAATCAAACGAACACAGGCTTTACTTTGTGAAAAGAGATTAATATTTAGAAGAATTTTTCTTTTTATTTTTTTTCTTCTTCTGCTTAGCAAAGGGGGTGCTTGTTCTAAAAAAGGGGATAGATATAAGGAAAGAAGAAAAATAAATAAAAAAATAAAATAAATAATTAAAATAAATGAAGTCGAAAAGCTTCTCGAAATTTGGGTGCACAAATGTTAAGAAGTAACGCGATGGAGAGAAGTGTCATTCAGCTGTTCTAAACAGATGAACCAATTTTCGGCTTATTTTTTATAGTTAGGTTTGTTCTACTTTTGCATGTGTGACGTAGATTTAGTTGTTGCCTCTACAAACAGGTGACCATATAAATATGCTAGACTCTGTTACGTGAAAAAAAAAAAAAAAAAAAAAAAAGTGACAAGCTAGATATGTGCAAAAAGGTTTTAATTTTTTCATTTTTGTAATTTCGCATTTTCTCATTTTCGCATTTTCTCATTTTCTCATTTTCTCATTTTCTCATTTTCTCATTTTCGCACTTTCACATTTTCTCATTTTCGCAATTTCTACTATTTTTTTTTTTTATCCTCTGCGAAATTGCATGAAACGCAAAAATGTGATAACTGATGGCGTAAGCAGTGAATTATTAACCCTCCGCTACAATTATGTGTAATGAAAATGCCGGGGGTCCCAACACATCCCGAAAAAATACGCACAATAATTATTCAATAAGCTCAGGACACACAAACCACAAAAAAAAAAAAAAAAAAAAAAAAAAAAAAAAAAAAAAAAAAAAAAAAAAAAAAAAAAAAAAAAAAAAAAAAAAAAAAAAAAAAAAAAAAAAAAAAAAAAAAAAAAAACAAAAAAAAAAAAAAAAAAAAAAAAAAAAATGCAGTACAAAAAATGGCAAAAGAAGGAAATAATCAAATAAACAGACGAACAGACGAACAGACGAACAGACGAACAGACGAACAGACGAACAGACGAACAGACGAACAGACGAACAGACGAACAAATAAATGAAGGAAGAAACGAATGCATTGAAAAAGGGAGGATGGATCTACATAATGTTACATGGAACGAAATTAAAATTAATTAAGAAATGTATATATAACAAACAATTATGCAAACGAAATTAATGTAGAGGAAAATGTCGCCTTTATAACAGATCAAAGACCTTGCAAGCAATGGGGAGTCGATTGTGGCTAGAAAGGAAAAAGTAAAAATAAACGGCAAAATAAAATAGCAAAACAGAACGAAATAAAATAGCAAAACAGAACGAAATAAAATAGCAAAACAGAACGAAATAAAATAGCAAAACAGAACGAAATAAAATAGCAAAACAAAACGATATAATAAAATAAAAGCCTAAATTAGTCATACAGTTTGAGGAAAAAATTATGACATAGTCAGGTAAATTAAAAAAAAAAAAAAAAAAAAAAAAAAAAATAGCTGTTTACACACATTTAAGAAAAAGCATAAATGACACAGTAGCACAGGGTTTAAAAAAAATTATGATACGTTCATGCAAAATTGAGGGCAAGTGTAAGATTGGGAAATGAAGCCTTTTCCCCATTCCATAAAGTTCAAGTTGTTACCTTTCTAAGAAAACTTCGTGAGTAAATGTACTCCATCTGTCTTTGCTGTGACATATGGTTAGACATCTTGAAAACTTGGAAAATTGTTCAAACGTGCAGAAGTACAAACGTGCAGAAGTACAAACGTGCAGAAGTACAAAAGCGCAGAAGTACAAACGTGCAGAAGTACAAAAGCGCAGAAGTACAAAAGCGCAGAAGTACAAACGCGCAGAAGTACAAACGTGCAGAAGTACAAAAGCGCAGAAGTACAAACGTGCAGAAGTACAAATGCGCAGAAGTACAAACGTACAGAAGTACAAATGTAAAATAAGTTCCCTGAATTGTGCACGTTGTTAGTCCTTCGTTCAAAATTTTGAAGTGTGTTTTTTTTTAAAAAAAGGTTAAGTTTAGTAGTTAATTGAAAAAACAAAAATATATATATATATTTACAAAACAGGCATCCTGGAAGGCAAGAAAGGGGCACATATACATGATGCTTAATTATATTTACATTCGCTTGTATAATGAATACTCATTTACAGTGGGTTTTTTTTTTTTTTTTTTTATTTCTTCCTTGACACATTTGCATGATCTCGATCACATAATAAATGGTAACTTCAATTTTTTCACTCCCTCAAAGACAGAACGAAAGATGTCGTTTTAATTTTTATCAAGGGCCAAACTACTGGCACATTACTACATATTATATATGATCTTAAAAAGATGAAACAACTGTGCGTTCGAATATTGCACGATGAGGGAATTTTTTCAAAGTGCTAATAATGTGTATACTTATGTGTATATAATAAAGCAGAATTATGTGCGCGCTGAGAACCCAACTTTTTTTATTTTTTTTTCCATTTTTTAACCTCCTGTTTAGCTTGTTACAGTTTATGTTTTCATCCCATTTTTATTCCCCTCATGTAGAGATGATTTGTTGATGTCAATAACCGAATTTTTTTTGTGTGAAAAATGCCACATTTTTTTAAGTTAAATTCTGTCCAGAAAAATGTGATACAAATATGGTACACGCAACTAGTGTGAACAACTATTTTATACAGGCATATTTTATGACCCTTTTTTTTTTTTTTTTTTTTTTTTTTTTAATATATATTTCAAATATTCCGTTAATGTGCAAATCTTCTTAAATAAAAATTCAAAATGCCATAAAATAAAAACTCCTTATGAATAGATCAATTGGGGGTTAAAGACACTTTGTCTTAATAATTATCTATGAGATAAAATTAAGACTACTTTTGCTTCTGTTATTAGTGTCCTTAATATCATACCAATATGACCATGTCAGAATTGACCACATTTGTAAAAAAAAAAAAAAAAAAAGAAGAGAAGTTAAGAGAAGATAAGAGAAGATAAGAGAAGATAAGAGAAGAGAAGAATTTCAATCTTTCACTTGAATGTAACTATTGAGGTTGCGCAAAACATCTGTTATAACTCCACTCCAAATGATCTAAGCTGCGTAAAAGAAAATATTTTTCTAAATTACTGTTTTGGCGTTTTTAAACCCCTTTTTTACAGTAAATATTAAAGGCAAATAAAAGCTATAACAGTGAAGTTTTTTTTTTTTTTTTTGTTTTTTTCATTATGGAATATTCGGAACTGCTTCTTTCTGTTCTAACTTTTCTATATCTACCTATCTGCTTATCTACTTATCAATCTTTCTATATGCATAAGTTCACGTTTTACATGTTCGTATGGACAGACGTGAAAACATGATTTTGTAGTCTACCAAATGTATGGACTAAACCCCATGGATATTAGGTAAGGTGAAAAATATATTCACATATGCACCAGGGTTTTATTGTGCCAGTTCTAATAGGTGAACTGTGAGATGTGCAATAAAATGAAAAGTGATACGTTCGTAGAAATGTACATATGTATGTATATGTGTATACATACAAATTCGCGTATTTTCCTGAGTGCAGCTAAATTTGGATTTTTCATTGGTGCTTTTCGAAGAGATACCTATTTTGCGTTACATAAATATTTACGTCGATAGCACAATATGCATTTCGCACACCCAATTAATTTTAAAAAAATGAAGAAGAGAAAACAAAAATGAATGATACATGTAGAATATACAACTCTCATAATAATAAGTGTTTTTGTTGCCACAGGTGTTTTGTGTGTGCGTGCAGAATTGGAGGGGGCAGAGTATACCCTTAATTTTCCTTCGTGAAATGTAAAAAAAAATAAAAAAATAATGATCTATAAAAATTTTCAAATGATACCATAACATTTGCAAAAAAGTTCTAAGGGGGATAAGGAGTCATAAACGGCAAGTGCAATTATGTACATATATATATTTGTGCTTGTGCTTGTGGCAGCGTAATTTTTTCGCAAATTTGTCGCTTTATTTCACTCTAGCATCATTATTCAAGCGTGTTTGCCAAAGGTGAAGAAAAAGATAAACCCGTTTTTCCATTCTCCCCAAAAAGAAAAAAAAGAAGAAGAAAAAGTGCAGGAATTCCCTAAACCTTTCTCAGCATTTGTATAAGCATAATATAATTAATATTCGTGCGTAACACTAGGTGAACACTGTTTTACCATGCATATGGGCGTAAATTGGAGGAAGAAACAATGACAGAGTATGTATATATATATATATATATATATATGTATATGTACTATGTTGGCGAAGTTTGTGTAAGCCTTACTAAGCTAACGCACCCAACTCCTCTTAAAGCATTCTCATTCTATATGTTTTATAAATCTTGTTTTCAGAATAAAATTTAAGTGACACGTAACTAAAATTCATCATACATAATGACCAATCCATCCATCTATACCCCATTAGAAGCAGCATACACAACAAAAAATTTTCCTTTATATTGTTGTGTCGGTTAAAAATTTTCATTACATTGCAGAAGGGGAGGGGGGATAATAAAAAGCAAGCGTAGTGCAGTTATTTTAACACATTTTTTTTTTTTTATTTATTTATTGCTACTCATGATATATGTTAAGATAGAGCATCATAATTAAACCTTACCCTTTCATTATTATTTCCGTGCTTTTTTTGATGACATTTCAAATTAACCCACCCCTTCCCCTTTCATTTCAAATGTCTGTTCAACATGTATATTATATGTATATATATATATATATATATATATATATATATATATTTTTCTCCCTTTATTTTTCACATTTAAGCAATATATAAAATGCTGTACATGTAAACCCGATTTGAAGGGACTACACAGAAGTACGGTAAAATATAATTATAAAAAGAAGCAGAAAAAAAAAAAAAAAAATAAAAGATATATCATATATCGGTTTTACAAATGTTTAGGTAAATTATTGTGAAAATCTCATAAGGAATAATAAAAAAAAAAAAAAAAAAAAAAAAACAGTTTAACCCGCTTTAAGCTAAACAAACCAAATTTGAATGTAACAATTTACAAATATCCACATTTTCAGAAGAGAAAAAAATATAAAATAAAATGGAAGTAGCTCTTTAACGTTCTAAAAATTTATGCACAAAAAAACAGTTATACATAATAAACATTAACACAACACAAATATATATACATGTATATGTATTTATTCAGGAATGTAGAGATAATCCCAAATCGCATAAAAAAGAAGAAAAAAAAAAAAAAAAAAAACATTTAGTTTGCTAAAAAGTAACCTTTAAACCAATAAAAATTTAAGTACTAAAAATAAATCTCCAGATATATAAAAACCTTTTTTTTTCATACGAAAAAATTTAAAAGCAAAAATGACAAGTAAGAAAGTGCAATCCCCCAAGGAGGAAAGCATTGCCAAAATGCTTATTTGCAAGGTAAGTCCATATGATCTTTTTATTTTATTCATTTTTTTAATTTTTTTTTTTTTTTTTTTTTTTTTTTTGGGTGTGAAATGTGAGAGAAGGGGGGGGGGGGGCCGGGGGTATGGGTTTTTTTTAAAAATCCCCCTTTTTTTTTTTTTTTTTTTTTTTTTTTTTTTTTTTTTTGGTGTTGGAATTGAAATGTGAGAGAAGGGGGGGGGGGGGACCGGGGATATGGATATTTTTTAAATATCCCCCAACGACCCATGGGTGTATATTCGCTTGAATCATTAGATGGGGTATTCATTTACAAGAATATCGATTGAAGCGTATCTTTTTGCAAACGTGTGTGAAAGTATACACATAAGCACATTATTATTAAATGGGCACCTCTACATGAACTACTTGTGAATATGTGTAACGTTCTTCTTTCATCACTAGGTTCATATTGGAACAAAGAACTTAGAAAATAAAATGAAAAGGTATGTGTATACAAGAGCAAAGGACGGTGTGCATATAATAAATTTGGCTAAAACTTACGAGAAGTTACAGCTAGCTGCAAGAATTATTGTAGCAATTAACAATCCAGCAGATGTTGTTGTAGTATCAGCTAGACCATTTGGAAGTAGGGCTGTTTTAAAGTTTGCACAATACACAGGTGCTCAAGCAATTGCGGGAAGATGGACACCTGGTATGTTAACAAATCAAATTATTCAAAAATTTACGGAACCAAGATTATTAATTGTAACAGATCCAAGAACAGATGCACAGTCAGTTAAAGAATCAGCATATGCAAACATACCGGTCATTGCATTATGTGATTCAGATTCACCATTAGAACATGTAGATATAGCCATCCCATGTAACAATAAAGGAAAGGAATCCATTGCACTTATGTATTGGCTGTTAGCACAAGAAGTTCTATATCTGAAAGGAACCTTACCCAGATCTAAACCTTGGAAGGTTATGGTCGACATGTTCTTATGGAGAGATCCTGAACAATTTGAATTAAAAAATCTTGCAATCGAGGAATCTACTCCTGCAGCTCCTCATTTGGCTGAAAACCAACTTGCAACAGATGCTCCATATGAAGAATGGAATAAGAAGGAAGAATGGAATGATAATGCCAATGAGGAGTGGAAAAATCCAATTGCCGCTGATGAATGGTAACAGGATGATAAAAGTAAAATCCCCCTCCTCATATTGGATATAAGAAAGTGAATGTAGTAAATGTATGTGTATACATTTCCTTTTCCTGTGCAAACCAAACATCCTTGTCCAATAAAAGAACTTGTATATGCCATATCTGAGCGAATTCAGTTATGAAGTCACGACATACATGCGATACTGAATTGACTCTTGTTAGAAACCCCGAAACATTAGCTACGCGTTTACGAAGCCGCACAGTTGTGCATAGCTTGTCATACATATATATATATATATATATATATACATACATACATGTTTACGTTAATGTGCTTTATTAGTATATATCAATTTATTATTACATTTTATTTTCCCCACGTATATTCGATTTTTTTTTTTTTTTTTTTTTTAATTAGCAACACAAACCACATGTATATTACATATATATGTACACATATACATGTACACATTTACGTAGTGTAACTAAAAATAAACATAAATATTATCTTATAAAAGTTCCAATTAGCTTTTTATGCACATAAGAGAAAGCAAACACGCTTAACATATGATTAACATAAACATATAATCATTCTTATAAGTGCGAAATAGAATGCCAATTTTTTGCATATTTTGGTTCCCTTCTAATTTTCCATATTTGTGAAAAAAGTGTTGTGTATGTTGGAAAAGAGGATGAACATAGTAAGAAAAAAAAAAAAAAAACACCTTGCAGGGTTAGGTAAAAAAAAAAAAAAAAAAAAAAAAAAAACCTTGAAGGGTTAGGAAAAAAAAAAAAAAAAAAAAAAAAAAACACCTTGCAGGGTTAGGTAAAAAAAAAAAAAAAAAAAAAAAAAACACCTTGCAGGGTCAGGAAATAAAAAAAATACAAATAATTCTCTGAAATGTAAAGGGCACCACTGTCACGTGTTCCACATGTGTGTATTACATCTACTCAAGGCCCCAGTCGAATAGGCACAACTGAGGGCAAGTGTATTCCCTTCGTTTCCTTCGTTCATTCCTTCTTCACCTGTATGTAGAATGAATTTTGTCCGAAATTTGGTGAAAGAAAATTATGTATAGTCAAAGTGTGTTTGCTGTTTTAGGTATTCCCAATTTTTAGCTAGTCCTATGTTCACGCTGAAAAATGTAAAATCCTACAAAAAGGAAAAAGGGAAAAAAAAATAGGCAACAAAATATAGTAAAATATGGAGGGGGGAAGTGAGAAAAAAGAAAAAATAATTCTACATGAATGCCCTTTTAACTCCCTTCGCGCGAGTGAAACGACGTTACGCAACCACATAAAACGATCTACCACATGTGGAAAAAAAAAAAAAAAAATTGGAAATGTATGAAATTTATGCACACCTGAAAAAAAAGTGTGCACGTAAGTGTGTTAAAAAAAGTGAAACAGCATAAAAAACGAAAGAGAGAAGGAACGAAAGAGAGAAGGAACGAAAGAGCGGAGGAGAAAAAACATGCATAGGTCTCCACGAATCAAACAAAAAAAATGATTGTAAAAGGACACTCTTCAGTGTAGAGAACCTTTTTACACTGACAACCCATCACAACTTATCCTGTTAAAGATAGAGGAAAAGAAATAAAAAAAAAAAAAAAAATAATAATATAATAAATGTAGAAAAAAAAAAAAAAAAATAAAAAAGTAGAATAAAATAAAGAGGGACAACGGATTTCCCACGTTCTTTTTTTTCCCCCAAAACAGAACAAAACACAGAAAGAGAAGTAAAAAATATAGGTAAAAACAAAAAAAAAAAAAAAAAAAAGTGTGTGTAGAGGGGGGGGGAGAAGAGAAAAGGATAAACCTAGAATTCAGAAAAATTTTGCCAAGATGAAGGAACCAAATGTAGTTTTCAAAAAAAGGTACTCGGAACTTAAAGTACTTCGCCTACACTTTGATGTTCTAGATTCGACGCAATTATATTGCAGGAGGAACATGAAACAATTCATGCAAAATGGAGATTTAAGAGACGACAAAAATATGATCGTTGTTAGTTGTAATGATCAGACAAACGGAATTGGAACTAGAGATACTAAAAAAAATGAAGATAGAGTTTGGGTATCTGAAAGGGGGAATGTTTTTACTACATGTGTTATTTTGTGGAAGAGAGAAGATTTAGATAAAGTCAAGTACTTAGCGCAAACTTCTACTGTTGCAGTAAGTAAAACTTTGGAATATTTTCATTTAATCACTCAAATTAAATGGATTAATGATGTATTGGTAAATCAAAAAAAAATATCCGGTTGTCTAATCAATTTATATCATCTGGATGATTGTCCATCCTTGTTAAGATCTTACGTATGTATAATGATTGGTACAGGTATTAATTTACACTTAAAAGATGAAGGGAATATTCTAAAGAACAATTATACATCAGTTGAAAAAGAACTAGAACGCGACTTTCAAAACCCGGCTTTGGTTCCATCAGTAGAAGAAGTAACAGAAAAATTTATTGAAAATTTACATTCGGCACTTGGAAAATTACGTACAGATGGATTTTCTTATTTCTTAGATTATATAACCCCAAGACTTTTATATAAAGATAAAAAAGTTATCATCGATATGGATAATCAAGTCATTGATGGCCAACTCAAAGGACTTCGAAATGATGGTTCTATAATATTGTTAAGAGAGGAAAACGAAATTGTGAATATCAACATTGGTCATTTGCGTCTATTCGACGAATGACAAAACGAGCATACACAGGTGTATTCTCTTTTCCCATAAACAAATTCTGAACATCAAATAGATAATGTACAGTCATATGGATCAGGAAAAAAAAAAAAAAAAAAAAAAAAAAAAAGGGAGAGAAGACCTCCAACTTATTTATCTCTTCATTTGAGACTCAATACCAAATAAACAAAGGATTTTCCGATCTGTCCAAATTGGCCTGACACTTACACTATGCCGTTATTTTTGCACTTTCATTTATGTTACTTTGCACATGCTACTTATGTTATTTTACTCCATTTGCTTCCCTTTTTTTTTTTTTTTACTATTGCACAAAAAAGATATTTCAGTTTATGCCTACAAAACTGAAGAATATTCACCAACTTGTTCACACTCCATGGAAAATTGTCGATTTTGCGACTCGGAATGCAATTTCGAAAGGAGGATATTAAACTGACGTGATGATTCACGCATACATGCATCCATTCATCATCATATTAAATGCAAATGTTAAAATGTTCATATGGTGGATCAGAAGAAAATAATATACGTGAATAATCACAAAGAAATGGAAATATATCCCTTCCTCACTGCAATTATTCGTGTGTAAGATACAATGGATACAAAAGTGGAACATATTTGTCTATCATTGTAGCAGTCTATCAGTGTAGCAGTGTAAAATTATATGTATGCTTTTTCCTCTTTGCGTGATTTAAGATTATTTCAATCACTCTCGGCATATTTGTGAGTTCGTGTAGAAAAAAAAAAAAAAAAAATTCAAACTAAAGTGGGTGGGGGTGGGACATTTGATATAAGAGAAATATGAATAAAACACGCTACAACTGCTTCCTAAATAGAAACATCATTGACTGTTCCATGTATCATTTGGAATTTAATAATTTTTACAGTTTTTTCTTTTTTTGAAAAATAGATATATGTCATTGATTGGTGTTTTTTTTTTCAAGTTGGCATGTACATTTTATCGACTGAGGTGGGTCTAGCATGATGTTCCTCGCTTGCGGGAAGTAAGCACACGAATGTTTCTTTGATATGGACTTCAACTCGTATGAACTTCAACTCGTATGAACTTCAACTCGTGTGGGCTTCAACTCGTATGAACTTCAACTCGTTTGGACTTCAACTCGTATGAACTTCAACTCGTTTGGACTTCAACTCGTATGAACTTCAGCTCTTATGGGTGCTTGGTCTGTGCGGAAGCCACCTCTTGATCCCTTGGGAAAACCCTCCCTCTTCTAAATGAGTTGGTTAAGGGTACTACTTGTCCTGTCGTTCCACTTGCAACTGTGCCTTCATTTCCAATTATTTGCAATCCATCGTACGTGTGTCTCTTTTGGTGTGTCTTATACTTCTGAAAGTGTCCATTTCTTTGTTGCTTATCAATGATAGTAGATGATGCACCAATTTTTTGTGCATATGAATTTTTGTTCATAATGTTGTAAAACATATCCCTGTGTATGGTGGAGATATTTTCTTTGTGACTTCTCACCATGTGATGATTCGAAAATGTTGAATCCCAGGAATTCGCACTTCTTTGTGTGGTGTTCATCTGAGAGTAATTTAGCTGTTTTCTTTTTACATTGGATGTAACAAGTGTCTCACAAACGTTCTCTTCTTCCTTTGGATGCGTAGGAGCATTGTGAGATGAAAAGAATTTGGAACTTCGCTTAAAATGCATACTACTGGGATAACTTGAATGCTTTCCATAAGAATCTGGAAATCTGTACCCGGTCAAAGTAGGAGTAGAGATATCTTGATTTTCATTCGTGGATACTACAGGAGCCTCGTGAAAATGAGAATTACCATTGTCGCTCCTCATGGAAGGTATGACATTAGTCAGAAAGATATCTTTGAGAAGATTCTTTTTCTTTATCTCGTGAATGTCAACTTTTACAGAAATGATATCATTGTGCATGCAATTTTTTAAAATTCCCCAATTTTTAAAACCAAACCATGGCAAACTAGAAAAATCATAGGAGCAATATTTTTTTTCGTAAATTCCACATGCTACTGAAAAAACAATGTCGCAAAATCCTGTGTATGAAAATAAAAGACCAAAGGAGCTGTCCCATAAAAAATTCAAATCGTTATTTATATTTAATAAGATAAAAAATTCATTTATTAATGTTTCTGTTTTAAATTCTGGTGAAACGACAAAATAATTTTCGCTTGAACACAGCAGAGATATCTTTTTAATGTTCCACTGAATTGTTAAAATTATGTTTTCATTCTCTAACGGATCCTTTTCTTTTATTTCGTTCTCTAATGGGTCTTTTTCTTTTATTTCGTTCTCTAATGGGTCTTTTTCTTTTATTTCGTTCTCTAATGGGTCTTTTTCTTTTATTTCCTCTCTTTGTACATTTTTCTTTTCTTCATTAAGGTTTAATGTACGTGCAACTGTTTTTATCCCTTCCATTTCTCCATACTTCATCGAAACAATTTCTCTATCAGTATTTTCTTCCCAAGAATTATCACATCTATTGTAACTATCTCCGTTCCTTAATCTTTTATTCTCTGTGTACATTCGCACGTCATTCCCTCTCCTGAAAAAACAGTTTTTGTTCCTCTCGTCGCAGCCTACTCTATTCGTGCAATTGTTATTTGTTGTGGTAACCACATTATCATTGCACTGGACTCCATTATGACTTTCAGGCACGCCTCTATTTACACCTTGGTCTGATGCATTCAGAGTTGTAGTTGTCGTAGTTGTAGTAGTTGTTGTAGTGGTTGTGGTTGTAATGCTTCCATTGTGTGTGTTGGATGTGCTGTGCATGTTGTGTGTGTTTGCTAGCTGGCCAGGTTCAGCAGCTCTCATGCTTCTACTCTGATTGCTTCCCCAATTGCTGCCCCAATTGCTGCTCGCCTTGAAGGGTCTCTCATGATTTGACTCGCTTCTGTTCTTGTTCCCCAACTTCTCTCTGTTCTGAAAAATATTATCGTTGAAATTGTACCCTGCAGTGTTAAGCAAAAATGGAACGTGGCGACATTTGTCCCCCTTTACTGTTCTATCACTATTTTTGAAATTGTGAAAAAATGCATCAACGGATTCAAAAAAGTTACTCTTTGCCACTTCGGAGCGGTTTTCCACAACCCTGTTACTTCCAATACCTCCACCATGCGAGATATTTCCAAAGCTTTCATTACCTGCAATACTTCCTACAAATCTACGCATGTTACTACTTTTTGTATGCTTCCCCCATTCGAAATTAAGTTTAAAATACTTCAGCAGATTAACATTGTTTTTATTATTCGTGCTTCGCAAATGAAACAAGTCTGGCAAGTTCCTTGCATTCTTCATTCTCGAGTGCATCTTCTCATTATACATATGTCCACGGCTTTTGTAGACGGACCTATGAAGAGAATAATCATCCTTCACTTTCGAAGTGATATCAAAAAGAGCCATGCTTTTCTCATCCAAGTTGTTCTTTTCATACAGAGAAGAAGATGTTGTTTTAGAGGCAGATGAACCACTAAGCGTGACAAATCCTGCATGGGAATTTTCTTCAATTTTGTTATTATCCTTACTATACTGAACAGATGTCTTTTTAGATTTTATTTCAGATTTCCCAATTTCATTTTTTTCACTTTCCTCATTGAGATATGGACTTGCAAATAATCCTTGCATATATGTCAACTCGTTTCTATGCATTCCATTTTTTTTTTCTGTACCCTTGTTAATTTGGTAGGGCTTCCATTGATTTCCACTTCTACTCACATGCTGTATGCTTGAACAGTGATTCAATTTTTCCCTCTCTTTTCGTTCTCTGTCACATGGGTGGAGTTCATTAAACAGATTTCTTTCTTGTGTTTCTATATCATCAGTGAGATGTCCAAACGACACACTTCGCTTCCTCAGTATTCTCGAGATGTTCTCGGTTCTTCCAACAATTTGCATATCCTGATTCAAATTGACACTTCTTTTTTGTATTGTGTGAGAATCCACCCATTTATCATGAGATATATTAGATCGATCACTTGCAATTTTTAGAAGATTCTCATCGCACGTTGAACTCACGCTAGTGTTCAATGGAGGAAAATTATTTTTTTCCCTATTCCCTGCAACATTGTTATGATCTAATAAAGTGCGCTGTTTAAAGGCGTGTCTTTTCACACTGTTCCTGATAAGCGGATGAGCAATTAAATAATTATTTTCTGATTCGTTATTTTCTTTCTCTAATGGAATAATTTCACTTTTTTCGTCACACAACATTAACTTAGAGACGTCCATCTTGGAATCACGTTGCCTTACTCCGTCGTCTACTACTACTTCTTCTTCTTCTACTTCTTCGTCTTCTTCTACTACTTCTTCGTCTTCTTCTACTACTTCTTCTTCTTCTTTTTCTACTACTTCTTCACCATTGCAGGTCTCAAATATATTCTCTATTTTAATGAAATATTTGTTCTTGCTTTTTTCTTCTACTTGTACATTTTGAATTTGTTTTTCCCATTTATCTTCCCAATTTATTTTTTCACATTTAATTAAATTTTGTTTTTTCTCAGAATTTTCTTTTTCGGACGAAGAGCATGTTTTTATTATCTCTTTTTCGAATGGATGTGCAATCCCATTATGGAAATATATATTTGACATTTCTTTATCTTCAAATGTCAGTTCTGATTCGTCATTAGATGCACTGATGAGTTCATGTTGGGACTCCACTTGTGGCCTCCTCCTTTCCACTCTTGCCTCCTCCAATGGATTATCATTTTGGTTGTTAGAAGCAGTAACATAAGGAGGATATCCCAAAAGATCACAGATTTGTAAGTTTACTTTTTCTTCAACTTGTATATTTGAGGCACTTAATTCTGTATGATTGGTTCTAGTACGGATTTTTAAATTGCCAATTCTTGATTGAATTGTATCATTTCTATGAAACAGTTCCTCTTTACCATTGTCAAGGGGAATCCTCAATTTCTTTTGCATGCGTAATCCGTTTGAATCCTTATTTTGAAAATCTTCCATTTGGGATGATTCACTTATTTTTTCTTTTATATATTTCTCCAAATTCTCATTTTGTCTTCTCACAATGTTTGTATTATTTATATGCATGTCCCCAAGAGATGGTAAATCATATGGGTTATCCTCCTTAACATTTACTTCTCTTTTTTGATTGTATAAAGGAAATGAGACGGGAATAATGGGTTCATGTTTACAGATAGATCCTACCACTGAGTGCCCATCACATGATGGATTCTTATTTTTTCCATACAAATAATTCACTTCATTTAGAAACAATGTGTCTTCATCTATGAGCTTCCATGTGGAATGTACAAAAGATCTAGGAGTCATCTTCGTTAGCATTTTCAACGTTTCTTCCACATGCGATTCACCCTCCTTGTGCTTGTCCCCATGCCCACCCTTACGCTTTACTTTATTGTTGCCCTTATCGCTATTCCCATCACTATTTCTATCGCTCTTTCTATTTCTATTCTTATGATCGACCTCACCTTTCTCATGACAATCCATTTTGTTATCTCCATAATTCCACAAACTGTGTGGTGCATAAAAATTTCCTTTTCTTTCAGCGGTGGAATCAGGTTGGGGAAAACTGCTACTACCACATCTATCTGACTTTGTCATACATGTAGAAAAAAAAAAACAATCCTCATTTGGAAATCCACTATGTATCCTGTCTTCATCCAGCGTATCAAATTTCATGCTGTAATCATTTGTTCCCTCCTTCGATACACAATTTGATAGAGAAGAGGATTTTGCATCCACGTATTCATAATTGCAGAAGTTGTCATAGTTGCAGAAGTTGTCATAGTTGCAGAAGTTGTCATAGTTGCAGAAGTTGTCACAGTTGTTGAAGTTGTCACAGTTGTTGAAGTTGTCACAGTTGTTGAAGTTGTCACAGTTGTTGAAGTTGTCACAGTTGTTGAAGTTGTAGCAATTTTCATCATACGTGCGAAGGGGGTGTATTTCCATAGTTCCAAAGTTGTTCATTGTTTTGTTTACGTCATTAAATGTAAAAGATCTACCCTTTTCTTCTCGCTTAGAATCATTCAAAAAGTGTTTAATGGATGGGTGAATTAATCCTGATGAGCAATGCAAACAATTTGAATTACTTTTCCCTAAGAAAAATTGTTTTTCGATATGTCTATTGAGGGAATAACCTTCATCAATGCAATTGGAATTTTCTAATGAATAGACACAATCATTTACATCATCATTTCTTTTTACATTTTCACACTTCATAATATGTATCCGTTCTTCTTCTATTTTCTTGTTCTCCAATTCTGGGGCTTCTGTATAAACTTCGCTATCCAAATTTTCCACTTGATTTTCCTTACTTGGGTCAGGACCTGCAAGGAAATTTCTGTTACACGAGTTTAAAATGTGATCCTCTTCTACTGGTTGTCCATTTTGGAACCCATTTGATTGTTCACTTCTGTTATGTCCATTTTTCTGGTTCCTGTTTGGGGAAAACGTTCCTGTCATGTGTCCTTCATGAAATTCCATTAAAACGGTAAATTCATCCATGTTTGTTACATCACTCGCATTGTTGCACTTTACAGTTCCTACTTCCATTTGCATGGACACAGGATTATGCAATGAATTTTGTTTTTCCAAATTTTCACACGTCACATTATTTAGTGATTTCAAAAGTGGTGCTTCATTGGTGTTTGCCATATCCAGAGCATCTACACCGTTTGCCATATCCAGATTAGCTGAATATTTCGACCCTTCATCTGAACACTTATTTTTCCCCATGTCAATCTGTATTAAATCTATTTCTGGGTGTGTCTTCTTTTGGGTTCTCGACTCGTGGTTCATTAGTCTGCAGATTATTCCAAGTGGGTGTCAATTCCAAGTGGAAATATATAAGTATATATATGTATATGTGTGTGCGTGTTTTTTTTGTGTATATCTACACCTATGCATAAGAACTCAGGTATGTTGGGAGTCTGTACGATGCAAGAACTCCTTATCAAACTGGGAAAACCTTGAATGTACTCTCTGATCCCATAAAGAGTAATGAGGAGAGGGGAAAAGATTCAACTATTGGTGCACTCTACTGGAGAAAGTGTGTCTTCTCGATTACATTCACGTTTCAAATATAAAAACAGATAAATAAAAAGAGGAAATTAATTCTACAACTGCAATCAGATGCATGCATCAGTGTGAATAATGCTGAAGCTGCTTAGACTGATATTTAATTTTTTTTTTTTTTTTTTTGCCTCTGAAACAAACAATTCGTAAATACCTCCACAGCTTCGAGACTGTTTTTTTTTTTTTTTTTTTTTTTTTTGCTTCACTTGTGCAGTATTCTTACACGTGTCTCTCCTTTTCCATACATGCATGTGTATGTGGGTAGATCTATATGTACGTATGTACGTATGTACGTAGGTACATAAGTGCATATATCTAAATACGCGCTTGTGTACGCATGTGTAGGTCAATGAACCCAAAAAAAACAACTGTAGAGCGATTTTTCCCGATTGCACCTCTTTTTGTTCAGGTAGGTTGGTGCAAAATGGGTAAAAAAAAAAAAAAAAATATACACAACACTGTGACAGACGCACTTTAATAAAATAAATAATATTTATAATAAAAAAAAATATATATATATTTACACACATGTAGATGAAAGAACAGAATTGTATTATTAAATTAAAATTCCGAAATAAAAAACTTCTTAAATTAGTGTAACCCGATGTATGCTATAGTTTTTACCTGTTAGCCAGAAAAAAAAAAAAAAATATATGTTACAGTATCTGGAAGGCTGCGTAATAAAAGCTTCATCACATGTGCATGTACATATATTTACATGTACGTTTACATGTGCGTTTACACATATATATGTAATATGCAGAGATATATTACAATGCTTATCTGCATGCACACATTTTGTGCGAAAAATGAATGTAGATTGAATTTGCAATGTATCATACACAAGCGCATATAATGTCAGGGGGAGGAAAGATATCTTCACACGTTAGTTACTTGGAATTGTATATGTGTTGGCTGCTACCAGAGAAAAATCCAACATCACGATAAATTCAAAAGCAACAAAAAGGGAGAACCTATATGCAAATTGTTTTGATGTATAAACAAAAAGGTGAAGAAGAACAAAAAAAAAAAAAAAAAAAAAAAAAAAAAAAAAAAAAAAAAAAAAAAAAAAAAAAAAAACAAAAAAAAAAAAAAAAAAAAAAAATCAAAATCAAAAAAAAAAAGAAAGAAAGAGAAAAAAAAAAAAACAAAAAAAATGAAAAAAAAAAAAAGGGAAAAAAAAAAAAAAAAAAAAAAAAAAAAAAAAAAAAAAAAAAAAAAATTCAGATTGATGTATAAAAGCCCCATACAGCAACAATTAAGGAACATTTCCCTGAAATGTAGCATCTTTATCTCTAGTAAAGCCACTTGAAAAAGTTGAAGCGACAGATCTGATTCAGATAAACGTTTCAAAAAAAAAAAAAAAAAAAAAAAAGGTGCTTAACAGATGAGTCCATAAAATTGACACTTAAAATACACCCGTCCACATTGGCACGACCAAACTCATATGCTAAATAAAAAAAAAAAAAAAAAAAAAAAAATGTAACCCGCTACAACCATCGACACAACCATCACTACAAATCAACACTACAAACCATCGCTACAACCATCGCTACCACAGAAAAACATACACACACGTTTATGTGTGTCAAGACATAACAGTATTCCAAACCATTACAAGGGAACATATATAGAACTATACACTTTTTCGAAAAAAAAAAAAAAAAAAACAAAAAAACTGTACTTATAGGGACATGTCAAATGGTGTTTTAACTTAATCTGACCGTGTAACACATAATTTTTATTCACAGGTCGATTATTTTTTCATTTTTCCTATTCCCTATCATAGATTGCTTCTTTTTTTTTTTTTTTTTTTTTTTTGAAAGGGCTTTGCATTTTCATTTAATCAAGTTAATATATATCACCTAAGTGGCTTAAAATGCAAAGTTTAAAAGAAAAGGAAAAAGGTTTGGTTATGTGGCCAAGTATATCTATATTGTACAAATACTTCCCCCATCACCACCACCCTCCTCCCTACTGCTTTTCCTTCACATATAACTCCTCTTTAAATTTTATGAAGGTATTTGTGGGTGATCAAAATGGTGAAATTAATCTCCCCGTAACAGGGGATGAAAAAAAAAAAAAAAAAAAAAAAAAAATTCAATCAAATTTGAAAAATAAAACCTCATATTTATTAAATTGAAATAGTTTGCGGTTTGACACATGTAGCAAAATGGAAACGGATTTTTCCATCTATAACCCATTCACCTTAATGGATTACAACAGTGTTATATTATATACTGCAATGGGGGAAGGGAAATGATGGGCTGCCTTTCTCTGTTCCAAAGAAAGTATAGTACCACAAATTACAAAACTCTCGTGTTACACAATTAAAAAGGTGAATATACGTGTAGCTCCAAAAAAATAAAAAAAAAAAAAAAAAAAAAAAAAAAAGTCAAAATGGAGAGGAAGCCACAAATGGGTAGCCATGAAGCAACATCGGATCGGTATATATGCACACACATATGCACACACATATACACACACATATACACACACATATACACACACATATGCACACACATATGCACACACATATACACACACATATACACACACATATACACACACATATACACACACATATACACACACATATGCACACACATATGCACGTGTGAAAGGGGACGTGTGGGGAGGCCTGGCTTAGTCGCGCATGTCCAAAACCTGGGCCTTGGATATGTGGTGAGCGAAGTTATACTTACTGCCCGGCTTGGAGAGAAGCTTATTCTTTGAGGATACTCCATATTTGGAGAGGTTCGTTTTTTCTCCCTTAATTTTTTGATTTTTGCTGAGGAGGTACTGATTTCGGTTTTGTAATTCAATAATTCCTTTTCCACTTTTCCTGAACTGATTAAGCAATTTTTTTTTTCTTTTTATTTTTTTGGACTTTCTCAAGGATTTTTTTTCCTTCTCATGCATTTCATCCATCTGTTTGATGTGTCCCGGTCTATATAATTCTTCGGGTGCCTTTTTGTTTTTGTCAGATAAAATAATTGGCACTGTTTCTTCAATATGTAAATTTGCAATTTGATCATTTTTGTTATGAACGTTAAGTAAAACAGGTTTTGGTGTGAAAAAATCATTACATAATGAGTCACAAGAGTGCATAATTTTTTTAAATAAATTCATTAATTCCAATTTTTGTAAATTTAATTCCTTGTTTTTTGATTGACTATTTTTTATTTCTTCTTCATATTTTTTTGTATACTCATCAGTTAAACTCAATTTACTTTTTGTAAAATTTAAATGATCAAAGTTTACTTCATTCATATTCCCATCTTGATCTTTGTTTGAATTTACAAAACCCTCTAAATCTTCTATTCCTTTCTTTTCTACATCATCAAAAAGCATATTCTGTATTCTTTGTTTCACAACTAGTTCGATTTCTTCATTCAGCAAATTATTTTCTCCTTTCTTTCTCCTCTTTGACATCGTGTCCTTGCTCTTGTTCACTTCATCCGCTCCGTCCGCTCCATCCTCTACTTCTCCACCGCCTAACAACTCATCACTGTTTTTTTCTGAAAATTCTCCAACCGTTTTACTAATATACGTGTCGTTGTGTCCCAAGTTCACTTTAGGAATATCCACATTCAATTTAAGTAAACTATTCTTTGGACGATTGTACCCGAACACTTCACCTGTTAGAGACCAATGTTTCTTCGCAATCAATTCCTTTTCTATTTGTCTCTTGTCCTTTCCCACTTCTATTTGCAATTCCTTCGCATCGCTACTCTCCTCAGAACTCTCGACCCCTATGTTGTCCATGCTGTCAAACTGGTTTATTTCGCTCAGCTCTCGCTCTATTTCGTATTCTTTGCGTTTGTGCATGGTCCCAGCTCGCTCCCCCAATTCGTCTTCTCCTAGTTCGTCTTCTCCTAGTTCGTCTTCTCCTAGTTCGTCTTCTCCTAGTTCGTCTTCTCCTAGTTCGTCTTCTCCTAGTTCGTCTTCTCCTAGTTCGTCTTCTCCTAGTTCGTCTTCTTCTAGTTCGTCTTCTCCTAGTTCGTCTTCTTCTAGTTCTTCTTCTTCTAGTTCGTCTTCTCCTAGTTCGTCTTCTTCTAGTTCTTCTTCTTCTAGTTCGTCTTCTTCTAGTTTGTCTTCTTCTAGTTTGTCTTCTTCTAGTTCGTCTTCTTCTAGTTCGTCCTCTTCTAGTTCGTCCTCTTCTAGTTCGTCCTCTTCTAGTTTGTCTTCGCCATAGAAATCCCCATACTTCCACGCCCCCGCCTCCTCATAGTCGCCCTCGAACTGGTTAAGGTCCACTTCGTCATCGGTACCTGAGCTGCCCTCGTCCTGTGCGTTTTTTTCTACATTTTCGCCTGACTGTTCATGTAAAATTTTGTTATCTTCTTGATCCAAAAATTGGTGCATTTCATCGTAATTGAAAAATCTGTCCTCTTCATTCGTTTGGTCCAGATCTTTATTTTGGATTCTGTCTACATCACTCTTGGATCTATAAGTGCCATTACTTTTCGTTATGTTTATTTTTCTTCTTTTTTTCGAAATGGCGTTTTTCATATTTTTTTCCTTAACTCGATCGGTCAAGGATCGTTTACAAGATTTTTTTTCTATACAAGAACCTACATCCTGATGGAATGATGTATCCATTAAGTGTGTTTTCTTCTCAATTTCTAAACGATTTTCATAATTATTAAAAAAGAGGTTTAAATTTTGTAATTTATTTTCTTTTATTAAGCATTCAATAAAATACCATAATTGTTCAGAATCGAATCCAGAGTTTACAATAGAAATGTCTTCTTCTATTTCATATTCATTATAAAAATATTTTGTCAAAATGTTTGCAAAATATTCGATAATTTCTATTATTTCCTTTTTTTCCTTTGCACTAATTTTTTCTTTTTCTTCTTCTTTTCTCACTTTATTTTCTACGTTCAAAAATTCATCACAATGTTTCGAAAAGTCGTTGATGAGATCTGTGTATTTCTTCACTTTTTCCAGTTCCATTTTCTTACGGTGTCCTTTATATTTCCTTACTCCTGAGCGTTCATTCGAAGTTCACTGTTCATGTGCTTAAAGGACGTACGTAAGTGAACATATATACATATATATATATATATATATGTATGTATATATGTATATGTACGTGGAAGATTCAAGAATAGAGGCGTACGTTATTATATTCGCTTATTATAATACATATGTTGGATGTACCAACTGATGATTTATTCATGGAATCATAATATGGCAAAATATATTTTGGTGAATTTTTTTCTTTTTCTTGAGCAGAAAATTGAGTAGGGTGTCCAAAGCTACAAAATTTAACACGCAGTAGTAAATTCACAGTTGCAATAATGCAGGTAATAAAATTGTAAAGTGGTCAATTGCTTTTGTTTTGTTATGGCTTTGTTTTGGAATTTTTTTTTTGGCACAAAAGGGGGAGACTTCAAAAAAAAATATTCACGAAAAAAGAAACTCGTCACATGAAGGAACAAAAGTATGAGCAAATAAATAGGATTATAAGGATTGTAAAAAAAAAAAAATAAATAAATAAATAAATAAATAAATAAATAAAAACTACAGCAGAGAAAAAAACTTCTAAAAAAGGAATAAGATAAATAAATGATGTTTTACATGACCCAACACCCCGGGGGTTCGGAGATTGTGGAACCAAGTCGCAGGAAAATATCAAAAAGAAGAAATGAAAAAAATTTTGGTCTCCCAATCCTGGACACGTTTTTTTTTTTTTTTTTTTTTTTTTTTTTTTTTTTTTTTTTTTTCCCCTTTTTTTTTTAGATTTCTTCCCACTTGCTTCTAGTTGAGGCTGGATTGAGAATATTCTTTTAAAAAAAAATTTTTTAATGAAAAGTGACAATTCGGGAGAGGGTATAGGGGCATGGAAAATAAAGTTAGGCCAAAAAATGGGATACCAAAAAAAATAAATAAAAAAATAAATAAAAAAATAAATAAAAAAATAAATAAAAAAATAAATAAAAAAATAAATAAAAAAATAAATAAAAAAATAAATAAAAAAATAAATAAAAAAATAAATAAAAAAATAAATAAATAAAAATAAATAAATACTTTTTTGCATTTTACCCCCACCGCTGGAAAAAAAAAAAAAAAAAAATGCAACAGCAGAAAAGGAAAAAATATATATGGGGAAGAAAACTCTCTTCTGACATTTGCCACACTCAACTTTTACTATAGAGATAGGCTGAGACCTTAAGCTTTTATTTTTAAAAAAAAAAAAAAAAAAAAAAAGTATGAATTAATTAAAAGATAGTTATATAATTTAATAATATGTTGTAAAAAGGGTGTGTTACTTTTTTTTTTTTTTTTTTTTTTCGTTTAGGGGGGAGGGGATAATTCCACTCCTTTCTACTTTTAATCTGAACGTTGTATATTTTTCCAATGCTCCTTTTAAAATTTTTTGAAAGAACAGGAATATAAAAAGGTATGGTCAGAGTGGGTATAATAATTTCCCATTCTCCTTCGACAAGTGTGTTAGTTCTTAAAAACAACAAGTATAAAAAAAAAAAAAAAAAAAAAAAACAGACAAGCAGACAGACAGGCAAAAAGACTTTATTGAATGATCTCCTGTTCTTTAAAAATTATTTATGATGACAGACAGTTTCCCATAAAGGGTAGGAAATATACCCATCTAATCAGAGAAAGTGTACAAATACATTTATTTTTTCCTTTTTTTTTCCTTTATGTTTAGTACGTAATAAGGTCTTCCTGAGGAGCACCTCACAACGAGCCTCCAAGCGTTCAGGCAACTCTACCATTTTTTTTTTTTTTTTTTTTTTTTTTTTTTTTTGGCAATTCCACTTCAGCATGGTACCGAATAAGCAAAGTAAGAGAAATCTAATGGAAGGTTTGGACATGGAACCATATAACATTGTATGGTTACATGACCCAGGATTATAAAACACCATTGAACAACATTAAAAACAAGTGTGCATTGAGTAGGGGAGGGAGTATCTCGTGAAAGATATAAAACTTAGTGTCTCCCACAAGTATAATTAAAAATAATATGTAATAAAGAAAAATGAGCGATACACAGATCCATTTCTCCATTAACAGTTTTTTTCTTAGTCCATTCAGAAATGGATGCACATTTATGGCTCTCAAACAAATTTCATCACGTCTGATATATTCACCTCGATTCTGATATCACAAATTTTTTTTTTTTTTTTTTCCCTGAGTATGATCGAGGAACAGTTTAAAAATGACGAATCCCTCTTTGGTGTTTCTTCCAAAAATGTGTAGAGTACGATGGATATCATCATTCCGTGGATTCAAATTTGATAAAATTTCTGAGAGTCAAAGTTTGAGTGCACAGGAGGTAGAAGAACTGGACAGAGTAAGCTTAGTTTCATTGAAGACGCTAAAAATACCTGAACAGGTCAGGCAGAAACTTCACAATCTAGCGAAACAGTTTATAAAAAAGAAAGATTTAGAAAAGTTGGGAAGGTATGTAGCACGAAAAATAACGAGTAGGAATTGCGTTGAATTACCTAGAGTTTTACCATCAAAATTGGTGAAAAGGTTAGAAGAGGAGGAGGAGGAGAAGGGAGGAAGAGGAGAAGCAGAAGTTGAAGCAAACGGAGGAGCAGAAAAAGAACAGATAAATGAAAAAAAAAGTGGGAAGAGAAGTAGTGGGAAGAACAGAATAGAAATGCTTCTTCAAAAAAAGTCCTATAAATGCTTAAAGCAATTCATGGAAGAGTATAAAAACAAATCAAAGGAAATAGAACAGATGGCATTAGCACACGCTGAGGATTCGAGACATAGAGGGAATCCATCATCTTCCAGATTGACATTTTTTCCTGAATCATCAATTGCATATACACTTCACAATTTTAATGGACATTATGGTATTTTATATAGATTACTACACGAAATAAGGATAAGAATTCCTAACTTTTCACCAAAAAATATGTTAATTTATTCTCCAATTCCGGCAGTTGGTATTATTGCAGTGAATGAAATTTACAGAAATGTTTATAATAACATCGTGGCTGTGGAATCATCAGATTCATTTGAATCCATTTCTAAATATCTAACTGAAAGAATTCCAAATATAAAATATCAAATCAATTTATATGACAATATGGACAAATATGAACTTATAATCATTTCACATTTTTTATTAACGCTCTATGATTATAACGCAAGAAATTTATATATGAAAAATTTATGGAACAAGTTATCAACAGGTGGAGTAATCATAATAGTGGAAAATGGAACACCAACTGGGTTTCGTTTGTTACATGCGATTAGGGAATTATTCATTACTGAATTGAAGTATGATAAATTTCATATTGTTGCACCATGTCCTCATGAAAGCATATGTCCATTGTCGTTAACAGGGAAAGATTGGTGTCACTTTTCTCAGAGAATACACAGATTATCTCATCACATTTACTGTAAAGGTAGTAGAGCCAAAAATGTAGAAGAACAAAAGTTCTCTTATCTCGTTTTACGCAAGTGTGAAGGGCCAAGAACTGCATACAAATCAGAATCACATGCATTAACTGTTCAAGAAAAATCTTTTTTTTGGCCTCGTGTCCTCATGCCAACAATTAAAGCAGGAAAGCATATTCTCATTGATGTCTGTTCAAGACCTCACAACTTTGAACGTCTAGTTGTTACCAAAAGTTCTTCTCTACTTTCCAATTTGAAAACAAAAAATGGTACCATTTTAAAAGGATATGGGTATAAAACTGCCAGGAAATTACTTTGGGGGGATTTATTTCGCTTCACCAGACGAATTAGTAGACCGGATGCTAGACTTTACACACCTGAATGTACTAAGCAGCACCTTTACCGCTTGTACAATAGACAAAAGAAACGTCACAATGAGAACCAACTGGTTGATAAGCAATCACAGGATTATTTCGAGTCCCGTGCAGTGCAATTCTACGGATCCTGATGATAGGGAGAGGGGAAGAAGTGGCAGAAGTGGTTGACGTGGTAGACGTGGCAGAAGTGGTTGACATGGTAGACGTGACACAAGTGGTTCAGGGCTCATGGTTTCGAAGAAATATATTTTTTTTCTTTTTGCACAAGAATTTTTGCCAGAAAAAAAATGATGCCACGATAAGGAAAAAAATAACATTGCGTAAAAACTACATGCACTTAAAAATCCTTGCTCTATAAAAAAAAAATTTATTTGCCAAAAGTTTCCATTTCGAAATAACAAAAAAAGTTTTTAACATGAAGTTTATTTCTACTCTATCATATTTTTTTTTTTTTTTTTTTTTCTATTTTGCTCGTTTTTCCTTCTTGTTATTTTTTTTTTTTTTTTTCACTAATAGAAAATTTCAACGTAACATTAAAGATATACACAGAATGTTAAAAATTTACATAAACTTTAGGGGCCTTTAAAATATAGACATTGCCACATGTCTCAAGTTACGCAGCCCTAAAATACACATACAACACACCATGCAACATCGTATGTCTATATACATAAATGTGTATATATATATATATATATATATATATATATATATATATATACACAATTACGTATACACTATATACTAGCACGTTCATAGATGAAGAGTGTGCACATGCGTATTTATAGGGAATACAGACACATATATTTATTACATGTTAAAAAAAAAAAAAAAAAAAAAAAAAAAATTAAAACAAAATAAGAAAGAAAAAAAAGGAGAGAAAATTAGAGAAAAAAAAAAAAATTAAAACAAAAATGAGAAAAAAAAAAATTCAGCACGAGGTGTATGTATATATATATACATTGATGCACTCGAACAATTCACATATACTTTTTTTTTTTTTATTTTATTTTTTATTATTTTTTTTTTTTTTTTTTTTTTTTTTTTTTGCCTCTCCTTGTCCACATCATCTCTTTTTCCTTCCCCTCTTGCAATTCAATTCAACAGGAGAGAGAGCGGGACTAAGAAAAGCTTTCCACGATCAGGATGGAACGACTCAGTGTATATGTATATATATATATATATATATGTACCACATCACTCGAATCTTCTCTGCATCTCTGTCTATCTCTATATTTCCTTCCTACATCTCGAATGAAGACATATTTTCTGAAGTAACTGCTATAATACTGAGTTGTAAAAATTTCTTCCATCATATGGATAGGACAGGGTGGAAAGGCAGGCGACAGGAGCTGAGTCTGTGTTTTTTTTTTTTTTTTTTTTTTGTCTATTTCAAGGTCTAGTAGTTTCTCTGCATATTTATATCTTTTCTATCTGATCATCTAGACCTATACGTACCCACCACTACCAACTACTTATCTATGTGTGCTTGTGTATGCACATTTGGTGTATTTTCACCCTACGTGTAATTGCACCACACACACATGTAGTTCTCTTGGCCTCGAACAAGTAACATACGCACAACAAGGGGTGAGTTAAAAGACTGGGAGGGGAAGGGTTGCGATTGCATATATGATTATATATATGTGATAGACAGCGTGAATTTCAATTTTATCCCAGACCTGTCAAGTTTTTTTTTTTTTTTTTTTTTTTTTTCAAGAGAAGTTTTACTTTTTCTTTATCATTTTTTTAACTTTCTTATTGCTCTTCATGTTGTTTTTGTTCATGTTCATATTCTTGTTTTTGGCACCCCCAGCGTTGTTCTTCTTTACAATTTTATTCATCTTTTTGTTAGCCATTTTTTTATTTACATCCTTCAACTTTGCATTATTTTTATTTCCTCCTTTGTTATTGTTCAATGGTTTTTTCTGCATATTTCCACCAGTTCCTTTGTTTTTCATTTTATTTTTTTGGTCATTCTTTCCACCTATTCCTCCTTTCTGCTTATTATTTTTGTTGTTCATACTTTTTTTGTTAGCATTTTTGTTATTTTTATTATTTTTGTTTGCATTCTTGGAATTTTTCATACCATTCTTGTTATTTTTGTTATTTTTGTCATTTTTTTCATGTTTATTTTTTTTCTTCTTATCACCTTTTTTCCCCTCTTTCTTAACATTTTCCATTTTTCCCTTAACATGTATATTTTTCGATTTCATTTTATCATTTTTGTTTTTTTTTCCTTTATTATTAGATTTTTTTTTAATTTCTTTTTTTACACTTGTTCCTTTCTTTGCAGCTTTGCTATTCTTATTATTGTTATTTTTCTTTGATGCTTTTTTTTTGCTTTTCACAACATTTCCTCCTGAAGAAATTCCATTCTTTGCTTTCTTCGATCCAGAAGATGATACTTCTTTTTTCATTTTGTTATTCTCTTCATTCTTCCCTTCTGAATCTCCACTACCTTCATTTCCATATTTAAGCACATCTCCTCCTTCTCCACCTGCTTCTACATTTGCATTACCTTCACCACCCTCTCCTTTTCCTTCTTTTATATCCCCATTAACTTCTACACCTTCTGCTCCATTCTCTTCAGCAACATCATCATCATCATCACCACCATCAACTTCATCATCTTCAGCTTTTGCATCAGTTTCAGCATCTTCTTCTTCTTTTTCTCCCTTAATGATAAACTTCAATACATTTTCAGCAGACATAACTGGCTTTACTCCTTTTTTAAAATATGAAACTAAAAAATCGTTCTTTATAACCACATGAGATCTAGCAACGCGATCATCTTCCTTCAAGCATCCAATTTCTTTAAGTACCTTCTTATTCACATCACATAAAAGATCGAAAGGAAGTTCTAATTTCTCTTTCCATTTCAGCTGTAAATTGAGACCATCAAAAAAAATAATAAATAAAATGTATATATATATATATATATATATTACAGCATAGTACAGTATGGTACACTACAATACAGTGAGGTACGGGCAATGAATGCAAATTCGAGTCGAGATAAAGAAACAATGAAGAAAAGACGCCATTAGACAGAGTAAAACAACTCGTCTCAATCAATATATCAAAAAAGACACGACAAAATAACACAAAAACAAGAAAAAGACAGGTCTTATAAGTGTGTAAAACAGGGAAGACATGCATATATTAATATTATCCCTTGTGTGTATTCTAATTCGTGAGTATGTGTACATGCATGTGTATGTACGTATGTGTATATACATATATGTATGCACGTATGCACATGTGTATATCTTACCTGAGCATCAGCTGGGTCAGCAGATAGTCCATACACAGCATAATTGTTAGATGTAAATTCCTCGAACTTTTCTTTAAACAATTTGGCTTGTTCTGTACATCCAGGTGTATCTGCCTTTGGATACATAAAAATTACAACTCCATTCAATTCTTTATGCTTCTCAATTTCTCCCTTTAGTGTCGTCTGTTCATTATTCTGATTCACCAACTCGATGTTCAGAATTTCATCTGTCAGTTTCGTGTCTGTGTCAGGGTTGTGAAGAAAGGGGTAAAAAAAAAAATAGATAAATAGATAGATAAATAGATAGGTAAATAGATAGATAAATAAATAATGGATAACTAAAACGAAAATGTCAATGATCAAAATGGATATATATGATATCCATGAAATTTATCCCTGCACCCGAATTCGATCAAAAAATACACACACTCTTGCATCTAAAACTTGTCAACGTACGTTCATACGTGTGCGTTCGTTCATTCAAATGAACAAACGAACAAATGAACAAAGATCTTTATATGCTCTCATGTGCAAGCGCATATACACACAGGTGCAAAGAAAAATCATCTATTCATGTAAAAGGAATAGAATGATCTACTCATGTAAAAAGAATGAAATGGTCTACTCATGTAAAAAGAATGAAATGATCCATTGAATTAAAATTCGTCTGGAATATGCACCACACATTATGACTAATAAAACAATTATCACACAGAATATACAGCTTTTCGAAAAACATGACATGTTAGAATGCATTTCTCCATTTCTTTTCTTTTTTTTTTTTCTTTTTTCTCTTTGGAAATTTCTTTCATTTATCGAAACTTACTATCTATCATTTTCTTCAATGGTTTAAATGATTGTTTAGTTAAAAAATGGGAAAAAAAAAAAAAAAAAAAATCGAAAAACTTTCAAATTAATATGGTATTACTACACTGCCACTCTTAAAATGAAGAAATATTTCACAGATTGGCAAAACAAATTTACTTTTTACTGTGTTTGTTTTTCTTTCTTTTGTTTGTGAAAATTTGCAACAAATATTTTTACAAGTAAAAAAAATGTATTACTATTTTGTACACATATACTATTAGTCAATCATTAAAAAAAAAAAAAGAAAACACGAAAAAGAAAAAAATATAAAAATAATAAAAAAAAAATCAACTAAAGGAATGTTTTGCTACTTTTGTTTTTTCGTTAAAACAATGAAATTGAAAAAAACAAAATGGAATGTACAAATTTGTATACCAATAATTATAATTTCTAAATAGAAAAAAAAAAAAAATAAATAAATAAAATTCAAAACTGAAACAGAATATTGAACAGAATGTTGAACAGAATATTGAACAGAATATTGAAACAGAATATTGAAACAGAATATTGAAACAAAAAATGAACAAAAATGAACAAAAAGTGAACAAAAAATGAACAAAAAATGAACAAAGGAGCGAAAAAAACGTGAAACAAAGCATGAAACAAGGCGAAAAACAAAAGTTGAAACAATTTTTTTTTTTTATTTGAAAAACTTTTTACTTTGTGCATATATGCTGCACATATTGTGTATATATATTTATATATTATATATATATTATATATATATTATATATATATTTATATATATATACATATATGTATATGTTAAAAATATTCAGTGAATCGTTTGATGAATTTTTTTTTTTTTTTTTTTTTTTTTTTGTGAGTCGTTTAGCAAGTCGTACGCGAATTGTTCACGAGTCATTCGTCATTTGTTTGCCAAAATTTGCTATTATTTTGCTATTATTTTGTTATTATTTGATATTACTTGTTACTATTTGTTATTATTTGTCATTATTTTGCCATTATTTGCCATTATTTTGTCATTATTTCGTAAATATTTTGTCAACATTTTGCCATTATTTTGCCATTATTTTGCCATTATTTTGCTATTGCTTTGCCAATTTTTTGTAATTGAATATGAAGTACTTGAAAATTATTAAAAAATTCTTAATAAAGCACGAAAAAATTATTAACGAATCTTTAGTAAATTGTTCTTGTATATAGTTTTATTGTTTCTATTCCCTTCAACTATGCAATATTGCACAAATTTTATCTTTCCAAATTGTAATTTTTTTTTTTCTTTTTTCAGCACCAATTCAAAATGCGTCAAGGTAGATGAAAAAAGAAAAGAGCGTGTACATATTATACGGTGTGAAAATGAAAAAAAAAAAAATATATATGTGTATTCAAAAGGCAAAGATTCATTAGTGCACGTATTTTTCTCTTTGAATTGAATATTATGTTCATTGTCTTTTTTAACGTTTCACTAATTTTTAGTACAGACATGTAAAAGTACACACACAGGTGTGTACACGTCCATTAGTGAACCAATGAATCAGTGAACTAGTCAAAATATTAAACACATTGAAAAAAGGATGAACGGAACTTTGAAATGAGCTAATGCAAGTTTGCGTATATACAGTACTAGTGAACAATATGCACATTTCAGTGAAAGAAAAAAAAAAAAAAAGAGAACAGGAACGTATTTGCGTCATTCGGGTTTGTCAATGTTTCTGGTGTTACCTAAAAGTTCAGTCCATTTTTTCCTTTTCCTTTTACCTTTTCTTTTACCTTTTCTTTTTCCTATTCTTTTTCCTTTTCCTTTTCCTTTTCCTTTTCTTTTTCCTTTTCTTTTTTTTTTTTTTTTTTTTGCCTAATTTTATCAGACTTTTTCTGAATGTATTATTATTTTCTCCTTTTTATTGCTCCTTATGCTGCCTCTCTTTTTTTTTTTTTTCGAAATGTTATGGAGAGAAATGTGAGAAACAGAAAGAATAAGAAAGAGGCCGTCTTTCATCTTTTTTTTAATACCAAAGAGTTGTAACCATTGAACTCACTAAGTCTTCTCCTATAGCCTCTTAAAAAACCATAGCCCTGGCACAACATTGGCACAGCAGTGTCATCGAATTGGTAATACAATTACGTAGCACTAACTTAACACTAGCGTAGGTATGGCAGACGTCTGCACATACGCGCATGCATATTGCGTACATACAAGTGCATACACATGTATAATTGTATACACATGCAAAATTGTATACACATGCAAAATTGTATACACATGCAAAATTGTATACACATGCAAAATTGTATACACATGCATAATTGCACACACATTTGTGCATGCACCTATGCACCCCCATTTAAGCATGCACGCTTTTTAAAGAAAAGAAAAAAAAAATTAATATGATTTCCAATAGTCATCATTCCATAGCCACTTTTTCTCCAATATCATTTCACATATTTTTGCTTACGAATGCGTGTGTGTTTTCTTATCCCTCCTCACGTTTTAATTGGTAATGTAAAATGGAAAGGTTAATTCAAAAGGTATCGTTGCAAAGAGCAAAAGAGAGACAATGTCACACTCCAAATCAATGATACAAATGAAACTTTTTAAATATCATAAAAACATTTTTGTTTTATCAGAGTTATCAAAATAAAGTAATCCATCAACTCGTGAACGAGTTTGCTTTATAACTTATTGTCGTATGCTCTGCAAAAAACGAAAAAAAAAAAAAAAAAAAAAAATTGTAAACTGAAATTTTATATACCTTCCTCAATTCTGATTTTTTATTCAAGTTATTACATGTATGTACAGGTGAATTTACATTTTCACACATGTGTAACAGAACAATTGTGCTTTTTATTGCTTAAGAAAAAAAAAAAAAAAAGAAAAAAAGGCAGCTAGCTAGCTTGTTAGCTAAAACAGTTATGGAATGTTACAGAACGGATAAATATTCATTACAAATACTTCCTTGCGAAATGTTGCCACTTACGTATGCATGTTTATACGTACATTTGCATGTTGAAATATCCGTATTTCGCCAAATCAGAACACGTGCACCCTGTGTTTATGCCCTTGACTCCCATACGGTGATATGGCAATAAGACGATATTATGACGATGCAATGATGCAATAATGTGACGATTTTTCTTCATCACAACATGACTATCACAGGGTTAAACAAATTTTGCTCGCAATCACTTTTAGAACTTTCCTTCGGGGTCTCTCTACTGATGTTGCGTTTTTTTTTTTTGCTCAATATGAGGAAATAACCTTCGTTCCAGTACATAAGGTAAAGCGGAGTTTATGAGATCCTTTTGTACTGCTCCATGCAGTTGTTAAAAAAAAGAAAAAAAAAAAAAAGCAAAAGAAAAGAAAAACAGCTTCAGGACTGCCCGTCAGCCAAAGCATACAACGAGGAGATTGTATATGTAAGTCTTAGCTTCTCTCCAATTAACCGTGTATATATTTTTGCTTAACTCTGTACCCCGCCTCCACCATTACATTCTACATGTACCTAACGCCTTACAAGTACTATTTTAAAATTTATGACTGTTCATAATTTTTTAATAAAAAATTTTAGTCCCTTTTGCCTTTTCGGGGGAAACAAACGCGGAAAATTAAAAAAAAAAAAAAAAAAAAAAAAAAAAACACATTGCAGTGCAGTACACCACATTGCGCTGTTCATGCAAATAGGGAAATCATTTAAGCCACGCAACTTGTACATGTAAACACATACAAATGCAAATGTTTATACAGACACATGTACTTATTACACTTTTGGGGTATATAAATATTGCCTAACACTCATGTATAAGGCCAAATGACAAATGGACATTTTTACAATTTTAATGTGAGAAATACATGCGGACACGTCAAAAAAAAAAAAATTGTTCCATGGTTGTGTACTCACGTACGTTCGTACATATAAACATGCATACCTGTGTATAACCATGTACACGTTCGCAAAAACAGATTTATATTCGCAAAAACAGATTTGTATTCGCAAAAACAGATTTATATTCGCAAAAACAGATTTGTATTCGCAAAAACAGATTTATATTCGCACAAAAACATAACTGTTCATGTGAGCAAATATATGATCACATAATTAATTAAAAAAAATAGAAAAAAAGAAAAATACATATAACTGCCTCCACCTACCACCATCACATAACTTGCAATGTATTCGATTCTATGCACCCAAGGTATTCACTGTTAATGGTTGCGATTGCAAACATGTTTGATAAATCATAACGTATACCTTGCAACTTTATCCGCACCGTGGTCTGTGGTTTTATATTATACACCCCTGAGGTAAAACAGGGATAATGAGAATCTTCTGAATATTCAAAATACTTAGGGATGGCTGTTCTTGATATAAATATTTTAAGTGGACCCGCTTGGGCAAAGAACCCTAATTTGTTTACATCCGTTACGACAGCATCTAGTACCTGTGACGGGAGGAAGGGTATATATATGTGTACATATATATATATTTGTGCTGATCTGATGTATTCTTTAATTTGTCATTTATCATGAATGAAAAAAAAGAAAAAAAAAAAAAAAAAAAAGGACAACTAAACATGAATCAAAAATGCACACGAGGTGGTGTGTGGGCTTTTGTGGATGAAAAATATTCATATCAGTAGGCATGTAACAGATATGGGTTCGTTTTAATATGGAGAAAGAGAAGAAACATTACACTCAGTAGATTCATAGTTACTCAATATGTTTCTATATACTAATAACATAGCGTAGTAATTACCTCATCTTTGAAGGGCTTGAAAACAATAGCCTGATATTTGACCTTTACAACAATCATGCTTGTCCCATCCTGCACACGCCCAGGTTCACAATGAATTATTCGGATAACACAAATTATGTATCCATATTTGGCATTACACTGACCTTCAACACTGTTTCTAAGCATGTCTTCGATAAACTGCTGATACCGGGGCCCTAGCTGACTTGGCTTTATAATGACATTTTTCCATTCCTCAATGACGAAGTACATCGTATTTTCCTCTCCTTTGGCTTCCCCTTATTTTTTTTATTTTATTTTTTTATTTTTTATCGTTTATTAACCGATTTGGTGAAGAATTGAACGGGCGTGAAGACTTGGTATTTATTTTTTTTTTCACTCGAAGTAAAGCAATGTTGAGTGATCCAGTCTGGTAGCGCTCCCCTTTTGTTTTATTTTACCTTATCTTACCTTATTTTACCTTATTTTACCTTATCTTACTTTATATTTTTATTTTTCTCTTCTGATCGCCCCTCTTCTGCCCCCCTCTGCTTGTCGTTTTTTTTTTTTTTTTTTCTCCCTTTTTGTGTAATCTCGCCCTTTTTTTTTTTTTTTTTTTGTTTTCGCTACCCACTCAGTAGCTCGTCTTGCGTGAATTGAAACGCCTGTTTTCGTGAATGTCAATTTCATCAAGTGTGATATTTTTTATCCTTCAACCATGACTCTTCAAAATACATCAGAATTATTGAACACTTCTCAAAAGTGTAACATGATAGTAAAATATGCTTGGTAATTATACATATTGAAACTGGTGGGGTGGGGAAATATTTTGTACAATATATATATATAATGGCGTAATGTTATGTTACGTTACTAATCCGTTCCCTTTTTTTCTTTTTTTCCGAACGTATCGGTTGGATTGTGTACAAGCATATACATACAAGCATGTATGATATATATTGCTTTTTTTTTTTTTTTTTTTTTTTTTTTTTTATTTCTTCTCTTTGGACCCTATTTTTACGTTTTTGAAATCTTTCTTCCTATCCATTACGGGATTATTAATTTCCCCTTCTGGAGTAAAAAATGTTAACAAAAACAGGGGGCAACGGATTCGGGTCTGTGCTTGTGCAAATTGAACGTCGCATATATATTTTTTTTTTTTTTATAGGAGAGTATATAAACATTATGTATATTTTCTCGCTTTTATATGTACACATGGTTTGTATCAGTTTGTGTGGAATTCTTGAAACATTGGGGAAGTAAAAAAAAAAAAAAAAAAAAAAAAATCCATCACCAGTACAACTTCTTCATTATTCTGTAGTCCATCACATATAATGAAATTTTTGTAGTGTACCTGAGAATATTAACAAAAAAAAATAATCAACTGTAGTATTATCAGATCCGACTTCACACCATTTTTGAGAGAACGAAAAATACGTATACGAATGGAAACAGCACCTTAGAAGTTGTATGCAGAAAACGAGAAAGCAAAACAAAAGGGGAACCATAATCATAGGCCATACGGAAGTGAGACGGAAGCAACAGAACTGGATGAAGGACATGAACCGAGCTAACCAATCACGCAACCCTAACTGATAAGCGCAAAAAGCATTGTGACCATGACAATCACTGCCGGGAAATGCTCCAAGCACATAAAAAAGTTTTTCACAAATGGATTAAAAAAAAATGTGCTCCCATACTTCATGCAGTGCAAAAATAAACCCTACCTTATGAATTCCAAATATGTACAGAAATATTCATTAGAATTTGTCCCTAAAAGTATTATTAACAGGTCAGAACAGAACTGAATGATGTACATATATATATATATATATATATATAAAACGGATAGGTGTAAAAATTGCAGGAATATGAAATGCTCTTCCACATGTGCTATTCTTATTTTTTCGAAAAATTTTGATCCAGCATACTGCTACAAAAAATTATATATTTAGTTAACTTTATTTTATTATTTTTTTTTTTTTTTAATTTTGCCGTATAGGTATATACAAGACAATCGAAGGATTAAAAGTGATGAGACGTGAACGAAAAAATAAAAAAATAAAGAAAAATAAAATGAATACGGAAAAATAAAAAAAGCCCCGTCATGTTCCCATTCCCCTTTTCACGCTATCCACTCCTTTCTCATTATTCTTCTAATTATATATTTTTGAATAAAAAACTCCATACCCCAATATTCCATTGCCTCTATTTCAAACTTGTGATTATCCTTTTCCATTTGAGTTACTTCTTTTCTCATTTTTGAATTGTAACTGAGATTTTCATTTTTCAGTAAATTCCGTATGACATTTTTGTCTTTCATTGATAGTGGCATAATGGCCTCTTTAGGAAGAAGTTTTATATCATGTGCGTTCATACCAACCCATTTCATTTTTTCACATGCATAAATTGCATCTTCGTTAGTATTACAACCGTTCTTATAACTTAAAAAAATTAGAATACCATAAGGATCGTAGTCACCTATATAGACACACTATACATAGTGATGGGGAAAGTAGAGGAGTGTGATGTCGAATTAGAAAAATTATGCTACAGTAGAAAATCTGAAAAAATAAGTAGATAAACTTATCAAATGTGTTAAAACAAACTGCTGAAATAACATCATAATTGTGTCCTTACCTGCAACTGTAGAAGTTCCACAAGTTCGCAAAGAATTTTTCGAGTGGAAAAATCTGGAAATCCTTTTCCTGTTATTAATATGCACGGCAAAATCTGGTGCCAAAGAAGGAAACAAATAGTGTAGTATGTTGTAGTGTAGTGTACTGCAGTGTAGTGTATCATGGTGTAGTATAGAATGGCAGAATGATAGAAGGTATTTTTTCGAGAAATGCATGGCAAAAGGAAGACAAAGGAAAAAAAATAAGCACATGCCATCCCATTTCTCCACTTGTAATTTTCATTTTTGTACATTCCATATCCTGTTTTCGCAAAGCTTTTGATAGAGGGAATATTTTTCAACTACCAATATATAGTGTGCTTGGCTCTCAACTTTTTCAACATTTAAAAGACTATCATTAATCATTAGCCCATTTTCTGAGAATGAGAATGAAAATGATAATAATTGTAATAACATTATGGTTCATTTGTTCTCTACCAGTTCGAAAAAAAAAAAAAAGAAAAAAAAAATAATATAAGCATATAACTATAATATATTGTCTGCACACAATACTATAAGTCTATGATACCCTAGCAATTACGGAATTATTTACTCATTAATTTTCCGAATTCCTTACCTACATGGTTTAGATTCATAATTTGGTTGTGTTTTGTAAGTACAAGTTGCCCGGCTATACAACCTGAATGTTCAGGCAAAAAAGGATTGAAGTAAACCAATATGATGCATTATTCTGATGTTCGATCCAAGGGTGCAAAGGGTAAATGGAAGAAAAAAAAAAAAAAAACTGTGAAATGGTTTAGAGGTATATATATATATATATATATATATATATATTGATGGATAGACAGATGGGTAGATAGACAAATCCCCACTATATCTTCTGCACGAAAAGGACAAATGTTTTATATGCACGCACAGTTGTTTCATTATGCATTCAGACTGTTGGCACATTCTATGAAATCCGTGTAATTTAAAGAACCTTTTTCAGAAGCATATATATTCAGCGATGCTCTTCGGAATCCTAAGATGTGACATACGTGCTAAGAGTGGTTCGGGGTGGAGAGAAATGGTATCATTAGCGAATTTGTTCTGTAGTTAGCTTGTTCTCTACCCAGTTGGTTCTCTAACAAATCAGTACACTCGTCCCACCAGTATGTGCCTATTTGTTTGGCTCTGTTGGCTGAAGAGATTGTAAAGCTTGTAATATATTTCCCTCTGTGTGCAGCTTTTGTCCTTAAGGGTAGGAAAAAATATATAATGCATATTTTGTGAAAACATACAAGACTCCTCAGTTAGATGACTCATCTGATAGATAAGTAACTCTTTTCTGAACACAATTTGATGAGTTGCTTCTAGATGCAATCACTTATTCTTTCGCTCATTTTGTTATATTAAACCTGAATGATCATGGCATTTACAAACTCCACAACGGATGCAACTGAGGGATACGTGAAATGTGAATGGAAAATAAATAAGTCAAATGACACTTATGTAGGGAAAGAGAAAATTGAGATGTGGATACAAATGTACATATGTATATGCATATACTTATATACATTATACATACTCCTGCACAATTTCACGAGGTTCCTATTGAGGAGAATTCGGGGGTACTTCTTCTCCGAATTATTCTTGAAAATGTCTACATTAAAACTTAGCAACCAAGACAATATGTGAAGGACGAAGTCCTCTATTTCTGAACAGAAGAGGTTTGTGAGTGAAGTGATTCCATGCACCGCTTATTTACAAATTGTCATTTATGAGAAAAAAAAAAAAAAGAAAAAGAAAGGAAATATATATATATATATATATATATACACGTCAAATGCATTGGAAAAATAAAGAAAAGCTCATATATTTTTCTACACAAGTGTAGACACCTACCAACCTTCAAAAATATTTCCTTTGTCAACGTCTTTGAAGTTTATCATTTTAAAAAAAAAAAAAAAAAAAAAAAGTTGAGCAGTCAATGAATATTTTCCTTTTAAAAGGAGCAAAAAAAAAAAAAAAAAAAAATTAACAAAAACAACTTTTACAAAGCATAGTTGATGCATATACGACTGTATATAGGTAGGCACATGAGCATTATGAACATAGACATAATATAAGTACATATATTGTACTATAGAAAATACATACGCCCCATAACATATATATGTTTATATTTACTTATACGTACACACTTTACACATTAGTGCATGTAAGGTATATGTTGAGCATAAAAATTGCCAATACCGAATATTAATTATATAATGCAAAATGTATGTACAAGTCAGGCAAAATTTTGAAAAAAAAAAAAAAAAAAAATTATGCACAGTCAGGCAGTACTTATACGTAGTTATACACATATATATAACTATGCACACTGCGAGTGCTGCTATACATCGAATTGTTGTAACAGTATTTATATGTACAGGTGCATATGAAAATTGTTCACAATGCTAGGTAGGAGATGCATCAATAAAGACTTGTTTGTTTCATTATGCTTAGGAATTCCTCTTGGCTAATTTCTCCATCCATGTCTTTATCAAATTCGTCAATCATCGCTTGTAGCTCATCATCGGATAAATTTTCTCCCTACATAAACGGCGATAGTGCAAATACAGGAAAAGTGGTAAAATGATGTGCCCTGTGAATTTTCTCTCTGATCACAATATGATGACAGGTTGAGCATTTGAGTGAGTCTTATTTTCCACAATTGTATGGCTATATATTTATTCCCAATATTTTATTGCCCATATATGTCTTTACTTATGCATTCTCCCCCCCCCCCCCCCAACACACACTCTCTCTCTGATCTCAATTTGCCTTACCAGTTCTCGGGATACTCTCCTTAAATTTTTTAGGGATATTTTTCCTACAAACATTGTGATAATACGGGGAAATGTGTCAATTGGTGTACAAAACGATTGCTGTGTCTTCCAGTTAAGATAAACAATGATCCATATGTGCACACAGAAATGTAACAATGAATAATCATTAAATCACATACGCTTGCTGCTGCAACCACGAAAAAAATAAAAGAACAGGAAAAAAAAAAAAAAAAAAAAGAAGAAAATGATTCACTGTTGTCTATTCTTATTATATTTCATTACCTGTATCGTCATCGTCAAATAATTTGAACGCTTTGATTATTTCCTCCGTTGGGTCCCTATCGCCAATCTTTTGAGTCACTAAAAAGGTAAATAAATAATATATATATATATATATGTGCTACTGCACAGATAAATAGATATGCATTATTAAAAATAATATCCCATTTTCAGGCCTCTGCTCGTCTTCGAGAATTCTCATTTAAGCTGGACTGATTAAATACAAGCTTAAAAATGTATACATATATATATGTGAAAGTGTGCATGTGTGTATATATATGGAGCCAACTTCTCATGACACGCTGGATTAACAATCCTTGCATGAACTCATCTTTACATCCATTCGCTCTCCTTACTAATGTCCAAAAAATCATTGTAGTCTATATAACCCGAATTCGATTTATCATACTCCCTCATCAATTCCATAACGTCCGCCTTTTTTATGTCAAATCCCAGGGCTCTTATTGCTACCTGAACATGTTCAGAAAAAACGCAAAATGGATGAATAAAAAAAAAAGTTGCATACAGTTTCTAAATATATTGTAAGAGAACTAAGATAAATCTCTTGGTGAAATTATATGAACAATGTTATGTAAAGGACGTTTGTCATACAAGTCCATTAAAATGTAAAAGTTGCTTGAATGATGTGAAAAAAAAAAAAAAAAAAAAAAAAAAAAAAAAAAAAAGGATAGCGCCTTGAGTTTTATCCCTTGTAGTTCCTTAATTGTAGTTTGTTGGATGTCTACTTTTCCTTTTCTTTCTCATCATCAGAAAATTCTTTAACATAATTTAAAAAAGAACAAGAAAATTAAAACTGATGCTCAAAAAAAACACATGGACACCAAGAGATTTTATCTATTGCAATACCTTCAACTCATGATAATCAATTTTTCCAGTTTTCTCCGTGTCAAATAAATCAAAAGCTTCTTTTATCTCATTTTTTTGCTCTTCTGTTATTTCGTTCCTTCCTCTTCTTCTATTACTACTTATGGGTCTATTCGTAATAGCCCTTGGAGTGAAATTGGAGACTTCACTTTTTCTACTGATCATTTGTGTTATACGGCGAGGAAAAAAAAAAAAAAAAAAAAATAGAAGAAAGGTCTAAAATGTGCACATGTATGTACGCGTACAAATAATTTGTGCCCTTATATGTAAATTAAAAATTGACGTTTTTGCGAACATTTAGAAACGGTGAAAAAATGGCGAAATGGAGAAGTAGAGAAATGGAGAAATATATATTTGTACATATATATGCACACATACAAGCATGCATATATCCATATATGTATATTTTTATTATTTTTTTTTTTTTTTTTCTTGATTATAATAATTGCTGCTTTTAAACAGTTGGAAAGTATTCCTTAAGTCGGCAAATCGGGAGAATAAAAAAAAAAAAAAATTCACACCTTCACACAGACTTTTTCGCGTTCTCAGAATTCTCGCGCAGAGAGCATGCGGATTGTATACATGAATAGTAAATAGTAAATAGTAGGGGGGAGGGAGGGAAGGAGGGAAAAAAAAAGGTAAATCTCACAGCTGATTTTGCATACACATATATGTGCATATATACAAGCACGCACAATTACATATGTATGTATGATATAGTTAAAAGCAGACTTAAATTTTAAATGAACTTTATTTTTCGTTACAAATTCTTATGCGCTTTTTTTTTTTTTTTTTTTTTTTTCATAAAAAGCCTTCCACATGATCGCCACTTTTTATGTTCCCATTTAAAGAGAATAGGAAATTGTCGCAAGAGATGTCCCTAAATTTTGTACAAACTTATATACATGTACTTGTTTTGTGGAGAAAAAAGGTACACACACATACGTATACACTAACGCACACACAAAAAAAAAAAAAAAAAAAAAAAATATATATAAAATAATAAATAGTAATAATTTAAAAGAGTGCGTATGAAAATACTTTAAAATATGTGTTAACGATCAAGTTGGAAATAACCAAAAGAAATGTAATTAAAAAAAATTATGTTAAAAAAAAAAGAGTTTGTCGCAAAAGCATGTAAAAATCTGTACATAGTTAAAGTAGCATTATAAGTATATGCATGCTTCATCTCATGTAAAATGTGTACCTATACATATGTTACACATGACTCTCCTATTTGTGGAGAATCAAAGAAAAAAAAAAAAAAAAAAAAAAAAATATGCATGGAATTGTTAAAAAGATGAATTCCAGTTAGATGAATAATTTTTACTATCGTTTTGAGAATTTTCACCTAATAAGGGGTAGAAGAAAATGAAAAGTATTTTACCAAGCAATCCTATGAAAAGTTTTCGCCAAGTTGTCTTCAGGATATAGTGCATAGGTAATCATGGTCATATATGCCTGCCAACAATTGTGTGTAGGTATCATAAAATAAAAAATTAAGGCAAAACAGGAAGTAGAAGCTTGTCAAAATTAAAGGAAAAAAAAAAAAAAAATAACACAGTTAGGAAAGTAACTAACCAAAAAGTAAAGAGTGAAAAAAAAAAAAAAAAAAAATATAAAAAAAAAACAACCAAAAAAAAAAAAAAAAAAAAAAAAAAAAAAAAAAAAAAAAAAACAGGAAAAAAAAAAAAAAAAAAAAAAAAAAAAAAAAAAAAAAAAAAAAAATGTTCTAAAAAACCCCCCCCAAAAAAAAAAAAAAAAAAAAAAAAAAAAATGTTCTAATGACACCTCACCCAAAAGTAATGAAAAAAAAAAAAAAAAAGAAAAAAAAAAAAAGAAGCAATTACACAGAATTAAGCGAATGGAAAAATTGCACACCTTTTCTCTCACTCTCCTTCAACCCTTTTTTTTTTTTTACCAACTGGAGAATTGCATTTTTTTTTTTTTTTTTATTCTATTTTAAAATGTTCTCTAAATTGCCTTAAAAGTTTTAAGCCAAGTATTTTTCCGAAAACTGTTAAAATGAAGAATTTTATGGCAACAAGTTTATTATCAATTTATTCATTAAATATTTTTTCATTTTGAGATTTGCTTTCTGGAAGCTTTTCTTTCTTTCTCTCTATTTATATAGAGAACATTTTTTTCTTTCTTTTTATGGTGTTTTCAAGAACATTTTTAAAATGGATAAGAAGATAATGTGAAAGAAAAAAATAAGAAAAAAAAGGCACAAAAATGTTTGTAAAAATGTGTGTAAAAATGTGTGTAAAAAATTCTGACTGTTCATAAAAAAGGAGGAAAATTGTATGAATTGTGCGTGCAAAAGAAAATGGGTATAAAATTGGGGGTATTTTTTTTTTTTTTTTTTTTTAAAATTTTTTTTCAAGTCAGTTTGAATAGTCTCATCATTTTAGGCAAAGTATACACATGAACAGCACCCAAAAAAACTCTCAATTTTCCTCTTCATCTATATAGGATAAATTTTTCTTTCCTTTTTTTTTTTTTTCTGCACAAGGGAATGATTTGAAATTTTCTCAAATGCATGGTATTAGTTTTCTCCCTTTTGCACTTTCTCGCTTTCGTGTTTTCCCGCTATCTAGTTTTTGCTTTTTTTTCCATTCTTTTTAAGCCTTTAAGTCTTTTTTTAGCGGTCCATAATACTTGATCTTTTCTTCACTCGTTTGGAATCTTCCATGCCCAATTTTGGATGAGGTATCGATAAATTTAAGAGAAACTTGCGCTAAGGCATCTCTTGAAACTTGTGGTACCAAAGTTTTTCTTAAAGTGATTGGCCTTTTCTTGGTTCCAGCGACACAACCTTTTAATAAAATAAAATCTTCATTTACCATACCATAATGTGGAAAACCACCTATGGGTGTTATTTTCTTTTCTGTAATATCAGCGTCTGTTGAAGCGCTATTTTTGTCTTTTTTAAGACCAATTCTGTAAATTTTTTTATTCCTTTCAGTTCGATGAAAATAACCCTTTTGTCCATGCCTTGGTACTTGGAATTGTACTCTAGCAGGATGCCAAGCACCAATGCAAGCAACTTTTCTCAACCCTCTGTGTGTTTTTCTTGGTAATCTTTTTACACCATATCTACTAACAACACCTTTTGTACCATGCCCTTTCGTAACACTAATAACATCAATCATTTCGTTTGTGTTAAATACATTTGATACAGGTAAATTTTTCTCTAAGAGATCTTTAAGGAAATCAATTTTTTCTTTCATCTTACCTCCATTTACCTGTATTTCCATAATATGTGCCTTTTTCATACTTAATGGTGTTTTAGATGGTTGGGTATGACAAACAGCTCTCAAAACAGTGCAATATTTTTCTATTCTTTTATATAAACTTTCTTTTGTCAACTTGGGAACTAACAATGCTTTTGTAAATGCTTTTTTATCACTCTTATACCAGTTCTTGTAATATCTTCTTCTAAATTCATCCGAAACATGACTAGCCCAAACAGTTGCCAATATTTTCAATCCTTTTGGAGTTTCTCTATATCCAACCATCCCAACAACAACCATAGGTGCACATTCAATAATTGTACATGCTTCTACAATTTCTTTTTTGTGTAATTTGGAACCAGGTTTGTCAACTTCTCTTACGATATGAGTCATCCCAGCCTTGTAACCCATAAATGCAGTAAAATGAGGTGGTTTTTCTTTATCATCTTTTGGAAAAGATCTTATTTTTCCTCTTAATCTTTTGCATCGTTTTCTTGGCAAGAATCCTAAAGAGCCATGGCGAGGCCTCTCAAACTTACGATGTGACATTGTGTAAGTGGTGCTGTTGAAATGGGAGTGCTGGGGGTGGTGGTGGATTGATTGATTGATACTGTGCCTACGTGGAGAGCTGCAGTTTGTGTATGCTTACATATATGCGTGTGTAATAATTCACGTACCAGGTGAAGTTAACACGAGAAATGGTATATAGTATGCTTTTTATATGCTTCTACTTTGGAATGATATTACAAGGAAAATAAATTCACATAAAATGGTGGCGTGTATATTCATGCGTTTCGGTAATTTTTTTTTAAGTGGATTAAAAAAAAAAAAAAAAAAAAAAAAAAAATATGTATATATATCTCAGAGATTTTTTTTTCTTTTTTTCTTCCCTTCTTTATTATTTTATTTTAAAAAAACAGTTGCTAAAAGGGGTAAAAAAAAATAGAGTTTGTAAGGTAAATTTTGTTATCTTTAAAATGTTAACATGGTTTTTAGCATAAACTATAAATATATATATATGAAATACGCTACATTGGGGATGTGAATCTATTTTGTACATTTCTTTCTTATTTTTGCAATGCGTACCATATATTTTATTTTTAAATAGGTAAATGTAGTTTTTTTATTCTTATTTGATTTTTTTTCCATTTTTCTTCATTTTTTTCATTTTTATTTTTCGCTAAAACTAGGCATCATAAAAGAGAAGGGGAAGTGGTGGGGGGAGGGAGAAAAAAAAAAAAAAAAAAAAAAAATAGCTTAACAAATTTGTAAAAAACCATTAGCAAATTTTTCTTGGTGTATGGATATATGAAAGAAGAAAATACATTTTATTAGAGTAAGCACATATAAAAATTAATTTTTCATGAGCCAATCTCGTTTGAACGTGTATTTGAAGTTGTGCATAATATGTTGAGACCTTACTGCACAATTCGATATTATTTTATATATAGGTAAAAGCCTTTTTTTTTTTTTTTTTACATATTCCCATAATCTCGGTATTATTAATTTTAGATACATATGCATATATGTATAGATATATATATATATATACATATATATTATTTTATTTTTATTGGTTAAGAACAATTGCAAATTGAGAAGGATGAACAAATGATGGGAAATTCAAAACATAGTAACTTTAGTAGTTGAAAAAACGTCTGCACTCAGTGAGAAGAGGTCGTGGGGGTATATATATGTAAGAGGATTATAATACCTAACATAAGGTCTCGAACACACTCATGTATATGCACGGCCTATGTACATATTCTTATATATACAAACATGTGCATATACGTTATATTATATGATAAGTAGTATACGCTGTTGCGTATGCCATAAGGAAAATGGTTTTTTCTTTTTCTTTTTTTTTTTTTCCTCTTTTGAATAATTTCTCTTCTCGACACTTGAGAAGTACCACACTGTGCTTCGTCGGGAGAGGAAAACCCCCTTAAAATCCTCGTGAAAAAAAAAAAAAAATAAAATAAAATAATACCCCTATCGTGCAAAGTAATACAAATATTAGGTAAGTTTTAAAAAAATGAAGAACAGCCCAAAGATAGGTCTCAAGTTGATATATACGTACATAAGTACATATATGAATATACATATATGTAAACGTATAAGGAGAAACAATGGGAGTAAGTTTTTTTTTTTTTTTTTTTTTTTTTTTTTTTTTTTTTGCGCAAAAATTTTTAAGTGCAAAAAACCAGATTTGGTTAAGCCACACCCCAATGAAATCAACTTGGGTCAAATACTGGGGGTAGAAATTCTTCAGCGTAGGATTAGTGCTACATATATTTCTAGAAGTAGTTAAATATATCACCTGGTTCTTTTTATATATAACCTTCCTGTATGATTTGTGTATACAAGAAGTTTTTCTAAATATGGAGATGAATAAATATATATCTTTTTCTTCCCAACCTGTTAAAGCACTTGAAGAATTGAGTTTAAGAAGGGGGAGAGAGAAGAAGAAGGTGTGTGTTGCGAGGTATGGCCTGATTTAAGCATCCTTTGATTATATAGAAAAGTTTATCATTTCATTCATATGCTGTGAGCCATCTCCATTATATTCATTATATTTTCATTTAAATGAAAACATTATGTGAAATGGCATTATAAATGTATAGTACTTAATTTTTACTCAAATGTGGTAATATAAAAAAAAAATTACTTCTATATTTTGTTTATTCTGTTTCTACTTTTTTTCTTTTTTTAACTCCCTTCCCCTCATGTTATAATTTCAGGGGCTATAAAGTGCATAACTCGGTTTTGAATTTGATTTTGCAAAAAAAAAAAAAAAAAAAAAAAAAAAAAAAAAAAAAAAAAAAAAAAAAAAAAAAAAAAAAAAAAAAAAAAAAAAAAAAAAAAAAAAAAAAAAAAAAAAAAAAAAAAAAAAAAAAAAAAAAAAAAAAAAAAAAAAAAAAATGTTAATTCTGTTTCTACTTTTTTTCTTTTTTTAACCCCCTTCCCCTCATGTTATAATTTCAGGGGCTATAAAGTGCAAAACTCGGTTTTGAATTTGATTTTGAAAAAAAAAAAAAAAAAAAAAAAAAAAAAAGGAGAAACAGAATAAGCAAAATAGCTAGACCAAAGACGTGGCAAAATAGGAAACAAATTGGAAACTTATTTTACCAATTCGTTCATATAAAAAAAAAAGAAGCACATCGTGCCACATTGTTCCGGGTCATACCACATCATCTAGAATATATAGAGAATAAAATAAATTCGCAACGTAGGACAAAATAAAAGCTGCAAACTAGTTACGACCAAAATGGAAGTACACACACATATATATATATATATATATAAAATTTGGCACTTTTTCATTTAGACATTTCTGAACTACCTAAATATAGCACAATATTGGGAGTGTGAAAAATGGCAAGCGTGAAAAAAAGAAACTCCGAGCTCAAACATTTTCATCTTGCAGTTGTGCATAAATCACATTCATGTATTTTACTCCTTCTGAATGTGTTGTGTTGTGGGTGTTTATTTTGTCAGCAAATTTACTATTATCCAAATGTGTGCACATTTCTCAGAATAATATATATGGGGCTCATGCGGTGGAGTAATAAATCAAAAAAAGAAACATGAGATAAATTAGTCTGTCTGTCTGCATGTATGTATGTATGTTTTTTTTTTTTTTTTCCCCACACATTGTTACGTATGAATAAAAGTGATTATTTCATTTATGTTTACCTTTGGAGGAGATCAACATGGACTCATCTTCTTTTTTCTCATTCAATCTACACCAACTTGTCATTCATCTGAATATATAATAGATGCAGACAAAATTAAAACATTGCTACTTATGTAAACAGTTTGTTATGACTTAAAATTATAAACGAGAAATAAATGTAGAGGAATTTTTTTTTTTTTTTTTTCTTCATCCATTTTGTATAACATAAAAATACAAACATTTAACAATCCCAAGGGAAAGACGGAAAATCTGTCTACTTTTTTATTTCTCATATTGTGCAAATATATATTCTGATGCAATCATTGTACATCCTACATTCTTTTAAGGTACTGAAAGAATAAGTTAGGAAAAAAAAAAAAAAAAAAAAAAAAAAAAAATTTTTAAATGTAAATCGGTTTTTATGGTGTAGTTACATGAAAACGGGAAACATAGCCAATTGTCTTAATTATCCATCCATATCATTATTATTCGTTTTTTTTTTTTTTTTTTTTTTTTTCAAAAATGGATAATATATACATGGTATACATATCGTGTTTAGATCAAGTTGCATACTAGTAACTTTATGTCAGCATTGTATAAACGAAAAGTACAAAAGGAAAAGATATATTTTTTTTTTTTTTCGCATCCCATGAACCCCATAGTGTTGTTTATTTGTTCGCTTTTGTTTTAATCTGTGTAACAATTTGCATTTTTCCTCAGAAAAAAAAAAAAAAAAATTTTCACTTGGCATATTTTCAGTATTTGTATGTTGTATTATACAAACATGTACAATGTGTCTTCTTTTGTTTACACATTCTCTCTATATGCGTGTAAAACACAGTACTTTACATATTCTATATCTCTCCTTGTAGACATAAACATTATTAAGAAGAAAAATATAGCTCAACGGAGTTGTCATTTCTCGAAAAGGAAAAAAAAAGAGATAAGAAAGAATTATTTCAAAAATGAAAGGTGTTCAAAATTCTCCTAAGGGAATAAGGCAATTGTTGCCTGTTATGGTATAAAGAAAACATTTTTTTTTTTTTTTTTTATCACAAATGAAAATTCATCAATCCTACTGAGGATAATAAGTACCACATATAGTTTTGTATATTTTTAATAATAAACAGATTTTATTAATCTATCAAAAACGCAAGGAAAAAAAAAAAAAAAAAAAAAAACACCAGCACATTTCATGTTCATCCAATTTTCATCCCATTTTCACCTCCTTTCCATGCACATTTCAGTTGATAAGCTTGGTGATCCTCGTAATGTACACGATATTTATCACAGTAATGTTTTGTATCATGGAAGATATCTTTAACTTCTATACTTCTGTACTTCTCCACTTGTTCATTCCTGCATGGATCCTACTTGTGCACTCATTCGTCAATCGATTCTGCACCTGCTCAAAGAACCCATCTCTCCACACCTGATGTGCATGCACCATCATCTCTGCCACTAACCTTACAGTTTTACTGCATGCTTTTGCTACAAATCAATGTCCAAAAGGAGTATGTCGACAATGACTTGTTAAAGGAGGGATATTCTAAGTTGATCACGAGTATGCAAGACTCTCCCTCTTCATACGCATGCGCACCTGATTTATAGTCTCTTCATAAAAAGCTGTCCATTTTTGCAGGGAACGAACACTCACACATGCGTACATATATCCACACATGCGTACATATATCCACACATGCGTACATACATCCACACATGCGTACATACATCCACACATATGAACATACACGTACGTGTACACGTAGACATATTAGAAGTGTACACACACTACCTCCGTGCTCACCCACCTTTCTCCCCATCCAACTTAAACAGTTCATATTTTACTCGTCATGTTAATATGGTCATTTTACAAAACCTACACCGTGGATCCGGGTGGTATCCCAGGTAAATTATACGATCGTTACAATCGAATGTCGATTTTATTGTGTTTTCAATTTTTCCCCTTATCAAATGGAATGTGGTGAAAGCTATTTTTTCTACTCATCAGTAGTGCTGTGAAAGTGTATGTAAGTCTACACAAGTTTGTGTATAAGTATGTAGGTGTCTATGAAAGTGGTCTATCTAAATTGCAGATAATTTTATCTACATTTGGATATTCATTTTATTTGTTTGTGTCTATTCGGTAATTTTTTTCCTATTTTTTTCTATTTTTTCCTATTTTTTTCTACTTTTTCCTATTTTTTCCTATTTTTTTTTTTTTTTTTTTTTTTTTGGTACCTCTCGAAAGACACCCATGAGTGGATTGTCGAACCGGATATTAACAGAATAAAGGAGAGAGAACAAAATGGTAATATGCACAAGCCCAAGTTGGGGAGTTTCGGTGGCAATTCCCCTAGTAGTTTCTCTTTTGACACCCATCGTATGTCCGATATTTCTTGCAGTTCATTCAGTTATAATATTTGATTAGCATTCATTCTTTTCTCTCCTTCATCTCCTTCCTCTCTCTCTTTCCACCTTGCCCCCTAGGTGAATTGCGCTACTGCAGACACGAGAAAAAGTACAAACCAGACAGAGCTCACTATTGCAGGTAAATGTTGCCACAAGCAGTATGCGGACAAAAATAGTACACATGTAATTATAAGTTAATAAACCTTTTTAATAAACATAATTGGATGCAACATATTAACCTCTTCATCTCCCATCCTCGTAGGATTACCAAGAGAAACATACTAAAGATGGATCATTACTGCCCATGGGTAGGTGTTTTTTTTTTTTTTTTTTTTTTTTTTTTAACTTCTATAAATTGAGACAAAACCGCTTTCCAAACGAACGGACGTACGTGCAAATGACTCTCCCCTCTCCGTTCAGGTAGCAAACGGTGTTGGCTTCTACAACTACAAGTTTTTTTTGCTAAGCATTTTTTATGCAAATCTATGCTGTCTATATGTCGAGGTCAACTGCTACAAGTCCTTCCCCGATCTGTACTCCAACCCAAACGTCCTTTTTAATGAAGTTTTTTATATTTTCCTGGAAATCTCCTTGGCAACAATTATCTTGCTGTAAATTATTACTTCATTTTATTTTGTTTTTCTGCATTTCACTTTTATTTATGAGTCCTCAATGAGTTGGGGTAGCTGTTTTTACTACAGACATGCAAATAGGAGAAAAATGACAGAAGGAGACATAGAATATAAAAAAAAAATAATAAAATAATAATAAAATAATAATAAAATAATAAAAAAAAAATAATAAAATAATAATAAAATAATAATAAAATAAAAAAATAATAAAAAAAAAATAATAAAATAATAAAATAATAATAAAATAAAAAAATAATAAAAAAAAAATAAAAAAATAATAAAATAATAATAAAATAATAATACAATAATAAAATAATAATACAATAAAAAACAGAACAAAAACAGCATCACCATGTGGCATGCGTATTTGGTCAATTTATTCCATATAATCATTTAGATATATCAACACATGGAATCCATTTCCTTATACTGTCATTAGTTACACTTTTTTTTTTTTTTCTTTTTCCCCCTCTCCTATTCTACACCATGTCAGAATTATATTCCCTTTTTTTTTATTTCACCTGTATTTAACTTCCCAAAATTATACGACTCTGGAATTTTGTGTGGTGGGTATTTTTTTTTTTTTTTTTTTTTTATTCTCCATTTCTATATGATGGAAGTACATTTCAATTTTTTGATGAATAAAATTATTCCATTTCATTTTTAGATTGGGAAGAGAGACAAACGAAGCATGTACGACTTGGGTGTTGAGGAAAACTTCAAGCAAGTTCTTGTGAGACCGAAAAAAAAAAAAATAAAAAAGGAAGAAGAGGAGGTGCAGGAGATGGAGTTGGAGCAGGAGATGGAGTTGGAGCAGGAGATGGAGTTGGAGCAGGAGATGGAGTTGGAGCAGGAGAGGGAGTTGGAGCAGGAGAGGGCACAATCTCAAGCAGACCGGAGAAGATATAACTGCCGATGCAAACCTCTTCCCACACAAAATGTACTTATGTGTTGCATTTTCTTATTTTTTTAACTCATAAAATTAGCTAATTTTCTAATTCTCTAACGCACTAATGCAGGGGGATCAAATCCTTATGTGGTTTCTTCCAATTGGAATCCCCAAAGGAGACGGATTATTCTACCATACAATGGTCACTATGCATAATTATTCCTTTCATGGCTAAGACACAGACAGTTCTAAGTTTTTGTTTACACATGCTGTGTGTGCGTGTGTTTGTGTGTGTGTTTGTGTGTGCTTGTGTGTGTCTGTGCTTGTGTGTGTCTGTGCTTGTGTGTGTGTGTGTTTGTGTGAATTAATTAGCAAGAGATATTATCACAGTAAGGAGACCTCCTCGTGTGTGCCTCTATCACAACACCTCTCTCCGAAGCAGTAAAAATTTCTACCAGTGCTCCAGGAACTCGTGAAGATTTTCATATGACATTCTGCATTACTAAGCAAATCAGCGTCTATATATATAGACACACACATACACACACCTCATATGTACATAGTGCTGAGTGTGTAATTGGCCATCAGGTGGGGTAATTTCCCCTCTCCCCCCAGCAATGCCTTTTCCGTATATCATTCACTCAATTGATCAACCCATCACTATTTTTTATTATCATTATTATCATTATTATCATTATTATCATTATCATTATCATTATTACTTTTGTTTTTCTGTTCTTTTTCGTCATCTTCTTCCCACCCCCCTCCCCTCCTAACACTGATGTTCACTGATGTTCACTGATCGATGGTATTGAAGTGCCTGGGTCGCAAAATGGTAACCTCCTACAAGCCACTCGGCATTCCCCACGATGGATTGAAGTGCCTGGGTCGCAAAATGGTAACCTCCTACAAGCCACTCGTCATTCCCCACCTGACATTTGCCACTTAACATTTCTCATTATGCTACATTTTTTTTTATTATTATTTTTTTTTTTTCTTTTTGTGGGAAAAATCGAGGCTTCTCCTTCTTATGCCATTACCCCTGTGCCTCATCCTATGAGCATTGCCATGTTGGGGAACGAAGGAGCTTTTCACCTCCGTTTTTGAGCATATTTTTCTGTTCATTCTCACTTTTATTATTTTTTTTTTTTTTTTTTTTTTTTTTTTTTATTTCGATTTCATTTTATATTCTGTACCTTGATTTGCACAACGCTTGTCGAAAATCCTTCCTCATTGATTTTCCAATTTTTCAACGTTTGTAAAAACAAAAGCTGATTAAAATTTGATTAAAATTTGATTAAAAGCTGATTAGAAGCTGATTAAAATATGATTAGAAGCTGATTAGAAGCTGATTAAAATTTTTTTTTTTTTTTTTTTTTTAAATAGAGATCTATTTGCACTTGTCGCTAACCACAGTGACAGAACATTTTGCCACTTCATTTCACTTTATACTTAAGTCGTGGGTGAACGTAGCACTCCCCACGGAGGTGTGATTAAAAGGAATAACATTTTTTTTTTATTACAGAACACAATATGTTAAATAATACTTTAGGGTTGATACTTTTTAGACTCGTCACTAATGACTATTATACACAACAACACATTTTAGTTAAAGATGAAATTCGTAAAGTTAACATCCGATTCTTACCCAATCAAGTAAAACAAAAAAAAAAAAAAAAAAAAAAAAACATCATCAACATATACGCAAACTAGTCTCCTTCCTCCCACCACCGTTACTCCACAAAAGCATTTCTCATATAAATGCTTAGGGTTCCAAGACTAAATTAATTCAATCGTCATCCTTTCTCTTACATGAACCACATATGAATACTTTTTTTGTACATCACCACTTTAGAAAGGGAGGCGGGGGTGGGGGTTATTTAAAGGAATGTGAGATAATGGACAAATCTCAATCCATCTTTTCCTTACACTTGTTTGTTTATGTTTTTTTTTTTTTTTTTTTTGTTAAATTTTCCTAGATACTACAGCAGAACGTATAAAGTTACCAACACATTGAAAATAAAAGGAATAGGTTTAATTAACCAAGATGAAGAAAGCATAAAAAATTTCTTGCAGAAATTCGATGTCAGTTTTATGGCTTATTTAATATATGAACAAGATGTTATATACGTGGAATTTTATAAGAAGAAGGATTGTGCATATGTTTTTAACTTTTTAAACAACGTAAGCTAGAATTGAAGAGAAAGGAAGGGGAGGATCATTAATGTTCAGCTTTTGTTACCACGAGTTCATACATGTATGTACATACGTACGTTCACATGTGTGTGGTCATATATATAGGAAAACCATCCACCCTTTGCTTCATGAACATATTTCACACTCGTGCATGACATCTGTCACATAAATCTGAACCTTTAGAACCCACTGGATCAATCACATACACAGAAAATGGATATAAAAGCTGAGTATGTAAATGTGAAATACAACCCAAAGAGCGATCCTTCAACTACCTACTCAAAGGATTATTCCCGTCTTGTAATCGTTACTCCTCCAAGTTACATTAACGACAATGATAGGAGTAGCTGTAACGAATGGAGCGACAGGAGCAGTGGCAGTGACAGAGAGGAAGATGTTTCTTTCGAAGCGGATGCCGTTAGCAAAGACATGGAAGATGAAATTATCAGAAAATATGAAGAAGAACAGTGGCAAAAGTACACCAAGAACGATGGTAAGTTTGTTTATATTATTCATCAGTTTCGTGTGGTCATAAGAACCAAACACCACAAATGTGCATGGAAATGTATGACTAACAATGTATGGTCATTGATCACCTAAAATATTTTCCCCACCCCTCCTCAGAAATCAACATAGGACATTACTTCTGCAGAAGCACCCCTAATAAAATTTATAAGTCTTATTGCATACAAGATGAGAACCTGTTTTTTACTTCTGAATTCTTAGAACGAATAAAAATTCTGTTTAATGGTAGATATCCAAACCAAATATCAATTCTCAAATGCCACACGAATAAATCCGTTGAATATGTAATCGAATCTAGATACATCTTCCAGGTGAGACGTACAACACATCAGTAAAGTATTAGTTGCACTCCTATTGTGATTTAATTTTAGACTTTTGATAATGATACAAATGAGGAAGAGAAAAAAAGAAAAAAAAAAAAATAGATTCAGCTAATCTTAGCATCTAGGTGCTAGCCATTATAGCGATCACTCCCTTCATCAGACATATCTTTTTTTATGATAAAAAATGTTATAAACTCGTACGCCTTCGTTACATATTCATGTCTGTTTTTTTTTTTTTTTTTTTTTCCCCCCACTCTTTTTCTATTTTCCCCTTTTTAGGATGAAATCGGTTTCTTAGTTCTGCACAATGACTTACCAATGTCTTTTCTAGATATCAGAAACGGTACGAATTAAGAACAGATACATTTATAATTCGAACAAGTTATGTCGAATAATTTATTTTTATTTTTTTTTATTTTATTTTATTTTTTTTTTTTTTTTTCTATCTTCATCTGGATGAAATGGGCCTGTACAAAACAAAACGAATTTTGAATCTTTTTTCATTTAAACATATCTGTCCGTTTATGTGTAAATATTTCCACCAACATCAATATCGGCACCGTCCCCCAAATGTACGTTTTGCAGAAGTGAAAACCAATCTGGTGGTTGCAAAAAACACGTTCATAAAAATTAAAGGCAGGAGAAGATACGAGTTACTTTTTGGAATTCCAAAGAAAAAAACAGTAGCATTGGATAGCGAGGTTATTCCACTCTCTCTCCTATTCTCCATATATATACGTACACATGTGTGTATATATATTTCTCAAGCTTTGTGCGAATATCATGCGAACGAAACTCATCGAAAAGGACGATCGTGTTGAGGGCATGTCTGTATATGTCTATACACATGCAACATATGTGTGTCAAAAATTGAGGACGTTTCATACACATTGCTCTTCTAATTCGCTTTCCCCCACATTCCATTTATAGATTTTGCACAGAAAAAATAGTTATTTAATCATTTTCAGATTCATTGACGAATCTAACTTGCAAAATATGTTATCTCAAAAACATAGAAACGAGAAAGCTAAAGACCAACCACAAGAGAAGAGTTGCATCCCGGTGAATGTGAACCATTACACGTCAGATAACTTAGAACGAAAGTACGTCCTCGATGTATATAATCAAATAGCCAAGCACTTTTGCTACACCAGGTATGGGCACCTATGTCACCAGGACAGTGAATATCCTTGCTACTGTCCTTGCTGCTGTCCTTGCCCTGACCTTGCTACTGACCATGCTACTGTCCTTGCTACTGTCCTTGCTACTGTCTTTGCTACTGTTTCTTTGTCTGTGCCCGTTCCTGAGGGAGCGTGCCAATAAGTACCTCGATCAGAACCGACCACTTTTCCTCCACACGTTCTCCCTGCACAGAGGGCACAAAATTGGAATGCATGCTTTAAGACATATTGGAACAACTTCCTTTGCTTCATTACGCACCTTTTTGCAAGATACAAATCTTGGAACAACGTAGAAAATATTATTAACGAAGAGAGAGAAGGAAATATAATTATGGATGTTGGTTGTGGAAATGGCAAGAATGTACAAGTTTCGTCTAAATATTTTTTTATAGGATTAGATTTTAGTTTATATCTTTTAAAATTAGCTCAGAAAAAACGGAACACGGATATCATTCTTGCGAATTGTGTTAACATACCTATGAGATCTAGTATGCAAACAATTGATACTACACTGTTATTCCTCTCCCTTATTTGCCTTTCATACCAAAAAAAAAATATAATATAATAAAATATAATATAATAAAATATAATATAATAAAATATAATATAATAAAATATAATATAATAAAATATAATATAATAAAATAAAATAACCTACATTTTTTGGTTGCTACTTTCTTTTTTTTTTTTCTCCCACAAATATCCGTCTTTTCCACCCCCACCTAAAACAGATTTGGCAGATCTCTGCATTTCCATTGCAGTAATTCATCATATTGGTACACATGAGAAAAGGTAATAATCAGAAAATATAACAGAGTAGGGGGAAAAAGAGAAGCAAAAAATGAAGTAAAAAAAAAGGAAGCAAAAAATGAAGTAAAAAAAAAGGAAGCAAAAAATGAAGTAAAAAAAAAGGAAGCAAATAATGAAGTAAAAAAAAAAAGTTCTCTTTTCTCTCACACCGAACAAAAGGACCGAAAAATAAAAAAAATGACCAATACTTTTCCCCCCATTTTTCCAATAGACGACAAGCTGTATCTGAAATGGTTAGATGCACAAAAGTAGGAGGCAGGGTTCTAATATATGTCTGGTTAGTCCAAAAAGTGCTAGAAGAATGCATTCTCCTATATGAAGCAAAATTATGTATGCGCCCTCTCTTGCGCAACGCATTCAATCATTCTGAATTGTGTTATAAAAACAAAATCATTTTTTCCCAACTTTGCTTGTAGGGCATACGAGCAACAGGAAAATATCGTTGGCAACAGGAAGTTCGACTCTCAAGACAGTAAGCTAGTCAAGCACCATTCACAAAAGAGAAAAGAAAATAAGGAACAAAAAAAAAAAAAAAGAGAAGAGGAAAAAAAAAGTGTACCTCACTGTATATCGTGAGAAAGGAAATTTTTTTTTTTTTTTTTTCTTTTTTTTTTTCTTTTCATCAGTTCAGTATTTACACATAATGACAAGCGTATGAGAGCTATGCACATATTTTTACTTCCCCAATTTTGCTTCACGCCAAACTATATATTTGTCTTCCCACAGTTTTCGTTCCGTGGTACTTGCAGCAACAACACACTGTGGAATTCAACCAAGGGGTAAAGGAGGACGAAGGGAATATTTCCCCTCTTCCAAAAAAAGGTAAAATCTTATATTTTTGTGCAAGCTAAAAAGAGGAAATTATTTGTAAATATATTTATGTACATGTGTATTGTGTTATATACACTTTTTTTTTTTTCTTTTTTTTTTCTCTTTATCCTCATCCTCCCGAGTGTGCGTTTTTAGTTATACATAAATTTGTTTATTGAGCAAAATGGGAGAGACGTATTTTTTTTTTTTTTTTTTTTTTTTTTGCAGATTTGCTAAAATTGCAGAGATATTACCACGTTTTTAAAAAAGAAGAACTATACAATTTATGCTTGAGCATCAGTGGTGTGCATGTTGAAAATTTCTTTTTTGATAATAACAATTGGGTGATTCTCCTGAGGAAAGTTGGATGATTTTTATTTACACACGAGAGTATACTTTTACCCCTTTTTGTAGATTTGCCTCTTCAGAAATTTGATCCTTTGCAACTTTGATCTTGTTTCAAATTTATCAATTGGTCTCCTTTTTTTTTTTTTTTTTTTTTTTTTTTTTTTCGCGTCTCATTTCAACTTCGCCACGTAAAAATACCAATCCAAATTTAATCAACATAATCTAGAATATATATATATATATATATCAATAACAAATTGCAACTGTTGACACATCTTGCCTCTCGTTCTCTCATTCTTCCTTTCTCTTTTTCTCATTCTATATTTTTTTTCTCTCCTATTTTTCATTTTAGTTTTACGTTATTCTTTTTTTTCCCCAATTTGTTGAGGAAAATTAATTCCATAAGGCAAGCTTAGGGGATATCCTAAATTATTAACAAGAATTTATGAATTTTATTTTCTTACATTATCTAATTTGAAAGCCGTAAGTTTATTTTTTTTTTTTTTTGAATTATTTATTTTGCCACCTTTTCCCCAACTTTTTTTTCGACCGCTTTTTCCAGCCTTTTTTTCAATTTTTATTTATTATCATTATTATTAACATTATTATTAACATTATTATTAACATTATTATTAACATTATTATTAACATTATTATTAACATTATTATTAACATTATTATTATCAATATTATTGTCATTATTATTATCAATATTTTTATCAGTATTATTATCATTATTATTATTGTTCTTTGTTTTGTTTTGTTTTTTCGAGTTCACTATTTCACCATATCTTATTAAACATTTTTCAATCACTTAAAAATCCCATTATGCTTTCGGTTATAGCTCTGTTTAGATCCCCATCGTGTGTGAATATATTTGAAAATTCAAGTACGTATGCAACATCCCTGAGTGTATGTATACCACCATCGCTTGTTATCAAATTTTAATAAGTTGGAACTTATTTTGTTTTGACATAAATGAGCGTCCTCGCAGAGGCTGAGGAAGTGGGTCCCCCGGATGACCAAAGGGGGGTGATAGAAGCGGTGGGCCCTGATGAAGCGATAAAATTGGTACGTCCTGATGAAGCGATAAAATCGGTAGGTCCTGATGAAGCGATAAAATCGGTAGGCACTGATGAAGCGATAAAATCGGTAGGCACTGATAAAGCGAGGAAGAAAAATTCGATGGGAGAAGAATCCATATATGACGTTATCATAATTGGGGGAGGGTTGTTCGGTTGTGCTGTGTACTATTTCTTAATGCAGAAAAATCCAAGAGCAAAAATTCTCATAATAGAAAAAGAAGAGACACTTGGAGGGTGTGTAAAAACTGAATGGTGCAAACTTGAAGGGAAAAATATTGTTTGTGAAATGGGTCCAAATATATTTAAATTATGTGATGAGAGTTATGAATTAATTAAGGATCTACATTTATTACCTCACTTAAGAGTTCTAAATGAGAAGTTGCTCAGATATATTTATGTGAGTGGACATTTGTATCCTATACGTTTAAGCCTATTTGGCTATCTTGTATTCCCTCTTATAAGTATGACAAATAAAATAAAATTAATTTTCAAGTTAATATTTGGAAAATACAAAAACCTGAATTCATATCATGATGATATTAGCGTAGAGAAATATATGCAAGAAAATTTTGATTTACAACATTATGACTTTTTATTGTTGCCCTTGATATATGGGTCCTGTGGAGGAATTGGTAGTATCTCAGCTATATCCTTTTTTTCGAGAAATATAAAACTTTTTAATAATAAAATAAACACGTTACGCATTTGGAAGGAGTACATGAAGTGCCATGTGGATACTAGTTCGCGTGTCAGTACGCGTGTCAGTACGCGTGTCAGTACGCGTGTCAGTACTCCTGTCAGTTCACGTGTCAGTGCGTGTGCTAGTTCTGGTGCTAGTTCTGGTGCTAGTGCTGGTGCTAGTGCTGGTGATGGTGGGTACTCCAGTACTACAGATTCCATTAAGAATAGCTTCAGTAGTCGCAGTTTTGATGATTGTATGTCCAAATGTGAATACAGTTCCCTCAGGGGGGAAGAAAAATATCCTCATCGAAAGCACTATGATTCTATGTGTCTACAACACTCCTCTGAGCAAAGGAAAGGTGGAAATCCCGCCTTCTCCACTTTGTTAAGCAATGCATCCTGTAGGAAAAACACATCCAGGTTAGACACAGTTGGAGGGGATATGGTTGGTGCAGATACGTGTGGGGAAGACACAGCTGGTGATACAGCTGGCGAAGACGCAATCGGTGCTGACGTGAGTGACGGATTTACTGTTGACCTTCACGCAGGTATAAACAAAAGGAAGCAGGTGAGAACACCTCTTTTGGGGATTCCCATGGAAGGGCCCCAGAACTTCGTAAAACAAATCTATACACAATACAAAGGTGCTATCGTGACATGTATTCAACTTCTTTATGCCCAGTTAGCCAAAATGTTCAGCAAAGAATGCGAATATGAAAAAAAAAAAAAAAAAATTTGTGGAAAAACGGTATCATTAAAATGCGGTATGTATGAAATAATTGAAAAATTAAATAACAAAATAAATAAAAAATATGTTTGGACAAATGAAGAAGTAGACTATATTGAAAAAACGAATGGAAATACATGGACATGTTCAATGAAAAAAACAAAACAAAACAAAAATTGCTGTGTATATGGGAAAAATGTTATAATTTCAGTAAATTCAAAAATATGCTCAAATATCATGCGAAAAATACTCCCCCCGGAGATAAAAACTAGGCTCACAAATGTATCATACACAAACATGATTACCGTTACATTGTATTATTATAAGAAAGATATAAACTTACCAACAAATTGTTTTGGATTCCTATCAGCAGACAAAACAAATCATATACTCGGCTGTTTTTACACTAGCAACATGTTCAACGAAAGACGACACAGTCATGACAATCGCATCATCTTGACCCTATACATGGGAGGTCAAAATAACCCTAATGATGTTTACTTGGATCAAGAAGATATAATTAAAATTATTTCTGAGGAACTCAGTGTAATGTTGCAAGTTAAAAATAATGCCAAACCTGTTATCCTTCATGTGAAGAAATGGTTTGATGCTATTCCCTTTTATTCACATAATTATGAAAAACATTTGAGGTCTTTCATATGCGAACTGCAAAAATCGCAGTATCGAAATTTATATGTCGATTCTAGTTGGATAACGGGAACATCCATATCTGACAGAATTGCTTCTGCGAAAGACTTATCAGAGTTTTTATGCGCACGAATTTTTTTAACAGAAGATTAATTTTGTGCAAAAAATAGCCTCCGCACGTCCGTCATGGGAGACACATCATTGTAAGAAGAGTTCTGCATAATTTATATATATATATATATATATATATATATATATATATTACACAGCATGAAGTACCAATATGAGAATTCGCGGATTGTTTTCCTATATCTCTTTAGAACTAACTCCAATTTCATCCCATTTTCTGAAAATGGATTTAGACGCACACACATTATATTACGTAAAAGCGAGGTTCTTACCAAAGAAGTGAAAAAAATGAATAAAGAACATTTTATAAAAAAAAAAAAAAAAAGAGCCATTTTATGCTCATGTAGTTATTGTTTAAAAAAATTAAGAATTATTATGAATTTATAGTAAAAAGAGTTGGAAAAAAATAAAAAAAAAAAAAAAAAAAAAAACTATGAGGAGCATATTCAAATATGGAAGATGATTAAATGATGTCCATTTTTGACATACGATTAATAAAAAATTTCACATATATTTACTGTGAAAATGTGTAGATCAACCCCCCCCCCCCCACTTCTACTCACCTCACCATTCAATGGTTTACTTAATTAAAGCAACACCACATACACTTTGTGCATGTAGGAACAATTTTACCTGAATGGACAGCAAAAATAAAAAAAAAAAAAAAAAAAAAAAACTTCATGCAAATAAATGGACAATTTTACCTGAACAGACAAATAAAATTACCAAACGTGTGAACGTTTTAACATGTAAAACTTTAGCTAGCTAGACCAAGCTATTTTATTTTATTTTATTATTTTTTTATTATTTTTTTATTATTATTATTTTTTTTTCTTGTCCTTTTTTCACATTTATCTTTTCACATGTAACTCTTCCCAATGACTTGCTAATTTGTCGACTATATGTTTCCAAAAATTCCCTGCGACGCAATAGGCGATTTACAGTTAGGGCAAGTGGCACTCCTAACGAGCCATAAATCGATGCACGATTTGTGAAACGTGTGACTGCAGAGTTGCAATGTTCGCACACATTCGTCCACTTGAAAATCGTTTAGGCATATGGAACATTTGGATTCACTTGCAACATTCTTTATATAATAGTATGGTAAGCTTTCAATTTGTTTTAAACGAAGCCCTTTTCGGTAAATGAATATACCATAGTCTCGTATCATATCGATGTTGTCACTCCACCTAGTGAAAATGTCGTTGGCTTGCATATTGATTAGCGTTCGCTCATAAATTCTTGATTGGTATTCCAGATATAAGGACAATAAAATAAAAAATAAATATAATAAAATCCAAACATAACAAAGTGCAATCCACAGAACAATAAACCATGGGTGATTATTTCTTGGTAGACATTTTGGAGTATATTTGATAATTTGATAAATCCATATTGTCCCTACTATATTCCATATGAGAAAAAATGGAAACAACACACACAAAACTAGAATGTTTATATAATATGGGGGACTATTTCGTCTGTATATTATAAACTCATCACTATCATTGCTTAAATATTGAGCTAAAAAATGAGACAGTCTGTATAACACTATGGATATAAACGACACAACTAACCATACATGAATTGGTTTGTAACACTTGATAAAATTATTCCACTGTAAAAATATGTCTCCAATCGAGTAGCATAAGGATAGGATTAAAATTAAGTCATTGTAGCTCATTCGTATTCGCGTCCTTTCTCTGGCATCCTCCATTTTTTTTTTTTTTTTTTCCTTTTGTATGTTGCGGTTTCTTGGTATGAGATACTCCTTATTCCACAGTTTTGCGTCTCCCGTTGTGCTTCGTCTTATTTCACTTTTTTTACACAGGAATGTCAATAATGTGTTGTTATGGGACGCACCCTTGGGAGAACGCTCATTTCAGTGTGAAACTTTCAAAAAAAAAAAAAAAAAAAAATATTCTCCCCCCCGTGTATTTACATTTGTACCATTGACAAAAAGGAGAAATTGAGGAAAGGTGCACTAATAGAGAAGCTACATACATATGTGCATATACATATATGTACATATATATATATATATATATATATATACATACACACGATGATGCTTCTTTTCTTATTTTAGCATATAAGGCGCCTAAAGGGGGTAACTAGCATAAAAAAAAAAAAAAAAAAATATCATTTTCCTAATGTCCCCAAGGAAGTACTTAACCCATACACAAATTTTGTGTATTGTTCATTTCTAAAATTGATATCACTGGGTGGATGCATAGGAAGGTAATTATATATGCGGAGGTTTGTGTACGTGTTGTTTTGGATCTAGCATAAATGATGAGAAAAAATGGGCACCCTGCTTTTAGCCAAGGAGTCTATGTGTTATATGTACCTAAACAAGCATGTATATATATGCATGCAAATATACATGCAAATATACATGCGATTATACATGTGAATATACATGCGAATATACAAACGAATGTACAAATGTGCATGCCATGAGTTAAGATCGACTTTTTGTTGTTCAATAAAATTAAACATAGTATACGATGGAGAGGGGAAAGTAACCTCACTATTTTGTGTGACCTATCTTTTTTTCTTTTTTCTTTGTTCATCGCTTACCTTTTTTTCTTCTTATTTCCATCATAATATTCTTCTGTAGATTTTCAATTTTTTAACTAAATGTAGGAAAGGGCCATTGTATGTTGATACATTACATATTCTTGTGTGTGTGCTTTTTTTTTTTTTTTTTTTTTTTTTTTTTTTGAACCGTTCATATTTTTTTTTTTTTTTTTCTCCACAAGTTTTTTGCATATCCCTCTGCGGGATGTATAAAAAAAAGGATGTAACATGATGAAAAAAAAAAAATAAATAAATAAATAAAATAGAACAAAACAGAACAAAAAAAATAAAAAAATGAGAGAGGAGAAAAGTAGATATGATGATAGGTCAATGAATTAATACAATGGACAGGTCAACAAGTCAGTACATTCACACCCCTAACAACGAACTACACATGTGTATGTGATGTGTAACGTAATAGAGAAAACAAGCCTCACTTAAAAATGCACGCCACTAGGGCACCTTAAGATTTTATAAGCTAAACAGTGTCCTTTTTTTTTTTTTTTTTTTTTTTTTTAACAAATGAATTGTGCTCCTCCTGCTGGTAAAGCTAGCTTGGGTTATACCTTTGAGTGTTCAAAGAATTAAGACAAAGGAATAAATACACAAAGAAAGGAATAATGAAAGAATTAGTGAATGCAATAAGTTAGGAAAAATTAAACTATTATTTTGTGAGATACAAACACGTTTTAATGCCAATTTTTTTTTTTTTTTTTTTCCCCAACAATTAGGGGTAAAATGTCGACTACTTGGGCAATAGTAGAGTTGCAAAAAAAAAAAAAAAAAACACAAAAAAGAAGAAACAGGAAACGGAAAGAAAAAACAAAGAAACAAAAAGCGAAAAGGAAAAAACAAAAAACAAAAAAATTTTATAATGATAAACAGAAAAAATGCTGTACAATGTTAAAGTAATAAAGACGTAAAGTTAACCGCTGTGTATATATCCATGTATACACAACGCATATATTCATTCATCCGCTTTGTGGTTATACCAACTGAAGGATACAAATATGCAATGCATGATGGGTAGTCTCGGCAAAAAGGTCTTATTTTTTTTTTTTTTTTTTTTATTCCCTTATTGTTTTCATAATTTAAAAAATTTGTGTGCATTTTCAATATTTTTCCTCATTTCAATGAAGCACACCTAGGGAAATCCTCACTAAAAACTACACAAGCTTTTTCTAACGCCTCTTGAAATTCTTTCGCCTTTTATTTTTTGATTTACTAATTCTTTTTTTCGTTTTGAAGCGTATATTATTCTTGTGTCTTTTGGCGTTTCGGTTAGACTTGCCATTGATAGTTTTGTCTGTGTGATTGTTGTCCATTTTTTCCTTTCCTCTCCTATTCATTTGTTCCTTCCCACTTACGTTTGATTCTCCTTGCTTGCGTGTCGAACGATCTGCATTATATTTTTTTGTACGCCCTCGATGGCTTGCACTAACCTCGTCCGACTTGGAATGCTTTAAGAAGAAATCCTGTACATTCAATGTGTTTAACTTTTTTTCCTTTTTCAGCTGATCAATTTTTTGTATATTTTTTTTTCTTTCTATAGCTTCCATTTGATTAATAACTTTTGAAGAACCACTTTTTTTATTAAATTTTTTATTTAATCTTTTTATTTTATTTTTTTCCCTTTCTTCAACTCGTTCATGATCCTTGAGAAGTTTCTGCCTCACCCTTTCCATGTGTATATCACTTTTTATCATATCAGCTAAAAAGTCATATGGTCTATTAAAGGCAATATGTAAATTTTGTAGTTTTTTTAGTCCTTCAACTACATTTACATGAGCGAATTTTAAAAATTCGTTTTCTCTTTCTTCACAATTACCAAATAATTTCATTTTTTTTAAGTAAAAATTATCTGAACAAGTCAGGTCCAATTTCTCCAGCCATTCGTTGTTGTTTCCTCCACTCTTGTCTATTTTTATCATTATCTCCTTTCGTTTTTTCATCAGGAGCGCTTTGTTTTGAATGTCCTTTTCCTTCGCACGGAGAGGGTCCTCGTCTTCTCCCTCTTCTTCTTCCTCATCTTCTTCCTCTGTAAAATGTAACCTTCCAGAGGTTCCATTTTTTATATTTCGCCCTTTCTTGCGAGCTTCTTGTATTCTCACAGCTTTGGGCACCTTTTCTACTTTCACCTTCTTTCCATTTTTCTCCACTCTTACATTTTTAACTGTTCTCAAAGCATCCAATCCTTTCAACTTTTTTAAAATTTTATTGATTTTACTATCTTTGATGGAACTACTTGCCTTATTCAGCTGAGCTGAGTCTGATTTTTTTTCTTTTTTTTTCTTTTTCTTACCATCTTCTCTGTTTATCTCTTTTCGGATTTTTTTAATTTTCCCCAAGCCGTCTACGTCAACTGGTAGTATCTTCATTTTTTTTTTTTTTTTTTTTTTCTTTCAAAATTAAAGACTATGCTTGTTCGCGATGAAAAAATAGAGAAATAATCAAGTCACCCTATTGAATTGCATGTGTGTGTGACAAAATGGAGGAAATGTAGAAAAAAAAAAGAATAAAACAGGTCAAGAAGAAAATGCGCAAAGCACAAAAGAATGAACATACACCCCTCCTTGTTACTTGGGGTACCCTACATATATAAATGCAGAAATCGTGACAGAAGAAACTATATGCTGATCATCTGTCACATATCTTAGAATATTTTCCCCCACCCTATTGCCAAATTGTAAATAGGGTTAGAGCAAAATGGGGTAAAAATATAGAAAACTATGGAAATCCATCTGAATTCGACAAACTTATTTTATACAATAGAAAAAAAAAAAAAAAAAAAAAAAAAAAAAAGCGATACAATAATAAAACAATTTTTTTAAAATTTAAAAATTATTCTGGGAGAAAACTACGTGCCAGCATGTATAAACATGTGCTACAAGCATGTTCTTGGATTTTATTGGATGTTATTGGAAGTCATTGGATGTTATTGGAAGTCATTGGATGTTATTGGAAGTCATTGGATGTTATTGGAAGTCATTGGATGTTATTGGAAGTCATTGGATGTTATTGGAAGTCATTGGATGTTATTGGATGTTATTGAATGTTATAAATATTATATACTATGTACATGTATCCTTCTCCGCACTAGAGCTATGCCAACTTTTCTTTTTTTTTTTTTTCTCTCATTTTTTTCCTTTCATTTTTTTCTCTCATTTTTTTCCTTTCATTTTTTTCTCTCATTTTTTTCCTTTCATTTTTTTCTCTCATTTTTTTCCTCTCATTTTTTTCTCTCATTTTTTTCCTCTCATTTTTTTCCTCTCATTTTTTTCTCTCATTTTTTTCCTCTCATTTTTTTTCTCGTACCCCTTATGCATTGCCCGGCAGGAGTATTGTAATTGCCATTATTTCCTCTTCAACGGAACGGTAAATGTTGGAGCTAGAAAAAATCGTAAAAAAAAAAAAAAAAAAAGAAAAAAGTGTTATGTGAATTGTATATTTATACATATGTAAATATAGAAATGTTCATATACATTTGTCCACTTGCTATATACATATATATGAAACGTACATGCATGAATCAGTGCCATGGTTCCACTCCCATGTCAGATCCTTTGGAAAAATAACGGCTCACATAAATGGCTCCTACGAGCATATAACAGTATTAAGCCTGAGAACCTGGAAATTTTTTAAACTAAATTTTTTTTTTTTTTTTTTTTTTTTTTTTTTCTGTTGTTTTTTCTGTTTAAATCTGAGTCCCCATTACAGCGCCAGTGTGAGGGAGAATTTTAATTTTTTTTTTTTATTTTTTTTTTTTAATGATACCTCGTCATCACATGGGATATTTTTCTCCAAACAGTTGGAAAAGAAGAATGCGTATTGCAAAAAATATATCTACGAATAAAATCCATATATTTTTTTAACCACGTCATATATGAAACATATAAAATATAAAATGACTAAATAAAAATCTTGCATACGTCAGAAAATTTTGTTTAATTTTAGCTCAGAGTGAGGAAAAAAATAGAAAAAGGTTTTTATCATTACTTTAGTGACATCGAAACTGCTCTTCTCCCCCTTTAAGTGTAACTCTTTTTTGAAGGACTAACAGTAACCGAAGTAAAAATTTGCAAACGTGCAGAGTATACCTTGTGTGGTAAGGAGAAAATTCAAGTAGATATAAAGGGACCACCACATCACACCACACCGCATCACCATTGCTGATATATACAATCCCATTATTTAAGTTAAGAAAAATGGAGGATGGTGAAAATAAGGAAGAAATTATCGAAGGGTTAGAGAACAGAAAAGCAAAAACGCGAAAAGGAAATATAATTTTAAAAAAACGAATAGAAGGAGAATTACATGAAGGGTCTAAAAATTGTCTATTCATAAGTAGCAACAAAAGAACAGAAGAGCTAAGAAATTTTATGCAAGATTTATATAACATACAGAAACCTTTGACATGTTATATGCCAAAGTTACATACAAATTTAGCAGATATTTTAACAAAATTAAATGATCTTGTTGATATATGTATACATAATAGTTGTTCTTTTTTTTTTTCCATTTTTTCAACAAAAAAAAAACCATCCAGATTTCTACTTGGCAGACTATACAATAACAATTTGTTTGATTATTACGTCTTCTCATTACTTTCTTACATTCCCATTAGTTTATTTTCAAATTCCAGAAATATTTTATGTGATACAAAACCAATCGTCCTGATTCAGGGTACATATTTTGATCAAAATGAAATTACAAGAAATTTAAAAAATGTCTTATTCGATTTTTTTAAACACAGGAATGTCGATTCTGTCAGTACTGCTGGTGTGCACCGGTTAATTGTAATCAGTGCATGCGAGGCAACTGCTGCCCCCAAAGTCAGTGCAAAGGAAGTGAATGAATCAGAAGTTGGTACAGACCAAGTGAACAAGCCAAAAGTTGATCAGGCTAACCGCACCGTGGACGGACAAACACCACACATCATGTTCTTTCGACAGTATCTTCTCAAGAAAGAAATTTTTCTGTTATCAACAGAAGGTGATTTATCTCCTCTCGAAGAAATCGGACCCCGTTTCGAATTCGTGCTTGAGAATTGCCAAGTAGCAGATTATCATTTATTTCAAGAAGCAACAAAAAATGTACATGTAGAATTATCAAAAAAAAGGAAAAAGAAATTGAAGAAGGTGAAGATAGATGAATTTGGAAATAGTATTAAAAAGGTTTATGTGCAGAAACAGAATTTTGAAAAATTACACACAAGACATACAAAACTTCTCAACCGAGTGAAGAAGGTGCAAGAACGCCGAGTGTGATATATGTGTAAACGGAATTTCTCTCCCCTCTCCCTTATTCCTCCTGTATGCGTGCACATTCCATGCTTATTATTTTGTAGCACCAATACTTTTGTTATGCTTAATATAGAGATAGACGTGTCTATACACCAATTACTGCACAGAAAGTAGATGCAGAAAAAAAAAAAAAAAAAAAAAAATACACACTCGATATAACAAATTGGCCAAAATACATAGCGAAAGCGTTCCTTCTATATGTTGACAAATACATATGTTATCTACCTCTTCCTAAAGTGCTATATTTTTTTTTTCATTTCATCCATCCCCTCACAGTAAGTGGCTATATATACTCTCTGCGCCACATACACTCCTCCTTATTTGTCTTAGTTTTAGCGAATATGCTGAATATATTCACCCGTTGTGCAGCATACTCAGCGGCATTTCTCTCAACTTCAGTTTATTTGCTTCTAGTCTGGTGCAGCAGCGCACGCCCGAGGGCTGGGAGAGAGGAATATGTGAAAGGTTGAAGAACAGAAATTATTAGCTGCTTCGAATTTTTTAGTTTGTCCATTTTTTCCACTTTTAATTTTTTCACTTTTAATTTTTCCACTTTTAATTTTTTCACTTTTAATTTTTTCACTTTTAATTTTTTCACTTTTAATTTTTTCACTTTTAATTTTTCCACTTTTAATTTTTCCATTTCCAATTTTTCCACTTCCAATTTTTCCACTTCCAATTTTTCCACTTCCAATTTTTCCACTTCCAATTTTTCCACTTCCAATTTTTCCACTTCCAATTTTTCCACTTTTAATTTTTCCACTTCCAATTTTTCCACTTCCAATTTTTCCACTTCCAATTTTTCCACTTCCAATTTTTAATTTTTGTTTTTTTTTTCCCCCACGAACCGGGCCATTCGTGTATGACTTTTAAAACATCGTTTGACACTTTAAAGTTATTCAAATAAAAAAAGTACCAAAAAAAAAAAAAAAAAAAAAAAAAGAAGGTAATAAATACAAATTGGGACAACAGAAGAAAAAAAAAAAAAAAAAAATTCGTCCCAAGCGGTGGTGGAAAATCTGGATAGAGTAATGTTGCATGCACAGAATCACATACTTTTACCATAAAGAAAGTGTAAGAAGGAAAAGAATTCTAAAGGATGAAGAAAGATAATACATTTTTCTTAGATGATGCCGTTGACACTGTACCCCCTACTTTTTAAGGTCTTTCTAATCGATAGAACCCTCAGAATTTGCTCCTTGCTCCAGTTTACCATATCTGAATACTTAATGATAAGGATGTTTTGTAGAATTGGCTTTTGCTTAATAATTTCCTTCAATAGATCTTCATCAGCATATGGAATTTCATTCAATGTGAGATTTATTTTGTTTAAAATAATTTTTAAACTGTTGCTTAAAAATTTCTCTCCTCCTTTATTTGCTTCCTTATTAATAAAAGCATCTATATTTTTAATTTTGATAACTTTTTTTTCTTCATTCATTTTTTCATTTCCCTTCATTCTATCAATTAATTTAATTCCTCTTCGTTGCATATTGGATGTGTTAATTTTTTTAATTAACCTTTTTCCAAATTCTAAGTGTTTTTCTCCTGTTAGGTTCTCTTCTCTTGTACGCTGGTGTTCATCTTCATGTTCTGCATTAATGCCGTGGCAATCATTCCTAGTCGGACCTCCTTCTCCCTCCCCACTATAACTGTTACTCGAGAGATCACTCCTGTGGCTATCTCTACGAGCTCTTCTTTCTTGGGTTGGTTTGTTATTCCTCACTAGATGCATCTCCAAGTTCGTCTCCACATTTGAATCCAAGTGCGTCTCCACATTTGAATCCAAGTGCGTCTCCACATTTGAATCCAAGTACGTATCCACATTTGAATCCAAGTACGTATCCACATTTGAATCCAAGTACGTATCCACATTTGAATCCAAGTACGTATCCACATTTGCATCCACGTTCATCTCCACATTTGAATCCACGTTCATCTCCACATTTGCATCCAAGTTCTTCTCCACATTTGCATCCAAGTTCTCCTCCACATTTGAATCCAAGTTCGTCTCCAAGAGTTCCTCTTCATCCTCTTTTGGAATCCATTTTTTACGCGTAGCCCAACGGTATAACGATTGACCATAGCCCATTCTGTCTTCATCTGGAGTACAGCTTCTTGTGCCCTGATTCTTTGAGACATCTATGGAGATGGGATCATTTCTATCGATTGTACATGTTTCAACATTACATTCTGAATTATTTATAACATTCTTCCTATTGTTAGTGAAGGTTTCATGATGGATGTTCCTCTTTCGAGGTGGATTCTTAAATTCGTTATTGCAAATGTTATGAGAATCAGAATTGTGGTTTATTCCATCGATCTCATCGAAAGTATTTTCTCGCGCGATTTCGTTCCTCCACTGCACTTTTCCCCCCTTTGTCTCTGTCTCTTCACAATCTTGAGGATCCATTCTTGCTTTAACAGCAACATTTGCATGCTGCATTGTTTGGATATCATCATAATTTCGATATATGCCTTTTTCAGAATTGAAATTTACATTTACACATTTTGCATATAAACCTGTGGAGGCAGTTCTTCCAATTGGATAATCATTATTGTAATTCTCCTCTCGGTTACTACATTTCAAAATGTTATTCTCATGGATGTTACAATCTCCATAGCTACTATCACCATAGTTAATATCACGATAACTATCACAATCGTAGGACTTATCTCCTCCACTCACAAGCGCATTCCCATTTTTGGCCCCATTTTTGGCCCCATTTTTGGCCCCATTTTTGGCCCCATTTTTGGCCCCATATTTGCTCTTTATTTTTTCTTTACCTATTATGCCCTTATTCGTATGAACATATTGCTCGCCGAGCACGTGTCCATTTGGGTTTCCCATTCTCTTATTAATTGGCATGGAGAGTGAGAATGGATCACTATAATTACAACCATCACTTCCATTTTTATCACTATAATAAGTAGAAAGGTTCATTTGATTTTCTCCATTTAATATGTCACTTTCATTTTCTTCATATGTAAAACTTTTATCTATTTTGTGCATCTGTTGTCGATAATCATCTGATGATACATGTCCACCATTTGCAGCTAATGGATATTTGTTATTCCTCATTAATTCTACATTCTGGTTTGTCCAATTAATATTTCTCTCTGTCTTTTTTCTATCATTCGATGTATAACTACTACTTGTAGCTCGATTTGAAAGTGTATAATTTGCACTTTTCCATTTGCTTGATGATGATATTATCCCACTTGTTGTATCATTCCCTCTAACATTCATTTCATTCTTAACATGATCTTCATAATTATAACTTGGACATCCAAGTTGGTTATTTTCTTCATACATCATATTATTCATTTTTATTTTTTTTTTTCTTCCCTTCTCAAGTTGTTCATTTTGCTCCAAATTGTTCCCCTCTATCCTTTTTCTAATAGGTGCTTGTTTTCCCTCAACCCGTGGCTGACCTCCATACACTTCTTTTCTCATATCACCTCCATTGGGCTCACTCCCATGAGGCATTCCCCAATTGTCTATCCCACGGCCGTGCATTGCATGCCGGCCCATTTCATGCTGGCCCATTCCAAAATGAACAATACCATCTTGGTAATTTCCCTCATAGCTCATTGTAAACTCCTCCTTTGAACGAACATGCTTGTATAATTCCTCTCTATTGTGTACTTGCCGTTCATCTGAAGTATTCAGGTTTATCTCGTCATCACCTTTATTCATGCAAAAATATTGGAACTTATTTTTAATTGTATGAAAATGAATTCTACTAATGTCTTCTTCATTCAGCAAGTTCATTTCGACGTTTAAAATACCAAGAAGGAAAAGAGCATGAATTAGTGAATAATAAATTGTTTTATTTTCATTCAATATTTTAATACATGTTTCTGGGGAAAACCTAACTAATTCCTGCAATTTTTTAATCAAAAGAATTACGTCATACATATTCATGTTATTCAAAATAGCATAACCATGTTCCGTTATCATTCCTTTATCATTTATTATTTCAATTTTTTCCTTCAATTTTTTAGGATTCCATTTGTTTCTTCGTTTCGAATTTCCAATGTCATACTTCTGACCACTACTACCTGCTGCTCCTGCTCCTCCTCCTTGATAAATACCTTGTCCCTTCTTCATATTCCCTTCATCATTTAAAAATACTTTAAAATCTGAATTTCCATTCCATATATGTTGATATATTTTACTCTCCACATCATCTCCCCAATTGTCATCACCTCCTTCCCCAGACACCTCATCATTTGGGGAAACATCCTCCATCAATTCCATACACACTTGTCTATCTTGGAATTTCTTTCTTTTAACATAATATACTACGTCTTCTTCATTCTTAGAGAACCTTAAATACCCATGGCAGCTTTGAATTCCCAAATGTGTTTTCTTCAACCTGAACACGGTGCATATCAATAATATGTATAAGCGCTTATGTGATTTATGTAATATGTGTATCAGACACTGTGGTGAACATTTTATACACTGTGGAAATGGGAATACAATTAAAAAATGGAAAGAAACAGAATGAGTGTAAAAAAAAAAAAAAAAAAAAAAAAAAAAAAAATACACATTCCTGTTCTTATGTGTTAGGAAATGTGTCACGTTTTTTTTTTTTTTTTTTTCTTTTCTTATTCATTTCTTCTGGAGAAGAAGAGGCAACAAAACATGTCCGTTCTGAGAAATGTCTTTTTTGTTTTTTTTTATTTTTCTTTATCCAAACCTGCAGTAGGTAACTTCATACTTGGGCTTAAAATAAATTTTCACTTCTTCTTCTGTTACATCGTATGGTAGATTGGAAACTGAAAATAAAAAAAAAAAAAAAAAAGAAAGAAAAATAATGTAAAAAAAAAAAAAAAAAAAAAAAAAAAACTACTTTCTCTGTCTGTACAGTGGTTTGCATACGCGCGTTACATTTTTCTGATATGCCAAAAATGAAAAAGATGAGTCACTTTGGAGGCGACGGGAACTTGTCGTGAGTTGAAGTGAGTGGAAATGAGTGGACGTTCGTGCAAAAAGCGAGAATGGCGTAACGCTTACCGAAATACAAGTTTGTGTTCAAATCTTCTGTCATTTATATGTTGGGAAATCTAAACTGATTATCTAATTTTCACTCACTAACATGTGTGTGCGTGGGGGAGGAGCAGATAACAAAAAAAAAAAAAAAAAAAAAAAAAAAATATACTACCTCCCCTGTCCAGAGGAATGTATTAAAACATGAGGTTTTCTTTTAGTGGCGTGTTTTTTTATTTCCTAAAGCTGATCCTCATGGTGCATATCTATCCTATATATATCAATATATATATGTATACATATATTTATACATATATTTATACATATATTTATACATATATGTATATACTTGCAGGGGAGTGTAAAAAAATTGTTTCAAAAATTCTCTGAAAATGTCTGAGCGAAAAATTGTTACTATGGCTATATTTCATTTGATATTTTATCTGAGATCTTTTTTTCTTTTTCCTACCCCCACCCTGAGGGCGTCGAAAAATTGTTATAAAGGGCGCATAAAAAAAAAAAAAAAAAGGAGAAAAATGTAAGATATGCAAAATGGAGAAATAAATGTGATGAAAAAAAAAGGGAGTCAAACAAGGAAAAAAAAAAAAAAAAAAAAAAAAAAAAAAAAAAAAAAAAAAAAAAAAAAAAGAAAAAAAAAAACGAAGAAAAAAGGCAGAAAAAACGTAGCATTAAAAGGAAGAAAAAACACAGCATAAAAGGAAAAAAAAACGTGGCTAAAGGTGGCAAAAAAGCAAGGGGAAAAAAATAAAAATTTGCGACGCTAGCTTTGTGCTTACTTACAAGTAAATTCAATGTCCCGGCACTCTTAACTTAATTTCAAAAGAGAACAAAATTGCATAACTTGCATGCAAAACATATTTTGATGCAGTGAATATATTTTTTGCACTCCTCTGTGCTGTTCCCGTTTGGCTTCATCTTCCTTCCTCTTCTTCACACTATTAGAAGTTTTTTACATCGCTAACGAATTTTTTTTTTTTTTTTTTTTTTTTTTTTTTTTATTAAGAAACATTTGAACGTATAAACAGTGTAAGGAAAATATGAGATACGGTCCTCACTGAAGCAACTCACCTCAACAGAACAGAAAGAAATGTCCAAAAAAAAAAAAAAAAAAAAGTGGAATGTGATTCTTTCATTTAAACTAAAACCACCAAATGAACAAACTTGTGCAGAACTGGATACACCAAAAAGTATGGTAATATAGTAGTAGTTGTATGTACTTATATGTGCGAGTAATAAAATGAAAGTAAAAATTATGGAACTACATTTTCAGGTGTATACAGGGCATATAAAAAAAAAAATTATTTTTTGTTATATTTCCAGAGAACGGCCCATAGTGCATAATTTTTTCATGTCTCTTGTATTATAATTTGATGAACAGGTCGCATTGTACAGTTGTAGTAAAAACAATACGAGTGTCTTCACGATTATGTGATTACATGGATGTAATGTTTACCCGGGTTCTGTCTTCTCTTCTTAACCATCATACTGCATTCTCTCACGCCCTGAGGAGAGAGGCTTACTATACACCCCGTGCTGTACACACATTAAGGTCATGTGATGAAAAGAATTAATTGGGAGCATTGTGTATTTTGTTCATATATATATATATATATACACTTGCATTATTTCAAATATGTTACAGAATGGGTAAAAAGAAAGGTAGTTGTTGTATATACAGATAATTAAAGTTTAATTGGTTCTTACGAAAAATTTAACACTCGAAGATGTCTTACATTTTTTTGTATATTACAGAATGCTGATTTTTTTTTTTTTTTTTTTTTTTTTTTTTTTTTCCCTTAGAACTGAGCAGATTAGCATATTTATGGTAAAAAAAAATTTTAGTACAAAATCATGTATACATAAATGTGCAAAAATATAAATTCACACACATAGGTGCATGCAGACACATGTAGACGAGCATGCGTGGGCACGGTGTAACAGCGTAACATGTAAAAGAAGTGGGAAGTAAAATTTGCACTCATCATCATCAGCATGTGAGAATTCATTGAAATTACTTTTCATCTCTTTCATCAGAAAAGAGAAATATATTCGTGGAAATTACTAAAACCAATTTAATTAAGAATGAAATGCATCAATGAGGGTGGAGAGATAAAATGATTAAAATAAAAAAAAAATGCAGAATATAAAAAATGTACACTATAGCGAAATGTAATTCAAGCAAAGGATTTGTCATAGGAAAGGAGATCTCATATAGTTCTTCTACTCACGAGTTATATCAATCTGCTTTTCAGTTTTTCCAGAAGTTCCTTGTTATTACCAAGCATTATGGGTTGTGCACCATGCAGGCTGTACGTAGGAGGTTGGAAAGGAAGGTCGGGTATGTATACATATATATATACATATATATACATACATTTATGTACATATATGTGTGTATGCAAAAGTATGCACGTTTATACGCCTTCGCATGCATACGTCTCGCGCGTTCTCATTTTTTTCCTCCTTACCAATTCCATTTTGGTTGTGTGTCTGTCTCACTTTGGGCACAGTTCATACGTTCACCTTTCCAGTATGTGTCTAAACGCTCCCTCGAGTCACAGCCTTCATCACCATTGTTTAATCCTATGCCATTATATTCTTTCTGTACACGTTCATTTTTGGAAATAATTCTGTAATGATGTGTTAGGAGGAAAAATAAAAGTATCATCTTACTATTGCCACGTGTCATAAAAATGGAAAAACAACAAAATGGAGAAATAGCAAAATGGAGAAATAGCAAAATGGAGAAATAGAAAAATGGAGAAATAGCAAAGTGGAGAAATAGCAAAGTGGAGAAATAGCAAAGTGGAGAAATAGCAAAGTGGAGAAATAGCAAAGTGGAGAAATAGCAAAGTGGAGAAATAGCAAAGTGAAGAAATAGCAAAGTGAAGAAATAGCAAAGTGAAGAAATAGCAAAGTGAAGAAATAGCAAAGTGAAGAAATAGCAAAATGGAGAAATAGCAAAGTGGAAAAAAAAAAAAAAAAAAAAAAAAAAAAAGATTAGCGAAAATTCTTCAACCCCAGGGTGACAGGTCATAAAACTGGAGAAAGTATTTACAATGTTGTGGACAATCATGTTTATTGGTTTGTTTGTTTCTTTCTCTATTTTATTTTTTTGCATTTTTCATTCTTGTTTACTTGGACGCTTTCTCAAGTGCTTCTCTAGCTATACACTGAGCAACTGTATTTTCCAACTTGTACATTTTACTCATTCTGGATGATACACTTCTGCAAATTTCCCATATCGGAGGTAAGGAAAGAGCGTCAAAAAAAAAAAAAAAAAAAAAAAAAATACATCAGTATGATAATTGTGTAAATAAAGATCCAAGGAATTCAAATATTCACAAAACTTATTAGAGCTTTTCCAAACGAGTTATGTAATATATATATTTTCGTCAAATCAAATGTGTAACACATTGTTACGTTTTTTCATTGTTTAATATTTTCACTATTTTGCATTCTAAATCTTTGTAGAAATTCTCTTAAATCTGATAGCATATATCAAGTCATCTACACACGATTTTATTCAATCGTTCGCTAACCATTCAATGAATATGTAAAAACCAACATGGGTGTTAATTTTTTGTGTGTCTATGGAGCACTTTTTTTTTTTTTTTTTGTCTTCTCCTTGGAGAATAATATAATCGATAACAAAGTTTTTATTACTTTTCAATTTTGACATAAACAATGTAAAACAAAATTTTTTACGATGTTGTTTATCAAATCGTTCACCAGTATACCTTGTTCTGATATTTCTTAAATGTTTTCACATCCCACTTGTTCTGTTTTGTCATTTTTTACATAAAATTTCAAGTCTTTTTTTTTTTTTTTTTTCATTGCAACATTTTTTTTTTTTTTTTTTTTTTTTAAATTACCTATTTGGTGGATCTTCTATCTGTTCCAAGCAATTTTCATTGTGTTCTTTCTTTTTTTCTGAATTTAAGATATTTCCTCCTTCCTCCAATGATTGATCTTCCTTATCATCCGTGTTATTTATTGTTTTAACATCTATTTCCTTTTGATCTTTCATTATTTACCATTAAGAAGTTTATATGTGGATGAGGTATTCGTCTAGCGTGCTTGTTTTTTACACATGGGATGAAATGAAATCTTTTTCGCTTTGGTTTTTTTTCCCTTTTATAAATTTTGAAAGAATATAATTTTCCGGTTGTGCATGACAATGTCGTGTGTGTATGTGTATGAAAACACAACTTTTGATCATTGCATGTTGTTTTCTTCAATTTACTCTTTTGTCTTTGTTTTTGTCATTTTTTTTTTGCCTTTTTTGTTTTGCCTTTTTTTTTTTTTGCCTTTTTTGTTTTGCCTTTTTTTTTTTTCCTTTTTTTTTTTTCCTTTTTTTTTTTTTCCTTTTTTTTTTTTCCTTTTTTTTTTTCCTTTTTTTTTTTTTCCCTTTTTTTTTTTTCCTTTTTTTTTTTTTTTTTTTTTTTTTTTTTTTTTTTTTTTTTTTTTTTTTTTTTTTTGCCTTTTTTGTTTTGCCTTTTTTTTTTTGCCTTTTTTGTTTTGCCTTTTTTGTTTTTGCCTTTTTTGTTTTGCCTTTTTTTTTTGCCTTTTTTTTTTTTGCCTTTTTTTTTTTTTCCTTTTTTTTTTTTTCCTTTTTTTTTTTTTTTTTTTTTTTTTTTTTTTTTTTTTTTTTTTTTTTTTTTTTTTTTTTTTTTTTTTTTTTTTTTTTTTTTTTTTTTTTTTTTTTTTTTTTTTTTTTTTTTTTTTTTTTTTTTTTTTTTTTTTTTTTTTTTTTTTTTTTTTTTTTTTTTTTTTTTTTTTTTTTTTTTTTTTTTTTTTTTTCTCTTTTTTTTTTTTTTTTTTTTTCTATACCTTTTAATGCTGAATGGTGAAAATGTGCGTGAAGAAAATTGTAACAATTTTCCATATAAACGTCATCACGTTTCTTTCTCTACCACACACACCACAGAAGTAAATAAACGAATAGTGTTCATTTAAAAATAGAAAAATTACAAAGTGAACAATCGAATAGGATAAATAAAAACATACCTTATCTTTCAAATCCCCTTCTCCATGAATTATTATCTCGTGCAAGTAATTCCCGTTTCTTTTTTTCTTTTTTTTTTTTTTTTTTGTAACGAATATGCATTATTTGTACTTTTTCACCACGTAAAAAATATATATACATGTTAAGCGGTAACAAGAGGAAAAATAAATGGAAAAAAAAAAAAAAAAAAAAAAAAAAAGACTTTTTCCTTATATTTATGAGAGTAACAATAATTTTCCTACTCTTTTTTTTTTTTTTAAGACAGTCTTTTACTGTGTCAAGGAAAGCATTATATTTACTCATAAAAAAAGTAACATCTTCCTTTAATCATCAACGCATGTATGCGTGTGTGCATATGTGTGTGAAGCCCTTTGTTCTGCAGAAAGATAAAAAATAACAAACGAACGTACACACGAACGTACACACACGCACATACAGAACGTTTACACTTAAGTGTGTATGTAACTGTAAGGTAGACTTACCAATCTACTTGTTTTTGCATTTTCTCCCAAGGCATGTATAAGGGGAGGGGGGGAATGTACCTTTCCACTCCAAAGGAACAAAAGTTAAGCAGTTTCTAACGCCAAGTTAAATTTGAAAAGATGACATTGTCGTTGTACGGAAATTTTAGTGTAACCAGAAAACGGTTTAAACGAGAATGTGCAAATTACAACTAAGCATTAATAATTATGAATAAAAAGGGTTCAGTTATATATTTATGAAATAATTTATGTGTACATTTATTCTTTCGGTTACCATGAATATTAAAGATATCACACGTTTCGGCACATAAGCAATCGAGACTAATTTGGTTTCTTCTTTTTTTTTTTTTTTTTTTTTTTTCTATTTCCTTTCTTAACTCGTTTTATAATTCCAGTTCACCTTAACATGTACATGTACATATATATATATATATATATATATATATATATATATGTGTATATATTTTTAAGAGACAGTAAATAAAAATGTTAGCAAAGTTTTCACTAGAAAAGATCAATAGAAGTCGTTTGCTTAAGGTAAAAAAAAAAAAAAAAAAAAAAAAAAAAAAAAAAAGAAGAGCTAATAGAGCTATACATATTTTTTAATAACTATAGTTAATAATTTTTTCATACCCTTAATTTTTTTTTTTTCTTTTTTCTGAAGTTTAAAGAATCATATTACACATTCGCACAGATCTACAATTGGCTAGCTCCTTCATCTACATTTTTGTAAAATAGGGTATAAAGGGAAAAACAAATATATATATATATATATATATATAATATAATAGAGTACAATAAATAAAAAATGAATGACTTTAAAATTTCTCCCTCTTATAACTATGTTGTGTTAAATTTATTTAACTTTGTTATGTGGATTTTTCGTGGAATTTTTTTTTTTTTTTCACCATTTGTTGATATTTTTCCCACCATTTTGATTTATTTTTGAACGCCTTTTTTTTTTTTTTTTTTTTTTTTTTTTATTAAGAACCCACACCTCAAATGAACACACCATTAAATGCAATGCCTTCTACATTAAGCACATACAAGTGAAATTGCAAAAAAAAAAAAAAAAAAAAAAAAAAAGGATCTTTGTGTTATTAATAAGTGACACACAACATTTTACACCAAAATGAGGATTCTATCATATCTTTGAAAAAAAAAATAAATAAACACCGTGATATGTTTAGTTCAGGAGTTAGCAGGTTAATAGTTTATACAATGTTCAGTTTCGCCAATTTGTTATTTTTTCCACTTTATTAACTCACTATTTTTTCTACATGCAGATTTATTTACGCACAAAAATTACTTTTCAAAATGTGTAATATTGCTACCGTTTCATTTCTCCCATAAATCAAGGAATGCTCTTTTTTTCGTTTTCTATTTCTTTTTTGAACAACATTAATTAATGTTGCTAAAAAGGTTAGATACGACTTTAAGTTTCATCTACAATTAGTTCCATCGTCTTCTGTGAATTTTAACCGTTCACATTACTTTTCTACCCTTTTTTATCACTTTTGTTATAACCTTTCTCCTGCCTTACATTTAGTAAACCACAAATTACTCATTCGTTGGGATTCATTACCATGGGGATTCGAAGCAAAAGTATGGAGACTTTGTTATACATTCATTAGGCTTATTTTTGTGTGTGAGTGTTTATTCTACCGCTTTGCTTTACCTTCATATTATTTTTTTTTACCATTTTTACTATCTTCTTTGTTTTCAATATTTTCACCATTTTTAGCATCTTCATTTTTTTTTGTTTTATTTTTATATTAATATTTTTTATTGTGCACGACTATTACCCTCCATTTTGACCTTGCACATGTTCATATAAAAACGCACATCTCCCCTCACACATGACCTGTGGAATTTACTAACCAATGCGCATGAATGAATGCTTAAAGCGGAAAAAATGTAAATGACCGAAAATGCATGTGACCGAAAATGCATGTGACCGAAAATGCATGTGACTGAAAATGCACATGACTTAAAATGTCTATGACTTAAAATGTCTATGACTTAAAATGTATATGACTTAAAATGTATATGGCTAAAAATGCATATGGCTAAAAATGCATATGGCTAAAAATGCATATGGCTAAAAATGCATATGGCTAAAAATGTAAATGATAAAAACACAAGTGCGTAGAAAAGCAAAAAAACGCAAACATCGTCTCATGTTTTTGCACCTTCCTCAGACCATATTAAGGTGATTAAAATCCCCTGCATAATTTTGAGTAAAAATATTTGTTAGTCTTTTTTATGATCTAGAAAATACTTCCTTTTCTTTTTTTTTTTTTTTTTTTTTTTTTTTGTATCCCCTTGTAACTCCACATGTACAAATGTTTTAATTTTAGGAGCGCATTGTTTTACTCTTTGGTGTTTTCCTAACAGCTTTACATTTCCATGCACTGATGAGAAGAAAAAAAGGGGGATAACTGTGCTGCATAAGAAACAAAAAAAGAAAAAAAAAGAAAAGAAAAAAGAAAAAAAGTATTATATATATGTGAATAGTGATAATCTGTTTGCTTATACTTTTTACATATTTACATGTAAAGAGTTCGACATACCTATCTTCATGTTCCTCACAAACTTACATTGTCTATTTTAATTGTAAGTAGAATTGTTGTTACTACTTATGTTCATTAGACAGATATTAGTATGGTATAGGTAAATATCAGTTTTTTTTTTTTTTTTTTTTTTTTCTCATGTGTAACTATATTTTATTTATTTATTTTATTATTATTTTATTTTATTTTTTGTTGTTGTTGCTTTTAAAATTTTTATAATTATTTGATTAGCTTTAATGTACCGCTCCCCCAACCTTTAGACACCTCTGTTTTTGAGTGATCTGAATAATGATATAATCGTATTTGTCAGTGTTCACCTTTTGCCTACCCAGCAATGTGTACACATGTAAACATATATGAATAGTTATTTATTTCATTACTCTCCTATTTCGTTACTCTACTATTTCATTATTCTACTATTTCATTATTCTACTATTTCATTATTCTACTATTTCATTATTCTACTATTTCATTATTCTACTATTTCATTATTTTTTTTTTTTTTCGTTTTCGTTTTCGTGTGTGCGTTTACATGTTCGTACCACCCTAGCCATTTTTTTTTTTTAAGGTAGTTGAAGAAATTGCCTGAACAGTACAGGCAAATCACAAAAAATTAGCTGTATTTTTTTTTTTTTTTTTTTTTTTACCAAAATAATGAAATAAAAATGAAAAACGCTAGCTTAACATCATTATTGTTAAACATTTTTTTTTTTTGGTTGAAACAAATACATTGTAAGCATGTTGAAAACAGGGAATGTAAACAATGGGATTCATGGTCTACTTGTAAGGATGGAATTTCCACAAGAATATGTTTAACAGATAAATCATTAACGGAAAAACAGACATGTACAAAATGTGACAATTGGAGTGCGTGGTCAACTTGTGTAAATGGAAAGAGAAGTAGAAATGTTACTAATTGTCCATTCATTCGGGAAGAACAAGATTGTGACCCCAATGCATCAGAGCAACAAAATGCTAGAAACAATATAACCATTAATTTTGATAATAATAACGAGGCACATGTTGATGAGGAAAAACAAAATGACAATTTCGAAAATGTGATGGAGACAGAAAGTCGCCTGCCCGTTACAGGTGATAACACAGATGTTACATTTATTGAAAAAAGTACACAAAAGGAAGAAAAAAATGATCATACGAAGAACAGTTTTGCACATGTTATGAATAATTTGCATCATAAAAATATAGGAAATCATAACATTACTCTCTCCACAACATCACCATCTGAAGAAATTACTCATGTTGATACCAATCAGGGGTCTCTACAAAGCGATGAAAAAACAGATAATGCAAACCATATGATAGATACAACATTGGAGAAGAAAGATAGTAACAAGGGCGAGGAAGAAAAAGAAGAGAATAAAAGCATCTATGATCTCAATAGCAACCAAGTAGATGAAGCAAAAATAGGATTATCTAGTGAACCAAAGAAATCAAAAAGTTTTCGTGATAATAAATCAGACAAATTTCCCACGTTACCTGGAGAAAGTGTGAAACAAATTAATGCTATCCCAAAACATATTAATAGAAACTATTTATATGAACAGCAAGGAGAAAAATATGAACATGAGGAAAATAAATCACGAAAAAAGCATAATACAGGGGGGGAAAAAACAGGAGGTGCACCCAATTTTAACCAAACCTACATTGCTAGTGGTATGGGTATCATTTTTCTCTTAACTGGAAGTGCTGCTAGTTATGCTATGTATGCTGGAAAATATAATCAACTATCCGAAGAGGAAAAACCTGAAAATTTCGAAGTCATTTTCAATGATGACATAAAGGTTAAAGAAAATAATAAATCTATGTATGAAGATGAGTTCTGGGCAATTGGGTAATTGATGGATGTCACACCTATTCTTTTTGCCACCACGTGTATACATATACATATATATATATATATATATATATATATATACATACTTGTATATACTTAAGAACATTCTAACAATCGCAATAACAAAATTTTGAGGGAAAAAGTGTCACATTTGAAGTACATGCATGGTCTCACTCACATTAATAAATCAAATAAGAACCAAAACCACGAAAATAAAATAACATATATACACACTTCCTATATATCCATTTTGTTTCCATTCAATCAAATGTAAAGACAAAGACACACACACAAGAACATGATTAAAATGGTATTCCAACATAGGGAAGTGCCTAAAAAAAATTTTTTTTTTTTTTTTTTTTCTTCTTCTCTTTTTTTCTATTTTCAAGTTTGTGAGGTATGCTAGTTGTGCGATTATCAAAGTACACCTCCTGGTTTTCCATCAAATGAAAAGGTAAACAATGGTCGTAATCTGTACATTATTTTATTTTGCGTGGGGAAGGAAAATATATATATATATATATAAAAGAAAGAAAAAATGAAAAAAAAAAAAAAAAAAAAAAAAAAAAAACCATCATTGATAAACTTACACCTTCTCCCCCCTCCCCCCCCCCTTATCTCTACATATTCTTGTTTTTTTTTTTTTTTTCTTTTAAAAAAAATTTTTTTTTTTTTTCCGCAAGGCGCTAAGCTCTATAACTGTTAAGACGCACGAACGAGCTTTTTCTTTTTTATCACTTTTCTATTTTTTATCATTTTTTTTTTTTTTTTTGTTAACCAATTTGGGACACTTTTCATTTCCGCCTTCTATCCATTTTGGTATTTATATTTCATCTTAATTTCCAAAGCATGGTTCAAAAAAAACTTTTACTTAGTCTAAATTTTTCCATTTCTTAAAATTTTTTTTTTTTTTCTCACTTAATATGAACATGCACACATTTTTTTTTTTTTAATCTCATGATATGTACACTAATACGTAAGCGTAAAAATTCAGAGTTGAATTACTTCTACTTTAAATCGAAAAAATATATAGGTACCTACCTATATGCATGCAAGTATGTTTGTGTTAATGAATGTATAATCCTGTCCCCTTAAAGAAAAGAAATATAAAAAAAAAATATGTTAACATGTGAACAAAATATCCTGACTTGGGTTAATTAAACTTTTCCACTTACCACAGTGTTTGTGTTTGTATATGTGTGATAGTTATATACCGGAATTCAAATTTAAAATGTCATTGTTGTATTGAGAGGAAATTTTTGACACTTCGTTTGAATACACAAGGGGGCAAAAAGTGTCTACGTCGCATGGTAAGTGTTTATTATTATTATTTTATTTTATTTCTTTGTGGGGGAGGATATATATTGTAATTAAAAATGTCTCTTAATGAGTTTCACATGTGTGCAAATGTTGTTTTTTAAGTGAAATAAAATAGGGGGGAAAAAAAAAAAATAAAATAAAAAAAAGCAAGGAGTGAAATGGAGAAAGATATTTAAGGTAAGCTAGGCTGAGCTGAGTACCAGTACTGGGTAATCGAAAAACGTTAAAACTGAAAATGGTTGTGAAATAAAAAAATAGAAAAAAAAAAAAATACTTCAAATGGTGTTCTATTTTTATTGATGTAGTTTAATAGAATTTTCGTAGATCATTACAGGGGATAAAAATATCACCATGAATCTTCACACAATTGAGAATTTCCTTGAACTTTTGGTAATGCCTTTCCCGTAAAATAATAGTTTGAATGGAATAATGTACCAAAAACTATAGCGGCCTACTCATTTTTGCAAAAAAAAAAAAAAAGAAAAAAAAAATTAGTTGCTTCTTTTGACAAGTTTAAGCTGGAAATTCTTCTCTAATATTGTACATATACATAAAAATATATGAACATGAAAAATGCACATGTACATAATAACAGGTTTATATAACTTCCTATCCTACCTTTAGGAAAAGCCAACTCCACCAAACATATTCAGACATGGGTGATACCATATTAGTGGCAATTTCTGACGACGTGTAATAATCCTCCAGATAGTGTGTTAAATGAATTCTCGTGAAGGATATATTTCTTTTTGTCATCAAGTTGGAAATTTTCATTTCATTTTTCACATAACCTAAATTTTTACTGACACACCGCGAACTACTCACCCTTTTTAACGCTTCTCGGCTGAAGTTTCTCGTTAACATTTTTGCGCGACAGTTGTAAAGTGCTGCACATATATATATATAGGTGGACTATGTAATCACTTGTATTTATTTGCCGTGGCTAGAATTACCTAGCTTTGCACTTGTAAATTTAACAGTAGACTTCAAAAGTGTTATTCAAAGTGAAAATTCATTAATCAGCAAAGCAGTGAACATGTGATGGTTAAATAAAAAAAAACGTAAAAAACGTAAAAAGAGTAAAAAACGTAAAAAAAAATTGGCTAATAAACTTCATCGTACAGTGCTTCCTGCGTATATAATCGCTTGAAACTGAATAGTAACGATTTTTGTTAAAACTGTAGCAAGTAATAAGCGTTCATATGATATTCTACTCATGCTTCCATTCATACATGTTTTTATGTATTTACACATGATTAAATCCCAAAAGGGACTAACAAAACGGAAATTTTGCTACGCGAAAAAGTACCCCCCCACATGTGTATTTTAAAAATTCATTTGTATTACATTTCTCGGGCACATAGCGCATAATTATTAAGTTGGTAAAAAATAAGAAAAAAAAAAATATATGTATGTGCTAAAATAATATGAATATTGCTAAAGTTTACTGTGGCACGTATATATACATAAGGAATTTGGAGAGGCGAACATTTTTGAAGAAAAAAAAAAAATGCACTTAATAATTAGTCACCACCTTTTATTTTTTTTTTTTTTTTTTTTTTTTGAGAATATGTCATATTGGAAACACAGATGATGATAAACATTTAATGTGTTGATATGCACATGCTTAAAAGATGAGCGTTTTTTAGTTTGAACATGGTGAAGGAGTAAAACGATCTTTAGCATTTTTGAAAAAAAGGTTTATGTAAGAAGAATTCATAGCACCATCATCACTCAGTTTTCTCAAAAAGAGAATAAAAATAATAAAACAAAGAAGTAAAAAGATAAAGAAGTAAGAAAAATAAAAAAAAAAATTGCCATTTTAAGAGATTTTTACATGTTTAATAAAATCGTTGAGGAAATATATACCAATGTGTTGTACAAATAGCTGCAGTTCCATTTCCGTGGCTTATACTAAAATAAATCTTACATTTTAAAACAAAGACACAAAATGAAACAGTAACACTGTAAAAAATAGCTTATCATATTCGAAATAAATTTTCTGCTATCATTGTATATCATCCATTTATCAACACCTTTTGTGAAATAAATTTTTCTGTTTCTTTCATTCCTAATTTAGTCATTTTAATTTTGGATATCCATTTGTGTATAAATTGTTATACATCGTAAATGTAAAAAAAAAAAAAAAAAAAAAAAAAAAAAACATTTTTGTTGATATATTATTTCCTGTCCTTTTAGCATAAATAGCAAAAATGGGGAGAAAATATATTCCTTTAAAGAATCTATACTAATTGCATGTGTTTTGTAAAGACACACACCTTTGAAAAGGAAAAAGTTGTAATTACGACATTATCTGTTGTGGAGTGTGTAGAAATGTGATTTAGAACTTATAACCGATGTCATTATATATATTCTTGTACATGAACATGGACAGATGATTTTGTTACTTTTTACCTGCACAGGTCAGGTATTTTTTACTATCTCATTATTCTCTAACAAATGGGAAATATGCCAAAAAAAAAGCGGAAAAAAAGTCAACGTTTTTTTTTTTTTTTTTTTTTTTTTTTTTTTTTGTTTTTTCCTTTTGTAATGTGCGTAAAAAAATATAAATAAATACAATTGAGGGATTTCAAAAGAAGGAACGCAGTACATGCCTCTTGTTATGTTCTTACAAAAAAAGGGAAAATAAAATAAAAGGATAAAATAAATGATGCAGCATGGAAAAAGCTTGTGTAAATAAATGGTGAAGAATTAAAAAAAGAAAAAAGAAAAACGTTAAATATTATAATTCGAATAATATTTAAAGAGTTTATTTTCAATTATGCCTTAATTCGCATTAACCATTTTTCGACTTCTTTTTATGTCCAAAACAAGTTCTACGTTGTGCTCCACGGATTTGTGTAAAAACTGTGTAACCATATGCTTTTTTACCTGCACATTTTTACTGCACAATTTTACTTGTCAGAAAAATATATTTGAAATGCACATGGCAAGCGTCAAAATGTTTAAGAATGGCTAGTTTTTTTTTTTTTTTTTTTTTTTTTTTTTTTTCCCATTCCCACATAAAATACACTTTGGGAGGACCAATAATTACGTAACTGTTTTACTTTTTTTTGTCACTTTTTTTCACAAATTGCTTACCCTCAATTTGATTCCCCTTATTTTGTGTATCTTTATTATTGTTATCTGGGATCCCTTCATCTGCATTAGTATATGTACCTTTAATTGAATCTTCCTTTTTCTCATTTCCCCCTAAAAGTAGAGATATACCTTGAATACTCAATTTACCTGCCAAAATGAGAGATACTCCTGCTGCTGCCAACAAACTAGAAGTTGTTTCAATCATTTTATCGTAGAAATTATTTTTCCTTTTATGTATAACAAGTGGATAAGTGTTAAATGGTAACATGTTATAAGATTCAGGAGTAAATTCATAACTTTTTTCCATGTCACATGAATTATAATTACTATGTGTATACGGTGCCGATGAAAAAAGTAGAGGATCCATTTCATAAATTGATTCCTCATTTTTTCCATTACAAAGACAACTCAAAAAACAATTACCCTTTTCTCTGTTATTATATTTGCTAAATGGATTCATCATACTTAAAAAATTGTCATTGTATCCTTCGAAAAGTGGTAATTGTTTTTCATTATTATAAGAATTATTAAAAAAATGTTCTGGTGTAATGGGACCACTTTCTACATATTGAGGGATATATCTAGGAGTTGGAATTTCTGTATATATTTCTCTTCTTGGTCTAAATGGCACTTGTACTTCCTTAGGAACATATTGAAATCTTTTATATTTTCTTTTTACATATTTGTTTACATATTTGTAATTAGGAACATCTACCACCTTGTACACTGGTTTTACTCGAAGTTTCTTTTGTGGAATTTCCACATTTTTATATCTATATCTGTCTTGATATATTGGTCTCTCCACGTCTTTAATTACTGGGTACGTTCGATATTCAACTCTGGGCACATGAACGATTTTCTCTTTATACTCTATTTTTGGTACATTGATTGTCGTTTCTTGAACTATGTTTTTGATTACCGATTTTGCTCCTGTCTTGGGAGAAGGGGAGATGAATGTGCAAATGTGTAATTGTGCTTGTGTTGGGGAACATAATTGAATCGATCTCTCTGCACACTTGGCTATCGTACTTCTAAAACAGCGTAATCCTCCATAGTAGCGCAAGTCAAATCGTGGGCAGTATTCGACAGAAATGTGGGTGCAGGCCCTAGAACATATTTTTTTTCATTTCTGCAAATGCTGTCGCACATTTTTATGGAATATTTTCACAGTCGATATTGGGAAAATTAAAGAGAGGTAAAAATAAATGGTATACGACTGGGCAGTATGTGGACCAGGTTTACAAAAGAAGAAAAAAAAAAAAAAAAAAAAAAAAAAAAAAAAAAAAAAAAAAAAAAAAAAAAAAAATAATTATAATAAGAAAAAAAAAAAAAAAAAAAAAAAAAAAATATAAAAATTAAAATATTTATGAAAATAAAAAAACAAAAAATAAGAGGTAAAAAAAAAAAAAAAAAAAAAAAAAAAAAAAAAAAAAAAAAAAAAAACAAGAAAAAAAGGTGAGTGTTTATTCTTGGAGAGAGGTTGTAAATTCGCACACACGTACATAACAAGAAAAATTATAAAAACTCATATTTGTCTGCAGCGTGAAAAACTTAAAGCAACCAATCTGTGAAATAGAAAAAAAAAAAAAAAAAAAAAAAAAGACGTACCATAAACTGTACAAAATGAGTTGTCCACTTTTTACTGAAAAAAATAATATGAACTCAATAAATTTTTATGTTATATTTTTATTAACGTATTCCCTTTAAAGAAAATAATTCTTATGCTTCCATTTTACTCTTATAGTGACAGGTCCCCCCATTGGCAAAGCACATATAAATATGAAGAACTATGGAGATAGAAAAAGATGAAAAAAAAAGAAAAAAAAAAAAAAACTTGTATGAAGGAGAAATAATTTTTTTGATCAATCTTAAACCAAGCATATGGGGCTTGCGGTAACAATTGTTTGAGTTAAATTGAACTTCTTCGCTTAGTGATGGATATGTTTTGATCATATATTCTGACATGTTTTTTACATTTACATATTTTTGATGTGTTTTGGATAAGTTTAGACAACATCAGACTCATTTACACCAATTCATGGTCCGACAGTTGCATTACTTAATCCCCCTGTTAAGAAAAAAAAAAAAAAAAAATGTCTTTTAGGTACTGGATTTTAAAAAAAGGGGTGTGCTTGTAAGTTTAGATTAAAAATTTCACAAAACTTATTTTTCTACTTTCATGTATATTTGTAAATTAAAACATGTGCATAACTTAATGGACGTTCAATCAAGTGTTAGACTTATGAAGTGTAATTTGCGAGTACAGGAAAAGCCGTAAAAAAAAAAAACAAAATAAAATAAAAAAAGCGTGCGTTGTGTTTGTACTTATATGCTTATATAATTATATTTATATATATTTATATATATTTATATATATTTTTTTTTTTATTTTTCTTTTTTTTGTGTGTGCATGTGTGTGTGCTATTTTTAAAAACAGCTTCCCTGTAAAATTCCCCCCCGTTTTTCTCTCTATTGCCACAAATTTATGAACAAAAAAAAAAAAAAATAATAATAATAAAATATATATATATATATGTACATGTATTTATGCGTATAAATATGTGTAAACCAACGTTGGTACAAACTTTTTTGCATTTTAGCATGACTTGTTCAGAAAAAAAAAAAATTTGGACAGCGCTGGAAATATTTTTTTTTTTTTTTTTTTTTTAATTGCAGCATGTAATTTGTATTGAAAAAAAAAAAAAAATAAAATAATAGTAAAATAATATAAAGTAAAATAGCTATTTTTTTTTTTTTTTTTTTTGTTAATTCTGTGCAAGGTAAAATTTTCTCTACTTCTGCTGCTTCCATTATATCACCAGTGTTGCCAATTGACCTTTCAAGATTATACCTAATTAATATCATGGTAAATTATTCTTGCCAAATGTAATTATGTTTATAGTTTTTCAATTCAACAATCCACTGCACGTGTGTATGTATATGTGGCTGTGGTAGGAGTACGTCGGAAGCAGAGTAAAAATCGTAAATGTGTCAGTCAACCCTGTCGGGAAATAGAATGAACGGTTATGGAATCCATAGAGAAATTTAAAATATATAATCATTTAAATGCCTTATTTTATTTTTATTTTTGCTTCATCTCTTTATGTTTTTTTTTTTTTTTTTTTTTTTTTTTTTTAAAGCTGAATACCTCACATATATAACCCATTTGTCTGCCTACGTATGATTCTAACGTGTGTAGGCAAATGCAAACTAATGCACACGGTCGAAATGGTCTACAGAAAATTATCAACCGTTAATCACAAATGTCTGTATTTAAAAAAAGAAAAAAAAAAAAAAAAGGAGTCAAGAGAAAACCAAAACAAGGCATAACTGGGTATAGCATAACAGAACAAATCACATTACTGCAGACAAGCTTCATTTAAATGATATAAAAAAATGAAACAAATCAGAGCAAAACAGAACGCAGTAATACAACGTACAATAAAACAAATCAAAGAAAAACAAAATGAAGCAAAACAAAGGGAAGCAAAACAAAGGGAAGCAAAACAAAGGGAAGCAAAACAAAGGGAAGCAAAACGAAGGGAAGCAAAACAAAGGGAAGCAAAACAAAGGGAAGCAAAACAAATTGAGTGGATCAAAAAAAATTTCCACTTTGTGTTAAATGAGACAAGTGAATTTTCCCATATTCTCATTCATATACGCTTTATGCAAAAATTTGCACTTATACAATGTAATACTGACTTAAAAAATTAGATATTGATGTATCCAATATTTCATAATATTCAAATATGTTATAAATACAAACAATTAGTGAGTTAGGGGTTACATATATTGTAAAGTAATTTTTCTTTTGGGCGCAAATTCGAATCATTTTACACTTTATTAAATTTGGATACATGGATTTCTCTTCCTCTGAAAAAATATTTTCGAGTCCACGTATGCTGAAGTCTCCTAGGTCCTTAATCAATTTTGTTACCTACATGGGAAAAACAGAGGGTCATATATATTTGTTAGGGGTGAGAAGTGGTAAAGCAGCACATTTTCTCGATGTTTCCAAAGAAAATATACACTTTGCGGTTCGTTTTACTTTTGTAATAATGGCCCGATTAGTAGCTACCAAATTTGTAACGACCCAATTCGTAACGACTCGCTTATGAGGTAGGCTTGGACTGTTGGCAACAGGGTCACCGAGTCAGGCGTATAGCAAACTACCGTTATGGTATTTACCTGCTTCTCGTATTTTGTCGAAAGGACATCGATATACTTCGAATCCATATACTTATAAATATTGTGAAACAAAACTGGAGTAAAACAAATTTCCTTGGTGTTGTGAATAGTAACCAATATGTAATCAGTAAGGTACATTTTAACTAGACTAGAGCTCTTAATTTTATCAATGGTTAGAATAGTACTATTGGGTTTGTAATTTAACTGTTTCGACATGTAATTTTTCAGATAAAAGAAAAAATTTACTGCTCTTAGAGTGTGCAAATATGGACATTTTAAAATATACAAATTGTTATCTTCGGACAACATAATGTACGTATTGTTACAATATACAACATCAACTATTCCAATTTTTGGGTACTCCAATTTTTTGAAAATTATCCTATTTTTTTGTCTTTCCACAGATGGGTCCTTATCGGTGTGCATATCACTCTGAAAATCCAAATTTCTGTCTCGGCTGTTTTCTCTGTTGCTGCCCGAGTTGCTGCCCAGGTTGCTTTCCTCATCATTCGTATTAATGTGCTCATCACTGCTATGAGGACAAACGTGGCAAGAGGGTTCTTCTCCATTTGGATATATCCAGAAATATATTTGTTTATTTTCAAATAAAACACAACCATGATTACACGAAGTACCTGTTAACAATATCTTCGGTTTGGAATTTATTAGCCTTTTTTTAAATTTAATATCATCTGAAATTTTTATGAATATGAAGTAATCTGTTTTCTCCACTATTCGTTCGTTTACGTGCTGATCTGATTTATATATCTTTCCTTTTCTATCATCCTCATTCTTAACTTGATTTGTAGATTTATCTTTATTATCCATATTAGCTGTTTTCATCATTCTGGAGGAACCAAGAGGATTGTGATTGTTGTGTTTTACTACCTTGTCATTCATCCCATGTTCTGCGACGACACTGCTGAAGAGCCTTTTTTTCTTCGTGTCTTCTTCCTCTTTTGAATTATTACAATCATCTTTTTCTTTATTTATTTCTTCCATTGCACTGCAATCGTGAGAGTCGTATATGCATCCAGGTTCTTCCAAATCTAGAACCTCATTGTGTTTACTTTCGTCGAAAATTGTATTTTTTTCAGATGCACGTGTCTCGTTCTTTCCATTTTGTGAATTTTTCCCTTTTTTCAAACTCCTCCATGCCCCTCTCCTTTTTCTCTTCGGATTCAATTTTACCTCATGTGCCTTGTTCTCCATACCCAATGCATCTTCACTAAGACCAAATAATTCTTTAGAATCTCCCAATGCGTAAGAATTAGGTTCCTTTCTGTCAATATGATCATGAACTGATTTGCAATTAACATCCTTAGAGTTTTTCTCTTTCTTTTTCTCTCTCTGAGCTATCTTCTGATTTTCATCACACACATTGGCCTCGTATTTGTTAGTAGCTTCGTATTTGTTAGTAGCTTCGTATTTGTTAGCGTCCTCGAATTTGTTAGCAGCCTCGTATTTGTTAGCGTCCTCGAATTTGTTAGCAGCTTTGCTACTTCCATCTATCCCTGTGTGTAACTTCCCCCCCGCCTTGGTAGATGTACCAGAAACATACGTATAAGAAAGCTGAAATATAGAAGCATACTTCATTTGCACTTTGCAACATCTGAGGTCTCGTTCTGTTAGCTCTGGTAAGCTAACCAATATGGTGCTGATATTTAAATTGTGCTTTATGAAAGACTGAGGGGTAACCATTTTAATTTGTCTGATACTTACTTTTTTGGAATTAACATTTGTATTTAAGCCTACATATAAATTATCTTTACTGTCAATTAAACCAATTCCAAAAAAGTGGATAGGATCAATAGTCTCATGTTCATGTGTAAATCCATTGGGTTGATATTCATCCGTTAATGAATACTGAGGACCATTTGGGTGATCAAAGTAGAGATCCCCTTTATAATTACATGAAACTATTTGTATATCTTTTATTTCATTTTTTGTGGGAATGCGTATGTATTTCCATTCATTGAAATGTTCCAGATGCCATATGTGTCTACTATGTTTATAAACATATAACTTATTATTTGACAAGTATATGAGGATATGCCATCTTGAAAATTTTATTATCTTTATATGATTCCCAATGAATATACCATCATTGAATAGGTACATGTTCATGTGAATTCCTAAGTTTGGTCTAAAATGTCTATGTGTAAATGTGTATGTTTCGTTTGCAAAACGGGCAAAGGCTCCTCCAAAGCAAGCGAAGTTTTTCCGTATGTCATATTTCTCCATGAGCTTCATTAGTTCCTTCTCTTCATACTCTAAGAGTATTTATATAAGGGTCGTTATGATATTAGTCACAAGACCGGGCATAACATGAGGCATAATCAGCCACAAGCACTCTCAAAAGATCTGGTATAAGATCAGTTATTTTGTGTGTGCAATTTTGCAGCAGATCATTAGTTGCCATGTCTCCTAGCACTGTGGTACTCTTGAAATACCACTTCTTTTCTCAAAAAAAAAAATAAAATAAAATAAAAGGAAACGGTACAAACACGATGGAACGAGTATGGAGGGGAAATACACCAAAGAAGAAATATACAGGTGGGGGTGTGCATGTAAGGAAACCTGCAGGAGCACACATGTAACACTAGTTGAAGTGCATGTTTGTACACACACTCTAGACTCACCTGTGATCTTCTTCATACAGTTATCATGGATGTTTGCCACCTTCGATTCTTTTGTATTTACAACCTCTTGTACATTTCTATTTTGTACACCTCGATGATCCCTGCTGTTGCATACAATCATCTTTTTTCCTTTTGATCGTAAAAAAATTGCGTGGTGTATAAAATATGCAGGGATATTCACGGGATGCTTTTTCTTCCTTTTTTTTTTTTTTTTTTCTCTCTCTCCTCTAGTTAGCTGTATGTAGCTTCATTCAGTTCTATCACTCTGATTAGTTCTATTCAGTTCTGTTAAACTTTGTTAACCCGTTTTGAACCTTGTTCCGATAAGTATGATTTTCTTTCAACAACATAGAATACAAGTCATTCTTATGGTCTAGAACAATCATCCCAACGAATTTTTTTTTTGCTTGCTTCCTAGGCTATTCTCTCTCTTTCTCTTTTTGTATGCATGTATGTTTTTTTTTTTTTTTTTTTTTACTTTTTCTGTGTGGTTTTCCACTCTTTCGTGTTGTATCAACTGCTTGTCATCCTTTTAAGCAGTTTAAATTTTGTTGAGAAGGGTTTCCACAAAATAGAACAAACATGAACCAGCATGAACCAGAGTAAACAAAAATGAAACAAAAGGAAAGAAGCAAACTAATCCCAATTTAGTGTTCTTTTTTTTTTTTTTTTTTTTCCTTTTTTTTTCTACGCAGCATATTCTACAATCATCTGAAGCGCTATATCTTCATTTTTTTTTTTTTTTTTTTTTTTTTTTTTTACCTGTCCTCCCAAACATGACTTAAAAATTTTTTGTGTTTACCTGAACATTAATAACATTTGAAAAAAAAAAAAAAAAAAAAAAAAAAAAGAATTTTTCTATTTTTAACGATTACATATTTTAATAGTAGGAAAAATAAAAAAAAAAGTAGTGCCTTCTCTTTTTGAATTTACAGCTTAAGAGTAGTTTGTTCTGCTGATTCGCTCCACCTTATTGTGTAGAGATTTATATTACCCCAACATGTGTTACAGAAAACCACTAACATTAAGTGATGTTCATTATGAACAACCGTTATAAGGTTATTATTCATCCGGTTGCTGTGATCTGTTGTTGCACTTTTTTTTTTTCTCTACACACATCTTTAGATCAACAAATGAAATTTCCGTTCATAACACATACTTTCCTACATGATGAAAGAAACTATTGGAATGTTTCTCTAGATCCGTGCATGCAAAAAGTTCACACCTAGCTGCCACAACTGCACATGCACAAGCAATTATGAAAGCCCCTCCCCCCCAAAAAAAAAATAAAAAACATATGCACGTACATAGACGACACGATTGTATCAGCATGCGTGCCTTTGAAAAATGGATTTATTCAATTGTTGAATGTAATAACTGATATCACCTCTTAGCAACATTTGCTATTTAACCCTTCTTGCAAGTACTCATAGAGAAAAAATTTTGATGCAAAATTACATGGAGGAAAACCAGAATTCCTTTTTTCTTCATTCTTATATGAAATATGCCCTCCAAAGGGTTTACAATAATGTCGGTTATTAGCATGCACTGGCTCTTGCATGCAATTGTAAGTATACATGCATATATATATATATTTATATATATATATATATATATATATTTATATATATTTATATGTACATGTGTGTAATTTTCAGGGTGGCATCTCAAGAAAGAAAAAAAATCAGCCAAGTGGTAGCAACAGTGTGGAAAAAAAAAAAAAAAAATCACATCACATATCATAGCATACCACATAATACCATATTATAAGGAAGTTTACACCCCCTGAAAAATTAATACGCTTAACCCCCATCTTTGTCTTACACAAAATCTCATTGAACACATACCATTTTGAAAATCTTACAACAAAAGTAATCACTATAAAATTCCCACGCCCACTTTGTCTCTTTTATATAGTTACGTGTTATCTGGTTCCATAAACAGTTGACATCTTTGATGCAACACATTTGGTATGTCTACGAAAAAATATAACCCATTCATAATTGGTACAACAGAAAAAAAAATTTAACTCAACTGAAATGAAATTTAGACCTTATATATTGCGAATCAATATAAGACTAATGAATTGTATAAAATAAAATAAGTGTAAATGCTTCTTTTTTATAAAAATGTTATAAAGGATAACCATGATGAAGGGACACCAAAAAAAAAAAAAAAAAAAATGGATAAAGCACTGTATTCACCCCTTCAGCATATATTTTGTAAGCCCCTATACGTTTATGCATAACAAAATTAAACCAAACAATGATAATACAAATAGAGATGAAAAAAAAATGCACAGCAAATAACTTATGCATAACACCCGAAAGAAGATAAACACAACATGGGGATTGCAAAATAGAAGACCATCAACAGTTCACATATTACCCCTTCTCCTAATACACACAAGAATAGAAATGGAAATATAAATACAAACACGAAGAGACACAAACAAGTAACTACGTCCAAAATTGTAATTTTAACGAGAAATTATTGGCATATATCTGTAACAGCGTCAAGTGAAAAAACACAGCCCCCAAAAATGCTTATAGAGATTTACACTGTCAAAATGATCCTTAGACCTTAATAATGATTACACGACAAAAAAACAAAAAAAGTGGAATGCACTTTTGTCAAAAATATATGAGATATGCTTGATATAACTTTTATAAAAGTAAATATGCAACTGTACATATAATGATGATATACTAATCTGCAAATTTGTACCTCTTCATATTTTATCCTAAATTTTTGAAAACATATATCCACTAGAAAAAATATAAGAATAAAATTAATAAAACAACTTCACCATTAAAATGTACTCATACGGTTTAATACTTATCAGACAATCTAAATCGAAATAAAAAAAAAAAAAAAAAAAAAATGTTTAATGTCATTAAGTTTGGAAGCAGAAACCTGGTACAACTAATAAATAAAATATTCACCTGCTAAATAAATATAGAAGAAGAGTATCTTACATTTAAAAAAAAAAAAAAAAAAAAATGTTTAATGTCATTAAGTTTGGAAGCAGAAACCTGGTACAACTAATAAATAAAATATTCACCTGCTAAATAAATATAGAAGAAGAGTATCTTACATTTAAAAAAAAAAAAAAAAAAAAAAAAAAAATTATTAAACCATGATTCATCAGGGAAAAACATTGATAAGCGATAATATACTTCTTCATGAGCACTGCACAAGTGCAATCTCAAAGTTTCTACATTATAAATAAACCCCTATCATATTTCTCACACACACACACACATCACAGATGAGGAACTTAAACAGAAAGCGCCATAGTAAATGTTCTAAAATTAGTGTTCATAAAATCCTTAAAAATATTTCTCCACTTAACTGGGGTCCCAAAAAGTGTAGTTATATCTCAAAAATTTTGATCCTTAACATGGGTCCCTAAAACCCTTAACCTGTAACCATAAAATTTTTGATTCTTAACTTGGATTTCTAGATCGATCAAAAATAAAAACCCTATGAAAAGTAACCCATTGTTCTGCTTTCCTTGCATCCGCACCTAGAACCTAAATCTCTGAAACAAAAATAATTTGGCCATAGTTACATATACACTAGTTAACGCAGGAATGCCAATAAACTTGGTCTGCACAAACGACATTAATCTAACCGACACAATATTTGCTTCTTGCTTTTATAGTGGAACAAAATACATGCAAAGTTTTATGCACGTGTGCATGTAAGCATCTATGCGAATAAACTCCCTCTTGTACACTCTATTTTTGTATAAATCATTTTTTTTTTTTTTTTTTCCACAACTGATGCCTGGACGATTTTTTCTTGATAAAAGAAAAAAAAAAAAAAAAAAAAAAATTAACAATAACAATAACAATAAGAATAACTACGTTACAAATGAAGCAATGATAAGATAAGAAGGGAGTAATTTATTTTATTTCATTTTTATTTTACTCTTTTATGACATATGATTAGCAACAGAGTCCAATCAATTTTTAAAAAACAAGAAATTGTACAAGCCTTAATTGTTGTGCTTCACCAAATTGTTGTGCTTCACCAAATTGTTGTGTTTCACCAAATTGTTGTGTTTCACCAAATTGTTGTGCTTCACCAAATTGTTGTGCTTCACCAAATTGTTGTGTTTCACCAAATTGTTGTGTTTCACCAAATTGTTGTGCTTCACCAAATTGTTGTGCTTCACCAAATTGTTGTGTTTCACCAAATTGTTGTGTATCCATAGCTGTATCTACCAAAGTGCCCTATTTTGAAGTTACACATTTCGCGTAAGAAGGAACTTCAAGTGTCACACCATAATCATTTTTTGATATGTTATGCAAACATATGCAAAATACATAGAAATACAATCCAAAAATACGCACCCCAAAATATATCTAATATATGCTCCCAAGCACATCCAAAAAAGGCCCAAGCGGCTTTGAATGAGATGCTTGAAAGGCGAGGGGCTTGTGCAAAACAAAGGATTGATAAATTAGTCTCCCACTTTTCAGGCCTGGTAAAGGAGAAGAGGAAAAATACTGCGTTTTGTAACTTCAGCAGTAGAAAAACTTTAATTTATGAACATATCCATGATGCTGATTTTTTAATGAGGAAAGGTAATTCCATTAATTCGCTATTTAACTATATATATGTGAATGAAAGAATTCGTGAAATAAATTCTATCCTTGCGAATACAAAAAATGGAAGAGGTACACAGCAGAATTATCCAAACACAGATATAATTGATGACGAAAAAATTGACAAGGTCATTGAAAATTTGTACAGACTATGCGTTAAAGGAAATATTGACACATCTGATGAGCGCATAAGGTACTACATAGATTTTGTTCTGAGTTATGTAAATGAATATATGGGTAACAATGTACCAAGTGCTATCAATAAGGGAATAGAAAAAGATAGGATAGGAAAAAAGTTCATAAGCGTAAAGAGTTATTTACGCTTTTTAGACATTTTAAAAGTTCTGAATATAAAAAATGAATTTAACAGCTTACTCAAATATGTTAGTGAAAATATACACTTTTTCCCCATAGATATTGTTAAAAAAATTGCTTTTAATCACGATTTAAATAGAAATTATTCTTTTTTTTTTAAAAATGTTGTAGATTATATGTACACTTTAATTCAATCTAACATTGAACTGTATTATAAAGAGTTACAAAATATGAATGATTGCATAAATATATACACACATTTCTTTTTTGCAAAAAAATATAATCATGAAAAAAAAACATATGATTATGAAATTAACGAAGATGTTACTTATTTTCATAGCTTGAATTATATTTATATAAACCATATCCTTACGTTTGGAAATTTGATACGTTCTAAGGAAAAAAACACTTATGAAGAAAAAAAATACACCAATAAAATAGAAATGACGGAAAAAAAACAAAATGACCAAAAAGATTTTTCTCAGGGGAACATGTGTAAAGAAAGTACAATATACTCTGATAACATTTCTCCAATCAATAATGATCCAAGAGAAGGTGTGCATAATCGACAGAATAAGGAAAGATATAATAATGTATCACTCGGATGGATAGACCATCTCACAGCGTCATTTAACAATTTGGAAAAAAAGACACAAGAGAATAATTTCACCTTACAAGGAAGAAACGATGAAAAGAGGAAAAAGAGATTAATCAAGGAGACTAATCAAAAAAATATTATAACCTTCACTCCATACATTGCGAAAGAATGTGTATTATGCGTGGAAAACTTTCATTTTAATTATCATATGGTTGATACAATTTATGTATTATTTAACTACTACACACACTTGCTATATAAGAAAAAAAAACAAACAAAAAAAGAATTTTTATTTTTTTTTATACCTGATATAAGAGAAAACATTACTGATATACTTTTAAATTTTATTAATATTCTAAGCAATGAGATAAGGAAAAACAAAATTGTAAAAAATAAAAAAATTATTGACTCCTTAGAAAGAATACTAAAACTGGGTGATGCTTTTGAAATACCTTTCACATTGGAGCCCTTCATCATTTATCACTGTAATGTTTTGTTGGTAAGTAAATTTGATTTATCCTTGTTAGACAACATAAAAATATTATCTCTTTTTCGAGAACTCAATCGTGTACAAGGGACAAAATTGAAAAAGCAGAAAAGCCTCGTTGGTGAGAAAGCTTATATATCACACGAGTGGAATTCTTGTGGTGTGGAAAAAAAAACCTTTATCGATGAAAGAAGTGCAAAGAAAAATGATAAAAATTATGACCAGCTAGCCAAAATGGACAACAACTGTTTGCAAAAGGGAGAAAAAAAAAAAAAAAAAAATCCATCCACGGACCAGTTCCACACAAAGTTAAGCAACACGGATGGAGGCACCCCTGTGTGCAACACGAATAATGACCACTTCATGGGAAACATGATAAAATTAGTTTTCGATAATTTAAAAAAATGTTTGCATAACGCAAAAGGAAACGATGTGTGCATGTTGATGCCTGCAGTTTACGAGTTTCACAAACACATGGATGAAGAAATAAAAAATATATTAACAGTTCAAGTGACTTGTAATAAGGACGATATTAACGAACAGAACCTAGTGAATATATTGCGAGTATTTTGCAAAATAGGGTATAGAAATGAGCTTATTGACAAATTCTTATATAACAGTGTGAAGTTTTTAACGGATGAGAAAATCAACAAAATGAAAGATTTTTCCACCAATGAAGAACATGATCGTAGCAATTGCATTCGAAAGGATCTTATAATAGATGATGTTTTAAAAAATACGCCCTTTTCATGTCCCAAGTTATTTCTTCTCTTTTTTTATTACAAAGGCAAGAGTTGTTTATTTACGTACAAGGATATTTATTATGTAGAAAATTACGTTCAGAATTCCTTTTTTGAAATGAACATCAAAGATTTTATTTACCTATTGCTGATATATCACAGGAATAAGATTGTTTTATTGCCCCAACTACTGCTTAAAATTTTTTCCATTTTTAACAATGGGAAGAAGTACATAAGCGTGGACGATTTACTGTTCGGTTTGTTTTTGCTTTCGAAAAATTATCTCTGTCTCGCGAATTCTTCGAATGGCAAGAAAGGAAACGCATATTACCAAAACAATTTTAGCGTGATTGAAAAAATTAATCTATTTAGGAAAAGTAAGTACTGTCAACCCCATATTGACAATATCATCAGTGTAGTTAACGACATGCTGTTGTATCTTTACGACGATAAGTTGATCAACTGTAAGGCGGACGAAATGAAGAAACTACAACAAGAAGGAAACATAAAGAGCTCAGACCTGTTGGGGAAAGAAACAGATAGACATATTGATAACCATTGCGAAAGGAGTGAAATGTGTGAGAACATGGTTAATAAGGGAATGGATCCCCTTCTTGTAGCCAATGAGTCATGGAATAATCGGAAAGCAAATTTTAATGATCTAAAGTATAATATGATAATGATGAAAATTTTTTATAATTTGTATTACAACCTTTTAAATGTTCAAAAAAAAAAAAAAAAAATAAAAATTCTGAATAGTCATCACGAAAAATTTCTCACATACCTATTTTCATGTTTTAATGATAATTTTTTAAAACATGAAAAAGACATAAATTACATTTCTCCACTACTATACTATTTTAGCTATTTCAATATTTACTCTCCTTTCCATTTTGAAAAACAAATTTCTTACATACTAAAAAACTGTGCATTTGATTATAAACTGTTCAGAAATATATTGCTTAGTCATATTTTTATTAAGAAAAAAATACCCACTGAAATAAAAAATTGTATGAAAGAATATGTCTCAAACAATTATGAAAGATTTCCTCAAAATATCCAAGTGGAAACATTTAAATTTTGCAACCATTTTTTAGTCATAAATGGGGAGAATGAAAATGTAGATCAGGATCAGGCTTTATTTAAGAAAATGCTAAATATTATACTCTCAAATTTGCAAAAAATGAAACCAAAGCATTACCTTGACATATACATAACCATTAGCAATAATTGCGTGAAGATAAAACAGCACTACATTAATCTCTTTAATCACATGAACAGACATGCTTCCCAATACACCGGTGAGCAGTTAATGTTGATACTTTTTTACATGTACAAGACAGGTTATAGCAAGCCAAAAATAAGGAAAAAAATAAGAAATTTAATATTGCATTATCACAAGAAAAGGCAAATTAACCTTAGCACATATATTAAATATGTGCTACCCTTGGATGAATTCGGTATTTATCATCTATTCCCTGTGAAGTTCCAGCAAATTATATACGACAAGGTTGGATGGATAAAGTCTACTATTTTCTTCAACCTATTTCATCACTTTTTTTTTTTTTTTTTTTTTTTCTTTCCATATCTTATTAAGTTGTGTGGGGAAATTGCATGTATGTTCATATTTATTACCGCGTAAAATACTCATTTTTTTTTTTTTTTTTTTTTTTTTTTTTCCATATTATATTATAGCTAACCGAAGATGTGAGAGATTGTGTGCGGGAACCCTTAAATGATAAAGCGGTAAAAAAAAAAAAAAAAAAAAAAATGATTACACGAACAGCACTACACAGTGTGTGCATAGAAGAATAGTTTATCATAACATCAAAATGAAAAGAAAAAAAATATAATAATAATAATGTTAATAACGAATTTAACTAAAAGGGAACTAATTATACCTTTTTACACCCCTTTACTGTTTCCTTTTTATCGATTTGCAGAACAAGGCGCTACAAAATACTGAACTAAGCAATGAGCACGAGGTACGTTTGTTTTGCAAGAACATTCTTAAAAGTTTTTGCGTGTGCTATTGTGCATTTGCACATATAATAAAATGGGAATACTTATACTTGAGCATTTATTATTATTATTAGTAGTAGTAGTAGTAGTATGTATGTATGTATGTATATTTGCAGCATTAAACGCACATTATATGTGGTATGGCCTTGGCTTTGTGTTTATGAACATCTTGTAAAAATGCATGTACCAACTTTCCACTTTTTTTTTTTTTTTTTTTTGTGATTCCGAGTACTAGAGCCATAGCTGTATGTTGCACTTATGCATTCTATAGCCACGCTGAGTATGATATAAAAAAAGTGGAAATGTTGCTTCGAGAAAAGATTTTGTGAAAAAAAAAAAAAAAGGAAAAAAAAAACACTATCCTGTAGTTATATATTTATTTGTGTATTTATAAGCCTAATCATTTGAGAATTTATGAGCTCATTCATTTGCGTATTTATGAACTTATTCATTTGCGTATTTATGAACTTATTCATTTGCGTATTTATAAGCTTATTCATTTGCGTATTTATAAGCTTATTCACTTATTCATTTTCGCTCCTTTCGTTTTTCTTACTCTTACTTTTTTTATTTTTACTAACCCAATTCGATCGTTCGTCAGGAATGTGAAATCGAAACGAAGGAAATGAAAGATAGGGAGAAGAAAAACGCACCAATATATATATTTGAACAAATGGTTAAAAGTTCCTGACTCTCCCTTGCAGCAGTGGAAAATTTGTGCAAGGTATATTTTATATATTTTTTCTCGCCCCTCTCATCATATGAGAGAAAAAATAATAAAAATATATATTTTCCACGATTCATAATAATATACATAAGGAGAGGAGGGTTCGTCAAATTGTTGAATGTTTTTTTTTTTTTTTTTTTTTTTTTTTTTTTTTTTTTTTTTTTTTTTTCTTAAAAATTTTTTTTTTTTTTGTTTTTTTTTTTTTTTTTTTTTTTTTTTTTTTTTTTTTTTTTTTTTTTTTTTTTTTTTTTTTTTTTTTTTTTTTTTTTTTTTTTTTTTTTTCATTTTTTTTTTTTTCTTTTTTTTTTTTTTTTTTTTTTTTTTTTTCCTTTTTTTTTTCTCATTTTTTTTTTTTTTTTTTTTTTTTTTTTTTTTTTTTTTAACGTACGAGTGTACGTTAGGAAAATTGCAATATCTATATCTATAAACTTACATATTTATAAACCTACATATTTGTAAACCTACATATTTGTAAACCTACATATTTGTAAACCTACATATTTGTAAATCTACATATCTACGAACCTATATATCCCGCAATATACATATCCTATAGAACTATGTATTCTCAAATCTATGTACCTTCATATCAGTACATGCATGTACATATCAAGATATTTGTATCTACACCTACATATATATATATGCAAATGCGTAATTACATGATAGAACATTAAATTGGACAAAAGCATTTTCCTCCCGTTAATACGCGACATGGAAACACGACAGTTCAATAGTAGTAGCAGCAGTAGTAGTAGTAGTTATAGCAGTAGTAATAGCAGTAGTAATAGCAGTATCAATAGCAGTAGTAAGAGCAGTAGCAATAGCAGTAGCAGCAGTATTAGTAGAAAATCGATTTGTCAACTTTTCAAGATACCCATATTTTTAAAGTGCATATGAAGCGTTAGGGGAAATAATACAAAAAATGCAACACACTGTGTGTTTGTATATGTATACATAAACACATGTATATAACCACAATGCGAATAAAGCCATTCGTGTGAAGAAGGATCTTTTTTTTTTTTTTTTTTTTTCTCTCGTCATTTCAGGGTTGATGACGAAATTTTTTACTAATCATAGTTATTTCAAATTAGTTGGAAAATTTCAGCAAAATTGGTGACAGACATTTTTTTTTTCTCTTTATTTCTTAACCGAAATTTAAACCAAGGGATTTATTTCTATGACATTAAACATTTATTTTACATTTTAAGATTTTTCTCCGTTAGTCTTGCGTATGGAGTATATTTTTGGAATGTGTGGAATCCATTTTTAGGTGGCATTTTGGGAGACAGTTTTGAGAAGTTTAAAAAAGAAGAAGAAGAAAAAGAAAAAGAAGAAAAAGAAAATTAGCTGTCCATTTTTATGTCTATTTTTATGCCCATTTTTATGCCCATTTTTATGCCCATTTTTATGCCTATTTTTATGCCTATTTTTATGCCCATTTTTATGCCCATTTTTATGCCCATTTTTATGCCTATTTTTATGCCTATTTTTATGCCCATTTTTATGCCCATTTTTATGCCCATTTTTATGCCCATTTTTATGCCTATTTTTATGCCCATTTTTATGCCCATTTTTATGCCCATTTTTATGCCTATTTTTATGCCTATTTTTATGCCTATTTTTATGCCTATTTTTATGCCTATTTTTATGTCTTTTTTTTCTTCCTTTTTTCTTTTTTTCTCTCATTTTTTGGGTGATCCCAAGCATATCATCACTCCAACCTCTGTTACACACGTGAAGAAAACAAAAACAAGATCCCTCAATTTTGTATTCCAAAAAGGGGCGGGATAGGGGGAATACATTTTTTTTTTTTTTTAAAACGAAAAGTGATTACAAAATTAAATTATTTAAGCAAAGGAGAAAAAGGAGAAAGGTACATCAAGAGGAGGTTGTGGTAAAGTGATGTACCAAAAAAAAAAAAAGTGTATTTTCTCAAAAAAAAAAAAAAATCATCCGTGCGTGTTTTTGTGTGTGTGTGAAGATTAAATGATGAACGAAGTGTCCGATGAAGATATTACCTATGAGGATACACAGAATGACGATGTAGATATGTGTGTAGGTGATATAGGAGTTGAAGTTGAGGAAGACGAAGAGGAAGAAAAAATAGATTGGAGTAGTAGCATATATGATAAGAAGATCATTCAAGGAGATGTTGAATTAATAGAATTTAAAGAAAAAAATATTTCATATTATAAGAGATTTTATGCGAATAAAAGTATATATTGCGTCAACTCTTATAAGAAATGGATATATTTTGGAAGTATAAATAATAATTGCTATCTGTACAACAATTTTGACAATGATTTGAAAAATTTTGTAAATGAGGGAATGAGTAGTAATACAAGCAGCATCAACGGAAGTAGTAGTAGTAGTACAGAGATGAGTGGAAATGGACTTAGGAGACGTGATAAGGAAAAAATGAGTTTACAACATTTGAAGCATCAGAAATATACTGATACTGTTACAAATATTAAATTTTCAAAAAGTTACAAATATATTGCTTTATGCATTTATAATGGAGATATATATATTTATGACAATAATAACATGAACCGTTCAGAAATTTTAAGTTATAATATTACAAATTTTAAGCAAAACATTAATAATAGCAACTCATTACTTCATATATATAATTGGAATGTAGGAATTACACAATTTAAGAAAGAAGAAGAATGGATAACAGAAGATATGAATTTTATAAATATTTTATCAATTAACGATGCGAATGACAAGAAAGATATTGAATACTTTATGTTTTGTCCATTCAATGAAGAGATTATATTGAGTATTTATCTAGATTCCCCAAATATATATATTTGGAATATACGACAAAATACACCTATCAGTATTACATACACAACTCATATACCAACTTTTATAAACATTTGCAATTATGAAAATAATTTTTATTTAATTGCTGGTTTTAACAGTGGAGAAACATATGTATACGATTATGATATTTACAATTTGAAAAAACGAAATGTGAATAAAAAAAATGAATCCAGAATTAAATCTGATCATAATGATATGATGATGATATTGAACCATTCCAAGAAGCACAATAATTATCACCATTATGATCACATGGGAGGAGGAGGAGGAGAAGAAGAAGAAGAAAAAGGAGAAATGGAGACTCTAAACAGTGGCTCACCTGATGGACTTTCCATGTATCGCTATTCTGCTTCATTAAATAATTACAGTATTGTTAAGACAACTCCTGAAGTATACAACAGTATTGGTGCTGGTTCTGGTATTGTTGGGGGTACTACCCGATTAGCTAGCCACGGTTCTGGTGTTAGCAGAGTGAACAACGAGTTATGCCCTGTGAAAAATCATCACCATCCTAATGGTCATCATCGTGATTATCATCCCCTTTCGAATCAAGATGATGATAACTATGCAAAAATAATGAACGATGAATTGGACAATAGTAATGATGTGTTATGTATTGACAACAATTTATCTAATGAAATTTATGTATCAACATACAGAAATATAATACAAATACGTAACATCAAGAGTAATAATGTTGTTAGCACATTTCAAAACTTGCATAATGATCTGGTGGATTACTGTCTTTTCAATAATAAACGAAACAACATTTTTGCATCCTCTTCATTGGATAATAGTGTAATTGTGTATGATTATGATTGTAAAAAATATATAAACAAATTTGTTGTAAATTATGATTTTAATAAAGTGGATACAAATAATCAAATGGAGACTGGAATAAATTTTCTTAAATGGATCAATACCAACTTACTTCTTTTTTCAAGTTTAAATGGGAATATATACATTTATGATATTCGATCAAGACAATGTATTCATCAATTTTATAGCCACACCGATACTATTTTCAATGTTCATTTGTCTCTCCATTTGTATGACCAAAAAAACATCCTCTGTATTTTAACAGCTAGTGATGATCGTTCCTCGAACATGCACTTTTTGGACATTTCTTCTTTCATCTAGAGGTTATTGGGGGGAAAAGAAAAAAAAAATAAAATAAAACACCCATGAATCGTGAACCCGATCCAGCTCGTGTGTCGTGCATATATATTTGCAGTGTTTTGAAGGGATACTTGGGAGGAAGTACTACTTGGGAGGAAGTACTACGTGGGAGGAAGTACTACGTGGGAGGAACAGCCATTCGGATGAATTACTTTTGTGAAAGGAAATTTTCTTGTGTCGCAGAGAACCACCATCACCACCCTCGATGTGTGTTGTAGCACTTTCTCGTGTGTGTGTTCAGTTTCCATATGATATGTGTCATTTGTTACTTACCATTTGTTACTTACCATTTGATATTTACCATTTGTTACTTACCATTTGATATTTACCATTTGATATTTACCATTTGATATTTACCATTTGTTACTTACCATTTGATATTTACCATTTGATATTTACCATTTGATATTTACCATTTGTGACACTGATTTTTTGTGTGTGTGTGTCTCATACATTTTCAGTATTTTTTTTCTTATTTCGTTCGTTTCATATCGCTCTTCTCATATCGCACTTCTGATATCGTGTTTTCTCCATTTGTACCTGCCTTAACATAATTTCCACATTTGTGTTTTACTTCCCTCACACATGTACACACACTCGTAACATTCATCTCTTTGCGCCTTCATTCGTCCACGTATACATCCAAATGTTCCCAAATCTCCCCACTCCACTATATGTACGTATATACATATATATATATGTATATATATGCTTATGTATATGTATGTACTGCCATCTCCTATGTGTATGTTGTGCCTATACGTACCATTTTCATGTAAAGACAAATATATATATATATATATATATATATATATATATATATATATATATATATGCGTGTGCAAAACATGGAATCATACACTTATACTTTTGTGCTTGTTTTTAATTATTTATCCTGTGTAATAAAAAATCTGGGCAAGACATATATATATATATACCCGTGCTCAAGCGCCATTATTGCCATGCGTTTTGTTTTTCTCCATTTTTCCATCACTGCATGAACAAATTTTTTTGTTTCTTTTTGTTGAAAAATATAACCAACTTAGAAACTAGGAAGGCAAAGATAAAATCATTCCGAAAAAAAAAAAAAAAAAAAAAAAAAAAAAAGATATAATCAAAAATATGAAGCGCGGGGGCAAAAAAATAAAGAGACGAAATGGAGAAGGAACAAGTAAGGAAAAAAGTCTCTGCTTTGTCTCATGTATACTTGAGAGTGGCACGGCCCACTCATGTAATGCACACGTAGGAGGACTGGGGAATGTGGCGAAAAAAGTTTGCTTTCAAAATATACATAAATATTGTATACGCAGAGATCATGTCTAAGGGCCTTTCACGGTTATTTTTCAAATTTACATAGTAAATATGATCAAATGTATTTTCATCTGTACTATTATTTAATATATTATTACTGGGTCCAATATGAACAAAATTAGAATGTATTGATTTATATTTCTTCTCTATATTGTTACAGTTGTCAAGTATGAGAAATATCCCCTTTGCTTTATTTAATAAATTTAAAAATGGCTTATCTTGCTCTAAGCATTTCTTCTCATAATGGATGCATAAATCACTATCGCTACTATATTTTAACAGAAGTATTTTATTTTCTCTTGCATATTTGTGCAGATCAGCTAGTTGTATGTTTTTATATGGTATGTCTAACACATATCCTCCTGATGCTCTTATAGTGAGTGGGTGGAAAAAATCAATATTATAAATGCTGTTTATGTCTATTTTTTTGGGATTAGTCACATGATTATGGGTAGGAACATTTTTTCCGTTTGTAGTAGTATCCCTTTTATTACTACTAACCTCCTTTTTTTCATCTCTTTTTCCCTCGCTTTTCCCCCACTTTTTCATATGATTCAAATCATTTATATTGAAAATACATTGCCATTTTAACAAGAAACAACTCCTTATGATCGTTCCAATATCACCGTTACATAAAAATTGTAAATCACTCTTGTGCATATGCACGGAGGTTTGTTTGTACCTTCGATTTTGTGTGCATGATAAGCTGACATCCTTATGGGTATGTTGTTCCAGTTCATCTGAATAATCATTCTTGTGTCTAGAACCTACCTCCATGTGACTATCATCAACATTAATATTGTAGAAGCAAAAGGCCAAGTGAGGCAATCCTACATCGTCGTAATGGAATGTATGCGCTACTTCTGCCAAAACTCCATTTTTAAAAGAATATAAAAAGGAAAGTTTTTTTAACAATTTATTAGACAAAAGTATAAAATTATCATAAGAACGAAATTCCTTCAGGTTATCAATACTGTTTGTGTAAATTCGTGTAATATGATTTTTTTCTCTTTCTAAAATAATTTTCTTACTAGTTAGCAATATTTTTTCTTGTTTTTCTCGATATTTCCCATCAGTAGCTAATTTGTATAAATGTATAAAAATGGGGTGATTTTGTGACTTTATTATTTTCACTTTTTTGGAAGAAAAAAAAATTTTAAAAAAATGATCATTTTTTTTCTTTTCATCTAGATTTACTTTATTTTCTTTCTGCCTTTGTAACATGTTATTTACATTTTTCTCGAGTGTGCATTTGATAGAGATGTCTTTTTTTTTTTCTTCAATAGCAACTGAATGGTTAACCTTGCATGATACCATATCATACTGTTTCTTTTCACATAACTGTTCTTTTTTGTACAAATTTCCACTTGTTACAAACTCGCCGCCACTTAATTTTGACTCATTTAACTTCTTCCATAGTGGTTCTTTTCTTACTAGGGATAAAACATTACCATGGTTCATTTCATTTTTACAATTCTCATTTTCATCATGTCTTATTTGTAATTCCTTTTGTTCATTTGGAACTGTATTGCTTCCACTTGTCACAAGTTCAAAATTTTTTTTTCTTTTCTTTCTTATACCACTACTAGTTTTTCTTCCTCTAACTAGGTTGTGTTCATCTATAATTTTATTGTATATTTCGATTGTCACTGCATCATCACCATCATTATCCGTTTTACAGTTTTGCATATTCATTCGATAGTCCAAATGAAAACTCTTTTTCCTACCATGTGCAGTTTCTTTTCCTGTTATTACCCTTTCCCCACCCTTTCCACTGTGCTTTTCCATCACGAGCATGTCTATTGCCACATTTGATCTTCCCTTATGGGATGATGCAATCCTTAGCATTTTCATGTAATTCATCTTTTATTCGTGTTAAGGCGCTTCAATCAAAATGTGAAAATTTAGTTCCTTTTTTTTATTTTTTTTTTTTTTCTTTTTATACGTCATGAAATCATGGGAATCGCAGCGTCATGAAAGATAATGCACGGGGTGTGCTAATGGAAGGGGAAAATATTTATTTAGAAAGAAATTCGGTTAACATATTGTGATTATCAAGTTCATCCTCCTCAGGGTTTTATTTCATTATTTTATTTATTCATTTATTTATTTATTCATTTATTTATTTATTCATTTATTTATTTATTCATTTATTTATTTATTCATTTATTTATTTTTATTTTATTTTTTTTTTTTTGCGGGTGGGAGGATCTTCATCCAATAAGATTTAAGGAGAAATCCCTAAGTTGGTTACACAAATGGGAACAACATAAAAGTTGAAATGAAAAAAAAAAAAAAAAAAAGGACCCATTCTACATAGCTATTTCTGCATGCATATATTTTTATCCATGTTCATGTACTTCCCACCCCACCTGTTCTGTGTTACTTTGGCTTTTTCTTCCCAAACGTACAAAAGAAAATATTTTATGTGCCTCGTGTACTGTTAAGCAGAGGTGTTGTATTCACGATGAGATACACCGACAAGCTAACATATATATTTAAGCTAACTTGCTCACATCAAATGTTCGTGTGAAAGAAATGTATAGAACAACACAAACCCAACTGCAATGCTGTGTGCAGATTATTTGTTTAACACATATAATGGAGATTAAAAAAAAAAAAAAGGAGACCCTCAACAATTATTGCCTAAAAAGAGATGCTTAAAAAGAGATACTTAAAAAATGTTACTCACACAATAAATAGGCAAGGGACAAAGGCGTTATCTCAAACATTGGCGTAATTACTTGCGTCCCATTTAGAAGTTGTGAAAAAAGGAAAAAAAAAAAAAAATGAACAAGAGAGAATTATTTATCAACTTAAATAACAGCAGATCTCCCATTTGCATAAAATAATTAAGGTTTATATCCTTTTTTTTTTTTTTTTTTCGCGATTAACTAACCACTTGGAATTGTTTTCCTTAGATATTATATACAAAGAAAACAAAGGACAGAAAAATTCCTTCACTGTCATAATCTCACTTTTTGTTAAAATAGAAAAAGGAAGTAACGAGGGACGTATAAACGCAGCTTTTTTAATAGCTACGCATATATATATATATATTTGCAGCATTTGGGGAAACAAATTTTAATTTAAAAAAAAAAAAAAAAAAAAAAAAAAAGGTATGCACACATGTACACAAGAACAAAATGAATATAAATACACAAACATGAGAAATTTTCAAAATGGAGAATTATATTCCCCCAAACAAGATAAAAATTTGAAAAATCGCCTGAACGGGTCATAAAATGGGGTAGAGATACATATAAAAAAAAAAAAAAAAAAAAAAATTGCGGATTGACATGGGGGTTCGGGAGGACACATTTGCACAAAAATTGCAACGCAGCGTTGGTTCAGAAAGCACTTAAAAAGGGTCCACATAACAAAAAATTTAAAAGTGGTAGAACAGCCAAGTGGTAGAGGCACAATATGGTAAAAGTACAATATAGGTACAAGCACAATACAGTACAAGCACAATATAGTACAAGCACAATGTGACCCCTGAACGTGGAAGAATCACAAAATGACAAACATGTCGCACAGGATGAAACAAAAGTCTCTGTGTCTCCATCCTAATGCAAGGGGCAGAGACAACGCCTTGAAGGGGAACTAATAACTTTTGTTATACGTTCGTTTGAACTACTTTTGTTTTTTTCCTCGTCTGGATGAGCTCGTGAGATCTTCTTCGATAAGTCCAATGTTCCATTCCCTGCTCTCTTCATGGTTGATTTTTTACGGATAAATGTTTGTTCAGTAGCATTGTTATCTGTTGACATTTTGCAGTACGAAAAAGTTTTCCCCAATTTACAATATCCAGATTTAACTAAAATTAGTATAACAATTATAGCAATGATATATATTAATGCTAATAAGAAAAATGAATAAGCTAACTCATATGCACTATTCCCCACTGCCCGTAATGAAATTAATTGAAATGATTTCTTGGCCTTCCAATGTTTTGCTGGCCACGTATTCTGTGTAAATGTTATTTGATACTGATTCCCTGGTTCGAGGTCTTCAAAAATAACACCATATGGCTTTATAAATGATGATGTCATAGGTGGATGGAACCAACTTTTATAATCTGGAGATATGGTATTAAGCCATACCTTATAATTTGATGAATATTTTTTATGTTTTTTAATATATGAAAACAAATCATAATAATTAAGGATGGGGAATTTATCAATATTGAAAATTTTTTCACCCAAAGATAACCTAATTTTATCATTAAAAATAGAAGCTGAAACTAGTCCACATGGAAATATTTTTTTTTCTTTTTCATCTTTGCTCAGAGAATTAATATCACACGGTTTATTACTACTCAAGTTTGTTATTTTTTTTTTTCCTCCCCCTCCATCAATACTTAAATCATTATTAAGTTCTGGAAGTGTCTGTATATTATTTATACACCTAAATTTGTAAATATCTTCAAATGTTTTTATGTATTTACATTTACAATCGTTCACAAGGGCTTGCGATTCGTCGGAAAGGAAGTTTTTAAAATTACTGTAAAAATTCGTTATTTTGTAGTATACATAAACTGGTTGTTTCATTTTGTGTGTCATTTCAAAAATTTTAAAAGTATCTTCTGAATTATAATCAATATTTACTTCGATTACTTGACTAGATTCATAATAAATGAAAAGACCAATTAATGTAAATGTGATGGCTAGGATTAGCAAAATGACTAGGGCTATTTTCCATTTATATACATAATGAAAATTTTTTATTTTTTTCAATTCTTGTTGTTTAAATGCTTCCATAAATTTGTTATATTTATTTTCATTAAAAATTAATGATTTTTTTTTTCTTAAAAATAAAGTATCACTTTTTTTCTTCTCAAAAACTGATATTTTTACACAACCATTTCTATCTACACAGTCTAATTTATCGTCTTGTTCCGTATTTTTCGTGTGCAATATTCTTTCAAAAGACACTACTTTTTTATTTTTACAAAAATCTTGTTGAATAGGTTCCCTCTCTTTCAATTCCTCATTGTCATTTTTATTGCCCGAATGATCCTCCTGAGCTCGTCCATGTAGGGGTATATTCACGTAACGATTTCTCCTTTTCACCTCCCTCACAACTTTTTCGCATGCGTTGTAGTTGATTGATATAAGGGAAAAATCCTTTTCTTCTTCGGATGCATCCATTTCTCTTCTACGTGTGTGCATGTGGGTTGTTATGTGGACTGCTCATACGTGAAATCTGAAGCGAGGATTGTTCATATGTGAATTGTTATGCGGACTGTTCATACGTGAAATCTGAAGCGAGGATTGTTCTTATGCGCATTGTTCATACGTGAATTGTTGATATGAGGATGATTCTTCTTATGAGTATTGTTCATATGTGAATTGTTATGCGCATTGTTCATATTTGAATTGTTCATATGTGCATGTGAAAAGCTGCCCGTTCGGAACTTTGTTATGCGCACAAAATTGTGAATGACTGGGAAATCATCTGTGTTTAATATATAAAAAAAAAAAAAAAAAAACTCCCAATTTTGTCTGCGTTGTATGAACAAGTCAGGTGAATATGTAAACGAAAAAGCTTGTAAAAAAAAAAAAAAAAAAAAGCTATTTTTTTTGCTTTATTATATATATATATATATATATATATATATATATATATATATATATATATATATTTTACAAGCTTTTTCGTTTACAAATCATAATAATGTATAATTGCTTTGATTGTTGGTCGATATAATAATGTTTTAAGCTGTTCCTCCCTAGAAGCTTTTACTAAAATGAATGCATATACTATACTAATATGTACTATATATACGTATGAGTGTGTACATGTGATGAGAAGCGTATTAGATAAAGTTGAGAGGATTGAAATGAAGTATTGTACATGAGCAGTGGAAAGAGGTTATAAGTACCTTAATTGAGGAAAGAACAAAATTATTCAAACAAAGTCAAACTGCAAAATGGAATTCTGACAATTCAGTGCATTTAAAATTTAAGGAAATAAATAATGTGCATCAAACGGTAAAAATAATATGCATATACAATTTTCTGTTCCATATACTTTTTTGAGGGGGGGAAAAAAAAAAAAAAAAAAAAAAAAAAAATTGCTTGTTCATACAATGTTCGTGTTAATAAGGTATGAAGAAAAAGCATGAATAAAAAAATTTTGTAAGTAAATATTTTGTGCCTATAATTGTTCGATATATTTTGTTCTAGTATGTCGGTTTTCTCCCTTTAGGGGAATAGACATACACATAAGATTTACATTTTTCCTTGTGCTACAATAACATGGTGAATGTTCGCACACATGCAGCTGCTTGTGTGTGCATAGAATGGCTTAACTTCCCATCGTGATGCAGCTCCTGACCCTATTTCTAACACGCTTATTTACTTTTTATATATGCATTCGCAAGGAATTTACATTAAGCTTCATTCAGTTGGATTACATATTAGGGTCACCCGTTTGCACATATTTCTCTCTCTTTATATATATATATATATATATGTATAGGCAAAAAAAAAAAAAAAAAAAAAAGTATGGTCACGTAAGAGGGGGTTAAAATGCACGTCCGTTTTCTACATGCTTCCAGAGCCTCTACACGTTATGCAATTTTTGATAACTTTTTCAGCTCCTTCTACTCTTCTCCCCCGTCCATTCACTGCGTAAGGCAAAAATGTGAATCATCAAAAAATGTATATGAATGTGTAGATGAAAATGTATATACAAAACGTGACAAACTTTTTAAAACACGTGGAAAAAGAAAAAGTAAATAAAATTGGGTGAAGCCGTATAAAGAGCTTAAGGCACCAAACGTAAAACTGTGCAGAATCGAGTAAAATTCAGCAATATTGGGGAAAATTGAATACCCAAAGAGACCGTGAGTGTGTTATTGGCACTATAAATGAATGTAAATGCTTAACCCTTCCCGATTGGGCCGTGGTGTGATATTCGACCGCACGCTCACAGGTAAACATGTGTGCATTTACGTGTGCATTCACATATTTTCACCTTTTCGTGCACATATTTACTCAAGAATGTGAACATGTGCTATTCATTCATGCCTCAAAATCATACTTCCATATGCACCAGTACTTGCTGGTATAGCACACGGAGAGGCGACGAAATTTCATCATGGGCATAATGCCACCAAACGCTTGAATTGTTTTATACACCCAATAAAGCTGGAAAAATAGAACGAATCAGAAAAGGGAAGAAAAAGCGAGAAATGAAAGGAAAAAAATAAGTAAAACAAAATATTGTGAAACAAAATAAGGTTATTTTTTCTTCATTCCCATTTGATTATTTGTCACTTTTTATGTTCGTTAAATTTTTCTTTTGTACCAGCCTCACCATAGAAATTGTCAAGCTCAAATGGAGGGTGGAAGGTGTTTCATGAATGTATTAACAAGAATATATTTTAAAACATACCTCCCCCCTCCCTTTATATGTTTTCTAATAAATAAATGGATAAATAGATAGCCAATGATAAACTTTTCAAAACCTCCCTAAGCTAAGTTTGTTTTCATATCTTACACACATGTAGTACTTCTAAAAATTTGCCTTTTTTTTTTTTTTTTTTTTTTTTCGGAAGAACAAATTTTATACTGCTGTTTTATGGTACATAAAAAAAATTCTCATCACAGTTTGTGAGCGTGTGCATACCAAGGTGTACATGTATCGAGGGCATAAAAAGACATGACAAGGGAAATAATGCTACAAAAATATGGAATAAATTAGCATAGAAATAGGGCCTAAAATAACGTCGAGGTTGGGAAAAAACTTACAGCAATACTACTTGAGCAACTTTTCATTTGCATGTATTTTTGTGCATGGAGAAATGCATATCTTTTTTTTTTTTTTTTTTTTTAGTTTTCAGAAGGGGAGAGAAAGTATTGGCGATATATAAATCCAAACAGCCACACCTAGTTGTAAACGTTGACATAGGTAGTGGTAAATATATGGGGGCACGTGCTTGGGTGTGTGTAGTAATTTTTTTTTCAAATGTTCCAGGCTCTTTTTTTTTCTATCATTTTTGTACACTCCTTTAATACCTTATCCGGTATGTCACTTTTTCTTATAAAGTGGTATAAGACATGATTCTTGATCATTCATGGATGACCTTTTTGGTTCCATATGATACATTTCATAGTCACGTATGAAATTATAATGCAAGAACATCTTTTGTCTCTCACAAGTATGATTCTTTTCTTTTGTAAGTTCTCCTTGGTTTAAACTTGTAATTTTTTTCTTTTTATTTTCCTTCTTGTATTCACCCATAAAGTGCAATTGTATGCCAGACAGAAGTAAGAGACACGATCGGTATACACTATACTTTATTGTTTCATTTAAAAATTCTTTAGAATTTGTATTACCATCATGTGTACATACATGTGTTGTTGGGCTTCTATGCATGTCCACTTTCGACATTTTCATCTCTTCTTTCATCATTTTATATACGTCCTCTGGTGTCTTGGCTCATAATAAAAAATTCTATAAAATGGTAACACCTTATACCTACCAGGAGTGTATTGTGTCTTTTGTAGAAATTATTTACTATACCAACTGCATCTTTCTACCCTGAACTTGATGTTATGTTAGAGTCGGTACTTACTCGAGTGTATATCTGGATGAAAAAGATTTGCAGATTATTTGTTTTCAATTTGAACAGCTTTGATTATCTCATGTAACCAACTTTAAAATTTAGAAATCATTGCAAAGGAAAAAAAAAAAAAAAATTCATAAATGAAACAAGAGCTATATTTTTTTCCCTTTCTCTAAATATCATAAACCTACATAAAAGAGCAATTTGCACACTCCTTTGCATACCACTTTTGGCATTTCTTAGTACACTTATACTTATGGTATTGCTTGGGGAGAAGCATAAATTTTTTTTATCATAATTTATTTTATTATTTCATTGAAATTTAACGAAAAAAAAAAAAAAAATTATCCTAATTGAGATATAACATCAATTTATCATCTGTGATGTTACTAACAGCCCTTTAGTACATTCTCCATATCCCAATTTTAATTCACTTCACATGAATTGAAAAAATAAAAATGTGCGGGCGGGGGGACGAAGTTCTTCAAAGAAATATCCACATTTTTGCTACATTATAGCAATTTATTTATTTATTTATTTTATTTTTTTTAACGCAAATACTGCTAAATTATATGAAAAATAAAGGTAGTAATTGTAGAAATAATGTCAAAAGGTTATACAAAAGGTGGGGGTAAAAATTAATTCATACACACATACGCCAAAAAAAAAAAAAAAAAAAAAAAAAAATTTTAGTTCCACTTTGGGACCCAACCCCATAAAAATGCACACACACAAAAAAAAAATATATATATATGTATATATATATATATTATATATATGTATATATATATATATTATATATATGTATATATATATATTATATATATGTATATATATATATTATATATATATATGTTCAACTAAGGTGTATACTAAGGGGTGTGAAGTTAAAATTGAGGTTGATCAGTTAGGGGTAAAGTTCTCACTCAATATATATATATGAAAAAAGAAAAAAAAAATTATAAATTATAATATAGGATTATGAAAAAAGGATACTTTTTTTTTTTTTTTTTTTTTTCCTACATTTTATGCATTTATTTGTTATATAAAATCAAAATGTTAAAAAAAGTAGAAAAAAGAAGAAAAAAAAAAATGGAGATATGTGTTTTACTTCTACATCTGTGCGTAGCGGGTTGAACCCCCTTAAAATCGATTCATATCTCGACAACACATCGCTACACATTCTTCCTATGCCTCTTCGAATGAAAAAAATACTTGTTATTGCATCTTACTGAGCTCTACTTTTATATATATACATATATATATGTATATATAAATACCTATCTTACCTATATTTGTTTTAAGAAGGATGCATTTCCCTACATCCCCTTACCCTGAGCTGCCCACCCCATTGGAATTATGGAAAGTATTCCTACCCAATATGTATGCAGCAACTATGCATGCATAATAATATATCAACGCTGATATATATATTAAATATCAGGAATTATAGAATATATGTAGAAATGAGAAAAAAAAAAAAAAAAATTTTACTCCTCTATTATATTAACCGTTATATTTTTTTCTTATTTTTATCATATTTTTATCATATTTTTATCATATTTTTATCATATTTTTATCATATTTTTATCATATTTTAATCTTATTTTTATGTTAATTATTTATTTATTTTTTTTTTTTTAAACAATTCCCTTTACCAACAAAACATTGCAATAAACTTAAAGAATCATTTTTTTGAATATTCACAATTCCTCCGTGAACCTCTAATCAGTTCTCTTTTCGACAAACTCAATTAACAATTTTTTTTGAACAGTTGCTATATTAACTTTTGTGTACACCAAAAAAAAAAAAAGAGAAACCTCAACATAAGGATATAAACTATTGAATAAAATTACTTCCAAAAAAAATCGAATCAAAGAAAATTAACATTTTTCATGTACCAAATTGAAAACTTCCTACACCCCCCAGTCTCCCATACAAGCACCAACATACATATATTTACACACCTTTGCAAATAGAAGAGAACATACAAAATGAACATTATACAAGAAAAAATAGACTTCCTTACAAAGGATGAAATTAAAAACATTGATTTATCCAAGTTAAGTAAAAAGGAAAGATATAATATATGGAAAAGATTACCAAAATGTGAATTACACTGCCACTTAGATTTATGTTTTTCTTCGGATTTTTTTCTGAGTTGTATTAGAAAATATAATTTGCAACCTAATTTATCAGATGAAGAGGTTTTAGATTATTATTTATTCCCAAAAAAAGGAAAATCATTAGGTGAGTTCATTGAAAAGGCAATAAGAGTAGCTGATATATATCGTGATTATGAAGTAATTGAGGATTTGGTTAAACATGCTGTATTTAACAAATACAAAGAAGGTGTTGTACTTATGGAATTTCGATATTCACCAACATTTGTCTCATTTAAACATAATCTTGACATTGAATTAATTCATAAAGCTATAGTTAAAGGGATTAAGGAAGTCGTACAATTGTTAGATTACAAAATTCATGTTGCACTTTTGTGTATTGGGGACACAGGACATGAAGCTGCAAATATTAAAAAATCAGCTGATTTTTGTTTAAAACATAGAGAAGATTTTGTAGGATTTGATCATGGAGGGAAGGAAGTAGATTTAAAACAATATAAAGAAATTTATGATTATGTAAGAGAAAGTGGAATACCTCTTTCAGTTCATGCAGGTGAAGATATTACTTTACCAAATTTAAATACCATTTATTCAGCTATAGAAGTTCTTAAAGTGGAAAGAATTGGACATGGGATTAGGGTATCCGAATCACAAGAATTAATTGATATGGTTAAAGATAGAAATATATTATTAGAAATATGCCCAATATCAAATGTACTCTTAAGCAATGTCAAGTCGATGGATACGCATCCAATTAGACAATTGTACGACGCAGGAGTCAAGGTCTCTGTTAATTCGGATGACCCAGGAATGTTCATGACAAATATTAATGATGACTATGAGGAGTTGTACACTCAGTTGAACTTTAAGCTCGAAGATTTTATGAAGATGAATGAATGGGCCTTGGAAAAATCTTTCATGGATTCCAACATAAAGGACAAAGTAAGGAACCTTTACTTTTAGGTGTACACGCTTGTGCGTTCCTGTTTGTCTCTCTGTGCGTGTGTGAATTATGTAATTCCAGGGAATCAATATTTATGGATGTATGTGAAAATATGGGACTACACAGCTGAATGTACCATTTTAGCACATTCCTTGTGTAAATCACACCGACACGAATCGTTACTCACCTCCGCCCAACATTGTTTTACAAGCTCTTTAAAATCTTTTTCAAATGAACTTTTTTTATGCAAGGGCATTGATAAATTTTTACTCATAAGAATGTTGTTTAATCACACACGCGCGTATATATTTATTTATCTACCTATGTACCCATGTATTTATGTACCTATATACCCCCTATATTTATGTTCCTATATACCCTTATATTTATTTATCTACCTATTTATTTTTCCTTTTATTTATGTATGTTATGTACGTTATGTACATTCCGTGTGCATCTTTAAAAAGAGAACACTAAAAAAAAACAGCCCCGAGTTAATAATTGGCTACTACTACTGCTTCTGCTACTGCGGCTATTGTTGCGCGTTCCGAATTTACCAACAAACGGGTAAGAGGATTTCTCCCTTTTAAGATGTTCATTGCAAAAAGGAAAAAGGTAGAAGGTGGAATTTTTTCGTTCTCATAAGAATGCAAAAGTGGAAAGAGGAGCAAGGTGAACAACTCGATCTGCCTACACAGTTTCCTAGTAAAGCGGAGTAGGGGACAAAAGTGATGTATAAAAGTGTGAGGAAAAAAAAAAAAAAAAAAAAAAAAGAAAAAAAAAAAAAAATAAGAGGTTAAATTTAAAGAAATTGGTGAAAATGGCTAGCTATAAAAAGAAAATTGTTCTACATTGGCTAGTCGTGTATATATATATATATATATATTTTTTTTTTTTTTTTTTTTTGCTAACTATGCATGAACGTTCATGCAAAATTGCTTGAGTTGACCCATTTTAGCTACATGTGTGCACTAACAGAATCAGAAACAAACTTTCCTCGAAAAACATTGCAACAACTTAAATGAAATTGTAATTCGGTTGAATTTCTTCCAAGAAGAAGTCACTACTTTTCGTGTCCCTTTTTTTTGTGTCCCTTTTTTTTGTGTCCCTTTTTTTCGTGTCACTACTTTTTGTGTCACTACTTTTCGTGCCCCTTTTTTTGGTTTCCCCTGAGAGCATGTATTTTCCAAAATTGGCATTGTGGGAAGGAGCATTATTATGCCCTACCCGTGCTCGCATGTATGCATTGACAGCATGGTCTACACTCTCATTTGTGCTTGTTTTCCCGTTCGTGCTTATTTTCCCATTCGTGCTTGTTTTCCCATTTGTGCTTGTTTTCCCATTCGTGCTTGTTTTCCCATTTGTGCTTATTTTCCCATTTGTGCTTGTTTTCCCATTCGTGCTTGTTTTCCCATTTGTGCTTGTTTTCCCGTTTGCGCTTGCTTTCCCATTTGTGCTTGTTTTCCCGTTTGCGCTTGCTTTCCTGTTACTGCTCTTTTTCATTCTTGTTCTGCTTTTCCTTTTGTGTAGCAAATGCTGCATCTCTTCCCTGCCTGCGCGCTGCCTTCGCGTGTTAGATAAATTCGTTCCTATCGTTAAGTCCTTATAGTGCTTGTATGTGCGAACGGATGTTGCATAGCTGGCTTTTTTGTTTTTTTTATTTTTAAAAAGGAAGGATAGTCTACTTTTCCCCTGAAACAAGTGCTTGTAAAGTGTAAACAATAACACAATTATCAAAAGAGGGATGACAGTACAACATACAATGAACCAATGATTACTATTACTTTGTGCATATGAATAGAGATTATAGTTTTTCTCCATCATATCTTCTGGTGATATTCTTTTTGAGAATAATATGTGTGCATCCCAATCATTGAGATAGTGTAACCTGTGTTCAAACAGGTAAAACATTTTAATTGCAGAATATATGTTATTTCTTCTACTTAACGAAATAGAGTTAAAGTTGTGAAAAGCTACCTGAACTAATTTATATCCTTCTTGTAGTAATTTCTCAATACCTTCAATTTCTCTTTTGTTAATTCTTAGCCCAAAATCAAGTGTTCTTCTCTTAATGTTGTTTCTGGGGTCATAAAATGATTCTCCTAGCACTTGTACTAGATCTTCGTTTATAGTTTTTACATCATTGTAGTTAAATCCTTTCAGCGAATTTGAATAGACAGGATTTTTTAAAAGCTGAACAATCGCACTTTTCATGAGGGCGTACTTATTTTGAGCCAAAGTTTTTACTATAATGATGCAAAAAATAGTCTGGTCTTCCATTAAATCGATATATTTTCTTTTAAACTCTTCAATTCTTTTTATCTTCTCATGTTCTGTAGACTCTTTCAAGATCCCATTTTGGAGGATCCCATTTTGGAGGATCCCATTTTGTGGCGCACGTCGCAAATTCCCATTTTGTAGGATCCCATTTTGCACTTCCCTTTTCCCCTTGTGCACCAGCAAATTGTCCCAGCCCCACCTGTCTCTATTTAATCCTTCGTATGTAAATATATTATTTGAATCTTCACTATCATCATAAATAACTTTCTTTAGCACCATAGTCGTGTTTGAGAAGTAGCTAGACCCAAAGTGCAAATAATTATTTTTCATTAATTCGAATTCGATGAGGCTTAGTAAATTCCCGAATGGGATATAACTGTCCACGGGTGGGTTGTCTGCGCCACCTTTTCCTCCTCTATCACTTAGAGATACATCATTCCTTATGGCACTTGCAATTTCTATTTGTAGAAATAAATTTTGACCTGTTAATAACGAAATACATTTTTTTAAATAGAACTCTGAAAAAAAAAGGCCAAAATCCTGAGTACGAATAATGTCATTAGTTGCTTGATCAAGATATATATATCCATTAATCGTTAATGTCAACAATTTGGTAATATCTAAATTGGTTGAAATTTCGTCAATTTGTTTAAAAAAATTATTGTAATTTAAATGTTTATCATATGTACTTTTACTTTTTTTAACAACATCCATTAATGCATTATTCACTAAATGTAGGAAATTTTCAGTCCCTTTTGTCTTTAATATATTTATCAACTTATTTGCATCTTTTATTTGTAAAATTATAATTTCACTTCTTACACTTTTCAGCACAGATATTGTTTCTAAACTGTTAAGATAAATTCGATATTCTCTTATTACACTTATGTCATTGCTCAAACTTAGCAATTTTAAATTATTTTCTTCATTACAATTTTGAATTTCAAACAAATTCTTAAATAAAAATTTAGAATGCAAAGCATAATTCAGTGCATACATTACACAGCTGCTACATGTCATTGGAAATGTCTTGTGTGGAATCATGCTTAAAACAGGTAAGACACAATTCCGAGAACTTAATGTTCTACAATTGTTTCCTTCTCTCCAGCATTCGTTTGTTATTAATTCTATCCAAGTGAAATATTTCCCAATTCCTCTTTCTACATCTGTCAGGATGGAGTTAAGCTGAGTACAGTGTAACCAAAAAAAAAAAAAAAAAAATTGTCTACATAAAATAAGGAAAATTCTCATTTGATAGGTGTGTAAAAAAACCAACATGCACCTTTTCTTTCAACTTGTGAAAAAAAAAAATGCAAAGAAAAATGATCTAATTCAAATAGACATTTATGGATAAATCATACCCCTATGATAACATGTCTTATATCCTGAATACTATATCCTTTTTGCTTTTTCACCCTTTCACCATTAGCTATTTCTTCTCTAAATAAATGTGTAGTACCTTCAATTAATTTTTCATATTTTTCTTTTTGTGACAATTGACCCAAAAAATATGGAACTTCCAACTGTATCAGCAGTAGGAAGGCCAATAAGGTGTTGTCATCCAGACTAGCCAATCCGATTCGTTCATTTTCCGCTGCACGCACGGGGGTCTGCAAGAAAGGGGAGGTAAGAAATGGATGCCCATGTATGTGTTTATACCTATGTGCATATATTTTCGAATATACAAGCTTATGAGCGTACGTATATATGCACAGATTCATATGTAGTGTGTGTGTGTGTGTGTGTGTGTGTGTCACGAATAGACCACTCCCTCCACACTCCTTTGCTAAATGCTGGGAAAAGTGATGCCATAGATGATACAACACATGAGAAGGCAAAAGAGATAAATAGACAATGATGAAAGGAATCAAAGTCATTCATGTCGGCATGCAAAAGGTTTAATCAGCACTCCCATATTTACTGTGAACACTCTTCTCTTCCTTATTTACACATCAATCAAGTGAGCCAAATACGTATATAAATATATGCATATAGAAATATATTATAAACACATGTACATGTGCATATGTGTAAGTACACTTGTGCAATGTCTTCGCTGTTTTTTTTTTTTTTTTTTTCTCCTTACACGACTGAGAAACGTCAGTATGAAATACAAAAGCGTGACATATTCGATCAAACAATGTGTCTTCATCCTTTTTTCATTGCTATCGTGAAAACCGAAGATGCTTATTAGTATTCATTAATGTGGTACTCATGTTTTATTTTTTTTTTATTTTATTTTTTTTATTTTTATTTTTTTTTTATATCCACTTTTGGAAATGTAAGAACATTTGTAATGTTCGAGCCCGTTGGGATGAAATGAAAAGTTTTAACATCATTCGTTGATTGTATATGACACATGGGTTCAGTTTTAATTTTATGCGCGTTCCACAAAGTGGCAAGTCTTACATATAAGTATGTTTATATATATATACACACGCATAAATATTTTTTACTGAATTGTGTTTAAAAAAGACATTTCATTGTGTTCCGCTTCATTGGGGATGCTACATATGTTCGCGCTGCTTTTTTTTTTTTTTTTTTTTTTTTTTTTCCACTTTCAATTTGCATGTAGAACAAATCTCCAAATTAGTGAACCCTGTTACTTTTAGCTTCAAGATTCACATCAAATTTTTGATCCCCAAAATGAGTCTTAAACGAAAATAAAAAAAATAAAATAGAAGAGAAGTGAAGTGAAGCAAACCATCCCCTCTCTCTACCCAATTTGAGAAAAAAGGAAATTTTTGTTACTATTACATTCTCTTCTCATTTTTGTCAGTCTTCTGTTTTATTTGTCTATTTTTTTTTTTTTTTTTTTTTGCAAAATGTATAACAAAAAAAAAAAAAAAAAAAGGGTAAACTCAAATAGACAACCTGGCGAAGGAGAAGAAGATCCCCCCCCCCTTTCCCTCCAAAAAAAAAAAAAAAAAAAAAAAATTTGCACAAAATTATTTTTTCTCTTTCCCTACTAGTACTATTTCGAATCGTCTTTTTTAATTACGTTGAATTGTTAATTATCAAAACATGGATGTCTATGTACGCCCATGGCATTAATTGCGTGCTGGATGAACAGACAATCACATGTGAGCGCATACAAATGGAAAACTCGTCACACTAAGGTATTAATGTGCTAACCAACCAATGGATGCAATTTAAAAATTAAAGTCTTCGAGTCCGGGGGTGAGTTATGCCTGTCTGTTTTCCTCTGATGAAACGGTAGACCTGGGCAAAAATAAACGCCACAAAAATAAGCGAAGCAAAAATACGCGCAGCAAAATTGGAAATGTATCTTTATTACATTTCAAGTCGTCTAAGTAGCATAGCGTGGCATTTTATATTTAAAAAAAAAAAAAATTAAAACATAAAACAAAAAGCACAATACATAAAACGTAATACATAAAATAATGTAACAAAACAAAGTAGTAAAAAGGCTTATATTGGAAATCAATCCAGAGAATAAAATGCACGGTTAACACTAACGTGTGTCTCCCGTGACTTGGATGTGCATGTTCAGGGCCAGACACTTGCTTCCCAATCAAAGCGACTAGAAGGATATGCACAATTATACGCATCTTCCTGCTGCTACCAAGATGGCCAAAAAGATTTTGTACACAACTGAGTTATTATTCCATTGAGGGGTGAAACCATTTTTTCTATAACCTGTATTTTAAATCAGGTCTGTAATTAATAATACTCTTATTCATCATTTTTATCACCTTCACCATTTTCACCATCTTCACCATTCTCACCATCTTCACCATTCTCACCATCTTCACCATTCTCACCATTTTCACCATCTTCACCATTCTCACCATCTTCACCATTCTCACCATTTTCACCATCTTCACCATTCTCACCATCTTTACCATTCTCACCATCTTCCATCGCCATCCCCACCGGGGCTTCTCACATGATGAGGTGTATCTTTTCCTGATTTTCCATTTTCTGCTGCTCCTTCACAACTTTGTACTTTTTTAGCTGATTCAATTTATTTTTGATTTCATCCGGAGGGATGAGAGGCATATGAGTTAGTGTTTTACCCATGGGTTGGTTCTGCCGTTGTGCTTTTACATAGCTAACTTTTTTATTCCAATCATTTTCAAACTGTATCCAATCTAGCCAAACAATTCTCCTGATGTTCCATCCAAGATCATGCAGAATTCTATGTTCTAATTTTACGCTTTCAGTATATTGATTTGTGGACGTGTAAAAACAAGATGGCCCATCTATGAACCAACAATTTCTTTTTTCATTCGTTTCTCCTATGTCTATAAAATAACAACCCCATAGAAATGTATTTCTATGACTAATACCTAATTTGGCTAAACAGTTAGAAACCTCCCATTGAAATTCAGATGGTTTTCTACATTTTTCTGGAATTCTTCTCATACTTAGTCTAACATAAAAACTTTTTACCTTATTTGACAAGGAATTCCATACATTTGGAAATAATACTCTTACAGCTACTGCTGATTTATATGCACTTTTGTAATGTTGTGGCCTTGCACATATAAACATGTTACTAAATCTTGTTAAGATATATTTCTTAACTTCATCTTCATATAGGTTAATTAAAGTAACATCATTAATAACGTTTCGAAAATCTTGAGCAAATATTGTTTCCAATTTATTTATTATATGACTGTTCATAATTTTTTTATAATTTTTATTATTAATACCTAACCTGGCTATGGCGTTATTTATTTTTATTAAATCTTTTACTCTAATATCATCAAATTTTTCAATAACTGTTTGGCAAAAAATGGTGAAAAATTCTTCATTCTTAATTAATACTCTATTTAATGACCAAGCAATACACATTAAAGGATGGCTATAAAAACTAGGTAATTTTTTTTGCACACTTGTTAATATTTTTTCATAAAATCTGGTGTTTAAAAATCGACTTTTTCCCATTCCATAAAATATATATCCGATTTGTTGAGGTGTTAACGTTTCACATATTTCTAAAATCCTTTCACTATATCCTTTCCACAATTCGTAATCATGCTTTCTTAAAGTTGCAGCTTTTTGCACACACGCAGAAATGTATTGTCCATCCATTAAATCTACCTGACTTGTTAAGCACACATTCATTGGAAGCCAATATTCTCGTACTCTTTGTTGAGCCCATGATCGAAATCGTTTATGCATGCGCTTCGCTTTGTATTTTATTCTGCTTTCCCTCCTTATAGCATTAACAATTACTCTTTCCCTCGGCCTTAGTAATCCCATCTTTTCCTTTCACTCTTTGCAGAAAGAGAGGAAATCAATTGATTGTGGGGAACAACAGCAATAGTGTTTCTCCCTTTATGTAAGCAATTCTTTTTCTGAACCAGCTCCATGTGTGTACCAGCAATGAGGCTTTACCCTCGCGTGCAATTGTTCCCTCACAATGCTATGAGCAAAAGCGGGTTATGAAAATGTGCATATATATTTGCACGTATGCATGTTTGCACGTATGTAGGTTTGCACGTATGTATATTTGTACGTATGTGTGTTTGTACGTATGTATGTTTGCACGTATGTATGTTTGTAGGTATGCATACATGTATCATGCACCACGCTCAATGACTACCCGTTGCGGGAATGGGGCGATGGAGGGGAGGCGTTCATCCTGTTTGTAAATACACAAAGAAAATTTCCTCCATCGGCATAATTAGCTAATCCCCTTGTGAGAAGGAGTTGTCGAAATAACGTGCGATTTCTTCTGGTATACATGTGTAATCCCTAAGAGGGACTAGCTAAAGATGAACATAATTGATCCATGCATATAGGTGTCATTCATCCATTTAAATTATGAAGTATTTAGCCCCCTTTTTTTCGTAATTTATTTCGTGCTTTGCAATTTTTCATAGTTACCTCTAACATCACAAAAAAAATTAATCAATCCTTAATTTTTTGCAAGATTTAGGGATTTTCTACTCAGCGGTTAATGTTGTTTTGCACACGTAATTAATTTTTTTTTTTTTTTTTTTTTTTTTTTTTTTTTTTTTTTTTTTTTTCTTTTTTTTTTTTTTTTTTTTTTTTTTTTTTTTTTTTTTTTTTTTTCTCCTTGTTCATATATTTTTTTTTTAACGTTAACCTGTTGGTTCATACATAAAAGCAAAAATATTTTTTTTCAAAATCTGGATAAAACTTATGACATGAAAAGGTGGTTAACCCTTATAAAAACATGTGCATCTTTTTGGAGGCCTTTTTGTTTTTTTTTTTAAGTCACGATCCCCATATTAAGAGATAATTTTTAAGATTTTCATTTAACCAATCTTGTTATGTAAATTTTCATTATAGCAACTATGACGAAATGATTCATAATTAGAAATGCAGATTTAACGTCCAAGCAGAAGTCTTCGCGGATATGCAACAAAATGATACTACTTTAATTGGAGCCTCACATGCGTATAAAAACACCACGTTGTGTCAGTCCTTTCATGTATACATTTGTGTAACACTTATATGCATAGTATGCTATATACTATGTATACACAAAATGTGCATGTGATACACACACTTTTTTTTTTTTTTTTTTTTTTTTTTTTTTGCCTGAACGGTTAATAAAAAAACCGAATTTGATGTTTTTTATTATTCTTGTCACAGGAAAGTTTGAAATTTATTTTGAACAAAATGATACATTTATTTTTGAAACAAAAACTTCAATTGATAGATCGCCAGTTGTCACAGCTCCTGTGCCCTTTCTTTTTGTTTAGTCCCATTTTACTCCACCTTATTTTATTTTATTTTTTTATTTTATTTTTATTTTATTTTTTTATTTTTTTTTTTTTGATTTATTTTTTATAATGGAAGAGCATGCTAAAATATTTAACCAATTCGATGAACATATTTTTCCCCAAGTTTAATGTTAACTAAAAAGGTGACTAGTGACCATCCGAGTGGTTGAAAATTTTTTTGATTTATTTTCCTTTCACAGTTCATTGGTTCATTGGAAATCTTTGTGATATATTTCAATGATATGTCGAATAGGGAGAATAATACAGTTTAGTAACATTATAAAACAAAAATCGTGTGATAATTATGAAAACCATTATTGCAATTTTTTTTTTTTTTTTTCACTCTTTATTTTGCTCCAATTATACTTTTGAATAACCAAAAATAATATAATACCCCCTCCTGTAGAAGAGGGATGATAAAAGCTGGAATTTCCTTTTGGAAAATAGCAATTTTGAAAAATTTAACCTTTCCAGAACAAGGTTTTTTTGTCTGTGTGTGTTTTTCGTGTAAATGTATTTATTAGAGATGGGAAATCTTGAAGGTTTTTTGCGTACATATATATGTACATAAATACATGTATATGTTTATGTGTGTGTGCATGAGTCACAGCATAATTCGTGCAATTAACGCAAATAATATGCACACAGTTAAGGTGTACACACTTTTCCAATAGCACTCTCTGAAAAGTATTCCTCATCAATTCGTAATTTGCCTTTTAGTGTCCAATAAAGAATTTGATTAACACACAAAACAATCTAAGATCATTACATTTTAACAAAAATTATTTTCATGTACCATGGTTACATATGATCGTGCAGAAGTGGGGGTGTGTGTGGGGGGATTTTTACCCTCTCCTTTTATTCACCTGATAAAATGTTTAAAACAATTTATTTTTTTTTTTTCTTCAATTATTGAGAAAGGGGGGGGAAGAGGGGAAAGCAAAAATTTCTGCTATGAGAGACGGATCCCAACTTTTCAAGGAAGAGGACCCATTAACAAGTCCGCATGTGCGTGTACCAAATACGTACATACATGCATACATAATATATATATATATATATATATATATATATATATATATATATATGTGTGTGTGTGTGTGTGTGTGTGTAAGTACATGTACATGTGCGTATCCTCGTTTTTAGTGCAATAACTGCAACTCCCCTCCTCCCCCGTTTCATATATACATTTATTGTTAACCCTTTTCAATGAAGCTAATTTATTTTCTTAAAATAAAGCCAACTCGTAAAGCGTAATGTATTACGATAACCCCTTTTCCCTTTTTTAAATGTAAATAAAGAAGATAATAATGGATGGCAACAGAATGTTCACAGCCGGGTTTATGAGAATGTAAAATTAAACAGCACGTTTTAGACTATTTAAAAATAAAGTTGTTAGGAAAAGAAAAAGTCGAAATAAGCAATGTTTTTACATTTTGCCAAAGGGAATTTTTTTAAGTGCTTTATAATTATGAGCTCTTGAAAAAAAAAAATAAATAAAATAAATAAATAAAAAAATAAATAAATAAAAAAATAAATAAATAAAAAAATTAAAAAATAAAATAAAAACTTTATCTCATGCGGTATTGAAAACGTTAAAAGAACTTGCCAAATTAAAAAAAAAAAATTTTATTGTCACACATTTGTTTTGTTCTCGTTTGTTCTGTTTTGTTCTATTTTCTTTTTTTTTTAATTTAATTTAATTTTTTTTTTTTTTTTTTAAATAATTGTATTATAGTTGTAATCATGTTTTACGTTTTTATCTATATATTTGTGCATTTTTTGTTTTGTATTATTTTGTCTGTTCCACTTTTTTAAAAAAACAAAAGCAAAAATATTTTGTTAATGTATTTCTTGTTTGTTCTAGTCGTTTTTTGTTTGTTCTAGTTGTATTTTGTTTGTTCTAGTCTTTTTTTTTTTTGTTCTAGCATTTTTTATTTTTATGTATTTTTTTAAGTACTTACACTTTTAAGTCTCCATAGACTTTTTTAAAATTACTGCGTTTCATTTGTTTGTGTTTTTTTTTAGTGTTTGTCTGATTTTTTTGTTTTAGTGTTTGTTTGTTTTTTTTTTAGTGTTTGTTTGTGTTTTTTTTAGTGTTTGTTTGTGTTCTTTTTAGTGTTTGTTTGTGTTTTTTTTAGTGTTTGTATTTTTTTTTTTTTTTTGTGTTTGTTTTTTTTTTTTTGTGTTTTTTTTTTTTTTTTTTTTTTTTTTTTTTTTTTTTTTTTTTTTTTTTTTTTTTTTTTTTTTTTTTTTTTTTTTTTTTTTTTTTTTTTTTTTTTTTTTTTTTTTTTTTTTTTTTTTTTTTTTTTTTTTTTTTTTTTTTTTTTTTTTTTTTTTTTTTTTTTTTTTTTTTTTTTTTTTTTTTTTTTTTTTTAGTGTTTGTATTTTTTTTTTTGAGTGTTTGTATTTTTTTTTTTAGTGTTTGTATTTTTTTTTTTGAGTGTTTGTATTTTTTTTTTTTGTGTTTGTTTTTTTTTTTTTGGGTGTTTTTTTTATTTTTTTTTGTTTTTTTTTTTTTTTTTTTTTTTTTTTTTTTTTTTTTTTTTTTTTTTTTTTTTTTTTTTTTTTTTTTTTTTTTTTTTTTTTTTTTTTTTTTTTTTTTTTTTTTTTTTTTTTTTTTTTTTTTTTTTTTTTTTTTTTTTTTTTTTTTTTTTTTTTTTTTTTTTTTTTTTTTTTTTTTTTTTTTTTTTTTTTTTTTTTTTTTTGTGTTTGTATTTTTTTTTTTGAGTGTTTGTATTTTTTTTTTTAGTGTTTGTATTTTTTTTTTTGAGTGTTTTTTTTAATGTTTTTTTGTCTTTTTTTGTCTTTTTTTGTCTTTTTTTGTCATTTTTTGTCTTTTTTTTTTTTTTTTTTTAGTCAGACAAAGGGTTTTATACTGAATTTGTGCCTGCACATGTTCGTTCGAACATGATTGTTTTAGTTTTTATTAGAGTTTGCGTTTGTAGGCTTCGTGCTTTATGTATTTTTTGTTTTTGTGTATGCTTTGTCTTTTTAGCTTTTTTCTCTTTTAAACAAATTTTTATGACGCTGCAAATTTTTAACCTTCTTGGATTAAAGGCTAGCGTACTATTCTGAGTTTGTATAAAACATTTCTATTTCGAATGAAATATTTTGAGTTTGTATAGTATATTTCGAGTTTGCATAAAATATATCGAATTTGTTTGAACAAATTTACGATTTTTTATGAATAGATTTCCGATTTTGCATGAACAGATTTCCGAATTTGTATGAATAGATTTTCGATTTTATGTAAATGTATGTCCGATTTTGCATGAACTGATTTCCGAATTTGTATGAAAAGATTTTCGAGTTTATATGAACAGATTTCCAAGTTTATGTAAGTGTATGTCCGATTCTGCTTGAACGTATTCTCCATTTTTTATGTTAATGTTGCACATATGTTCCAATTATTAAGTGTTTTAAAAAGAAAAAAGGATGTCTTATATGTATTTGTGAGCAATATATATGCCTTTTTAGGAGTTCACTTTTTTTTTTTTTTTTTCTTTTTTGTTGTTATTAAGATATATAACTTTAAATTTTGTTTTTCTTTTGAATGCATATGGAGAGAATTTATCACTCGTTTTTGTATAAAAACGAATGATTTTATTTCAAGAAATCACAATCACATGTGCATATTTTTATTTTATTTTTTTTTGTTTGTTATTTCACATGTGCTTGTCTAAGCGTATGTGTGAGCGCACATGTTCATATTTTCTTGTGTGTCTATGTCTTTATGACAATTGCGTTGTCGTACTTTTTTTTTAATTTGTAGTAAGATAAAATAAAGTCCAGAAAATATATATATATATATATATATATATATATATATATATATGTGTATTTAAAGACAAAACAAGAAAGTGAAAAAGGAAAAAACCTTTAAAAAAAAAAAAAAATAATAATAAAATAACATGAAAGGATTAAAGCACATAAGTACGTGTGTTTGTATTACATGAAATACGCATAATATTCACGTTCTAAAAAATTTATGTGTTTTAAAAAATGCAGACATGGAAAAAAAAAAATAATAAAACAGATAAAACAAAATTAAATAAAAAAAAAAAATAAAATAATAATAAAATAAAAAAATAAATAAAATAAAAAAGTTAGACATCATAAGGCTTTATTTTATATTACAACTATTTTATTTAATTTTTTTTTTTTTTTTTCGGGAATTAAGCTGAACCAAAGAAAATATAGAGAAAAATAGAAAGTGAGAATCCCTTGTTTCAGTGTAGAATAGTAAAGACATAATTTTTTTTTTTTTTTTTTTTTTTTTTAATGCTTATCTCCTCCTCTGCAAACATATGTTTACATGCTTGTGTGTGAATGCATGTACGTTTTTAAAATTATAGAATCCAGCATACAAAAAGCACAGTATTGTGTTTTATAATTTTTTTTTTTTTTTTTTTTTTTTGTGTATTTTTGTGGTATATGTGTGTGTTTGTTAGCTTGGTACTTATAAATCTTGAGACTTGTGCACAAAAAAATATTTTTGCAGAGGAACACACATACAAGCTTTTACGGAATCGTAAATTTTGTGTTTTTCTATTCTGTGTGATGAGATAGAGTTCTACGGATTTGTAAACGCGACATTTACACAGTTCCATTTGGACATCTCCATTTATATACGTCCATTTAAACACCTTCATTTATATACCTCCATTTGAAGCATACGTTTTTTTGTTATTTTCCCAAATACACCTTTTCCTATTTTCGTATGCAATACCAAAAGGAAGAAAATTCGCCTGCGCACTTGAGGAAGACACATACACATACATAGATAGATAGATACATACATACATACATGCACTCATGCACACATGCACTCATGCACACATGCACACATGCACACACACGATTTATTTTCAGAATAGCTTTCCTTAAGTTAATACGCTTACGAGTTCGCTAAGAAGTGTAGTAGAAATATTTCCGTGAGATTAATGTTAGAAGTATAACTTATATCCCTTCTCATTATCTGCTAACTTATTTATCTATCTACATTTTGTGCATATTCTTATACAGTAAAAGTATACACATTTTATATACTATTTTTTTTTTTTTTTTTTTTTTTTTTTTTTTTTGCACTTATCCATTTAATAAGATAAATCAAAAGGGATAGATGTAGACACATCTGCTTCTCTTTCATATTTATTGAATTAACTGATGGGAATTGGAAGGCATAAGATAATTTTTTTGTAATGTTCATAATTTTTGTGAATATATCTGCATATACATATTGTATACATTTTCTTCAATAATTTCCTGGAAAAAGTGATAAATAGAAGCAACTTTCAATTTGTGTTATACACTAAAGTGGTAAGACGATTTCCCCCACACACTACCACCGACTGGAACCATTCCAAAGCCAAGACTAGTGAAAAAAAAATCCAAGACGAGTGAAATTCGTGTAGTGCAGAACGTGTTATGGTGTAAGACTCAATGAGATCTAAAAAAAGCTGAAACGGAGGGAAAATAAACAATATATATATATATATATATATATATATTGGAACACATAATTTTTGATGCTAGAGACTTAAAAATGACAAATGAACATAGGAGAAGCGTGGCATACAAGGGAAAGGGTTTCATTTTAAAAATAGCGAATAAAGAATACATAGAAAATAGCATTAGAAAGAAGACAAAAAATACATTTAATGATAAGAGAAAAACCATTTTTAATAAATACAACCCAGTTGTTCTACCATTGTTAAGAAATTATAAAAAGAAAAATAATGATCAGTCTGGAGAAAAAAAAAAAAATATAAATGTATTGAACGAAAGTGAAATAAATAGCTTTCTGCTAAGAAATAAAGCATTTCGATTAACATGGTCATGTATTATTGAAAAAATACAAAAAGAAATAGATATTCAAATATCAAAAAATTTAAGTAATGTATTTGAAGAGATATATTTATATTCAATTTCGAATAGTGAATATCTCCCATTAATTTTGATGACTGCAGGGACGAATGTAGCAGATCATGAAATCATTATTGATGCATTGTCATACGAAATTAAGAAATGGAATTACAAAAAAGGATGTATAAAAAAAGATGATATCACGAGGATCAGTTGTAAAAATAATGGTGACAGGAATACATTTGAACCAACAGAATTGAACACCTTCCGTTCCTTCACAAATGAACAAGACGAAGAATGGGAGATGAAAAAAAAAATAAACAATGGAAACACAAATCAAGTGAGTCTTCAAGATAAGAAAAAGATGAAGCAGGAAAATTCATCTATCCGTTATTCTGAGACATGTGAAGGGAGACAACAGAGGGAGAAAAAAAGACGCAAAAATGTGGATACTGATAAAGTGGATGTGAAACAATTTGAACATGACGAAAGTGGCAAAAATGACAAAAATGACAAAAATGACGAATGTGACAAAAATGACAAAAATGACGAATGTGACAAAAATGACGAAAGTGATAAAAGTGACAAAAATGACGAAAGTGATGAAAGTGACAAAAATGACGAAAGTGGCGAAAGTGGCGAAAGTGGCGAAAGTGACGAAAATGACGTGTATGTGTGTTCTCTAAATTCCAGCACATCAAATAATGTAAATTCAGCGATATATAACATATACAATCAGTTATATAAGGAATACAAAATGAGGCTTTTTGTAGCAAAATATAAAAGGAAGAGAGAAAAATTTGGGGAAAATTATATGAATGATATACGAGTGAGTCCAAGAAGAATGGGATGCGTGGATTCTAATACAAGTGTGAGAGATGAAAAGAGAAGAGATACATCATCTTGTCCATTCATTCCAAACGGAGAGATGCAGAATAATTATTATAAAGCAAACAAGAATATGGTGAATATAGATAAACTTATCGAATTGTATATACAGATGAGTGAAATAAATAAGAAAAGAGATGGGAACAAAACATATAAAAAAAGGGATACACGATCAATGGATATGTCAGAGATATATAATGCAATGAAAGAAGGAAATTGCAATTTATTGGAATCTTATGGAGAAATGGAATTATATAATAAACAATATGATTATTTTGAAGATGGTAGAAAAAAAGTGAGAGTAATAATTCTTATACACGATTGTGAATATTTCAATATAAATATACTGAATGGAATTTTAAATGTGTTAATAAATTTAAGGATAGACAATAAAATGTGCCTTAGTGTTATACTAGGTGTATCTACACCATCTTTCTTTTTTAATAGAATAACAACCCCTGATACACAAAGTAAATTAAGAATTAAAACTATTGACATATTGAATAATAAGCTAATTTGTGAAAATATTTGTAATGATTTATTATTTGAAAATGTTTTACCCTTTATTCTCAATTTCAGAACTATGCATGCCATAAAATTGTTATTACATAAAAACAATCAATCTATTAGTCATTTAATTCACATTCTCTACATTTTGACAAAGGAGTATTATGATAATAACTTGTTATCATTTTTGTCTCTACCCATAAGTTATTACTTCGATATGCATATTCAGCAGGGAGGGGAAGGGACCTCTCATTATGCATATCACTCCAGTTGTGCTGATTACGGCTATGATTTTAGCAAGGATGGTAGAAGCACACCTGAACCTGAATATTCTCCTTACACTTTTGTGCGATCAAATCAAAAGTCATTCAATCACTATTTAAAATATGATATTAGATCTTTGCATAGAAAGATTATATATCTGTGCTATTCAGCTAATATTTACTTCTCCCATTTATCTATTTTAAAGAAAAAATATTCTTCTATTCTTTCACAAAATTATTTTTTGCTTCACGGGAAAAATTCCATAGTGCACACACCAACAAATTCAGATAATGAGATGGAGCAATTTACTCTCAAGAGGAAAAACCATAGAAATTCTTCTAACTCAAATGTGAAGAGAAAAACTGTACGCATTGATGGTGTCACCAACAGTGGCTTCTTATTGGAAGGGAATGGAAATACGCAAAATGTGTATGAACAACCATTGCACAACTTCTCAAGTAATCATAATACTGATGTGATAAGCAGCAAATGTGAAGAAAATGAAAAAACAAAGTGGGAAAACGAAGATATAAATGGGTCTGCAATCTGCATGGATAGTAACAGGTCTGGAATCCACGGAAATTCAAACATTAATGAAAAAACATCATTTGATAGAAACCGTTATGCTTGGGAATTCAAGGCGAAGACAATAAACTGGTGGTTCGATCACCCCTTTAAAGATTTGGTATATTCATATGAAGATGATAAATCAAAAAATAATTTGAAGAAGGAAATCCATAACTTGTTGAATAATAGAGATGAAAAGAACACAACCAATTTGTACGATATAAATAACGTAAAAGAAATAAATAAATACCTGTGTGAAGTTTCTTTACCAAGAGCTGTTCTACAACTGATAGAAAGAAAATATGCATTTGGAATTGCAATTAATCTAATTAATATAATAATTAAATGCAAATCTGAATATAACACAAATTCATTGAAGAGGGCCGATTATTTCAGAAAATTATTTATGAATTTTGAAAAAATAAAATGGAATGAAAATAAGAGTATACTATACATAGAAGAAACTTACAAAGTTGTAGAAAATGATGTAAAAAAATGTATTACCTGTTTAATTGATATTATTACACCATACTTTTTTAAAAATCAAGAAATATTATTAGGTATTCTAAAAGAATTTAAAAAATACTACAACAAAGTTTATGCTATTGTATACAATCTGGAGGATTATTTATATTTACTGAAAGAAAAAGATAAAGAAAAGGAAAAACACATTTTTGTAAACGATGATTTTGCCAAAAGTTATTCATACAGTTTTTCTTTCTCTGTTTATCATTCCATGTTATTCAAACTAGACGATCTGATAGAAATGTTAAGAAAATACTTGAGTCAGAAAGATACTATGCCCTCGATGATGTATTCTCATGCGTGTCAAATGAAGAGTAACGTAAGTAAAGGAGGAAAAAACCATTTGGACAGACCTTACGAGGAGCATCATGACAGAAGCAAAAGGGGAGAGGATAGTAGCACCCGTGAATGCACCATCAGTGTAAACTTCCCCAGTGCAGAAGAAGAACTGGGTGATGCACATCATGCGAGTAGGGAGAAAATCGAGGAGGCGAGGGGACAAAACAAAAAAGACAAAAATGAAGAAGAAGAAGAAGAAGAAGAAGAAGATAAAAAAAAAAAAAAAGCTTACAAAAGATATCTAACGATACAAAATAAAAGTTTGAAATACATGAATAATAATGAGACTGAGAGAAGAATAAACATAGAAGAAATTGCAGACGCATTCAACATGTTTATAAACGATTATTTATACCTTCTTCTTTTACCCCCTTTATATTATCACCCTTTGGCTCACGAAATAATTATACATAAACCTGATAAGGAGTTTACAGATATTATGACAAGAGATATAAAAACAGAACTTTTACAAACATTATGTTACACGAATCCATACAAAACTGGAAGCTTAATGTGCACATGTTGTTCTTTTCCGGAAAATTTATCAAACACAGATATTAATACTAACATAGTAGGGCAAGGGAAAATATACCTAAATCCTTATTATGACAATATTTCAACGTTAGAAGATTTAGTGAATGTGTACAGAATATATGAACGATGCAACAAGACAATTGATCTCTATAGTTTTTTCATTCTTTTTTTGAACATTAAGATAGACGATAAATGTATGGGAGAGTTTGATGCGCGCGGAGAAAAGAAGGACCCCAATTGGGGAAGAGACCACAATTTAGAAAAAAATGGCAATCCCGAAAAAGAAAACAATCTCGAAAAAGAAAACAATCTCGAAAAAGAAGACAATCTCGAAAAAGAAGACAATTTCAAAGGTACAACAGCTCACAGACGTAGTGCACCAAATTCAGAAACCACGCCATTATCACAATCCCTGTGTACAGAAATGCTGCAGGAATATTACCTTAAATTTATCATTGCAGTTAACAGTTTTTGTTCTTTTTTTAAAATTCTAAAACCTCCAAACGTGGCCGCCCTTTTAAATTACACAGAAAAGTGCGATTACATTTCAGATGATGAGGTGGAAAATGGTTATCATAATAAGGATGCCACCCAAATTAATGAACCAAATGCAGTACAATCCATTGGAAAATTCCTCTCTGAAATTAAAAAATCATTACAAGGATGTACTAGTAAGAAATTGTTATTTGGAAAATTATACTACAATAAGACAGTTGTATCCAGAGAAATGCATTTCCTCAGAATGATGATGCAGTACAATTCTGATTTTAAGATTGAAATTGAGAATGAACATGGCACTAATAAGAGGCCAAAAAATTGATGCTTCTATTTTTTTTTTACAACCACGCAAAAGTTAGTATTCGCTTAGGTTGATTTTTTTTTTTTTTTTTTTTTTTTTTTTTTAACTTGGAATAATTTTTAATCGTATGAAAAAGGAGTTAAAAGATGTCCATTTGATCAGATAAAGTTTAATTTTTCCTTCTTTTTTTTTTTCTTTACCTTTGCTTTTCCCTCTCTCCTCGTTTTCTTTTAATAGTTCTGTCTCGTTTTCAATTTTCCCTTTGGGTTAAACTACTGTTCGGGAGTTATATATGTGCACCGAGTTTTCTCTATTTTTTCTATTCATTGGTTGAGGTTACTACCCATGGCTTAAAAGCTTTTGGACAGGTACATTATGTATTCTTCATCTCACTTGTGCATATACATATGTAGATATATATATATATACGCACTCGCGCGCGTGTGTACAGTATGGTAATTTTTCTCGCTTGTGTTCATACTTTAGAATTGCACCTCTTTGCAATATTCATTGTATATTGCCCGATCACATGAACATGACAACAAATCGGGATGTGCAACACCATTGTGAAATTAGATGTAGATTGTGTACAGTTTTTATGTTTACACAATTTGAGAAGGAAATATATAAAAATCTTTTCTGTGAACCCACCACCACCTCCTTTTCTTACGTCGCATCTTCTTCCTCTCATGGTATTATCACTATTACACCAATTTTGCAAATAAAACTTCTGGTGGTAGTGGAATTCAATTAAAGGAGAAGGTATATCTCTAGGAATCTACATATATATACGCACACAATTTTATTATGAACCTGTACAAAATTCGTTGTGAAAAATTAAAAAGGAGAAAATAATTCGAAAGTGAAAGTGTCTACCTAAAAGAAGTTAAGATTCGCGAGGTAAGACCCTTCCCATCAGAAAAAAAAAAAAAAATTCCAAATGTGATGTCTGCCTCAATTATGTATCATTTGTTATGCGCCCCATAATAAAAGAATGAATCTCCATTCCTGTTCCTGTTCCTGTTCCTGTTCCTGTTCCTGTTCCTGTTTCTTTTTTTTTTTTTTTTTTTTTTTTTCTCCTCCTCCTCCCCCTCCCTGTACATCCTCTTCTGCTTATTGGTATGAAGTTACATTTTAAGCTTCCTACATAAACTATTGAAGATTAGTGAATAAAACATTTCCTTGGTACGGGATAATAACTTTAAAAATTTTAAACATATAAAAAATTTGTGTTAGCAAAAATAAGAAGAGTTTATTTTTGTGCACTTGTACTTTTTGATTATGTTTTGCTTGCGTAGTTATATTTTTGCCACTTTCTTATATCATCTCCATACAGTATTGTGTATGCCATAAAATATATATTTTTTTTTTTTTTTTTTTTTTTTTTTTCATAGATGGGCTGGAAAAAATGAATTTATCCAAAAGTTTAGTAAACTTTTTTCTAACCCAAGGCATCACAATGGATCTACTACTACATTTCAAAAAGGAAAAAAACTGATTCCTTCAACTTTTTGTCAAAAAAAGAAATAAAAAAAAAAAAAAATATATGTAAACATATGATATTATGTGCATATATTTATTGCACTTTTTTACCGTGGCAGTTTTACATAACAGAGAATTTGAAATGCCATGTTCCCTTTACCTGTAATTAAATAAATTATTCTCTTTTATAAAAACCTACCTTAAAGGATAAAACTGAACAAGCTGAAGAAAAAAATAAAGAAGAAAATGTTTTCCATAAGTTAGCTCTTTTATGAAACTCTTTCAAAAGAGAGGAAATAGTTTTTATGGGGACTTTTGGTAGTGAATTTTTTTTTTCCCACTTTTTCCTCTTTTTCTATTTTCTCCTCTTTTTTTCTCCTTTTTTTCCCGTTTCCTCCCCTTTGCCGCTTCCCTTCAGTAAGGACACAAAAAGTAGGAACATAAAAATGAATCTGTCAACTCCCAGAGGTACACTTCCATAAAGAATACGTAAAATATGAAATAAAAAATTAGCGAGAGGGAGTTACTATCGCCTTTTTTTTAAGAAATGTTAATAATGATATAAGTGAACCTGAACGAATGAGTCTTAATCTGGAAATTTATATATTTTCCATTTTTCGTTACAGGAAGGAAAAAGCTGGATAAGGATAAAATCGATGAACCATTCTTAGAACACAAGTAAAATGTGGAAAAAAATGAAAAGATGCAATAAAAGATGCAGTAAAAGATGCAATAAAATCATTCAGTAACCTATGAATAATAGAGTAGGCTGTGTGCCACCACCCCACTCATCTAGCTAAATGTGGCCACATCTGTGCATTTATTTTTTTGCGTGCAAATGAACACGTGTATCAACATCTTTATTACTTATATTATTTTTTTCATTTCAATTCCTGACACATTTTGATAAGTATGCTACGCCTATGAAAAAAAAAATAAAATAAAATAAAATGAAAAATAAAAAAAAAAAAAAAAAACCTTATCTCTTCCCATTCCTCCTTAACAGCCAAGATTCATCGAAAAAAGTTAAAAATACACATCTCGAGGATAAGACTGTAAAATTACGTGCATGTTTATCTTGTCGCTTACTGAAAACAGAAATGGAGGTAAGTTCAATCCCCTCGTGTGAATATGATTATTCCTCGCATGTGATTATGAATAATCCCGTATGCTCTTCTAACATATGAACAATGATTTTGTTCTTGTTATTGTACAAACGAATAGTGTTATATCTCTTAATTTTTTTCACGATGCATGTGTGTTCCCCACCTAGCTTGTCTGCAAACATTTTCATCCCCATAACCCCATAACCCCATAACCGTAGTTTTACCAGAACGGATGCAGCAATTGTAAGTTCCTCCAAATGGCAGGAGACAGACATAAGATTCATGATTGCACAACGGAAAATTTTAACGGATTTATGGCTATCACCACCCCAAGTAAGTCTTGGATGGCACAGTACAATGATTTAAGTAAATATATTCCTGGGTTCTATGCGTTGCAAGTAGTAGGAGATTTGCCAGAGGCCATACGAGACTTGAGGTCTAACTATTGAAGTAGTTACAAATAAAAATGAAGAAGCTTTTTGTTTTTTTTTTTCGTAATTTTTCCATTCGTCGATTTATTTTGTTTACTCATTTTCTTTCGCCATTTATTTTGTTACTCTTTTTACCTTTTTGCACATGTTCCATTTGTCTGCCAATGAAATAACACAGTGTGGCAAAAACAAGCTGAACAGGTGCGTACATATTTCTCAATTTGCATTTACACCTTTTGTGTATTCAGAATTAATTATTTTTGAGTACAGTTTTGAACGTTTCGAAAGGACAAAGTATCCAGGTTTTTTCACAGCTTCAAATTGCGTGTGTACATTTTTACATATGATCAAAAGAAGGAAAGAATAAATGAATGAACGAAGTAACGGACGAATGAACTGACGAAAGAACGAAAAAACCAAAAAAAAAAAAAAGAAAAAAAAAAAAAAAAAAAAAAAAAAAAAAAAAAAAAAAAAAAAAAAAAAAAAAAAAAAAAAAAATAACACTATAAACAATTTTTCTATGCCACTAAAAAGTTAAAAGAAATCCACATTTAAAAAATAAAAAAAAAAACAAATTAAAACGAATAAATTTAAAAATATACACATTTTTTCCCTTAAAATATTTCTGGGAAAAGGGAACAGCATATTGAGGTTGGGTAAAAAAAAGAAAAAACAGAAAAAGAAAGAGAAAAAAAAAAAAAAAAAAAAAAAAAAAAAAAAAAAAAAAAAAAAAAAAAAAAAAAAAAAAAAAAAAAAAAAAAAGAAAAAAAAAAAAAAGAAACAAAAGTGTAAGGATAAATATCTGGATTAACACATTGGTCTTTTTCACCATTATGGTGTGCTTTCTCTCCCTGTGAGATGTTCTATTACATATGTGTAAATCATTAAATATTATAACATTTCGAAGGGTTTTTTTATTGCAGCAAAAAAAGCTAGCCCTTCCTCCTGGAGAGTCTCCATGCATTGGGTTCCTCGTAATAATTGTGAAGAGGTTCTATTTTCTCACGCAATTTAATTTTGGAAATTTTTTTTTCATCAGCTGGAATAAACAAATTAGGGGCTAACTGAATCAACCACTGAGGTTGAATGATAGTACAGTCTCGTATATATTCCTTATTTGTAAGAACTAACTCATGATAAACGATAAAAAGTGGATTTTTATTAAAAAGTGTTGACGAGGGGTGAATAAAGACTTGTTGATTCGTGAGAAGTGTAGTGTATCCTTGCTGACTATCTCTTTTACAAACATGATTGAAATAACCTGAGCAGATACTTTTACATATGCTTACATATTTTGTGGATTCATTTCTACTAGTATTTTTTTTCACTTGATAATTATATTTTTCGAATATGGAAAGTAACTGTTTACGTACATCTTGTGATCTTTTTAAAGCTCTTGAATGCATAAAATTTTCATGACACCAATAATTTGAGTAATTATTTTCCTTCCATTTATTATATATATTTAAATATGTTATTAAATCCCCTTGAGGCATTACAAATTTATTTTTCTTTTTATCAGCTAAAAGTGCTTTATTTTGTGGTCTATAAAATATATTCTGAACACTAAGCATGCTAACTATAGTTATTACATCATCTGCACAATTAAAATTTATGGATGTTAATAAAATTTTTGATAAATTTGGTTCCATTGGAAAATTGGACATTTTCTTCCCTAGTTTTGTTAAATATCCATTGTCATCTAACGCTCCTAAGTAGTATAAATTTTCTAACGAATGTATAAGAGTCTCAACAGATGGAGAATCCATAAAATCAAAATGTAGGAAATCATTAACTCCTAAAGCTTTTAATAAAAGAACTGTACTTCCCAAATTTATTCTTTGTATTTCTGGAATACTCGTTTCAGCCATTTCATTTTTATATGCTTCTTCTGTGTACAATCTATAACATTTCCCTGGTCCTGTTCTACCTGCACGACCTGCTCTCTGTTTTGCATTTGCTTTTGAGATGGGTGCTACAACTAAGGAATCCATATCTCTCTTGGAATCATATTTTCTTATTTTACAAAACCCTGGATCAATAACAAAAAAAATACCATCTATAGTTAAACTAGCTTCTGCTATATTTGTTGCCAACACACATTTTCTACATCCTTGTGGTGCAGGGTCAAATATAACACTTTGCATTTCGGATGGCAGGGAGGAATATATGGGAAGAATTATCAAGGGTGGAGGAGACATGCTTTCCAATTTTTTCATACGTTCATGCAATATTTCACATGCTGTATTGATTTCCTCCTGACCAGTTAGGAACACTAAGATATCTCCTGGGTGCTCGTTCAGGTGGATGTTCAAGACCGTTATTAAACAAGCTTCCAAATAATCGCTTTCGGGTTCCTTCGAATGCAGGATCTGGTGAGCGGTGCAGAATGGAAAAATATATTAAAAAGTGCACATTTCCACATTTCTTTCGTACAAAAAATACAGTTAACACTTGCAAAAATAGGAATTACAATTACGAATTAGGAAATGAAAATTGGGAATTGAAAATTAGGAAATGAAAATTAGGAATTGAAAATTGAGTGTGATGTCTTAATTCTTGTTCTCATCCCTGTTTCGTCTTGTACGTATGCAAGGGGAAAACAAAGAAAAAAAAAAAAAAAAAAAAAAATTCATCTTTGGTTTATATACCTCTACTGGAAATATCTTCCCGGGGATGGTAAAAATGGGGGAATTAAAAAAGTAGTTTGAAAATTTCTCCGCATCCAGTGTGGCAGATGTTACGATCAATTTAAAGTCAGATCGTTTTTTCACCACGTCCTACAGAATTGAACAGAGGAAAGATATAAAAAAATATATGTGATACATGTGCAAACCAGATGTGCGAGGTACAGAATAAGAAAAATATTCCTATCGATACTTGTAATCTCATGAAATAGTGCACACCCTCTACTGCCACGCGACGTGAAACACAAAAACTATGCGATGCAATTTTTCTCTGAAAAGTCGACTCTTGGAAAAGTCAAAAAAAAAAAAAAAAAAAAAAAAAAGGTAGTAGCAAACTGCAAACAAGGGTCCTCTACAAATTGTTTCCCCGTATACTTTAGATGAATAATTTAAATTTTATCTTTAAAATATTCTTCAGGACGGGGAGTTCCTTTTTTTTTTTTTTTTATATGCCTTATACCTGTCAACATTTTTTTATTTTATGCGAAATGTTGTCATTGGCAGGCTACAACGGTGTACAATCACGTTGTTATTATTTTTATTTAGTTAGTTATTTATTTTTGTCTTATTTATTCATTTTATAAATTTTTGTTCACTGTTATGAGAATTGTGCCTTTAGTGATGAGATGTGTGAACTCGCCCATTATATGTCACTCTTTCACACGAAAAAAAGGAAAAAAAAAAAAAAAAAAGGCATACCTTCAAAAGGCAGAACAATATGTCTGTTGAGATGGTCCGTTCGTGGGCTTCATCTAGCTAAAAAGGGGAAATGGAAAAAAAAAAAAAAAAAAATATGCACATTTTTACCTGAACATGTCATATAATATGTATGCACTGTTCAGGTAAATTTACAACAACTTATATGTTTGCATACACACACAGGACATACATTTTTTCATCTTGTTTTTTTTTTTTTTTTTTCCTGCACTTACTATAATGAAGGAATATTTGGAAAGCATTGTATCACTGAGTGTTTCCCTCAAAAGCATACCATCCGTGAGATATTTGATGACGGTATCATTTGATGTACAATCATCAAAACGAATAGAGTAACCAACTTCCTGACCTAAGATACAACCAAATTCTTCACTAACCCTTTTTGCAATGGACATGGCTGCAACTCTTCTTGGCTGTGTACATCCAACAATTCCTTTATCAGTATAATTGGCTTCATGCAAATACTGTGGTATTTGAGTGGTTTTCCCACTACCAGTTTCTCCAATTACAATAAGTACATTATTTTTTTGAATAGCTTTCATTAAATCTTTTTTTAAATTATATATGGGTAATTTTACTCTTTGTTCATTAACAGGCATTGGATTTTTAACACCAACGGATATGTTATTGTTCATATAATTTTTTCTCCATTCAGGTAGATCAAAATTTTTTCCGATATTTTTTAAAGCTTCAGCTATTGTTCTTTCTCCCAAATCTGGTTTTGGATCTTCCCATGGTCTACTAATATCCTTTGGAATACTATCATAAATAGCATTTTGTTCATTTTGTTTTTGTTCTTTTCTTTCTTTTGCTAGAGCAGACGTAGTTGTTATAGCTCTTGCTAGAGATCCTTCTGCGTTTATAATAACTTGAATAGGTGATAATTTAGCCCCTGCTTTAGTTGTTTGTCCCTTTAAAAATGCTGGTTCTCTTTCATTAACTTCAATTTCTATTATTTCTTCTTCATCTTCAATTTTTTCATCAATTCTTAAATTTTTATATTCTTTTTTTAAATTCTCATCATATATAATTCCACTTTTCATTAGCTGCTGAATTTCCCATTTGGAGTAATCACTTTGCATTTTAATTACACTTTCGTATTTTAATGTTTCCTTTGGATCATCATTAAAAACATCTGATTTATGTTTTTTTATTTCTTTGTAATCATCTTGTAAATCGTCAAATATTGAAATGAAGTTTTGATTTTTTCCTTTCTTTCCATCTCCTACTACATCATCGTCTTCGTTGTCACTAACTAAATTTTTCCCAGTTTTTTGGTCTACTTCTGACATATTTAAACTTATTTTTTCTCCGAATATAGCTTTTATCTTCACTTTCACTTTCATTCCTTTATGGAACTTTTCATTTATATTCATCAATCTCTTTCGATTTGGTAATATGTCTGTACAATGTACTAATCCTTCTTTATATCCATCTTTCCTGGTTCTAAAAGAAACGAAAATTCCAAAATCCATGATTTTACTCACACTTCCATTAAAAATATTATTAACCCTTAGTGAATCTCTGTCCCTTTCGTCTTCATACATTTTCGTCTCTCTACCATGTTTCCTTTTTTTATCATCCCTATAATTCCTATCTCGATTGCTATGAGTTATTTCATGTTCATTGTTTCTCCTTTCAGTACTGCTGCGTTTATGCCTAACCGTTGTTTCTTCAATGCAGTGTTTTTCATTTTTGTTTTCATATTCTTCATGAAAAGATTTCGCTAAGTTATCGTCGTTTTTTATAGTAAGGCAATGATATTTCTTCATTTTTTCATTTTTCTTCTCTATCTGTTTAATTTCCATTTTTAACTCATTCTTCAATCCATCGTCCTTACCATCATCATTATCGTGATCACCATCTTGGGTATGTCGTCCCTTTGAATTCACCGTCTTGTCATCAGAATCATTAAGGGAGGATTTAATAATTTCATACAGATATTTCAAAACGGAATGTTCGATTTCTCCTCCATTTTCAAATACATCTTTGCAAAATTGTTCAAGCGACTTGGATTTTTTGCATAAGTAAATTAAAAATTCTGACAAGTTGTCATCCTCTACCCCTAAGCTATTGTACAGTTCAGCGTTCACTTTTTGTATTAAATTTATCTTTTTCAGGCTCTCCATAAATAGTTTCCTCTCTTTGGTGTTTTCTTTTTTTTATTTGAGAATTGTGTATTTGGGGAGTGGTAAAATTTAATGCTGGCTTTTTTTTTTTTTTTTTTTTTTTTTTTCTTAGCACGTGATATGTGCCTTTTGCGCTAAGCAATCTTTTCCCTTTCCTTTTTCTTTCTCTTCTGCTTTTGCTTCGTGGCTTTTTTTCCCTCACCGTTTTAAGTTATTTTTATGTATTCCTTTTTTTTTTTTATTTATATATATATTTTTTTCCCCTATACGTCACACTACGTGGAGCAAGAACTTGGCCTAGCCGAATTGGCCATTTTTTTGCAGGGACACTGCGAATGTTTTGTCATTTGTATGTTTGGTCATTTGTATGTTTGGTCATTTGTATGTTTGGTCATTTGTATGTTTTCCCATTTGTATGTTTTCCCATTTGTATGTTTACACTTTTCTTTGGGAGCCCATATTTATTTATTCATACCCACGGAGGACATGTAAGGGGCGCTGGTTGGACTTGGCTTGGCAAGACTAATTTTGTCGTTCCTTTTCTGTGCAGAAATAAATGTAGATAAAAAAAAAAAAAAAAGAAAAAAAAAAAAATGCATATGAATTCGTACATACAAAAGTGCTTACACATATATTTTATTTGCACAACATCAAGTGAAAAAATTTCCATCATGAAATAATAAAACATATTTATCCACTCCATTAACTTCACCCTGCTTTGCATAAGTAAATGTGATGTGACACCCGTGTTACATAAGTGAAAAAAAAAAAAAAAAAAAAAAAAAAAGTTGTATCACTCAGCAGAGACACACACAACACAAAGGAGAAGCTTTTTCCACTCTTTCTCTGCTGGACCTGATGGAATGCCATTTTTCACCATTTTCACATGCGATTTTTTTTTAATATATCCACCTTTTACATTTTTTAATCATGTTTTTGGAAAAGGGAAAAAAACAAGTTAATGTATATTTGCATACCCACATATGAATATACATTTATTGTGAGTATTTACACAGTTGAAAAAATATATTAACAAACATTTTCTGTTCATACGAATATAGAGCATTGACATGACACATATTTTAAAAATAAAAAAAAGAAAAAGGGAAAAAAAAAAAAAAAAAAAAAAAAAAAAAAAAAAAAAAAAAAAAAAAAAAAAAAAAAAAAAAAAAAAAAAAAAAAAAAAAAAAAAAAAAAAAAAAAAAAAAAAAAAAAAAAAAAAAAAACAAATTAGAGGGTATAATAATCCTATTAATATGATAATCACAGGAATTGATAAACAAATTGAACAAAATAAAAAATACCACGCCATGGGAATCAGTATTTATATCCCAAGTGACGCATCAAAGTGGTAAATCAGCATATACTGTTTTGAAAAAAAAAAAAAAAAAAAAAAAGACTATAATTCACTAAAGAGGAAAATCAATTTGACATGGATAATAAAAAGATAAACATTATTATGGATATTTTTGCTATTCATAATTTACTCTCAAAACCATAGTTTATCAAAAGAAAAATTGACTTTGTCTGTATTTTTTTAAATGGTAATTCGTGCCTATTATGATTTGGCATTAAAAAAAAAAAAAAAAAAATTAAGCGTAAAAATTCCTCTTTATAAACTCCAGATGATTATCAGATTTGTCTTCATCCCTAAAAATGGTAAGGATACCCCAAAACTCTGCACACAAAAAGGAAAATCACCCCTCCTCTCGCCCCTCCAAGAGTATATATGCACTTATCTAAGTTCCTACATCTGTACCTATATCCCTGCCCAATGAATTCTAATTATTCGTGAACAGTTGAACATGTCACATGCAAAGTCCTGTTTTAACAAATGCATATGCATTTTCTACCATCGATCGGAATTCAGGGAAGATGTATTAATAATGTGTTCAAAATTTAAATGGCTTCTTGGCGCTGAAGGGATTGTTCATATTGTCGAAATCCATTGCTGAAGGTTGTCGCGGGAAATACATGCTAGACATATCAGGCATTTTTTTATCTTGAAATGAATTGAAGTTTGGGAAGTTTTGTTGAAAGGATTGTGGTCCTGAGTAGGAGTATTGTCTTGTCATTTGTGGAAAATAGTTTGGACTCATATTTGGCGGCATACTAGAACCCATTCCAGGAGGCATATTAGAACCCATTCCAGGAGGCATATTAGAACCCATTCCAGGAGGCATATTAGAACCCATTCCAGGAGTCATATTAGAACCCATTCCAGGAGGCATATTAGAACCCATTCTAGGGGAGAGAGTATTCTGCATCGTTGAACCCACACCAGGTGGCACATTTGCAAAAGGAGAATAGCCACCAGGATTCATTACTCCCATCGAATTCATATTCATTTTATTGAATTCCATAAAGTTGGGGAAATTATTTCCACTTGGACCCATCATTCCTGTGGGTTTTCCAAAAGGCATAATGTTACTGTAACTTGCACTTCTAGGAACCATCATATTACTTGGACTATCAAAGAGTGGTTGATAGAAATTATTAGCATTCATTGCATTTTTATTATGCATATTTATATGTTCTAGATGTGATTTCTTTTGACTATTTTTACTAGAGAGGTCTAATATTAATAAGGAAAGAAAACATAGGGCATAAACACCAGTAGTAATCATAAAAATGTAAAAACAATAGGAACATTTAGGGAATGGATATTGCTGAGCTTTGGTAACCATGTTCCATGATAAATCAGTTTCATAATACCAGTATGTACCTATTCCTCCATTTATAATAAAAGAAAGCATAAACGATGCCATTGAAATGAGTATACTTTTTGAAAAAAGAATATTCCAACCAATACATAATATTATAAGAGTACATGATAAAACAATCGCACACAAAAGTATTAAAGAAATAAATGAAACTCTTTCATATGCTTCCATACGTCTTATAATTGCATCTCTACATGCTTCTTGACATGCTGAAGTCCATAAAGATAAACTTCCAGCTGATTCACTATTTCTTCCCACTTGGATACCTTCACTACCTTTACTTCTCATATTTTGTACTCTTTGTGTCCACGTTTCAACATGTTTATCATCATAAATCACTTTATACAATCCGTAGTATGTATAATCAACGAATAGAGAATGTTCACTTCCCCTGAACATGTATTTGTATTCTATCGGTTCTGCTTCTCTCCATGTTGTCATTACTGTTGTTAAAATCTGTGGAACTGCACTGATAAAACCTACTGCCATAATTATATTTAGAGCTCTCAGCACATTTTTCGATAGTGCCGGTGTCCCTTTTTTTCCCTTGTGTGCCCTTCCCATTTTGCTAACTAGTGCCACCTTGATTTGGAAGTGGCCTCACCTTGATTTGGAAGTGGCCTCACCTTGATTTGGAAGTGGCCTTACCTTGATTTGGAATTCGGAGTCAACCTTACTATGAGAGCTTGCATGTGATAGATGAAAATTTCCCGTAAATCTTAAGCAGATTATAATACAAGAAATTTTACACTTTCTTCCCTTCGATAAAACATTTACACAATTGTCTAGACAAATACTCCCCACCTACAAAATGTATCACCACGATTACGCAAATTGCCGTTGGTCTAACTGTTCTATTACCAACTGTGTTTAAAAAAAAAAAAAAAAAAAAAAAAATTCTGGACATAAAAACGGATTAAATAAACTAAATAACAATATTAGCAAAAAAAAAAAAAAAAGGAAATGGAAGCAGAAATGGAAGCAGAAGTTGAAGCAGAAATGGAAGCAGAAGTTGAAGCAGAAATGGAAGCAGAAGTTGAAGCAGAAATGGAAGCAGAAGTTGAAGCAGAAATGGAAGCAGAAGTGGAAGCAGACGTGGAAGCAGAAGTGGAAGCAGAAGTTGAAGCAGAAGTGGAAGCAGAAGTTGACGTATAAAAAAAACGCTTAACACAGCAAACGGTGGTGCATTAACTATTTGCACAAGTTGACAGACACATTTTAAATTTCCATTCTTTGCGTCCACATTTTTTGGTCATTTCCATGCAAATGGTGTGTGGCATTACATATATTTTGCACAGATGGCAAGTTTACTATGTAGTGAAAAAAAAAAAAAAAAAAAAATAATAGATTAACAAAAATGTGGCAGACAAAAGAAAGGGAGAAAAACAGATTGGAAAAGATAAAAAAAAAAAAAAAAAAAAAAAATTTACCCCCGTTTTACACAATTTTTGAAAACGAAAATTTCCCAGATATTTTTTTGATAAAAAAAAATGTTGAGAAAAAAAAAAAAGTGACAACCTTCTAAATTTCAAAAGCATGTTGTGATACATATATTATGTTTTACTTAATTTAGTTGTCATTTAGTTGTCCTTTTTTTTTTTTTTTTTTTTTTTTTTTCCAACATTTTTTTCGAATACTTTTTCTTGTGGACACAAGGTGTGTAAACATATTTTTTGTAACCACCAAAATTTGAGTTGTTTTGAAAAAAAACTTGAGGAGAGAGTGTTCCTACTTCTGTGGTTGTCTTTTTTTAAGTGACAAATATTTTACACGCATTGCATGCGTGTGCATGTGGGCAGTTAAACATTCGCAAGTCAATGCATGCGCACGCGCATGTGTCTGGTAAGGAGGGGGAAGAGGACACGTGCGCCTGGGATATAAAAAAAATGATACAACAAAAAATGAACACAAAAAATGAGCACAAAAAAATGAATGTGAAAAATGAATGTGAAAAATGAATGTGAAAAATGAATGTGAAAAATGAATGTGAAAAATGAATGTGAAAAATAAATGCGCAAAATAAATGCGCAAAATAAATGTGCAAAATAAATGCGCAAAATAAATGCGCAAAATAAATGTGCAAAATAAATGCGCAAAATAAATGTGCAAAGGAAATGCGCAAAATGAACTGCAAATGGCTTGTACTGGACCGGATTGATGATGCGCCACCACCCCCACCCCACCCCTGGTGGGGAGAAGGGAGAGAAATGTAATTCCCATTTTTGAGAAGTGCATGCAGCCAAATATATAACGCATCTGTTCTCCTGATCGGGCAAGAAGATTTCAAAGATTTGGTTAAAGACAGGATCGCACAGACACATATGAACGTTGCATACATATATGTTATACACGAGCGGTTTGAAGGGCGAACCACGTGACGTTATTGTATCAAATTTTCTCAAATTGAATGACTTTTATAGACCCATTTGCACAAAAAACGGAGAAAAAAAGGGGGAGAAAAAGGGGGGGGGGGAGAAATGATCCCTTCCTTTATATACATATAACGATTAGCTCACTCTCCCCGATCCTGATAATTTTCCCTATCCTTTTCTTCACTCTTCAGAAGTAGGTGCAAACAAAATTTACTGCACCTACCATATGGAGTATTTAGTGCGTTTATACTTCTTCTTCAGCTTCTTCTTCTGCCTCTTCTGCCTCTTCTGCTTCTGCTCCTGCTCCTGCTCCTGCTCCTGCTCCTGTTGTTGCTTGCGCGTGCACGGGTTTGAGCTGTCCGATTACGAGTCTAAGCCCCTTGTGGTAGCCAGTATATGTTGCACCCTCTCTCTTGGGTTCTTATAAACAGTTTTTTTACCAAAAAATGCATTATTACTATTCAAATGATTACTAAACTTTTTCCTGTAATTATTGCCACAAGTAATACTACTACTACTACCGATGTTATTAATATTCCATTTTTTTTTCTTCCTCTTTTTTGTTTCTTCTTCAATATCGTATGACATGTCAAACTTGGAATTATTATAATAAGAATTTTTATATTTCCTATTGTTCTCACTTATGTACGAAAAATTTGTCGAATTTAATTTGTCTCTTCCGTTTGCACTCATCATATTTTCTTCTTTAACAAAATCAGATAACTTATGATTATTACTTGATATTCCATTTTTGCTACTATGTGGATGATAAAAATTATAATCAATAACACAATCTGTCTCTTTTCTTATGGTACAACACTCACTTATGTCATTACAAGTTTTTCGTTCTACTATACTAGCACCATGAACAGAGAATACGGAAGAAGTATACTTCCTTTCATATTCTTTATTAATCCTTAAAGGGTTGTAAAAGTCATTGATAATACTGTAACTGTGGCTGTTGTTATATGTCTTTAACTTTTCCAACTTATAAATATTCCTTTTCTTTAATCCACTTTTGCGATGCTGGTAAATCCTATGAGCTACTTTTCCTTTGGCATTCGGTTTCACAGCATGGGGACATTCGGATTTACTATGCTTAAAGGGTGATACAAGGCAATGGATGCAATTATTTTCTGTGTTCTTTTCCTTACTTTCTTCTTGCACAGCTGTGCATGGTGGGGTAATATGTGAATTGTTGTTCCTACGACCGTCAGCTTCTACATTTGCGTTTGCTTCAACATTTGCATCTGCTTCTAAATTCGAATTTGCTTCTCCTCCTTTTTCATCATGCAATGTAGCATAATGACTTTTCAAGTTATCACCACTGTTCGACCGTTCGCACACGTGTATATTGTTGTTCTGGGATGTGCTACCACTAGAACTTGCTTTACATTCGACATTTTCATTTACATTTTCGTTTACACTTTCGTTTACATTTTCGTTTACATTTTCGTTTACATTTTCGTTTACATTTTCGTTTACATTTTCGTTTACATTTTCGTTTACATTTTCATTTACATTTTCATTCTTGTGAATGCCATCACGTTTAGTAGAGAATGGTGCCTTATTAGCATCGCCGAGGTCGTCAAAGACATTTCTAACATTAGTTTTGATTGTTTTTCTATCGTAATAGTTACTTTTTTTCTTTTTATTATTGTCATTTTTTATGGGGAAAAAATGTACTTTGTGTGTATTTCTATAGTTCTCATTTTTGCCTGACCATGTCATAATATTTTTTTTTTTTTTTTTTTTTTTTTTGGATGACTTTTTAGCTAGCTGATGATCATTGTCAGATATGATGAAATTGTTCGCTATTTTTTCCAACTGCATAATATTATTTGGTACATTTTTACTATGCGCAATTTTTTTATCACCATTATTGTATGAGGTAAATTTGTAGGGGTTGTTATTTCTATACCTTTTCTTATTTTCATTGTATTTCCAATTGCCATCAATATGCATAGTAGCAATAGTGTTGTCCGATTGTTCGCTATCTAACACACTTTCTGAATCGCAGACAGGTCCATTATTCCTACCATGCCTGTTTAATCTCTTCGGGTAATATTTCGAAACCAATTCATCATTGCACTTAACATACTTGTCAGCGTATTTGAGACTCTTCCTACCGCATGGTTTATCATCTCTCATTTTTGTAACAATACCATTGTTTTCTTTCTTTTTGCTGATGTAATATCGTTCAATGTTTTTTGCTTTCGTCTTGATATGCGTGCTGCTGATATTATTGCCCTTCCTTTTATGCTTCTTGCTCGAGACACTTTCTATTCTGTCGCTTCTTAAGTAGTTGCTTCCCTTTGGGTTATTTATGCACTTGACAGTGATGCCTCTACCACTTACTAGCCTCTCGTTGGAGATCCTTGGTTTTCCAAGCTCAACGCCTCCACTTCTACACTTGGATCCTAAACACTTGTTGTTACTGTTCTTGTTGCTGCTGTTGTTACTGTTCTTGTTGCTGCTGTTGTTACTGTTCTTGTTGCTGCTGTTGTTACTGTTGTTGTTGCTGCTGCTGTTATTGTTGTTATTGCTGCTGTTATTATTCTTGTTATTGTCGTTATTGTTGTTGCTGCTGTTATTGCCGCTGTCCCTGCCCCTGCCTCTGCTGCTGCTTCGACTATTGTTGACGTTCTTCTTCCTGTTTCCATTTAAACTTGTGATAAAAATTCGCTGGCCATTCCACTTTCTCAATCCATACCACATGTCACACGGATTTTCACACATGTTAAAATAAACATTGTTTTTTTTGTTTACATACACTTTAGTCGATTCATCACTAAATATGGAATTACTATCATTAATCGTTTTGTGTGTTTCTAACTGGTATGACAATTCACGATTCCCATTACAAGTTCCTCTAGTATCATCATTGCAGTTGCTATTATAACAACTATTGCGAATATCAATTCGGCTACTGTATGTGTCTTCAAGATCATTTTTATCTTCACCCATGATGTTGCTGAGTTCAATTTTTCTGACATAACTCCCTCTGTGTTTTTTCTCTTTGTCATCGTTTCCTTTACTCGGTATGTCCTTATGACTATTGTGGAATTTTATTTTACTTTTTTTTTCCCCCCAATCTGAATGGTCATGCAAATGGGAACTCAGAAGATCAGTAATATGGTCTAAAAACGGATCGTCTAAATCAGTATTATCACTTATTTTTCCATTCTCTCTACCTCGTATTCTTTCTCCACCACCTCCTACACCTTTACTTTTCTCCCCTATTTTGTATCTCTTTTCCTCAATTTTTTTTTTTACATAAATGAGAAAATTTTGATTCTCGTTATCTGCATCTTCCTCATTTTCATCATCATCATGATCATTCAAAATTTCATTCCTTTTATTTAGAACATCGAGGAGTTCTTTGGTCAACCTAAACCCTTCCCCATTTTGAATGTTCTTATTACTGTACTGAAGAGTACATTTATCTTCTTTACTGTAAATTTTTCCTTTATGACAATGTTTTGAAGAGTTACCGTTCTCTTTTTTGTCATAATTGTTGTTGTAGCCATACCCACAATCGTTCTTATAATCACCAATATAAGAATTGGCATAATTACTACTACCGTTGACATAATTACTACTACCGTTGGCATGATTACTACTACCGTTGGCATGATTACTACTACCGTTGGCATGATTACTACTACCGTTGGCATGATTACTACTACCGTTGACATGATTACTACTACCGTTGACATAATTACTACTACCGCTGACATAATTACTACTACCGCTGACATAATTACTACTACCGTTGGTTTTGTTTAGGTTTTTTCCATTCCCATTGTCAGTCCTCACATAATGAATAAATTTATTATTGCCTTGTACTTTATTCTTCCCTGATACTGAACTAATATAGATGTTATCCCTTTTTACCTTATCTGTATGGACTTTGCTACTCTGTTGTGTTAAATTATTCTTTTTGCTTAAACTGATTACAGAATAATTATAATTACTTTTTTCTGGGGTTAGAAATTGCTTTTTCTCATATTCAAATTCTTTTTCCTTTTTTTGATTATAATATACCAAATTTGATTGATACCCTTTTTTTGATCTTTTCCTACCTATGTGTCTGTCATTTTTCCAATCATGAATTTTTAACTTTTCATTTGTATTTTGATTTATATCTTCATAGATAATGTGAATGTTGTTACTGTTTGATAAGGCACCTTTGCAATAATTTGTGTCATTGCTTTCACTGATTTCCATAGTCCGTTTTCATACGTCTAATGGGGAATCGAAGTGTTCTGTGAATGTGCAGGGTTGTCAGTGGGGATGTGGCCTCTGTATGTATAGCTTCTGTATATGAAACAATCTTTTAGCAAAAGTATTGGTATATGCACATATTATACACTTATGTTAAGAAATGATGCGGAAGAGAACAGAATTTTATTTTAGGATAATGCAAAGTTAATACATCTGTAATCAAGTGGTGATCAATTCCACAAATTAAGAGAATCCTATATGCTTTTTTTTTTTTTTTTTTTTTTATTATAAAATATAACAAAGTAGGATCAAATGACAAGACACGCCACAAAAGTCAACTGTTTGTATACCTTATTATATATTATTTAACTAATACCAAATGATTGTGTTGTAACAAATTGATTTCTAATAGCTACCTAACCCCCTCCACCCCCTCATATAACAGGATAAAGAATTAATATCCCTCTCTTCCTTATCGTTTAAATACAAAACAAAAACAATTATGCAGATGAAAAAAAAAAAAAATAAAAATAAAAATGGCTTACTTGACAGATGCACAATTCGTTTATATAAAGGTTTAATGTCTCTTGTAACCCTTATATAGCTAGTAGATATTCTTGTTCTCGTTTTGACAAATTCAGTTGATATAACACCTAACCCCACAAATTGCTAAAAGTCAACACAACCCTTGTGCATATATATATATATATATATATATATATATATATGTGTAGAACAAGTGCAATAACGAACACGTACACACACACAGAACAACACAGAAATATCCTGTCCTCCTCTGTTGTAATCACTTTTCTATGTGCGAATGATCCAAATTTTTTTTTTTTTTTTTTTTTTTTTTTTTGTTTGAACTGTTTTAATTGATATTCCTTAATTGTGTTATTTTCACATTAACTGTAAAGTATAATATGAATAAAGATATGTGGGCTCTCTATATCTTCGTGTTCAATATTGGCACATATATGTACATATATTTATCTATTCATTTATGTATTTATTTTATTTCGCCCCTTCATAGTTAAGTGCCGTACCATGAGTCTCATTTAATGTTTTATAAATTATAATTGATATTTTTTCCAATGCAGCATGCGTGCATATATATATACAAGTCCTATGATTCTGGTGAAATCCTTCAGACTTTTCGGAAATTTTAGACAAAAATTATAATTTTCTTTTAGCTCAACTGCCACTAGTACTTATGATACGCTAGCAACTGGTGATATAGATATTGTCTATCCGATGATTTGGACAGAGGGCACAAAGTTGGGCTTGCTTCGTATAGGACAGTATGTGATCCCACCTGTATATTCACATATACAAATGTTGGGGGGATATACAAATATATATATGAATATACATGTACATATACTTATGCATTTACATGCTGTATTTCTCACATTTCTGTAAACATTGCAAATGCACACAAGTGTAAATGCCTTCTCACAAATGTGCTAGACAGATACGTGCAGAAACGACATAACAAAAAAAAAAAAATACATAAGAAATGCATTCACATGTTTACACATTTGATCATAGTCATATGTATTCATGGGGTTATTATATATTCCCCAATATTAAAAAATATGATAAATGGTAGGCTGACAAAATTTACAAAAAACTATTAAAAAGAAATAAAAATTTCGATCTAACGTTAACTTTTTTGAATAATTAAATTATTTCTTTCTCAGCAAAAACTTTTTTTTTTTTTTTTTTTTTTTTTCTTTTTTTCCACTTAATTTTTTTTCAAAACAAATTTGGAAAACTAATCCTATTATAAATGTATAAACAAAAATTTACTTGTGGGATCAAATAAAAAAAAAATAAAATAAAAAAACCCACTACGTATTATATATTACTACACAATATTCAGTACCTCCTCCCCAATAATAAACAATTAATTTTTCTTTTGTTTTTCTTATTTTTTATTTTTATTTTTTTTTAAAACTTATTTTCCCCATATTTATAAATATTAATATGCTAATGCAAAGTTATACCTAATTTTGTAAACTTCTAAGATAATGTCGCTTATTCACCCCAGAAAAATATTCAACGCCGAAAGGGACAAAAATTGCGTTTTCAATTTGTATATATATATTTATATGGGTTTTCTTTAAATCGACCAAATAAATTTTGTAACAGTGTAAGCTGATTTAAAACAGAGATATTCTTCGTTACAAATATGCTCTTTTATATTTTAACAATTTGTACGATAGAAAAAAAAAGAAAAATAGGATTCTTTGTTCTATTTGTTCTCTTTCGTTACCCTTTTGATTCTCTTTCGTTACCCTTTTCGTTATACCCTTTTTTTTTTTATCTAGTTGTACTATTATTCTAGAGCCAATTTATTCGATTGACAAACCAAATTATTTCCACTTCCAATTTGACCATATACATATATATCCACATACAAAGGGGTTATGGGAGGGTGTGTGGGAGAATTCTATTGGGTTGAGAAAAAAGCTTGTTTACTGTGGGTGATTTGGTTTGATTTTTAACCCTTTGCTTGGGGTAGGAATAAACTGAAATCAATTTTTCTTTGAAAGAGGAACTTGTCATATATGCATATGTATATATATATATATAATACACAGCTTATATAATACTCGGCTTATACAATATTGCGCTTATACGAATACCCAAATTTTGAAGATGATTGGGGTGTGATATAATAAAAAAAGAAATTAACTAATGTAATGGAACTTTTTAATGCAATTAAAAACTTGATAAATTTACTATGACACCATCAAATATAATTGGTGACTCTCATTGACACTGCACCAAACAACATGATGGTCTTTTTTTTTTTTTCTTTTTTTTTTTTTTTTATTAATACCTTATTATTATTCTTGGGTCAACGATGGGAATGGGTAAAAGATGGCATATAGTCTCTACTCTTTTCGCGCATAAAAATATGTATTCATATATATACACTTATAGAGATAGGAGAATAATAACAAATAATTGTCACAATTTATGGATGGAGATAAAACGTGTGTAACAGAGAATTACGTAATGCACTTTTAAAAAAATAATTCTTCTGATATGTATATAGGAAAAAAAAAAAAAAAAAAAAAAAAAAGGAATAGAAATAGAAGTAGAAATAGAAACAGAAATAGACGTAGAAATAGAAACAGAAATGGGCGTAGAAATATAAATAGACGTGAAAATAGAAACAGAAATGGGCGTAGAAATATAAATAGACGTGAAAATAGAAACAGAAATGGGCGTAGAAATAGAAACAGAAATAGACGTAGAAATAGAAACAGAAATGGGCGTAGAAATATAAATAGACGTGAAAATAGAAATAAAAATGAACATTAAGCGCTTTACACAGTTAACCTCATGAATGCATAAAATAGTAAGCACAAAAAGGACATAACGGCGCTTTAATTAATTGGCACATGTTTCATATTAATTAATTATATATGCGCGTAAAAGTATGCTATAAAAAAAAAAATGTTACATCTGCATTATTATAAAATTATGGAATACAATTTACAATATCTGATATAAAATGGTAAAAGGATTGGCTTAAACATATGTCGAAAATGTTTTTTTTTTTTTTTTTTTCTTTTCCTCCTTACATTACAATTTCGAGTATAAATTGGATTCTCTCGACGGGAGAGTTAAATAATTTTTGTGTTACTGGATTTATGGTAGTGATATGTTGTGAATTTTTTCTTTCTTCTATAACTTCAAAGTTTCGAAAAGAAACAAGTTTGTAAATAAATGAGAACAGGGTGGGTAATGAGCTTGGTCTAACATGTACATGTAAAAACATACATAATTATGCTCGAATGCGTACACCAGTACAAAATATTTACATGTATACATAGAATACGTGTTGGAGGTCTTTTCTTATTGAGAAGAAGAACAAGCACTGTTGTTATTTAGGAAACAAAAAAAAGAAAAAAAATTAATATATAAAAGGATGTTTATAGAAATAAATATTTAGATAAAGAAATGGTGAGATAATAATGTAGCAAATGGGTTATGTATTAGAATTCATATAATAAAAAATGGAGAGTAGAGACGATCAAATATATATATATATATATATAGTTTCTTTTATTTTCGAGTCCCTATGTATTTTATTTTTCTTCATTTTATTTTTACAAGTTTTAATATGAGAAAAAACAAAAGTAAAAAAAAAAAAAATATAATAAAATAATGAAAATTTAAAACATCCAACAACAAATTTACTTGAACAATTTTGAAATAATGATTAAACATTTTATAACAACGTGAAAAATGAATCAAAACAAGTAAAAACCGCGTTGTATTAATTAAATGAAAATAAATAAATTCATAAATAAATGCAAAAATGCGTGATTGTATATATATGTACATGTACACTACATATATATTATAATTTTATCAATGCGTATTTATATGAATTTAATTGCGCGCAACTGAAAACACAAAATTATATTTTTTAAAAACACGTTTTTGCAAATTGAAAAAAAAACAAGCGAAGCAAAATGAAGGAAAAATGACGCAAATGAAAGAAAATTGAAAGCAAATTGAAGGCAAAAATGAAACGAAGTAAATATAAAAAATGGATTATTTTTTTTTTCCTCCGTTTTTAATAAACCATGTATAAAAAAATTTACAAATAAAATTTAAATTTTAACATTGGACATGTCGCTAATTACGTACCTGTGCGCACGTGCATAATAATAAATTTATAAAAGTATATAAAAGAAAGCATATCATAAAAATATTTTTTTAACCTTTTTTTGTGGAAATGTTGCTGCCACTGCGAATAATTTATGAACGAATTTAATCCAACTTAAGAATAAAAAGGATATTCATTATTCTCGTGCTTGCTCCATATGTATCACATATATATATATATATATAATTATATGTATTGATATATAGTCAAATGTATAAGTATATGTATATATAATGCTATACGCATGTATTTATATAAGTATATAAATCAATGTATACATATAGGGTAAGAAATCGCTCTTGCATTTGGGTTGCATATAAAAGGGGGTCTGTCCGCCCGGAATGTATGATTCGTACTTACATGTATCCCATAAGGTACTATTGAACCTTGCAGCTTCAAACAACTGCTTCAGATCAAGTGGTGGAGTAGAGGAGGTGGCCAAATGTTGAAGCAGGGAAAAAAGTATGACATACATTACACGTATATATTATGTACGCATGTATGTATGTACGCGTAATAATGGTAGCCCCTTTACCCCGTACGGCAAAATAAAAGTTACACCAATGGTTTAACCATAAAAGGGGAATGTACTTCAACAGACAAATTATCCGTTTTATTTCAAAAATTTGGAAATTCCTCTCCTTTGCAATTTTCTTTCTCGAGTTGTCCCTTTTAAAACGTATTTCTCCATAAAAAAAAAAAAATAAAAATAAAAAAGATAGGTGGGAAAAGTGTCACAGGAAAAAACATTGACACACAAAATTTGACACACCATTTGAAACAGTTTAAAATGCAACAATGTAAGAACAGAATGGAAAAAAACGGGTTACATATTTTCAGCATAAATAAGAATGTTTAAGCAAAACATGCCATCGAGCTGTTTTTTTTTTTTTTTTTTTTTTTTTTTTTTTTTTTTTTTGCACAGAAATATGTTGAAAATAATCCTTACCTGTCATGTGCACATGTATATTTAACTTTAAACTAGGCTTTAATCATGTGGCCGAATTCGACAATTAAGCACAAACTGCACAAACTATTTGGAATTAGCCTGAACAGTCATATTTTATAGCCAAAACGGAACAATAAATTTAGGGGAAAATCTATATCAGCTGTGGCTTGTGTGTGTTTTAATTTTTTTTTTTACTTTTTTTAAGTATTGCTATATATAACTTTTTTAATAATATTCATGGGAATCAACTTAAAATGTGTCCATTCCTTTTTTTTTTTTTTTTTTTTTGTATACGATTTTTTTTATTTTTATAGCTCCTAAAAAAAAAAAAAAAGCATAGAAAATACAACTGCTGTGTGTGAAAGTACAATAAATCAATGTATAAATACGAATATGTAAAAACCAATGCTTAAATCAATGTACATTTGATTACATATTCCATACTTGTAAATTTTTGATAGGAAAAAAAAAAAATAAAAAAATAATAAATGATACATGTCTTGGTATATTCACCTTTACAGAAAATATATCAAAAATACAAAGCATTGTTATATGCAATATGGTGTCCCGTGCATATATATATATATACCACACAGTGGGAAGTATAATATAAAATTACACTTAATGGCTAATTCTTGTGTTCGAATTACTTCCAACCCCAGTGTAAAGATATTAAAGATATAGATCATTTGTCACATCGATATGAGATAACTTAACGCATAACTTATTTTTGCATTTCATGTATAGAGGAGTCACTTTGCCAACAAATTTGTGAATTCTCAGAAAATCTTCTATACATAGACAATTTGTTTTCTGAAATAAGAAATATACGAGCCTATTTGTATATGTGCTATATTCTTGAGAAACAAAAGGGTTAAGTATTTTAACTGCTGCATATCCATTCGCTTCGTTTACAAATCCTTTCCATTCAACACATGATTGATTTATCATCTTGTTAGTTCTCAAGTTGGTAGTTGAAGTTGGGAATTCATTTTTCTTAGGAATGGGTTCAATTATTTTTATATCATCGCCCAACAAATTTTTATTATCCCAGGTATCGGTGTCAGAATCAATGAATTCTGAAAATAAATCTGGATCATATGTCCCCTTAATCGGTTTATCAGTATCCAGTATATCCATGCCCCTTGGTATGAACTTACACAAATTGTAAAGAGTCTGATCTAGTATATCATCAGTTGGAAAAAAGTAGTATACACGGTTCGTTAATTCATAATTGTCTACAAATGGAACAAAGGATGTTATTGCAAAAGTTGTTTTCGTCCGGCACTGTGTGAAAAGGGGGCCCGACTTATTCTAAGCCAAAAAGGAAAATACACACAAACACGTACGTACATATATATATATATATATACATATATATAGGTATATGTATATGTCTTATTCCACGCCTTATAACTTCTAACTTCTAACCATTTCAGTGTTGCTTTCTTATCACGCTTTTGAGTGATTACAAGTCATGCCATACATAGCCTTGCATAAGAACGGTTCGAATTTACACTTCACAAAATTTGTTCAATCCATGTTGTAGATAAATGTTTAAATAAATGGATAAGCACCTTATGCCCACATGGTAGACAAGTGGGAAAGAGTAGCAGGTAAGCAAAAAAAATAAAAATAAAAAAATAAATATATAATATAACATAAAATAAAATGTTATACTACAAGGTCTCTTACGATAAATATAACAATACTCAGTTATTACACATCAATATTAGTAGAAAAATAATGGTGAACTAAATGCAAAGAGATCAAATGAAAATTCTTTTCTTTTCTTTTTTTTTTTTAAATTGCATGCTGCACATAACATACTTTTTATGTTCTTTTTTAAGGAATAAAGTAAAGATTCAATCTGCTTTTTGCTCCTATTGCAAGGTTTTCCTTCACTTGTGGGGGTGTCAATACCATTTGGTAATGTAGTTGTCTTTTCCATTCCACTTGTAGAAAAAATAAATAAAAGACCTTTTAGTATAGCGTACAAAGAATGGGAATCTTAATATTTTTTACTTTTAAGTTTTGAAAAGATTTAAATAAAAAATTCAAATTTATATTAAGGAATAAACGATGACCCACAATTGATGAATTGACTTGTCTGGCGCTCTTTACATTTTTCTCATTTTTCTTTTTTTTTTTTTTTTTTTTTTTTTTTGGATGTGTGTGCAAATTGGTTTTCACTGCAAATTTGTTCATATCAATTATAAATTCATAATGTTGACTTAATTTATGATATTATTTTTTGTTAGGAAATTTTCCGTAGTGTGTTTTTTTTATTTTATTTTTATTATATTCTTTTTTTCACTGATTACACGATGGTATGTTGCACACGAGCGGTTATTTGTACAGATGGAAATAATGAGGGCATGGAAATGCGTTAAGACAAGTTTTGTTGTTGTTCTCAATCTGGTATTCATTTCTGTAACATTAGGATTGTTTTTCTGTCAATCCTAAATTGTTAAAAAGTGTATTTTTTCTTTTTTCCTCTCAATCCTTTGTTCAACATTTTTGTACACATATATAATGGGAAACACTCATAACAATTGATTTATCAAATTGGGCTAGACAGATTTGATATATATATATTTTTTTTTTTTTTCATTTTTCTTATTCTTTTCATATTATGTAAAGTAAAACGTGTTGAAGTTGTGAAGACAGACATGATTATACTTAGATCAATTTTTTAATTGGAAAAGTAAAATGGGTTTGTAAGTGTAGCCGTGTTGTTTTTCACATGTTTGCGAATATGGCAAAAAAAATAAAAAAATAAAAAAATAAAAATATATATATATATATATAAAATAAATAAATAAAATGCCCTCCTGAAGAAACAAGTCAAATATAAGATATAACATAGGGAGTAAGCCTTGCGCAATCAAAAAATTTCTGACATGTTCACAACACAGTCTGATATTATTTTATGTTTCCATTATTTTATTCTTTCCAAAAAACGTAAGTCTTTGAAATGATGTTGATAGATCGTGCATACAACACAAATATTTCCTCCCTCCCCCCTACACAAATTTTTTTTTTTTTTTTTTTTTTGGAGCAAGGGATGGAGAGACATGTGCTTATATATTAAAATGTGAAAGAGACAATATGGTTTTCCCTTCCACGTTCTATCAATCCCGATAAATCCTCACAAATGTTATGCGTAGAGTGATACATATTTGTATGTAAAATAACTAAGCCCCTTTATATTTTCTTCTTTAATCTGATACAATGAAAAAAAGCCCCAAGGTGTGTTTCTGATTGGTGCGAGAGAAATTTTCTCCCTATTTCTAACTAACCATGTAAAAATGAAAGCAGAACTTTTAAGATCGCGCCGACATGCTGTTTTAATTGCACTGCTTGGCTTACGCAAGCAATTTGGAAATGCAAAAAAAAAAAAAAAAAAGTTTATTTCTTAAAACCCTAAAAATGGGGGGGTAGTGTTCAGAAGGTGCTTTTAATTAAGCAAAAAATAAAATAAAAGGGAAAAAAAGGGAAAAACAGAAAAACAGAAAAAAAAAACAGAAAAACAGAAAAAAAAAAACGGAGAAACAGAAAAAAATCACATTTCGTTGGGGTTATCACATCACACTTTGTGTGAAGAAATCACATTTCGCTGGGGTTATCCCATCCCACTTTGTGCGAAGAAATCACATTTCGAATTTTTTATTTTTATTTTTTTTTTTTTATCTTAAAAGTTTTCTGCATAAGCAAGCACCTTTTTTATCTCCATTTGTTTGGCGCACAATTACACCCACATATTCGCACATTTCAAATCGTTCTGATGATTACCCCAACCCCATTGGCGTTTTTCACCGGGATAACTGTGTGGATTTACAGTTAGAGAAAATTTACGTGCAGTTCCATTTGAGGTTCTGCATTCTCATTGTGTGCTTTTTATGTAGTATATACATTTCTGTTACCCCAACACTTTCCCATTGTGTATGGTTAAACACATTATTGTTTTACCTCTTTCGTGTGTATGCGTAAGCAGATTTTCATTTTGAACTAATATTCTGCCATATGTCCTTGTAAAAGCATCCATCAGAGGGATTATTTTATTTTATTTTTTTTTTTTCGTTTTTGTATTTTCCACCCTCTGTGACATTTCCCGGCCAATGGTGAATGTTGTGGATGAAATGATAAGTGCAGTGTGCGAAAATGAGCACACATTGCTAGCTGAGTTACAGGGAAAGTATGAATTCATAGACTTTAATGAAATAAAAAATTGCAAAGAAAAGAAGTTTTATCATGAATTAACATTAGAAATGCAAAAGATTGTTAAGAATAACAATGTACAATTAAAGGACAAGTTTAGACTATTTCACACGTATTTATCACCACTAATGAGCAAATTGAAGAAGACCATATATGCAGAATTGTTATACATTGTAACAGTTGAGTTTGATGCAAATTGGACAATATCTTACGTGAAAGAATCTGAAAAAAATTTAGAAAATGATAAGGATGCAATAATAATATATAGATGTATACTAATTCTAAAATACATAGAATTGGGTGATTTTAAAAGTTGTGAAAATGAAATAGAAAGTACTAAGAACATGTTACAAGGAGTTATAGGACTCAATATAGTGGCTCATAAATTTTACAATTTTGCAATAATGAATTATTATAAAGTATTAAGTAAATCAGATCTCTTTGTTAAGTATTCGTTATTGTACTTGGCATATACACCACTGAATGATTTAGATGACTCAGAGAAAATCGAAATTGGTAAATATATATGTATGCATTCTATAATAAGCGAAGATGTGTATAACATTGGAGAGATAATTCAATTACCCATTATAAATATATGTATAAAAAATAATGAACAGACCAATTGGTTATACCAACTAATTTATATATACAATGAAGCAAATATTGAATCATTTAATCAGGCCATGCAAACTTATGAAACCAATATAAAAAATTCACTTCTTAAGAATTATGATAGAAATATGATAAGAAAAATAACCCTCCTCGCTCTAATGGATTTAGCTTTTAAAAAAAAAAAACAAAGATCGGATATTTCTTTTATCGAAATCTCAGAACATTGTAAGGTAGATATTAATGAGGTTGAAAAAATGCTAATTACAGCCAAGAGTAAAAATATACTTACATGCCAAATTGATGAAATTCAAAAGTCAGTCAAAATTACCTGGGTCAAACCCAGAGTTCTTAATAACCAAAAAATATTCCTCATGAAAGAAAGCATAGACAAATGGATAACACATTCAAAGAATCTCTTGACCTATATGGAAGGACTCTCGGTCGAACTTCTCATATCCTAGTGCGGATTGGTTATGACTCGAAGGGGAATATCATAACTAAAACTGTTAAATTTGCATGCTTGTGAAAAAAAAAAAAAAAAAAAAAATTCATCACCCAACTAGACAGGTTTTAGCACCTTGAAGGGACTCCAAATTTGTAAATTTTATCTACTCATCGATATTTCCACAAAATAGTGCACAAACACACACACAAAAGGGGGGGGGGAAGCAAAAGTGATACATTTCCTCTTTCCCCATCCCACTGACCGAATGCATTTTTTTCCGCATCATTTTATCATTGCTTTTTATTTTTCACACGCGCGCATGTAAATATATATATATATATATATATATATATGTATACATTTTTTTTTTTTTTTTTTTTTTATTTATAACCTTTACAATGCAAAAGTATGGTCTCTATTTTTTTTTTTTTTTTTTTTTTTTCAAAATTTTTTACATATCAGCAAACGAATAACATTGTGTGTATGTTAACAACTTAGCTAATCAAAACATTTTGGTGTGAAGAAAAAAAAAAAAAAAAAAACGTGACACATTTAATGTGCTGCATATTAAATATGATTATATAAATTCAATGCTTCACCATGTATTATACATATTTACACATATTGTCAGGAAGTAGGTGAGTAATGGGACTGATGGTGTACACATTGGCAGTTGGATTTTCTATGGAGTAGTACTATCTCCATGTCACGAGCACGTCATCTGTTCGATACCTCTGATGAATACTTATATTGTCAAAATTGTAAGCATTTTTATTTTCTGAATTTAAAAACTCGAGGTAACCTGTGTAGGCAATCATAGCGCCGTTATCTACACAGTAGCTGTGATCCATAAATCCAATTTTTATATTTTTCTGCTTTGCCATTTTTTTCATCATATTTTGAAGAAACACATTACACCCTACTCCCCCTACTATTATGACTTCCTTACTATTAGTGAACGAAATGGCTCGCTCGGTTATTTCTATCAGCATGCTGAATATATGGTGTTGCAGGCTGTAGCAGATTTGTATTTTTCTTTTCTCTTCGTCGGTTAGGATGGTACTGTTATCATCCGATGTGTTGGGGGAATTTGTGATATCATTTACATTTTCATTTTGGACACTCACAGCATCCTTTGCGTTCTTATTTTGTTTGAAGACTTTCGCTGCCCCTTCCTCGTCCGATGTGCTGTCATAAAAATCGCTATCCGTCTCGATAGCACAATCATCATCCATGTATTGGTTATCTTCACCATAATTCTTTTTCCCTTGATTGTTGTAAATGATGTTCTCTTCATAATAAGAACTCCCTTGGACACCAGGATGTATGCTCAAGTTCATCCCAACAAATTTCTGTGAACTTCCTGACATAATGTTTGTTTCTCTATCTCCTTCTTCTTCCACAACTTTGTTCATACGCATGGCTGCACCCGAATTTTCTTTTCCCTCTATCACATCTGCGTCAGTTTTCCCTTTCCTCTTCAGCTGTTCTTTCCGTTCTCTCTCTTCTTCTTCTTGGTCGTTCTCTTCATGGCCGTTCTTTTGGTGCACTCCTTCCGAAGAAGATAATGATGCGGATGAATCCATAGTTCTTTTTTTTCTTTTAAGAACTTTTATATGGTTTGTGGAAGGAACTTTGTCATGGGGGGAGTTTTTCTCCCTCTGGATGCTGCATACAGACATGCTATTATCTAAGTCTTTTCCTTTGTTCCTCCGTTTGGTTACATACTTGGAAAAATATTTACTCACGTAGTAGTCATATCCACTGAAGGAAATGTCCATTCCCTTTATTGTATATGGAAAAAAAAGTAGTTCTGTATAATCATGTTGGTATCTCTTTTCTCCTCTTTGTGGTTTAGAAGGAATAGTTGGGGTAGCATACACTTGGCCTCCTTGATTATCTTCGTTTCGAAATGTGCTACTATCGATCTCACTTCGAACCATTCTTAGAGCATTGGTAGCGTCACTGTGGCTGTCACTTCGAGATCCCTCCTCCTGTGCGCTTGGATGCACATTTGCGTTATTTTGCTCATTTTGCTTATTTTGCTTATTTTGCTCATTCTGCTCATTCTGCTCATTTTGCTCATTTTGCTCATTTTGCTTATTTTGCTCATTTTGCTTATTTTGCTCATTTTGCTTATTTTGCTCATTTTGCTTATTTTGCTCATTTTGCTCATTTTGCTTATTTTGCTCATTTTGCTTATTTTGCTCATTTTGCTCATTTTGCTTATTTTGCTTATTTTTTTTATTATTTTTTTTTTCTAGAACATTTAGGAGATGCTTTTTTCTAGCCCACATTTCCACATTATATCCAGGAGACGGTGAATTGGAAATTCTGAGAATCCGGGCTGATCTGTCGATCACATTTCCTATGGCTATGTCTAAGGTCTCTCCAATTATTTCATATTTCTTCTTATGATTATTAAAATAAATTATTTGCGTGTTACTACCACTAACATATAAAATAATGGGGTTATACAAATTGGTTATAAAAATACCCATTTCTATGTGTGCAATACAGTGGTTGACTCCAACTACAGGTATATTAAAAAGCAAAGAAAAAAATTTACTGATATTGTAAGCAATATACAAAGCAGATCCTATCCCTGGTCCTTTTGTATAGCATATTAGATGTATATCTGTTATTTTTATTTTTAATTTATTTAGACATTCTTTAATCATTTCGATGATGTAATATTTATGATGTGCATTAATTTGTCTCGGGATGAACCCGCACCCAATTTCAGAAACATATGTTCTTCTCATGTTTACAAGAATTTCCATTTTATCATTTATTATGCTAATTCCTAGTTTGTTTGCACTACCCTCTAGCCCAAGAATGTACTTAACTCTTTTTTCTTTTCCTTCCATATCTCCTTCCACTTTACTGTGTATAGATTTTATACCACAAACCTTTTTGGAATCATATGACCGTGCTTACTGTATGTGCACAGGACTTTCCAAATTGGGCATCATTTATCATAACTTTCTTTCTATGGCCACTTCTCGACCCAATTATTAGAGAAACAGATGCTGAATTATGGGGGGAGAAAAATAAATAAATTCAGTCTCCAAAAAAATTATGTGCCTTAATAATGTGCCTAAGGGTTCGGGGTTTTCATGCAGAGGGAAAGAAATGTGTCCATAGAGGGAGAAGAGGGGGGCTAGCTAAAAACATGGATTTTTCCCGAAGGAGAGTTTATCAACTTGAACAGAAAATATCACGTGCTCAGGTCATCTTTTAAAAAAATAAAATAAATACAAGTACCATAAAAATAAATGCAGCGTGGGTTTTATTTAAAACAAGAAAAATAATTTGTCCCTTCTTTGTGTATGTATGTATGTATGCTTGCATGTATGTATATATATAATATATATGGAAGGAATTAAGAAAAAATACCATGGTGCATAATAAATGATATATGCGGAGTTGTTTTTTCCCTTTAAAAAAGAAACGACGGGGAAAAAATTTGTTCGGTAAAAATTGAATCTACCATCATCTATCTGTTAGCATAAAAATAAAATTATGCCCAATTTTTTGGTGCTTTACTGAAAAATAAAATACTAAGAGAAAGAAATGCTTTTCTTTTTTTTTTTCTTTTTTTTTTTTCTTTTTTTTTTTTTTTTTTTTTTTTTTTTTTTTTTTTTTTTTTTTTTTTTTTTTTTTTTTTTTTTTTTTTTTTTTTTTTTTTTTTTTTTTTTTTTTTTTTTATTCGTCCTACATAATCACAACCAACAATTATATAATTTTCAATTTATTTTCATTTCATTTTATTGTATTTCTTCTCTTTCTAAAAAACATCTACAGATGAACTTTATCCAAAATGAGTAACTGTTCGAGTTATGCTTTACTATTCATTGTTGTCATACTTCTCCTCCTTTTATATATGTTTAATAAATATATGAAGGAGTCGTTGAGGAGGAAGGACTGTGTTACGGTTGATACAGAGGAGAATTTTTTTCAAGTCCACCACGGATGATAGCCATCGTTAAAAAGAGAGATAGATGGCATATATATCAGATAAGCACTTTTATAACTAATGTATCAGAAGAAACATGGTTAATCAGTCCTAACGATTTAATTTTTCGTCAGCTTTCTTAACCATTTTCTAGTGGTATTAAAAAAAAAAAAAAAAAAAAAAAAAAGTGTTTTTTCTTCATATTATGAGTTGAGAAAAATGGCCACTCTTCTTCTGAATAAGGAGAAGAAGGTTACTACTGCAAATGTTGTTTCGGAAGTATGTCCCAAAATGTATGTTGTGATTTACAACATAGGGAAGAAAAAGAATATTGGAAGTATCATAAGAAACTGTGTTGCATTCAATGTGAGAAAAATATTTGTAGTAAGCAGAAAAAAAAAAGAAGTCAATTTTTTTGGAAACATGGGAACATGTGAATATATATGTATAGAATATTTCAGCACTATGAAAGAGTTAAAGAATTACCTTCAAGAAAATGATATATTATTGTATGGATGTGAAATAACAAATAATTCTGTACCAGTAACAACTTATCCATTTGAACATAAAGATACAGCTTTTTTATTTGGGAATGAGGGAACAGGAATTCATGATGAAATACTCAATTATTGTGATAAAACAATTTACATACCTCAATATGGAAATGGAACTAGTTCTCTTAATGTCTCCGTTTCATGTGGCATTATTTTGCATCACTTTGCATTTTGGGCAAATTATCCTGAGATGGAAATTTCTGGTAAAAAATTCATCATCAACAAATGTGCAAATAAATTAGAACTATATTTAAATCCATCCGATGATTTGTTGTGTCAGATAAATGAGAAGCGTGCGAAGAGATCCGCACTCCCGGTGGAAGCGGATTTTTCTCTAAAGTTTTTGGACACCTAAGTGGGAATGGCAGGGAGGAGGGGGGTGGATGAAAAAGTGGTAATACGGCAAAACGATGAATAGTGTCCCCATCACCTGTCATGTCTTACGAAATGCATACCATTTTGAACTTGGAGAAAATAACACAGAAGAGAGTATATTGAGCGGTCAGCTATAAGGTAGGCACGCAAAAAGGATTTCTCAAATCACAAAAAAGTTTTGTGTTATGGCCCCACCCAATTTTGACCAAAAGAGGGTAAAATGTCCGAGGGGCACGCGGAGCAATTTGGAATTTCGCAACAAGTGTAACATTTAGCGTGCCTTGAAGTGGATTATTTTATTTTATTTCATTTTGTTGGTTTTGCAGATTTGACTGATTTTGTTGGTTTTTCCTGTTTTGCCGATTTTGCTGAATTCGCTGATTTTTTTTTTTTTTTTGCAATACAAAAAAATGCAGCGCGCCATGATTTTTTATGTCACCATTTTTGTGCGCTTTCTTGTTCTGTTTCAATATTTCCACTCGCACGTCTGCCGTTTTGGAGAATTCGAAGTAAGGAGAAAAATTATCCCAAGTGAAAAATGAAATTATTCAACCGTCCCAAGTCGGCATGTCGCTCATTAAAAAATAGGAATACATAAAGCATGCATCAGTTCCCATCCATCCGCATACGCAGTAAACAAATCAACACGTACGTTTACAGGAGATACCATTATTCACATTTTTGTGTGCATATTTTTCCCTCTTGGTCGTTATCCCCAAAACAGTGCAAAGCTGGCACAAAATTTAAAGTACTCAAAACCGTCATTTGAAAATTTTTAACCAACCCCCCCACCCCCATCCCCCAAAAAAAAAAAAAGGAAGAACAAGAAAATGCAAGGAAATATATCACAGAACAAACTGCAATTGATGAAGAAAAATTTTAATCTTGTTGATAAGAACAAAGATAACAAAATTGACACTGAAGAATTTAAGATACTAATGCAATTGCTTGGACAGACAAAGACAGAGAAAGAGATGGACGAGATAGTGGACAAACATTTCGAGGATGATAATGGAGACAAGGACACAGCAGAAGATGATGGAAAGTCAGAAATTGGAAAGTCAGATAATGGAATAACAAACGGTGGAAAGTCAGGCGGAGGTGCCTCCCTACCAGCCTCCAATTTGGCGAAACAAAAAAGCTGCCAGAAAAATGCCATGAAAGTGGCACCAAACCATGATCGAATAAAAAATTTAATCGCAAAGTTGAACAATTTTAATGATGATGAAAAAAAAAAAAAAAGCAATAATAATGAATTGATGAAAAAAAAAAAAAAACACATAGATTTTGAAACGTTTATGAAAATATTTATTAATACTTATACGGAACCTATTTCTTTGGACGAATTAATTAAGTCCTTTGAATTTTTCGATAATGAAAAAAGTGGTTACATTGATGAGGAAAAACTGAGATTTATTATTAAAAACACCGATGAAAGACTTATGGATGACGACATGAAATTATTTTTGAATTCTCTAAATTTCAGGGATAAGGACAAAATTGACTATGTTATGTTGGCGAAGCGGCTCAAAAATGTGACCTAGCAGGCCACACATCAGGCACATTTAACATATCTAGCACATCCACGTATGTTTGTAGGAACCCTGTGTTTGTGACGACTGAGAAGGGGTTAATGGTTTACTTCCCCTGTACCACCACCACACACACACACATACTAACTTTTCGAGGGCATCTTTGTGTGACCAGGGGTAAGGTTATATGTATACGTGAGTGCAAAGATATGTCAAATAGATATTTTATTTATTTTCTTGCCTTTTCATTCATTTGTTTGATTATTCATTTGTTTGATTATTCATTTGTTTGATTATTCATTTGTTTGATTATTCATTTGTTTGATTATTCATTCGTTTGCTTATTCATTTGCTTGCTTATTTATTTGCTTTCTTTTTCATTTGTTTGCATAAGCATTTACGACCTCTCTTGATTTACCAACCAACAAGCAAGCTACACATGTATGCATATTCGCAATAAGGGGAACACACTCACCCCAGTTGTGCAACACGTGAAAATATTCATAAAGTCCGCATCCACATCTCCAGTGTGATGACTTACGAACTAATAAAAAACTTTTTTTTTTTTTTTTCAAATCACGTTCGTTCTTTGAAAACGCTTAATTTCAACTATATGCTAGTTGGTTGCCGTTCTTAGAGGGTAATAATAGGAAAAAAAAAAAAAAAAAAAAAAAAAAAAAAAAAAAAAAAAAAAAAAAAAAAAAAAAAAAAAAAAAAAAAAAAAAAAAAAAAAAAAAAAAAAAAAAAAAAAAAAAAAAAAAAAAAAAAAAAAAAAAAAAAAAAAAAAAAAAAAAAAAAAAAAAAAAGAACAAAGCAAAAGAACAAAGCAAAAGAACAAAAAAACAAAACAAAAAAAAATAGCCCATATGCAGAGTCACACAAAAAAAAAAAAAAAATATTGGAAGGAAACAAAGGTGTAATCTTTATTACAACAAAAGCTAGTGTATCATATAATATGCAGACGATGTAGGGTAGTTTAAAAAAACAAAAAAAAAAAAAAAAAAAGACAAAATGGAAGAACTTATATAATATATTAGCTTAAAAAAGTTTAGACTTAAGCTTACTTTCTTTCCTTTATATTTACTTGTAATGATTCTTCACAGTGTCTTCATAGAACCCACTACACCATTGTCATCATAAAGAATGCGAATACAATTAAGATACTGATTTGTGCATATCTGTTCATTATACTGTGGACAGCTCCTGATTGTTCTGGATTACCTTCTCCTCCACTACTTTCACCTCCACTGCCTTCTCCTCCATTTCCTCCTCCACCGCTTCCCTTGACAACACATTTGTAAAAAGTTCCAATCAATTCGCACACCTCACCTGACTTACACTTTAATGTGCATTCTGTTTTTCCTGGTTTTCCACATTTTTTCGATTCATCCAATACAGTTCCAATATCACAAGAACATATGCTATTATTCACGTTGGCAGGATCTATTACACACTTTCCTTTATCACACACAATTTTATTACATACATTTGAAATACACTTCTGGTTCGTGAAGACATAGTTTTTTATGCAGGTGCAAATTGCTGCTTTTTCATCTGCCCTCAATGACGCGTTGGAGCATATAGCATAATCATCACAACTTTTATTTAAATTTTGAACATTTGAACATGCCAACTTTTGTTCGCAAGTATTCTCATTTAACAGAACAAATCCAACATTGCATTTGCATTCAAAATGATTACTCATTTGGATTAAGTATCCATTTTTACATACTGTGTCTGCAGTGACTTTTGCGTGTGCGTATTTAATCGCAAGAAGACCGACAAAAAAAACAAACAAGCTGTAATAAGTATTCATTTTGAGTAAAAAATAAGGTAAAAAGGGTGAGGGAAAAAAAAAATATATCGAATAAATGTTTTTTTATACAAAATTTTATAGTATTTTTGTGTTATCAAATTTGTAGACTCTAACGTTTTTCAGGTAAAAAAAGAAAAATGTAAAAAATGTAATGGAAATTGCTTAATTTTATTTTATTATATTTTTTTATATTCTATTATATTTTTTTATATCATATTATATTTTTTTTATATCATATTATATTTTTTTATATTATATTTTATTATTTTGTTTCTTCAGTTACTAGGTCAATTGTTTGTTTTATTTTTCAACTCAATTTAGCTTAATTTTGTTAAATTTAGTTTGGTTAAACTAAATTTAATTCAGTTATGTATAACTTGTTAATTTATTAATTTATTAATTCATTTTTTTTTTTTTTTTTCTGTCCCTTTTGTTGTTGTATCTACATGGCTGTTCATAATTTAAAAAAAAAAAAAAATTGCAATGCTTGAAACATTTTGGCTAGTTCCCTAATTATTTATTTCTTTTTATTATAGCTCAGCTGAATGACAGAGATTGTGGTCACCTCAGGAAAAAAAAAAAAAAAGAAAAAGAAAAAGAAAATTATGCTCACCATAAGTAAAATAACGAAATCTACATCGTTGTAGCAACCATTCTCTGTCTAAAACATGCTCACCACAGTTGTATCTTTATAGCTATTTAGTAAATTTCATTAATAATCTATTTACGAAGGTCTTATGGTATCGTAAATTCTGAATATGCATCCTTTGACAAAAAAATGGAATATTCATTTGCTACTTTCCGTTCAGTGCATAGGACCATCTCCAACAAGCATGAATGTTGAGCTAAAAATGTGTATTTTCCCAATTTGTTCCCTTACCTAAGAATAGCTTTAACTTGAACTATTCAAGCATTACCTACTTTAGTTGCACATGTATAAAATTTCATAGCCAGGAATATACGAAAAGGCAGAGCATATTTTCATTGCAATAAGAAATCCCTTTATTTATTTTTTAGTGCACACCTAGGATATCATATCTTATCAATGTTTTCCATTTGAAACCCTTTTACAAACACATTAAAAATGGAAATTTATATCTGCCTGTTGAAATTATCAGGACGTGTCGCACCGAATGCTCAATTTCAAGGTGTCCACTTCTTTGTGGAATTCGCCTATCACTGTATTTAATTACTTACATGTTAAACGAGGAAAAACGTACATATATATATATATATATATATATACGTTTATTTATATGCACACAGATGTGCACGTCCCAAGGTGAATCTAGCCGAGTAGGCATTCTGTCTTACATGGTTAAATAACTCAACGGAAAAACAGTTCAACGGATTTAGCTAAATGCAAAATAATAAAATTGAACATGGAAAGAGCACAATTGTATACGAGTGAACGATGAACGCCCGAAAATAAAATATTGGACCTCTTTACACCATATTATAACAGTCTATATTCAACATTGTAGATATTGTCATTTATGACATGTTTTGTTCAACCGTGTGTTTTTCTCAGAAAGATATATTTTTTATTTTTAATTTACATATTTTAAGTAAAAAATATGAAACTGCTCCTTTTTAGTAAGGCATTTTTTTTACAGTTTTTTCTGATTAGGCAAAATTTCACATTATTTATGGAATAGAAAAACTAATTTGTATGCATTAAGAAATTTATACACACATATGTATGCACTTGAATGCTTGCATAAAAATGTGGAATACACATTGAGATATTAACGAATTAGCGAATGGGTGTGCATATATATATATATATATATATATGTATGCATCACCTTTTTGTCACCTTGTATAGCTAGGTCAACTTTTTAGTTTGGTATACTCCAGTAATAAAATTCAAAGTATTTAAACTCCAAAAAAAAAAAAAAAAATTGCTCTCTTTTAGTACGCAATTTTTAAATTTATATCATATAAGCAAGTGCTATAACTATGACAGCGACGAGTGAGAGGTTTAAAATGTTAAATACTGAAAAGGCAACACATGTGTCTTGATCTTTGTTAAAATTAAATCCTTCCATACATTGGCACTTGTAAACTCCATCAACATTTTTGCAAATTTCATTCTCTTTTGTGCATTTTAAGTCACATTTAGTTTCACCTTCTTTTGTACATTTGTTTTCATCTTCTGGATTTCTAATTTTTCCAATAGGACATGAGCAAGCTGCATTTTTGTCCTCCTGAATTTGTTCAACGATACATTCACCATTTTCACCACAATTTTTTGCTATACATTCAGTAAGTACGCAAACATTTTCAGTCAAAGTATATCCTTCATTGCAAATGCATTTGTATTCATCCTCTTTTTCTACACCCTCTTTTTTTTCATTTTTAACACATCGACTAAAATCTCCGCATGCTTTTCCTACAGTGTCTTCCTTACATTCATTTTTTACTTCACATTCATTTTCAGAATGATGTAAAAATCCTTCATTACATATACATTTAAAATGATTACTCATTTGTGCCAAGATCCCATTTTTGCATAATGTGTCTACTGTTACTTTTGCGTTACTAAACTTTAGTGCAATCTGGACAAGGAAAAAAGCGAATAAGCTGTAGTACGTATTCATATTGCACGGGGTGTCAAGAGATTAAGCAGGGGTTGTTCCGGACTCGTGAATGTGGGAAAGCGAACAAATTAGCAAGTAAACAAGTGAGCAAATAGCACGTAAACAAATAAGCTAATAGCACGTAAACAAATAAACAAATAGCACGTAAACAAATAAACAAATAAACAAATAGCACGTAAACAAATAAACAAATTAACAAATAAGAAAATAATAACACAAACAAACAAGTGGATAAAAGATAATACGAGCAGGTAAACCAACGTCAGTGGAACAAAAATTAGAACAAGGTTAAAATAATGAAAAAAAATGTGCTAGTGAAAAGTTTTATATTTTGTAATAAAAAAAAAAAATAAAATAAAATATACATGCACATATATCTCTTAATTTATATCTTGTGTGTGACTTTTTTTTATTTCATTTTATTTTCTTACTTTTTAGTGACATAATTTTTTTTTTTTATTTTCCACCTAAAATTGTTTGCCCTGTTTGAGGTATCTTGACGTGGTTTTATTTGATAATGTAAAAAATAAAATAAATAGTAAAAAGCTCAGAATGATTTGAACTACACAAATCAATTAAATATAAATGACGTTTTCTTTAGTACGTACATCAAATTTGGAAGAGCAACTAGTGGATATTGTTCTTGTGGGTTTTTTTTTTTTTTTTTTTTTTTTTTTGTTTTCCCTTAAAGTGAGGACACTTTTTATACATTATAAAATTTGTTGGAAGTGCATAATTCACAAAAATGTATATTGCACTGTTTGATTTTTTCGAACTCACGAGCATGATGCTCTTAAAAAAAAGTAGTTCCTCCAGCAGTTTGTTAAGTTTTCAATAATGTCTATGCACATGTATACACATGCATACGCACATAGATACACACATGCATACGTACATAGATATACACATGCATACGTACATATATACACACATTCATACGCACATAGATACATACATATGCACATAGATACATACATATGCACATAGATACATACATATGCACATAGATACATACAAATGCACATAGATACACACATACATTTGCACTTCTTTTTTATTTCTGGGAATCTCAAATTAGTCCGTCACTCCCAGAATTGTATAGCAGAATTCACGCTTTACAAAAAAAAAAAAAAAGAAAAAAAAGCCCATATATCCTCTTCTAATGCCACGGCATTTTTAAGATAAAAGACCTCACATTTTACAACACAAAAAAAAAAGGGAACAACGTGCCGAAATTCATCCTCACTACCAGAAAGAATAGTCACAAATATTTCCCAAGTAGGTTAGTATATTGTATAGCATGTCCATCAAACTCTCATAATTGGGTTAGGTTTTGCATAACAGGGTATGTTCGAAAATATTACTAGTGCTATGGTTTTTGCAAAAATTGCTTGCACTCCATAATTAATTTGTTAACTTTGTGCTTATGCAATATTGTAAATAAAAATGGGGTTTCCTTCCACATCAACTGTAATCTATTAATTTCATTTTCGCATGAACTATCCACATGAATAAGGGCTTCATGTAATTTTTTTTTCAGCATATAATCCCGCCTGAAATGTGTTAAGGTGCTTTTAAAAAAATTCCTCAGTGAGAGCAGTATGTTGGAACATCGCCCTGAGGAAGAAATAGCCTTATCATATTGTGCTTCATCAATAATTCCGTTCAACCTTTTCATTTCATTTATGCATGCTTTCAATTCTATCAATGTTAATTTCACTGCCTCGAACTCTTTTATAAATGCATAAGTTAGTTCATTTTTCACAAGATCTTCAAATTCTTCCGTTTCGTCAAACCCTGTTATTGGGCTTTCACTATAAAAAGGGATGAAAAGGCACAATTATGGTTCAATGTGTGTGTTGCAGCATATATATATAAAAAAAAAAAATAAATAAATAATAAATAAATTTAAAATGTTGAAAATATTGAAAAAAAAAGAGAATATTTAAAAAAATGCAGAAATTGTGTTGTGATGAGTAAATTTACTGTGTCCCCTCCTCCATCTTTAACACACATGTTCATGTCTCAAACCGAATGAAACGTACTTTTTTTGAATGATAATTTTTATCAGCTCATTAATCGAAATAACGGTTGAATCGTGTAAATCAAAATACCGTTTGATACAAAGGATACTTTCATTTACTATAAGTGTTTCCCCTCTCTTTTCCGCCTTCATTATTAATAAGCAGACATTGCTTACATACTTTTGGGAACCCGACTGTTTTGTTAGTAATAATAAAAAGGGATAATTAAACAAAACGTTTTTTTCACTTTTTTTTTTTTTTTTTTTTTTTCATGTATATGTGGAATACCATTAGAAATAAAAATAATTTACAATGAAAACAATTTCATACCTGGTTTTGAACACATTCAGCGATATATGTATATTGGAAAAAATACCTCAGCTTCTTTTTGAGAAAAACAAAATGGCAAAATAGGAAAAAAAAAAAAAAAAAAAGGGAATATGCTTCTTATATTTTTGAACATGAACACATATTTGCTTGCGCATAGTTATACCATATGAATTATCGAATCATCGAGAATGTCGTTAAAGAACATGAAAATGGACGAAGAAAAGAAAGCCTTAAAAAAAAAAAAAAAAAAGCACTACAACAATTTGGTACCCGTTCAGTTTCACATTATTTCACTTTTTTTATTTTCTCAGTCGATTTTTTTCATTTTATTTTTTTATACAATTCCTTAGAAACCATTTGAAAAATGCAAATCGTAGGAACGCACAGATTAGTCAACTTGTAAAAAGTTCATATAGAGAAATGGCATTATAATTATTTACATTATTTGTAAACACCTAAATTCTCCATTATTAACAAAAAGGAATGTGTTTTACACTTTCATTAATTTAAAAAAAAAAATTCTGATAAAGCGAAGGACATTTGAATATCCTCCCAAGCTCTTGTTTTATATCACAATACAGTTTTTCTTAATTTCGTAAAAGTAGAAACGAACCCGTTGTTTACACCCATAAGATTAGTGTTCACACTTAAACGTACAAGCGGCGTTATACAAAATTGGGTTATAGCTTTATTTTATTTTATTTTAATTTTTTTTTTTTTTTTTTTTTTTTTTTTTTTTCACACACATGTTTGTATATTTTATTATTTCCTCCGCCGATGGAACACTTAGCTGATTACCCCAAATGCTTGTGTTATTATTGTACACTTTCATGCACAGTGGAAAAATACGCATAAAGGGAAAACATTTCATAGATTGGATTCATTATGGATTTGATGTCACCATGTTGGTATATTTGTTGACCAAGGGTTAAATTCAATTTGGCCGTAATGAAGCGTTACGTGGTGAATAAAAATTTTCACCTGCACATGTGCATGTATATACATATACATATATATTATGAACCGCTAAACTGGTTTTAATTCTGAAATATACGACATGGTTATGCAAATTTGTTAAAAAATATATAACTGATATTTTTTTTTTCCCGCCATATTATGGATGTATTAGGTTTCCACGTCGAAAAGCAGGTATAACATGTGAAAGTGACGATGGAAAAAAAAAAAAAAAAAAGGTAAAAAAAGGTTAAAAAAGACAAACCATCATTATGTTAAAAAACAATTTCTACTCATCTAATATATATAGCGTGTGGTGTTTATATGCAATTACAGAATTGCTAAAAGTGTACACCACTGATGGAAATAAAATTCAATGTTGTCACAGCAGCTGTCGCTGCAGTAGTCGCCGCAACTGCACGCCCATTTCCATGTGTTCTCTGTTCAGTACCCTATACTAGTGTGGGTGTATAATTTATGGTTCGAAATGTAAGGCGATAAAACATGTTAGTGTATTTTACCCAAGTCTGTTCTATTAACACCAAGGAAATATCTGAAACAGTTAACAATGTTGGGGAATTTTAATTGCTTAATATATTTAACACAATTGGTTTTTTTTTTTTTTTTTTTCTTTTTTCCCCCTCCTTCCCTCCTGTGCAACTATTTTAAAAAAAATATATTTATGCACAGCAAAGCGGTGTTGTTTGAAGGGTCATAAAAAAAGAAATAATAAAAAAAAAAAAAAAAAAAAAAAAAAAATTGTACGCAGTTGCTACATATAGTTAATGTCGTAATTTTTTTTTTTTTTTTTTTTTTCCCCCTATTTTCGTTGTTTGTTTAATGAGCGTCAAGTACGTCTTTGCGCAACACATTTGATACCCAAAAAAAAAAAAAAAAAAAGTGTACATATTACTAGTGCGGATAAATTACATGTCCACATACTCAGGAGAAGCAAACACGTGAGAGATACAACACTGATAGAACACTACGAGTAGACGAAGTGTATACACATTTGTACATGCTTTCTTTCATCTACACACTATGACGACGAGTACCTTGACGGAAGTAACCCATTGTTACAATGGAAATATCAAGGATGGGCTGTTTCATGGTCATGGGATTTTAATATACTCTAAAAATGAAAAGTACGAAGGAGATTTTGTATACGGGAAAAGAGAAGGAAAAGGTAAATTTACATATGCAGATGGTGCAACATATGAAGGGGATTGGGTTGATGACAATATTCATGGAAAAGGAATAGCGAAATTTGTTAGTGGAAATATATATGAAGGAGAATGGGAAAATGGAAAGATAAATGGATTCGGTATTTTAAATTATAATAACGGGGATGTGTACGAAGGAGAGTGGTTAGATGGGAAAATGCATGGAAGAGGTACATATACTTATGAAGATGGAGATGTATATATAGGTGAATGGAAAAATGATAAAAGACATGGGAAAGGATGTGTAAAATATAAGGGTAATGAAAATAAAATTGCAGAAACATATGAAGGCGATTGGTTTGAGGGAAAAATGCAAGGAAAAGGTACTTATTTTTTTGCTGATGGAGGAGTTTATGAAGGAGATTGGATTGATGGAAAAATGGAGGGAAAAGGAATTTATAAATTTTTAAATGGTAATAAGTATGATGGAGATTGGTTTAATGATATGAAAAATGGTTATGGAATTTTAACATATGTAAATGGGGAAATGTATGAAGGATATTGGAAGGACGATAAAGTACATGGGAAAGGTACACTAACATACAGTAAGGGAGATAAATATATAGGCGAATGGAAATTTGCAAAAAAGTCAGGTCAAGGTGAATTAATTTATGCTTCAGGGGATAAATTTAAAGGGGAATGGAAAAATGACAAAGCTAACGGATTTGGTGTTCTTCTCTACTCTAATGGAAATAAATATGAAGGAGAATGGGTTGACGACCAAAGACATGGGTTTGGTACTTTTACTTGTAAAGAAGATGGAACTGTTTATTCTGGGAATTTTGCATTTAATCGTAAAGAGGGAAAAGGTACATTGACCTTTGTCGATGGTAACATTTTGGAGGGCATATGGAATTTGGGTACACTCACCAAGGTGACCAGTTTTCAGCTAGCCATGTCTTCCCCGTGGAACGACCCAGATATGTGAACAATTCTCAATTGGCACATGCACTAGGATTCGCGTGAACTTGGGTTCTGAGGATGTTGCAAAGATTGCTGCTACCGCGTGAAGCGATCCAAACGAGTGTATTTCCCTTGTCAAGGAAACCCACTTAAAATCGAAGGGTTTCTTTAAAAATAGGCTTAAAAATGAATAGTTATATTTTTTTTTTTTTTCACAAAAAAAGAGGGGTAAGAAACAAATTGCAGAAAAAAATGTCAATGATTAAACTGTATTCAAAATTATGCTTCTCTTTTTCTCCCATTGAGGAATTGGCATAAATATAATTCCGCTCCACCCTCTACCAACCATTTGAATGTAGCCATGATATACGTTTTTGACAATCACAAGAAGGGAGTATAAAAAATTGATGAAATGTACCGTTTCTACAAAACATGCTTCCATGGACAAAAAATAAAATAAAATAAATAGAATAGAATAGAATAAAATAGAATAAAATAAAATAAAATGCTAGACAAGGAAAAGAGAGAAAATGATTTAAATGTATGCTTTCCGAAGCAAACACACCATTCACTACACCCATTCTTTTTTTTTTACTGTAACGAGATAAAAGTGAATGCGTGTAAATATAAATATTTATCAATGAGTGGTAGGCATTGCTTCATATACATATGGATGTCCACATGTATGTATATTATGTGTGATCATTTATTTGTTTAATTTATGTATCTTTGCGAATTGTTTATTTATTCATTTTTGTTTTTAAATTTTAATTTTTCTTTATAGCTTTTCCCTTTTTTTATGGGGGGTACTTTTTAAATAACTCTTTTTTTTTTTTTTTTTTTTCTTTTTCACCTTTGTTCCTGCGCAACTGACACAGAAATGCAAGTTGGCCAATTTCATGTAGTTGACAAATTGCCTAGTTGATCTATAGCAAAGTTTTCTGTATTTTTTTGTATATTTTTTGTGTATTTTTTGTGTATTTTTTGTGTATTTTTTGTGTATTTTTTTGTGTATTTTTTGTGTATTTTTTTGTGCATTTTTTGTGTATTTTTTGTGTATTTTTTTTTTTTTTTTAACTTGCCCAAACTACGTTTTGGCCCATTCTCCTAATTTGTCCCTTTTTTGTTTTAGTCTTTTACGGGTTTAGGGTTTTGCCCTTCTTCTGCCTTTTGCACTTTGTTCTTTTTGTCCTTTTTGTCCTTTTTGCACTTTTTGCCCTTTTTGCCCTTTTTTTTTCTACCACTTGAATTTTTTTTAAGAACTTCCAAATTTGAGCATACCCCTAGGATCAATAAAGGAAAAAAAATATAATAAAATGAGAAAGTAACGAAGAACAAAAGAAAAAAAAAAAAAATGAGATAAAAACTATTGGGATTAGACTTTAACGAAAAAATCTCATCACTTTTGAGAATAACCAGAATAAATATTCCCTTCTTCCATTTTAAATACTCGGTGTGCGTTACATTAAGTGCATATATTTAATCATGTGATTAATACTTTTTTTTTTTTTTTTTTTATCATGTTCGTTCCTTGTTTTGTGACATTGTTCACATATCTTCTGACTTGTCCATTTCAATTCTGTCGTGTATACATAACATCCCATCTTTGATTCATTCATGTAAAAATTCGTAAAATGTATTCAATCATTTCTTTGCTTTTTCTGAATTTCCCCCCTCAATTCTGAGCGGTTTCTCAGTTATTCTATTTTATTTTTTTATTTTTTATTTTTTTTATTTTAAAATTTCCAAGGGAAAGCAGTTAAGGGGATGTATTTTTCTTTCTTTCTTTCCTTCCTTTTTTTTTTTTTTTTTTTTTTTTCTGTTTTATTTTTAATTTCTCCCCGTGTGCAAATTGCAAACAAATCGAGACAACATGGCCACATATAAAAAAATATGTCAAGATTCACTGAATGAAAAAGAAAAATGCTTCGGTCTTGAGAGAATACTGGGGAAAATATTTGACGATTTAATATCAGAATTTAAAATTAAATTTATAAGAAAAATATCAGTACTTATAGAGGAAGTAAAAAGTAATGATTCAATTTTAGAAATTGATAAAAGTGGACCTGATTTGAAGCGTGGAAAATATGAACACAGGCAAAAGGAAGAAAGTTTGTATAATGATAATACATTGGGGGTTTACTTAAAAAGTTTCACAGATGATAATAAAAAAATTTTATTTCAAAAAATAAAAAAACAGATTGATGATTATGAAATAAGTGATGTCACCACCAACACTCTCACCTCATGTGAACGACAAATGCACGGTGCCTATAATAAAATAAACCATCAAAATGATAACAATGTAAATAATTATCATTCGAACTTGTCATACAAAAAGAATATCACCGTAGGTAGTACTTCACGAAATGATCTTTCCAATACAGTATATAAAGCTGTAAATCGAAAGCCCGACAAACATCGGAGGCGAGAAGGTCCCTTTAGGTGTGGTCAGAGAAGACAACTAACTGCTGAAGACGAATCAAAGGAACTCACGCAATTTGGAAAATCTGATCTATCAGAAAAGATCAACATGTTGGACAGGACATGCAAATCGGACAGGTCACGCAAATCGGACAGGTCATGCAAATCAGGCAGGTCACACAAATCTGATGCATCACAAAAATCGGATGCATCACAAAAATCGGATGGGTCACAAAAATCGGATGGGTCACACAAATCGGACAGGTCACGCAAATCGGACAGGTCACGCAAATCGGACAGGTCACGCAAATCTGATGCATCACAAAAATCGCATAAAATGAACAATCCTGCGGGAGAAACTAATAAGAGCGAAAAAGATGCATATCAAAACATTATCAGTAGGTATACTGTTAAACGACTGTTTTCAAATAGAATCCACACGAACGAAATGGATGACACTCATTGTAGAAATGATGAAAGAAGAGATATTTTTCAAAGCACACATATTGACAAATCAAGAAAGTACATGTCAGAAGCTCCTAGTACTAGGGATAATACCTATGAAGAGAGGAATGACATTCAAAAGGATAATGGTCCTAAGGATCAGGTAGATAAAGAGCCAAGTAGAAAGAGAGAAAAAAAAGAAATTCAAACATACAAAGGGACTGATATAAATAACAACATCTTAGCAAAGTATAATAAATATTATCTACGTGCTTTAAAAGATAAAACAAAATTCGAGGATACAACTTGCAAGATTGTGAAGAGAGATTTTGATGAGCGCTCGAAGAAGAGCATCAAGTCGAAGGCAGATTCATTAGACTCAGAAAATCATCCTATGAATTTTCTAATTGCATCAGAGTTAAATGAACAGAAGAAAAGCAGGGAAATTAAGGAATCAAAAGGGGTAGGGGAGTTAAGGGGGGTAAGGGGATCAAATGGGGTTAGGGAGTCGAAAGAGTTAAAGGAGCTGAAAGAGTTAAAGGAGCTAAGAGAATTAACGGAGCTGAGAGAATTAACGGAGCTGAGAGAATTAACGGAGCTGAGAGAATTAAAGGAATCTACAGAATCGAAGGAGTTGCACCTGAACAATCACAATAAACTGGAGGTCATGTCAAACAAGCAAGACATATCGAATGTTAAAAAGAATAAGAAACCATTGTTTTTTGAAGTCATCAGAGGGGAAAGGAGAAAGCATCTCAAGGGTTTCGAATGCAATGATTGCAAATCGTTTTATAAGGAACTGTGTTATGATGACTATGAAATGGGTGAGAGGCATGAAAAGACTGCTGAGTGCATACAGCAGAGGAGATATAAAATTGGTGCACATGATGGATGTTTAAAAGAAAATGGAGAATTAAGTACATCCAATACCGATGTACATAAAAAATATCGAAAGGAAATTTTAATTAAAAATGATCATCGAGGTATGAAACTTGAAGAGAGTACAACCATTAGTCCCATCAATGAATATGCAAATGGACAAAACATAAATAGCATTCATCCCCATACTGATAAGTCAATTTCCAAGTTGAAGTTTCTCAATAGTTCTGTCAATTTGAAGAACAGTGATCAGAAAATTCAAGTCGACCATAGTAGTAATAAATACTCGGAAATGGGTATTGACAATTTTATAACAAAATTTGAAACAAGTGTGGAAGAAAAAAATGACAATTCAGCTAAGGCAGGAGAAATACAAGAGGAGCAGTTTTACGAAATTGAAGATGAAATGTACGAGGAAAAGGAGGAAGACAAGAGAAAAGAAAACAAAAAAAAAAAATTTATTCAGTCCTATTCTCGCCATAGGTATCATAGCAAAATTAATGATTCACCTAAAAATTTCTGGAGCTTTGATTTTTTTAAATAAAAATAGGGAAGACAAAGAGGAGGAAAAAAAAAAAAAAAAAAAAAAAAGAAAAAAAAAAAAACGTTAACACAAATGAATGCACAATATAATGCCTACTCATATAGATAACTCATACGAATGTGTAAGTACGCATATGGCGCATAATTTTTTTTTTTTTTTTTTTTTTTTTTTTTTTTTTTTTTTTTTTTTTTTTTTTTTTTTTTTTTTTTTTTGTAGTCCCTCAAAAGCGGCATCCTTTAATAACTTTCTCCATGTGGCTATGGTGAAAGTTTTTAATATAATACGAAATTTATGATACATTCCCATTTTATTACTCATAAATTTTTTATATTTTCCAATTCTGGCACTTTTCCATTTCTTCAATACACCTTTTTTAATTTTTGAGTCTCATACTACGGTATTACCAACGTGACAAACTCTTTTTAATAATGTTATCTTGGAACTGCTCTTTTTTGCTGTTCGTGCACCATTTCAATTAACATCAAGTGTTCACGACAAGCTTTTTGCACATGTAAAATAGTTGATCGAATTATGAATTTGATTAAAGATGGCGTAAGGGGGTATTTAGAGAATAATTTATACCCATTCACAAACTGGTGTGTATATATATATATATATATATATATATATATATATATATATATATGTACATTTCATTTTTTGTTACTGAAAGGTGGTGCAGTAAATCAGGTGCATGCATGTGTAGGCAATAAATATTTTTGAACATGAAATGATTTGGAAAATCGAGGTAGCAAAATTGTCCTCAAGGAATGTTGTTTTGAGGGGATACGCAAAAAAATAAAAATGAGTGAAACAAAAGAGTGAAACAAATGCGTGAAACAAAAGAGTGAAACAAATGCGTGAAACAAAAGAGTGAAACAAATGAGTGAAACAAAAGAGTGAAACAAATGAGTGAAACAAAAGAGTGAAACAAATGAGTGAAACAAAAGAGTGAAGCAAAAAAGTGAAATAAAAAATGTCGAAGCAAAAAAAAATGAAATAAAAAATGGCGAAGCAAAAGAGTGAAATAACATAGTGTAATCCAAAACATAATTGTAAAGGAACCCAAAAGCGGAACTTAAAACTCTCCTATTTTTTAAGAGGACAGCAAATGCTCTGTCCATATTTGACATTGAATTTTGAATTTCAAAAATGTCCGAAGAGATATGCAGATGGGGGAGAAATACACGTCGTTACATTCACCCGCTGACATGTGCAACACACACAACATTACAAATTACAATACATTTTTTTGATATAATGAACACGCATACATGTTAGCAAAAGTATACGTATACAAATGTGTGCATGCATTTAATTTGCTACGCTTTCGTTCTATATTATCAATATATTATTCATTCCAATAACTTTTTTTTTTTTTTTTTTTTTTCTTTTTAAATAATTTAAATGGTCAATAAATAATATCGATACCGTATTTGTTCAGTTGAAAAAGAAAAAAAAAAAAATTATAATAAAGATATATATATATATATATATATATATATATATATATAATATTTTTTTTTTTCCATTTTCGCCTTCTTTGAATTTGAATGAAATATTATAGAATTATTTTCATTTTTAATTTTTTTTTTATTTATTTCGTTTTATAGAATAGTAAAAAATGCTTTATTAACACATTGTAAAAAAAATTTCGTATTAAACATTTACCAATTTTTTCAATGCAGAATATTCCGCTTTATTCAACAGTTGTCAATGGGTATGTAATGTCGTTTTTTTGAGACCTCACAAATGTATACATATATATGTACATGTCTATGCGTGTAAAAACACATGTGTGTGAATTTATCTATGGCATGTATATGTATATATATACTATGTGTGTTACATCAAAATATATATGCACAGGTTTAAACATAATTGCACAATTTTATGGATAGACATGTGTATTCGCTTTTTACATTCAAAGAATAAGAAAAAGAAATCGTGATATATACAGTGCTATGTATGCAGAATTTTTTAAATAATACATTTTTATTCCATAGCTACTTTTACATTTTTATTCCATTGCTACTTTTACATTTAAATTCCACTAAACATCACACTCATAAGGTTAAGAGGTTTTGAAAACTCGCATTTGCATGTTCTGATTTTATTGCTGACTATGTCCCTATAACATACGGATTTTTTAATAATGCTAAACATTCATGACAAGGCAAAAAATATAAATACATTTTGAATATCTTCAGTATTATCACTTTTTTCGTAACCTTGTTCATTTAAATGCTTATTTTTCATAAATTGGTGAAAACATGAATAATCAAAATAGTAGAACCATGCAACAGGGGAATGAAACCAAGGAAAAGAAGTCATACGTAATCAGGAAAAAAAAAAAAAAAAAAAAAAGTTATGTGACCACTTATAAGTTCTTATAAAAAGGGAATAGTTGAATGTGCATATATATAAAAGAAGACATGTCTATACGATTAAGTTTTTACATCATTGTATTTCCAAATGAATGATTCCTTTTTTTTTTTTTTTTTTTTTTTTTTCTCATAGAACAAGAAAGAAAACGAAATTATCAACCATGGGATAAATTACTCATTGGTTAGCTAGCCAAAAAGGAAACAGTGAACAAGACAATTGACAATATTTTTTATTTATTTATTTTACACTTTGTAAAATTATCTAGTTCAAGCCATGCATTATGTCTAACCCATTTCATAAAAACGATTGATTTTTTTTTTTTTTTTTATTTTTTTTTTAAATAATGTAGACAAACGACCATCATGATAATAATTTCAAAAAATATTTTTATATCAGAAGCATAAGAACTGATGGGAATTGCCTATTTAGGGCAGTAGCGGATCAACTATACAACAATGAAGATAATTATAAGGAGATAAGAAAACTAGTGGTGAGTCTATAAATAATTTTTCCAATTTTAATTAATTACAATCCGCTGATTCGTTCGGCTAAGGGTCAGGCGGAAAGACACAATTTAATGATAAAAAGAGAAAAAGAAAGGAAAGGAGCATAACGAAGAATTTGTAAAAATCAGATAAGGCATGATAATATGTCATAATATAAGATATGATCAGAGAAGATATGATAAGATATTGTTCTGCCTTTTGTAACATAATTTTTTTTTTCTTTTTTTCTTTTTTTTTTTTGTATCCCTGATTATTTTACAGGTTAGCTACTTGCAGAGGAACGAAGAAAAATATAAGCATTTCATTGAACACGATGAGAGTTACAAATCATACATTCAAAGGTATGCCATTTGGAGAGACATTAGTGGCACTAAGCAATCCATTGTGCTGTGTAAATATTGTGTAGATATTCTCTCCTTCTCCTTTACTAGTTCACGAGAAGAATGATACACTTTAAGCGCTATTTGAATTGCCACATGCACGCACACGTACGAATGTAGTTCTCTCTCTCTCTCTCTCTCTCTCTCTATATATATATATATATATATATATATATGTACATATACATATATACATACTTTTTTGCATTTTTTCCCCTCCTCGCAGAATAAGTTTGGACGGAACCTGGGGGGGTCAGCTGGAGCTTCAAGCTGTGGGAGAATTGTTCACTGTAAAGATTGAGGAGGAAAAAAAAGAAAAAAAAAAAATAAAATAAAATAAAATAACAACGAAGACACTTGTGCATCTACATCCACACACATTCACGTGGACAGCATATGCAAAACGGAAGCACAAATTCTAACTGCCAATTAAATAGCCTACAACTCTTAATACTTTCATGTTTGTTTTTTTTTTTTTTTAACTTATTTATTTGTTACTTCTTCTCACACCATGTGTTCCTTTTTTTCCCCCTTGAATATAGCACACGTACACAAATACATAAATACACAAATACATAAATACACAAATGAACATGTACACACATGCAATGAAAGCTCTTCATTTTGTGACAACCTTCATGAATGCATATATGTAGGTGAATATCCTAATCTACCAAGAAAACGGATGTATATTAGAAATCAAAAATCACAGTGATGATAAAAAGTGCATACAGTTGCATTATGCGTCAAGTGTAAGACCTGAGTGTGGACTCAAGAATATATACATTCGTATATGCATATAGATATAAGAAAAATTGTTGATTTCCTACCATCGAGAAAACCCTTTGAGTATCTATTCAAAAGTCGTAGAATTTTCACATTAACATTTTTCTTCCTTTTGATATTGATAATAATCTGTAGGAGCATTACAATAGTGTAAGATTTAAAAGTATGGATCTAGAAAATGAACTCAAGACGATCGTGGAATTACGTGAAATAGTAATTAAAATTAAGACAAAATGGGAGGAAATAGGAGAAAATAAGAAAAAATAATTAAAAATAAGAGAAAATAAGAGAAAATAAGAGAAAATAAGAAAAAATAAGAAAAAATAAATAAAAATAAGAGAAAATAAGAAAAAATAAATAAAAATAAGAGAAAATAAGAAAAAATAAGAAAAAATAAATAAAAATAAGAGAAAATAAGAAAAAATAAGAAAAAATAAATAAAAATAAGAAAAAAAAATAAGACATAATATGATAAAACATATGAATATAAACGAACGGGAAAGGAAAAATTTGTGATGAAGTTAAGATCACTCCAGTGTGGAGTAAACTTCATGATATAGTAAAACCCCTTTACAGTCGTTTACACAAAACACACACATTTTTTTTTTTTTTTTTGTTTTCATCATTTTTCTTTCCACCCCCTCTATCTTACTCTCTCGGACATTTACCCACTTCTCACCTTCCTCTTTGAATTAATCTCCGTGCAGTTAAACAACAAAGACGACAACGAGTCAACAAAAACGTTTTATGAAACGACAGAGAATGAATTGACTGAAGACAATGATGATGATTTATCAGACCACAGTAGTAAGGAGAAAAATAAAGTTGGAAGATGGGAAGATGAGAAGGAGCACACACACAACAGCTCAACAGAGGATGATTTTCTCTTAGATGATTATTTAAACTCGAAAAGTAGAATTAGTGTATTTTCCTTAAGTGATGATGAAAATGAGCCTTCCTCATTTGATATACTGCAGAACATACATAATGTTATTAAACGGAAAAGAATAAGGAGTAGGAGCATGCCGAATATTAATGAAAGATTTCTTTATTTTTTTTCAAAAAAACAAAGGAATGATAACATGGAAAGTGATAGTACTATAGATTTATTAAATGAAAAAAAAAATTTTGGTAAAAAAAAAGCCCAGAAAAATGAAAAAAGAAAATTAAATTTTTTCAAGTATAAATACATTGGAAAGAATCTTGACGAGTTGTTGAGTGAGCGCCTATCTGCAAACTCCTCCACTGCAACTGCCATTGCTACAACCACCGCTACTCCTCCATGCATTGAGGGGAATGAAATCGTTCGTATTTACTACAATAAGGCCTTTTATCAATACTTGCACTGCCCAAAAATATTGGAGGAGGAAGAGAACGAACAGGAGCAGCATGAACCGAATGATAAGGAATTCCATTTTTGCATGCCTCGATATATTTACAACAATGGACAATACAGTTCTGATGGATGTAAAAATCACAACAACAAGATCAATGTGCATGGATATTACAAAAAGGAGATGCACAAAAATATCGCACCAAATGAAGGAGGTAATCAGAATGCAGTTCAGAGTGATGATAATGCACTGTATAAGTCGCGGAAATATCTGAACACGTCAGGCAGAAAGGGATACATATCAAATTATGAAGTAGAAAACAATTTTAAAAATACAAGAAAAAAAAAATTTGACGATTTTATAAATCTTTACAGTGAAAAAATTTCTTATAATGCACATTCCTTTTGTAAAAGTGCGTACGCTCATGACACCGAGGTATTTTATGCAGAAGGATTAGTGGGATTAGGAAGCAAGAAGAAGCACGATCAGAGGGAGGAGAACTGTCAGAGGGACCAGGACAAAGGTTATGGTTACTTAAACTCCGATTATGCACAAAGCTTATCGATAAATAAAACTATAAGCAGCAATGAAGAACTTAATGCACCTTCTTTATATTTTGACAAAGGCTCAGATAGCCTCGAACTGCAACCAGATTTGCAACAAGATTTTTATGATAAAGCACATGATGCAAGTTATGTAATCAAACTGGATGAAGACAACAAATTCCCTATACACTGCAGTAATAGTGGGGAGAAAAATTTTTTCAATTCAAGGAAAAAAAATTTCGACATTTTCAACATTATAATTGATGAAGAGTATGGAATAACTGTGGATAGCAACATGTTATGTGCACGTATCGGAAGTAAGTACATGAGTCTTGATTCCACCAACCAGAAGAACAAGAAGAAAAATAAAAAAGAAAATCCATGGGAAGGAGTATTATCATCTTTTGATGAAAAAGAAAGAACTTATGTGTCTAATAATGTTACCACCGCTTGTAGAAGTTCCCAAACGATTGCAGGAGTTAGAACTGTTTCCACTTCTCTCATAAATAGACAAAACCATGAGATTACTCACATGACTAACTGCAGTATTAGGAATATTCCAGAGAGGAATTATCCAAATGGACATGGAATTAGTTCGACAGTAATGCATGTGATGAATGGAGATGTACTCACAAATGGAGGAATTAATTCAAGAGAATTTTTCTTGAAGAAGAAATATCAAAATAAAAAATTCATTAACATGTTTTCAAAAGACATTCAATGGAAAGGTCTGTTTCAGTTTCTAAATGCTGATTTTTTACTGAATGAAGATAAAATTAAATATATAATTTCGTTTTTATTTAACAACAAACAGATGAATATTTTTAAAAATAATCTGAATAGGAATGATTTCCACTTTTACGAACATATAGCTTTTTCTTTCAATTTGAATAGGCAAAAATTAAGGAATAAAATCGAATGTTCAAAGGTGTTAAATGAGGAATTTCTCATAAAGGAAAAACACAAATATAGAAAATTCATAAAAAGTCCCAAAACCAAAACGACAATTCCTATGAACAAGGAGCAGAAGAACCCGGTGAAAATTATTTCCATTTAGTGTATATGTGTATATATATACATGCACACACATACACATATATATGTGAATTTTTTTTTTTTTTTTTTTTTTTTTGTGCAATCAAGTAGAAACGATTGATACGTCAAAATTATCACTTTTCTGACGTAGTTTACATATATGAAATAGTTAGGAGTCCAATAAATGACACGTTTGTTTATCACTACGTACGTGGCAAAAATGATTTTGTTTTACATGTTTATTTAGTATAAGACAATTTATTATTTTTTTTTTTTTTTTGCTACATAATTTACAACTTATCTTCCAAAACTTTTCAATATCATCCCAAGTTTCTTTCATTTTGTGTGTGTAAAAAAGGATGACAAGGTTTGTAAAAAACGGAAAAATAGTTCACCTTGCAAATTTGTTTGCAAGACTTTTTTGCAGGACTTTTTTGCAGGACTTTTTTGCAAGACCTTTTTGCAGGACTTTTTAGCAAGACCTTTTTGCAGGACTTTTTAGCAAGACCTTTTTGCAGGACTTTTTTTTAAAACTCGTTTGTGAAGTCCTATTTTTCGTTAACTTGACACGGTACTTCTTTTTTTGTATGCAAGTGCATCCCCCATCCTAGTACTCAAAGATTGCATATCAGTTATGCCATTACACTTGTAATCTATTTCTCCCAACACAGTTGACTAAATTCAAATGTGTGAAATACAGCAATTCCTAAATGAACGTGGCAATGACACATGCATATATATAGAGTCCCCTTCCCCATCCTCAAGATAGATGAAATAAAACATTTTAACATTTTTTTTTTTTTTTCACACTTTTTTGTAATATCCATATAGTTATTGCCACATGGTGTTTTTCTCCATACATCCTTTACCACATCGCAAATTGTACACAAAATAGAATAAAATAAAAGAGCAATAAAGTATTAAAAATATTAAACATGTTAAAAACGCTGGAAAAACAACAGGTTGAATCTTCATTGTACACATAGTGTCTTACGTTTTGGTTTATATATATTATGTGTGTGTGTCTAAATATCCCTTAGATTACACAAGTTTATCTCTTAGTACTATTGCATACAGGGAAAAATCAATACTTTTAAAAGCATTGTACTCTCATTTTTTGTCCCTTTAATCGGTAGTAATGTGTCTCGTTAAATGTTTTCACTATTACATAGTTAGGTCACACAACACACTGGTTCAGGTCTGTGCGATAGGGAGAGGAACTGTTGAATCATAGAAGAAACATATAAAATAGTACGTTTGCACACAAAAAAAGTACAATCACGCCAGAGTGGGCAGAAAAAAAACATCTCCTTTATTTATTGCAATCCATTTCCATTCTTTCTCTCTCTCTCTCTTAATCATCTATCTATTTCATTTTCAGCATAATGATATTCCAATGAAATATACTTTTGCAAAAATGTAAAATTTTATGTACAATGCTGCAAACAGTTTGCGATGGAAAGCTGCTTTCATAAACAAAAATTAGTTGCATACGTATGGCCATTTTTGTACGCGCGGCGTTTAGAGGGAAAAAAAAAAAAAAAAAAAAAAAAAAAAAATTATCCCTTTTTGCTTGATTCACAAATATGTCAGTGTTCGCAACACATAAAAAATCTATTTATGTTAATCACACATTTTGTGTTATACTATCATGAACAGATACATTTGAAATGCTAAGAAATGGAAAGTTATAAATAAAATTTTAGTAGCAATTTTTAATGGGGACAAAATTTGTCGTGCATAGAAAAGGGGAAGAAAGGGAATTTCATATATGCTTATGTATATATAAATAAATATATTTAAATAAATAAATAAATAAATATATATATATATATATATATATATATATATATATATATATATATATATATGTACGACCACAACTTGAGTTCATTTTAGCGGGGAATGAGTAAGGGTTAATTCTATGGGAAAACGGAATTACATTATTGTAAAGGAGAATGATGAGTAGATGATGCATATATATAAATATAGCTATAAAATTAGCTAAAGAGAAAGATATGTAATTTTTTTGTTTTCCCCTTTTTACCTTTCTTTTTCTCCACCTTTTGCTTTGTTGAATTTTTTCCCCCTTTTCCGCTTTGCCCTACATTTCTTTCTCAACTTCTCACCTAATGAGTAGTACCAAAATGAGCGAAAAAAATTTTAGCGAAACGAATGAAACCGACCAGAAATGCATTCATAATACTAGCCAGAATGAGAACACCGAAGGGGGGAAAAAAAACACAGATGATCCAAATGAAGGCGTGGGTGAATCAAACATGCAAGGACAGTATGTAGTTGGCCTTGGAGAAAAAAATGATGACGATAAAAACGTTGGAAATTGGAACGAACAGGATAGCTCAAGCCTGAACGATGTCATACAAAAATATTTAATGAATATTGATTGCAAGGAAAAAGATGACTCCCTCAATAATTCTAATGCTGTCTTGAACCATGAGCAGAGGGAAGGTGAATACATTTTCAATAACTTTTACCCAAAGGGTAATGAGGAGGAAATTTATTGGAATTATACGAAGAACCCAGATTTTTCGACGATAACTTGGGGAAAGAATATCGAAATTAATCAAACAGAAATTATTTCGACTTCAGGAGATATTCAAAATAAGAATATAAATGAAACGAATATACAAGATGCACCAAACGAAAATGTATTAGGAAGTCAAAACAGTTATATGAATTACATGAATATAATGAATTGTCTTAATGGGGATTATGAAGTAGTACACACATCGAGCATAGAAAATTTTGATCATCAAAAGAAGAGTGAGTTTATTCATGAGAAGAATGAAAACAGCGTGGATCTTTATAAAAATACATATAATGATGAACTGAAAATCACACAGGCAGAGCTCAATTTAAAAACAAAATATTATGCAGATAATATTAACACATATGGAGAAACGTATAAAATTAGAGAGGGACATATGAACAATAACTACATGCAAATGTTTTATGAAAATAAAAAAGAGAATTGGAGCAAAAAAAAAAAAAAAAACTTTTATAAAAATAATTACAAAGAAAAAATACAAGAAAAAGATGACCCACCATATAACAGTGAAACTTCTGGTTTATATAAAGCGTCTTTCAAAAAATTCGTAGATAATAAACTTGGTAGTAAGAAAAGAAATGAAGAAGAGGAAGAAGAAGAAGAAGAAGAAGAAGAAGAAGAAAAGCACCATGTTCTTAGGAAAAAGCCATTTCATAGCAAATGGGACAACGGTACACAGGTGGATCACAATCGGAACTATATTTCGAGGGGTTCTACTTACAATTACCCCCAATGGAATCATATGGACAGAGAGAGGCCAAGCCATTTTGAAAGAGGAGGTAGATCAATTAATTTGCAAAGGGGTAGACCAACTTATTTTGCAAGAGGCCGAACAAGTCATTATGATCATGGTGGATCTAGCCATTATGGTTCTGACAAGCCAAATCAGTATGATCATGGTAGATCTAGCCATTATGGTTCAGATAAGCCAAATCAGTATGATCATGGTAGATCTAGCCATTATGGTTCAGACAAGCCAAATCAGTATGATCATGGTAGATCTAGCCATTATGGTTCAGACAAGCCAAATCAGTATGATCATGGTAGATCTAGCCATTATGGTTCAGACAAGCCAAATCAGTATGATCATGGTAGATCTGGCCATTATGGTTCAGACAAGCCAAATCAGTATGATCATATCAGATCCTACAATCATGATTCTGACAAACCAAATGAGCATTATCAAGGGAGACCTAACCATTATGACCTTAACCAGTCTAATCAATATTACCCTGAGAGGCCAAATAAAACTGATAAGGGGTATTTCAACAATTACACTAGTGGAAAGCCAAAAGAATCGAACGAAAACAGTTTATACAACCAAGAGAGAAAACAAAAGAGCAATATATTTGACGATGAATGTTATATTATTAAATGCAAAAGTTATGGTAACGAAGCAATACAAGTTCCTCCACCTTTAAGCAGCATGGATGATCTTAGGTAAACAATGAGAAAAAAATCATTTCGGTTATTACCCTCGAATCTGCATATTTGGAAGTGGAATGTCAAAGGAGTTCATACCGTGGTGTGTATGTTTATGTATAAATATATGCATCTTTGTGTGACATCTGCAGATTCATATTCTTATGCATGCACATTTTGCACGTATGGATACTCACGCTTGTTGCTACATAAATAGTGCATCCATAATTCCTCTCTCTTCCCTATTCTATCCTTTGTAGCACCATCTGTGATGACATTTTATACAAAAATGTTTTTGAGAAAGGATACAATCAAATGACAATTGTTCAGAAATATTCAATTCCAATAATAAAAAACAAAATGAATTTGATTGCTTCATCACAAACAGGAAGTGGCAAAACATTTTCATTTTTATGTCCAGTAATTTCAAACTTGAAGAAAGATAATGATACATTGAGACCACATTTTCCAGGAGCTTATGCTTGTATTTCTCCCTTAGGATTAGTCCTCTGTCCTACACGAGAATTAGTGATTCAAATTCAAAACGAAGTAATTTTTTTTTTTTTTTTTTTAATTTCTCAGTGTTATGTGCATGCATTTTTCATGGTAATACCCTCTCAGGGTTGATAACTGTGAATAATATACATACATATTTGGACATCTAAGAAGGAAGGATAAAATTAATTTCGGAGAACATGATAATGATCATATGAAAATATTCACTTCGCTCTACTTTCCAGATTAATAGCTTGACGAAAAACATGGATCTCGTTTGTATGGCATTCTATGGTGGAGAAACGATGAAGGATCAGGTATATTTCATTTTATCACATTTTCTTTCTATCGTATGTATATTATTTTTACCTTATTTTACTATCATCCCTATTTATCTTTCCCATTTATCCGTTGCATTTATCCCACTTTTTTACTTTAATTTTTTTTTTTTTTTTCCCACCCTTTTCCCATGTTTTTCGTGCTCTGCATTCCCTTTACATGCCCGTGCCCATTTGTGACATTTTTCTTCAAACGAACCAATCTATATGAGATTATTTCCTATGGCGATCACAATCCTTTCATGTTGACTCATAGATTGTCCGAATAAACGAACGGCAAGCAGACATAATCGTGTCAACCCCAGGAAGGTTACTGGATTTAATGAACAGTTGCAAAGTAAGTCTTTCCTTTATTAAATGTTTAATTTTTGATGAGGCTGATGAAATGATATCACTTGGTTTGAAAGAACAGATGGACGAAATTATTTTTCAAAAGGATCTTTGTCCAAATGATGCAAGGCAAACTATATTATTTACAGCAACCTTGTCCGATAGTTTACGAGAAGAACTTGAAAAGTTTGTGGACACACCTTATGTGTTTTTGAATATAATGCAGAAGAAGGAGGTGCAAAATTCTATTAAGCAGGTATAGTTTTCATCCCAAAGCACGATGTCTGTGTTGTGATACATACATATATATATATATATATATATATATATATATATATATATACATTTTTGTTTTGAACCGCACATGTGCCCATATGTATGCATGTACATATCTTCCACATTTACACCCCTCCCATTTGAACAGATTGTCAAATATATCCCAGAGAAGTCGAAACTGAATGAATTGCTCCGAGATGTGAAAACTTTACAAGGGCAGGCCATCATATTTGTCGAATTGAGAACATCAATTAATAACATTTTTATCGCTTTGAAGTCCAAGGGGTATGACGTGAATTATTTGCATGGGAAAATGAATCAGGTAATATACGTCTTTTTTTTTTTTCTCGTTTTTTTTTGTTTTTCCTTTATGTGCATTAGTAGAAATAAAGGGTTGTCTCTTCTGCTGCTGCCATCGCGTTTACTGCTGGTTAAGTAGTGATGTCGCTAGGGAGGTGGAAAGGAGGAGAATTGAAATGAACATCCATCCCAACACAACTAGTTACGCACATCGTTACGCAAATAATTTCTTTATACAGTCGGTTTCACATTTACATAGTTAGGTGTATAGAACATATGCACGAACGATATATATATATATATATATATATAGGCACCACTGCACTGTGAGATATATAGTTTATGTCCCATGTATATACATCACATTTCCCATGTTAGGCACGAAGACAAGCAGTGTTCGAACAGTTCCGAAATAAGGAGTTTCAAATCTTAATAGCTACATCTATAGCGGCAAGAGGACTAGATTTCCCAGATCTTGAATTAGTAATCAATTATGATCTCCCCGCAGAATTTGATCAATACATGCACAGAATAGGAAGGACAGGTAGAATAGGGAAAATGGGATTAGCTATTAATTATTTTAACAGTTCAAATAAAAAAATTATTGACAAACTAATTGATCATTTGAAAAAGTATAATCAGATCATACCACAATGGTTACTTAAATTTACCTAATTTTTAGTTCTTTGGTCTTTTTCATGTTGCAATGTGTTTTTTTTTTTTTTTTTTTATTATGTGCATCATGATTAATTGTCGAGGTTATGTATGAACGCAAATCATTTTTTGGTTATGGGTGGTTGTTTACAAAAGCTTTCTAAGATAAAAACAAATGAGTGTTCATTATATGCCTAAGTTTAAAGTTGATCAAATGGAAACGGACGGGATCAGCATGCCCATATATACATATATATATATATATATATATATATATATATATATATATATATGTAGACCCCCACCTTGTGGTGTTTTGTAGATAGGTACCTAAAAAGTCCTTCTACCAGATGCATTACATTTTTTTTTTTTTTCCCTTTCCTTTTTTTTGTTCACCACTTTGGTATTCATATATCTTTGGACCCCCGTTGCATATGATTTTTCTGTTTTTTTTTTTTTTTTTTAATTCACTAGCAATTAATTATCCTATAGTGGCCCAAACCTCGTGAACATCTCTCCTTCTTGTATGGCGCCACATTTTAGGGCCATGTTTTGTTTTGTTAAAATGACAATCTTTTGTTTGAATGAGTTTTTTTTTTTTTTTTTTTTTTCCGATAACTCATACGTTGAAATATTTTATTCAAAATATACATCACGTATATGCATAATCTGTGCCTACGCGTTTCCCACGTAGGAATTTTAATTTTCCATTTACTAATCATGCAATTGCATCTATTTGTTGATTTGGTTGATTCTGTTCATGTGATTGGTTCTGTTTTTCTTTTTTTTTTTTTTTTTTTTTTTTTTTTTTTTTTTTTTTTTTTTTTCTTTGTTTTATTTTAATTTGAACCAGCTGAAGACAGCATATAATTTGAATGGTAAGAGAAACAGGAAAAATTTTCCCTGGGTTTATGCTTATGGCATAAGACTTTATGAGTTAACAGTGAACAATTAGAAATGAGCCTGATTGGGTAACCAATATGTTAATACGACATTTGTGATAGAGTGAATCATATGCCTTTCTTTCAATAAACATACATATATATGAGAACGCCCAAACAATTATTTAAGAAAAGAAACTTTTAAAAAGAAAATAAATTAATAAATAAATAAATGAGATATAAAAAAAAAAAAAGAACAATTTGTTAAAAGAGTTGGAAACATTGAAGTTTATTTATTTTTTACTTATTATTTTGTTTTGTTTTGTTTTGCTTTGTTTTGCTTTGTTTTATTCAATTTAATTTAATTTAATTTTTTTTTTTTTTTTTTTTTGTAAGTAAACTTTTTAAGAAATCTCTCCTGAATTAATGAACTTTTATTTAGGGTTGGTGGCACCGTATGATTGCAATATGTATATAAATCCTCGTCCTCTAATTATTTAAGGTATAACGTAGGAAAATCCCATTTTCTCCAGGGATTTACATTTTGTATTCCCTGTAAGTGGCATATACATATATATGCAGAAGTATCCATAAGTATGCATAAATATACAGAAGTATCATAAATATGCAGAAGTGTATAACAAATATACATAAATCTGCATAAATCTGCATATATCTCCGTAAATATGTATATATCTCCGTAAATGTACATAAATATTCATACATATAGTACACGTATATATTTCATGTAACATGCATTTAACCCATAATACATGGTCCATGTTTTCTCCTTCTAATTTATAAGGACGATGTTGTTCGATAATGATTATATTTTGTTAATTTGTGATAATGCGACAACTTATCTTGTATGCGTTTTATATATCCCCATATATTTTTTGTGGTTCAAATGCTATTTATTGGCATGCTTTGTTCGATCATTTTTTTTTTTTTTTTTTTTTTTTTTTTTTTTCTTTTTTTCAATTTTTTTTCTGATTAAATTTTTTTTTTTTTTTTTTTTTTTTTTTTTTTTTTTTTTTTTTTTTTTTTTTTTTTTTTTTATCCTTTTGTTGTACATATTTTTATCTGCGTTTGTGCTTTTTTTCGTACAGCTTTTTATACATTATTATATATACATATATATTCCTTTTTATACGACCCCTTTTTGTAATTTTTTTTGAACTTTCCTTTCTTGTAACATTTTTCGTGCCTTTTTCTCGTTCGCCTTAGAGTTTTCCCATATTTTCTTTTTTCTCCCCTTTATAATTATCCCTTTTACAAAAGGCAAGCGAACAGTTATAATTGTGAAATAGCTACTGCAAAAACTTACATGCTGTTTCACACACCCCACAGCAAAATATTATGTTCTCACATTGTTATCTCATTATCATCACATATCATTATCTTCTCACATCATTAACTTATCACATTATTTGTTTATCACATTATTAGCATCTCGCATCATTAGCTTCTCACGTCGGGGGGTGGCGGGAGATGATGAGGAATATAATTTTCATTCTGGCTATTAGCACCATATGCTAAGCACAGTAGTGGCTCTTCTCTCCCTTTGTTAACTTTGCCATTTTATATTTCATAGGTATACAATATTTTACAAGTACCTCTTTTTTTTTTTTTTTTTTTTTTTTTTTTTACCTCCTTACGGTTTATATCATTACTTTTGTTACTTGTGTTACTTTTTTTTCTTTTTTTTTTTTTTTTTTTCTTTTTTCGCACAAGTGGGTACATAAGGTATTTTCCATTTCACAATTAAAGCGTTCTTATGATCGTCTATTTGCATTACCACCCCCAAAATCATAGAGTTAGTTACAAACTTACACGTGTTGGTATACAATTTTATTTTCATGTTCTTAAACATTGTTTGGGGAAGTGTATTATAAATACACTGTATGCACTGCAGACACATATTTTAAGCAAAACACACAAGCAGTTGTGAATTTTTAGAAAAATCACATTCGAAATTAGAACGCAAAAAGGATCACACAACATATCATACATTACACGTTCATTCACCGGGGGCACGGGACGGACTTCCAAATTCCTGAAAATGTTGAACGAAGAAAACATACAAATCGAACTGGTAAAATTAGAAAATAAAATAACAAAAAATGAAACCAATTTTGAAAAAAAAAAAAGAAAAAAAAAAACAGTTCAATTTTCTGACAAGAATGAAACTATATATTATGAAAAAGACGAAAATGAAAATAGTTATTTTAATTTTTCCATAAATAACTTTAACTATTTTGAATGTTTTTATAATGACATGTATAATAACGAGTTTGGTGATAAGGGATTTAAAAATGATCATTCTTTTGTAAATGAAGGGGATGACAAAGAGTTCAATTATAATTGCATTGATATTTTTAAAATAAACGATTCGACAGATGCAATTCCAAAGAAGGATGCGAAACATAAAAGCATGTTAAAAGATAGCGTATCCATGGGAATTGGTAATGTGGTTAGAAGAACTTATGTTCCAATGAATAATGCAGAAGAGGAGGAACAGCTGCAGGTGGATGAGGGAGTTGATTACTCCCTTGGTCAAACATACAGGGAATCAAAAAATGGTGCTTGTTCATATCGAAACAAAAAGTGTGAACACTCCACAGGACAAGGGCAACGATTTAGTCATTCCTTTAATGAAGACTCTTCATTCGAAGTAAATGATGTACATGCAGCTATTTTAAACGCTGAGGAAAAAACAATAAATTACAGTGAAGATTACTTTGGTTACAATATTGAACCATTTAATATGAAAAATGAACTGAAAGAAGGGTACATTGATAAAAATGGAAATTATGTGTATAATGATATGGGTCATGATGATACTGAGGAGGCTTGGTTAAAATCAGTTGATGAAGAAGATCCATTTACCACTTTTGCAAATAAAAAAATAAAAGCAAAGATACACAATGAAACTGTGTCCAAAATTCTTCACAAGAATAATGATAATGAGAATAACAATGCATTCAGTATTAATATTTATGATGCATTATACTGCTTGTCTTGTCTACTCTCTGATAAAGAAACTCCCATAAAAGCCATGATCAGATACAAGAAAGATTTAAAATTGTGTAAGACTTACTTAAATGAATGCAAACTCAAGTTAGACACATTTAACGCATTTTATATGCCTCGTATGATTAAGCCATCTCCGAATTGTGTGAATATGCACACATGTTGCAAGCATGCCCATTCGCATAATTGTCAAAATGATAGAAAAAAAAACGAGAACAATTCTGTATGCACTGCATGCAATAATAAGGGAAACCACTTGGAGGTGAATTTGAAGAGACCAGAATGTTCTCCAAAGAAACAGAAAAAGGCCAACCCGTCAATATGTGAAATAGGAAGAAATAAAAAGACAATAAATGAAGAGACAATAAATGAAGAAGCAAAAAATGAAGAAGTAAAAAATGAAGAAGTAAAAAATGAAGAAGCAAAAAATGAAGAAGTAAAAAATGAAGCGGAAAAAAATGAAGAAGTAAAGAATGAAGAAGTAAAAAATGAAGAAGTAAAAAATGAAGAAGTAAAAAATGAAGCGGAAAAAAATGAAGAAGTAAAAAATGAAGCGGAAAAAAATGAAGAAGTAAAGAATGAAGAAGTAAAAAATGAAGCGGAAAAAAATGAACTTACCAAATGCCAATTGTTAAAAGATGAAGAACTCCAATGTGCTGAGAAAAACATGAAAGTGGAGAAGCAGACAGATAAGAGCGAGATATTGCTAAATGAAAAAATCACTACGCACGAACAGGGGAAATCTCCACTGGAAGGAAAATCAATGGTAGAGAAAGATGTCGATGCACATGAGGGAGAAAACAATAATGAAGGAGGTGACAGAGGAGGGAGTGCTGAAAGTACGGAAAATGGATTTATTGAATATGAACGACCATATGAATTGCATCAATTAGAAGAAATTTACCAAAAAATAATTCTTGATTACAAAACAATGGAACGGAGATTTAACAACATAATAGAATTAACGCAAAAATTGTCAAATGAATTTAAGAACGTATATTTTTTAACAAAGAATGAATTTGAAAGTTTGTGCAAAAATCTAGAACAGTACAAAGAGGAGAATGTAGAAATATTATGGCAGTTAAAGTGGAATAATGACGCTAACAATAATATATATGGCCCATATAATTACTATGATATATATAATTTAATATCTGTTGGAACTGTATCAGCAGAAAACCCAATAATGTTAAGGAGGATAAATAAAGAAAATAAGGTTTTAGAAAATATATGGCAAATGTATGATGCTGTTAACTATTTAATATTTGTTACTAACGAAAGTGTTAAGAAAAAGAGGAAGTTATGTGAAAATAACCAAGAACATGAAGAATATGAAGGTGATGTTGTGAATAATTTTGAGGATGACAGTTATGACATAAGGAAGAAGAAACGAAAGAAGAAGGGTCTAATTCAAATATCAAAAAGCAAGGAAAATTTGTTGGACAACCAGGATGATTCAGACAATGAAGAGGATAATTTTGAACATTATGATTAATGAGATGGGCTCTTGCCTGTGTAAGCGCATATACTCTTTTTTTTTTTTTTTTTTTTTTTTTTTGCACGCACTCATAGACGAATATATATTGTGTGTATGCTATGCCAGGAAATTGAGATGAAGGGAGTATACCATTATCTCAGTTATAGCATGAAAACATATTTGTTATCACTACGAACAAATCAATCACATTAAAAAATTGCGAAACAGCAAGTAATATGATATGGATTCATTTGTGGCACTATTTTTTCAGTTTTTTAGTTGAAAAAAGAAACATTTCCCCCAATTTTGCTACCCCATTTGATAAGTATATTTTTTTTTATGAACAAGTCAGGCTATATGCGTTTACAAGTTTGGATGGTGGTATTAAATCCTTGAAAAAAGAGCCCCCCATCCAACTCACCTTAAAAAGGAAGAAAAAAAAACACACACATACAAATCATTAGATATATATATATATATATATAGCTGAAAGTATAAGTGAATGCATGTATAAAAAGCTAGAAGTTTAATTGTGTTCCAACATATAAACATTTCATTTGCTGTAATAAATTTATATTTCCATTAAACAAAAGATATAATAACATGTTTTAACACTTTTTTTTTATTTATTTATTTTGATTAGTATTCCTAGTTTCAAAAACCTTCGTAATATCTTATTAACCATGCCATTGTTCTGTATACATTTTTTTTTTTTTTTTTTTTTTTCACACCTCTCTATTTATTTTATTACGTTTTTTGTATTATATTATGTTATTTTATTTTACTTTTTTTTGTTATATTATATACACACTCTGCACATGTAAGCATATATGCGTCATATCGCACCCCTCCCCTGCGCATGTTTTGCAGATTTAGGTTAGTAAATGTAATGATGTACATATATAAATATTTTTCACTGAAGTAGCACATGTGCTAACACCTTTATTGTGCTTGTTTGACCAAAGCGCCCACAAGTTCACTTTATGTGCGCTTACGTTGGTATACTACATTATGACATATCACATAACTTTGATGAGCTCATTCTGTTTTACCCATTCATGGAGAATTCAGCCAACTTTTAGTATATTTTTCCAACCTTTTGTTAATTGTGAATTTATACAAAAACTGAAAGTTAATTTAAGAATCGTTCAGCAAGTTTCTTTCTTACAAACACAATTTCTCTGCATTGTAGTTGTACTATCATAGGAGGTATGTATATATATATGTTTACATACAACCTTATATATGTAAGTATGTAAATGTAATACTCCTAAGAGAAAAATAACCAATAGGGTGTGTATAGCTGTAGGTTTTTTTTTTTTTTTTTTTTTTTTTTTTTATATATGCAATAAAGGTGAAAAATGGCTAATTGATACTTTGGTGAAAAGGCAAAAAAATAAAAGTTTATTTTTGTTAGCAGATTCGTCGATTTTGGGGAAAATTGCAGGAAGACTTTATTAGAAGAAATGTTCGCATATATACAAATTAATGGATAAGCTTTTTTGTTTTTTTTTTTTTTTGCCTTTTTGTTTTTTTGTTTTTTTGCCTTTTTGTTGTTTTGTTTTTTTGTTTTTTTGTTGTTTTGTTTTTTTGCCTTTTTGTTTTTTTGCCTTTTTGTTTTTTTGTTTTTTTGCTTTTTTGCAGTATTGCCTTTTTTTTCTTTCGTCTTTTAATGGGAACAAAAACAGCTTGAGTTAAAATCAAATTTCCGTTTCCCTAATGTGATGATTTCGAACAAACTGTCAAGGAATAAAATATATTTATATCCCGGTTTTACAAAATTGTAATAAGAGGATATTAATTCTCAATTTTTTTTTTTTTTTTTTTTTTTTAACTTTCCATGTAAATTGGAAGAAAGAAAAATTGGCATGCCGTAAAAACATATGTATAAGCAATATTATATACATATATGCATCAATCATTATGTATGTTTTCTATTTGTTAATATGAAAAATTATGTGTAGTATAATTTAGCAACTGGGATATAACTTTTGAAGAGTACCAGCTTTTTTTGCTAGACTGAATTTTTTTTTTTTTTTTGGGTCTACTTATTTTTCCCTTGGCTTTCAAGCAGAGGAGGAAGTTTTTTTCAATAAGACGATTAAAATTCCTTTTGGAAATATTCTCTATCAGTTTATGTTTACATTTTTTTGAATACAATTTTAACCTTTTCTTTTTAGAATCCATTTTGATAATATATATCAATAATTGTCTACTCAAGCATATTGTGTGCGTATATATATTTACATATATGTATATATATATATACTTATGCTTATGTGTATGTACATTCCTGTGAATACACAGATCGCGCACATATGCATTTAGGTACATATATAAATTTTGATAATGTCGCACATGCACTCATCCTCAAGCACAACCACCACCACATATGTTCAAGAAACAAACAGGAGGAACGAACAAAATGGAAACCAAAGCACAATTGTGCGAATTTTAAAACTCACGCCGCAGAAAATGGTTAGGTGGGATGAAAGCACAGTTGACAATGAGAACGCACAGAAGAAATCGTCCAAGGGTAAGGATTAAAGAGGGAGAGTGCGAGATAGAGAAAAATATGGAAAAATGAGGCAACAAAAAATAAGAAAAAATCAAGCAAAAATTAGGCAAAAATAAGGAAGGAAAAAAAAAAAAAAAAAAAAAAAAAAAAAAAAAAAAAAAAAAAAAAAAAAAAAAAAAAAAAAAAAAAAAAAAAAAAAAAAAAAAAAAAAAAAAAAAAAAAAAAAAAACAAAGGAGAGACGACAAAAGAGAGACAAAAAAAAAAAAAAGAGGAAAAAATCCAAAAAGAAATTTTGAAAAAAAAGACAAGACCAAATTGCATAACAACATGACCTTGTATACAAAAACTCCAATTTTACCAGCAAATTTCTTATGAGAAACATCACCTCATTATTCGTCCCATTTCATCTTTGTAATGTAGTGTGTTGCATATACCACAAGCCCAAGAAATTTGGGGAGAGCTCGGAGTCAGACTCAGATTCGTCGGAAAACGAGGGTAAGTAAATTCGTTGTGAGATAAGAGAAAATTGCATAATGGTGGAATGCCAAAGTGATTGAATTAGAACAATTACAACTCTTCACGTGAAAGCACACACCAATCTCTTATATTCATACCCCCAAGGAGACTGTAGGCCATGTTCCAAAAAAGATGAACGAACGAAAGAAAAGTAACAATATTTTCATGTTCCATGCGAACACAGTCATATTCCAAGTGCTGTTTTATGTGGCGCGTTCACAAATCGGTTCTATATATATATATTAACTATGTTTTACAAATCAGAATGAATTTGTGTGCTATATATATTTTGTCCATGCTTGTTGTTTATACAATTTTTTTTATCCTTTCACTTTTTTATAGTAGAAAAGAAGAAAAAGAAATTAAGTAGATCAGGAGTAGAAGATGATGGGATGACAACAGAAAAGGGTGTACACAAATTATAGTACATTTGCCAAACATTGAACACATTTTGTTGGTCTTATTATTATTTCAAAATAATGGAGGCATAATTTTAATTTTTTGAAAATTCTCATTTTATATAATACTGAAAAAGTAAAAAAATAAAATAAAAACACTCAGTTTCCATTATTTGATAAATTGTAGGGGGATTGCTCTTTTTTTTTTTTATTGACATATAAATTTGCTTCCCAATTTTTTTTTTTTTTAATTGTAAGCATTTATACTTTTCTTAACGCTTTTTTTTTTTTTTTTTTTTTTTTTATCATTATACAATAACTAAGTGAATTAAAAAATCACTATTTATTTTATTCTTCCTCCTCTTCCTCCAATTTCCCATCTCTATGGGGATACCTTAACTATATTCGTATAAACAAATACATGAATGGATGCATATGATGCAAAAAGGGGTGATGATGGGCACAAGCAGTTTCTCATTTCAGAACCCCCGTGAGATGATTTATTTAATTTTCTTATGCATTACCCAAGTTAATTTTTGTTTTGTCCTTTACGTGCATCCACCACACACAGCATCTCTCTGTCCTTTAAAAATAAACTTTTTCTTAATTTGAAAATAGAAAATAAAATCGTTTTGCTTTTTTTTTTTATATATTCAAAAGTTGTAACATTTGAAGGTATATTTTTACCCCCTTTATTTATTATTTAGCAAAATTGAGAATTTGTTTTTAAAAAGTGGAATAATACCAAAAAAAAAAAAAAAATATATATATATATATATAAATGTGCAGATAGAGAATATATTCCCCTTTCATTATATATTGATTTGGTAAGGCATGCGAAACATAAAACTAATTGGGAATACAGTTTTAGGCATCCCATTTGAAATGATCAGCAATGGTTAAGTAGAGTGTCTTATTGTTGGTATTATCCTCCAAACTAAGATCATTATTCTTCTGCTTATTGCTGTTATATTTCATAGTAAATACAGCATTTTTTTCTTCCTTCGTCTTTTTCTGATTCTCTGCAGATTCATATCCATACTCATAAAACATCTGAATCCAAATACGATGAGTAATATGATGTCCACAGTTAACCAAATATTCCGTTTTTTTAAAAGTGCATTTTCCAGAATATTTATGAAGAATATGTAACATGCATTTAAGATACTCCAACAAGAGTAGGGTTAGGAATTCACGAGATTTTCTAAAATAGCATATATGCCACATTAACTCATCATCATTAACTGATAGTCTTTTATAATATTCTTCAACAAAATCGATAACAGAAATATGTTCAGTTTTCAAATATCTATCCTTTGCTTTTATTTCTTTTGAAAGATCACATGTATGTGGTAAAGGATTTTGATGCGTGCACGAAGTTATAAAATTTTCATTAAAATAATCTAAACTGATGTGTACATTTGAATCCATAGAATCATTTGTAATTACACAAAAACTTTTATTTTTTTCAAATGCATTGAAAACTTTTTCATAACCCATTCTATCAATGGGTTTAAGTGTACCAGTTTTGCAAAAAAAGTAATTCACAACATTTCTCCAGTAGTGAATATTAGCCTTTATTTCATCATCCTTAAAAGATAATGTATGCAAAATCTTTCGCAAATATAAGCTTACTACTTCGTTGTCAATTTTTGAACACTCCTTAAGTTTCATTAAAGATTTAATATCTACAAAATTGAGAAGATAACTTATTATGTTGTGTTTTACGAACATGTTCTTTTCATTTCTCTGGAAGAGATTCTTGTGCAGTGCACAATTTTCCTGAGGCGGATTGTCTGAAAGTTAGAATAGCGAAAAGGGATTTTTCAGAGGTGTTAATGAGGGTTACACAATCCAGCTTTTATATCATGCCATACATCATATATATGCAGGAATTCTACATGAAAACGGATGCAAAGGATATGCAGGTGAACGGGTAGAGAGATACGTTTTATTGTTTTCATGTGATGCTGTCAAGTATGATCATATTACTTATAACTTCCTTTAAGTACAAATCTATTTTCTCATCAATGCGCTTAGGAAATTTCTTCTTAATAATCTCTCTAATGGTCTTTAAAGCGTTTTCCTGTTCCTCCTTCTCATCATCTTGAAACTTGCGATTAATCCCAAGATACTTTTTCTTAGGGGCAGTGATACTCTCGTTGCCCTTGTCACGCTTGCACTTTAACACTAAATTGATGTACTTTGATTTGGACCCTATAAGGGCGTATATCTTTTTGTAAAAACTTCCGTCTTCTGGAATTTACCATCGTGGTTGTACAGAGGGAGAAGAAACATGAAAGGGGGATTATAAAACGGGATAAAAAGGAACATAAAACTTGAATAGCTCTAAATAAACTGTGAATGACCCAAAATCGAACGTGAAAATGCAATGGGAGTTTTTTTTTTTTTTTTTTTTTTTTTTTTTTTTTTTTTTTTTTTTTATGCTGGATCACTTCTGACGCGTATATCACGTGGTGTGGAAGAAAAGGAGTATGATAGAGTAGCTCCATACGTGTACGTCTATATCTCCTTTGGAATAAGTTTATAACATAGCTGTTCATGAAATTTAGAAGTACACATTTTGCACTCTCTCCTTATTTTAATACACATACTGTTCACCACATTGGACTCGATATCAGTTTCCTCATCGTCGTCGCAGTCATCACTCTCCGTGCCATTCATGTTATTCCATTTCCTTAACCGAGATTTGTCGTATATATTTGGCTTGAATGAGAAATTAATTTTGCTCATTTTTTGTTGTACAAGCACGTATTGAAGGGGAACATAAAAAAAAAAAAAAAAAAAAAAAAAAGGATCCAATGTTTATACCCGAGCAATATTCCCTTATATCAAAACACTTGGAACTTATCTTAATAGTATAGTTCTATCGAGAGAGAAACTTTTATTTTGTGCATTTTTGCCATATCGAACACTGTCTTCCCACATATCCTTGGTGCTTGAAAATTTGATAGAAAATTCTGAAAAAGGCCACTTTTGACAAATTGCAACGAATAAAAATAAATAAAAACATTACGTAGCATGTGTATTAAGGGGGACAATTGTCTCCCTTCACATGGCTGACTAAGTCTTAGGTGCCAAAGACACAGAAGATGAAAAAAATATACTCGATAAAGGTGAAGTAAAATGAAATGTGCAAAGTGTATGAACACCTTTTTCACACACACAGTGACATGCACGCACAAACAATCTGGCAAACATGCAGGAATGCGAACTAACAGATACTCACGCACCTTGATGCCTTTAAGAAGAAAAAAAAAAAATTTACAAGTCAAGAGTAACTATATTTGGCTCAATTGATTTCATCTTGCCAGGGAAAAGAGAAATTTTCTTTTTAGGCACGCTATGTTTCAAGCCAATTTTCTTTTTATGCAAGTAATAGCAAATAAATATGCTTATCAAAATTGGGATAAATATACACATGTATAAAGTGTACAATCCTCGGTACCCCAACAAGCACATATCACATTCGTCGCTATGCTCAAATTTCCCAAATTTTATAATTGCCTAAAGGGGGGGGGGAGAAGGGGACAAAAGAAAAAAAAAGGCCAAAAAATGAAGTAAAATTGGCTGTAATAAAAAAAAAAAATAATAATAAATAAAATAAAATAAAAAGATGCAACGTGTGTGACATATTTGAAGGGGCATTGATCCGTATGCCCTTTCGCAAAGCCCATCGTCATATTGTCGAATATAAGAAGAAAAACTTCCGCTAAGGCAGAAGTGTTATAATGAGCAGATTCTTCTGGGTCTCAATACGCTCATGTAGCACAGCGTCCCAGATTTTTCCTTTTTTTCTCATTTATTTTTGCTCTCGGAATTGCTCGCTTGTTTATTTACTTATTTTTACATGCACCCTTTTGCGTACACTCTTTTGCACACACTCTTTCATATTTTCCCTTTCATATTTTCCCTTTCACATATGCTTCTTTTATTTTTCCCCCTCTTTTTGCTTACGTCTCGCTCAAAGAGGAGCACAACCTCGTAAAGCTGCTGAGTCACGTTCAAAATGCGCTCGGCTATTTTCTCAGAACTTATTTGGTTTTTACTGTCCTGTGCCTTTTCTATCGATAGATAAAGGAGCTTCTTGTGTGGTTTTAAAAATGACAGAATTTTGAACAATATGTATGTGCTAAGTCCCCTCGAAAAGAATCCCTGAAAAATTGGAGGCTGAGATTCTTTGGTGTAGATGCAAGAACCCATAATTTTAATTCTGTGTTTATCTAACTCCCGACTAACCAAAAAGATTTCCTCTGGAAAAACGAAATAGTAAATCTGTTCAAGAAATTCTTTTACGTTTGTGTCATTCTTGACAAGTAGAATAAGACTTAATGTTATATCTTGATCTGAAGATAGAAACTGTTTGGACACATCGGCATTTTGTGAGTGTAGGGGCTCAAATTTTACACTAGAAAATGTAGAAGAGGAAGAATAAGACAAATGTACTTCGTGCATAATGGCATTATATATAAAATTCGAATCATAATAGTAAACCCGTTTTCTATAACTATCTATATTGTACTGTTTTAAGATTCGTATAAGTATTATTCCTTCATTAATTTGTAAGTCATTCTTATATTCATTTTCAACCAAAGAATAAAATATATTCTCCATATTATAATTTCTGGATTTCATGGTGCCATTTTTTGTTCTTATATACACAGGCATTATTTCTATATAATGAAAATAATCAAATTGGTTGATAACTTGGTAAAATAAAAATTTTTTTAAAAAAATAAAAAAATTAGAAAGCAACATCTTTCCATACTTATTTTTTAAATGAATTTCATCGTACAATTCAAGAATATTATCTTCATTTATAGAAATCGAATCAAATTGGTCTTTCACTTTGAGGAAAATATTTATCTCCTTTTTATACATATTCGAAATTTTTACGTTATGCTCATTTATTTGCAGCATGTAAAAGTTAAACAAATTTAATGTCTTCCGTAGCGACTCCTTTACTTCCTCTGTGTATAATTTCGCTGTTATGTCTGTGAACGAGCAGAGAAGAATTAGGAAAGGGGAAAATCGTGCCTCTCAGCAGGTGTAAATGTGGAGTAAAGCTGAGATACTACACCCCTCACACACAAAAAAAACAAAATGGGAGTAACAAATGGGAGTAGCAAGTGGGAGTAACAAATGAGAGTAGCAAAAAAATGAATAATCGCCTGCATCTGTGGTATGCTCATCTAAGTTCGTTGTAGATCTACTGAGTCGACAAAATATGAACAAGTGTATGAATCCCTTGCTAAAAAAAAAAAAAAAAAAAAAAAAAAAAGAAGAGCTACGGTTCACTCCGTGGCAGAATACCCGTTTCTTCCAATAAAAAAGGGACAAGGGTCAAATGTAAACTAGTCTTCTCAACAAAAAAAATATGACTGGAGCATATGTTCATCTCTAGGTTTGATACACGGCTGAAGGAAGGATCAGATAGTATGAGCTCGTTGTACATTTCTTGAAACCCCATTCCATTATTCCTCATATTTGCCTCTATTTCACCAATCTATTGGGATAAAAGGATGATAATAGGTGATGGGAAAATGGATATGAATTAATAGCGATATCCAAATGGAAAAACCATCATCTCCCTTCCTATGCTAATAGAGTGTTAAACATGGATACAAACACTTGTGTCTAATGTACGAATGAGAAACTCAATTAATTGTGGATAGATGTAACAAAAGACAAAATGTGTGTTCTCATGTGTGTGGAAAAAATATTACTGAAAATAATAACGATTCGGAAAGTTTGAGCTCAAAGAACAACCACAAATTCCTATCATTTTTTCTACGCATCAGTTGTATAAAATTATGCTTCACGAGAAATATCGCTTTCTTATATGTTTCATCTTCATATGCCTCAAAAATTTCTTGTGTTAATGTGCACCTTAAGGCGTTGTACAAATAAAATAATGCCAAGTTCGAAAATCCTTTCAATTCATCCAACACATTATTTTTCCGCATGCTCTGTTTGATCCTCTCCATGGAAAGGAGATTCTCTGCAGAGAGTTAAAAAAAATAGAACAAAATAGAGCAAAATAGAACAAAATAGAGCAAAATAGAACAAAATAGAACAAAATAGAACAAAACAGAACAAAATAAAACAAAATAGAACAAATTAATAATGATGAAGTACACAATATAAAAAAGTTGTGAAGATAAATAGTGCACAGTTTTATTTTGTGATGTAAAGCAACTAATCAATTCTATGTTAAATTCATTTGTTCTTTCTTCAAGTATTCTAAGATAAGCCACTCCGTTGTGTACTCAAAAATAGGAGCAGTATCATTTTTAATTAACGCTTTTTAGAAAAATAGGGAAAGAAAAGAAAGAAAAAAAAAAAAAAAAGCGATTAAACATTTGGGTATATTTTTTTTTTCCATCTCACAAACCATTGCATATCGGCTTTGTAAAAAAAAAGAAAATCAAAATTGAGACATACGTCAAGTAGTATCCCTTCATGTTACTGTATGTGTGATTTTTGTGTTATGCTCAGCCAAGGGAAATGTTGTCACCCTCGTTGGAATGTACAGATGTATATATAGAAGCATGCGTAGACGTATATATAGAAGAATGTATAGGCGTAGATAAAGAAGAATGCGTAGACACAATATTCCAGAAGTATGTATAAGAAGAGACACACAAAAAAAAATAGATGAACGTAAACACATGTGCATAGGAAAAGAGTGATCGCGAAAAATGGAAGTTTTGGGACTAAGACAAGTGGCACAAGCACTAGGATACTTCGGAACGGGGAAAAAGTAAAATATTGTAAAAAAAATATAAAAAATAAGTAAAATGAAATGTAATGTAATGATATAATGTTATGTAGAAATCAAACCACGTGAAAAAAATAGATATATATATATATATATATATATATATATATATATATATAACACAACGCAATAAAATAATTGCCTAGAGCTGCTCACGTATTGGAATAGTGTTCATGCCATAAAAATATGAAAAAATGAAAAAAAAAAAAAAAAAGAGACTTTTGCATATAATAACCAAGGAGGCGTGAGTGCCAATTTTTATTTTTTTTTTTTTTTTTTTCTACATGGATAGATAAGCACGTAGGTTTGTAGTACGGTGTTAAAATTCATCTTCGCGAAAAAGGAACACACAATTTCCGTCTTATTCTGTACTTTCATCCTTGGTCTTTTTTTGGTCATCCAATAAAAAAACGGTTGATATGTCTAGGTATATTTGCTTAAGTTCATAATTAACAGATCTTATGGTTTTTTCCTTAACAATTGGGATGAAGAAGCTGATTTGGGGGGGAGGGAAAGTAAGGATAAATGAGGCAAAACAGAGATAAATCCGGCCAATTTGGGGTAAATGAGGCCAAATGGGGGTAAATGATGCCAAAAAGGGATATATGATGCCAAAAAGGGATATATGATGCCAAAAAGGGATAAATGCAGATATGTAAAAATAAATACAGACGCTCATAAATAAATGGGGAAAAACAGATCTATAAAACAAGGGTGCAAAGCATGAAAAATTGAAAAAAAAAAAGAAAAAAGAAAAGAACATTACACATATATTATAAATAAAACAAAATGTGGAATGACGGTTGCATAACGGTCTATTGTCCACTATAATTGGACTTATACTTTAACATACAAAAATATAAATCATAAATACGAATGTTTTTTAATCTTACTAATCTATTTGCTTCAACTTGGATGCTGTATTTTTATCCACTTCATACAGTTTCTTTTTGTGGAGACTCTCCTGTGATGCGTTAAAAAGTAACTCATCATCCGTACGGAAATGGGAATTTTCGTGTTCACTTGCCTCCTGAACGTTAGCATACACGTCGTCGCAAAAGTCACACTTGTATATTTTTTTGTATGAACAACCCTCAAAATTGTCAATTGAATCGTAGTAGTTTTTGTCACCTTTCACACGTTCCTCATCATGTTCCAATTTGCCCATCTCGGTGCCCCTCTCATTGCTATCCCCTCCGTGAAAGGAAAAATTTTTTCGGTTGATGAGGACCCTTATTGGGTTGAATTGTTGGGAGGGAGATGTCTCCTCACCTGGGTTGCACATGGCATTCATTTGGGAAGCAGATATGATACGGAAGACTTTTTGAAGAGAAATGTTTTTATTTATCTCAATTTGAATCAAATCATCAGCAATGTTTTGAACTGATTTCTTACATATATAATCGTGTTTGGATACAAAGGTATGTACTTTCCCAATAGAAGTATTACTCAAATCGTTAAAAATGTAAATATGAAAGTTTAATAAATCAGTTGATATGTACTGATTTTCCGTTATTCCTGGAAATTTTTTTTTATCATCACAAATTAGACATGATTTTAATTTCAATGCATCTGTTCTGGAATTAATTCCTTCAATTTTTAAATAAAGAAAACCTACTTTTAGTGATTCTTTCACATCTACTATTTTAATTGGTAAAGGATATGGATATGTGTTCATAAATAAATATCGATATGCGTTATTTTTAAATCGAATATCATTAAATGTTGTGAAACTTATTACTTTTAACCATCCATGTAATCCATGTACACCTACAATTTCACCTATTACAGTAAATTCATTCATAAACGATATTTTATTATTATATGCTACAGCACTTGAATTTTCTTGGTTTTCCCTTCCTTCCTCCCTAGAAACACTTACATCTGATTCGCAATTGTTTTTCTTACTTAACCTTGTACTGGTGCCAAATTTATCCTTTTCTAACACTAAATCGAGGTTGTTCGATCGGGTTCTATCAGCATAGTAATTTTTAATGAACAAATTTGGAAGGTTCTTACTTTCATTTTCTACACTTTTTTTTGTAATATCTGTTAAAATATCATTTTCTGATTCTATGTACTGGATAGTGGAGTGCTGATCCTCTGAAACATTTTTCTGCAGAAAATTATCGTTTTTCCCCCATGTGTTCAATAAATTTTCGCTTGTTCGTCTTTTTATATACCCAGCTTTGGAATATTTACTCCTTTTGTAATATTTTGTATCTGTCAAGAATTCCCTGGTATATTCTTCATTTCTCTGTTGATCAGCTGATTTAGTACATTCCCTTATTTCATTGGAGATGACTGATTTGTTTTCATCCGAAGGATTCTCATGATTTAAATTATTATTTTCATTTTGTGGGTTCAATGAGAACGTTTCAACACAACGAGATGTGTATATCCTTCGTCCGATACGACTTGTGGCAACGTCATTCCTAATCTTTCTTTTATTAGCATCCACCAGAACTGTATGCAACACATCTTCACTTTGAGTCATTGTACCCTTCTGTTCTACACATTTGAATATGAAGAAAAATTTTCCAACCTCCCTATTTTTGTAATTGTATTTATTATTGTAATAAATATTCTGAAAGGAATCTTTTCTTTTTTTATGTCTTGTTGTAACATTTTTGTAAAATTGCAATGCTTCTTTTTTTGATTTATCTGTCACGCAACTCCTAGTACCATTTTGACAACTATGGAGAGTGACGTATGTATATCCTTTTCTCGTAGCTTTCCTTCCTATACTCATGCTCCATATGGTAAGAAATAAACTGTTAAATATCCCTGTCAGAATCAGAAACGGTATTATTACCCTTTTCAGTATTGTAAAGCATCTTTTCATTTATATATTTTTCTTGCGAATCAGCGTAAAACGGAATTTCATTTGTGTTGGCCTTTCTCGAAAAATTCCACAGAAAAGAAAATATATATATATATATATATATATATATATGATAATAAAATAAACTGCAATCTTATGTGGTGAAAAAAATCTTACATGCCAGTACATAAAAAAAAAAAAAAAAAAGTGAAAAAAAATACCCAAGTATGGGTAATAAGTTGGGTCCCTACTTAGTAAAACAAATTGCGTTACATGAGAGATAATGATGAATCCACTAATTTCTGCTTACTTAGTCGTATGTCTCCCCATACAACAAGTGCAGCATTGTGCTAATCGAGGAACTTTCATACTAAAACAAGGCACATCAGAACACAACAAAATGGAGCAAAACACAACAGCGGACTTACAATGTATTGTGGGATGACTCGTATTCACCCTAATTGTATGAACGATAAAGATGAGAAGCCTTTTTCCTCCTTACATGTAAAATGTGAATTATTTTATTTATTTTTTTTTTTTTTTTTTTTATGTATTGGCATGTAAGAATTTTTTCATTTCAAAAGCTTTAATATTATTATTTATTTTTTTTTTTTTTTTTTTGCAAAAGAATACAATATGGAGAACAAACCGAGATGTCTTAGAACTTTGAAATAGGATTTTTCGATTGACAAAAAATGTGCGCCTTTATCCAATGTATGCGTGTGTGAACGTGTGTATGTGTATATATGTAGATACGAACATGGAACGATTAATCCGAGGAGGCATGAAGAAACCCTCACGTCCGTCCCCCATCATACAGCAGAAATATTAAAAAATATACACATATGTATATGCATATATATGTATATAACACCTAGCCACTCATAGGGGAATAGTACAAAAAATATACGCCATCAATTCTTCCACTTGCCCATGTCTTGCCTTGAGACCTATACACATTTTATGCGTAACCAAACGTTACGTATAAGAAGAGTTAGTTATTTTTTTTTAAAACTGCCTATGTATGGAAACACACAAAAAATGAACAATACAATATTATAATGTAAATTCGTATAGTATTTATGCGTAGCACTCTTTATTTTATATTGACTCTAGTGCAGTAACATATCATGTGAGGACATATAAAGAGAATATTCCAGAATGGGTTTTTAGGGGGAAGCGGTACTTGAGCCGAAATTAATATAAACAGAATAGGTTTAAGCGGTTGCTTTTTTATACATAAATAAGTATAGATACATTTATATATATGTAATAATACATGAACTTTGCCAATTCATAAATACAGAACTTGCGCGATTAAAACAAAGGGTTTCACAACAAAGAAGGATTCACCTTTACCCTTAGTCATTCTCTAATTTTGTGTCGTTTTGCTAACACTGATATGTTATTAACCGAATTTGATGTAATTGTACATTTCTTCTATATAAAGAACATTTGTTGCTATCCCTATTTTTTATTCTTTTTTTTTTTTTTTTTTTTTTTAAATAATTTTTAAAGTTGTAGCTCAACGGGATTTGCACATCTTGAATAGGAAAAAAGAAAACAGAAATAATTTACAGAAGGGGGAAAAAATAAGAGTACACCAACTTGAAGAGGCAAAAACTAGTTATTCTTCCATATGATTTTGTTTCCTTCCCCACAGGTACATAGCTTGGGTGGATTAGTTATATATTTTATTTTTGCGTTAACATGTTTTGCTTATAAACAGGTGTAGTTTTCTATACCTTTTTTCAAGTGTGACTTCTTGTGCATACGGAAAAAGAAAAAATGTGTGTATACAAAATATAAATGTTTACAAATACTATTGGAGGGATATATTATTGTGTTTACCCTATGCAGAAAAATATAAAGCATTTTTACACTATTGCATTTTTTATATTTTCGCAATTTTATTTGGTCGCATTCATTTTAACAATTTAGCTTTCCATTTAAATTTATGTTCAATTTTGTGCTTAAAAATTTAAGCGCACTTTTATATTTCACAAGATTTTATTTTCTCGCTTTTTTTTTTTTTTTTTTTTTTTTTTTTTTTTACGTTTTTTTTACTTTTGATTTCTATAACCTTCTAATATTTCGTTTTTGTGATTTTTGCAATTTTGCAATTTTTGCAATTTTTGCGATTTTTGTGTGCCCTTAAAGTTTTTTCCCTTTTCCCAAATGAAAAATTTACCCACTCTTTACCTCCTCCCTCTGTTGAATCGTTATAATTATGTTTTCCCATTGCATCCTATATATATTTTCTTTTTCTTTTTTTTTGCCAGCTTATATTTTTTTTCCATTTGTAAATTTGTATAACACTCTTTAAATGATTATTAATGGATAAACATTTAAGTTAATTAAACAAAGTTTATTTGTATAAGTATCATAGGAACATGTGGAATTTTTATAATAAAAGGAGGGGGAGGGGAAAAAAAAAAAAAATAAAATAATAAAAAAAGTAAATGCAATTTTTGTGAATCCCTGTTTTATGTATATATATATATATATATATATATTTTTTTTTTTTTTTAATTTTACTTTTTTACATTTTGTTTTCTTTTTTTTTTTTTTTTTCCAATTGATTAATTTATGTAGACTCTCAATTATTATATTTATTCGAATATCTTTCCTCTTATCTTTACCCTTTTTCGTTAATCTTTTTTTTTTTTTTTTTTTTCGCCCACTTTTCTTTATCTTTTTCATTAGCATTTTCCTCCTCATTTTATTTTATTTGCTTTTTTTTGTCATTTTTTTTGACCAAGTTCGAGCCTAGTTAATTAATTCAAGCTCCCTTTCCCTCCCACCTTCGACCCTTCCTTTTTAGCATGTATATGTTTATTATAATAAGCTTGTATGCATAGGCATACGATCGCATGCATTCATGTACGAATGATCACGTGTTTGTTCGTGTCAGCATACGCACTTATGAATGTATGGATATGCATTTATCGTATATGCAATACGGGCATATATATTACGTACGTATTTTTATAGAAATATTTATGTACATATATATATGCATATATATATATATATATATATATATGTAAATACATATGTAAATACATATGTAAATATATATGTATGCGCGACGGAGTTCTCTTTTATTTCTATTTTTTTTTTAAATTTAATGCATTATTTAATTTAAATGCCTATTTATCTGTACCACTTCCATTTTGCCGCGCTGCTAACTTTGCCGTGTTGCTACGTATTTATACCTTATTAGTTTGCCCCTTTATTTTACCTTTTTTTTTTTTTTTTTTTTGGTGGGGGAACCAATTTTTGAATTGCCCCCCTTTGAGTTAATTAATTAAAGAGTGTACCAGCAAGCACTTGTAGGTAGTAGTTTATAGTCACATGAATGTGCGTATACCAAAAAGGTTATGCATATCCCTGGGCATATGTTTATGTACAATATATATATATGGTGAACCCCACAAATCCATATATTTAGGGAAGAGAAAATATGTGTATATACATATATTCTTGTATTATATATACACACTATTTTACTATTTTACTATTTTACTTTTTTATTTGTTTTTATTATTATTTTTTTTTTTTTTTTTTCCCCCCTCTTTTTAATTTGAACGTTATGTATCTAAAACTATAACGTCTTACGCTCCCCCATCCCCGATCGAATATTTGTACACATGTGTATGCTACCCCCTGTGTATAAATATATAGACTTGCATATATGCACATACATATAGAAACCATATGTGTGCATTCTTGTATATACTCCCTATTTGTGCGTAGCTGTGCGCACTTCTTTTATTTTACTATTTTACTATTTTCTTTATTCTTTTTTTTTTTTTTTTTTTTTGCGCCGCTGTGTGTGTGCAATCAACATTTTTCGTAAAAATGAAAAAGAAGAATATTGCTGCCACCACTAGCTACGGAAAGATGAAAAATCGTGTGAACCGTTATGATATGAATGGTTCGTACAATTTTATTGAATCTAAAAATAGTGGAAAAGTACAAGGGAATGCTATAACTGGGGATACGAAAAAAAATAGGTCAGATGCTAATACCAGCGGAAAAGGACCTAATAGTAGCCAAATCAGCAACATTCAGAATGGAGGTATAACAGGAGGAAATAATCATCATTCCCAGGTAATGAAATATGGAAAGAATGCATATCAGTATGATTATAACTCATACGGATCAAAGAAAGTTGGAGAATACAGGGAGAAAATAAAAAGTACGGCTAAGAATGCAGGGAGTGTTGGTGAAAATACTACACACAATGAAGGTAGAAACAATCAAATTTGTGGTAACAACTCTGTTACGCCTGATAATAAGGCAATTCAAGAAACAGCTGGAAATAAAATCAAAGAGGGGAATACAAATTTGAATGGGACAAACATGAGCAGAAAAAGTATGAGCGGGACAAATGTGAGTGGCACAAATGTGAGTGGCACAAATATGAACGGCACAAATGGAATTAGAAAACAGAATGAAGGAAGGAAAGGAGGAAACAAAGATGAAAGTGGAAATGAAGAGGTCAGTATATTAAGAGAAAAAATTTGCTTTAAAATGCTAAAAAGCATAGATATATATATTACAGAAATAATTATGAAATCTTCATTTGTGACTGTGTACAAAATGAAGGAAGATGAAGTGAAATGGATTCGAGCAGATATCGAAGGATTCTTGTACATTGTTAGGAGATCTATTAAACCAACATACCGATTAATAATAACGAATAAAAAAAATGAAAATCATTTAGTACAAGATATTCATGGACGTATAAAATTGTCTACGGATCAGAATTATATATTTTATAGAGTGTATAATGAAGAAAATAATTCGAAAAGTACATACAGTTTATGGTTTTACAGTACTGAGGAGAAAGAAAAAATATACAACATGTTGAGAGAATTAGTAGACATGGCGACTTCTACTACCCCTGCAAGTGGCGCAGGAAATTTAGGAAATCCCGATCATAACTCCATTGAGAATAATGGAAATGTTTCTTATGTTCATAGTAAAAGCATTAACTATATATTGTCCAAAAATGAAAATGGCGTTAATGAATCCGTTGTAACAGCTGCAGAAGGAAAAATATTAGTAGACAAATCGAATGAGGCCCCTTTGAAAAATGCTCCAAATGGGTGTGGCCAGGAACTTCCCAAGAGTGTTCCGAATCATGCAGGAGTGAACCTCCCAGGAGGGACGTTAAACATGGGCAGCAACGATGGGAGTCTCATCAGTGCACATATTACCAATCACAGCAGCAGCCGCACCATCAATCACAGTAGCAGTAGCACAATCAATCACAATAGCAATCATAACAGCGTGCACGAGGCGAGAAAGACAAATGCAAAGAAAACCAACCCCTACACAATGTATGACAATGTCAGGGATAACGATAATGGAAAGAGTTTTGAGTTAAAAGGGACGAATAAGCAAGATTTCATATATGCAAAGATGAACTATCCAGTAATTGGTGCATCTGGAAACATATTGAACGGAGGAACCCAAAGTTCGTACGAAAATTATTTGAAGAATTTTTATAACGTAAATGAAAATGGAGAAGCAAACGGAATTACATCCATTGGACATAGAACAAAAATGAATGGGCATTTAATAGAAGGACATAACACATGTGATTTTAATGTAAAAGGGGATATTCAGCAAAATAACGTAGATTTTAAAGATAAAGTTGGAAGAAAATTACTCAATCTTATTAAAGGATTACCTATGGAAGAAAATGAAAAAGAAAATGAAAATGGAACCGAAAACGAAGTAGAAAAGGGATCCGAAAGGGTAATAGGACAAGGAGTTGGAATGGAAGTCGAAATGGGGCCTGAAAAGGGAAATGCAAATTTGAAAAAATTAGAAGATTATGATTTTTATGAGAATAGAAAAGGAGAAGATTCTTCAAGAGGCATTAATAATAATCTCATTAAGGAGACAAAAGGGAATTTGTATTCTAATAAGAAAAATAGCGGAATTTCGGGAGGTGAAGCCATTATGAACCTTTTAGGATTAAGCAAGAATAGTGATTTTAAAAAAGACGAAGGGGAGGATAAAAAAAAGAAAAAAAAAAAAAAAAACGGAAATGCAAATGGAAATAGCAATATAACGAATGTCATTATGAATGAAAACTTGAATGGTGAAAGTACAGGAAATGTGCAGGTGGCAGGAGGTTCTGTTACTCCGGTTGTTTTAAATAATACGCATGCAACAAATGTTTACGATACGAACAATGACATTACCAAAACGAACATGCAGAAAAGGGGAATGCAACTGAGGGAAGCGCAACTTAGAGAAATGCATATGAGGGTAATGCCAATGAATGGAATGCCAATGAATCGGATGTCGATGAATGAGATGCAAATGAATGAGATGCAAATGAATGAGATACCAATGAATGAGTTACCAATGAATGAGGTGCAAATGAATGAGATACAATTGAATGAGATACAATTGAATGAGATTCCATCGAATGGAATTCTTATGAACGGTATACCATTGAATAGGATGCATGCAAATGGCATCCAGACGAAGGGAATCCAGAAGAACGGAATCCAGACAAGAGGAATCCAGACAAGCGGAATCGAGACGAACGATATGGATATGTTATCACCACTCGGGGAAGAGATAATAAACGGGGGAAACGGAAAAACCGTTAGATATAACAAGAGCAAATTTGACTGCAGTGACGAAGTTTTAAGTAGTAACCACATCTTGGATCAATCATATCTCGAAAAACAGGGATATCAGAACAATTCAGTTGAAAGTGTACATAACAAAAGAATAATGAATACTGGCCAAATGGACGAAGAGAAAAATATGACCAATGTGTTTCTTGATATTATTAAATTAAAATCGGATAAAACGAATAATGTACACCCAGTTACAGGCAGAAATCACCACTTGGGCCATGATGTTGTGAATGAATACAACACAGATTCATATGACTTATTATTTAAGATGCAGAACGGAAATGGAAGCGGAGAGAGGAGAACAAAAGTTGGAAATCAGATTGACAGGTTTGTTGCGAATAATCACCTAGGCATTCACAGTAATAATGATCCATTTGATCATGGTGAAATTTCAGGCAAGAATAATAATACAGGTTACATGCCCAATGAGAAACAACTCCTTAAATGTGAAGACAATGTGTTAGACAACTACAATAGCTTGGAGGGTTATAAAAATAGAAATATACTACTGAACAGGAATATCATACATAATGTCATCAAAGAAACATTGCAGTCCGATGAATTTGTAAATTTGCTGTGGAAAAAGCTATTAAATAGTAAAAATATCATGTAATTAATGTATTTTTTTTTTTTTTTTTTTTTTTTTTGAAAAGATATAAATTTCGTCCCAATTCATTTGAACAACGATAATGTGTTGCACGTGTGTGTCTGAATTAGTCGTTTAATTTATTTAATACAGTTTATTTAATACACCTTATTTAATACAGTTTATTTAATACAATTTATATAATAAAATTTATTTAATATAATTTATGTTAGCAAAATTTATGTTAGTGTAATTTATTTGAATATGATTTATTTTAGGAAAATTTATTCTAGCACAATTTATTTAATTTTTCATTTTATTATGTTCTTCCCACGCACGCGCAACAGCATCACCACTACTAGTGAATTTTATTGTGCCCTTTTTTTTTTTTTTTTTTCCCCCTCTTTTTAACCGCCACTCCTTAGAATGTATAACATTATACTTACATGTTTATCACTTCTTTTTTTTTTTTTTTTTTCATTTCCCACCAGATATATAATAATGTAAATGTGTGTCTATACAACAAAATGTATATTCGTACATATACATATTCGACATTTATAACTCCCCTCTTTCACCGCTTATGTATTCCACATAATACGTAACATGTATATCAAGCACATGTACTATTTGCCATTTCATTAGTATATGAAAATATATTCCCTTTTTAAGAAAAAGACAATATACAAAAAAAGACCATTTGTGCATATAAATATATATTATATATGCTATACATTACACCCGTATATATAAATCAGCTTGTATGTTTGAGCTCATTTTGCGCTTATGTTTATTTTTTTTGCCCTTTTTTTTTTTTTTTTTTTTTTTTTTTTATAAGAATTTCTTCCTAATGTACAAACAAATTAACAACACTACTAACCCCGCAACTTGTTCCCATTTTGTTCCAAAACAAATTTTCATTGAAAACTACACAACCGTATATAAAAATTAAGTACATATTGTTTAATACTCTTCAAATGAATTGAAGAGAAAAGGGAGATGATAACTAAATGGAGAATATCACTCAAACCAGCTTTGTATTTTTATTTTTGAAATATACGCATTTAGGGGTGGTGTGTGTGGGGCCTATGAAATTATTTTTCCTATGGAATATTTCTTCACAAGGTCAGAAAATTTTTACCATTTCTGAAATTATCAAAAATGGGAATGAGTCCGAAACAGGCTTTAATTTGGATAAATGCTTCTGGAAAAAAAAGAAAAATTCACGCTAACACCTTTTACCAAGCAATCTACATTTTGTTAAAAGTTACACGCATTTTCCAAATTTTAAACGTAATAATTTGTGACTCAAGAAGAGAGAGTGTACCTGACGTCCCTTCTAATTTCAACTTTTACATATATATGTCAGGCATATTTTATTGGAGTATATAAAGAACGATAGTTAAAAAAATAGTGTCTTCATTTTGAGAAAATTCCTCATTTTGCATTATATTACTTTTGTTCTGATTTGTTCTTTTATCATCTCACTGAATTAAATAACACTATTTTTTTTTCTACATTACTAATCTTTTTTTTTTTTTTTTTTACTATACGTTCATGCAAAGTCACAAATTTGTTTACAATTTGAATGTAGCTTATTATATAATAGAATGTTCAAGAAGCTTTTAATTATGTTTTAATTTAAATCCCTCACATTTAGTTGATTATGAGGAGTGTGGTTGATATTTGTTACTTTTAAAAAAAAAAAAAAAAAAAAAATTGCACTTTAGTAGACGTAAAAGCATAATAGTAAAATGGCTGTTAGAATTTCTACAAATGCGTATAAAAATGGTCTATTCTTGTCGTCACTTACCAGTTTGTTCGTTTTTGTGCTTCTGTGTATCCTCACATGGGTTCTCGTTTCGATCATAGTTTTCTTTTTCTTCCTCTTCTTTCTCATCCATGGAGCTGCGTTAATCAAAGAGTTCACATATGTTAACGGTTAAAAATAGTTCTTGCATTTATTCAAACATTTCTTGTTTTTTATTTTATTTTTTTTTTTAAGTACAAGTCGCTGGGGGGATCAACATAACACTTTTTCGAAAACTCTTTATCAAGGATGTTTTGTAAATTTATTCGGTAACTTCTCCTTGTTAGATTTTTAGTGGGACTTCTGTTTAGTTCTACATTGCTAAATGGAAGTTAATACACTTATAAAATGTGTGGTGGTAATACCAAACACTACTATTATTTGCACACGCGAGACATGGCGTATATCGTTTGCATATGCATATATCGACCAGTGCATTCTTGTTAATTATTTTATTTATTTTATTAATATTTTTCGACTCGTACCCATTTCAATAATGAAAACTGTGACTATTAAATTTTTTCATTAGAAGAATGTTCACTTTGCATGTAAAATGAAGCATTGAAGAAACTGCTAAAAAAAAAAGAAAAAAAAAAAAAATTACCTTGAAAATTCGGCTTTCTCGCTACCCTCTTCATGGTCATTGATTGGTATATACTTCTAAAAAATGGATATATGGAGGGAGAATACCAGAGAATGCTCATTTCGATAGTTGAAGTATTCACACTTTTGATGATAAAGGGGGATAGGAAAAAAAAAAAAAAAAAAAGAAAAAAAAAAGAAAAAGGCATATACCTCATTTAGCTGTGTTTGCTTCACCCATCTTTCGAATAAACCGTTTTCATCTTTTTCCTAGGTGTAGTAGTTTTCGTCGAGGGCATAAGTAGGCTTATAAATTCATGTATAGAGTCATGCAAGAGTCAGATATATATGATGAAAATGCACAATGGAGAGATATAGGACAGTTGAGATTTTTTGTTCTCACACCTTAACCCATGTTGTCACATATTTTTTATTTCCATTTTTCGTGAACTTAAATTTGTTATTGGTTCGTCTTTGAGAAAAGTGCATGACCCATGCCCTGCGTTTTAATTCGATATCTTCGTGTATAAAATCGTTCATTTGGTCGGGGTATATGAGGGAAATTGTTTGCTAAAATTTTGAATATTTCTTTTCCCTTTAACCCCTTTTTTTTTTTTTTTTTTTGTGTATGTGTGTGTATCAATTGATGGGTAAAAAATGGTTCATGGCAACAGAGTACTTGCACGTTGTATAAAGGTGTGTGATTGGCAAAAGGGATGTTAAAATTGAGGGATACATAAATATAGAAACAGGACATATATTATTTTCCATTTTTGTTCTTAAAAATATATCTCATCTCATTTTTTTTTTTGGTAAACATTCATAATGTTTATTAAAAATAAACGGGACTTAGCAAGTATACACCGCACCATTTTGTGTAAATTTTTTTATTTTATTTTATTTTTTTTTTTGAAATGTTCAAGATGTTCAGCACACTGAACTTACACAAATGGGTTGCTGCAAAACAGTTTGTAGTTCCCTCAAAATGGTAAAAATTATGTTGTAAAAAGAAAAAAAAAAAAAAAAAAAAAAATTTTAATATTTAAGAACTTTTTTGGTTATACATAACCACTTTGTTAGTTGCTGTTACAGAATGTTTACAAAGATGTTTCTAAGAAGCAGGAAAGAAAAAAAAAAATGCCTACATCTTTTTCGCAACTGTAAATTTGTACTTGCACCAGGCAAGCTGTTGAAAACGGATGAACGGACGGGGTTAAGTGATTTGTCATCCGGTAATTCGTTCACCAAATTTGTCAAATTTTTTTTTTTTGCGCAATTTTAAGAAATTCGTTTGATGTTTTTTTTTTTTTTTTTTTTTTTCCAGCCTCTCTTGGGAGGACTACATTTTATTTCCTTACTCCTTTGAGCAAAAACTGTTTCACGAAAAGTTAAAAAGTATTTTCGATATAAACCAATTAGTGGAATTTGTTTAAAAAATATACGTTTCTTAATTTCGAGACGATTTACATGGTATTTTTTTTTTTTTTTTGTTTCTCCCCTTTTTTTTGTTCACATTACGGCCTGTAATTGAATAAAGAAAAAATTTGCTACCCCCATCTTTTTTTTTGCAAAGTTTTCCTGTACCTATGATAATAAAAAGAAAAAATGTAAGCTTAACCCCACACAGTCATGAGGATGATATAAACCGTGCATGTGAATATCACATACTTATGCACAGAGATATACGCATACAGTATGTGATGAGGCAGGAATAAGAGAAACAAAGACACAAGAGAGAGACACGATGCTTTGTAATAAAAATGTGAAACTGCTAATTCTGAGGAACATAATATTACCTAACAAAAGAAGGAATGGACAATGCCATTTTTATTTTGAATATAGCACAAATGTGGAAAATAAGTACACTGAGAAGGAGAATAAAAGTTTTAATGAAACGTGGAAAACACTCATTAGGAATGATTATATAACAAGAATTGTTAACATTTTTGAAAAGGCAAATGATACAAGTGCAAAGTGTGGAAGAGCAATTGATCGTAACTGTTGTTGCTACTTCGTCTTAGGAGCACAAGGAGTGGGGAAAAGATTTTTTATTCAGAAATCGAAAGATATATTTTTAAAAAAGAAGCATTTAGGAGGAGCGAATAATCAGCATGGTTTTCCTAATTCAAGCAAATTGCAAGAAGGAAGAAAAAATGTTTTTTTCGAGTACGACTTTAAGGATACAAGCGAAGATGGAATGATAATCCCATTCCCTATGAAATTACACGCATTGGAGGAGTTCCTTAAATTTAAGTTACTGAAAGAAATAAACGACGATATTGAAAATAAAAAAATTAATTTAAAAGATATTTATGAGCAATTCATATTGAGGGAGGGAGAAAATACGGAAAACTCTATTTTTTCCAAATTTCCATTCGTTTTTAAACACATATTAAATAACCCACAAATGTATGATTATTTAAATGATGAAGACAGGAAAAATATAGAAATGGAAATAAAATTATTAGAGACAAAAAAATATCATTATGAAAATTTTGCTGCTTTTTTAAATATTCTTTTACTTAAATTAAACGTAAAATGCTTTTCAAAACATTTAAATGAATTTAGTGCTTTTTTATATTTTTTAAAAATTTTAGCAGAATGTGAAGAATATGAATATTATATGAAAAACTCAAAAGGCATACTTACGGATTTTTCGAATGGCTTATACATTTATCATTATTTCCTTTCTTTAATTACCTTTTTGCAACGCACATATAAATATAATTTCTGTTTTATTTTTTATAATTTCCATTCCTTCCTTTTGAGTCCACACCCAGCACGCAATTTTTATTTTTTCACCAAATGGTGTGAACAAAATGTAGCCAAGCACAATATACCGATTATTACCCACTCGATTAAAAATATTGAAATGATGAAGTCTATATATATTTACAACAATGTGGTTTTGCATTATATTAGTAAGTACACCACAAATCTGTCTCTAAATGAATATTCACATGATATGGTAAATATTGATCTAAATGACAAGGAGAAGAACAACCCCCCTCCGAGGAATGACAACTGTTCTTCTAATGTTTGCAAAAAAATGTTAAAAGAAAATTTTCCTCCTTATGAACACCGTAGAAATGAAAATGATTCAAATCATATGAACAGGTCAGGTGAAAAAAACATGTACAGTCAAAATGGGGTTAACAATAAAGTTCCAGGAAAAACACCACTGCCACTGACGGGAAAAAACCAACACGAAAATGGAAACCTTCACAATGAAGGGATACGTGTAAACGAATTTCCGGATAATAATTTCCCGCATAATAATTTCTCGAATAATAATTTCCCGCATAAGAATTTCTCGCATAAGAATTTTCCGCATAATAATTTGCCGCATAATTTGTACAATGCGTTCGTAGAAAAAGATTTACAAAATTATGATCTTATAAGGCAAAATTTGATCGAAATAAATGATTTGTCATATGACATGGTCAGGTGTTTAATAATTCCAAATTTTGCAAAAGATGAAAAGGTAGCTAAGTGCATATACAACATCATAGGAGGAAATGCACATTTAATAAAAACGGTTTGCAAAGGGCTATACGATCTGAATAACCAATTTAATGAAATTAAAATGTGGAAAGAAATTGAAAATGAGAAAAAACGAAACATTACTTACGACATGGATGAAGAAAACGAAGCTAACACCAGTAATAATACCATAGACGAAATTATACAGCATCGAAAATTTGAGAAGCAAAAGTTATTTTTAAAAAATATACATGAACATGTTTTACATACATTTATCCTGGACTTTGAAAGGAAAATACGAAATTTCTTCAGCTTACCAAATATTGAGCAAATGAAAAAGAATGCCAATTCTATAAAGAAGGATGGTGAAAAAGGAAAAGGGGAAGATTATGCTTCGTCACAGGGTAGTAAAAAATATATAGAAAATGAAATACCAAAAAAGGGATTAACTTATATCCAATTTTATTTCACCATTTTTGAAGTGATTAAATATTTTATAAAAAAGAAGAAAGTATTTTGTAAAAATATTATTAATCTAAATAATCCCATCCTCCTAGGTCTCATAGATGTACACATAATTCATTATAACTATGAAAATAAATACCTTGAATTGTCTAACCAGTTTTATGAAGTCTTGTTGCTGAATTACATAGAATTTAAGTACAAACAATTCCCTTTAAAATATAAAGCCCAGTATAATTTTAACTATATATTAAACTATAAGATAATACAACATGAGTACAATTTACTGGAATCGCAGGCGTAGTTTTTTTTTTTTTTTTTTTCTTTTTCCGTCCCTGTCGCTGTCTCTTTTTTACACTTCGTAGGGGAAATATAATTCTATATTGTTTCCATATGATAAAATTAGGAAATGTGGAAAAATATTCATATAAATCTTCAAACCAGTTAAAAAACAAGAGAATTCTTTGAATGGACAAAACATCTTTACAAATTTTGTTTTTTAACTATCACAACTTGGCCATATTCTAACACCTTAAGCATCTTCGATAAAGTGAGGAAAGCTGATTGCTTCTTCTATGTCCTCTCTGAGATGAAAATGAAGAAAGTAACAATATATATATTATGAAGTTCCTCTTGCGCACCTTGATCTTTTTGGTGTGTGCGTGCAGGGCGTATCGCTTATGTTTGTAGCCCATTGTCTCTACGCACATGTGTATATGTATGTAAGCATAAATATGGATATAATTATACATACATGCATGTATATATATATATATATATATATATATATATGTGCACTCATTTGTGCCACACACGTGACCCCCCCACCTTGCTGCTTACCTAGGATGAAGCCATTCCAGGAATCGACAGTATATATAGCTCAACATTATTATGAAAATGTAAACCTTGCCTTTATAATGAAGGGGGGAGGAAAAATAAAAAAAGCAGAAAAAAGGAGGAAAAGAGAAAAAAAGAAAAATGTTTTGTGTATCAGAAGATGATTTCTTCTATAGGGGGGGAGAAAAGTTCCTTTTAAAGGTGTTATATTCTCCTGTTTTCACAATTCACAGCCTAAATAAAATTCATTCCTTTTTTTTTTTTTTTTTATCTCACAGATGCTTACTAAAAACTGTGTTTATGTCATAAATCTTCCTTATCCTACACAAAATATTTGGGGTTGCGTAGGATAGAACTTCCATGTATACTTTCACCTAAGAATGAAAATTCAAAACGCATGGATATGTGTACTTGAATTTTTTTTTTTTTTTTTTTTTTTTTGAGATAATACAGTGATTATAATTTGTTTGTAATTATTTTGAAAAAATGGATAGATATGAAATGGAATATATGCTTATCCATTTTCGCACGTTTTTCGTATATATATGTATGTGATCGTACTGTCTTATCAGCTACTTTTTCCCATGAGTACATTTTGGTTAGCTGAAAAATGGGAGAAAATGCAGCATGGGGGGATTTTTTTTTTTTTTTTTTTTTTTTTTTGTGTACACATCCAAGCATATTTAATGCACATGTAGACATATATAATTGTATGAAATGAACACGTAACATGTATGGACAAATGATATAACAGATAAATAGATGCGTAAGATGTTCAGGGTTGTTTGGGGTGAGCATACAAAAATGAAAGAAATAGAAAAAAACACACACGTACTACATACGTAAGAACGAGGGTACCCGTTCGTGAAAGGACTCCGTATCTATATTCTTTATCCTTTCCAAAGCATTATCAACTGCTAAACAGAGGTCATTATGATTTGGTTTGGATAAAATCATCATATCATGTGGTAAAACTTCTGAAATTCCTCCAACATCAGTAGATATGACAAGAAGTCCACAGCTGGCTGCCTCAATGATGGCTATACAAAAGGCTTCAGTTAAAGAAGCATTTAAGAATATATGTCCTGTTTGCAAAATATTTTTTACATTTTCTTGTTTAACCTTTCCCAATAATATAACTGAATTATGCAAATGATATTTTTCCCTCATTTCTTCAAGAAGAATTCTCTTGGGACCATCACCACCAATTATAAATTTTATAAAAGGATATTTTTGACATACTAATGGAATAAGTTTGACAATTAAATCGATTCCTTTTCTATATGTCAATCTGCTAATAACTATTATGTTTATTCTTGGAAATTTAGGACGCCTGTTTATGCAAGGAATAAATTTTGTTGTATCCAGCGCATTTCCTATTACAGAAGTTTTGTATGGATTTATCTCCGTTCGTAGAACTAAATTCTCCCTATTCGTGTGAGATACACATATCGAATGATCAACATCATTTATGCAATACTTCAGGAGTTTGTTCACATGAATACATCCCTTGTCAGAAAAACTGTATAGTGAGTGGTCTGTGTATACCGTTTTTATGCCAAGAGATTTTGCGTGCAAGATAAACTGGTGCGCTAGGGTTGATGTCGCCTGGGAAGCGGTAATTAGGAATTGTGGTGATGGAGGGGTCGTGATGGGGGGATTGTGATGGGGGGATTGTGATGGGGGGATTGTGATGGGGGGATTGTGATGGAGGGATTGTGATGGAACAATTGTGATGGAGGGATTGTGATGGAACAATTGTGATGGAGGGATTGTGATGGAACAATTGTGATGGCATAATTGTGATGGCATAATTGTGATGGCGTAATTGTGATGGCGTAATTGTGATGGCGTAATTGTGATGGCATAATTGTGATGGCGTAATTGTGATGGCGTAATTGTGATGGCGTAATTGTGATGGCGTAATTGTGATGGCGTAATTGTGATGATGTGGTTGTGATGGAGGGATTGTGTTTATGTCTGTGTGTCCGCGTCTGCTTCTATGCATGTGCGTGTATGTGAAATAAGAATAATAATAAAATTTGGCTCTTCATGTGTTATGTGGCACATGCTGTCAATGCACCCAATATTGCCAAATGTCGCATAAGTGATCGTAACTGTTTGGAGACGTAAGCACTTCATGTGCCATATGAGAGGACTTTACGAACCTGGTGGCCATGGACTATGTCGACTTTTTCTCTATACAAAATATTTCTACACAAGGGGAGGGTTCCAACAATATTGGGGAAAGTTACTACATCCATACAAGTTTCAAAGGGTAAGTAGTAAACCTTTATGCCATTTCCCATCCATCGTACCCCATGTCTATTGTTGTAGCAGTGGGTAACTACGATTACTTTGAATCCTTCAGAAAAAGAGAAAAAAAAAAAAAAAAAAAAGTAGAATAAATTGTAGAAAAAGAAAATGCAGAATGTAGAGCAGAATAAAATTATGAACAAACCTATGACTACGTGTGTCTTTAAATGAATATATCATATGGGAATATAATATATTATCAAGGTGCAATGACATTTGTAATGCATAGCGAAGTTAACATAGACGTAAATAACATGGTGGATTTCTCATTTTCCAAAATTCTCCATGTAAGTGTAACCTTTCTTTATTAACTGTTTAGACAGTTCAAAGATGTGTGTTTCTATTCCGCCTAAATTTGGGTAGAAAAAATCGCTCACCATGCAAATGCAGCATTTCCTTTCCTTCTTATAAACCATGTTTTCCGCAATTTGCACACTCTCCCCAATATTCCCACTTTCCGCAATTTTAGTAGTTGCACTTAATTGCTCCCCATTTAATGAGCTCGCCATCTATACGCGCTTGTATATTGTTTTTTTTTTCGTTAACTGTAGCCTATATTATGATTCTCATTTGTTGGGCTAGGGAGAAGCAGGTATCGATAGGAGTACTATGTAAATTGTCTTTTTTCTACCCCCCTTGTATGGCAATCATGGGGAGTTTAATGTGTTACGCATGTGGCAATACTATCACTGCTATCACTGATACACTTGGTTAGCTCCATATAAACACGAAATATTTTTTGTGTAAATGTGAAATACAACTTCTTTCCACCTGCTACCTATAAGTACACACCCCATCAGAAACTTGTTACTTGGAGTTGGAGAAGTTGAAGAATCCTATTCGTACATTCAGTGGTGAAATAAATCAGGAAGATGCAAAAATAAATAGTATTATATAAAACAAGTATCCCCTATAAAATGTTTATGCAACCAGTTTCAATACTCTCTCTCAAGTTACTGTTCTTATAATTTCCCCTTTTTATGATATATTTTAAAAAATATTTATTAATGTTTTTACACGTTATTTCTATCACTCTATCATTAAATTCCAAATATTATTGGGTGAAAAAATTATACCCAAGATGAGTACATTATACATTGATCTAATTAAGTGAATATTGTAGCGAAAAAAGAATAACTCTTTATTTCCCTCATTTACTTAAACATTTAAAATGATCTCCTTATGCAAGACTCTCAAAATAACTTGCATGTACTGAAAATCAAGAAGGAAAAAATTACACACAAAAATGTCCACCTTGAGGAAGTACTCCCCCCCGAAAAAGAGAAAAAAAAAGGGGAAAAAAAAAAAAATAAATAAATAAAACATACTAAACCAAATACACCTCCGTTCCGTGCGTGTAAATACGGTATGTATATTTTTAAGCCCATACAAAACTTCAAGTTTTTGAAGTAATAAATTAAATGTTATTTTATTTTAGTGAATGCTATTTAAAGAAAAAAAAAAAAAAAAAAAAAAAAAAATTGAACATAAATCTGTGGTTTTAAAAGATTTCATTAAAACAAATGATTAAAAAAATAAGCAAAATAAAATAACGTAAAGTAAAAAAGGATAAGAAATGTACTTTAAGAGACAATAAACTCCTATTATAAATTATAGAGAAAAATAAAAAGTGAAAAATATATGTAAAACTTCTAGGTGAAAATTCACAGATAAAGATAATGAGGATAACATTAAAAATGTCATAGGTGCGATATATTCGTTAGGGGCAAGTATATCTATGCCCGTACACATATGTACACATTTGTGCATGTGCATATAAGCATACACATATAATACAGCAGTGAATTTATATACGTATGTAGAACATAAAACGTATGTGTATAAAATGTGTATAATATAGAGTAGTCCCACCAAAAAAAAAAAAGTGATCAGAACTAAAATTACAATTGTATTAATAAAACTCTTTTACAAAATGGTATGATCATTTTAAATGGCACAGAAAACACTTTAAAAAAAAAAAAATAAATAAAGGTCATATGGGGTGGGGGTTAGATGAAAAAAAGGTGATGTATATATATATATATATATATATATACACAACACATATATGAGCATACTTTTTGGTCTGTATGCATAGCTCACCTTGTTGGCATATAATGCATGCTACATTTTGACTTTCGTTATGGATTAACCAAGGGAGGGATAAGTATTGCGAAAATGGAAATATAAAAAAAAAAAAAAAAAAAGATAATATGGGGGTGGGGAGAAAGAGAATATATATCCCCCAAAGAGTAAAGATCCACAAACCGATAAATATTCTCAAAAGAGAGTATAACATATGTGTGCTTCTTCCCTATAACTTTGTAACCTACTTTGTGAATACCATTGTTAACTATCGCCCAATCTAATTCCCCTACCAATGAATACTCTTCTAGTTGCACCAGTAGTATTGGGTGTCCTTGAATCACTTACAGTTCTGTATCCGTATCTTGCAAAGTTTCCTCTTATTCCTTGATTTAATCGAAATTCCCTCAACTTCATCATGAACGTATCAAAAATCTTCGGAGTTTTTTCAAGCAAATTGGGACCACCTTTACAGGATTGGGAAAGAAATAAGAGTCATTTCGTGAGAGATAAAATATGGCACCAGTGTATGTATAATATGTGTACATACGTTTGAATGCATGCATGCACGATTTATACACATTTATTAAGTACCTTCTCTGGGAAGAAGTTCTCTAAAAAAGTAGTAGATATGACCAGACATCAAACCCATGATGTCAACCCATAATGATTGCCCCATTATTAAATGGAGAAAAATTAAGGCAAAGGGTAGTTGATATCCTTTCACTGTGAAGAAGTATATGGAAACTTGGCTCCATGGTTCTCTTCTAGACCAGTAGTAAATTATTGAGAATAAAAGAGAGTTTCCCAAAAAAGGGTATCCTATAAAATGGGGGGAGGGGGAAATTTAAATGGTGGTTTACTCTTCACGTTTTAGCAAATTTTCTCACTACTGCAAAATGCCAAAATGAGAAAACTCGTTCATAAGGAAGAAGCGAAATAGAAGAATATAAACTTCGTGCGTTATACGTAAATTATTTGCAAGCACAGTTTTATATAAGCATATGCATATACGTGTACTTATAGGGGTACTTGTAGGTGCACGTATATACATGTATATATCTTCGAGCTTCTCCCACTTGGGGTGTTATATTACCTCTTGGCCAATAAAACAAAATGCTTACTAAGGATAAAAAGGTGCACTGAATTGTAATGAAATATAAATACGATCCGGGGGTTGAAAATACAGCGTTTTTCTCAAGGGATGACGAAAATTGAGCAAATAAAGACATAAAAAATACCCATGAAAGAGAAAATTTTCCGACAAACAAAAAGTTAAAAAAAATCCTCCATATTTGATAATTATTATATATCAAATTCCAATCTAAAAGAAGGTATACAACATTCAATAAATTACATGTTATCAATAACGTTACTAAAAAAATTAAAGTTATCATATATTTCGTTACATTTGGTAAATTATTATACCAAACTTCTGGACCCGATATATCCATTTTTTTTATATTTTTTTTTTTCTAAGATTCATGTAAACTCCTAAGAAATGCGAGTTTTGTCTCTGTGTATCTGTGTGTCAATAGGACAATTTGTCTGTGTCTGTGTAGAGGAGGAGTAGGGGAAGATAAGTCTTTTGATATACCACTGCAACTTTCTGTGAATTTTCCTTCCCTCTGCTAGCTTACTTCTTAGACTTGGCTATTGATTCGTTACCTATCCGTTCCCGCTCTTCTCACACTTCCAATTCAGCTCAACTTGATTTCCTTTCTGTAGTTTATATTTTCTCTACTAATAAGTAGTCAAGCACATTGTACTCTACAACCCCAGAAATATGTATGACTCTTGCTAACCAAAAGGGATAAGCTAAAAATAAAGCGGAAAGGCAGTTATGCATTAAGATTACATAACACGAAGACACATAAATGTGTATGTATATATATATGTATAACTCCAGGAAAAAAGTACTAGATCTCGAAAATGAGAAATGTTTATTTATTCATGAGCAATGTTAATTGGTGTGCGGAATGACATGGAGAAGATAATGAGGAGGGGGGGGGGGGAAAGGTTTTATTTACCAAATATACGGGTTAAAATTTTGCATATTCGTTATATACATAAGGCATCAATTTTTTTTTTTTTTTTTTTAAACTGGAAAATAATAATGTAAGAATAAAATATATTTTTTTACTTTTCCTTTTTACAGGAGGGTACGGCTTATGTGTTCATCATAATTGTAGCAAATTTGTTCCCCAAAAAAAAGAAAAAAAATAAAAATGAAAGAAAAGAAAGAAAAGAAAGAAATGAAAGAAACGTAAGAAATGAAAGAAGTGAAAGAAATGTAAGAAATGAAGAAATGAAAAAAATGAAGAAATGAAAGATATGAAAAAAATGAAAAAAATGAAAAAAATGAAAAAAAAATAAAAAAAGGTGATAAAAAAGATATATATATATATATATATATATACACAAAATATGACACATATATATATAAATATACACTATTACATGATATGACACAAAATGAAATTATTCTGCTGTTGATTTAATATCTTGCTGCTGTGCATTTGTTTCACCCTTGGGTTGACAAATTGCATTAGGGGCTTTTCTTGTTTTAGCGTTCACACAGCTAGGATTTCTATTTTCTCCTTTTTTTTTTTATTTTTATTGTTTTTCTTATTCTGCAATAATTCGCTGCAGCATTTTTTTGTTGTGTTGACTGTTTTCCCCATTCTCTTCTCGCTATTTTTACTACACCACCATTTGGGCAGTTTTTTCTAACCCCTAGGGATTTGTAATTTGTTCGCGTCCTTACTTCAACACCCCAAACCATTTTTTTTTTTTTTTTTTACACAAAAACATTGATATATAACTTATTTCCTGCATTTCACTCATTATGAAGTGCAACTTATTTCATTACATTTGAGGAAAAAAAGAAGAAAAAAGAAAATCACACATGATACTTAAGGGATAAGCTCAATAATACATGTCCTTGCAGTTGTACATGTTTTTGTAATTATATATGTTTCTTATATAAACGCTCTTTTCCTAACAAATATATACATATATAAACGATTAGGGTGGAATATGCCTTTGGGGGAAGAAATCTCACCATTTCCGTTATGGCCCCAATTGTGTATTTCCGCTCAAGATTGGCAAATAGGTAAAAAGTAAGGAAAGGAAGGATAATGAAAAAGTAAATAGCAATATGTCAATTAGCAATACAACACAGAAGGGGGAAAAAAAAAAAAAAAAAAAAAGAGAATGTCACGAGTACATAGTTTGATATATTTGATAGGGTGTACCACTTAGGGGAACCCCCTTATATGACAAACCTAGCATGACATGTTGAACGAAATAAAAAAGAAAAAAAAAAAGAGGGGATTATAGGATGTACCTTTTAACCAATTTTTTCCCCCATTCTCCCTCAATTTTTTATGCTTGAATTTGAACGTAAATTCAGTTAGTAGACTACACTTAAGACATTTTCAATCGCATACATTTTTATTTTGTGTGTATACGTCTAACGAGTTCGCTACATTTTCTGCTACGACAATTACAGCTGCTGTATCCCAGGGAAAATGGTTTCATGTTTTTGGACTCACAATTGAGAGAATGTGGTAGAATTTCCATGCAAGGCAGTTTTGCCTTGTCTATGACATATCTATAAATGCGTTGTAACATTGCTACTACGGATGCAACTTTCGTTTTTTTTTTTTTTTTTTTTTTTTTTCTTTCTTTTCATATATCCCGACACAATAATATTTAATACCCAAGCCAGACAACTTTTCGACAGAGAAGTGAACAAATGAAAGAACTGTGATACTGTAACTGGGAAACGATTACTCAAGCGTGAATGAAATGGCTAGTCATAGGAGCATATTACATTGGGGAAGGAATCCACTCAAACGTTATTGTTTTATGTGGCAACAGTTCATGTTCAGCCACTCTAGTAAAGAAAAGTTGTTTAGCAAAATATATACACAAAAGAAAATCATAAAAAGGGACAGATTATTAGGTACAGTAAAACCGTTTATAGACGAGAATTGTGATAATGCAGAACCATATGTAATAGCATACTATTTAAACAGTTCAATAAATCTGCCAATTCTGAAAAGTGCATACGAAAAAGTAGGATCAGAAGTGCTGTATAAAGAACCATATCTGTATGTAGAAAGTTGTGCATATTTTAATCAACAAAATAGTTCAGCTGTGTTTTTTAAAAATGGATGTATTGTTATATGGAACATGAATAAGAAAAACATAAAGAAATTTTTTTGTTTTTGTAAAAATTACATAAATATTAATGAAAGCAAAATAGAAAATTATGATTTTGAAGAATTACAAGTAGAAAATGTAAATAATAAAACTTATGTTAATAATTCTATCATCTATTTAACATTAAGCAATTATAGAACAACTGATAAAATATCTATTTCATTTGGTTTGTTAAGTGCTGTGAGATTAAACAATTTAGAAAAAAAAATTGAAAAAAAATTATTTTTTGAAAATGATCACATTGAAAATTTAAAAAAAAAAATAAAATCAAGTAATTTAGATTTTTTATCAAAACAGTTATTTACGTCCAAAATTACTCTCCATAATTTACGATATGAATTAAATATCGATCAAGACATTTTAGATGTTCCTGAAACATTATGGGAATTGGAATATCAGAAAAAATTATTTTTAAATATTCTTCACATATTTGATATAAAGCAGAGGGTTGATTTACTCAATCACAGATTAAGTTGGACCCTGGATTACCTCAATTCTTTTTTGGATTATGTAAATCAAAAGCATTCCTCTAGGTTGGAGCGTATCATCATTGTCATAATTGGCCTCGAGCTTGTACTTGGAATTATGCAGATGGTTAATACTATTCGTTTTTGATATTATTTTAAGGAGAGGTATTATCAATACTTTTTATTATGCTCATGATTATGTTGTCCTTATTGATGTTTTTTTTTTTTTTTTTTTTTTTTTTTTTTTTTTTTTTTTTGTGTGTGTGTGGAAGCTTCTCCTCATTTTCACAAACATGAAGTGATGACAAATGTACACACAAAACTGAAAATGCATAGCACACTGTCCTTGTTTTTGTCTTTACCTCTGTCTGTATTTGAGTAGAGGAACCAAGAAAAAAAAATAATGGATCAACAAAAAAACGCCCTTCATAATGAAAAACGAAGAACTTCCTCTACACATACATGAGGAACGAAATTAGCGGCACCCTCGTGATTACACATTACGTATTCTGTTTATCACTATAAAATAGTTACATATTTAGGATTTTTTTTTTTTTTTTTTTTTTTTTTCTTTTGGGGATATCCTCCATTTTATTTACGCATATTAAAAAAAATTGCGTGAAGAAAGGCTACATATCGTTCAAATAAGGAAAAATATGTACACATTTGGAAGGTACTATCTCCAAATGAGAATTTTAACTGTAACCACATATGTTTGTGTTTTAATCGTATCCATTTTGTTAATCATTTTTTCCGTTCTCCATTTTTAAATTAATTTTACCATCTTTCATGCAGCTTCATCAGTTACTTAAAAATTTGCACAGTGTGCTTTGTTCCCGTATATTAAGAATTTACAAAAAAAAAAAAAAAAAAAAAAATGAAAACGTAAAAAAAACTAAAAATGAAAAAGTGAAAATACAAAAAATAAAAAAATGGAAAAAAGGAAATCATTCATAACTTGGCCTCTTTGAAGAACTAAAATGATATTTTATGTCCCATGATGGGAGAACTGTGCTAATAGAACAGTCTTCTGGTAGGTACGGTGGAAACCCGACTGGGTATTTAATATTCTTATAATCCATATTTGAGCTCATTTTTCTCTGTTGAACTGATAATCTGCTTTGTGAAAAATCCTCATTTTTTTTTTTGTAAATATATTTCAGGATGTATTCCTTTATGGCTATATTGATGCTTTCTTCGTCTATTACGAACATTTCTTCCTGCTCCTGTGGATTCTCCCTTTTGTTATTGTTGCTTGTCTTGTTCTTATCATCCCTTATGTTATGCTTATTTTTCTGTTTCCTATCATTAGTTGTGTCACTGTTATTTCTTTTGTCATGGTCATCCGTTTTGTCATGATAATCCGTTTTGTCACGATCATCCGTTTTATCATGATAATCCGTTTTGTCATGATCATCCATTTTGTCATGATAGTCCGCTTTGTCATGATAGTCCGTTTTGTCATGGCCATCCGTTTTGTCGTGATAATCCGTTTTGTCATGATAATCCGTTTTGTCATGGCCATCCGTTTTGTCATGGCCATCCGTTTTGTCGTGATAATCCGTTTTGTCATGGCTATCCGTTTTGTCATGGCCATCCGTTTTGTCATGGCCATCCGTTTTGTCATGATAATCGGTTTTATCATGATAATCCGTTTTGTCATGATCATCCATTTTGTCATGATCATCCGTTTTATCATGATAATCCGTTTTGTCATGATCATCCGTTTTATCATGATAATCCGTTTTGTCATGATCATCCATTTTGTCATGATAATCCGTTTTGTCATGATAATCCGTTTTGTCATGATCATCTCCCGTCTTATCCTTTTTATTGCCTTTTTCATCGTTACTACCCTGTAAACCCTCGGCAGAGTCCTTTTCTTTTGACGAGCTAATACCAGAATTACTTCCCACATTCTCTGTTTCATCAATTTTGAAACTATTAGAGACGGCTTCTCCATCATTCTTGTTATTCAAATTCTCATCATTGCTAATTATTCCATGTACCACATCATCCTTTGTCTTATTATCCGTATTGTCCTTCACAAAAATTTCATCATTATTGGGAAGAACATGAACATCTACATTTGGTTCATCATTTGTAAATTTTTCATTAGTACCAATTTCGTTTGGTAAATTTTTTCCTTCGGTAATTGCTTGATCTGTACTTTCTGCAATTAACTTATTCTCTACTTTGTTTAATTTGCTTAAATTTTCAAGTAAATCGTTACATTCGTTTTCATTATTACCCAATACATTGGTCAAGTTTTCTTCTACAATTTTTGAATTTTCTTTTTTCTCCTCATTTTCCTTATTTTTTTTTGTAAAGTAACTCGAGAACTTTGTGAATATGCTGTAGCTACTTTGATCGTTTTGAATTGCCTCTTCATATACTTTTTTCTGTTGATCTTCATTTTTTGTTTCTGCAGGGTTATGATCAGTGTTCGTTCCTTGCTTAATTTTATCATTCCCTTTGTCTTTTTTTTGTTCTTCGATTATTTCTAAATTTGCTTTGTCCTTTGGATTACTCGCTTCTTCCTGTTTCATGTTACTTTCTATCACTTCTGGTAATTCGGAGTGCTTGCATTCCTCCTGACTTTGTTCATGCGTTTCGAATATCTTCGTGTTTCCGTTATGTTCCCCATGATTCTTCTTCTCTTTTCCCTCTGTTTCAGCTACATAAGCCTTTACTTCAGCTTCATTCGAATTTACTTCAGCTTCATCTGCGTTACGCTCTTCCTTTTCGTTCTCCTTTTGCCCCTCCATCGCATCCACTCCTTCCACCTTATGTCGAGCCACATCAGTTAGTAAATGAACCCCTTGTAGATCTTTTGAAATTTCTTGGTGTACATTCGTATGATCAATCTTTTTCATATCTACTTCCAACTTCCTATTTTTGTCATCGTCTTTTGTATCATGAGAACTTTTAGTGATTTTTTTTTGGAGATTACAATTTAAAACATGAGTTTTTTTATTTTCTCTTTTTTTCAACTCAGTTTCATTTAGTGCCCTTCTACTATTGTCATTTTGTTTAACATACTTAGCATTCTTTAAAATTCTGAGTGTTTCATTTTGTATTATATCAATCAGAAAATGTGTAATTTTATAATCGTACTTGCTAACATGACAGCTTTTTAGCAATTTCTCAATTTCAATTTCAATGCACGGAATTGTATTGTAATGTTCGTTCGCAAATTTGTTATCTAACCTAACCTTGTTCTTATTATATAAACATTTTTTCTTCATCTTCATTCTCCTCGTTGTAAAAGTTGGATTAAGTATCTTCAAACGAAGAAATCTAGAGAAATATGTAGAGTATAGGTTGCGTGGGTGGTGGTGGTGGTGGGAGTTCTCTATATGTAAGGACACGTATACATGGAGAAGTACTCCCATTGAGTTTGTTTATTTTGTATTTAACTATGCATCTTCTTACTCACCTTAAAAGTATGCACGGATAATGGTAGTAACCCTTTTTCTCTTCATATCATTAGGTTAATTTTTTTCAAAAAAAGAATTCTCTTCTTCTATGTATCATTGAGAAAAAGAAGAAGAAAATGAAAAGAACATTTTCAATTTCGACATTTTTGGAAAAAAAAAGTATACTACCAATTTAATTTCAATTTGCGGAAATGTAAAAAAAAAAAAAAAAAAAAAAAAAAATTCTTTTATTGTTTTAACACATGTGGTGAACATTAAGTTTATTAATTTTACTCATTTGATATTTTTTGGAGAATTATGTGCATTGAGCGTTGTGAGTTGGAAAAACACGGATTAGAGAAGGGAGAGGTAGGGGAAGAGACTGGATACTGTGTACTTTAAATGTTGGGACAAATTATATGTTATTTTAATTTTTTTAAATCTGCTTGCATCCATTTATTTATTACTTTTCCACAAGTAAGGACAATTTTCTTAAGTATGTACTTACTGGAGTTTTTTTTTTTTTTTTTTTTTTTTTATTTTATCATATTTTATTTATTTTTTCTGTTTTTATCTCTTTTAGTCATTTTCATCATTGTATAGTTGAAAATCCATAAGTTAGTAAATTGGGGGAAAAAAAAAACAAGAAGCGGAAAAAAAGATATGTAAGAAAGGTAACAAATATATGTAAATCGTTTAAACTTTGAAAATGGGTGATATAAACACAAAAAATGTTAGAAAAGGAAACGGATAAGACGAAAGCAAACGATATAACATTTGTCTAAATATATGTATTATGAAGAATGCTTTTTTTTTTTTTTTTTTTTATCAAAAAATGCCTAACCTGCGTATAGAATTGAAGAAAATTTTTACTAAACTTGTGAAATAAAATAAAAAAATTTTTTGTCATTATGAAAGGTTAAACATTCACGCGTAATGTTTTTTTCCTATCATTAGAAAAATGTGTGAGGAGCTCATCTAATACCTCAGCATATGCACATATAAGAATTTTATAGCATATATACCCACTTTCAGACAGCTGAAAGGTTGGCTTATCTTGTATTGTTTACTAAAATAAAGAAATGATTACTCGTCATACATTAGTTTAAGCGCTCTTTAAATAAACAAAATTTGTGCATATTACTCATTTTACGTTTTGTCTAATGCAATGTGCATAATACAATTTTTTACAATATCTAGTGGATTTATTCATTCAATGTTTTTTAGAGGTATAAATAATCATTATATAATATAAACATATATCATAGAATAATGTTTTGTTCAACAAATATGTTTAGTTATTCTTTTGGACGACTACTGGTTTGACTCTGAGAAACTTTTATAGGGCTAATAGGTAATGCATCCAACTGCTTTAGTTGGGGAAGAATCGAAATTATCTGAGACCTATAGTTATCCTTCAATGTTTCCTGGATTTCATTTTTTTCCAAATATAAAGTTTTTAAATTTTCATTTTCTCTTAAATTTTTAATCATTTCAATGTTATGAATATTGTTGTTATTTAACCACAATTCTTCTACTGATTTTAATTCTGAACATATTAATATATTTTCAATTTCGTTATATGATAAATCAAAAACCTTTAGATGTTTTAATTCTTTTATGTTGTCTATAATGAAACTTAATTTATTATAACTCACATACAATTCTGTAACTTGGGGTATATTTTGGATGGAATCAACAGACCAATTTGTTAAACGATTATGCTGCAAACTTAATTTTTTTAATTTAGGGAAAAAGGGTATATTTAGTTCTTCTATCTTGTTCTTTCCGAGCCATAATTCTTCTAAGTTTGTTAAATTTTCCAAGTTTTCAATCTTTCTAATTTTATTGTACCCCAATTCTAGTAATCTCAACTTTTTACAGTTTTGCAGATTTTCGATCTGAAAAATTGGCATCAAAAAGGGGTGGGAGGAATGAGCACTTTGTGCGTTTTTCAAGAAGGCATATACAAGTATATACGCATACAAGCACATACATATATATGAATATACATATGTATATTTTCCCTAAATCTCTCTGCGTTGCATATAGCCACGAAGCAATGTTCTTGCAGGTCTTGTTACTTTTGCAATTTTGTTGCTCGATAGATATAGCTCCTCTAGGTTTATTAGTGTGTCTATATTTTCAATGATCCTAATTTTGTTGAAGGAAAGGTCTAGTATTCTGCGAGTTGTGCCGGGGGATCACATATATGTTTGTAATTGTGTGTGTGTGCACTTCTCGACACAAGAATAGATAGGAGGAAATGTAATTGTAATACATAAGGGACATGACCTCGTTATAGTAACGAAATTAACAATTTGGAAAAAATAAAATAAACATTACTTTAAATTTGTAAGCATGCATATATTCTCTATTTTTTTAATAGAATTTTCATATAATTCTAGGTTTTCCAATTCCAAATTGTTTTCCAAATTTTCAATTTTTTCGATGCAGTTGGATATGAGCTGAAGGATCTGTAAGGTAGATAACATTAGAAAAAAAAAAAAATAAAATAAAATAATATAACCGGAATGATAGGATCATAAATTGTCAAGAGCGTGCATGTCTTTATGTACCCGCGTATGTAGCATCCATATACGAGCGCATGCGGGTGTTCCAACTTGTGTGTTGCTGTAGGAACTCACCTTCAGGTTCTTGCATTTGTCGACATTCTCTATCTTCCTAATTCTTGCATACTGATGCGAAATTATGGTCTCCTTTTCATCAAACGTGGTTATTTCCCCTAGGACATTGTACGTGGTCATGGCTAAACTGTAACTACAAATTTTTTCAGTTTTTTTTCTTGTATATTTCTGCGTGCGTTTATGTATTATATATACTCACTTCTTTCGATGTTGCACCGTCTGCCTTTGCTGTGGGAGAAGAATGGAAGGTCCCTCGCTTGTGTTTTACACTCTCGTTAAGGGAAATATTAACGGCAAGGTTGGCATCAAAAAAAATTAGCATAAAAAATTAGAGTCAAAATTGATGATAAAAGTTGGAAGGAAAAAATAAAGGCAATATTTGTGAATACAAATTGTACATTTTGCGTTTTCGTTTAGGTCCAATTTTCCATTCCCTAACACTACAAACTTGATATTTCAACAGATCAATAACCATTACTCATTCTTCGAATACTTGTTTTATTTTTATGCTCTTCTAACATTCCCTTTCCAATAAGTATTTGGAAAAATGAAAAAAAAAAAAAATTACAATTCTGTATGTGTAAAAATAATGCCTTTATTTTTTTTTTTTCTTTTTTTTTCCCGTATGCTCTACAAGCTTTCCTAAAATTTTGGCATAATACTTTTTCTTTTCAATACATCACCGCATATTCATCAGTGAATGCGTATTCATTTCATTATTTAGTTTATTTTTTTTAAGAAGATTATATTATGTTCACTGTAATATCGATAATTTAGCAATCACGCTATTGTGCTCTTGTATGAGAGATTACGAGTAAGAGATATAAAAAATATCCTGTGTGACGGGTGTGAACACATGTGTAAAAAGGAGCATAGCTATTTTTTTTTTTTTTTTTTTTTTTTTTTTTTTTTTTTTTTTTTTTTTTGGGTGGGATTTAGTAGGAGAGGACAGTGAGTCAAGAATAGGAAAAAATTTGGGTATCGTTAAATTTTGACAACGTGCAAAATAAATTGTTTGAGAAGTAGTTGACCAATCATTTGGTTATATATTACTTTACATAGAGCAGTGCATATAACACATAAGAATGTGTATATATATTATATGTATATATGTATACATATAGCATAGAATGAGGAAGAACAAAATTTCATGTTATTTTATTTTTTTTTTTTTTTTTTTGAAAGAAATTAAAAAAACTTTCACAACAGATTCGTTACTATTTTGCAATACACCAGATACATTGGGGGGTGGGACGTATTAATGAAAACGAGTTATCCACTGTGTCGGTCACATTTGGTGTATATATATACAAAGAGTATACATGTCGCTATAAAAATATAAAAAAAAAAAATGCGATTTTCTCAGATATACAATATTAGACATGCTGAGATATTGATAGCATGCAAGCATGCATAGAAAACATAGATACATACGCAGAAAACATAGACACACGCAAAGAAAACATAGACACATGCAAAGAAAACATAAACACACGCAAAGAAAACATAGATATGCACGTGGTAGAGGCCTTCCTCCCTGTTGGATCAGTTTGTCACTTTGCTGACATCAAGTCAAAACGGCCTTTGGCATAAAAGAGAAAGTGCAACAAACTCGGGTAAGGGTATTCCGATTGAAGGCCCCTGAAATAATCGTGCATGTTGTGGGGAAAACACAGTGCACCTGATTTGTCCAATATGAAGGAAAAAATGGAGGGGAAAAGTGCAGTCAAGTCAATTAGGTAATTGTTTTCTGCCTTTCCATAATAAGTAGATGTCGTGAAAACAACATAATTCTTACTGTCAGGAGAGAAACAAATAAATACATTTTTTGATAAAATCTTTAATAAATCTCTATCACTGTAGAATACATTTCGACACTCCACTGGAAATGATATAGATGAAAAAAAAAATAAAATTGATAATATTAGAGGATTAAAAAAATATGCCATTTTAAATGATTCAATAATTTTTTCAAAAATCATAACGGATAATTTGGAATTAATTTGTATTTTTTTTTGTTCAATACACGATTTTATGTTTCTTTTATTTTTTTCCAAAATGCGTGTAACATGTTGGCTGAGTAGGTAGTTGTATCTGTCAACACCAATCCTACTATCACCATTCTCTTTCTTTTCTCTTTCCTTATCATCTCCAATTTCGTCCCTTTGAAAATCGCTTATAATGTTATAAATATGATGCACACATGGGATTTCTTCTGCAGATGAGGAGTTTTCTATTTCCCCATTATTAGCCGAACATGATATTGGTTTAAATATGTACTCTTGTACTATGAGTAGCAGATCTGTATAAATATCTTTCTTCTCACTCAGGGAATCCCCAATGGATTTGCACTCATTTATGATAAAAAGTTGAATGAAAAATTTAAGAAATGTTGATACTGTTATGTGTTTTCTGACAAAATAGATAATGTGTCTATTCAATAAAAATTTTAGTACATGGGAAATATATGTCTCTTCCTCATCAGTCAAACCAACATTGACAGCTTCACTGTGAGAACTTTGATTGTTAGCTTCTTCCAAGTTATTTCTTCCTCTATCTCTTTTTTCTCCTATTTTATCATCCATTGGATGATTGCATTCCTTGAACACATTCTTAAGAAGTAGAAAAAGGATATTTTTCTTGCTATGGTATAGCATGGATTTTCCCTGCATGTACTTCCTTAGAAATAGTATGATGTGTTTCGGAATGTTAATGTGGTCATAACTATTTGGAGATGTTTCTTTACTTATTTTCTCATCATGTTTATTCATTTTTACGAGGTAAGTATCTAATTCTTTTCTCTCTTTTTCATGTGTATAATTATCTTTTTCTCTACTTGAAATGTTTCCAAACTGTTCAAAATTCTCCGATAAAAGAGCTTTTGGCTCCTTTTCTTCAACCCCACACATGGTACCAACAACCGGATTGACAAAAATTTTCTTCAAACAGATGTAAGTTAATGATACAGATGAACATAAGCTGATTGAATAGAGCAGCCTGTCCACATTTTCATTGTCCGATTGATTGGTGAGAGTGGATATACTATAACGAACATTTGAAAGTGTATGAATGTTGTAAAAAAGGTATGAAAGGGGTAAGAAGATGTTATACGAATCTAACACATTTTCCACATGAAAAATATTTTTTTTAAAATGTATTAGCGTTTCTTGTTCAAATTGTGTAATATCTTCCGAAATGTGTTTAAGTGAATTTACTACTATATCGTTATGTTTATCGGATGAAAAAAAAAAAAAATGTAGCTCTAAGACGATAAGCAAAATAATATTAATAATTTGGAGATAAATAACAAAGAAGAAATGCAAATCGATTTCATTTTTGTAAATAATGTAGTTGAAGGGAATAGGAGAACTATTCATCTGATGAATTATCTTTTTAATTATATTCATATCACACGTATCCTCTTGATTCTCCATCTCTGCATAAGCTTCTAATAAATAGTTTAACTGCTCGATTACAAAGGGGGTTATAAGTTTCAACATTTTTAAGAGTAACTGTGTATTGTCATAACTAATATACTTTTCTTTGGGCACACGATTTTTCCTTATAAACCAGAAGACAGAGAAAAAGTATATCCCACATTGGTAAATTAATTCCAGATTGCATAAATGATTAAAATTCCATTTTTTGGTTTTTTTTTCATCCCTTTTGATTAACACACCTGATATTGGTTCATCTAATTTGTAAGTATCTACATTAACGTTAAAAACAGTACTCATTTGAATTTTCAGAGTGTTCATGATTTTATTTGTATACAAAAATCCTGATAAGTCGGTATTCGATCCTACGATGTTGTAAGTGGTCAGATACAAATAAGCTTGTGAGAGAAACTTTTTATACACTACATGGTCGTCAGTAGTATTTATTTTATGAATATCGTTAATCAGCTGATGAAAATAATCAACGGGCTCTATATACAAGTTGCAATAGAGTAGAAGTCTGAATATTTTCAAAATTTCGCTAGCAAGGAAAAAGGAAATTCTTTTGTCTCCATTCTTTTTGTTAAATGGAAGAGTTCTATAGAATAACAAAAATGACAAAATGTCAAATTTTTGTAAAAAATTTTTGTCATAATTGTAAATAAGGGTATACTTTATTAACATTATTAAATTGTGAATGAATTTTATTTCGATGTGGCTATTTTCTTCCTTTTTATACTTTTCGTACGTTTCTTTTTTTTTTCTAACCTCGTTCAGTTCGCTACCTACTATCTTAGACACATAAATATTTTCTAAACTTTTTAACAAGCTTTCACATTTTAATATATTCACGGCTTCTCTATTTCTGATTAGTAATCCTATTAAAAGACATATACAACTATTTTCCACTTCAACTGAGCCAAAGTTATTGACCATAATGGTGCTGATATTAGTGAGTATATCCATATGCTTGGTTCCTTCAAAATTATTCAAATAAATCATTTTAAAATTTATGTTATGCATTTCTAGCATATCATCAATACAGTTGTTCAGAGTTTCTAAATCTGAAATTATCTCTCCAGTTATCCATGTTTCTTTTAATATATATTTTTTGCATTTTTTTCCCAGTTTTTTCGTGACATCCGACCATTCTGTGCTATTCGTTTCAGTGCAGTTGTCCCTCGGGTATTCTGTCTCCTCCCCCCTTTGTGTGTCTCCATTTGGGGTGTTATTTTCTCCTCCATTTTTCTCTCCATTTTTTTCTCCATTTTTTTCTCCATTTTTTTCTCCATTTTTTTCTCCACTTTTTTCTCCATTTTTTTCTCCATTTTTTTCTCTATTTTCTTCTCCATTTTCTTCTCCATTTTTTTCTCTATTTTCCTCTCCATTTTCCTCTCCATTTTCTCCTCTCTCCACTCCTTCCCTCTTCCTAGTAGTGTAAAAATAAACGTTATATCCCTCGAAAAGAAAAATGCTATCACTAAAAAAGTCCAAGTAGGAAAACAGTTCATAGTCGTAAAAATATTTGAGCACTGGAGAATTTTGCTTCGAAGAATAATCAAAAATGACTTCCTCTTTTAATGTACATACATTGTTCGGGAATGTGTAGCTAGCCAAACAATTCAGACAACTAATTTCGATATTTTTATTTCTATTATGGTTTAATATAAATATTAACTTGTTGAATATGTTTAAGTCATTGTTTAGGTAATTGAAAAACCTTTTGTATGTAAATCCAAATGAATATTTGTCTTTCCTCAAAAAGTTAACAGTATCGAGATTAAGAGTAGATTTAAATTCTTCATTCAGATGAGAAACTTTTAAATATGCTTTTGTGAATACATTTTTCATAATTTTAAGAGATATACATACTTGATTGTTATACAAGCTTTGACATAAATGCACGAGTTCTGTAAATGTGTACCCACTATTTAATGGTTCATCATTGTGATGATATAATCCATCAAAATAATTATAGATTTGTTTATTTGTTATTTTATTAAGTTCATTTTCATTTACTTGTATTCTTAATTTGCCTTCAAAATCGAATCGTACTTCATGCAATTTTATTTTGTGCAAATTTTTTATTTCTCGAATTTCTTCATCATATACTGGATTTGTCCACTGTAGCTTTGCTACTTCATTTTTGTTCAGTTCAAATATCACGTTGTACTTTTGCATCCCATCCTTCTTGTGGTGATAATTCTCTTCAATTTTATCATTTTGAGAATTTTTGCACTTATTCAATTCTCGCATTTCGACCAATTCAGTATTTTTATCTTCCCTTTTTGTATTCTCATGATGATTTTCTTCTAGGTCTTTTTTTTTCTTCATATCACCACAACTCTCTTCATAAATTTTCCTCAGGTCCAGTTTTTCCCCTATCTCGTCTTTTTGCAAATTCAGCTTGCTTCTGTGTAGGGCTGGTGGAAAGCTTACCTTCAGGTTGTCGTTTGTTTGACCAATGCACATCAGTGGATTCTCCATCACACTTTGGCTAGTTTGGTTGTTTCTACAGTTTCTCTGTTCCCTTGGCCAATTCTTATCGTCTCCTCGACAGGCTACATTTTCCTCCTCTTCTCCTTCCCCATCATTGTCGCTCGACGAACTTGCATACTTTTCAATTATCTCAAAATTGCACTGGCTGAGAATTGATTGATCATTTGTTCGTTCCTGACGCAGTTTGTCTTGAAGACTTTCATGTGATGAAGTCTCCATGGTGAGTGCCTCGAGAAGGATTTAAGTGTTGCTCTGTAGTTGTGCAACATAAGTGGTTACACCACAACGTGAGCACTATGCGCGCTTTCCAGTTTTGACATTTATTATTGCTATTATTATTATTGTTATTATTACTGCTATTATTGTTGCTATTATTATTGCTACTATTGTTGCTATTATTATTGCTACTATTATTGCTATTATTATTGCTACTATTTTGTTTTATTTTATTTTTTTAACTTAATTCATTTTCGCCGCGGTTTCCTAAATGAACCCATTCGGCAATAGGATCATTTGGTTCCTACATGGAAAAGGCGTGGCAGAAATGCACAGAAAAAATGCATAGTAAAAAAAAAAAAAAATTATTACTCCATTGCCACCAGGAGGGATGCACTCAGTGGTGATCTTACAAGATAACATTACATGAGTGAAATGGCAAGAACAGCGCTGTGTGTGATAAGTTCGTTTGATTGGATTATTTTTAGTCAGCAATTTATTTACACGTGCTTGCATCATTTGCATCTCAGTGCAAAAAAAAAAAAAAAAAAAAAAAAAAAATTCCTACTGGCGTGCAACAGAAAATGATTCCGTATAAGGCTCATTTGCAGATTATGAGAAAAATGGTGATGAGGAAAATATGTTCAGTTTCACTCCATTTCAGTTTTATGTTCTTTTTTGCTCCTCTTGCTTTTATCACTCCTCTTGCTTTTATCACTTCTCTTGCTTTTATCACTCCTCTTGACTCTATCACTCCCCTTGCCTCAATAGCGAAGCCATATTATACACGCTAATTACAAACGTGCTAATTTGAACACTGCAAGCTTGAGAAGACGAAAGAATGATAAAATGGGCAAGGTCGGTTGCTAGGTTAAAAATAAAAGGAAGGAGTGGCACACACAAAGGGTTTGGAATATCAACTGAAGAGCGGAAATGGTTCGGATCAAGTAGTAAAAACAGTGAATATGTAGGGAAAGTTATAAACGAAAATAAGTATGAGCATATAAAGGATTTGAAAAGTCAAGAATTAAGAGTATTGTCTGAAAATTGTTGCGCCAAAAGAACACAAGATGTTGTAATATGGAGTGAAATATCAAGAAATGCTATTGAAAAATGTGAAGACTTTAAATATTTTGATGCATTATTACTTCTGTCCTCTTTTGAAAAAATGAATATTATAGATAATAATTTGTATAAAACATTTTCAGATGTATTTTTAAAACAAATAAATCATTTGGAACCAAGACATTTTATTATGTTAATAAATTTATATTGTAAAGCTAATATATTTCCTCGTGTTTTATTTGTTCAGGTTTTTCATGCTATTATTAAATACTCGTCTAAATTATATCCAGAAGAATATGTTGATTTGTTATCATGTTTTGCTGATTTAAACATAGTGAATAAAGATTTGATTAAAACATTATGTAAATCCATTTCAAAAAATGTAAATCTCTTTGATTATGTAAACGTATGTAGCATTGTTGGTTGCTTACGACGTTTAGAAATTCATGATGACGTAATTTATTACGTACTTGATGAAAAACAACAGAAGGAACTAAAATTATTAACAGTTCAGGAGATATTTGATATTATTAAAAAAATAAAGTTCCTTAAATATAGTTGGGAATTATATGAACAGGATTTGATTAAAGAATTTTTAAATCGTCTAAATAATTTCAAAGGAGAAAAAGACATAAACCAGTTGGATGATCCATTTATTTGTTTAAATTTTTTAGTATCCAAAAATTACATAACCAACAATTTTCTCTTAGCACTAAGCAAATGGTGTGCTTCACATGTGTATGAATATCCCTCGAGATCTTCTAAAAGACCCCTAGCTTATCAGCTAATTAAATTATACCAACTTATGAAACAAAAGAATGTTCAGAATTATGACTTCATTGAAAAAGCCATACACAGGTTTGTAATCAGCCGTGGGGGGTTAGCTGTAAACAGAGATAAAATGAACAAACCTGTTTCTTATCAAAAGGGTAGGAAGTATATCTACACTCAGGATCCAATCGAAGCACGTTCTGGAATGCACAATACAATGAAAGCTGAAGTTAGAAAGGGCCTAGAGGTATCTACAAATATGGCTATAACAAATGATTACCATCCCTTACATGATTCAGAAGAGCAGAACATATCTACAAACATAGAGGATGACATACTTAAAAAAACACAAGATGAGGAAGAAAAATACCTACACAAGAACTTGATGCAAAAAAGTAATGATAATACAATGCGACATAATATACCATTTGATGATTACAATTATGACCATCATCCAAAACATATGTCGAAAAAACAGAGATCTATTAATTTGAGCTTGGAGAAAAATACTGAAAATAAAAAGTCTCCTACACACTCGAATGGAAGGTATTGTAACTTCAAACTGCGCCAAAGACCGAAGCGAACCAAAAATAAAGCTGTCCCGGATGGAATATAAAACCGATTAAGTCACATTACCTGTAGTGTTTCAATTATACAGGGTAAGGGGGGGGGGGGCAGTGTGTATCACCATCACACCACCACTACTACACCACTTTTGTGCAACATACACATGTACGTGGATTTATAGGATGAAGGGATAGGTAAATATATCTTCCCCCACTTCCTACTCTTTTTTGTTTATCAATATTATCATTTTTATTATTGCTATTTTTCCCCTGTCCTGTTTTTCATCATTTTGAGTATTACTTCACTACCCACGCCAAACAATAACACAGAACTTTTTTCAATTTCTATTTCGTATAATTGTTTTATTATTATTTTTTTTTTAAAGCTACTGATTAGGTTTTTTTTTTTTTTTTTTTTTTTTGCATTATTATTCATTTTGTTAATTAAAGAGACGTATATAGGTAGACGTAAGGTGGAAAAAGCAATTATCTAATGAGAAACGTAACAAAACAAAAATGAGTTTTTTTCTAAATACAAAGTTATGTAGTACATATAAACTCATGGGTAGATAAGCTGTCATGCACATATGCAAGCATGAATGGAAACATATGTAGATAAGCCCCATATGTGTCTTTTTTTAGTGAATTTTTCTGTGTCATATTTCTTCAATGTAACTTAGCTGAATCTGCTTAAAGCTGTTTTTTTTTTTTTTTTTTTTTTTTTTGCACTGTACAGATACGTGTGGTTTTACTTGATTACTTCTTTTTTTTATTGTTCTATCCAAACTGTCATATGTTTCTTTTAAACATACACAAGCGGGTGAATAAAAAAAAAAAAAAAAAAAAAGCCGAAATTTATAATAACGTGTAGAGAATTTCTGTATATGTGTTTATACGCCTACACATACGTACATATTTTCATATGAATACTTGACTTCAATAAACACAAGCTGTCGTTCCTTACTTTCCTTCCGTAAATATATATATATATATATATATATATACATAGTAAAATTTAGGTAATTTAAAAATTAAAACAATTAAATATGTAATGCGAATGTGGACGCATCATAATATAGAAAAGACTAAATTGTAAATAAAAATTTGCATTTGCTTCTTCTTCCTTTTTTTTAATTTTTTAGGGTTAATTTGAGGCTTATTCTAATTTTATGTACTTGTTGTTATGCATTATTGTGATCTTTGAATTTGTTCTATTTTGAGGTCTCTTCATTTGTTATATTTTTACGCCTTTTTAATTATACCCTTTTTACGCCTTTTTACTTATACTATTTTTATGCCTTTTTCGTTATACTATTTTTATGCCTTTTTCGTTATACTATTTTTATGCCTTTTTCGTTATACTATTTTTATGCCTTTTTCGTTATACTATTTTTTTTTGTTTTATTATTTTTATTTTTTTAATTTTGTTTCTAACATTTTTTCATTTCCCTTCCTTTGCTCCGTTCCACGATTCGTGCGCAACTAACACTTTCTTTTACCTCATTACACGCCACGGGTTCTAAAGTCATCTAGTCCCACCCCCAATTTTGCAATGATTCTTGCGAAAAGTATCCCCTACACACACATACATATATGTATATATATGACCACGCACGATGATATACTTTCTACTAGTTCTTCGCGGAACCTTACTTGTGAAAGGGAAATGACTTCTTCGGAAAAATATACAACTTCTGGCACTTTTGAAATCCATTGAAGTTTGAAGAACTAACAAAAGTGTATGCCCCCGCATATTCATAAATAATCCAATCATTTATGTAGCATTCGGGAAGATAAGTAATGGATGTAATCATATCGAGACCATCACAGGATTGACCAAAAATGTTCGCCAAATATAGAGGAGAGTTCAATAAATTATCATTCACGCTGAAGTTATCATTACCACTCGTGCGATCACTTGAACTAATGTTATCAAAAGCATTCATCTTATCAATTGAACTCATCTTATCAATTGCACTCATCTTATCAATTGCACTCATCTTATCAATTGCACTCATCTTATCAATTGCATTCATCTTATCAATTGCACTCATCTTATCAATTGCATTCATCTTATCAATTGCATTCATCTTATCAATTGCATTCATCTTATCAATTGCACTCACATTATCAATTGCACTCCCGTTATCAGCAGCACTATTGCTTGGGTTTCTAAGTACATAGACAGGAGATCTATTGTACTCATCAAATATGATTCCACTGAAACATCCATATATACTATCACTTACGTAGTATGAGTAGTAGTTATATCGATTGTCATTGATGTTTACCACTTTTCTTTTAATGTTTGTTATGTTCCCTAACTTGGAATGATTGTTACAAATTACATTGTTGTTTAGATTCGTGTGGCTCAATAGTAGAAGTGCGTCTGAATTTTCCATATCATCCTCCTTTTTATTTGCTTCTCCTTCGTATGTCCCTATCATGTCACAATCATGCATCGTGCTTTCGATCCCGTCTGTAGCTCTATCCAATGTGTAGATACTTGATCCTGTCACATCATCGTTGCAATCTTCTTTTCCACATTCACCGCTATCCAACTGTGCACCATCGCCCCCAACACCACCATCACCACCTTGTCCTATATTAACCTGATTTGTATGATCACTTTTTTTTTTTGCAAAATCAAACGGATCCATACCCTTCATATCACTAAGTTTAATGGCTTTAAATGTTGGGTGTCTTTTTCCAATAACCTTAACAGCTAAGGTACATGAAGCTGCAACCATGTATCTTCCTGGTTCACAAATAATTTTTAACTTGGATTTAATATCCTTAAAATAATGTTCAATTGACATATTAATGGCTAGTGCAATTTTTTCAAAGTTGTAAAAGTTATATTTAGTTTTCATAACAGATTTTTCATTTAAGAAACTTTTTATATCCTTTTTTAATTCCTCTTCATTTAAAGTACAGTAATTTTTCTTTTCATGTTTTTTAGCACTATCATATTCTAATTCTTCAGGATATCCTCCTCCTAAATTTAAAATTTCGAATTCATATCCCAATTGTTTACTTATATTCCATACATCTCTTGATAATTTAATAGCTTGACAGTAGTCGAATAAATTTTTCGTATTACTACCTACATGGAAAGATACTCCAATGATATTTAAATTATGTTTTTTTCCAAAGGTGAGGATATTTTTCCATTCATATTCATTAGCCCCATATTTCGATGACATGTAAGACTTATAATTTTTAAAATCGACATTAATACGTAGGAGAAGTGAACATTTGGGATGATATTTGTATATTTTTTTTAACTCTTCGATATTGTCAAATGTACATAAATTTATATTCTCATTTTTTGCATATATTAGAGAATTTACACTTTTTATCGTATTGGCATATATAATTCTTTTTCTTGAAATATTTGGTAGCACTGTTATTAACTTCTTTACTTCTCCAACAGAAGCACAATCAAAATTGCAGTTTAGTCCATATAAAAATTTAATCACAACTTCATCATTATTGCTTTTTACAGAGTAAAATGGTGTGACACTTGGTAGGTTCTTTTTGAATCTTATATATTGCGCTAGAATTTTTTGTAAATTTATACAAACAACAGATGTTTCAATATCTTCATTCAAAATTTTGCTAAGTGTGTACATTTCAATTTTGTTCTTTCGGTAATAATTCATCATTTCTTCTTTGAGTTTTTTTTCTGGACATTCCTCATTTTTATCTGGTTCTTCTACGTTACCTGTTAATATATGCTTTCGTTCATCTTTATTATTTGAGCTGTGTCTCACTACTTCATCCTGTGCTTCTATATTAATTTCCATTCCTTTCAATTCGATGTCACAATCTGGAGTCCTACTACTTATACTTAACGAATCCTCGGTTACCTTTCTACTAGAACCTTCGTCACTACCAATTTTGTAATCATTAATTGGATGCATATTGTTACAACTACTTTCCGATTCGGTCATCATATCTACCACCATTACTCCATTTTGTTTGCAGAAGAGGTAGCTGTATGTGTACATGTCATTTAGTTCGTTCTTTTGTAAAGATGTTAATGAGACGTAATTGTTTATATTCTTTTTCTCAGCAATTGGCAGAAATATATTAACACTCTTGCCATCGTTCATATTTTTCAACTCGTATACAAAATACTGGATCTTGATAAACCCAATGGTAAGTTCTTTCATACACACAATTGCATAGTATTGCTCATTGTTCAGGACTAGGTTGTTGCAAAGTTTGCCATGCAAAGAGCTCATTACATTTGTGTTAGATGTTCCAATTTCATCACCATATATGGATGTGTCGCAATGATAATTTATAATATAAAACAACTTTCCTCTGTAAAAATTCAACTGGTTACTCATAAATTTTACAAAATTCTCAGTTCTTATATCACTTGAAACTTCTATCGAGGTATAGGACACCAAATCTTCCGGTGAATAGTGTACACAAAAGTAATTATTCTTATAAGAAACATTGCATGAATATCCACATGGGGTAAAATAAAATTCGTTGTACAAAAACTTTTCCTTATTATTATGTGCACTCATGCATTCATACAAATTCGTGTCAATTTTTTTCACGCAAACATTGGAACTACTTTTTTCTATCTGATTCATTTGGTTAGTATTTCCTGTTGGCATTAAAGATAAGGATGATGATATCGATAATAATTCTGTTCCTTCTTTCAATCTAAGGCAATTATCCAACATGTTAAAATTGTTTAAATTTGTGTACTCATTTGACAAATTCGTTACATTATCATCGATCGAACTGCATTGTAATGATGTTGTTATTATTCCACTTCCAGTTTCTTTTTCTTTACTAATAGATTCATTACGAAAATAAAATTCTTCAAAATATGCGTTGTTGTTTTCTTTTTTCTGTTCAATTTTGATATCTATTTTTGTTCTAAAATCTAAGGGTTGAATTGTGCATTGTGTATTTGTGCTTGAATTTTCATCAAACGTTTGCCTAGTTGCATATCCGTTTTCATTCAAAATGGAAGGAAGTAGAAGTGTTTTTTCCTCTCCATTCATGTAACTACTACTATCACAACCATTAGAACTACTTGTGATGATGTTGTTATTTTCTCTGTTATTAATGCTGCTTGGACTTGTGGGAAATTCCTCATTCTTATACGATAATGTATCTTCGCTATTGGTTTCATCCAAATTTTTGTCATTAATATCGGTAATTTTCAAATGCATGTTGGTAAACACTTCTTTTTTTGCATGTGTATAGTATGCCATATCTTCTGTACCTCGAAATGGAATCGTCGTTTCTTTGTATAAATTATTTGTATTCGTTGTACTTTTAGAAGAGTATTCTGCACAGTCATAAGAATTTTCACTGCTACATATATCTGTTCTTTCATTTTCTTCGTATGCCTTTAGAGGTTCCATCACTTGTTTCTGAAATATTCCTAGAGAATCCTCATTCAAATATAGTTCATGAAATTTGGAACTTTCATTATACTTCTTAATTCCAAATATATGCATTTCGGAGCAAAATTTATAAGCACTAGTCATGCGCCTCATCGAATGGTTCATCATTTCATTTGTCGCATCATTTGCTGCTTCATTTGTTACCTCAGAAATTTGTGAAAAGAAAATGTAATGATTTCTCCCGAAAGGCAGAGGCGTATTTGCAAATTGGAAGTTCTTGAAAAAGAATTGGAAAAATGTTTTTTCATCTTCAATTGACTTATGTGGATATTCCTGCTCATAGTAGCCATCCTTAGACTTATTCTGATAATTCATGTGTGTAAAGAATGCATACTCAAAGTTGTTCTTTATAAAACTGATAATATCTGTTAGGTCATTTTTTTCAAGAAATGATTCGTCGTAAACCACATCTGTTTTCAAAGCATATTCATTCTTCATTTTAAATAACAACAAATCCACTAGAAATGGAATAAAAAATAAAACCTTCGTTTTTCCACATGTTTTTATAAATACCATATCTGTGTAAATGAAAAGGGAACTTTCTGACAACAGGTAAACTCGGCACATTTCTTCTGCTGGGGCTTGTCGATCTTCTTCTATCTCTGAAACAATGCTACATCCAATTAGATTCAATTTGTTTTCCCATTGTTCTCTTGAAATATCCAACAGGGACTTAATACCTCTTTCCTCGAAGCATTGTTTCTTGAGTTTAATGACAACTCTTTTTTCGATTCCCTCGAACGTGTTCATTTTTCTTACTCAGATTGGATATGGATAATGGTGGTGGTACAACGTATGTATGTATTAGGTCTATAAATGCGTGGCTCTTCTCCAATTGGATTGATATAAAAAAAATATATCACTACAGCTGGCAACTAGTATATTTTAACCTCTTACACGTGATTTCTAGTATAGGTAATACAGGATGTTTTGGATAATCCTATATTTTTTTTTTTTTTTTTTCTCTTTGTTCTGGTTTTTCTGGTTTTTATAACGTTATTTAAATACACTACTAAAGTTGGAAACGCTTTCTTCGTGTCTTATATTTATTTGTGTCCTTTTTGAATTGTATAAATATATGCCAGATAGACCGTACAAACACATGTAATATGTATATATATGTGTTCGAAAATTGCAGATTTGGGCATAAATTTTCTCCCTTTATTATCTTGTTAAATCTTACTTTTTTTTTTTAAAAGCTATTCTTGAAATGTATGGGAATACGTAAATTTGAAAAATGAACAGTTTCTCCACTGTGGAAATTTTGAAGTATAACGATTATACAAATAAATTGAAAATAAAATAAGAAAAACTCGTATAATAACTGAAAAAATCAAGTCCAAAAAAAAAAAAAAAAAAAAAACTTGCGTCTTCAAATGGTTCACACTATTTTTAATACATCATTTATATAGCTGCAAATTTTTTGGTTTTTCTTCTAAAGGTCCGTAAAGTGAGGGGTTTCAATGAAGGCAATGATCTCTTGGTCTTGTTAGTTATTTACGCTCAACATGTGAGTAAAATGTATATACGTGTGAGTGTCTAAATATATACATATATGTATATACGCTTTTGGAGTTTCACATGTTAATCTTCTTAATCGTGTACCCATACATAAACGGCAGGTGTTGGGGCATTTATATATATATGGAAACTGTGGGATTTTACATATAATATGCTATGGTGTGTAGGGGGTTACTTTTCAATTTCTTGTGCTATTTAACTAGTATTTTAATTAACATATATAATGAAACATGTTGTTTCCTGTTTTATGGACATCACGTGGGCGTGTGGGGGGAGGGACTAAAGGTTTAATTATTCTGGTCCCAGTGTTCTCATAGGGTCACACACAAATATATATATATATATATATATAAACATGTATATATATACACTCCTTTTCCACTATTTTATTACGTATTTGCGCCTTTTTCCAATTTTTAAAACTCTTTGAATTCATGAAAAGTATTAAATCTTAACTCCTTTTATATTAGCCCATGACTCACTTAGGTTGATCCGCCTCCGCCTCTTTGCGTTAGCTTACTCCTATTCTCCTACTGCACCTTCCTCAAGTACTCTCCTCTGCTACCCAAATTGGCCAAACATTACAGTTTGCTATAGTACAATTAAATTAATAAGAAGGAGGGAGAGGGAAGGAGGGTTTATAAGGATCCTGGGTATATATGGGGGGGGGGGGGGGGGGAATCTTTAAAGCTGAATTTTCCTACTATGCTTTACTTGTGCTTTTAGAGGTTCTAATATATTAAGCTTATTGATATAATGAAAATTGTGTATATTCACACTGTGGATACCCTTGGATATGACTTTTGTATAGGGAAATATTATAAGTATGTATATATGTATTTACATGTGCGTATACGCAACGTGGTAATTTAATTTTTCCTTTTATAAGTCTCCTATATAATATTTGAATATGTGTTTTGGCCTCTAATCGTTTTTATACGTAATTAATTATGTTTTTATGCAACTTTGAGCGAATAAAAAAAAAGAAAAAGAAAAAGAAAGAAAGCTTCTCCCCTTATCTCTAATGACATGCGTATTAAATAAATGCTAGGGTATTCCCTCATTAACATTGGCACAGGCAAAAATGATCAACCTGACTTTTCTTTTCTGTTGGCTTCTTCGAAAAATTGATTTATTGAAAATCATAGTAAAATAATTTTATATATATATATATATATTCATAAGAGGGAAAAATATTCCTAGAGGGGTATATATTCATTCGGTAATATTATATATTTATATATACATATGCCGAGTGGTACACATATATGTATTTATATTCATAACTGAATACTCTTATTGAATAAGAGATATATGTTTGTGGGGGAGGTGTGGTGGTGGTGGTGGTGGGTTCTTCTTTTATTTTTTTTTCCCCTTTATATGTGCATATGTGCACGTAAATAAATGTCTTGGGTTTAATTGAGTTGCTAACAACAAACTGTTCCTAATAAAAGCTTATTTAGGTTTACGTACTGTATGTATATGCAGTTTATCTATTACAATGTATTGGCTTCACAGAAGGTCTTTTCTTATGCTAGCATTTGGTATACAAAAATTATTTTACTATTCAAGAGCACGTGATCGTTTCAAGAATCGTAGCAAAATGGAGTGAAAATTTTTATAAAATGGTGCGTATATATTGTGGTATAAATTGTGAAATACATGAAAAAAATGATCTCTGCTTCGTTCTTTTACCGTTGTTTTTTTTTTTTTTTTTTTTTTTTTTGGCTTATATATGCATAATTCAACTTGGATTATATACTTCGCGCCTTTTTTGGTCAATGGCAGAATTTATTTTCTCCACAAGTATTATTATATATGTACACACATATGTTCATGCGAGTTTACGCAGGTTTGTAAATGACAACGTCAGTTCTGCAAATATATATGGTTATTTATATCACTCAGGCCATGCAATGAACTGCTTTTTTTTTCTTTTTTTTTTTTTAATTTTGTTCTTACATATGTTGCGCTTCTGAGAAAAATCTGAGCTTATTTTAATTGAGCATAAGTTAATGTAGATTTACAAAGGTATACACGTGGGGGTATATGCGAATATGCAAGTAATTGCGTTATATATACAAAACATGCACAATCGTGGGTATCGTAACATAAATGTACAAATCACACAATTCATACATGCATGTATACTTAAATTTTTATAAATTCCTATAACACGATTGACATTATTTAAATATGTTATAAAATGTAGTAAATGAGAATAACATAACGGGAACAACAAATGTTCAAAACTTGATATAATAGCATAAATATATTTTTGCCTACTAGGAATTTTTTAAAATAATTTTTGATGATATTAATATTTTGAGTAAAACTGGATTTTGTGGGTTTTCGTTTAAACGTGGAAATCCTTTGTTTTATAAGATTGGATTGTTGGTTTTTCTCATTCGTTAGTTTTTTTTCGTTTTATAGTTTTTTCCGTTTGGTAGTTTTTTTTCGTTTGATAGTTTTTTTTTCGTTTGACAGTTTTTTTTTCGTTTGATAGTTTTTTTTTCGTTTGATAGTGTTATTTTCGTTTAATGGTTTTTTTCGTTTGATGACTTTTTTTTTTCATATGATTGGTTTGTTTCGATTGAACGTTTTTTTTATTGCTTTGGGTTTCGTTTATATTAATTTTTTTTCTTTGTTTGTGATGCGATTTTAATTTACTCTAAAGGCTTAATATATTTAAATTGGATGAAGTTAACTCGAAGTTGGTTGAACCGATTCAAATTTTAATTGTTTCTTTTTTAACTTTTGCCGTTAAAGTTTTAATTATACTTTTAATTTTGCCTCATTTTATTATTATTACAGATTACAGTAACGTATTTTTTACCTTGTTTAATTTTTTTTTTTTTTTTTTTTTTAATCCACCCGACTCCCATACATGTCGCATATATAAATAAATATAATGTATTATATATTCCACATATGTATAGCATGTATACATATATATATATATATTTATAACATCCTCTTGCATATGTAGTGCCGTACTATATATTTTTACATATCCGTATAATATATTTGCAAAATAACAGTGTAAAATGAATTTAGTCATTTCTTTTCCGCGCTATCATAGAGAAACTTTTTGAGTTAATTAAATAAAGGGTTTATGCAGCTTAAATTTTGTGAACTTAATTTTTTCTACATAGTGATAAATTGATGTTTGCTTTATATGCACTCTCATAATTCCAAGGGTGTTGAATCGGTACATGGCCCAATGTACCCATTGAAGAACTATTTTATTTATGTACTAAACTTGAAATTACGCAAATTGCAATTTGGGTATATGGGGGTTTGCAGTTATGACATATATATTATATGATATGTATATTGATGTAAGAGAATAGGGGGGGAGACATTACCTCCCCCCATGGTAGTAAGAAATGAGGGATGACGCAGAGCGTTTTAAATAGACCTTTTATATTTTATGTATGCCGATTCAATAGCGATAAGGGGAATAACATGAGTGGCGCGCACACGAGTATTATTGTCGTGTGTATATGTGTATACATATATTATATATATATATGTATGTACATATACATAGTGTGACCTTCTACATGCATCCGTCACATGCACCATATTACGCCAGCTACAAAGAAAGATTAAAAAAAGGGGAGACTGTTCGAAAAATGCTAAAAATATATATATACATAATACAATCATTGACAGTGCAAAATAGCCATTTTTTTTTTTTTTTTTTTTGCAGCTATAACAAGCTAGCTAAGACTAATGAAAACAAAGCAATTTAGGAAGCAACGGTTAAACATTTTTTTCTTCTTTTTCTTCTTTTTCTTCTTTTTCTTCTTTTTTTCTTCTTTTTCTTCTTTTTTTTTTTTTTTTTCTTCTTCTTTTTCTTTTTCTTCCTCTTCTTCTCCCTTTTTCTTTTTATTTCTCTTTCTTTTTTTTCTTTTTTTTTTTTTTTTTCTTCCCCATTATTGTTTCCACTTTGCTATACTTTTATGTTTTATCGTCTAAGGAATTTATTTGACACATTATCATCTTTTCCCCCACACTTATTCAATTTATGCATACATTTTATCTTCCCTTTTATTGAAGTTACAAGAAAAAGAAAAAAAAAAAAAAAAAAAAAAGATGAAAGAAAAAATATTGAAACTTCTTATCTAGAGTTGCTTGAATAAGCTCCCGAGAAATGAATATGCTTGCCTAAACATGTACATATGTAAAAATATATGCAGGGGTACATATATCATGAGAAAAGTCTTGCATGTATCGCAAATGGTACTGTACGTGGTTTTTTTTTTTTTTTTTTTTTTTTTTTTTATAACGCTTGAGACACCTGACAATGGATAAACTGTTAATATATGAATGCCCCAAAGTGAATAAGCAATATGAAATTTCAATGAACTCACGCTGGTGTAAAGATTAACAGAACTATTATTTCTACCTTTTTCCTCGATATTGACATATCTCTACAAAGGTGGATATAAAAAAAGTGCTAAAAATAACAGCACAGAGTGTTGATAGAACAATTTTTTTTATTTTCTTCACCTTCCCACTTTTGTTATTTAAGAATACATAAATTATAGTTAAGCATTCAGGGGCGCATATATACAAACGTGTATATATATATATATATATATGTATGAATATAATAGCTAAAGTGTGAAGTTATGTTGTTTTACACTTTTTGCGTATGACGTATGTACATATCACGAAGGTTAACAAAGGAATAAATACGCATCGCTGAGATCAATTTTTTAGTTTGTTTGTTTCAAATGGAATAACGCCAAATACTTAAGTAAATATTTATTTATCCATAACTGACGTAATATAATCCCCATCTCACCCTCTAAAATATGTCTCATTAAGATAGCATAATCCGAATTCGAATCATATGTATATATTTCTTTTTTTCCTATATTTATGCCGTTTCAAAATACGACAAAGACTGCGTTTGTTACGAGCTGTTCACGAAACAGGACTATATCTAAGATTCATTTTAATAAATATCAGAACGGGCTACTGGAAAAAAAAAAAAAATAGTATTCATGTAAATTCCATTTTGCATCATTCACATTTGATCATACCTTTATGATTCGATTATATATGTACATTCATTCACAAGCGTAACATGTTGTACATATAGTGATATTTTGTAATCCCTTTGTCTTCACAATCTCTCTACGTTTTTTCTACTAAGCAGGAGATAGAATCTCACTAAGTCCTATCATGTACACCCATAAAAATGAGAGAAGGGGAACAACGGAGTGTGTAATATTTCTTCTATTGTAGGTTAATGATTATGTGATGATAAATTCGAAAAATGTACATGCACAATTTTGAAAATATTAATGAAAAAGATAAAATATTCAAAATATCCCATATGCTACAAAATAAGTAACAATTTTCTACATTTGGAAAATGAGGTAAATGACTCTCCAAAATATTCCATAAACCAGTTCCGTTGTGCTACAATCTATTGGCATATGAGTGGATGCGTAGGACATGCACAAATGTAAGCATGTAAGGGTTTCATTTCATATTCCTCATAGAAAATCTGTTCCTCATTTTTTTTTTTTTTTTTTTTGTGCATATGCTATAACTTCATTTTATGGTGAGAATTTTGCTATTGTGTCACACAAATAAAACAAACTTACAGAACTAATTGAATTGCACAAATTAATACTGCAAAAATATATGCTGTATTTAATTTTGAAAATAAACTCAACAGATCGGACGTTTGCATTGTCGTTTGATAGAGAACAGGGATACTTGATAAGTCATTTTGACATTTTATAGTTTACAAATCGAATGACATTTTTAAGAACAGCTTTTTCATATGTAGTAAGATGTCGTGGATCATTTCTTAGCTGAGAAATGTAGTAGGCATAACATGATGACTGGAGAAATAAATGATAAAAAAAATAAAATAAATAGCAGATAAATAATAAAAAAATAAATAGTAAATAAATTATAAAAAAATAATAATTAATTAACTAATAGATAAATAAATAAGTAGTAAATAATAAAAAAAAAAAAAAAAAAGTAATAAATAGATAAAAATAAATTACCTAAATGATTTGCAATGGAAATTCTTACGAACAAGAGATATTGCCACATTCTTCTTTATATTAGACGATATAAAAGCTAAAAAAAAACTACCATGTTCAAGTTCTTATATGCATGAGAAAATAACATTTGTTTCATGCTTTTTTAAATAAACTTATTTTTTAGTGAAGATACCACGAGAATGAGGGTAATAATAAAATGGTAATGAGGTTTTTTTTTTTTTTTTTTTTTACACATGCCGTAGATTATAAGAACACGCACACATATGGAAATGGTTAGCTCACCTCCAAAAAACCATGTCGTTAAGGAATAAAATTAAAAACATTTGCTATGTGCGATAAGGTAAATTCAACAAAGACGGGAGATGACAACTGTGTTAAGAAGCTTGATTTCATTTTTTTTTTTTTTTTTTTTTTTTCTCTTTTCCCTCAATTGGTGTTCTTTCTTGTGGACTTATGTGTACAACGCGTGTTACAGATCAAGGGGATGCTTAAATGTATACACCCATAAGTATACATTTTCATTAGCATGTATGCATTGAAATAAATGTGCATTCATTTGATTTAGGGGTACATGTGAAACCCTCCAGGCAAACCTCTCTGAGCTGAGCTCCGAAACTTATTTTATTCAAGGGTGAAGTACATTAACCCCGTTAGGTACTTTAGCCTCCTCAACTGACATGTGCTTAGGTCATATACTCAACTGTGTAATGAAAAGATATTTAATACACACTCATAAAGTCACATTTGATTATCCTTACGCAGGGATATATTTGTAATTGTAGCTAGTACAAGGGCAGGGTTATAACATTCTTAGAATGTGGGGATAAGTATCAAAATCGTAATTCACTTATGAACAAAAATGAAAATACAAAAAAATTTCGCAATGAGTTTATTCATAAAAATATGATAAACGGAATTACATGTATGTGTTCGTCTGTATGTGCATGTGTGTTTGCATGTGTATTTTCATGTGCATGTTCCCATAAATTAGCATAAAAAAAATTAAGTAATATAAAACTCATAAATAGGCAAAAAAATTTACTCATTAAATTAACATTTCGACACCTAATGAAAAAAAAAAAAAAAAAATTCATGCACAATCTAGCACACACTAGAATTCAAAATCGAATTATTTATTTTTTTAAAGAAAAAAAAAAAATAAAATAAAAAATAAAAAAAAAAAACAGGACGCCCCCTACTTGTGTATTTTCTATTTCTTTTTTTTTATATTATGTTTCCCCTAGGTTTTATTAATGCAAAGGCATGTTTAAAGTTTTCTAACGTTGTATGTGCAACTTAAAAGATAATAAGGAACACACACACTTGTGCGCAGGAAATTGGACAAAAGCGATAACAGTAAGAATAATAAATAAAATAACAAACAGGGAAACAGAAAAATAGCGAAATAGCAAAGTAACATAATAGTAAAATAGAAAAAAAGCAAAATAATAAAGCAAAAAAATTAAAAAAAAAAAAAAAAATAAAACAGAAAATAGTAAAGAAGAGAATCGGAAAAATAAAGAAATAACTAAATAGCAAAACAGGAAAAAAGTAAAATAATAAAAAAAAAAAAAAAAAAAAATTAGAAAACAGCAAATAGTAAATTACTAAATTACAAATAACAAATAGCAAATAAAAAAAAACAAATAACAAATAGAAAATAGCAAATAACAAATAGAAAATAACAAATGACTAATGATAAATAGCAAAATAACAAATAGCAAAATAAAAGAACGGTAAAATATTGCTTTAATCGAGAGAGTCGAGAAAAAAAAAAAAAAAAATTCCCTAATTCTAAGTTTTGATCGCTAGGTGTAATTCTCCCTAGGATTTCTTTCGTACGAATAAATTTACAAGCAAAAAGTGACAAAAACCTTTTCATAATCAAACAAACAAACTACTAATCGCACGCACACTTATAAACTAGCATATGTATGCGGAATCTAAACACATTATTAGATACATATATCTCCCATAATTCAGAAGATTATATACAAGCTTAAATTTCTCCAGTTTCTTATTTCTAATGAGAATATCTAAAGTTTTTTTTTTATTTCATTTTATTCTGTTATCGTATTTTTTCACACCATGTTTATCAAACAATCAACATGCCACTAGGGGGGCATTGCATTGTTTAAAATCGATAGAACGTGAACTGGAAAGGAAGAAAAACAAGAGAAAAAAAATTATTATGTATTCCATAGGTTCGATTTTAGGATTAGCTGCAGTTATAGCAACAGGGGTAGGGATTGGTATGTATTTTAAAAAGAAAAAAAAAAATTACGCAGAAGGGTTACAAAAAATTGAATCTGAACAGCCCGATAAAAAAATAGATAAACCTGATTTTCTGTTAACCAAGTCTAAATCGGAAAATGTTGAGGTAAAGGGGAATAATGAAGCGGATGATCAACTCGTGAAAGGTTTTAAAATCGATGCCAAGGGTGCAGAATTGTTTAATGGAGGGACTAACCTAACTGATCTTATGAACAGTGAACCTGTGATAAATGAAGGTGTTAATATGGAACCTATCAAGACCGAATTTGCAAATATGGAATCTGCCACAAACGAAAAGGTAAACCTTGAGACAATCGTAAGCGAACCTATGAATGTTGAAATATCCTCAGTTGAATCATTAAACACTGAACCCTCCATAAATGATACGTTAAATGTGGAACCCACATTAACCGAATCGGTAAACATTGAACCCACCTTAAGCGAAACTGTAAAATGTGAAGAAAGTGTAGAAGGAAACGTGAACCTTGAACGAACATCAGTTGAATCATTGAATACGGAACCCGCTGCAACCGAAACGGAGAGTATCGATCCAGCATTAACCGAAACTGTGGACGCAGAACCAGCTATAAGCAAAACAGGTAGCATGGAATCCACAACAGCTGAAAGTATGAACTTTGGGACATCCGAAACTGAATCATTGAATTCTGAACACGTAGCAGCCGAAACTACAGACGTTGAAACATTCTCAGATGAGTCACTGAATTCTGAACCAATAACAACTGAAACCACAGACCTTGAAACATTCGCAGCCGAATCATTGAATTCTGAACCAATAACAATCGAAACTGCAGATGTTGAAACATCCTCAGATGAATCATTGAATTCTGAACAAGCAACAACGGAAATTGCAGATGTTGAAGCATCCTCAGATGAATCATTGAATTCTGAACAAGCAACAACGGAAATTGCAGATGTTGAAGCATCCTCAGATGAATCATTGAATTCTGAACAAGCAACAACGGAAATTGCAGATGTTGAAGCATCCTCAGATGAATCATTGAATTCTGAACAAGCAACAACGGAAATTGCAGATGTTGAAACTTTTTCAGCTGAATCATCGAATTCTGAACCCTCGATAACCGAAACTGCGAACGTGGAACAAGCCGTAGACGAATCATTGAACGTCAAATCCAGTGAAATCGAAAAATCCAGTGGGGAAATGGGTAACACAGAAGTAAATGCTGAACAATATGTTGCTGAAGATCTTTCAACAACTGTTAACGTAGAAGATAAGGAAAGCAATGTGACGACTTCAAAAACTGATCATTTCTCGGATTCCAAATTTGAAGAAAACCTTGATAATGCTAATTCCTCTACAAAAATCGAAGGTGAAGCTCTTGATAACACAATGAATGACGAATCAAGAAATGAAACGATTGAATCCGTTTCCTCATTCAATACTACTGAAAGCAGTGGAAGTAATGATGCCATACCAGGCCCAAGTGGTATTAGTGACGGTATCAGCAAAGTGCACAAAGGAGACAATGACAGTGACAGTACAGATTCTAAAGTTTCAGACAACGATAAACCATCCCAAATTAACGATTCAGATGTAATAGAATCACGTAACTCCCAAGAAAAATTACCAAAAGATGGAATCGATGATATGGCCAAAGTGATTTCTAAGGATCTACCACTTAAGAATGACACCCCTTCGTCATCTAAAAATATAAGTTCATCAGGAAATTCAAATCTATCAAGAAATTCAAATTCATCAAGAAATCCAAATCCATCAAGAAATCCAAGTTCATCAAAAAGTTCAAATCCATCAAGAAACCCAAATTCATCAAAAAGCCAAAGTTCATCGAAACATTCTGGTACTCCTAAAAAATCCAATGAACCAAGAATTTTCGGCTCTTTTTTGAACGGAAGTAAAGGATTTGGACTTAGATTATTTACGGATTCGTCCAATTCAAATGATAAAAAGGGACGTTCAAATAACCCAACTATTAGGTTTAGAAAGCGAGTTGCCTAATAAAAAGATTTGTATATACAAGGAATTCAGAATGCACACATCCCAAGTTAAAAACGCTTAAGTATATATACTTGTTTTTGAGCTTTGATGTGTGTCCAGGTTCTACTGAGGATCTACTTAACCATTTATTTATTATCATAAATAGAGAAAAGACATATGCGCGATCGTATAACGTCTACCAAAGAATCCAGGTATATGGTATGTTATAAAGTTGACCAGATAATATACCTGTATCGAGCTCAATGGTGAATACTTCGTCTATTTGGTTTCGCGTAAAACTATTCGCATAGCCATTCAGGTATTCCTTGTCCCATTTTTGTGACTCACAAACTGCAGGAGTGACCTCCATTAAACATTAAAAAAACATTTTTTTAAATGCAAAAAGAGGGGATGATAAATAGGTGTTTCTTACTCATTTGGTGATAAAACATTATTTATTTTGAAATGAAAGAACAAACCTTTTAAGTTTACACCTAATTAATTTACATACATGTACCTGTGGTTTACTAAACTTACATCGTGTTAAATGGGTGCAGACTAGAGAATATTATTGTATTCATGTTTTTATGTGTTCATGTTATATAGGTTTTTTTTTTTTTTTTTTTTTTTTTTTTTCCTATTTCTCTTTAATATTTTATGCATAATCCCATCTCATACACACCCCCCCAAAAAAAAAAAAAAAAAAAAAAAAAAAAAAAAAGAAAGAAAAAATAAGTTTCCTTTCTTTTAATATATATTCAATTAAGAGTAATTAATGATAGCCTCTTAGCACAGGATCATTTATTTTTGTTGAGTGTCTTAACCTTATGCATACTTATATCAGAATGCAGATATGTGAGCGAACATAATTGTTTGGCCGTCTACGAGGATTCAGAAATAAGCCCGTAGAGGTACATTTAAATACAAGCATAGACACGTGCATACATGATTATGCATGCGTCTACGTATTTACAAACAACTTTTCGTCCGTTTTGCATTATCCTTACATATGATATTGTGCATGGGTATTTATTTTTTTTATTTTTTTTTTTCCACCGTTTTCATTTTTATTTTCCTTCAACAAACTTTTTTGTTATAACTTTAGGATATAGTCCCTTTAGCTACATCATCATCTTTAAATTTAATAGCACGATTTTTAACTAACCGAAATAGGTTACATAAAGAAAAAAAATAAAATAAAATAAAAAAATAAAAAAACTCTGAGCATAACATTTTTTTTTTTTTTTTCCCCTATTCTGATACATAATATAAATCACATTAAATCCTGAATGTGTGAAACGAGAGGTACAGAGAAAAACTTGACGCTAAATATACTAAAGAGAAGCAAAAGTTGCTAAGTCTTAAAAATGTAATACAGTAATTTTGCCTTTTTCTAATTTGGTGTTTTTGACCATTTATTTTATTATATATTTTTTTTTTTTCGAGTCTGAGCAAAATGGAAATTTTAATAAGAGGTAGTAATGCTACAATGCTTCTATAATCTTTTATCCAATGGATAAACGATGGATGGGGGAAAAAAAAAAAAGAAAAAAAAAGACAAACTTCTGAACAGCTTTGAAAAAACATATTCTTTAAGAATAAATGAGTTTTCTCCTTACATGAACGATATCTCAACCTTGTTAAATTTTTTATAAATCATAATTATCATATTTCACATGGGAAATGATAATTTCCCCTCTTCTACATGTTCATAGAAATTTAAATCCTATATAATATTGGAAGAATGTGCATTTACACCTAGAAATAATAAAGTTCGAAAAACTTTATATGTTTTTTTGTCAGTTTGAATTATATTAAAACAATTTTAGAAGAAAAATATGATATCAGCGTGTTAATATTATTAAGTTTACCAAAAAAAAAAAAAGTAAATACATAAATGAATATATAAATGAATAAATAAATGAATGAATAAATGAATAAGTAAATGAGAAAAAGGGGAATCGAAACAAATATCAACACTTAAACATACGTGTTTCTAATAAGGAAAAGAAAAAAAGTTACAATTCTTAACAAATTAGCATGTACAACAAATTTTCCTACTACTAACATTTTTTTTTGTTTTCTTACTCTACTTCAAAAATATTTAAAGATATTTTTTTGCACGTTTTCATTACATGTGCATGGAATCATAGCATAGTAAATATATTCATTTTTTGGCCTCCAGAAAAACAGTGTTTAGCTGTTTGAGATATTACATTACAATGGAAAACAAATGAGTAAAGAAAATATCCCGTTATTTACATTTTGCTTAAATTTTTTACAATTTCCTTATTGGTGTTGTTTTCTTTTCTTACTCTCTCAACCTCTTTCATTGCAAGCAAGTTTCCATGACACGATGTGCATATAACCTTCAATCCTGCAAATTTGATTCGTGAACGTAAGTGGATGATATATTCCTAGAGGATGCATATGTAAATATTTATCAAGTAGGAATACACATAAGTATACACTCTTATGTATATCATTTTCGTAGAACTTTATTTCCCCCGTTTTTATTTATACCTTCTGATGTATCCCAGTGAACTTTGACATTTGTTTGTTTGACCTTATCGCATCTCCAGCACCTACAATGTGGGGTAATGGGGGAGGGGGGAGAAATCGAAAGGATGATACGTGTAAATAATGAAGACGTGACAATAAAAGGTATATTTGCACTTTGAGTTTCTCGATCTTACATGAAGGCCTTCAAAGAACTATACTTATGAACAACTGCACTTCTGGAATCAAATTTGCTATCTAAATGTTTCCTTGGCAGGGGCTCAAACTTTTTTAGAAGCTTTACGGCTTTGTTTCTCTCCTTGCTGACATTTGATGACAGAATTCGAACTAAGTCACTTTTTTTATAGTCCTTGTTTTTTACCATGTTTGTGTGTTGAGCACGTGTAAAGAGGTGAAGAGAAATGGGTGCAAGTGAAACGACGAGACTAGAACGGTGAGGGACGAAAAGGTAAAATGAAATCGAAGGAAACGGGAGGGAAGGGGAAAAAAAAAAAAAAAAAAAAAAAAAAGGAAAACTCAAGCAGATAAAATGAAACACTAAAAAAAAGGAAAATTAAAGCAGATAAAATGAAACACTACAAAAAAGGAAAATTAAAGCAGATAAAATGAAACACTACAAAAAAGGAAATAGTTAAAAAAGGATACTGCAAAATGGCGAAAAAATTAAGAAGCCGTAAACTCGTCGAAATAAGAAATGCGCTGCACAGAAACCAATAGACTGTTCTTCCAAATTCACAAAGAGTAACAAAATTAACTGCGTCATTTATGGAGACAAATGTCAAATCTCTAACAACATAGCACAAAAAAATACAAAAGGGCACTTTTAAGTGTCCCAGGCATGTATTATATATACAGCATTAATATTACATTCACATATACTGACGACCATGTATGTTAAATAAAAAGCAAATGCACCATGTGCAAATATAAGAAAAAGAAAAAAAAAAAAAAAAAAAAAAAAAAAAATCCCCATACATTTGTTGAATTTGCTAATAAGCATGTTGAGTCGTCCACATTCACATAACGCACAAAGCGAAAATTGCAATAATGTCTTTTAAGAAACACTTTCAAAGATGCATTTCATATGATAGCCCCCTCTACAAAATTGCCACATAAAAAAAAAAAAAAAAAAAAAATTTGGCTAATCATTTGAAAGAAAAAAGAGCTGAAAAAAAAAAAATAATGTTTTCGTTTTCAAAAAGGTTTGGAACTTTTTGGAAGGGTAAAGGACATAACAATAATAAAGAATTTTGATATGTAATACAGGGCACATAAACTGATATGTGCTTACTACACTCTACATGTGCGTACGGATCAGTTTTTTTTTTTTTTTTTTTTTTTTTTTTTTTTCATTAAATTTTGGAAGATAGAAACATAGTTTGAAACCTTTTTGTATCTCATATTTGAAACCTATCCAAGTGCACATATTTAATATACATGTACTGTACAAATACACTTTTGACATGTGTGAACATGATTATTCCCACGCATATATATAAAGTTTGCCACAAGAGGATTGTTCTGGAAATACCCCCAATACATTCATATACATGTTTTTTCTCTTTGGGGTATATCCCCACCTAATACCCGTTCCCTCGTTCGCATATTTTAACAATTGCTTTGATTACATTGATTGCTTCCACCGCATCGGATGTGTCGACTGCATTACGTCTAAAGGCACATATTTCAAGAGCTAAGATAAGTTTGAAAATGCTGGACATAATAGATAAATCAGGAAAAAGTGTGAACCGAGAAAATATTAAGGATGAAATAAAAATAGTTTTTACAGATATAGATGGAACACTATTAAATAGCGAACATAAATTATCATCACTAAATTTGCAAAGTTTAATAAAAGCAAAAGAAAAAGGAATTAAAATTGTTCTTGCAACGGGAAGACCAATTTTTTCAGTGGAAGGAGTGATAGGAGAAGAATTAAAAAAACATAACTTAAAATTGCTACCAGGAATATACTTAAATGGATGCATCACATATGATGAAAATGGAGAACGAATAATTGACCATGTGATAAATGATGATTTAAAAATGGATATATATAACTTTACAAAACAAAATCAATTTGATCAATATTGTATTTGGTATACTTTGGATAAAACTTTTTGTTTTACGATAAATGATGAAATTAGAAATTATATGAATATAGAAACTATAGCACCAGAAATTATAAATGAACATGTATTTAAAACATTAAAAGTTTATAAAGTTCTATTGTGTTTAAATGAACAAAATATTAGCTCCATTTTTCAGTCCTGCAAAGACCTCTTTGCACATAAAATTAATGTAGCCAATACTTTTATGAGTTACATTGAAATGTTTCATCAGAGCACCAATAAATTTGAAGGCGTAAAAAAAATTTGCCAAAGTTACAACATTAGTTTAAATAACGCCGTAGTTATAGGGGATGGGGAAAATGACATGGAAATGCTCCAAGGGGTTCCCACTTCAGTTGCTCCAGTTAATGCTTCTGATAATGTTAAGGGATGTGCTAAGTATATAGGCCCATCCAATAACGACAATGTGGTGAGTCTTGTGCTGCAGAGATTTTGCGGGGTCTGCCCTTGAGCATGCGAAATGCGGCGTGTGTGCATGTGTGTATATATGTATAGAGGTGCAGGTTCAGATGCAGGTTCAGATGCAGGTTCAGATGCAGGTTCAGGTGCAGGTGCACATAATTCCTTTTCGAAACACATGGAAAAATTGGATAGAATGAAAGACTAAATGGGTGGAAGTGGAAATGTATAACCGGACACGTCTCACGTAGAACACAAATGTATGAAACCATGTGTCAACTGATGTCTGTAACGGTGTTTTCAATTTTTGAAAATTTATTCATTGACGATTATGGCTCTTTATGTTATATTGTTTTAAGATACTTAATACCATTATATACCACCTACCTCCAAACACGTGAAATTTCTTTTTTTTTTTTTTTTTGACAGTGCTCATGTGTATGTTGTCGCCTTGTTTTATTGTCCCTTTTATTAAGTACTCGCGAACGAACTGTTCTTTAACAAATTGTTTATTGGTTTTATTAATCATTCATTGATTCTTTATACGTTTTATGCATACAGATAACTGAGTTTAGCATTTTGTTAATGTTTTCCCTCGATCAGATATGAAAGTGGAATCGTATTATATTCAATTTTTAAATCCACAACATTACTGAACGTTAACAAAAGCATACTTTTGCTTGATCTCACCCCGTGCAAAGTTATAGATAGGGTTGGTTATACAATGAGAATTCCTTCAATTCTTTGAAATGATGAAATTTTTTTTTTTTTTTTTTTTTATTTCAATCCATTTGTATGTACCTTTCTTTTAATAGTCAATGTTTCAGTTTATATTATGAAAGGAGCATCAATATACAAACATTTTTTTTGTTCAGTTGTACACCTTATTGCTGTAGAAAGTGCCATATTAATGAGTAACATTATGCCTGTGTCAGTATGTGCAATCGGAAATAAAAAAAAAAAAAAAAAGACATTTCTTTAAAAACCTGTTCATTCCTCATGGCTTAAAAAGAACGGGATCAGCATTAAGCATTAATTGCAAATTAATTTCTGTTCAACGAAAAGTGGAATTATACAATTTTTATTGCAATTCAGGTTAACACTGGCACACAAGTACACAGTGGTGCGTAACATGTATATATGTACATATATACATATGTATGCATACTGAAGGACACTTGTAATAATTTTATCCAGCCCATAAGAGGATTGACCTTTTATTCACTTTCCTGTTCGAACGCAACAGCGGAAGTATCGAGACTCCGAAATGGAAGTAAAAATGAAATTGTGAAAAATGTGGGGAAAAAAAAAAAGTGCTTGTGCGCGTAGCCAAGTTTAGATAAAAAAAGGGGCAAGCGACGATAACAGCTCCAGGCTTTTTCCACAGAAGGAGAATTTCTGGTTAAGCTAAAAAAAAAAAAAAAAAAAGTGGAAATAACGAGTGGTAAATTAGCATAATGGCAAAATGACAAAATGACAAAATGATAAAATTGGAAGGGTGCTCGAATTACCCAGAGGAAAACTATTCACATGCCGATTGCACTCTCCTGGTGAACCATTTTCAAACCCAATGAAAGGATGCAAAAAAGATAAAATAAAATAAAATAAAAATAAAAATAAAATAAAAGCAAAATAAAAGCAAAATAAAAGCAAAATAAAGGCAAAATAAAGGCAAAATAAAAATAAAATATATACAAAATGAAAACAAAATAAAAATAAAAGTAATAAAAAAATAAACAACTCACGAAAGAGTTAAAATATGAATCGCTGTTATTTCGAATTGTTATTTCAAACACGAAGAGAACCCTATAAAGGGCGTTCCTTTTCGGCAGTTCACGAGTCAAACAAAAGTAGCGTGAGAAGCTGAAGGGTCGTTAGGAACGAGGGGAAAATCAGAAAGAAGGAGTGACACTCGTGCTCTTTTCGAAGGGGATGTCCAAACTTTCACACATCAAACGGAAAAGCATGAAAGAAAAAGACAAAGAAAGGAAAAACGGGGCTAAAAACGAGGCTAAAAATGAGGCTAAAAACGAGGCTAAGAAAGAAGCTAAAAATGATAACCAAGAAGACCATGACGATAACGTCGTTGGGGATGATGAATATCCAGACGAATTTTCCGAAACAAATGATTCCAATGAATTTTTATCGGATGATGGAGAGAACAAAGGAGAGTCGAAAGTAGAAGGTGTTCAATACAACGAGTCCGCAGATTCTTACTACACTAATGTTGAATCCAAAATGGAAGAATTCAAATTTGGAAAAATGAAAGAAGAAATTCTTCATGTACATAAGAAAAATATCAGCGGGTTAAAGTCAGTACGGAAGGGTAGTAGTTTAATAGTAACAGGGAACGACAACTGCATACGAATATACGAATTTCAGTGTATGAATAGAGAGGAAAAAGGATATACAAAATTGATAACGTTAGCAGAAGGATCTATTATTCAATCATTAGATGCGACAAATAATCTCATTTTGGTTGCCAATGGAAATAAGTGCTACGTATATGATCGTACATGTAAGCTAGTTAAAAACACAATTAGAGGAGATATGTACATCACAGATGTTAATAAAACAAGGGGACACACGAGGAACGTGAATTGCTGCCAATTCCATCCATGCAATGAAAATATTTTTATAAGTGGAAGTTTAGATAGCACTGTTAGGATTTGGAATTTACAAAAAAATGTTTGCTATGGTATCGACAATGAATTAGTTCATCATCAATGTTTAAAAGTAGTTAATGAAAAAAATATTATGAACAACAATATACTGTGTTGTCAATTTGTTAGAGATGGAAATTCTATTATTTTAGGTTGTGAAAATGGCCATATTGAAGTGAGAAATAAAATATCCAATGATTATATGTATAGCTATAAATCAAAGTACAGCATTAGTAAAAGCGTTTCACATACCAATTCTGTAGTCGACATAGTTACTTCAAAAAAAAGGGACCATTTTTTTTTTACTAGAAGTTTAGACAATACTATTAAATATTGGGATAGGAGATATTTACAAAGGTGCATTAAAACCATTGACAGCATTCCCACAATTTTTAGAAACAGCAATATATCATTTTGTGGGAATGATGAAAGGTACCTAATAGCAGGAACACAAGAAAGAAAAAAAACAGTAGATCAACATATAGCGGAAAATGAGCGTACAGTAAGAAGTGTAGGGAACATTCTATCCGATGTCGAAAAATATAAAATGATGAAATTACAAATGAAGAGTACCAACATGGGTGCTAATAATTTTGTCAAGGTCTACAAGGGCGATGAAGACATGAATCAATTCCTTAATGAAGTAGCTAATACTAAAAAAACAGAAAAAAATATAAAAGGAATGCTAAAAATTTATGATACATATATGGATAATTTTAACTTGGTGTACGAAAAGTGTTATGAACAGTCAGGTATTATATGTACGCATTTTAATAATCAAATAAATCATCTTTTTCTAGGGACAACAGATGGAAATTGCTTCATATATTTTGATGACGATAGCGATTTTCATAGTGATCATATTCACAGTGCTAATCACAATGGGGATGTTAACAAGGCACGGAAAAAGGGAGGCGTGCTTGAATATCTATACAAAGGTGTAAAAAGAAAACAAGAAAATAATTCCTTTTACATGAATGCACAACATATTTACAACTTGGATAATTTACCTCAGGAAATCAAAATAACAGAAGCAGGAAATGTAGTAATAAGAAAAGACTTGAACAACAAAAAGGCAAAAATGAATCCTACTCTTAGTTCTCTCACATTAAATGCATATGATAAAAAAAGACAAATTGGCATGTATTCAAAGTTTATTATAGATGCTTGTGAAAGGAACGAATCCAAAAATCCAGTAAACAAGTACAACGAATATGAAGATGAAAACATCGTGGAAATTTTAAGAAATAGAGAAAAAAATAAAACAGGAGATGACTACTTCATGAATGCTTACAAATGTACTCAACCGAATGCCATAATTGACTATTCGTCTGAAGAGGGACCTGAATATTCTCAGATTTTGAAAAAGCCAAAGTGTCCACAATGCGGTGTTAAGAATTGTGTCTGTGGGTTCATGCACCCGGAGGGGAAGCGTGGTGGCTCATAAAATATGAGGACTAATCCGGATTAACAAACAGATCGATGAGCAGTGAAGTTCCCATATAGGAACAGAACGTTATTAACATTATGTAGAACAAAATTGACAGCATGCCAATTTGATTAGGTATATAATTACAAATATATATATATATATATATATATATATATATATATATATATATATATATATATATATATTGCCATAGGTTCTCATCTATGCACTACCAGTCTGGGTGATCTGCTCATGGAATGTATTAAAAAAAAAAAAAAAAAAAGATCAAAATGTACAAAAAAAATAGAAACAGGGATGTGGCGAAGTGAGGTTGCCTGATATACATCTGTTCACGAACTTATCTGTTCATCCAGCAGAATTTTTTTCATGCTTTTGGAAGCAGCTAACCACCCACCTCTGCTTCTCCTTCACCTGCGTGCTTCAAGCACATTCGTTTATCTCCCTGCTTCAAGAGATTGTTATTTTCAAGTAATTCAACGTAGAGTTGTTGGAGGGACTTGTGGTATTCTATTTCTTTTTTGTTTTCTTCGCGTTCCTCTTGAATCCGTTCAAGGGCATATTTTTTCTCCCGCTCGTGCAAAGCGTTTAGTGCGTCCTTTTCACTCATGTAATTAATATACAAATTAAATTGGGAATCAAAAGTTTTTTTGTACCCCTTAATTTTTAACTGATAACCCTTTGTGTATATATCATATTTGTTTTCTATTTTTTTATAAAGGTTCATATTTTTTTGAATTAAACTATCCAACTTCTGACACCTGTATTTGTAATTTTCTTTTATGTCTCGTTCATTCATATTTTCAACGAACATGTACACATTCTTAATGGGACAAAAAAGGATTTGGTTATTTATTTTATTCCACATTTCTAGGTCCTGTTCCGTTCCATAGCATTGTGGGTTCAATTCTTTCGATGGGTTCTCTCCATTTGGGTGGATTGTCGAGCCATGTTCCTTCTGTTGATTGTCTTTACGAATATCTTTATTCATTTCATCCAAGTGGGTTGTCGCTTCGCCAACGTTTTCCATTTCACCATTTTTTGTGGATTCACTTAAATACATATTCGAATCCAATTTCATTATTTGTTCACCATTGATAATGGATGTTGCGTCCTGTGACGCGCTGTTAGACCCGTTGTGTGTGGTTTTCTGCAATTCGGCTTGCACAGAATCAAGAGCCATCTTCATGTATGTCTTACCAACATCATCAAGTGTAATCTTATTCTGAATGGGTGTGCTACTTTTCATGGGGTAATTAAACATATCATTTTTTATTAAAAGTATCATTTCATTATGTACAAGGTTTTCTACTTGTTCAGAATTCCCCGTATCAGACATGTCTGTTCGAGGAAATGGATGTGTGATATTCATTTTTTGAAGAAAATATGGTCTAGGTAAATTCCACCTAATAATTTTATTTTGATTATTGAATTTTTCTTTTTCTTTTTTATATTCTTGCATTTTTTTATCTCTTTCAATATCTTGTATGTCTTTTTCTATCTGATCATATTCAGAATTAATTTGTGTTTCCTCATTATCTTCATTATTTAAATCATCAGGAATTTGCAATTCAATTACATTAGTTTCTTTTGGTAAATGTGCAAGGGAAGATTTTATAAGTAATTTAGCTCTATCTATTTTTTCTTCATAATCTTCATCATAAAATTCGCTAACTAATGTGTCATTACCAATTATTGAATTTTCATTTCTTCCATTTTTATAAGATAAAACTGAATGTGCATAAAGACTGACATTTTTTTGATAACTTTTAATATCACTTATGATTTTATTTTTTATGGAATTTTTTTCTCTACTGGTAGTTTGCTGTTCATCCGTCATTTTTTTATAATTTTCTATTTCTTCTTTTACTTCTTTGACATTTTGGGCAATAGTTATGGGTTCATCGTGCAAAATTGGAGAATAGTCATTCATATGATTTTTATTCATTTCATTGTTATCATCCTTGTGGTGATTTCCCTGCTGATAATTATTCAATTGAACGGGTTCATTCATTCCAATAATGGGTTCGTTCATATTTCTCGAAATTATATTTTGTGCAGCTTGCTGTATACTTAAATCTAGCTTGCTTGAAAATGCAATCGATTTATTATAAAAATTTGTTGCAATAGATGAATATTTATCTTTATCATTCAAAATAAATGGGGAACTTGTTACACTTGGTAGTATATTATTAATTACTACTGCATTGCTGTTATTTTTTTCATTTTGCTCTTTAATAATTTGATTGAATGAATTAGCTTCTTTATTTATTTGGATAATTTCTTCCAATTCATTTTCATTTAAAATTGGTTCCGGTAAATTCAATCGAACCCTTTTTCTCAAATGACTTAATTCATTAAACTGTTTGTCATAATTTTCAATAGCCAATAGGAGATTTTTTTCTTCATTATTTCGTTTCCCTTTAAAATGAATTTTTTTTCGAGAACCATCTTCAGAATCTTGAAGATCATCATAAGGACCACCTATTTCTGTCTCCTTTATACTTTCTACATCCATCGATTTGATACTCTTAAATTGGTTACTTTTTTTTTCATCAAAATGAGAAATTGTTTGTTCTTCACTGACATCGAAAAATCCTTTGGCTGGTTTTCTTTCAAATAAAATTTCCTTAACATGATCAATTCGATTTTTATCATTCTTTTTATATTTCATTTTGTTGGTGGTAATGCCAGCAGCTTTTAATTCTCTTTTTTTTTGTAATAGGGCTAATCGTCTAGCTTGTTCTAATTGTTTTTCTCTTGCTTTTCTTTTAGCCTTTTTCCCTTTTGTATTTGCAAGTCTAGCTTTTGCTTCTGCTAACATTTCCTTTTCATCTTCATCCATATCTACAGGATCTGCTTTCGCAGGTTTTGTTTCTGGAGCTGGATCAATTTCTCCTGGTCTCAAATATCTTGGATTTTTGTTTTTATCATATACTTTTCCTTCTGCTTCATCAAGTAAATATTCATAATGATCCAAGCATTGCTGTGCCGTTCTTCCAACTACGGGTGCAATAGTTCTCCATTGGGTTGGGAACAACTTCGCTAAATGTAAAAGTTTCTCTTCTTCTTCTTTACTCCATTCTGTTTTTTTCACTGATGGGTCTAGCCATTCATACCACCTTGCCTTGCATTGTTTCGCTGACTTTCTCACTAGCAAGGACGCAACTCTTGACCAGTTGTTCAGGCCGTATTTCATCACGGCAGCCTTCAGAACTTCATCTTCGCAGTTCTTCCATATACCTCCTTTTATTTGAATTCTCATATTGCATTAGGGTTATAATAGTACTGGCATCTCACAGTTGCTAAAAATACACCCACAGTTTTTATAACGTGGCCAAAACGAGTTTATTTGTTTCCCCACTAGTGTTGCCTTTAGGATACTGCGCATATGCGTCTTCTTTTGTGTTGCTGGCCGAAGATTTTCGTCTCCAATTTGGAGGCACGTCTTAGCTACTTTGACACGTCGCTACTTCGATATTTCTGAGCTTAATGAAGAAGAAATCATATAAAAACGGAATACTAGAAATATGTCAAATTTAAGAATAGCACATGCTGCGATGATATATTCACTCTCTCATATTATTTAGTCCTTTTGTTTCTGCTTCATTGAAAAATATATATACATATATATATATATATATATAGAGAGAGAGAGACAGAGAAAAACCCTTCTCCTCAGTCCAGGAAATTATATGGCTCTTCCCTTATCAGATACTCAAAGTTATTATGGATAACAGGGAAATATTTGGACGGTTATTCTAAGGTATACAAAACAACAATGATTAATTCTCAAAATGGAGATTTATGTGTGTGTATGTAGTAATGTGGTAAAACTAAAAAAAAAAAAATAAAAAAAAAATAGCCTTTATTAAAATATTTTTTTAATATAAGTTTTATTCTCTCCCTTATTACTTCCATAAAATTGAGGGACGGAAAGTTTATTTTCGTTGTAATGAAAAAAGGTCGGATTTGGATGGAAGAAATTTTCCTTTATCTTATGAAACAAGGTTTACTATACTGTGACAAGTATATTTGTTTCACGTTTTAAACTTTTGGTATAGCATTTATAAATGTATTATATTCAGTATTAAATACAGTCCATGCTATAAATTCATCAGGGTAAATAAATAATACAAAGATAAAATATGCCTCTTTTTCTTTCGCCTTATTACATACTGAGAATGTTCTCCTCTTTTTTCCTTCTTGAGAGGAAGTGGAAAAGAGGCGTAACTCCGCAAAATGGAAGTGACGGCATGTAACCTATTCATGTTTCATATTATATATATATATATATATATATATATATACACATACTTTATATGCCTATGTATATTTACAAACCTCCCCCAAAAAAAAAAAAAAAAAAAAAAAATAGAATAAAACAAAATAAAAAGCAATTTCCTTAAAAAATGGAGAAATAGAGCAGGGGAATTGTAACATATGGGAATGCTTTTTCAGAGCAACATAATTACAAAAATAATTATTCATGAATAGAAACGGACATATCATAACGATGGAGGATGTGAGCCAAAAATTGTGTTCGCACTACACAATTGTTTACTTTGGTTCCTCCTACTTATTAAGTAAGTGCTTCTCATTTAACCTTTCATGTACGAGTAGCACAGTGGATAAAGAATTATATATATTTACAATTTATCATGCCGTATGAATTATTTTTATTTATTCCCTTTTTAATCCCATTGAAAACTGAGGCGAGTTTTTTTTCTCTTTTCATTTTTATTTTGTTTTTTTTTTTAATTTTTTAGCTTTCACTTAATATCCAAATTTTACGTTAAAAAAAAAAAAAAATAAAAAAATAAAAATAATCCTTTTCAATTTTTTAAAATATTAAACATATAAATGCGAGGAAGAGGAACCTATTGATTTTACATTTTCTTCCGCCTTCTGTTTGTTTTTTATACTTGTTGTTTTTTATGCTTGTTGTTTTTTATGCTTGTTTTTTTTTATGCTTGCTGTTTTTTATGCTTGTTTTTTTTTATGCCTGTTTTTTTTTATTCCTGTTGTTTTTTATGCCTGTTGTTTTTTAATTCCTGCTGTTTTTTACGCCTGTTATTTTCTCTGCGCCCTTCTAACGAAGCTTGTTTTTTTTTTTTTCCATTTTCATTTTTTATGTTCCATTCACATTTACCGAGCTCAACACCACGAATCGATAAAATCCCCCACCTGTACAATCTATTATTCCTTTTATTTGGCTAGAAGTGGAAAAAGTCCCGGCACTCTTTTCCATGCAAATTTTATGTAATCAAAGGAAATTACAGAGAGAAACGTAAGAGGGTAGAAATCATATCCCCTGTATAAAAGCAATTAGCTAACTCAAAAGGACACCGCCGTGGGTAATATCAGATAACTATAGACGGAGAACATTTTACAATTTGAGAATTAGAGAATAAAAGAAAAACGTAAAGTGTTATACCAATTACAGTGCTTAGTTATTCTTACGAAGTTTCTTCACATGTAACACAGACAAAAAGGGTAGAAGAAAAAGAAGAAGAAGGAAAAAAAAAAAAGAAAAAAAGAAAAAGAAGGGAAAAGTGATTCGGAAATAACTAGCTGGGTGCTTGTGAAAACCCGTTTGCAGGAATAAATTTCCATACTATGGGTGATGGCAAAGCATGTGAGTACATTGATGGAATGAGACTAGCGGATTCTTATATGTGTATGTATTGGCATATATAAATGCATCACATATGGGTTCAAAAAAAAAAAAAAATAAAATAAAGTAAAAAAATAGGGTGATAAAATAAAGTAACAAAGTAACTAAATAGAGTAACAGGGTAACAAAGTAAACACCCATTCCCCCATATTTCAATTATATGCCACGAGGTATTTAAAGAAACGGGAGAAGAATATGCTCGGGTAATTTCATCGTTATATCCGACATAGTCATCTCAGACCATTCTGATCTAATCGATCAAACCGATTACACTCCAATTCCAGAATAATCACAAATGGTACTGGAGGATTTTAATACACTACCCCTAATAAAATCCATAAGAGAAGATAACTTTGAAAATGTTCTGAAGTTTCTTGAAACGAACTACAAAGAATATGAAGTTAATGCTAATGGAGAACACAATAATAAAATTGAAATCATTGATAAACAGACACAATCAACTCCTTTGTTTTATGTAACAGCAAGGAAAAATGATAATGAATCAGTAGAAATATGTAAATTACTTATTGAAAGATTTGCAATTTGTAATCCAGTCACCAAAGATTTAATGAAACAAACATGTTTATTTTATGCTGCTAGAGAAGGACATACAAGCTTATGTACATATTTAATTGATAAGGGTTGTAACCCAAATGATGCAGATAATTTTGGACAAACATGTTTATTTTATGCTTCAAGAGAAGGGAAAACGGAATGTGTTGAGGCCTTAATAAAAAAAGGTGCAAACCCAAATTTGTTAGATTTAAATAAACAAACCTGCCTCTTTTATGCATGTAGGGATGGTAGATTTGACACTGTCAAATGTTTGTTAGAAAACGGGGTTAATCCTTCTATTAAGGACGCGCAAAGACGAACAGCCTTAACATTTGCCAAAGGAAATGGACACAACAATATTATCAACTTACTCAAAAATGCGGGATCATCCAGTAAGTCCTAAAATGGAGACAGTTGCAAGTGAAATTATTTTTATGTTCTTGTTTTCTTTTTTGTCTTTTGATTTTGTACTTATTATGCCATGACTTTTTAGAAAAATTGATCGAATAGTTCATTTGTATTAAAGGGGGATAACGCGTCATGCATGACATGATTGCGAATTAAGATGTCCACTTATTACAATTTTTTTTTTTTTTTTTTCGCCCATGTCCGTTTCTTCTACTTCGTCATCTGCACTGACCCCTACTTCCTTTCATATATTTCAAAAATATGGTACTTTTCATTTCTATCTTCATTTTCTGTTCAAAGAAAACCCTGCAGGAACTCAAGGTGGGAAGGTGAAAAGCGAAAGTAACGAAACTCTGAATGATCAAGGGGATCCTAATAATAATAGTAAAATATGCATAACAAAAAAAAAAAAAAAAAATGAACGCAAACTCTGTACATATATATATTTATTCATATGCATATATATTACAACATACAAAGATTTAATTGAAATTTGGGCACGTGCATTAGGAGAATAATCCTTTCATTCTGAGTGATAAAATTGCCATCTTTTATTTTGTTCTTAACCTTTTTCTAAGTTGTTGTCTCTCGCAGAGATGATACCCCCATCCATTTAAAACAATTTTTTTTTTTTAATTTCTGTTACTTCTTCTCCTTTTCTCCAATCAGTGAATGCTCAGAGGAAGAAATACAAACTACAATATAAGCCACTGGAAGAAGAAGATCCAGACTTGTGGGTAGATGCACCATTAATAAAACTAAAAGAGTTTGAGAGAAAGTTCCCGGATATCGCTTTATGGCCAAAAAATGTGACAAGCATAGCTAACCAAGAAGTAAATCATGCAAATGATCCTTTCAATAAGCAGTGGTATACAGTGGCTAACCAAGTAATTCAAAGCTTAAGTAAATACGAAGGAGGACATATATTTGAAAAATTAGTAGATGCAAAAAAACAGAATTGTCCAGATTATTATGATGTTATTAAGAGCCCAATGTCCTTTAGTTGTGTAAAAGCGAAATTAAAGAAAGGTCAATATATGTGTCCAACTGAATTTGTTAAAGATGTGCAATTAATTTTTAATAATTGTAGTTTGTACAATACAGCAGGAACACTTGTTGCTATTACGGGAAAGAACATTGAAGCTTATTTCAACAATCAACTAATAGTGACAGGGTATAATAACTTTATTTCAAAAGCAAAGACAATAAATGAACGTTTGCAAAAAGTTGAAGAAGAAAATATTAAGTGGATTGAGGAACATGAACAAAAGGTTAAGGAAGAATCATTAGGTGAAGAGAACACTGATCAGCAGGTAGATGAAACAAACGCATGAGATTTTTGTATGATATACGTGTATGTACGTATTTGTTGAAAGGATCTACCTTTACAAGGAGATATTGTCGTGTGGACGTTTAATGAAGAGAAGTGGGAGACATAAAAAAATAAAATAAAAAAAAAGTAAAATATTAATAAAAAAATAAAAAAAATATAAAATATTAATAAAATAATAAAAAAACAATAAAAAAATAATAACCGAATAGTAACAAAATAGTAACAAAATAGTAACAAAATAAATAAAAAAAAAAAAAAAAATCTCAGCACTTTTTCGTACAAACGATGCAAAATGAACAGTGTCAATTCATATTTTCGTTCGAAACATATTTATCATCTATTGTGCGTCCCTACTCCGCTCATAACCAATTCATTCGGTTATTATGTCACTTGTTATAACGCCATACACATTGTGTATTCTATAGCTATACAATAGCATATCCTACAATATTCGTTCTTTTTTTCATGTCTTTATGACTTCGCCTTGCTTGGAGGCCATGTGCACGTTTCTTTACTTTTAATAAGTTTTCTACATTTATTTGAGAATTTGTAAATTTTTCAAGTTTTTACTTCACGAATAAAAAAAGAAAAAAAAAAGAAAAAATCCAATTCTTTAACTCATTTGTGTAGTTCTCAAAATCAAAGTAAATTAAAATGTTTCATTAATGTACTATGTTATGAAAAATTTTAATAAAATATGTTTGTGTAAACATATATTCCCAATGTTTTTTTTTTTTTTATTTAATTCAACACATACATGTTACATATGTAGATATGAAGATATATGAGCATAAAACAGTCTAATTGTTTTCATATCACTATGCTTATATATGTTTCTCATTTTACTTAAGTATAATAATCAATTTTTATCCATTTTCATTACTATTTTATTTTATTATACTTTTTACGACATTCCTTTTAACAGTATTTTTTTTTTTTTTTAACGATATTTTTTTTTAACAAGTTTTTTTTTTCTCTCCTTTTTTATAAAACATGAATATTATATGCAAAAGGATAACGTTGTAGAGTCTGCAAATAGCTGATTGAGATAGAAGGGGGAAATAGATGATGAGTTAATTTTTTTTCTTAAGCATTTTTTCCATTTTTCATTTCGCTACTCCCCAACCCAGCATTTATATATCTACCCATCTAAATGAGGACTCCTTTTTTCCTGTTCAGTTGGTTACAACACTTAATTTTGAAAGTATAATTATTTGTCTTATATGAGAAATAAAAAAAAACCCAGACTTGCATATCAACTACATATATGATAAAAAGTAATTTCATAAAGTTTTTTTTCGAGTTTATTTATGCAAACTTAATTTTACGTTGATCTTCACGGTAATTTTGTGTGTTCCCTATTTTTTACATTTAATGTTCAGGGAAAAAATGCACATTTTTTGAAGTGTAAAGACATTAAAAATTATTCAACGCAAATAAAATGTGCAAAATTGAAATACAGTCGTGGCAAGAGGTGGTGGAAAATGCTTGATAAACGTGTGAGGTACCATCGATAGTCAAAAGGGTATGCAAAAAATAGTTTCAAATGATGCATAAAATGTAATAAACGTTTTTTCATTTTTTTATTTTTTTTTATTGGTGTATAAATGCGAAATATTTGAAATTGTCATTTTTGTATTTGTCCTGTATACTGACACATCTTTAGCCCATTTCGCTTGTTCGCTGTGTGGGTATTACACATATGTGTATATATATATATATATATATATATATATTTTATTCTCTCGAATTTGTAATCTACTTCATAAAATGACAAATTTTGTTGCATTAATTAGCCTCTTGTGCCTTTTGTACACGTGGTTAAGCACATGTTCATTGCCTCTATTAAAAAATGGAGATGGTATTGGATTCTACGTCTCGTCACAAGTAGTAGACAAGGTGTAGAATTCCTCTCTACATTATGCAAATAAATATATTACCTCTCCTTGTGATCTTCTCATGTATTACTACGTCGCTCCACCAACACTATCCCACACACTAACGCACTCACACATTAACACTCATATATTAATACTCACACACACTAACACTATCACACACTAACACTATCACACACTAACACTATCACACACTAACACTATCACACACTAACACTATCACACACTAACACTATCACATACAAACACATAATACACAGGCCGTGCACCCCGTTCAACAGAGAAACCCAATTTTAATCAAATTGAACAAACAAGAGATTTTGTCTAAAAAAATATCAACATACTATGGTCAAATAAAAGTGGGAGAAGATTCCGAAAATGTAATAAATGTCTTATTTGATACAGGTTCTACAGAATTTTGGATCCCGTTCGAAAATTGTAAAGGTACTAATTTTACTACTTCTCACAATAAATACAAACGAACCAAATCTTTTAAAAATAAATTCAACAAAAAGGGTCTTCCAACATTGCTGGAGGTTAATTATCTGAGTGGGAAAATTACCGCATTTGATGGTAAGAAAATAATGTTACTCTCATAACGATGTTCTGTTGATTCTAATTTCGTAATGTTCTATCCATTATTACGACATAAAATGTATATATATATATATATATATATATATATATGCATTTTTTTTTTTTTTTTTATGCCTTATTCTGCTATCCCAACTATTTAGGTTATGACACAGTAAATCTAGGAAGGAACCTGATTGTTCCAAATACAAATATTGCCTTCGCTGTATGTGGGGGGGAAAAAAAAAAAAAAATGTTGCTTCTACGTTATCTATTCATCATAATTATCTACTAAGCACTTGAACAATGATCATATATTATGAAGAAAAAAATAAATTTGCTATAGAAAAACTTTTTTGCATCCATGAATTTCACAGACAAATATAGAAATACCCGTTTTACAAGAATTTAAGTGGGTAACATTACATGGAAAAGGGAAACCAACTTTTTCATACATGCATACGTACATACATAGGCAATCCTAGAAAATTTGCACATTTATCATCGCCACGTTGCACTTATTTAATTGTTTCTTTTACTATTTCTTGTTTTCTCACTTGATTGTGCCAATCAGGATGGCATTTTAGGTCTTGGATTTGAGAATGCGGATTCGAGACAGCGTGGAATGAAGACATTGTTAGTTATATTTTTTTTTAAATTTAGGGAGTGAGGATTACGAGTATGGATGGCGTAGAGTTCATTGCACGAGAAAAAGAGCGAATGTATGATATCTTACGAATAACTGATTATGTGAATATATAAATGAAAAGCCATCTACTTAACACATTTCCAGTTTGGACCATTTGAAAGATGAAAATATTTTAACACATATGGGTTATAAAAATCAGTTTGGTTATTACCTATCCGATCAAGGTATGATCTACTATCTTATTTCCTGAACCATTGTGTGCATATTTGTGTTGTTGAGCTATTAATTAACTCGATAAGTGGATGTGATTCCCCATTCTTTATGGAGTTAAATCACGTGGCCCCTTCATGTCACGTCTATTATTATTGGTGTGTGGAATAACTTCTTATCAATTGATACCCACTTTTTTTCAGGGGGATTTGTCACCTTTGGAGGTGTGGATAACCGGCTAAAGAGATCACTGGATGAAGAAATCATGTAATGGATGTCTATTTAAATTATTTCCTCTTTTCTAGTTTGGAAATTGTTGTGTAGGAGCGCATTCAGCACTTGAGGTACTTGTTTTTTTGCTTTTTTTTTTTTTTTTTTTTTTTTTTTTAATTTGTTTTTCTCATTTTTTTTGACCGATTTAGATGGAGCCCCGTTTCAACCGAGATGGGTTTTTGGACAAGTGAGAATAAGCAAAAGCATGATGGAAAAACTCTTGAATGAATTTTTTTCTCAGTCCCATAACAAGTGTCCATACGTAAAAGGGATAGACATGAATATCTATACATGGGCATATGGATATATAGATTCACATTTATTTATAACTGCTTTATAACGATGATTGGTTTATTACGATCCTTTTCCTTATCACTTCTAGTTGACATTATTGGAATCAGGAAAGAACATATGCCATACCCTAGTACAGAGAGAGACTATGAAAAAGATATCGTAGTAAAGTACGAAGGTTTTCATGATGGAGGGAAAAAGTCCATTGTTGATACAGGGACATTTCTAATATATGCCCCGAAAAAAACTATGCAAAATTATTTAAGCGATTTGGTGATAAATTCATGTGAAGACAAAGATAAACTCCCTCATATAATATTTCAAATAAAATCGAAAGAAATGGAAAGAGTAAAAGGTTTGGCCATAATAGAATTGGTATTATCACCAAATGATTACGTTATTGAATATGTAGACGAAAAAAACTGGACAAGAGAATGTATCATAGGCATTCAATCAGATGAACAAAATGACGAAAGTCATATTGATGGATGGACATTAGGACAAATATTTATCAAATCTTATTATACCATTTTTGATAAAGATAATTTGCAAATAGGTTTTGTCAGAAGTAAGCAAGAGGAAAAAAAAAGTACTAAAATGAATGATCATTTGAAAAGGTCTTTTCTCACGTTAAGGTCAAAAAAAGGAAATAATAAGAATAGAAGGGATTCTTACAACGGACCTCTATGAGAACAAGGAGGTATGTTCAATATTTGGGGGGAGGGATGGAGGAGAGAGCTCAGATAATGTAGTTTTTTACCCTTGAACTGGTGGAATTTCCTAAACGCGTAATCATGTTTCGATTTGCAAATTATGTGAAAACAGAAATATGAACATTAATCTATACAAAACAGAAGTATATGTTCTCTTGCCATGCTTGTGAATGAGAAATTTTCTTCATAAAAATGTCTTCTTATTGTATATATATATACAGGTATTTTTTTTTTTTTTTTTTTTCATATTTTAGCAACGAAAAGAGTAAAGGAGGTGTGTATGTGCACGGATAACTGCCATTATAGAATGCTAAAGTCTTTTTGTTTTGCTTTTTCTCCTCTTCTTCGTCTTACTCTCCTCAACAATATCCTGTAACTATTTTACAAATATTTCATAAAAAATAAAAAAGCAGTGTAATGATTTGTCATTTTTTTGAAAAAAAAAAAAAAAAATGCACTAAAAAAATTCTATCACATAGACATTTTACACACGTAACCCCACATGTGTATATCTATTCGCTCCTGCATTCATATGTTTGCAACAACAAGAAATATAAAAAGGGAAGCACTATTGTTAATTTTCTAAGTTTACCATTAGCAAAACAGTATCAATAGAAAAAGTTTGAAAAAAAAAATTTTTTAATTCACGGAAAAGTTCATGCTGTATATACATAGGATTAAAACGTACGTGTATGCTTAAATGTGTACCTGTCAACATACACGAGCATTTCTATGTAATCACAAATATATTGCATCAATGTGTAAATAAAAAATTATGCAAAGGCTACTAAAGTTAAATTTATTGTACAGTGCATTATTTATATATAAAGTCTAAATATCTTAACAATGGAATATATTATTTAAAAAAAAAAAAAAAAAAAAAAAAAAAAAAAGGGAAAATAATTTTTTTTTTCTTTTTTCATTGTAATATTATCCTCACCATCCCCAATCCAAAGACACACGCACCCTTTATGTTCTCATAAACAGGAGTTTACAAATAAAAAAATTTTCATACTTGTGAATTATGAACGCATTCAGGATTTATAAAATTGGCAGCTAGATCAAAGGGGATTATTGGGGTAGGGGAGTGGAGAAAGAGTAGGTGTATAGTATAGGGGGATTGGGGGGAAATGCATTGGGGTTAATAAAAATAAATTTAATGCTATTTATAATTGATTATAAATGTATAAAAAATTTCCTCCTTATATAATTCCACATTTCTTTCTGCATTCATCAAAATGGGATAAACATGGGTGAATGTGAGTGTGTGGGGGGTTGTACATATGTATATAGACATATGACAGGTGGTGGATAGTGATGATGGCTGTGCATGCACACATGTAAAGCAAACGAAGTATAGTATCTGTGCATATGAGTATACCTACATATATGCATCTACACATAGTATGTACAATATGCACACAGTTGTATCAGATGTTCCTGCCTTCCCCTCTTTCTTTGAAAGGTTTATATTTTACAAATAAAGTATACACACACAAAAAAAAAAAAAAAAAAAAAAAAAGGAAGAAAAAAAAGGAAGAAAAAAAAGGAAGAAAAAAAAAGGAAGAAAAAAAAAGGAAGAAAAAAAAGGAAGAAAAAAAAAGAAATGCAGAAATTGAAATAAAAAAGTTATAAAGTAATAAGAGCAAATATATATATATATACATGCTCCATCATAAGTTATCCAAGTCAATGTCTTGATCTTCTTGGTCGACATATGAAAGTTCACTGATCGGTGATACATTTCCATTCATATTAGACGAATTTTTTTCTTTCTTTTGTCTTTCCCATAGATCTTTGCTTGCGTACAACTTGACATATTCTTTGAAATGAAAAAAAAGTGGAAGGTTCATGTGGAGAGTTATAAATTGCCACACCTAAATTGGATCCTCTCAAATAACTACTACTCTCAAATGCAAATTTTTTGAATTCGCAAAAAAAAAAATTGTCTTCTCGTTTCCAACTGCTGGTGGATTTTTGCGATTAAATATAATTCTATTTCTTTTTATTTAAATAAAGGGGTGTGTCAAATCATTGTCATTTGGACAAACTGGGCACTTTTAACATATAGTATGAAACAAAGTAAACCTTAAAATATGCATAATGACATACCTTTCACTTTCTCTTCGTATATGTTTTTGTCTTTCATAAGCAGAGATGCTGCGTCACTATTCAGGGGGTCGGACGGATTTGGATATGTCAGCAGCTGTGGTAGGAAAACTTCGAAAACGTTCACAAGACCTGGGGGCACGTGCAGAGGTAATGATAATAATAGTAGTGGTAGTGATGATGGTGGATTCATGTATAAGTTCTTAGTCCTATCAAGCACAAATAATTTGATGAATGGGGTGTTGTAAGTATGCTAACGTATGCACACGCCAATTTCGTCTCGTCTATGTGTTTTATTTCCTTTCTTCATTTATTCATTCATTCCTTTCTTTTTTTTTTTTTTTTTTTTACTGTATAATGGAGTCCATGTTTGGTTAATCACATCAAGGCACACGGATCCTGAAGCTTCGTCCACATTTGGATGTAGGAGTTTGTTGATAAACCCAATCGAGGGGGAGGCAAACGGATAATCATCGGGTAATGTCACATGTACTTTCCATATCCCTCCTTCGTAGGCAGCTAATTTGGAAAAAAATGATATCGATATTTTTCATATAATATGCTAATAAAAACGAATATAGATTCTGCCATATGTTGACTAGGTTGGTTCGACATGAACTTACACACAGATATGTATGTGTGTATACATACACAAAAGAATGCATATATGCGATGCAGCGTTGCGAACAATTTCATATTATCATTCCTTACTTCCATTCGGCCCATGGAACATCACATCGAAGTCCTGTGTACTTCCATTGTTCAGCTCCAAGTCGTACCCAGCCATAATACTAGGATGAAAAAGAAAACAAAAAGAAGAACATCAGATGAATCGTTATAGCAATGCACACCTAAATATAAACATATGTATATACAAATTTTCACACACATATGTAGGCACTATATTATCCTTTTTGCAACTTACAGCTTGGTGAAATCACATTGCTTTCTTGTCAGAGATGCTTGTTGATTCATTGTGTACTTTTGTATGTTATTTTTATTTTATTTTTTTTTTTTCCAAGTTTCCCTTTTCAATTGTTCCTTTTCCCTTCTGATGTCTTTATCCTTGCCACAATGTGGACTTAAGATATGTAGAGTAAGCACTTGTAACTAGGTAGGTCTTCCTATTTATGCTATTCTGCATAAATATTTAATGTTTAAAAAATGCTATTAATTAGATGTTTCTATTTTTCCTATCAGTGTTTTTTGTGTTTCCTTGGGTTGAAATAATGAAATTACACCCTTTATCAATGATAATGGAAATATTCCTTTTTTTTTTTTTTTTTTTTCCTTTTTTCCTCTCAGTTATTAACCTATATTTATCTGATTTGAAATCTTCAAAAGGGGAAAAGTCAAAATTATCAGAGGACTACAAAAAGGTGTGAAAAAAAGCGTCATTAAGGAGATATTATGTTGGGAGTGAGTAGGCAATATTATGTAGGAATTTAAATGATGCTGCTACACTATCATTTTGTGATTATGTGGGAATGGTGCATAAGCATGCGTGTATTGATTTATATACATATGTATTACAGCGCGTGTATACATATATGTGTGCATGCTGCGTGTTAAAAAATCACATGTACCACTTTTTTATGATTAACTACAGTGAAATAATATTGACAATATTAAATTACTTTCCTATTTCTCACCTTTTTTGTGTCACCTTTTTTGTGCCACCTTTTTTGTGTTACCTTTTTTGTGTCACCTTTTTTGTGTCACCTTTTTTGTGTTACCTTTTTTGTGTTACCTTTTTTGTGTAGCTTTTTTTTTTTTTTTTTTTTTGGTTCTTTTTATGTACATATATTAGTTCTTCAAATGTACCTTTTTTTTTTTTTTTTTTTTTTTTTTTTTTTTTTCTTTTTTTTTTTTTTTTTTTTTTTTTTTTTTTTTTTTTTTTTTTTTTTTTTTTTTTTTTTTTTTTTTTTTTTTTTTTTGGTTCTTTTTATGTACATATATTAGTTCTTCAAATGTTCCTTTTTTTTTTTTTTTCTTTTTGGTTCTATTTATGTGCCTCTTTTATTGGTTCCTTTATGAGCCTTTTATGGCTCTCCCCTATATACCTCCCTTTTCCACTTGACCTGACTGATTGTTCTTTTTTTATTATTGTTGTACTCTTTTAGAGAAAATTTGCTACAGGCGTGAAAAAGCTTAATTGAGAAACTCAGGTGTCATGACACTGGTTGCGCTTGTGCACAAAAAAAAAAAAAGGAAAAAAAAAGAAATAAGAAATAACTAACTAAATAAAATTATTTATTCAATGTTTTCATTCAACTAATGTGGAAACAAACATATGTGACTATTTCCATAGGTATGCTTGATAACTGAAGAGGGAGTAGAAACCGATATGGACGGATGGGGCTATGTTTCAAGTATTGTCTTTTAATAAAGGCTTTATATATAGGTTGAAAAGAAAATGGGTTTGCATGCATTAGGGTATATTAGCATAGCTTCATATGGGCTTCTTTTCTCATGTTTAATTGTTCTGAAGTTTTGAGAAACTGATCTCAAGGTCTCTTATATATGTTGTACTGACAGTGTTCCAATTGGACCTTTTCGATGTACCACCTTTTTCCTTTGTAAAATCTGGTAAAGTTGTGTATGCGACGTTATGTGGAGAGGCATAGAAGAACAAAAAAAATAAACTAAAATAAAAATAAATAAAATAAATAAGGTAAAAATAAGTAAGGTAAAAATAAATAAAGTAAAAATAAATGAATAAATAAATAACAGGCTAAGCAAATATATACATTTCTTATGCCATCTGAACAACTTCTATAGGCGTACTTTTTCTCCTCTTAAATTGAGCAAAAGGGGGATATGAAGTTGTGCCAAATTAGTTAAACATTGTTATAAGGACAACTTGGCAAACTTTCCAACTGATCACATTTGCATGAGATAGTATATTCATATACGATATAAATGCACATAATGTTTTTCATGCATGTAATATTATATACATGCGTAATGCATAGATATGCAAACTACATGTGTACTTAACGCATACATTTTATGCATGCCCCCTCAAAAAAAAAAAAAGAAAAAAAAAATTGAGCAAAATAAAAGCAAAGCAGTAAATATAAAGAAACATATATTATTTAAATGTACTTCACAAATAAATAAAAATACAGCTTTTTTTACAAAAATTATTTTAAACTAAGAACTCTGAGTTTACATAAGTATTAAAGTCTTGAGTGAGGGTTAATGAGAGCATGGGGTAATATTACAGCTTCAAATTGTCGATATGGAAATGCAATTTGGACATACAGTGTGTGCATATGAAAGTGTATGCACGTGTGTACACACGATATGTATACACATATGTATATATTCGTTTCAATGTATGTATTAATATGTGCACATATGTAATCGTCGTATGTATATAGTAATGGTTAAGGAAGAAAAAAAAAAAAAAAAAAAAAAAGCCCTAAAGTAGGCGTGCCCCTCCCAATGAGCTATTTTATTAAATATTTTTTCCAAAAAAAAAAAAAAAAAAAAAATCCACAGAGTAATACAAATGAAAAGTAATCTTTTACGAAATATTCATGTGTAAAATTGCTGATGGTGGATTTATATAAGCTCTTCGTGAGAGATATGGTATTTGTATGACACATATATACAAGGAAATATGCGATGTCCACATTCGACTTTGAAAAAAATAATTAGAACTTTCGAGAAGGATTAACCACAGTAGACAATGCATTATTCAAAAAAGAAGAAAATAAAATAAAATTTAAGCAGGTGCACTGATAAGCTCTATGTGATGAACATGCAATGGGCAGACACACATAATTTGAAGTAAAAATGCTACATAAAAAAAAAAAAAAAATATCGTGGACTCATTAAGCTACATTTAGTAGCACAATCATATACATTAATTACGAGGTGATATTATATGTCCCAATTCGTATATTTTTGTGCGAAATTTATATGTATTTATGTACATATGTTTACGCGAACATTTGCACAAGTCTTTTTTTTTTTTTTTTTTTTTTTGACAAATAAAAAAAGAGCTCATAGCACAGAGCATTTCTCGCAGCTTGAAAATAAAAATTATTTAATTTGACAAAAGTGGAATGCGAGTTATCAATGTAACCACGCAAGAATCATGTGATTCACCCAATCTGTAACATTGGCGCAATAAACAATTTGGACAGGGATGCACTAAAAAATGCTCGCTTACACGAAAATGGATCAGAGCTATCATACATGTAATATATATAAGACTAAACCATCACAAATATCATTCGTGCTTTGTCTGTAATCAGTTCACTGATCCATACTCCTCCTTTTCAATGGTATCGATGTGTGAGAATTAAAACGTTGGCATATTTGGTATGTAAAAAAAGTAAATAATAAAATAGATAAGTGATAAAATAGGTAAGTGAAAAAATAGATAAGTTATAAAACAGGTAAGTGATAAATTAGATAAATGATAAAATAGGTAAGTGAAAAAATAGATAAGTTATAAAACAGGTAAGTGATAAATTAGATAAATGATAAAATAGGTAAGTGATAAAATAAAATAAGTGAAATAAAATGTAAAAAATTAAGTGTAGTGCAGTGAAATTAAAATAATGCTTTTTCCTATTCATTCACACATTTTAATTGGGCTTTCATGTATATAATTATCCCCATTTCAAAGGGTAAGCATTTCTTTCATATAATTTTTGCAACTCACGTTATTACGATTTCAAAAAAAAGAAAAAGAAAACATTTAGCACTGTTCTTTTAAAGGTTTCTGTTCTTGAAGTTTTAATAGGCAATCCTGGTTAATTTTTTTTTTTTTTCCCCATTGGTATTAATAGTGGATACACACAAAGTTAATAGAATCCCCACCCCATAAAAAAAAAAAAAAAAAAAAAAAGACGAAGAAGAAGAAGAAAAATGAACAGATAATAGCCCGAACAAAGGTAAAAATATTATATATTAAACTACATTTTCTTTATACCCATTGTAAAAATGTATAACAAAAAAAAACTAAAATAAAAATACAAAGTGTGAACCAGCATGTGTGAATCACAAAATATTATGATGAACCTTCGATTTGGAGGAGAAATTAACACCAGCGTGTTTTTCACAAGGGTGTCTTCTTTTAATTATTCTATTCTGTTTTTATAATTACCAACTGGATTGGATATGAAGATATGTTAAGTGCTTAATTCCATGGTTATCCTTTCTACTGTATATTTCCCACTTCTATCGATTCCAACCAGTTGGTATGTTTCCCTTTTTTTTTTTTTTTTTTTTTTTTTTTTTTTTTTTTTTTTGACTGATAAAAATGGACGAATATCCAAACAAGGAAGAAACAATTGGTAATAAATTGATAATCCATTTTGTCTTCATTTTAGAAAATAGACTAAGGTATGCTATCCTATATGTACGATTATTAAGACAAGATGGACCATATTTTGATTTATTTTGTTTTGATCCTTTTTGACTAGCATATGATAAGAGAAATGAAAGGGGTAACATTTCGCGATAGGCCTCAAAGTATCAAATGATGACATGTCAAACTAAACGTTACCATGATTAGCATATTCTTTCGATGTGGACAATCATTTTTATGGTGTGAATAAAAAGCACTTGTTTATGGGAGTGTAAACCATAATCATCACTATTATCCTACATCCCTAAGTAGACCCAAAAAAAAGAAAAAAAAAAAAAAAAAAAATTGTTCAATGGGAGGCAATAATCATAACAAAAAAGATAATAGTCAGATATATTATGCGAGGTTTGAAGCGACCTCACATGTGTATAGAATATCCCAATTCACAATAGAACTTCACGTCGAGAAGGAACGACCTATATCGTTGAGTTCCTGAACAAAATTCTCTGGACGAACAAAGTCAGTAGTGCCATATATAATTTTTTTGTTCATTCTTTCCTCCAAATCTTTCAAAGCAGAAACTTCAATATAGTTCCCACCTCCTATGACAAAAATGATATAATCTTTTACATGCTCCTGCCTAATGTAACTTTTTTCTGTAAAGTTATTAGTATGGTTATTACTATTGATACTGTTATTATCGCTGGGTGGAAATTTGGGGTCAATATATACAAACTGGTCATTCAAAGAGGAAGGTTTGTTTTCGATCAATGTTTCAACAAGCTTGGTTATTTTAATCTCTCTTCTTTTAGGCAATAAATTTTTAGCACCCTGTAATATATTTATACCCTTATCGATAAAAATGTTGCTGTATGTATTTAATTGGTCTTTAAATGTTGTTGTCGTAGCGCTGTTCGAAGGCGTTAATGGATTATTCACATGGATATGTATGTTCATTGTTTTGAATTTTTCTAGCTGATTTATAAAATAAAGAGATGATATATCTATGTTCATATTTTTTAACTCCTGCATAAATGTATCCATTGTTTGTTTGTTCATATTTTTTTTGGCTAAATATAAACATAAAAATGCTCTATATTTATCCATGAGATTTCCTTTTGATGAGCTCAGAATATTCTTCATATGTTGTATACATATTTTTTCATTACAACTTTCAAAATCGAATTCGTTTTCGTAAAACTTATCTAATTCTCTCTCCTTTATTTCTTTTATCAGTTCTGTCAGTATGTTTGTGTGCATATCCAAAAGTCTCTTATGTTCTGTCATTTCGGGTAATATGTTCATGGCTGACATAAGTCCTCCAGTGATGTTATCTCCACTGGGATTATTATTTCCCCCTATAACACCATTCGCACCTTTCTCGTTTTTATTCAAATTTTTCATCTTCTCGTTGTACTCATTTAGGCACTCACTGATGTTATTTGCAACTTCAGGGAATGGCTTATTGCAATTGGTTAAGAAGAACGAATCGTTATTATCAATATCGTAGTATTTGACATTCGAATGTTGTGTTCCATTTACTTTACTTGAACTATTTAAGCTACTTTCTACAGTCTGATGCATATTTATCTTGTTAAGCTTTATATCGAAGACGTCATGGATTAGGGCCTGATAGGTCCATGCATGCTGCACCATGACACTCAAATCAACTTCCCTGTCTGCCAAAATTAACACGGGTCTCTGCACCGTTTTGGAATTAAAAACATAGTTATTAGTAGACCTTAAATTTATTAGTTCGTAAATTTTTTTATGTAACTTTTCAGCAATAGTTTTTGATGGATTAGAAGAATTTGAAGAAACTCTAATGATAGGAATAATCCCTAAGGTAACTAAAAATGAAATAAGACCTTCGGTTATTCTGTCCATAGCATCTTGGATTATTTTATCGCTAGTTGCATGTAAAATACTAAAGCAGTTGGGAATGTTTAAAGAAAACGTATTACTTGATAAACTAACAAATTTTATATATCTATCCGTAATTTTAGAAACATAAGAAGCTATATTATTTTTTACACATTCATTTGCAAAATATGTTAAATTTTCTTCGCACACATACGATAAAAAATTGATATAATAACTTCCATACATGTTGCTTGCCATATCTTTTACAACTTTATCAATATTTTCTTTATTATTATCAATTAGGTATACTGCATTCACTTCTGGAATGGTACTTCTCTGCCTATGTAAATTCAAATTTAATGTAACTCCATGATGCCTTAAATTTCCAACCTTAAGTAATGGAGCCAATATATTCTGACCTTCCGTATCATATATTAGTATTTTCCATATTTTGTCATGAGAATAGTACAAGATATTGCCACTGCTGTTCAGATTATCATTGTACTCGTTCAAATTTAACATATTGATAGCGCTGTTTTTTTGTTGTTCTTGAATATTCAGAGTCATTTTGTCTCGTCTGGGTACAGGTACTACAAGTCGTGTTTTGGGGGGAGGAAGGGGGGGGGGGGGGGATGAACAATTTTTCCCGTTTGTAGGAGGACCTTACTTCTCCTGCATTTGAGACAGTCCCTACTCTCTATGCCATAAGATGTGGTTGTGTACGTCGCACAGGTGCCGTAAAATGAAACCTGCACACGTTGGAGTTGACAAAGATAGTGGCATGTGAACCTGAAGAAGTTTGAGCTTCATACTTAGGACCATGCAGTGGTATGGAAGTTTGAAGGAACCCTTAAGATAAAATAGTAAATACGCGAAGAAGTTAGTACATAAAGAGACCCACTGAAGAATTGATTAAATGTCCAGCAGACGAGTAACCACGTAAGCATAAACTTGCATCCTTCTTAACCAATCCCTTTTCACGATACGCCAGTTTCAAAATTTATACAATTTGGAAAGTTGGTTTATCTGGGTTTGGAGATACATTATTGTTGATTTCTGCTTTTTTTTTTTTTTTTTTTTTTTTTTCTTAAATTATTTCCAATTATTAAGCCTTCGTTTTGCTTTACATAAAGGGGGTAGTAACTCCCCTATTTATAATAACTCCTAATTCTGTTATTGTTATTTATTTATTTTATTTTTTTTTTTTTTTATATTTCTTATTTTACTATTCCTTTCGTTTTATGCTACCTTTCAAGCTTGCAAAATTGTGCGAACAATTTGCAAGTGGATTGCAAACTATTTCGCCCTTTTTTCAGGTTTGCCCAATGTTTTAGGTTTTCATACTATTCTAATTTGCACAAGAGCTCCTTTTTTTTTTTTTTTTTTTTTTTTTTTACACCTTTCCTATGGGTTTTATTTTTATGAGCCCATATTTTGTGATTTTGCCGGTTCTCTTTTTCGTGCCTTTTAGTTAAGATGGATTTTTTTATTTGTCCCACCAATTTTCGTTTCTCCTCGGTTACAATTTTTTGATTATGTTGCAATATTTCTTATACTTAATCGTACTTGCATATATAATTTTTTTTTTTTTTTTTTTATAATTTTTTATGGGTTTTAAAGCATGCGCATGAAAAAAACAAGTTCATATACGTTTAGCAGCGTGTGTGGATCCAGCACATAAACATATGCATGAAGATGGATAAACATGAATGAGAAAAAATAAATATAAGTGAACTCACATAAATATACATACACGTAAATATATATAAAAGCTTAACTTACTCACAAATAGAGAATATAGGGGATTTCCCACCCATGGAGCCCTAAATCATGTATTGCAGGCACATGAGAACATTTGTGTGCCTTATGAGTACTAGACATTACCCCTTCTTTGCAAAGAAGAATGTATCTCTAGATAACCTACAGTTCGTCTTTTTTTTCGACACCTTTTGTGTAGTCCTTCAGGGTGATTTCATAATACATCTTTCCAATGCCACCTACAGGGATACCAACTCGTCTACAGTAGTAGAAAAGGGTATATGCACGATGTAAGAGCGTATGTATATTCTCTATATGAAACTAAATTGTAATGTACGCACTGACTTCTTTTTAAGGAAAAGGTGTAATCTTGCTATACCGTAACTCTCCAACGCACATTCCGCGTAAACCCTCATTTAAGGGAGAAATGTTGTGCTCGCCGACCTTTCAAGAGTTGTTTTGTATGATTCGACAAATGAACATAAATATTGAAAAAAATAAAATAAAAAACAAACTCACAAAAGAACGAACGAACGGAAGGGCGAATGAACAGACGGGCGAATGAACAAACGGATGAGTGAACAGACGGATGAATGAAGGAGCGAAATATTATTAAATGATGTGCATCGATAAATATAAAGACACTCAAGTAAGCATCCAATTCAGTAGAAGAAATATAGGATTTAAACTTTTGCATAAATACATTCATATTAACTTACTATAAATGTCTGCTGGGCATAACCAAATTGATAATCCTGCGAAAGTTGAAACAAGTGAAATAGTTGCATGAGCAGGTTTTAGCAACGACACAAAAGTGAACGTTTTTGCGTGTTTATACTGCACATGCAAATGGTTAAAGTGTGCACTTTTATATGTACTACCGATAGTATGTGAGGCATTATATTAACCCCTGGGGCTAGGTATAACCGTTTCCATCACAGTAATAAGATAAAAAAAAAAAAAAAAAAAAAAAAGGAAAAAAAAAAGGGAGTATAGGAATAATCGAATGAAGAAGTTAACAAATCCGATGATCAACGAGGGTGCTTACAGAATGTTCTCATTTCTATTTCGGCTGTATCCCGAATTTCTAAACCACACCTCAATTTAGACCCTTTCAAGATACGAATGCTGAATTTGTTTTTTATTTCGTATTCATCCAGATCTATGTGCAATTCATCATCCGATTTTGCGACAGACAAAATGTAGAAAACGAAAAAACAAAAGAATAAAAGCTTCATCTTTTCTTGTGTAATATATATACGCCTGTATGTGCACACAAGTGTGGTAGGGTAAACAGAAGTACACATATGCACATGTATATTCTTAGTTGTGCACAGTCTACATACGTAATGTTATTATTTTATTATTTTTTTTTTTTTAGGACCATGCTACATGAAATTTTATGTTTTAGATTAAAGCATGTTTTATAAATATTGAATGTGCTCTTGACATTTGCTTCAGTGTGATATGTCAGATTTTATCTCTGTACAGCATAAAGTATTTTTTTTTTTTTTTTGCATAAGTATATATATGTATATATGTGCGTACATATATATAGTTCACGTTTTTAGCACACCACAGTGGCTATTTTTTTTTTTTTTTTCTTGAATGGAAAAGCAAACATGCTTTCCATGTATCCACAGGCATCAGCATAAGTATATATAATTTTACGTATACCCATTTGCACCTTTGCTTGTTCATAATTTTTTGAGGCAAACGTGCATCAGTATCACACACATTTATTATTTTATTTTTTTTTTTTTTGATTATACAAATTGGCTTATAAAATAGAAAATCATGCCTCCCCGCCAAATTTTTATACAACTTTTTTCATAAATGAGAATTATTGTTTTCTTCATTTTTTTTTCCCTAATCAAATGTGTTATATGTGGTAAAAAAATCCCAAACGTTGCAAATAATTCAGGAATATATTTAAGACACCGAAGAAGCAAGAACATGATTAGAATAGCACAGAAAAGTTATATGTGTATGAATGATATAAATTTATCGAGAAAAGGAAACAATAATGTGATAACATGTAGTAGTTTTAGGAATAATATTATTATGAATAAAAATTACCTCAAAGAATGCTTTATTAGGAATTATGAAAAAAAAGTGCGTATACTAAATTTCAGATATTTCAATAAATTATGGGCGAAAAAAAAAGGAGTGGGGAGTACAAAAAATGGAAGAGATAGTAACCCCAAAAATTTAGGGGTAAAAGTATTAGGAAATAATTTTGCTCATGCTGGTAACATTATAGTTAGGCAAAGAGGAAGAACCTTTAAACCTGGTTATGGGGTCAAGCAAGGAAGAGATTTTACACTAGTTGCTACTAAACCAGGGAAGGTCCATTTTTTTAACCGTGTTGTAAGTATTATAGATGTTAGTAACCCGAAGCCAATGACATATAAGGATGTTTACCAAGAAGACCCAACTATCTTAACTTTGTCAAGGGTGTGGACTTCACCTAAGTGAGAAAACCTTTTAGACATTACAAAGAAGATCACAAAGAAGTAGAAATAGAGTTCACAAAAGTCCAAAACATCCTGATCCATTAATATCAACACATTTTTATATACATGGAGAAGTACATATATGTATTTTATTCGACCTTTAAAAATTTTTTTTTTTTTTGTGAATAGATCAAAATTCGAATTTACCTTTGCACTTTTTGTAAAGCAAAAACGCACACAAATGTTTTTTACATCGATACAATCGAGTCCTTTTTGTGACTTATTTGTAATCAAGACAGTGTATTTTTTTAAACATTTTTTAAAACATAAATTGTGCCTTGTCTTATTAAGGAATTCATTTGTTGCTTTAAAAATGTACATGTGTTGGAATTATTTCTTTATGCAGAAAGGAGAGTGAAGGAAAACTTTAGGATACCTAACGAATTGATTAAAAGTGTCGCATTTTCTATTTGGCAACATGAGGTGTACACATTTCGAAAAATATAAACAACTCGTAATTTATTTTGTGTACAAAGTAGCTTGTTTTAAAAAAATGTGAACAATATGAATAATTTTAATTTTTTTTTTTTTTTTTTTGGGGGTGTGTGTGTATGCAGAATGACTTGTTTGTTTTAAAATGTATAGACAGTTTATAACTGATTTTTTCATACAAGTTGTGAAATTATCAATTTAAAGAAGAACGCATAATAAAGTGGCATAATTGCATTCTCTATAGTATGGAAACAAATACACTCATACTGTTTGAAGAACACGGTTAGTGTTACCTACATGAGTTAGAGAAAAAATCTGTGCTTACTATATTGTGGCTATTCATTCGTTTAAAATTGGCAAAAAAAAAAAAAAAAAAAAAAAAAAAAAAAAAAAAAAAAAAAGCTAGCTACTTTGCAGCTGGATAAATATAATAGGACATTGGGCCGTATATATACTTATGTAACTGCATGCGATTGAAAATATGTATCATTACAAAGATTGTATAAGAATTATTTTATTTTATTTTTTTTTTTTTATCAACAACGAGTTTTTGTCTATTTTTGAATAATTAAAAATATAGTTTTATCAAAAAAAAAAAAAAAAAAAAAAACAACAACAACAACAACAACAATAATAATAATAATAATAATAATAATAAGCTTTACATAGACATAATTCTCTTGCTGTATCCTTCGAGTGTGCAAGTTTCTTCATTTTATCACTTTGTAAAAGTTTGACCAATTTGGCAGCAATAAGGTGGGAAAATATATATATATCATTTTGTAGGAGTAGAATTCTTAATCGTGTGTATGTGAATATATTATCAAACAATTTACTGCGATACAAGGGCGAAACATCCGGTCGAGGTGACAACCACAATTCTTTCACAAACAGGAAACAAATTGAACTGATTCATTTTTTCCTTCCTCCAAAAAAAAGAAGAAAAAGAAATAGTAGCAACAAGGAAAAGAGACAAAATAGCAGCAAAGCAGGAACAACACCAAAGCAACAATAGCCACAATAATGTATAGGAACCACAGGACAAATCATGAATACGCTAGTCCCATGGTGATTAACGTAAACAGTAAACAAGTGAACCTTCCACCCATAAATTACAATAGATACACATCGAGGAATATGAATGTAAGTCCAATTTACAGTCAAAGTAATTTAAAATCAGGCGAACACTTGAAAAACCATGTGCAATATTACCTAAATGGAAATGATCCTGAAAGGACTCCTCTGAAATATAACACTTCGCAGAATATACCGTGGAGAACAGATGAAAGGCAGAAAACGATAAGTGTGTTTAACTTAACCAAACAGAGAGATCAAAAACAGACGGAGATTAACTCGATGCATGCAAAGCAGGAAGAAGTAAAGAAAATTGTAAGAAATTATGAAAATTCTATTCGAGTACCGACTAACTACAGTTCCAGCAATAGCACTAGGACAAAAGCATTTGACATACGCGCGATTGAATTTGCTAGGGAAGCACCTCCATTAAAAATGGATAAAAACAGAATTCATTTTCCTCAAGTAGAAAATAATCCAGTACCTATTCGTATTCAAAGAGAAACCAGCAATAATATAGATATATTAAACAAGGGAGAAGAATACAAAAATATGCACCATATGATAAGTAAAAGTAACAACTATGTGATGACACGAAAGAAAGAAAATATGACCGTGCCAAGTCAGATGAAAAAAAATGATTCTATGATAAGTAGTACATTTGGAAATTGTACATTATCGGAAAATATTAAAAATAAAAGTAAAATTTGGGGATCTACAGAATTCCAGCGGAATGATGACGAGAAGTTTAATAAAGGAGAAGCTCATAAGAATATAGAAAAAGTAATAGAACAAAAGGGAGAGAAGAAAAGTAACAAAACTGATGAAGAAATAAAAAACGATAAACTGAGAAATTTCACAAAGAAGAACAATGACTACAAGGCAGGTAAGGATAACATGAAGAAGGGGAAACTGTTTAGAGATGAAAAAAAAATATATTTGTCTTCACCTCATAATAATAAAAATGTGCAAAAAAATCAATTTCATAAAAAGCTAGTAACATATAAAAGCAACAGAGAAACCTTGCCTTGCAACCTTTCAATCGATTTAAAAAATGATTCATTAAACTTAAGCAAAGGGTTAAGGATTTTTCAACATATGATAGTTGTTGATAAAAACAGTGTACTAAAAATATGGAATGGATATGAATGGAAAAAAGTAGAAAATTATTTTCAATTTGTAATTAAAGCTAGATATGACAATGAGGGGCATATATGGTGCATTAACCATTCATATGAAATACTTAAAAGAATGAAAAATAAATTTAAAAACTTTGGAAATTTAGCTAATGAGGAAATTATGGATATAAGTTTTGATAAAAAAAATGTATTATGGTGTGTTAATCGTAAAGGAGAATTGCTCAAGTGGAATAGAACAAAATGGAATAAAATAAAATACACCGGGTTTCATAAATTAATAAGTTTAGCCTTTGATAGGACAGGGGATTTATGGGCAATCAATACAAAGAGGAATCTAGCAATATGGTGTGAAAAAGACAATTGTTGGAATGAAAAAATTGTAAAAGATGATTTAAAACTTTGTTCCTTAGATTTTGATAATAATGGACATATCTGGGTTATTTCAACTTCAGGGGCATTGTTAACCTATTCTCGTGGGAACTGGATGAACTTTGGGTATGTCTCTTTAGATCAGTTGATTTCTGTAGGGTTCAAGAAAATATGCAAGCAGTAATATAATATCATCACGGGGAAAGATGAATATCCAAGGGAAAAAGCAGTAGCCATGTCTATGCGTTGATGAAGTGTACTCTGTGAAAGGCGCGAATAATTAGGTTTTTTTTTTTTTTTCCTTCCCCCCCTCCCCCCCTTAAAAGTAGGAAAATTGGACAAATGGTTCATAATTTCCTCTTTTTATTATTTTTTTTATTGTCATGCATATGAAACGCATGAAGGCCTATCTGGGACTACTACTTCATTCCAGTTTTCATAAATATTCCACTGTATTGTATACGCCCTTTAACATTATAACCGTATGTGCATGTGACTGTGTTCTTTGTTATATGTATATAATTTTCCCCTGGAATTTACACAATTTACAGTTAAGATACATAATGAAAACTTGATTCTAATAATTAAATAAGTTTGTCTCTGTCGGCCAGTGGTAAAATGAAAAAAAAAAAAAAAAAATGTATAATCTGAATCTGTAGAACAATTAAACTTTTTCCATTTCAGTTTTATAATTCGTTGTGTTCGTTTAAAAATAAAGTAAATCGATGAGTTAAGAAATTGGAACAAATCGTTAATCCATTATGTCCCAGTGATTAATTCGTATGTTCTATTTTTTCCCTTTTACCTAGCTATATACACGTATTATGAGGTGTGCATGAATGCATACTAGTGTATGAAAAAAAAAATAAAATAAAAGCTGGGAAGTGGTTTTTACATTGCCAAATATGTAAACAAAGCAAAATTTATGAGTTAAAACATTTGAAAAATCATTACAAGTATTTTACAGTAATTACAAATAAAATGATGGGGTGGTTGACGTGGACAAAATAAATAATGTTTTGAAGTTGACCTATGGGGAAAAGTGTATTATTTTCCAGATATAAATTTTTGAGTAAAATAAGAAATGATGTCTAGAAAATATACACACCATCCCATATAGGTATACAAATTATAATATTTATATGTGTGAGTATAAATTGAAGTGCAAAAAACGTTGCAGTCAAAAAGACATTTCAGTAAACTCTCTTTACAGGGGGAATGTGCTCCATTTCTTCATCCAAGGGGTTCATAAAAACATCCCTGTAAGTTGTAAAAAATTTAGATTTTTCAACATCCCTCTCAGTCATCCATGTTAAAGAATGTTTTAAAAAATTTTTGTCATCTCGTTCAGGAAAATCATCCCTTGCATGTGCACCCCTTGACTCTTTTCGCTCTATGGCAGCTAATATAGTTTGAGAGGCTAATGTTAATAAATTTTCCAATTCCAATGTTTCCAACAAGTCTGTGTTCCATGTTAATGTTTTATCATTAACATACACATCGTTAAACTGTGAACATATATGAAGTATTTGTTTGTATCCTTCTTCTAAAAGAGGTCCGATTCTAAAAACAGCTGCGTGCCTTTGCATGCAAACTTGCATTTTTTTACGTATTTGTGCAGTTGAAATGTTTCCTTTATTAAACCTTATTTTATCTAATCGTTGTAAAGTTTCATCCCCTATATCTGCATGTGTGTTTATGGATGGAATATTAGGTTTGTCAATTTCCATGATGGTTAAAGCTGCTCTTTTTCCAAAGACGACAATATCTAGAAGTGAATTTGCTCCCAACCGATTCGCACCATGAACAGATGCAGAAGCTGCTTCTCCTGCTGCATACAGACCTTGAACAATAATGTCATCTTTTGAAATATTTATACCTTTTGATAAATTGACCTTTTGTGTTAGTACTTGAGTTTTGTAATTTGTTGGTATACCTCCCATGTTATAATGCACAGTTGGGAGAACCGGAATATATTGATTGGTGACATTGACTCCAGCAAATATTTTGGCCGTTTCCATTATACCTGGTAATCTTTCTTTTAATGTTTCATATGGTAGATGTGTTAAGTCTAGGTAAATATGATCTGCATTTGGACCACATCCTCTGCCTTCATTTATTTCTATAGTCATAGCTCGGCTGACTACATCCCGACTTGCCAAATCTTTTGCTTTTGGTGCATATCTCATCATAAATGCTTCTCCTTCTCTGTTTCTTAATATACCTCCTTCTCCTCTACAACCTTCAGTAATTAGACATCCTGCAGGATATATACCAGTAGGATGAAATTGCACAAATTCTAAGTCTTGTAAGGGAAGTTTACTCCTTGCAACAATTGCATTTCCATCTCCTGTACATGCATGTGCTGAGGTACAGGATAAATATGCTCTACCATAACCACCAGTAGCAATTACAGTATGGGGTGAGAAAAATCTATGAATTTTCCCATCAGCTATATTTATACAAATGACACCAATACAATGATGTGGACTAGCCATTAACAAATCTAATACAAAATATTCAACAAAAAAAACACAATTGTATGCTAATGATTGACCATACAAGGTATGCAACATTGCATGCCCTGTTCTGTCTGCAGCCGCTGCACATCTATATGCTTGTCCTCCTTTTCCAAATTTTAAACTTTGTCCTCCAAATGCTCTTTGATAAATTTTCCCATGTTTTGTTCTTGAAAATGGTAATCCAAATTCTTCTAATTCTAAAACAGATGCAGGAGCTTCTCTACACATGTACTGAATAGCATTTTGATCCCCTAACCAATCAGAACCTTTAATAGTATCATATGCATGCCATCTCCAATCATCTTCCGTCATATTCCCTAAGGCAGCATTTATGCCACCTTGTGCTGCTACAGTATGGGACCTTGTTGGAAATAATTTGCTTATGCATGCTACCTTGTAATTATTCTTAGACAATTCTAAAGCAGACCGTAATCCTGCTCCACCTGCACCAACTATTACCGCGTCATAGTGATGATCAACAATGTCGTATGCTTTTTTTTTCACATTTGAAAAATTGAAGCAATTCGAATACATAAATGGCAAGTAATGTTTAGGAATTTTTCTGAGCATTTTTCTGTGTATTTCTTATTTCTGGTAATGGGTACGGTATTTAAAAAAAAGAATAAAAATATATACATAAGCCCAATGGTGAGAAGGTCATCTGTGTATGTGTGTGTGTGTGTGTGAATGGATGGCTGTGCCACTGTGCATGTGCAAACTTGTTAGGTGTGTGGTGCACTATTCTCCTTCTATCAGATTTCTACACATGGAAATGTATACCCATGTTTCATTGGGGTTACATTATGATTCAAAATATGTGCCTTTTTTTTCATTGTTCAGTTGTACCAAATATTGTATTGCTATGAAATTTTGTGAAAAATATGATACGTGTAAAAGCTTCACACATGTGAAAGGTGAGATGATCAACTCAAATGAGTTGAGGAAAAAAAAAAAAAAAAAAAAGGTAAAAGGCAAATCTATGGGATGAACAAACCCAATCATTCAGCAGTGTGATACAAACGTTTTCAGATTTATGACTTGTGGTAAAAACAGCTACAATATGAATTACACATGGTTGGGCGAAATTTTTTAATTAAAAATACAAAATTGCTTTTTCATAGTAGGGTTTTCAAAATCACGTCATAGTTAACAGTATTTCATTTTTTATTTTATTTATTTATTTTTTTTTTTTTTTTTTTTCCATATTTGGGACTAGTTTATTGGGGTGAAAATGATTACTTGGAAAGTTGGAAAAGTGACTGAAAAAAAAAAAAAAAAAAAAAAAAAAAAGGGGGAGTGTGGTAGAATAAAAAAATAATATAAAACAAGAAAAAAAAAAAAATTAAGTTAAAAAAAAAAAAAAAAAAACGGCTGAACAAATAATCAAATAAACCACGAAAATAAATCATTATCTATAAAATTAACGTTAGTTCTCTTCACACATACACAGTGATTGAACTTGGCTACTACCTAAATAAAAGTACATAACACATAGTATGATCACTAAACAGGGGATGTGTTTTTTTTTTTTTTTTTTTTTTTTTTATCTCTAGCAATATGGTCCCATTTTCATACGAGAAAAAATGCTTCAATTACTTCGATTTTCTCATGAAATTTATAGAAAGCATTGAAGAGTGTAAGGAAAGTTCACAATACAGTGCTTACAATATTTTCACATTCACAGAAATAAAAATAGGTACTTTTTTCCTTCAGGTGGCATTAGTCTTACTGAAATCGTTTTTGTGTATCTGTACAAGTTGAAAATAAAACGGTTCATGGTTGTCAATAAAAAAAAAAAAAAAATGATGTAAAATAAAAAGAAACAATAATAAATTCTTTATATGTATTTGTTCAGTGCATATATTTGGAGATGGAGTCTCCCCACTTTACGAGGAACAGAACTGTTGTTTCTTGTACATGTAAAAGGAGAACAAAATTAAAAAATGTCATTAAAGACATTTGTCAACCTGAAGCTACATATAAGGATAAACAATTCTTCTCACAAAACATCCATAACAAACAATTGAAAAAAAAAATATATATATAGTAAAAAATATAAATAAATAATACGTAAAATAAAGAGAAATTACAAATATGTGCAACCATATATTCTCCACCACATGTAAATTTTTAACACTGTACATCTAACAGACCTTGCAAATTTTTTGTAGTTGAGTGCTCATTATGAGAAAGTATGCACTCCTTATAACTTAGATATTCCATAAAAAAGATGAGATACATCATATACACATTCCCATATCCTCTCATTAGTGCATAATTTATTATATAGAATAGATAATCTATCCTAACTTAGGCCAAAGTGAACATATATTTCAACCTTTGAAGAGGTGCAATCTACTTGAAGCAGTTAAACATGGTTAACTACACATGCACAATGTAATAAAATGCATTAGTTCTTAATTAGCATGTTTAATTTATTTACTTTATTTTTTTTTATTGCACATGTGAATTTTCCCCCTTTTTGCACCATGATCAAACCCTAGTGAATTCTCTTTAAATTGAAAGGCATTAAATCCAAAATTAAGAAAAAAAAAAAAAAAAAATTTACGAAATTACAAAAATGCACAATTTAATCTATATTATGATTTATGGCATATTAAGAAAAGAGAAATAAAAAAAAAAAATAAATAAATAAAAAGAATCATGGTGAGTATAGAACATTAAGTATTCTCATAAAAAATCTCCTCAAAAGTTGACAAAGCATGACGATCCTTGACAGCGGACAAGCGTAAGAGCTTAGATTTATACAAATGCGGCACATGCTTGTTTATATATGAGACCTTACATAAGAAGAAATAAAGGTTAGTGTATAACCTATGCAAGAATATAACTGCCTCTGCACCACTGTTCTGAAAGTTTCTTGTTATTCCATGTATACGTAAAACACGCACATATAAATGATTATTTATTTATTATTTTTTTTTTTTTTTTTATGTAATTTTTTTGTTTCATCACACCCATCCACAGTTTTGTTATACAAAAATAGTTATCGCACTTTGTATTGGCAGGACCATGCATTTGTTTGTATACACACAAATTAACTGACCGAATTGCAAAAAAAAAAAAAAAAAAAAAAAAAAAAAAAGAGCTACTACTTATTTTGCCAATAAAATAAGTACAATCATAAAGGGACGCGGAAAAGTGTATGAATTTTATTCTTCAGTTAAGTATCAATTAGAATAGAGCCATTTTAACACTCTTTATTTTATTTATTTATTATTATTATATTTTATTTTTTTCTCACTAGTGCGAATGACAGAAAAAGAAATAGAACTTCAAAAAGGGGTTAAGCATAAGCAAAGTAAATGTGTAGGTACAACGAAAATTACGACACAGACACAGATTCACCGTTGTGAAGACCGCACGAGAGTGAATAATTGATAATATAAAAAAAATAAAAATGCACATTCATACATACAAACATAGAAACATACATACGTACATTCATAGGTACACATATGAATACACACATGCATACATATTCACATTTCTTTGATAGACACATTTGCACAATTTAACAATTGAAGGGGGAGCCCATAGTTTAGAAGAGGATATGAGTGTCAACCGTTCGTGACATTTATCATCATGATTTAAATGTTAATGCATTTCTCCTGGCAAAATCATTAAAAACCATGATAATAAATACAAGTCTTAGTTATCTCCCTGCGTAGTTTTCTATCATTTTTCCCCTTCAAAGGCGTACAGTAATAACGCTAAAATGGTAAATCAGAAAAATGGATTTTTCTCAAAGCTAACAGGTAGGCATTTCAGGGTGGAAAAATAAGGGGGGGGGGGGAAATAAAAATGTGAACATATATACAAATTCTATTACGAAGTTGCACTAGCAAACAGAGGCTTTCTTTCAAGTGCAACATACATAAGTACATACATGCACATATACACAAGCACATACACACGCACATACACACATACACACGCACATACACACATACACACGCACATACACACATACACACGCACATACACAAATACAAACAAACAAATTGGCAAACACGTAGGCGTGCAAACACACACATGCAACATTGTATCCCCTTTTACAGGCCTAACATCCATTGTGTTTAATTTGAACCTAGAAAATATTCATGATGAAGTTGATGAAAATTTAAGTGCGCTCGAAAGAGCTGTATTATACGGAAACAGCCAAAAAAAATGCCGAAAGATAATATTTGTAAAGAATTTAATAAATTCGTTAAATAACATAGATTGTGACAATTTCAAAAAGGTTATTTATCCACTAATTGTAAAATTAAGCAATGATAAGGAAGAAATAAAAAATGAACTGTGTAACCAAATGGGAGATTTGTGTGCTTATCTTTTGCAGAACAATAGCGGTCTTGAAGGCTGTTCAGATATTATTAATCTTCTCTTTCCAATCATCGAGAAATTCATCAGAAATGGATTAGGTGATAATAGTGAAAGTGTTGGGAGCTCAAGTGAAAGTGGAGAAATGCTTGCAAATGCAATTAAGGCTCTGCTAATCCTAGCTACGCATATCAAAATGAAATACAGAAAAAAGGTAATTTTTCCATTTATTCTTTCACTAATATCGAGCGATAAATTTAAGAACTTGGGGTTTATTTTATTAATTAAAATATCGTACATATTCGAAAGAGATATAGCATTCAGATATTTACTCCCATGTATTGAATCTTTTGTTAGAAACAAAGATGAAGAAAGCAAAATATTCGTCTCTTCTTATTTTTACAGTATATGTAAAATTGCTAATGAAGAAGATTTGCCAACGATATTTTTTATTTTCAAATTATTATGTAATGATTCTAATGACATCATTAAAATTATTAGCATGTACAATTGTGTACATATATCTAGTCTTTATTCTAAAAATTTATTTTTGCATTTTTTCGTCCCTCTTTTTAACTCTTTTTTAAAAAATTCAAATTTGTACATATTTTACTATGCCTTGATAAACCTATTTTTTTTTGTTTGTCTTTTTGAGGACATCGACATAATTCATCCATTCTACATTCATAAAATGATATTTTTTTTTAACAACATTTTTTCTTCTCACCTTTTTACGTTGAACTATCTGAACGACACTGCCAAGCGTCAGAGCAACTACTTTTTGTTGAATAACCCCCGAATGGATGCCTCCCCTCGGGATTCACTTCACACAATTGGCCAAAAGCAACCAGTAGGAGAAGCACATACAATAGACAACACAAATGAGATGAACCTCATGCCATCATGCCATTTTACAAACAGACAATGTATGAATACAAGCGTCAAAGAAATCTCTGAAAAACCACATGAATTTCCCTCAATGAATAATATATCAATGGAAGGAGTAGTAGTAATCGACATTAATCAGAGTAATCAGAAATGTCAAAATAATCAGGAGGAACAAAGTGCACACGAAGGAAATAGAAAATTGCAGGAAAAAGCAGATATCTTGAATAATCAAGAAGTGGATGTGAAAAAAGACTTCCTTTCTTCCAAAGAAGAAAAAGCAAGTGATGATATATGCAAAGTTTTACACGAACAATCAAGCCAAGAGAAAGAGAAAAAAAATGCTCTGACAAGATTTTTAGTAAAGGATGAAAAAAACGGATTGACATACAACATTGATATGAGCATAACAGATGGATGTACAGACAAGCATAAAATGAAGCTAGAATTGCAGGACGAGAAAACATTTGAACTGGAGGATTCTGTAAATATAAGACGGCTTGCATATCAACCGACTCTTAAATCAGTGCAAGTCAATGAATGTAAAAATTACAAAAGGGAAGGTGATTATATGAAAGAAGAGTGTGAAGAAAATGATGCACGTGTTAACGGGATTCACAAAATGGAAGAAGTGAAAAATGGGGGAAATGATGATACCATGCTTCAATGTGAACATTCATCGTTACAGGAGCAGCCCTCGATGCTGCAGGACATTGGATGGTTGTTTTCCCCCTCCTCTTCCTGCGTCGCTTCCTCAGCCCTGTTAGAATCATCAGATGGCATTTCACTTCATTCGTCAATTCCGACATCACAACCCACATCTTCATTCATCTCCTCTGGATCTATATCCATTTTTGTGAACAATAGTTTGATTAACGACCTCATCATTAGTAATAATCATTTTTCTTTGAGCGTGCGACAATTTTTCCAAGTACACGATGGAGAATCAACCACAGAAGGGGATGAAGCTTCTGGTGAAGAAACAACCAAAAATGAAAAACTCGATGAACACAGATGCAATCATCAGGATAGGGTTCAAAAGGAAAAAAATCTAATAAAGGGTATGAATTGTAAGGTAAATAATGATCCCATGGTAGAAGACAAAAATGGAGAAGAAGTAATGTGGTACGAATCTCTACACAAAGGTCATAATAAGAATTATAAATTTGTTCAGATAACCGAAAATGACATCACCTTTATAGATAACATATATAATCATGACAATACTATAAATATAAATCAAATTAAAGGATGGCATTACAGTGACGTAGAGCTTATCAAAGGGAGTATGATATATGGAGAAGTGTTTATGAAAAAAGGGAATAAATATAAGGGTAGTGGAATTAAAATTACAACAAATGGTTGTAGTAATAAAAATGTCGACAAATTTTGTCAAAATGGACAAAATAAGGAAAAGAGTCCAATTAACATTCATTGTAATCAAAAAGAAGATGATATATATAACATTGAGGCAGTTAATATTGAGACAATCAAGAAGAGGTTTTTATTTGATACGCCGAATAACATTATTGTTTCACATAACATAAATGCAGTGTATATCACGGCCCTCCATTTGCCTACCCTCATTTTAGTGCTAAAAAAATATTTTTTTCGATTTTTTTCTCACGTTTTTTTTTTTATATGTACCTATCCATATTATGTTATAAGGAAAACTATAGCATCATTATTTTATGCAATTTTGCGGAATTTTTTGGGATCACCCCAATTTTTAAAAATTAATTTAGAGGAGTTAAATGAGGATAGAGACCTTATTATGACAAAATTTAAGAGAAATGAAAAAAATAAATTGGAAGAAAATAAACCTAATCATTTATCGACTTCCCACTTTGTGAATATAGAAAAATCAAAACGTGTTCATAGGAATGACACACATAGGACAGAATTATTTGAGGTTACACAAAATTCACACATAGACTCTTACGATCATTGTGATATGAAACGTATACAAAGCAAGCACATGGTAAGGAATCACAGCAAGGAAAAAAAGGATGAGATAAATAATGGTAATATAATAGATGCAGTAGGAAAAAGTTCTGCAGGATGTGATATAAATAAGAATAATACTTTCTCCTCACCGAACAAGCTAACCAAAGAGGAACAAATGAAGGGTCATTATTCAGATCATGATGAGGAGAAGCAAAAGGAATGTGGTTCAGGCGTTTATGAATTGAATGAAGAATTGGATCCACATATAGACAAAACATCAAACCAGAGATCAGACGAACAATTGGAAGAACGACTGTGCCAAGATGAAGTAAAAATGGATCGTGCAGAAATAATGAAAAGAATGCAAAACGAAATTAACGCAAACCTTCTCGAAAATGATTTTTTTATAAATGAAGAAAATGAAAATTTTTTTTTTTATAAGAAATTTCTTCAAAAATATGAAATTGTGTATATCAGATGTATTGACAAATTTAAAAAATATTATAGAGAAGATTCTCCATTATTTTTTTTTCATTTTTTTATTTCATATTTTTTAAAAGATTCAAATGTGTTGGTTAAAAAAGCAATTCTGAAGAATTATGATAAAATCATTTTATTTTTCCCCTCTCCAGTACAAAGAATACTGATATCATATTTGTCAGACGTTCTGGACTTTAAAACTTTAAACTATTCTCTTCGAAAAAGGGTATCCAAGATCGTCTTTAGACTTCTCTCAAGCACAGACAATACACCAGTTGTTCGCAAGGTTCTGTTTCCTCTGTTTCTCAGGTAAGGGTTGTGCTTTGTCTGAAGCAGAGCCGTGTATTGTCATGATTTAGTGTAAATGTTTGTCTAAAGACTATCGATTCATCATTTTCTCCTACTTGTTCATGTCCATTTTCATTTCCATGCTCACATTTGCAGATTGTGCAAGGATGATGTCTCTAGCATTCGTGTTTACACAGCTAGCTATTTTTATCTCTTCCTCGAAAAGGGTTGCCCTCAAATATAGTACGAGGAAAAACAAGGCGAAAAAAGGAGCTGCAAAAAAAGAGAGGCGGAAAAATAAGTCGCCAGTTAATGAACCATAAAAAGTTGTATCCTTATTTTTCCCAAGTTGAGTCGCACAGCGAATTTCACACTCCCTCACAAAATCTGATTTGCCATAATTAGGATTAATTTAGAAACAATTATATGTAACATCTCTGGACTTTTTTTTTTTTTTTTTTTTTTACAGTAACTTTTTCAAAGGGGGTGGAGAAATATTACCCATAGAAGAATATAAGAAAGGTACGTTTCAAAAAAAAAAAAAAAAAAAGAAAAATTTTGAAAGAGAAAAATGTGTACATTTTTTAACATATAAATATTTATTTGACTATCCAATAACTGTTTTCCCATAAAGTTTCGCCTCACCCAATTCTTCCTCTATTTTTACTAACACTCAGACAGCATACTCATAAACGGAGAGAACTACAAATTAAGGAGTCGATACTTCACAAGTGGGGATGAAATATCCATAATTAAAACAGTATTGATCACTTTTGCCAAGTAAGGAACAATGAAAATAGAAATACATCATACATTCACATATGTGTTTATTTGTTCACGTTAGTGTGAAGATTGGGAGGGGATGCGAATAACATATATACATATATATATATATGTATATATATTTTTCATCCCTGTATACACCCTCTCGTAAGTCAAAGCTGACGCACAAAATTATGCTGAATTTTTTTTAAAAATATATAAATCCATTTATACTTTATCCTTTTTTTTTTTCCCATCTCAGGAGTTGTCATTTTTACAGCAGACAGATTTTTATTAAGATGTGCGATGGGATTATTAAGTAAGCAAAATTAAATAAAAAATAAAAAAAAAAAGGATTTCAAATTGTGTACCTAATTCATGTTATCATGCGGGTAAAGTAGTTCAAGTGCGGATATAGTGACGTATAACGATACATATATGCTACCCGTAGATGACTAAATATGTTCCAAAGAAATTAACCTCACATACACTTTTCCACACTTTTTAGAAGGTCTACATTTCACATACAAAAAAAAAAAAAAAAAAACATATTCTTTCTTTGTCTCCCCTTCCCTCCTTTCTTAGTATGTGCCCAATGAATCTATTTTTGCTGTACTTTTTAAAACCCTTTGTAAATTTATCAATTGACAAGATTAAAGTTGTTAGGACAACATGGGACAAATGTGTATTTTCTCAACTTAGAAAAAAAGGACATTTTCTGAACTCAATAAATGTAAAAATATATATATATATGTACGCTTAAATTAGTTGATTTTTAGCCCTAAATGACATTTTCTGTGTAAATTTTTCTCTCCTTTTTAATATCTCCCATAAATACATATATTTAATTATACACATTCTGATTAACTTTATTTGCAGATTTGGGGAAAACGAAACGAGATTTATGCACAGAACGGAGCGAAAACAGTTGATAAGGAATATTTTATTACATTAAATCCAATTGATAGTGATGAGCTGAATAAATCTTTTGATCTTCATGACTTAAATGATTAAAGTGGTTAATTTGAAGCCTACATGGAACGATGTAACTTTCCATAATACATAAATATGTTCTAATTTTGCTATTCGATGGGATATAAATACACTCTCAAAAGAAGATATTTTCATTGTTTTTTCAATTATATCAACAGTTGTTAATTATTTTGGCTTAGATACATCGAATACTTTTCCCCATGCACAACGTAGAATTACGTGCTTCTTATTAAGCAAGCGGGGGGAAAATCAATTCATCGTCCTGATTTGTTATGAAGAAAAACGAAATCGAACAAAATGTAGAGGCACATCAACCCTAATTTGTACATGTGTACGAGCGCTTATGCAAGGTGTGTATTTTATTATTTTCCCTTCACACATTTAGGAAAATGTGCGTATATGAACTATGCGGCTTTATTTGTGAATTTCTTTAGTCCCTAATTTTTAGTTTTCATTTTGTGGGAAATTTTAGTTTTTCCGCATATATTGGTGAGGTTATTATTGTCTAGCCAGGTTCCAACCATTTAATCGTTTGTTTTGTTCAGTTTTGTCTAGTTTTTCTCAGTTTTGTTCCCTTAACTTTTACTTTTTCATTCGACAAAAATGCAGACTCTGTTCATTACGAAATTTTTCGTCAAAAAATTATTAAGAACTAATTTATTAGAGGGAATTAAGCTATTTTTAAAAAGAAAAAAAAAAAAAAAGAGCGATCGATCAAGCCCCGTGTATATATAAAAACATATATATTGTGATAACTCGTTAATATCTTCTGGATATGCGGTAATATATTTGGCATCACAAAAACTGATTCATCTTGGATAGACCTTCATTAGGATGACGTATTTTCCATTTTTGACATGTCTAAATATTTCATCTACGGTTGAAATTTTTTCCAAGTGATTTAGGAGGAAATTTATTTTGACGTTTATGTGGGTTGAATATTTAGATTCATTTAATTTCTTCAATTCTGCAAAATGTGCAGATTTATTTTTAACAGGGAATTTCGTAATATGTTCGTCTTCACTTGTACTTTCATAATCCTGTTTATTTATTATATTTTTTTTCTTTTCTCTTTTGGCCCTTTTCTTAGCTCTATTATCATTGCTACAAATTAGAAGAATATCCACTGGGTTACCATTTCGTAAAACTTTTTTAATTTTATATATTTTTCTTTCCATATCGATCATTTCACAGTTGTAATATATTTGTATTTTTTTTGTTCTTGCAGATGGATCTATATTATAGTGATGTATATTCTTTTGTTTATGCCATAAATGAAAAGCGGGTTCCTTTTCGGGAAAATAACATTGTATATCTGTTGACGTATCACCTATATTATAATCTTGTGTAACTTGGTCATGATCTTGGTCTAACTTTGTCTTCTCACCATCTACCACTTTTTCATTTTTTTCTTTGTTCGATTTTTTTTCTACACTTTCTTTTCTTTCCATTGTTGAATTTTTCCTGCTTATATGATTAGTGGTAATGTAAGTAGGAATATTTCCCTCCACATATGAGGTACATTTCACATGATTTCTGGTAGCACTCACATTTCGGGGATTTGTTTTTATTAAAAAATTTATCAAATTTATTATGATACGATAATTCAAGTATTTCTTCTCATGGTGAGACTTTTCAAAGCAGTTGAATTTATTTTTGACGGAGAAGGAGTTGATAAAAAGAATATCCCTATTTAAATAAGTTACATAAAATTGTTTAAAGAAATAATTTGCAGCATTTAAAATTTGATGCGGGTGCAAACTTATTTTATCCTTTGTAGTTAGTATATTCATGTTACTCTTTTATTATCATACACACATATTCGGAAAGGAAAATAGGATGGGAAATGGGAAAGTGCGTACAATGAGTTCGGATATCAGAACAAGAAAAACGAAGCACATTATTTAGCCATAATTTGATTTTTTCATTTCTTGTTCTTCACTTTTTCAGTACCCTTTTTCTAAGCCCTTTACGTGTTTATAAGAACAGAAGAAAAAATTTTATAAATCGTATACATTTTATGGTGCGCAAAATAGGTGGGAAAAAAGCAAAATAAAATAATTCCTGAAAATGTGAAAAGGTGAAAACCTGAAATTAAAAGTGAAAAAAAAAAAAAAAAAAAAAAAAATGTATAATAAAGTAAAACTTGACAAACATTTAGCGAATAATGCTAAGATGTATGCACGTTTAAATGTTAACCGGAGAAAAAATAAAATAAAGAATAAAAAATCAAGATAAAGCTCGTAATATATGCTTCATTTTATACATTACGATACATTGTTTAGGATGTAAAATTATATATTTTACAAAATTGTGAAAAGATAACATTTTGAGACCTGGAAAAAAAGGGGGAAACATACACAAAAACAGGAAACGGCAGAACGGAAAAGCATACAGAAAATAATTTTGCTTATTGCTAGTCTAGACATTGCAGTACTTAGGGCCTGGAGAAATAATATAGTACTGGATGTACCCAGAGAGAAATAACAATATAGCAATAACACACCCACAGTATATACGTAAGCCCTGTTGCAAATAACCATCACATAAACAATCGGTTAAGTGAACAAAGGATGCACAAACGTTGGTAAGACGCACATTTACAGGGACTACTGCAATTTTATCCCAGTGAAGGAACAAATATGCTGTACGCATAAAATGAGTTTTATTTTTTGAGAAAAAAAAAAAAAAATTTTAAAGCATTACAAATCATTACAAAGCATTACAAATCATTACAAAGCATTACAAAGCATTACAAAGCATTACAAAGCATTACAAAGCATTACAAAGTATTACGAAACATTACAAAGTATTACGAAACATTACAAAGTATTACGAAACATTACAAAGCATTACGAAACATTACAAAGCATTACGAAACATTACAAAGCATTACGAAACATTACAAAGCATTACGAAACATTACAAAGCATTACGAAACATTACAAAGCATTACAAAACATTATAATGACATAGAAACAAAAAGGAAGATTATGTACGTTTGCGTGTGTATGGACATATGCATATATGTACATATGTGTGTGAATGCATATGAACGAAAAATAGTAAATATCTTTATAAAGAGACGCAGAGGATATACATAATAAACCCAAAATGGGCATACTTTTTTCTTCCATATTCTCCCGTTTATTTTCAAATAGAGAAATAAGGATACTAATTTTAGGGCTGGATAATGCTGGAAAAACAACCATACTGAACAGATTACAATTGGGGGAGATTGTTCAAACTATTCCCACAATTGGATTTAATGTGGAAACTGTAAATTACAGGAACTTAAAATTACAGGTATGGGATTTAGGGGGTCAATCATCCATTAGGCCCTATTGGAGATGTTACTATAAAAACACAAATGCCATTATTTATGTTATTGATAGTTCAGATAGTGAAAGATTGATAAGTACGAAATATGAAATTAATATGATCCTCAAGGAGCCAGACTTGGAAGGAGTGCTGCTTGTAGTTTTTGCCAATAAACAGGATATTCAGAATTGTCTTTCCATATCTCAAATATCCAAAGATTTAAGCTTAACGTCAATACGAGACAGACAGTGGGCCATTTTTAGCACCAGTGCTACTAAAAATATTGGAATTACTGATGCTTTGGATTGGCTCGTGAATAACATAAAATAATTTTTCTCCAGATTACAACTGTTGGTTTTATGAGCACGTATAAAAGTATTTTAACAAATATTGTGAATAGGTTAAATGCTAATTCTGAATATTGTAAGGAAAAATTACAATTTTTACCGAAATTTGTTCGACTGTTGTTAGGCCCAAGTGATGGAGGTGTAATCACTACCCAATATATATATATATATATATATATATGCGTTACAAGGCGTAAACATATTTATCCCTACGTACACATAGGTGCATATATGTACATGTGCATGTAATTGCAGCATCACATTTAGTCAAATTTGAATTTTTCTTTATTAACCCAATTTTTGATCTTTATCACGCATATATATGCATGCCTACTTTTGACCTGTTTCACATCCTAATTTACTTTTCATTGGATGTGGATAATTTTGTATCCCTTTTGCAAGCTTTTTTTTTTTTTTTTTTTTTTTTTTTTTTTTTTTTTGCTTCACTTTTTTATATTGACAGAAGTTTTCAATCTCTTTTTCTTCCTTTTTTTTTTTTTTTTTTCACTATTCAAATGTACTACACCTATGGACATACATAATGCTGGATATACATTTCGGCATACATGAACCAACGAAATGTAGTACGATGTATACTTTTATTTTTACACCTTTAAACATTTTTGTTTTATCTTTTTTGTTTTCTCTTTTTTGTTTTCCCCTTTTTGTTTTCCCCTTTTTGTTTTCTCTTTTTTGTTTTCCCTTTTTTGTTTTCTCCTTTTTGTTTTCCCTTTTTTGTTTCCACTTTTTTTTGTTGTTGTTGTTGTTATTGTTGTTGTAGTCGTTTTCGCTGACTCCATTGTTTTAGTATGCAGCTATGGCGTGCTCATTATAGAAAATTTCACTTGTTTTTGCTTTTCTACTTTTTAAAATGATGTTTCCATTTTAGAATTTAGAAACCTTTAAATGAAATTAGGGAATATGTGTAATTAACATATTGCTCTCTAATAATTTTTAGGCAGTTCAACGATCCACACTTTTTTAAATAAATAAGACGAGTGTGCGTACTGCATACACTGATATCCTCCATATTTGTAAATAATTCCGTTTTAGCAAATATGTAATAACACTTCATTGTGTATTTATTTTCTTTTTACTTCTCCACATTTTTGTGCTCTTTCATACCGCTGGAAAGTTTACCCTTGTTTTCTTCCAGTTGTTAAACACGCCAGCACCCTAGACGTATTTATATATATTTCATAATTCTCATCGAGTACAAAAAAAAAATGATAAAATGAAAGGAATCAAATTGAGACCCATTTCTTATTCGTTCAAAGCGAGATAGTAATACCCTATAATTTAGAAAAAATTGTAGAACTGTTTTGTAATTCTCCATTTTTCGAAAACATAAAAATTTGTTTTAGTGCACCTAGGCTGGACGTTGCACACACAGGTGTACATGTATATATATGTATGTATATGTACATTACAACAATATCATTCCTTTGTCTTATAACATGGCAAGTTGTGCTCTTTCCCCGTTTGTTTCTTCCAGCTTTAACACTGCAATGATCAAGTCTAAAATTGATGTACTTGAAAACTATGCAAAGAAGAATCAGTTGCATAAATTGCGAATGGATGACTTTTTCGACGTTTTGAAACTGTGAGCAAAATTTTGACATTTCAAATGGGAAACATATATACATATATATATATTTACACACATAATAATGAAATAAGATCCAACGAGAAAGGGAACTATAATCACATTTGAGTGGAAAGACGTGGAACCAATCAAAAAACCATGCCCCAAAGAAGTGGCAAAGACAATAAAGCTATAACTGTTTCATAAACTTTTCAGGTCCAAAACGGAAGAAGACTACAAGTTATCTTTGCATCTACTAAACCTGTATTACAATTTTGGACGAAACCTAAATACTCAACAAGATGTTAATTTGTTTTTTATTTTCATTCTTAGAACTAAGCAACTAAGTGAGGCCAAAGAGGTAACCGAATTGTTAAAAAAAGAAAGAAATGGGGAAAAAAAAAAAAAAAAAAAAAAAAAAAGCATAACCAAGATGGTTCTATAAGTATATGAACATATGCACACCTTTAAGTTGCATTGTATTATGTATATATATCCATCTCTTTGACAGTTAGATGCTTCGCATAAGCATACATTTGAATATATACATACGTGCGTATATACATGTTTACCCCTTCCTCTCCCCTTTCGAAGCTACTAAAATATTTTAATGGATGGTTATTATGCCCCCCCTCGAATAAATACATTGTATTATGCATGGAAGAATTTTTTTTAAAACAAAAGTATTATGATGTTCGAGAAATATTTTCCTTTATTAGACAGAATAAGTTATAACATATGGAGGAATTCTCCTAATAACAATATGTTCATAGGAAGTGTGCCTCAATATATATTCGAGGACGTTCTTTTCACTTCCTGGTTGTTCATAGCTTGCTTACACATTGTTCATTTGTTTATTCATTATTTTTATTTTCCTATTTTTTTATTTTATTTTTTTTTTCTTTTTTATCCCTTCTACTTAGCCAAATAAAATTGGAAAGCTCCTTTTACACGGTGACCATAAAATCCATGCTTATGTTGGAACGAGATTCTGTTCAGGAAGCCATGATAGTTAGGGAAAAATAAAACATATGCTTTCACATAAATCGAAAGCAGAATCATTAGTAATATCATCATCAGAAGTATTAGCAACATCACCAGAAGCAGAATCAGATGACATCTTTGCGAACATACATACACAAATACTTATGAGTGTGGTTGTTTTTTTTTTTTTTTTCTTCCCATTTATTATTCTCAGATATACGATGATTCTTATGATATGTCTATCTACTTAACGAACGAAATTCACAATTTGGTATTAGGTAGGAGAAACACACAGCAGACTCCTTATCGATATTACATACCCTCAATAAATAATACAGGTCTATAAGACAAGACGCATGCATAGACATATATACATGAACTCGCTTTCCTTCATCTCGCAGAGAATAACTTGTATTTTTACCATAAATCGAAAGAAGAAAAATCTGAGGTACAAAACAAGTTCTATAGCATGAATGATGTACGGACTCTTAATTCCATTATTGCTAATGGCTAAATGGAATTTATTTATTTTTTTTTTTTTTATTTCTCATCAACACAGGATTTACAGTTACTGAAGTATTATGAAGGAAACATAGAAAAAATAATAGTAATATCTTTTTCGAATAATAACTATATGAAATATACATATATATTCACACGCATATGCGTCTATTTTATAATTACAAATGGTAGTGGGGAAAATAGGTCTAAATTATATATCATGGTATAGGCAATATTTGTTGTGTGCCTTAGTAGGGACCCTTTTTAATTTTACCTTATCCCTCTTCCTCTTTTACATTTCCATAGATACGACTAATAAATGAATTAATTAAAAATAGGACATCGATAAAGCTATCCTCAAAGAGTTTGAGTCTCTTTGCATGGGCACACATGAACTTTGATGTAAAAGAAATTATCAAGTAAAGTGTATTTCAAAAAATGAAAAATTAAAATCATAAGCAGCTTATTACTCCATTTTATCATAACTCGTAGGATAACACATATATATATATATGTATCTTATGTGTAATTTATTTTGCAGAAAAAGTAACCATACTTTAGTGGATGTTCAGGATTGTGACACATGGTTGAACATTTTAAAATTATCCTGTTTATATAACCAAATTCCCGAGTGGTGCGTCAAAGAAAAAAAAAAAAAAAAAAAAAAAAAATTCATTTCACTTTCGTAAATATGTTTGAGAAGGGGAAGATGACACATGTTGTTTTTCTTTGTCTTAATTTTTTTTTTTTTTTTTTTTTTTATTCTCACTTTAAAGTCATTGTAGTCCCTTTTCACAACCGTTTAAAGGTGTACTAAAAAGTATGAAGAATGATAAAGATGCAACCATGGTAAGAATGTTGTTCTCATACGTGTGTACATGTAATGAGTGTCATTATGTGCACGTTGGGCAGAGCTAAGTATACACACACACATTTGGTTTGCACACCTGAGAAGAGATAAAATATTTCATTTCCATTTTGTAGGCACTGGAATACATTGATATATACTTTCACGAGGAGTAATAAAAGGCGCATATATATATTTTTTTTATTTTTTATTTGCTACTGCTTTTTCTGAATTTTTAATAAATATATATATACGTCTTGATTTAGTTCCCTTTTTCAAAGTATTGTGGAAAAACGAAATGTGTCAACTGATTAATTCATGTGTAGTGAACTAGTTTATTCATTTCGTTTTTGCAAATGGGAGAAAAAAAGGGGAAGAAGAAAAAAAAAAAAAAAAATAGAATAAATAAATGAATAGAATAAAATAACAATAGTTTGTAACTTCTATTTGTTTTTTTTTTTTAATAGCTTTTTCACTGTTTCCTTTTTTTTTTTTTTAATTTGAATTTTTTATTCTGTTACTCCCGTCTGGCGCAAAGCCAGTGTGTTTTAAAAGAATAACCAAAACGAAAATGTGTAGATTTTATTGTAAGCCCACACAAGGAAAGTTTTTGCATACAGGTAAAAAAATTCGTGTAAGAAAAAGAATATTGATAATGTCTCCTATTTATTTTTTCAATCATTGAAATTTTGGTCAAAATGGGCGCACTGTTCCAAAGATTATCTTGCATCATCCCCCTCTCCCTCCCCTAAGATACTATTTCACATTTCTTCATTTAAAAGCACGAGTCAAAATTGTTGAGGTAAAGCATTTTTTTTTCAATGAATGCCAGAAAAAAGAAAAGTAAATTTCCATTTTGCAGTATAAAAAAAAGCACCATCCTGCACTACACAACCTCTTTCTACTTCAACACAACCCAAAAATACTAACAAAAAAAAAATATATATATATATACACATGAATATCACATAAAAATATGTAAGTTATTTGTGTATTTGTCGTGTATATGGCATTGAGTTTTACAGAAGTGGATGCATACATATATATTTGCACACCAGGTTATTACCTTTTTTATGCGGTGAACTCAGAAAATGTGCTATAAAATAAACCACATGAACAATTTATACATATATATATCTGAACAAGTGCATGAGTAATTGTATGCAAAAAAAGAATAACACACGCTTGAGTGTACGCAAAAGCAAAATCATACTCAAACCTAAAACATTTTCCCGGCACCTTTTACCATCAACCCCCTGGGTCCTTTTGAATTAAGTGTATTTTCAAATAAAAAAAAAAAAAAAAAAAGTGCATACCCATTATTTATTTATGCGAGTAAAAGTATTTTATTAATCGCTTAGAGCTTAAAATTAATTTTTTTTATTCATTTTTTTGCAAATATTTCCGCCAAGTATTTATTTCCATTATTCATCATTACAAGCACTTTAAGCACCTTTTTCGTTCTTTCCATTTAGTTCAAAAAAAAAAAAAAAAAAAAAAAAAAAAAAAATACTACCTATAACTGCATGCATCATGCTTTTTTTTTTTTTTTCTCTTTTTTATTATTTTTTTTTTTTCCTGCAAAAACGTTCTAATTTTAAAGTATTATTTGAACACCAAAAAGTAACACCAAATTTTAACCCCAACTTTTTGTATCAACGCAACGTCACCTTAGGCATTAAATTACTAAAAACTTATGAATCAATTCACATAAAATTATTATTTACAATTCTCTTCGTCCTTTACCCTGCTTTCGCTTTTCGTCCGTTTGTGCTATCAAACATATCAATACTGCATTACCACCAACCTAATTAACAAACTACATATAACTCTCCCTTACGCCCCAATGTTTGCAATGTTAGAAAAAATTCCTTTTCCTTTTTACTCTTATCGTGTAAAAACGTTCCTTTTTCTGAAGCCAATAATACAGCAAAATTGATAAATTTTGGAAAAAAAAACAAAAAAAAAAAAAAAGTTTTACAGGAATATATATATATATATATACATATTTACATATATATGAACACGTGAACGTGCAGAAGTAAGAAAAATTTCGCATCGTCCGCGCCCAAAGAAGAGAAAAAAATCGAAAAGCGGACGAAAAATATCAGTAGAAAAAATAACTTCCAAGAAGAATCACAAGCATAACATTGAATCATCATTAAACTATTCCTCCTCTTGCCACCCCACCCCAATCGTGAATTGCCTAACCAGCTTAGAACAGTCGACAAACAAAATATGAAATTATACCCACACAAGTATTTTCCTAACACTGTAAAATGCATGCTGGCAGCATATATATACAGTATCCAAGTAGAGCTATGTGATGACTTTTTGTTTACGAGAAATTTCGACGTGGAGAAGGCCTTTTTTGTGAGTAAGAAACCATTGTTGGTGTTTGGAAATAATTACATAAGTTCAACGAAGGCTATTTGTTTTTTTTTGCATCGATTGAGAAATGAGGGAAGTAAGAAATGCATGGATGATAAACTTAGGTTGTATATGACATGGATAGAATGGAGTGAGATTCTTGAAAGGAATGTCGAAGCACTGAATAAGAAACGTATAATTGGTAGTCTCGATGAATTGGATAATTACCTAAAGGATCATAGGAGTAAAAAATTTATATGCAGTAAGGAAAATGTTGCAAATGGAGAAAATTTAGGAAATGCTAAGGATCCATCGGAAGATGATAAGGATCAGATGACATTAGCAGACATATTTGTTTACACATCTCTAATCCATTGCAACATTGAAGTATGTAGAGAAAGCTGGGTCTATATAAATGAATATATTGAAAAAATAAATAAATTGGATTACGTACAAAAAGTAATAAAAAATGTCGAAAACATTTATAGATATAAGCATATATACAATTTATATATTTCAAAAATATACGAAAAGAATATCAATATACATTTAAAGAATGAAAAGTTTTACATTACCACTGCAATTAATTATGTAAATGGAGAACCACACATTGGTCATGCATATGAAGTAGTAATAGCAGATGCAATTGCAAGGTATCATAAGAATATAGGTAGGGATACTTTTTTCACAACAGGTGCAGATGAGCATGGATTGAAGATAGCTAACCAAGCAGCTAGAAATAACATGAGTCCGAAGGAACTATGTGATAAAAATGTGTTAAAATTTAAAGAATTAAACAAACTATTAAATATAAATGAAGATTATTACGTAAGGACAACGAACGATGATCATAAAAAAATAACACAAGATATTTGGACTACTTGTGAAAAAAATGGGGATATATACTTGGGGGAATATGAAGGATGGTATAATGTTCGTGAAGAGACCTATATCCCAGAGAATGAAGCGAAATTAACGAATTATATGGATCCTTTAAGTAAAACAAAACTAGAAAAAATGAAAGAGCCTTCTTATTTTTTTAAAATGTCAAAATATCAGGATAGACTAATTGAATATATACATAAGAATCCAGATTTTATACAACCAGAACAGAAAAGAAATGAAATTTTACAAAGATTGAAGGAACCATTAGCTGATTTGTCATGTAGTAGAACGAAATTTACTTGGGGAGTTCCAGTTCCAAGTGATAACAAACATGTTATGTATGTATGGATGGATGCATTGTTAAATTATTATTCAAATTGTTTAATTGTTAAGGATAAAGCTAAATATTGGCCAGCTGATTTACATCTAATTGGGAAAGATATAGTTTGGTTTCATACTGTTATATTACCAACTATTCTCATGTCAGCAAATTTAGAATTGCCAAAAAGTGTGTTTTGTCATGGTTTTGTATTAGCTGGAGATGGAAAAAAAATGTCGAAATCATTGGGTAATGTGATAAATCCATTCGAAATAATAGATTGCTATGGATCTGATGCTTTCCGTTTTCATATAATTAAAGAAACGAAAAGGGGATTTGATATGAGATTTGACATTGACAATCTCGTTGATATGTGTAATTCAGATTTGGCAGATACTATTGGAAATTTAGTGCAAAGGACTTTATCTCTATGTCAATTAGCCAATAATTCAAAAATACCACCCATGTTTGAAGAATATACTTTAGATTTACCATTTAGTCTTTTACACTTTATTAACAGGATAGAATTTCATATGAGAACATATTGTGTACAACTATGTTGTGAAAAAACTGTGAATGTTTGCAAAGATTTAAATAAATTCCTCACAGAATTAGCGCCATGGAAATATAAAAATGAATATAATAATAAAAAGTTACATATTATAAGAATTATGATGGAGGTTATTTATATTATTGCGCATTATATCGATGTTATAACACCAGACATTGCTAACCAAATATTTGAAAAATTAAATACTCCAAAAAAATCTATTGTTGAACTGGATCCATGGTTAAATAATCTCCAAGAAGGGGTTCAAATTTATAATGATAAAATTTTGTTTAAGAAATTTCAAGTGGAAAGTGTTAAATCAAAAATACAAAGAGTAGTTATGCGTGTTTGTAAAATTACAAGTATTATAAAAAATGAAGAAAGTAAAAAAAGAGCCACCATCTGTGAAATAGAACTAGATGATCATGAGAAACATCTCGCTGTTATTTATCTCCCCTTTAAACCAGGCTATGTCAATATGTTAACAATTGCAATTTTGAACATTAAACCAATTATAATTAATAATATCACAGTTAATGCTATTATCCCTCATGTCAATAGGGAAACATTCATCCTTAACGATGAAATGGATTTGCAAATGGGTACTTTGATAAAGGCAAAAAATTACAAAACACTTGTTAAGCAACGAGATAATTTGACCAAGAAGGAGATTAATTCATTGGAACTTTCCCTCATTAATGGAATATGCTTTTTTGAGAAAAGTGTACCCTTGGTTTTTGCTGCATCTGATAAGCCCTTATACCATACTGTAGAGAAATCTGGGCCCATCAAATTTTTTTGATCCACTGGTTGCATTTTTGCGGATTTCTTCTGGGTAACCAGCTCCATGCATAAGGGGTTGGGGACTAAGCATCCCACAGGGGTGAATAACAAAAGTTAGTTTGGCCCACTTGGATGAGTAGAAGTCAGTTTGACACACTGGGATGTTATGCACATCTCCATATGGCGAACTGAAATGAATAACATTCCCATTTGACCCATTGTTTGCAGGGCGAAGTTGCACAATATACATTTGCCTGCCCCTGCTCAATGGAGTTTTGAGTATGTTTCCTGAGAATGCACTTACAAATATATATATATATATATATATGTATATAATATTTACATATACCCATTGTGTTTACAATATCCTTTTAATTATTCCCTTCGTTTATTCGTCAATTGCAGTTAGTCTCTTGCATTATGTGTAAACTTTAAAATTCGAAAGCAGGTCCCATTCGCCATGTTGCAAAATGTTATGCTCTAATGCATGAAACAATGCGCATGGATATTATTACATGTGAAAAATCCCATATATGTTTGTGTCATACATATGTATGATTTTTCTCTTTTTTTTTTTTTTTTTTTTTTTTTTTTTTCAAAATTTATTTGATTCTTTGTCATATAATCTTTTAAGTATTTGGAGAAGTAAAAAAAAAAAAAAAAAGAAAGAAAAAGAAAAAAACTCAATTAAAAAAAAGTAAACCACAAACTTGTTGTATTATCCCTCCAGTTTGTCTTTCTATCTCTCTTTCGCGATATTCAAACGTTATTCAAAATAAAGAAACTTTTAATTTGTAAATGGCTAATATTGCTTTTTTGCAGTAGCTGCACACATATGTGCATTGGGGAATAATCCCCATTTGAAATTTTCTGACATCGTTGCCACGTCAAAATGGGATTCAAATATGATATAGTAAGGTGTGTTGTGTATTTTGCACGGGTGCTACTATCCAGCATAAAGAAGAAAATTCGGAATTTTGGGAAAACAGAGGAAATTGGGGAGTGGAAAAATTGGGGGAAACAAGGCGATTTCCTAGGACCATTCTCACAGAATAGTGTCATTCGAATCGATTTCTAAAAATTAGACAATCAACAGCGGTACCATCTAACTTTTCAGGACCTCCATAAGTGCCACTGTGATATAGGACGATTTCGGCAAAGAGCAAATCAAAAAAATGGATGCTTTCGTTTGATACTTGGGGATTTCCTTAATTAAATACTCATGGTAGTCATCATTTGGCACGAAAATTATGTGTTCCTTCATTTCCTCAGTCTCGTTTATTTTCTCACCATCCATTTTTTTATCATCCACTTTCTCATCACCTATTTTCTCTTCCCCGTTTTGCGGATCACATTCTGTCGCACCTTTCTCTCCGTCCATGAGTCTGCACAAATCACTCCTAATTAGTGGAATCCTGTTTACATACACATCATCGCTTTTTATAAAAAAGGACTTGAAATCATATGGTTTAACCACAATCTTTCGATATCCCCCGGAAGCATTGAAGAAATTTTTTTCAGATTTAAAGTCATCTAATGTTAACTGCATGCTATTGAGCACGTTTTTATATTCATCCATTAGGTTTGGAGGAAAAATAAAATTTTTATCACCTGGTAGTGGCAAAACGACGTCATAAATATTATATAAAGATATATTTTCATTAGTCACCTTAATTATATTTTTTTCCCATAAATTTTCATTACCTGATGATAGATCGGATTGATGTTCATCATTCGAACTTTCATTAGTAAGGGTAATTTCATTATTGCAATTCGATTCGATTAAATCTCCTACTACTACATTCAATCCGTATTTCTTCATTCGAATACTCGTAAGGATGTTAAAAATTAAACTTTGGGTTGAATGTATAAAAAGAGAAAAAATATTTTTTGGTATATTCATAAATGCATTTTTAAAACTTTTATCGTTTTTTAAAGAACACAATATTGTTTTTTCTACATGTGATTGATTTGAAATGGAGTTTATAATTTCGTTTATTTCACTTGGAAGAACGTTGTGTACTACTTTTTTATTACTGCAGTGCATAAATTTTTTTTTTTTTTTATTATTTTTCTTAGAAAATGTATTCACTGCTTCGTATGGTAGGTGTAGTGGGATGTTATTATTGCTTTCGACTTGGTTTCCATTTTTATTGGATGTATATATTTTTTCTGATAATTGTTGATCATTTTTCTTGTCTATCCCTTTATTCTGTGTTCCTGTCTCATCATCAAAAGAATTCAGAAGATGATTTTCGTCATCTTCATTCCCATTTATTGCATCTTTTTTTTCATCTATTTCGTTCAAGTATGCAATAAGTCGATCCTTCTTGTTTCTATCCAGTCCTGAATTTTCGATGACATAAAAAAGGGCTTCTTTGTAATTCTTTTTTAATATACAAATACCAATATCGTAATTTTTTATATTTTTACTGCCAAATCGTTGATATCCGTAATAATTTACAAACCCTAATTTGCTAAAACTATCTGATAATACTTGAAATTTTTTTTCTGCACTGTTATCTACGCCCCTAATTAGAATTTTAAAAAAGTTTCCCTTTAAATCTCCTAATGACAATTTATTTTTTTCATAGCATAAATTTGATATATATACATTATTACACCAGCTCGAGCCACCTGTATCACTGTCATTTTTTATTATCCTAAACAAGTCATATTTCTTTATCTTATGAATACAGAATTTCTGTACTGTTATTCCTCTTTTGTCTTTAATTCCACAGTAAGATATGTCTGCGTTTTTTTTTTTTAAATTAAATTTTATTTTACTTAATATTTCGTATATATCTTTATTTTCTTTGTAAAGATTGAAATGGAGGTATTTTTTTTCTTTTTTTTGTTCTTTTTTATTCTTTCGAAAATTATTTAGTTTATCCAAGAAAATGCCTTCTACTCTGCTATGAATTTGTACTTTATTGGGTAATTCGTTTAGACCACCTTTGTGACAGCCGATACCTTCCTGATCATTATTATTTCTACCATCTGTTTTGGCAACACATATGCTGCTTGAAGCATTTTTTTCATTACATGTCCTTTGTATGGTTTCTTTTGGATTTTTTTCCTCCTCCAACTTACTATTTATATTGATGTATGAGTGCACTTCATAAATATTTTTATCATTAGATATTTCTCTTACTTCTGTTCGTGCTCTTTTATTCTCTCCATGAATGTTAAACATTTTTAGTGATTTTTCACAACAAATCTTTGACAATGTCTCGCTTTCAAACTTTCTTTTTTTATTTTCGAATAGGTCGTCTTCTTTTGCATCAAAAATGTCAGGAGCAACGACTTCTTCACCATCAGACAGCTTCAACCGTTTAGGAAACATTGTAATTTCTTTTTTCTTATCGATTTTGTCCAATTTTTGACAGATAATATTTTCTAATAGGTCGTTTTCACTGAACCGAGATTTTTTGGTCTTTCCTTTTAATTTGTTAAATATTCCACGTGGTAAAATAGATTTTAAACAATTAAAAGATGGGTATATTTGTAGAACACTTATTTTGTCATCTGTTTTGTTTTCTTCTACTATGTTTTCACAATTATAATTATTGGAAGAATTGTTTTGTAGTATATTTCCATGCGATAACACACTTTGATTTTTCGGAACATTTATTGTCTCTGTCAGGAGAAACGGGTAATACTGATGTATTATCTTGTGAATGTTTTTTCGAGCGTTTTTATTTCTGTCTTTTGGATCCTCTGGGGAGTTAGGTTCACTAAAAGCAGATTCTCCACAATGGGAATCGCTACCCATAGATTCTTCATTACAGATAGCATCTCCATTTTCATCAAAATGGGACTTATCCTGAATTGGTAGATCGTCCAAATTTATAAAAAGGCAATAAGGAACGGAAACGTTTTTCAACCGTTCAACTGTTTTCCCTATCTGCATCTCATCTGTTTGATCATTCTCTTTTAATTGATAAATGTCATACAGAATGCTCATAAATTGTTTAAATGTTCTTATATTATATTCGTTTACATATTTGGCTAGTACATGAAGATGTAGTTCTTTATTAGTAATACTTAGGAGCAATTTATCTTTTTCATTCTTTTCATTCTGCTCAATAATTTCATTAATTTTTTTTTTATGTATTAATTGTTCCAACCTCAATATTTCATTATCTTTCGTTATTTCGTGCACATGGAAATCTTCATAAATGGTTTTTATTTTGCCTTCAATTCCGTCATTATTGTGAAGGTCTTTTCTAAATAGATAATCGATGCCATGGTTTCTTCCATAGATCGTGGGTTCTATTTTCGCTTCAATCATATATCTGATTGGGAGACTGTATAAATAAACTCCTATTTTCTATCTATGCTCAAAGGCAGCTATACCAATATGTAAATTTTTTTTTTTATATGTATCTAATGCTAGGAGTTGGAATGGATAGAGAAGGGGGATTTCTCTGGTATTGCCATGTAAAAGGCCTACTACAATTGAACACAGGTAAATGTCCAATATGCAGCTATATCCAATTTTGAAATTTGTGAAAAGATGGAATTAAAAAAAAGTGACAATGCATAATATTCAAAGTTATAACTTTTGAGTTGCCATTTTCACAAGGGTGTGTATACTTATGGAAAGTTTTGGAAAAAGAATAATAATTTTTTTTTTTTTTTTTAGGGGTGGAGATTAGGGATCCTAATTATTTTCCTCTTTATACGAAACTATCCTTTTGGAATATGTCACCTAATGTGGTTGCTTTGCAAGGTTCACAGGAAAAAAAAAAAAAAAAAAAAAATCTATATATACATACGTACAAATATATACATTTGTATGGGATCTCCTTAATTTATAATATATTGTTTTTCCTCAATTTTTTTACATTTTTATGATTACCAGAAATAAAAAATGTTGCAATGTTTGTAGTTGTTTTAAGGCATGCCTTCCCAAATAGAGGAATAAAAAAAAAAAAAAAAAAAAAAAAAAGAGCTATAATCGTATATACAATATATTTGCATGCATGTACATATTTGCATATTCTTACTTATACATAGCGAACAAGCATTTTCCTCAAAATTATATTTTGAAAAATGGGTTCATCATTTGATTCGAAGAATTATATAATTCGAATGAAAAAAGAAATTGGTTTAAAAAAAAAAAAATAATAATAAAAAAAAAAATAACGGTGCAAAAAATTGAGACTCTAAAATAAGAAAGAACAAATCAGCAACAGTTTTATTGCCTAGATTTTTTGTACTGAGTATTCAAATGAATTCATCCCCAATATTGTTGAGTATACCATATCCCGGAGGAGATGCAAATGTATCATCAGTTTTGAGCAAATGCATTTTTTCTCAGGTCATGTGTTACATATTATGCCAAACGTAACAATATTAAAAAAGAAGCTCGAGGGTGGATGGGAAAACATTAAGACAAAATTGGGGCGATAAAAAAGTGTACGAACGAATTAGACTTTGTGAAAAAAAAAAAAAAAGAAAAGTCTTATCCCACACGTGTACATTTTTAGTAGTTATATCAGATGGGTTACATGTTTATCTCCTTTCATGAGTAATTCTACTATTTGATGGAATTTTTCCTTGTCCATTATATAAACACATGAACGACCACAGAGTGAATGTTATGCATTGGGTAGGAAGGAGAGTGTACTACATTTTTTGCTTTCTCTGATCGACTTGGTTTTATTTCATAAAAGTGGCAAGATTAGAAAATGTATTTATCTGGAAGGTGATGAACTTGTTAAAAGTTAGTTCTTATCCAACTGGCATTACCATTTTATTGTTTTTTTCTCTACCATTTTTTTGTTTTTTTTGTTCTTTATTGATTGTTGTTTCTACCTTAAAGGCAATTTATTCGGTATTATTTTCTGTCAACTTTGCAAAAGACGAAAAAGAAAAGAAAATATATACATATATTTTTAAGTACAGTTTTGTTATTTATGCATTTCTCTCTTTCGAATTATCCTATACTCCTACAAATTTAGAGCGCATAGATGAATGCTTACCAATGTGTTGTCACGATGTTGATAAGATCTAGTTTAAAAAATTCCTTTTTTATGAACAAGAAATTGTCTTCATTTTTACATATGTTTTGGCCTTATCACACTTCTACATTATCTATACAGTTTAAAAAAAAAAAAAAAAAAGGACGAAATGTGTGAGTGGAATCAACTGGAGGTGCTAATATTGATAACGCATGAAGAAATGAAAACAAACAAAAATGATACTACTTGGAATTACATATTATGAAAACTTTTATGTTGTAAATTAGTTTTTTTTTTTTTTTTTTTCTTATGTGTATATTTTATAAAAAAACATATTAGTATGTCATGAGAATATATAGTCAAGTTTGTGAAATACAACCACTTATCAACCTTCACATATTTTTTAACATTACAATTGAGGTGTAATTTTTTTTTTTTTTTTTTTTTTGTTATTCAAGTGCCGTACAAAAGGACACATGTACAACCAATCAATTGAGAAATTCATTTTAAAGGATACGAAAAGTTTTGCTTTTTTTTTTTTCACTACATAAGATATAAAAAAAAAAAAAAAAAAAAGCGTCGTAATTGTTACGACTACAGATTAAACCTTATCCAATCAGTTTCTTATTATTATTTTTTTTTTTTCTATGATCATTTTCTGCATCATTTCTGTTCCTTCATTTTATAATCTAATAAAAGAAACAAAAGAAAAAAAGAAAAAAAATGAAAAACAAGTTGTACATTTCGTTCTTATTTGTTTTGCTCATACTTGCCCATGGATACAACATGATAAGTGGCAATGTTACAAATTACACAATTTCCAATGAGAAGAATGGTTTAAATAAGAATGATTTACCAAATTGTAACAAAGGTAACAATGGTCAAAAAATATGCAACCTTGATATTAATGAGGAAGAAAAAGGTTCCTTAAAGGATAATATGAATGCTTCATTACGAGAAAATATTGTGAAGATGGATCCTGTTAATTTGAGTAATAGTACTGACGTTACGCAACAACAGGTGGATGAAGAGGATTCCAGATATATGGATGACATAGGACGAAGGGAAAAAGATCTACAGGATAAGAACCGAACTACGAATGATGTTAAGTTTTCTAGGGATGTGCGAGACCCAAGTGGTGATATCGATGCAGACAATGATGAAGTGGTAGATGATGAAGTGGTAGATGATGAAGTGGTAGATGATGAAGTGGTAGATGATGAAGTGGTAGATGATGAAGTGGTAGATGATGAAATGGTAGAAGATGAAATGGTAGATGATGAAGAGGCAGATGATGAAGTGGAAGATGATGAAGCGGAAAATGATGACTTGTTAGATGATGAAGTGGTGGATGATGAATTGATAGAGGACGAAGTAAATTATGACAAATCGAGCAATTCAATGTCAACCGATGAAGAGCACATAAGTCCAATACAATCGAACGGCAAGAGTAAAAATGAAATAAACGAAGAGGCAAAAGAAAATACCCAAGTGCATAGGATAAAAAGAGTAAATGATAGACAAAGCAGTAGGGACGACCCAGACGAACGAAATGATATTTTTTCCATGGAAATAAATCAGTCTAAGAAATTTAAATATGAAAACGAAAAAGAAAATTATCATGATGATGGTAATACCTTTTGCGATATAATAAAAGAAAGAGAAGGAAATACCTCCTTCGGAGAAAAAAAAGTAAGCATTGAAGACGATATTGAAGAAACCAAAGAAGACGAAGAGAGATCAGAAGGGTGGTATACAATTCCAACAATTGATTCCAAGGCTGAAGATTTACTTATGGAAGATTATACAGATGAAAAAGATATTCAAAAAACAGCAGATTTTTTAGTTGAAAGTATGATTAAGTTACTAGATGAAAAGGGTTCTCATGACGCGGTAAAAAATTATGCAAAAGACTTGATTAAATTTTTTTCAAATGATTTAAGTAGTAAAAATGGACATTATGCGTGAAACTTCTTTTTTTTTTTCCACCTCTTTATGATTATACATTTTTTAATAAAACTTTACATGATATGCAGTAGCTTATGGAAAAGCATTTTAACTTATATTTTAAGTTTATGCACAACATTTGCAATAATGCAGTGAAAGTGTAAATATTTCTTTTTTGAGTACTACTCCAATTTAAGCTAAATAATTCAAAAAAGTGATTATTGTGAATGTTGTGAAGGTTTTATACTTTCCCAACTGCACACAAAGAGGGTGTATTGTAAAAAAAATTCTGTTCATAATAGTGTCCTCAAAATTTCTACACATTCCTAAAACCTGATTTTAAAATATAACCACTGGAATAGTGAACAAAAAAAATTCTCTACCTCTGTAATTGTATTCAAAAGTACGTAAAAAAAAAAAAAAGATCAACTAAATTGATTACCTTGTCCAATGTAAAAAAAAAAAATGTCTCATTTTTATCTTTCATATTGACAAACTGTTCAATGTGAGGAAAATATCGCATATATGTGCATACAATTACATGCAATATGTTTATACAACTATACCATTTTATTACATATCAGTGTAAGGATTTTGAGAGAAAGGATTATAAAGTTACCACTACCCCATGAGGGAAATTTATCTCTGAAGATTATTTAAAATAGGTAAAAATTGTTTAGCAAAAAAAAAAAAAAAAAAAAAACTTCTCCTTTTACTTTATAAAATTGTCATGATCAGAAAAATGAATTTCCCGCTATTACATAAAAATGTTGCTTAAACACATTCGTGCACATTTGGCCTCCTGCATAAGTTTCTCTCTCTTTTTAGAAATTTCTTATATCATGCAAATGGGGAATAAATTTTGCGTTTGATGTAAAAAGTGAGAAACTATATTTATTATTATTTTTTTTTTTTTTTCAAGAAATTGTCCATAAAAAAGTCGAAATTAGTGAACCCTTGAAACACTTCAATATTCTTAAAAATGTCCGTTGGAAATTGGGTTCATTTTAGGAAAATTAAAATATGGAGATCGGTTGTGTGCATGTTAAAATAGTTGTTTAAAAAGTTGTAATTATTTTAAAATTTTTTCAACAAGTTGTTTTTGCTTTACCCCAACTGACAAAAAAAAAAAAAAAAAAAAAAAAAACGCACACAACAAAGACGCTTATTTTTGCAAAATATAATTTAATCCTTTTAATTATCTTTGTTAAAAATTGTAAGAAAAACAACAACCGTGATAATTTTATAGTTTCCTGTTGGAGACATAAGCAGCGATTTAAATTGCACTATTTTAAAAAAAAAGAGAAGTTAGTAAAGGGTAATGATTTCGTCGTTAAATTAATTTCTTTTTTCAGCATCTTTACTCCTCACGCGCTCTCAAACATATTTTAATTTTTTTATGAAATTATCTTTCTTTTTCTTTTTTTTCACTCTTTAATTTTTCGAATTTTCCTCAAGTCAGACATAGGATATTACAGTGGTGTCGTCACGTTTTTGCTATTTTTAGAGAAATTCTTTTATCCGTGCACACATTTACGGGCAAGTTTTCGCATCTTTTTTCGGACCCGCTCAAACCTCTGCATGTGTTGCAGAACTTTACCTAACGGCTGTCTATTGGGACAATTGTTTAAATTAAAAAATCATTTTTTTCCATAATTTCCACAAAATTTGCTAAAATTATGTGAAGCAAGCAGGCCAGAATGACCTACTCATTGAGTCCGTTTGATAGTTCATTTATTTAAAAATTTATTTTATCATATATTTTATTATTTATTTTATTTATTTATTACTTTATTTTTTCTACATAAAATGTTTTGCTAAACGACATGGGCAAATCAATAAATGTAGAAATAGCCTCTCTATGACTTATCACTTTTGAATAGTCCAAAAATTTTGCTTAATTAAAACTGGTCTAAATTTTTTGCAAATTTTTCAGATTTTTCAAAATTATTTAAACTCCCTGTCCTAAATAAAATTAAAAATGAAAAACATTCTGTACATAATTTTTTATTTATTTTTGGTAAACAAGTTTGAATGCTGGGAAAAATATAAAGATGCTTCTGGTGACAATAATACGGGACAACAAGATAATGAAAAGGAAATTTCGACAGAAACGTTTAAGGGATATGCCGAAATACTTGATGATAAAGCGACAATTGGAGGACAGCAAACTCAGGAATCTAAGGGAGACGAAGATAAAGTGAGTGAAGCCGTTAGTGGAATCACTTCGACAGGAGGGAAGGACACTCATAACGAAGTTACTAGTAGTGAACATACTGTAGAAGGACAAGAACAAGAACAACAGCAAGAGCAACAGCAATGCTGTACGCAAACATGCAATCCACCTTGTGATAGTGAAAGTTGTCCCTCTTGTAATCAAGAATGTTGCGAATGTTGTCCCTCTTGTACTCAAGAATGTGATGAATGTTCTTCCTCTTGCCCGCTTACAAGTGATGAAGGATGCCAAGAAGACTGTCATTGCTGCAGCCAATGTCCAGATGGATGTTGCACTGAAGAAGACTGCCATTGCTGTAGCCCATGTCCAGATGAATGTTGCACTGAAGAAAGCTGTACTCAAGAATGTCCAGATACCACGTGTTGTGCTGAACCCCCATGTGGCACACGTGAAAATTCCAATGGGAATACAGAAGAGAGCTCTGTATCACAAACCCCAACTTCAGAAACTCCAACTCCAACACCCTCAGCACCGGGGAGTCCAGCCTCACCAGTTGAATCCCCACAAGGTGAAGTGAGTCAAACAGCACAAAGCGTCACTTCCCCCCAAGAGGAAGAAAACGTAAAAGAGATAAAAGAAATATTTAGTGGACTAAACGAGGTAACTAATAAGGAAGAAACAGTTTTGGAAGAAACAGATGAAGACGTAGATAATGATATAGAGGATGAACAAGATGAACAAGAGGAAGAGGGGAACGAAACAGAAAATGTTGAAGTAGATTTGGAGGAGGATGATGATAAAAATGATGAAGAGGATGGAGATGAGGAAGAAAACACTGATGAAGGAGAACAAAAAGAAGAAGCAAAACCTGCAGGAGATGAAAAAGAAGGTGAAGAAGCACCTGTTGCAACGGTTCCTTCCAATGATACAGAAGCATACAAGGCACTTGGAGGAGACAACAATGGAAAAACTGATATTAAAAAAGAAACTGCAAATATTGTGGATGACTTATTAACTCTTCTCAATGAAAATAACGAGGTGGAAGAGTCACTTAAAGTTTTAGCAAAAAACGTGGCTCAATATTTTTTAAACACTTTGAGCTAAGTAAAGCAGGTGACATTTATTTTGCACCTCTAGGTGTGATAATAATTAATATACATTTTTTTTTAAAATAGAACAATTATTTCTTTTTTTTTTTGTCACTATCATATTAGACAAATGGAAAATAGGACGTAGAACATGAGATATGGTAAACACCTCACTGTTCACTCCTTTCTTACAAAACTTGTAAAATCGATAATTAATAAAAAAGGAGTTTTAACTGGGCATATGTTAAGTAAATATTTGTTCAGTTAAGCATTTTACCATTTAACCATTTTAAAAAGCCTCGATATAGTAAAGTGGGGTGAAAGATGCGTAAAATTTGTAGGACACACAAATTGTGCTTTACCCCTTTTTATAACCATGTTTTACTGGCATTGCTTAAAGGGTTTCTTTATGCCATGAATTGACTGAAAAGTGTTATATTATTAAGTCCATTTTTTCAATTAAAATTAAAATGATAAAAAATTTACTTTAAATGTTTTTCTTTGACATGTGTAAATGTCCAATTGGAGAAATGATAATATTGCGTGTTCATGAAATGACCTCCTATTATTGCTTTTTTGAAAATACTTCATGCTCATAAAATAATATCCCCTTTTCTAGCTGTTTAAAAGGTGAAAAAAAAAAGTGTACTTTTTTTCCTAGTTAGTGAAAATGAATTTTTGTACCTAGTAAGACATCAAAATTGTTACATATTTATATAATTGCAATTAAGTGGAAAGAGGGGGACATGTGTTGCAAGCATGTAGTAAGTATGCACTTTTAGTAATTATCCATTAATTATTGTATTTATCTTTTCATCGTATATTAATTCTTTAAAGATACTGAAAGGAAAAAATGGAAATATCAATGGGATTCTTAAAAAAAGAGGAATTTCTTACTTTTACCTATATAATTACGGTCTTTTTTTTTTTTTTTTTTTTTTTACACATGCGCATCAGTGTGTAAATTTTAATTTTTTTTTTTTTTTTTTTTTTTTTTTTACAAAGTGAATAATAAAAAATGGATGTCAATTTTACTTAAATTCAGCAATTTAAGCGATTCATGCACCAGTTGAGATGTGTGCAACATGCAAAAAAATGACACCGCGTTAGACCATTTTAATTTTATTCTTCACCTCGAAGATGAAAAAAAAAAAAAAAAGACGTGGTAAAAACAGAATAAAATGTAAGTTATATCACAAATAATATTCTAAAAATGTAAGTCTACGTTTTTACTTTTGTCAAAAGGGGGGTACATCCATAACAGATTTAATTAAATGCGCACACACATAATATATATGTACTTTTTTCCCCTCTTTTTAAAAACATTTTTGCTTCGTTTTCGGATATTTCCTACTTCGTTTCTAAAATTTGGTGCATTTACTTTTATAGCACTCCGTTGCTTTCACCGTTCCGCTACCATAATTAGATGTAACGGGTGGCAACTAATGTAGACATTTGGGTACCCATTTTCACACTTTATAATTATTTACCTGTGTGGGAAAATAAACAAGCTTCCAAGTTAATTCACTTTCGCAGATTAAGACGTCATATGTTAAAATTTTTTTTTTTTTTTTTTTTTTACACTTTTATATATATAAATTCCCCCCTTTTTGTCACACATAGAAAAAGAAGGAATAATTAAGCTTAGATGTACTTTCCTGAAGTTTTAAATATGTTTATATTTTTTTTCCTTAATTGGAATAATGCTAAAATAAGTCAACTCATGTTTATGACGCCTGATTTATAAATTAATTTTTTTTTTTTTTTTTTTTCTTAAGATAAGAATAAATATAATTTCAAAATGAAGACAATTTTCAGTACCACTTTTTTATTTTTCTTTGCGAATTTGTTAATAAACTTACACAATGCAAAATTGACAAATTTCAATCAGCCAAAAGGTCATTTAAGAAATAGTTTTATGTATGAGAGTACATTAATTGGTGAGGATGAAAACGGTGAACAGGAATTACAGCAAAAGGAAAGTTCTCTCAATGTTGAGACTAAAAGTTTAGAAGTTGTAACAAAGGGGCAAGAAAATCCCGAGGAAAGTAAGCCTTCTGTGGACAGTATTAATGATGGCGGACAATCTCAGAATTCTTCCCTTCAGCCTAGTGTCGGTGAAATTGCAACCCAAATGTTAAGTTCGCATAGTGCAGGTGATGAAGGAAGTAGCCATAATGTGATTACACCAGCCCAGGGGCAAGAAGAAGCTGTAGAGGAGGAAAACTCCAACGAGGATGAAGAACCATGCTGTCATTGCATTGACGAATTTTTCGATTGTGATGACTCATGCGATAGTACTACGGCATCTAGAGATTCTCAACCACGTAATGTATCTGGTACTAGTGGAGAGAGTACGAGCACCTCGGCACAAAATGGACAAGGCACCGCTGCTGACAATGGAACAAATGGCAATAAATTCTTAGAACGAGTAAATGAAAATTTGACTGAAAACGATCGTGAGGAGGAGGTGGAATTGGAAATTGAAGAGGCCGATGTGCCGGAAGAACAGGAAGAGGATGATGCGCAGGAATTAGATGAAGGAATTGAATTTGAAGAAGAATTGGAAGACGAAGAAGATGAGTCAGAGTTAGAGGAAGATGAGGAAGAAGTAGAAGATATTGTAGACGTCTTGGATGGAGTGAACGCAGAAGCTACAAAAAATGTAACAACAGAAGAAACAACGGTGACAGAAGAAGACACACCAGCTGGTAATAATCTCGGACCACCAGCTCAAAATAACAAATACAGGGAAGCAGAACAACAAAAAAAAAATGCAAATGATTTAATAAAAAATGTAATAAATTCTTTTAATAGCGATCCACAAGTTGAAGATCTTTTCAATGGGTTAAAGCATGATATGACTCATTTGTTTACAAAAATTTTAATGAATTAGGGTTAGAGAGACAGGTACATGTGCTTATATACTAGTATGCAAGCACATGTGTGTATGATTGGAAGAATATATGAAAATGCTGTACTTTACTAAACCATTACATAGCAGATTTTAAAAAAAATGTCCATTTCTTACTTGTGTTATAAGGTTTAGTAAAGTTAGGAGAATACAGATAGAAACGGGTACCTTACGCATGTGGTGCGCTATTGTTACTTCGACCGTTTTATTTGATATCATTTTATCATTTTACCGTTTTATTATTACATTATTTTCTTATTTTCTTCTTTTTTTGCTTAATCAACTTACTGTCAATAATTTTTATTAAATCCTTTCATTGAATTTCTAAAAATTTGAACTGATTTTACTTTAAAAATAGGCCAACCACATGTAAAGGGCAAAATATACATATGCATATGTATACAAGTATATGCAAAATTTAGGAGCCTTTTCAATGATTTTTAAGTACCTATGTGTGTATCTGTATATGCACATGCGTACATATTCAATGAATACTTTTTTGAGTGCTTAAATTCCTCATTTTATGAAACTGTTTCTAATGATGGAATTGTAATTTTGCTTCAATCAGTAATTCGGCAAATAATCCACAACTTGGCAATTTTTTAAATTATCCATTAAACTTGAATGTGCAAAACTACACATGTGCAATAGTACGCCAAAAAAATTTTTTTAGAAATATAACTTGACTAAAAATGCAATTAGAGGAAATAGGAAAGGATATATACTTTAGGACAGATGGGAAGAGTTCTAGCTCATTCCTCCATATCATATACGTGTTGACTTTTGTGTTATCTATTGATCCAGCGGCTGCCACACAACTTTTGCAGTTGTTTCTACCTTTGAATGAGAACAATACAGTATGCAGAGAAAATGAAGTTTCAGATGAATATCAATTTTTTTCAGAGTTCTGTAAAATGTCAAAAAGTGCAACGAATTGTTTTAGAAGTGTTCCGTAATGAGTGCTTTATTTCTCATTCGCTAACAATTTATGCACTTTGGGGAAAATAAAAATTTTTTTTTTTTTTTATTGACTCGTTAGAATAATAAAAAGGGAGAAACGATGATGGAATAGGGGAAAAGGAGAATAAAAAAGGTAGACAAAAATTCTTAAATCTAAAAAGTGTGCAAAAGAGTAGACAAATTTTTTTAAAACAAAAAAATGTGAGAAAATGCTCAAAGAGCTGATTATCCAATTTCCTTTTCTTATAAAGTGAGTTCTCCTTTGGACTTATTTCCAACTTAGGTCAATCCTTTTTTATGTAGCAAAAAGTTTATTATTAAGATTAACTTGTTCAATATTTCAGTTTTCTAAAAATGTAAAACGAAACAACTTCTTTCACCATACTGTATAAAATCTTTTGAATATTTCAGCATATGCGAAACTTATGGAACACTTAAATAATACATTCATTTAAAAGGTTGAAAAGGTGGGTATATAAAAAAAGGACAATGTTTCACAACTGATTGTAAATGTTTTGAACTGCTTTATGTATTTCAAGGGAATGGCTTCTTAACAATGAACTGTGCAAAGTACAAATCGATTGTTTTTCTTGGTTCTGTTCATTTGTCAACTCCGCTTATCTGGTAATCTGTTAATGTGATGTTTTTTTGTTTATTTTGTTATTTTTATTTTTTTTCTATCATCATATTCCTAATTTCTGACTTCAATATGAGCAACGACAATAATATGGTGCAAAATGCAAGTTAAAATGATAAAACAGAAAAAAAAAAATAAAGTAATAAAATTAAAAAAAAAAAAAAAAAAAAACTAAATCAACAAACAGAAGTGGAAAATACCTCAATGTAACCCATTTCCAAAAGGAAATTATATTTTTAGTAAAATTAAATAGATGACAGCTTTTTTCTACCTAACAACGGCACACACCTTATCTTATTTTTATATGAATTTTAAATGCACCTGTTACTATCTTATTCAGATGCGATCCTTTAAAAGGATGACATGACAACAAAATTGTACTTTAAATTTTAATTCTATTTTAAAATTTTTTAACAAATTCTATCTAATTTTTTTTTTTTTTTTTTTTTTTTCTGGTGTGATGCCAAAATTAATCTAATGGGTGTCTAATTTGGTGAATTTCACGGAACACTGTCTATTCATTTTGCGCAACTTTCATGGCGTATCAAAGTACGATTAATCAGTAAAATTAAAGAAGTTATATATAATTGATAAAAAGGATTTTCATATATATCTGTATAATGAATTATATACATATTTGTACCACGAATTTTTTTTTTTTTTTTTTTCTATATTCATTATATATAGTATATAAGAATTAATTGAAAAATGAAGGAAACGTGGAAGAGCACTTTTTATTTTTTCTTTTTTTTTTACTTTTTAATATACTTAAATTGCTCAAAATATGCCAATGCAAATGATAAAAAAAATAATTTAAGAAATGGTTCTCAGTATGCAAGTAAATTAACTGGTAATGCTGAAGGTGATGAAATTCAGAATTTGCAGCAGGAGCACAACGATAGTGCCGCACTCAATGGAACTGATAATCAGGATTTAGGGACTACGGGAAAAAATAACGAAACTGAGCCTTCTCTGACCTCCACTGTAAACACAGTTTCAGGTGATTCAGATGTTTCATTAACAAATGGTGGAACTTGTCCATCTAATGTAAGTGAATGTGATGGTAAAGAGGCAGGTAATCAACAAACAAGGGGATCCGCTGGGGGTAGCAGTACATGTACAGGAGATAATTGTCAAGGAAATTCAAATGATTGTACTTTAGGAAGTGGACAGGCACAAAGTGAAAGCAGTGTGTGTCCAGGATGCAATGTTTGTCCAGGATGCGATGTGTGTCCAGGAGAAAATGACGCATGTGATAAGTGTAAAGATGAATGCGTAACATGTGGAAAAGAATGTACAGAATGCACAAAATGTGAAAAATGTGAAAAATGTGAAGAATGTGAAAAATGTGAAGATTGTAAAAAATGTGAAGAATGTAAAAAATGTGAAGAATGTGAAAAATGTGTTGAAGAATGTAATGAATGTGAAGATTGTGAAGAACAGTGCTGTACTGAGTATTCAGGAACAATATGTACAGATGGAACGACATGCCCTCAATGTAAAAGAACTCAATGCCCAGAAGCTGGTTGTGCAGGCACTGTATGTACAATAGATAATTGCCCAGGAAATGAATGCTCAGAATCAAAATGTCAAACACCTCAATGCCCAGAATCTGAATGTCAAAAGCCTCAATGCTCAGAAGCTGCTTGTGCAGATACTCTATGTACAAGAGAAGATTGCACAGAAACAGGTTCTACAAGAGCTGGTTCTGAAGGCACTGGTTCTACAGACACTGGTTCTGAAGGCGCTAATTCTGAAGTCGTTGGTTCTACAGACACTGGTTCTGAAGGCGCTAATTCTGAAGTCGTTGGTTCTACAGTCGCTGGTTCTGAAGGCGCTGGTTCTGTAGAAGCAAAACCTACTGAAGAAACTAGCACCCTACAAGAAATACGAGTGGACGATAAAGATAAAGAAATCAGTAGGAGAGAAGATGAAGAAGCAATGGAAATTGAAATGGAAATAGAAGAAGATGAGACGAAGGAAGATGGGGAAGACACAGAGGAAGAGGTTGAACATGTAACCAACGATAATGATGATGTTGATTTGGAAGATGAAGATGAGGAGGAAGAAGAGGAGGAAATAGAAGTAGAAACGGAAGACCAAGAAATTTTACAACCAATAAAAAAAATGGAGGAAACACAGGGTATTAGTCCTAAAGGAAATGAAACTCCATCAAGCGGTGCGATGGTTGATGGTGTAGTTGCTGAAAAATATAAAGGTTCCAAGGAAAATAAAAAAGCAGCTGATATGTTTATGCATACATTGCTTAATTTGCTAGAAGGTGGTGATAGCACAATTGATGATTCAATCAAGCAATTGGCCAATGATATTTCTCAATTTTTGCTAAGGTGAATAATTAAACAGTGTCATATTAGCATATATATATGTGCGTGAGTGCCTGTGTATGGATACACATATAAGTGTACATGTGCACATATATCTACGAAATCTGTTAATATAATTAAATTCAACTTAGATTAAAAGATCTAGTTTCTTTTTTTTTTTTTTTTCCAATCCATGTATAATATATCGTACTTGAGATAATAGATTTTTGAATTAGTCACTCTGTGAAACATGCCTAATGGAAAAAAAAAAAAAAAATGCTTTCAAAAAAAGGGGTAAATTTTTTTTTATCTCACTGTTCAAAAAAGTGAATATCTTCATATTATTAAATTATGAACAATTATTTAAATGAATTTTTTTAAAGTAAAAACAAAATTCGCACAGGTGAATAAAATTTATATAATATTACATAAAAAAAGAACCTTTTGGGATTAGGGGCCGCGCAAAGGAGTTGTGAAAAATGCGGGAAAATAAAATAAAAAAGGAAAATCCTCAAAAAAGCTAATCAAACGAATGTGTACCATTTAAAACAAAGTAATATATTTTTTCTTTTTTTTTTAATTTCCATTTTTGTAACTCCCTCAGGAGAGCGACTATTTGTGCTACATGGAAGTTCGAAATTTCATTTGTGCATGTGTCTTGTGGAATATGCGAATCGGGTCCACTTAGAAATAATCGAACATGCAGTTTTGCATGATGTATGAAATAAGGGTTACTTTCTCAGGCATTGGAAAAAATCTTTAAGGGGAGGCCAAGGAAAACTTTCCCCTTATATTAAAAAGAAATGTAAGTTCCGTTTGAATTTTTCCTAATTTTTCTCAATCGAGCATGAATACAACATGGAGTTTTGTTTCTTTGTCTTAGTGTATTTTATGAGCTACACGAGCATGAAATTTCGCTCTTTATATATACACATATTTTTAGCATCAGACTTAATGATCCAAAATAACACCGTGCAACGAAAAATCGAAAAACAAGTGTTAAATCATTCTTCTTATGAGAAAAAAAAAAAAAAAAAATGCGTGCACACAATCTGTTCAATTGTGTCTACTGTGGAAAATGTGAAAATGAAAAAACAATTCCACTGCATAATTTTACAACAAGTATCCTTTACGGTGTCGAAAAATGCAGAATAAAGAAAAACTTGTTGGGGAATCCATTTTTTTCCAATTAAAATTAATTACACATTTATCTATTCATTCTTATCTTTTGTTAAATCGAAACTTTTCTCATATTGACAAAAATTAAAAAATGGATGTGATCGATAAGATTTAAATTGTCTTTATGGGGTTAAAATGGGAAACTGTGTATTTGTGAAGTATGCATGGCACAAACGTGTCGTGTGTATGATGTGTTAATTTTGTATGCGGCAAAATAGTTGCTCTTAGTGAGGAACTTGCTTATGAAAAACTAATCATCAGTCCTACCTTGTTACCTTCAAATGTTAATTCGACTCGATCTATAATGAGATCTGCGTTAGGCTTGAAGACAATTGTTTTGATCTGAAAATCTAAAAGTGAAAAAAGGGAAAAAGTTTTCATGAAAAATGATTCATCACCGTTTAGTGTCACATTGTGGTAATTAAATTTTTATTTCTTTGTAGATTTTTTGTATTTTTTTTTTTTTTTTTAAGTTGGATGACTCATGTACCAGTTCATTTATCAGAAGCGTGTGTTGATGATATACATTTTTTTTTTCTTTTTTTAGTGAATGTAAATAGGTGTTGCTATTAAAAAATTCGTTATTACACCTTTATTGCAGATACCACATAACTAGGGTGAGGCGGGAAAAAAAAAAAAAATAAATGTTCCTCTATTGGTATTTTCCTTTATCGTTTTGAATATAATGGCAAAATGCATAAAATATTAGGTGCCTCCTTTTATTTATTTATTCTTCTTTTCTACTTTTATAACCCAAGTGAAACATTTGGCATAGAAAATAAAAAGGGTTTGAATGATGCAATTAAAGAGAAATCCTGTCTAAGAAGAGGTAATTTAATGCATTATTTCCTTGCAGATGAAGGGAATTTCATTTTAGACACAGATGTAAACGTAAATTCTAAGACGCGAAGAGAAGGGACAGGTATACCAGTAGAAATTTTTGCTGATGTAGGAGACGAAGATGCAAACGGTGATGAAAAACAAGATGTAGATTCCATTGACCATCTTGGAAACATACACAAGGAATTCCTTTTGGATATGATTGAAATGTGGAATAACCAGAATTATGATAAATATGGTGATAAGAAGCGTGACCAAATAAAAGAGATAAAAAATTTAAAAACAAAACAGTACAAACCTAACATAGATGATATGTTTGGAAGAAAAACCCATTCACGCAACGATTGGCGTGGAAATAAACTATGTGCATATATTTATGTCAACTGCTTAGTTCAATCTTATAGTGGATACAGAGAAAAAAATCAGATGCCGATAGTTTCAAAAGTGTCATCAATTAGTGCTAGTATCCCTGTACCTTTATGCCAACTTATGATTTCTCAACCCACGAGAAAATGCCCAAAGAAAGGTAGAAATAATAACTGTAGATACTCGACAAAAGCTAACAATTTCTTACATCCTCTAATTGGAAAATATAAAAAAAAAGACAAGACAGATAGGAATAATATTGACCATATCCTTGAGGAGTCAAATGAAAATATTTTGAACAATTTAATAAATGAAAAAAGTAAAAACGAAATAAGTGAAGAAGATGAGGACGACGAAGGGGATGAACATGTGCTAGATTATGATAAAAGTAATCCAGATGAGAATGATTATTGCAATGTGGGCTATTTCGAAAATGGAAATTTGTATTTTTACCCAATTGAGGTGGAAGAGGAAGACGAAATCAGCAAAAATAGCAATCGAAAAACAATTAAAAATAAGAAAAGAAAAACAAGGGAGAAAAAATCCAAGTTATTTGAAGCACCAATTTCAATATTTAACATTAAACGTTACAAAAATATTAATAGAATTAAGAATAAAATAACCAAAATATGGAAAAAAATGATAAATGCATTTATGTATGATCCTGATTATTATGGAATCCTCGTGTATTTGACGACAGACGCCGCTGATTTGATCATGAATCAGTAGACATTTGAAAGAAAGGGAAACAAAATTGTGCATGTGCATGTGTGGGGCTAAATATGTCTATGCATATGTTTAGCCACTTACATCTGTGCATGTTTTTTTTTTTTTTTTTTTTTTTACCGACTTCGTATGTATATTCATTCCTCTTTTGAGCCCCCGAATTCTCTAATTAGTAAAAATGCACATCATGTCGTTTCAAAAAGGGAGAAGCAACAAAGAAGAGCAAGATGAAGCAATATGAAGCAATGTTATGCACGGGAATTTGTAGTTGTCTTAGTTTTTTCTCACGAAATAGTCTTGTGATGAAAAATCATATGCATTACATTGGACACTTTTTAAGAAAACAAATTATACATGATTGCGAAATCATTTTGAAGTGTGGGCGAATTGAAAAAGTTAAATTTCCTTAACTCGGACTAAACTATAGTGGCATAAATAAGAACACAACGTTTTGCCCCTTTCACTTGGTTATTCACATACTTATTTATTTCCCTAATTTTTTTTTTTTTTTTACTTTTTCTGTCCCAACAGGTAAAAGCATTGTTTATTCCACGTGTGCTACCTGTGTGTGCATTCATTTTTACATATATCCCAATTTTTACTTTCCCACTTTTCCATTTTTTTCGGTTACTCCTTGGTTGAACGAAATATTACATGGTAGCACACATGGAAAGAAAAAATAAAATAAAAAGAGGATCTTTTTATTTTAATTACATTTTTGCTCTTTCGAGATTGATACGTTTAAAGAACAAAACAAATGATCGTTTTTTTTTTTTTTTTTTTTTTTTTTTCTTTTTTTTTTTTTATATTTTTTTACGACACCTTTAACGATTTTTTTGAATATTTGATAGACCTTTTTTTTTTTTTTTTTTTTTTTTTTTTTACCTCGCTTAAATTACAACTATCAGAACAATAGTGTAGCACAATGGGTCGACAATGCAACCTTGGGGACAAGCAACATTTTGGTTGTCATAATGTCAAATGCATTATAAAAATAATTAAAGGACAATTTTCAACATGATTAAAAAAAAAAAAAAAACCAAAACAAATATATATAGTCCATGTAAATATATGCGTACATCCAGGCGTGCATAACCCCCGAATGCACACAATTTTATCCACAGAATGCATGTCACAGTTGAGGTGTGGTTATTTGTCAACATACAGTATGCGAGGAATAATTATAATTCCTCAAGCCTCTTCGGAGAAAAAAAAAAATAAAATAATAATAAAATAGCAACCATGTATGATGAAAAAAATAAATAAAACAAGGTGGCAATTTTGCGCATAATTTTTTCTCATATTATATTTTAGCTTTTTCCATTTTTCCGTATTTCCTTATTTCCATTTTTCCGCATTTCCTTATTTCCATTTTTCTGCATTTCCTTATTTCCGTTTTTCCTATTTCCATTTTTCCGTTTTTCACTTTTTTTTTTTTTTTTGCTTCTTAATTTTTTCTTTTTATTCATTATCGTCCCTCATTCGCGCATCCCTCTGCCAACAATTTGTCTCATAATTAGCATTTTGTGTTTTAAAATTTAGACAAAAAATATCATGTCAAAATCTGTTCACTAGTTTAAGAAAAATTCGAAAAAAATACTTTCCCTCCTCTTCCTATTCATGTGAAAATATGCACAAATGGCATATGCCGGATGAGCTGTTTATTTTTGGATGTATTCACAAATCTGAACATATACAATTATGTTCATAAAACAGAGAACTTTGTGTATATACGTCAGGAAATGAACAAAACATTCTCTTCTCTAATTTTTTGTAAATTCAGTGGAGTTTACATGGAAAGGGAAAATGTTTAGTTCCCCTGAGGAGTTGAAAACTTCAGTGAGTAGACATCGGTAGCTTTTGGATAACGACAAATATTGATAGTTGTAATGGTTATCATCTCTACCGTTATAGTTAGCTTTACGTTTTTTTTTGTTTTTTTGAAAATATTTGACCAGAAAAGCCCCCCAATTGGTGCTTATAAGTCTGTTGGAATTCATAGATATTCCTCTAGTCTTTGTGATTGTTTCGACTTTGAGTATGATTAATGGAATGTAAAATTGTATGACATTCTTCAACCTTCTGTAAACTTATTTTTTATTCTTTAGTAAATTTTTTTTTTCTCCTTCATAATATATATTATATTCAATGGGATGAAAAAAAAAAAAACTTTTTAAAATTGATATTAGTTTTTTTTTTTTTTTTTTTGTTGTATGTGTGTGCAATCAGCTAGTTAGAACTTAGCTGGCCATTTTGTTCTATTGGTATATCTTATGTTCATACTTGTCTTAATGTTTTTTATAATTCATTTTTGTCATTAAATTGTTAAGTAATTTATGTTTCATTTTAGGCATTTTTTTGCACTTTGATTTTTCGTTCCTTATAAGCAAAATAAGAAAAAAAAAAAAATGAAGAACCTAGTGAATATTTCCTTTTATTTACTAGTTTTTAATTTGTGCATCTTCCTAATAAGTGCGAAAGCAGAAAACAATAATCCAAACACACCCGATGTAGCAACTAAAAAAACAAATTTAAGACATAACAATGAAAATACCGACAATTTAGAAAATAAACAAGCAGAAATTTTGACTAACCAAAAAAATGATTCGAATAAGGGTTCAATGAGCATGGACGAAACAGAGAGTGTTAACAAAGGTGAAAGTAGCAACAATGATTTGAATAATAAGGAAAATAGTACTGCCATTGAGACCCTTGTAGCACAAAATGCTGCAAGTGATGGTCAAGAAAATAAAGAGACTCTATCACAAGAAAATGCAAAATTAGAATCCATAACCCAAATTGATAAAGGAAACAATGAAGAAAAAAAGATAGTTCAAAAGGGTAATGATGTCCAAACGAATTCTCCAAATGAGATAGACATAAAGGATAACAATGCAGGAGAAGGAGAGAAAGATAAAACTGTGAAAAATGAAGAAGTAAAAAAAGTAGAACAAGTAGTGACATCACTTGAAAAAGGTACAAATATCCCCATAGGACATCATCCATATAATAAGGAAGGAGAAATAAATCTACAGAATGCAAATCAGGGGGATGAAAATATCAATTTGAATCATCCAAAGAAAATGATACCTTTGGATAAAACGAACAATCATTCTGCAGATAAATCAGAAACTGTGAATTCACAAGTAATTAATCCAGATGTATCAGAGAAGGAGAAAACAATTCAACGAGATGGAGCAATAATTCAGTTGAGTGCCAAATTAACAGGTGCAGGAGAAAAAAATGCGTCACGTGATGTAGAGGTGTCAGATTACTCGAAAGATGTAGAACCCATAGATGGAGCTGAACAACAAATCGTGCATGAGAATTCACACAAATCAAATGTTTTACACGGATCAGAAGCTGCTCCAAAATATGAAAATGCAGAAAGGTACGATATTGGAAACGCGGGAAATAAAACATTAAAGGAGGAAAAACACTTTCCAAATGGAAAAGAAGAATCGAGAAAAAATGAAGATGAAAATAAAAATGATACACAAGCAAAAAAAAATGAATTAAAGCCATGGCGTAAGAAAATAGATTTTGAATGCTTCGTAGAAAACGTCAAAAATAATGAAAATATACAAAATATGCAAAAAAATTTGGTAACGTTTTTACTCAATACATATGATGACTTTCTTGTGTTTGTTGATAAAGTTGTGTTTTTCACGAATGATGTTGTTGAGATCCTTCAGAACTTATGAATATTAGATCCATGAAAAGAGGAAAGGGAAATAAAATGGAATGACAATTCGTTTTATAGACGAAGTGGAAAAAAAAAAAAAAAAAAAAAAATTATACTAAATAAATTCGAATAACTAATTTTATAAACATAACAAAATGGCTTAAGTGAATTCAAATAAATAATACACTTGTTATTTAGAAGGATATATTAAAAAGAAAAATTATTACACACAAAAGGGCTAAAAAAGGAACTGCAACAGATTGTAGTGTGTGTACAGATGAATTCGCTATATCATAAAATAGAAATATAATCCTTTTTATTTTATACTATATTGTAAGAAGTTTTAGGATAATATTTCTTCGAAGATCTGTTTATGCGTTCCCAATTTGTATAATTAAAATGAGTACATGGGAAATAGTCCATGGAGGAATTCGAAAGTGAATGTGCAAGTGTTTAGCATACAATTAGTAGAGTATGATTATTCGTCATGTTGAAAGTGTAGATATATCTGCCCACATTTGTTGAAGTGTGTGTGATGTGTGTATATACACGTGCGCTTGGCAAGACAAAACAATAATTAATAATTTCACCTTAGTGAATGTCATGTCATTTTTCGCTAGTGTTATACTAGCACACCCACCTCTCCTAGGAGTTGATATTTTTAATTTTGCATTTTTAGCATTTTTTCACAATGCACAAGTAGGCATCGCAATTGCCTTTTTGTGTTTCTGAATAGCGAACTTTACGAGTGCCATAGGCATCATGATCCATATTGTTAATATGATTGTAATTTTTCGTATGATTGTACTTTCTCGTATTATTGTACTTTCACGTATGATTGTAATTTCTTGTATGATTATAATTTCTTGTATGATTATAATTTCTTGTATGATTATAATTTCTTGTATGATTAGAATAGTTCGTGTGGTTATCATAGTTCGTGTTAGCATTGTTAGTATCTCTAACATTAATCCTTTTATTATTTATTTTATTTTTATTTAATAATATATGCAACACCTTAACCAATGATAATCAAACCGAAATATTCCTTTTTTTAAAATTTTATACATGACAAAAACAAAGTATGCGAATAAGAATGAGGAATTAAATGGAGGTATATCCCATGAGAACACTTTTAAAACTTTCAAATTTATCAAATTGGAGTAATACCCTTATTTTAGTTCATTATAGTGATATATTGGGTATAAAAAAAAAAAAAAAAAAAAGTGGAAAAGGATAAGCAGTGAAGTTGTAAAAAAAAGAAATATTGGTATAAATAAAAATAAGACGGATCAGTGTCGAAACGTTGTTATATTAAAATAAATTGAGGATGATTTACATTCCCTTATTCTTTTTTCACTAATTATAACACACATATTAACCTATTGTGCGTCATTAATTCAATGAAGTGATCAGTACAGTTTATTCAAAAGTGTAATCATAAAAAAGGAGGTCATCAATTTATTCAGTACACACAATATTGCATAATTCATTGAGAAGTTGCAGAAATAGAGATTTGTTATTTTTTTTTTTTTTGGCTTTTACATATCAAGCAAAGATGTTACACACGATTATATTTGGTTGGTAGTTTTTCTGTATAAAGGTTCTATCATAATATGTTGTTTTCTACAGAAAAATCTGTGACACAGATTTGTTAATTTCAGCAGGATTTGTGCATTTATATATTCGTCTGTATATGTGTAAACTACAGTTTTGCTTTGTAACCTTATTTACACATTCTGAATATTTATTTATTGTTATTTTTTGTTTTTGTTTATTATTTAATAAAATTTTTAGAATTGTTCGCGAACTCTTCTTCTTTTTTACCTATTTCTTTAAAGTGTTATATTGGGTGCGAAAGCAGAAAAGCAAAAAGCGCTGCAATTTTTTACTTTAAAAAGAAAGAAAAAACTATATATAATATATATATGTATATACATGGTTTACACATTATCTAGTTAGTGTTCCAATCCTTTATTGTTACAAAGTGAAAATTTGAAGTAATTGTTCGTGTTCTTACACTTTGGGGGGAGAGAATTTTTCTATACTGTTGGAAAATAACTCACATCGGGGCAATTTTGGTTGTCCTTTCTTTATATGTGTACATTCGTATAAACGTGTGCGTATATTATGTACAAAAATTTTCCACAAAAAAAAATAAATTTCTCATTTATTAAAAGTTTTGTCAATTTGTGTAATTTTCAAATCGGGTGTGTTTTTCCTCATGTTAATAAAAATAGTGCATTAAAAAAAAAAAAAAAAAAAGAAACAATTTTTTTTTTTTTCTTTTTAACTGTTGTTGATAAGACGATTAAGCAACTGTGAGTTATACACATTCAAATTTATAAACCTTTTTTTACATTTTTTATGCTTTTTTTTTTTTTTTTTTTTTTTTTTCTCTTATCTTGTAAAATTTTGACAAATTAGTGAAAACGGAAATTGTTTTTTTCCACATTTAAACAACGTTTTACGGTCTAATGACACTGTTTTATATTTTACATTTTGTACATTTCCTGTGTTACATGATTCTATTACAAATCCAATTTTAAATTTGCGCATTCATTTTTCCCTTGACTTTTTTTTTTATAAAAAACGGGAAAAAAAATTAGTTATTTTACGTTTTTTACAAAAAATTTTTTAATTACGAAATTGAGTGCATGAATGGAGTACAACAACACTTGTTCAGTGTCCTTTAAGGATAATAAAAAAGAGTGTGTGTAGAAATTAGAACTAAAAGTATGATAAAAATTTCGATAAAAATTGTGACAAGAATTGCGATAAAAAAAAAATATGATTAAAACTACGACAAAACTAACACCTAAAATTTGTACTCTTCAATTTTTCTTTCACAAATTTGCTCACTAATCCGCTTGTAAGCTGATCCATTTGCTCATTACATTTCATTTAATCTAAACTTTTTGTAAACATCAAAAATGAGAATTTCTGGCTTTTCCATTTTTTCCATTTTACTTTTAAATTTATTTTTTTACAAAAATGTTGCTCAAGGCAACATTGTGACCCATGAGGCATCTCCCAGTTTTAGGAATGGCAACTCAAATAATAAAAGTAGTGAACATAGTAGGAAGAAATTAAAGAAACGAAATGAAAAACATAAGAATGTTCGTACTTCCACTAGGTCTAATCAAGAAATGGTACTCGGTTCCACAGGCACACAGAGCTTAGGAAGTTCAAATCAAGCAGCTCAAAATAATGCGATACAAGGACAAAGTAATGATTCTACAAGTCAAAGCGCAACACCCAGTTTAACTGGCATGTTTGCGCGATTATTTTTAAATACAATAGTAAAACCAGCAGTAAATTTTGTCATTGGAGGAGAAGCAGTATTTCCACCTCCTTCAGCCGCACAATCGACACCAGCTGCTCCTGCGCCGGTTAGCGCAGAAGCACAAACCACAGTTACTAACAATAGACGATTCAGGATAGAACTTGATAGCCAGTCCCAAACCTCCATGCATGACGTAACGGAAGAAGTTCATGAAGAACAATATGATAGTGAATCTGAAGATGATGATGAAGAAAGTGATGATGAAAGTGAAAGCGAAAGTGATGACGATGACGAAGAACTTCATGAAGATAGTGATGAGGAAACTCCATACAATGGTGAAGGAGGTGCAATAAATTATATTTCCAAAGAAGGTTTGAATCCTTTATTAAATGATGAAATAATACATATGACGCATGTACATGAGTATACAGATGTTGACGAAAAAAAAGAAAAAATTGAAGATTTCGTGCAATATATGAAAGATTCGTTGGACGAAAATGAAGAATTTGTTCATATACTTAATAATATTTCAGATGACATGACTATGTATCTACAAGAATGATCATTTGGGAATTCTCATTTCTCCTAAAATTTTATACTTGTTGCTGAAAAAAGATATATATAGAAGGAAAAAAAAAAGTTAACCCTTTGATCTATTTGACGCTAACGGATTAATTAAGGGGGTTCGACAAATATGGGAAAAATATTGACACAAAAATGTACACATATAAAAAAAAAATTCTGCTCAAAATGACTCATTGATTACAATCCTATTTTTTTTTCACATCGCGGCCCTTAAAATAAATTGTCTTTATCAACATCAGAAATTTCTAAAAATATCCCTCCTGCACACATAATTAAGAAGGAAAACAAAATAGCAAAAAAAAAAAAAATAAATAATAAATAAAATAAATAAATAAATAAAAAGATAATTCACTAACATGTAAGTATTAATTCCTGTACTAAACAAAAGGAATAAAAATTGAATTCTTCAAATATAATACATTGAACGGTAAAAAAAAAAAAAAAAAATTAATTGCGCTTGTGCGCATTCCTCCGGCTTAAATTTTCAATTGTTAATTTAGGTCACACGCTAAGATGCAATTCATATGCACCTCACACATGTATTTATGCATGCATGCACAAATATTAAATATATATATATATATATATATCCCACTGCTTAGACACATGAACACTAAAAGGGGGATGGACTAAAAAGAAATGTGAAAAAGCAATTAGTTTGTCCTCACAAAGCTGATAGTGCACAAGAAAAAAAAAAAAAATCTTCTTAACCCATTTTAAAATACTGCATTTTGAAAATGTGAAGCCAATTTTTTTTTTTTTTTTTTTGTGTCACTAGGAGAACATATTTTGCACTTGGGGGGTGTATGATGTAAGTCGTGTTTGTGCATTCTTGACTCTCTCTAATTTGCTCAACCACCCCTCTTTTTTAATGGTGATTTTTTCCGTTTTTGCGGAACTTGGTTAATTTTTTTCATAATATGATAATTTTTTTAGTTTGATTAATTTTCATAATTTGATTAACTTTCGTATTTAATTAGCTTTCATAGATTGATTAATTTGATTAATTTTATAATTCGCATATGTACAATATGCGTAATATTTCTGATTTTTTTTTTTTTTTTTGGCCCAAAGCTTCAAAATATTAGTTCACCTGTTAAAGTCGAGTAATATACATATCCCCTAACCTAAAAAGTACCCCTCTGTTCCCCATTCCAAACATACACATGGCCCAAAGACCATAATAAAATTTCTTCGTTCACGAATATAATAGAAAATGTTTTAATGAGAAGAATACTTTTTAGATAAGGGTATAAAACTTCATGGAGTTCTAACATATTTTTATTTTATTATTTTGTTTTATTATTTTTTTTTATTATTTTGTTTTATTATTTTGTTTTATTATTTTGTTTTATTATTTTGTTTTATTATTTTTTTTTATTATTTTTTTTTATTATTTTTTTTTATTATTTTTTTTTATTATTTTTTTTTGTTATTTTATTTGATTATTTTATTTTGTCATTTTTCTTTTTTATTTTATTATTTTATTTTTCTTTTTGTTGACGTATGAGATTTATTCACATAAACGTTCATACTGTGATCGCAAAATCTATTTTTGAAGTACGCCGTTTTTTTTTTACAATTTTACTCAATGGTAAGGTAGGGTGTATCCATTCGTTTTAGGTTTTCTAATAAGTATCATTATAACTGTGTGCTTATTCGTTGGAATATTTTAATTGCGGATTTAGTCAAAACAATGTAAAAAAAAAAAAAAAAAAAAAAAGAAATAAAAAAAAAAAAATTAGATTACAAAAGTTCATTACCTTCACACGATTCCTCTACAACGTGCTACGAACTCTTCTTTCAAAAACCATTTTGAATATATATACACATGTATATGTGATAAAAAAAAGGGTAAAAAATAAAAAAAGAATAAACCATGTACAAAATAACGGAAGGTGTATTTTCGGAATTTTCTTTTTCACTTTTAACTGTGCGACAGTTCGATTTCTTACGTTTGAAGATATATTAACACAGTGTGTTTTGTTTACACAATTAATTAAATGTGGTTAAGTGGGGACATATGTGTACATGTACATTTGAACACTGAAATAGGTGTGTCTGTTTGTGGTAAAAAATGTAGAATATCTACTTGAAAACGGGTTGGTTCAAGGGTGGTAGAAGTTAGTGGAAAGAGCATAATATTTTGCCCACAGATTTAACATCGAAAGGGGCAATTCGGATTTTCACCTATAACCTATATGTAGTTTGGCCAGTGTGACTAATTTGGCCACTATGACTGTATTTGAAAAAATGAAAAAAGTAACCAGGGGATGGAAAAAAAGGGTAAGGAAAATGGACAAATAAAATTGCCAATCCCGTTCGAACACAAAAAGAAGGTTTTTTCTCATCTGAAAAATTGTTAAGGGCACTTTTCTCATGTTTCAAGCATAAAAACGAAAAGTAATTAACAATAGAATAAATCGTTTTCATTGTCTTTAAGAATTACATTTTCATATGTGCATGGAGTAGCAGTTCATTGTCGGTTTAGGTGATAGGTTTATTTTTCTAATGTTCTTTTTCAGTTATTGCCTTGTTTGTGCTTTGGGTTTTTTTATTGCAAAATTGCAGCGTCACTTATCCGTTTGAGGCTTTTACTTTTTACTATTGTGCTTTATATTACTGCAGTTGATATTATCACTATTATTACGCTTACTATTATGAATACTATTAGATTACTATTATATTACTAGCACGAATATTATTACTCCTTTTTTTTAATTCTGCATTCTATTGCTATTTTTTTATCGTTTTATTTTTGCTCCAATTTATTGTCATAATCTTTTATTTCTTATTTGACATACTTTTTACTTATTTTATTTTATTGATTTTTTTTCTTTTCCTGCATCGTTTTAGTATTACTTTTTTTTTTTTTTTTTTTCCTTATTTTTGTGCACCTAAAAATGCTGATCCGTTAGGCGTAGATGGCGAACGAAAGAATACCTTTTTTCTGGCTACGAAAAAAAAAAAAAAATATATATACTATATATGTATATATATATAAAATATACATGTGTATTTTTAAAAACGTGTAAGAACACCGCCGTGCAAAAAATGGTATAAATTATAAAAATCTTTTTTTCTAGTTGACTACACAGGTACTAAAAGATGCATTTTTTTTTTTTTTTTTAAAATAGATAAATTGCTTTAATTTATGTATATTTGTATGTATATATATATTTTTTACTCCCTTCGCCCTAAAACTTTTAGAATTGTGTTTCACCATTATTATTATTTTTTTTTTTTTTTTTTTAAGCTCTAAAAATGAAAACCTTTTCGCGTGTTACCTTCTACATAACTCTTAATATTTTGTATTCTCATGGGAATAAATTTTTATGTAGTGAAGTTGAATCGAGCAGTACCCCTAATTTGAGAAATGGGTATGCAAGCAATACTTCATTTTCAGAAGGGCACAATATAAGTTCGAATGATAATGATGAATATTCTAGTAACTTGGGAGATCATTTTAGTACGGGTGATATTAATGAAGGCCAAATAGGAGAATATGAAATAAATGAAAATACAATAAAAACCACTTTGTACTCGGACGATGAAACCAAAGTACAGGATGAAAATAATTGGATGCAACAAGACATGAATTTGATTTGGGATACTGAGCAATCGGATACCTTTTCAATGGATAATGAAAACACTAATGAGGAATTGCAATCGGTGTTGTCAGAAATAGTAGATGAAATTCAATCAATGGAAGAGGAAGATGAACAGATGAAAGAAAATATGCAAGGAATGTGGAATCATAATAATAACGATGAAGAAGGGGATGAAGAAATAAAATGGTCGTACGATGAGAAACCAACGAACATGAATGTACACGAATCATTGAAAGTAAATCCAGATTTATTGGACAAAATTAATATACCTGATGAGGATATAATCCTAAATGAACAAAAGGGAGAAGTAGAAAACACGAATAATGCTGATGAAAACGCTTATGAGATAGAGAAAGAATTGTTGAGCGAATCAGCAGAAAAGGAAGAAGAAAGTAGCGAGGTAGAGCAAAAAAATGAAGAGAACATAGAACCTGAAGGACAAGAACAGGAAGAACAAGAAAAGGTAGTACAAGGACAGGAACATGTAGAAGAAGAAGATGAGATGCAAAAATCTGAGGAAGTAGAGGGTAGAGTAAGCATCAATGCATTAATGGGAAATTTTCTTCGTGGTGTAAATATTCGAGAGTATATAGATGTTGATAACATTAAAAACAATGCCATGAATGTGGGGCAAAATGTCTATAACTTTTTTACTGGAGAGAATGGAATTGTGAATATGATAAAGGTCTTTGCGGAAAATTTAACAAGAAGGGAAACGAACACAGAAGGTGAATGCCATGGAAACAGCGAACATGAAGAAATCGTTGAAAGTGAAGAGAACAATGTAGTTGAAGAAAGTAACGAAACTGAGGAAAGTAAAGATGTTGAGGAAAGTAACGAAGCTGAGGAAAGTAAAGAAGTTGAGGAAAGTAAAGAAGTTGAAGAAAGTAACGATGCTGAGGAAAGCAAAGAAGTTGGGGAAAGTAAAGAAGTTGAGGAAAGTAAAGAAGTTGAAGAAAGTAACGATGCTGAGGAAAGTAAAGAAGTTGGGGAAAGTAAAGAAGTTGAGGAAAGTAAAGAAGTTGAGGAAAGTAAAGAAGTTGAAGAAAAAGATGAAAATGAAACAATTTAATAGTATATATAGTATGCAATAGTACGAACCCTTACATTTTTCAAAATTCACATTTTCATAAAAATGGAAGACACTTTTTTTTTTTTTTCTTTTTTTTTTTTAAAAAAAAAAATACTTCCAACATGAATTTCACAATAGAAGGATGCTATACATTGTACAGTGAAGTTTCAGAGTCCTATATTAGTAGAACTCGCTTTGTTCGCATATTACATACATTTCACTTTTTCTCTACTTTTATTTTTGCACTATAATGATGTTTATTATTATTTTAATGTTTTCTTTTTTCTTTTTAACCCGTGTGTATGATCTATGCAACGCTAAAAATGGTGCCAAGATAAAAAGACTTCAATTTATTCAGCAAGTGAACACTTAATGAGTTGTTAATAAAGCAAAAAATTATTATATTTTTATCTAGCTAATAAAAATTCTCAGCAAAAAAAAAAAAAAATTGTTTTATTTCTTAACCACTTTGTGGTGTATTATTAAAAGTGCCCACAGGATGGGATGTTTTTTTTTTTTTTTTTTTTTTTTTTTTTTTTTGCCATTTTTCCGCTAAATATTTTAAAATTTGTGAATTAGTAATTATGTAGACGCACAAATGCGTATGTTTGTATTCGCTTGTTCGTCTGTTCACATGTTGGTTGGTGCGTTTGCTCGTACAATTGCTTGCTTTTTATTTCGCACTAAGGAATAATTAATAGGTCCATTGGAAAATAACGTTTCCATCGGCTGTAAAAAGTGTGTAATCACACACACACACACAAGTCATCTCATTATTTTACATTTTAAAGGAAGGAACCAATGAATGGACCATCAAAGGGGGAAAAAAAAATAGACGAAACAGATAAAACAAAATCGATCGAAGTCGTCGGGGTCACAAATTCTCAGCGTACATTATAAAAAATGAAGGATAAAATTTTGATTTAATAAAAAAAACAACTTAACCGCGTAATTAAAACAGAGGGGGAAAAAAAATTATTTTACTTTCCTTCGTAGGTAAAATTTTAATTCACACACTTGGGGACACCTTAAATCTACGACCCACTTGATTCCAAATGAGCAAGCAACATGGTGAAGACTTTTCAACTCATTTAGTTTTACTCGAACCTTGTGGCAAACACGAAGTCATTTCATTTTGCCTTACTTTGTTTTACTCTGTTTTTCTCAATTTTGCTATATCTTTCTCAATTTTGTTATATTTTTTTCAATCTTGTTATATTTGCCTCTATTTTGTTATATTTTTCTCAATTTTGTTTTATTTTTCTCTATTTTGTTTTATTTTTCTCAATTTTGTTATATTTTATTTTTTGTTTCCTTCGGTTCTCTTGAATTTCCCACTGGATTCGGGCACTTAGAACATTCGTAATTTTTTTTTTCTTTTTTTTGCAACATTGGAAAATGTCTAAGAACACTTCGAGGAAAAAAAAAAAAAAAAAAAAATCACCCAACTGCAAATTTTCTGTTAACATTGGAAATTTTTAGGAAAGTGTAAACTTTAGCTCCGTTTTGAAGTAGAAAATCTCGTGTTCGTGCTTTAAAAAGACTTTTTTCATTTTTTCGGTTTTCTCGATTTTATAGTCTCCTTTTCGCCACATTTTCAAATTTTTAACCCCTGTTTATGTCACTTTTTCCTTTTCTTATTTCTAACCCAGATTCAGTAATGTTTTTTCTTTCCTGTTTTTAACCTAGTTCCTGTCATGTTTTATCTTTGCTATTTCTAACCAAGTTTTCCGTCATATTTTCTCTTTTCTATTTTTTATTTTGTTTTTCTTTCAAAAACAACACTTTTAGAAAACATGGAAACAAAATAAATTTCTCAAAGAGCAAAATTTCCACTGAACGAACAACATCATATAAAATGTGTTTAGGTGCAAAACATGTGTGTAAATGTCCATACGTTTATACATACCCTATTCCAGCATAGTTTTTTAATCCATCTTTTACAACCAATTTTGGTATTTAACCATAAGCGTCTTCAAATTTGTTAATTCTCTAAGGTGAAAAGCTATTTATCCATTCGTTTCTTCAAAAAAAGGGGAGAAAAAAATAAATTTTTTGAATTTTGTGAATTTTCTAATTATTCAAATTTTTATAACTTTTTCTGTTCCAACTTTTGCACTTTTCTTCTCAAACAGAGTGGAATTAAGGAACAAATTCAGGTTATTAATAATAAAGACAACACTCTTCAACGTCATAAAATTATAAGTTTTTTTTTTTTTTTTTTTTTTAAGCCTTTTAATTTTTCTCATAGCTAATTCAATTTGGACGGTAATTTACCCTTTTAGCATACTTCACCACATTGTCCCTTTTTTTTTTTTTTTTTTTTTTTTTTTTTTTGAAGAAAAAATGAAAAAACTGTTAGGTGTATTTTTTTACTTTTTTTTATTAAGCAAATATATAGATGCCAAAAATGGAAATTTGCGAATTGGTGATAGTAGAGATAATAAAATGGAAAACAACAAAAATGAATTTATGAGTGGATGGGTTCCTTATTATGCACCTCCAAAACGTGGAACAATGCCAACTGAATTATTGGTTGAACTTCCAGAAAAAACAACATTTAGAAAATCTGCAAATGTGTCAAAGAATGAGAATGAAGATATGATAAATATGAATGATTTAGAAGGATTGGATGTAACTAACAATGACTCTTTTCAATATAAACTTCAATTATTGGAAGGAGCAGATGACTCCTCTGAAGACACAGAATTGAAAGAAGATTCCTCTTTACCCCACAGTGAACAAACAAAAAATTCAACTGATGAAGAGATTCTCTCACCTGGTGATGAACAAAATTTTGTTACATTGACAGAGAATAATGCAGGTGAGCTAGCAAACCACAAACATGATGAATTAACATCTGAACCCGTGACTGAAGAAATAACTGAAAAAACAGATGCAGTAAATAATGAAAATGCAGAGGTGAAAGAGGAGTTGCAAACGATGCCAGAACAAGGACAAACCAATGATGGTTCTATAGATGCAAATCAAGAAGAGTTAACTACATCCAGTGAACAAATTATAAATGAGGAAGAGATGGAACCCCCTGCTGCTGCTGAGAATGAAAGTGATGTACCTGAGGAAAATGTAAATGATGACTTGAATCAGGTACCAAATGGAAGAAATGACGAGGCTGTTGATACAACAGAAGAAACAAATGGAAAAGAAAATACTTGTGATTTAGAGGAAGAAGGTGATTCTGGTGATGGTGACGATGATGATGATGACGATGATGATGACGATGATGATGGCGATGATGATGGCGATGATGATGGCGATGATGATAATGATAGTAATGGTGATGGTAATAATGATGGTGATGGAGACGCGGAAGAGGATAGCGAAATGGGAGATGAAAAATATGAAGATGACTATGACAACGTAATGCATAAAATAAATGAACACGAAGGTGACTCCACAGTGAGTGATAAACAAAAACATTTGAACAAAATGGATATAATGTCAATGCTTGTAATAAGAAATATAATAAATTCATTAAACTATGACTATGTGGCTATGGACTTCTTTGAGGGTTTGAATTCGGGATTAATTAATGCACTTTATTTTTTTTGAAAGGGAAACAGGTGAAAAGAAAAAAAAAAAAAAAAAATGTGAAGTCAATTAATAAATAGATGAGGAAATAAATGTAAGATGAGAATAGGAACAAGTACGTTTATGTTATACATATTATCAGTTTTGTCTACCATGTTTAAATGTGTTAGTTAATATTTTTAAATATGCCTAATCTTTCCTTTTTTTTTTTTCTTTTTTTTGTTATTAAAATCGTGGATACTTCTATGTAAATATCAGCATATGTTCTAATTCGTGTGTATGCTAATGTTAACACTTTTTTTTTTTTTTTTTTTTTTTTTTTTTGTTTCTTCCCCATCCCAATGAATTTTATTAAGAGATACATTTCATATGTTTCTTTTTTAAAAAATAAATAAATTCAGTTTAGTAACAATGAAAATTAAAAAAAGGAATAAAAATATAAAAAATACAACACAGGTATGTTAATTTAAGTGTTGCTATTATTTCATCAGGTAGACAGTTTCGCTACCCCAAGTAATTTGGTAAGTATTTCTTATCACTTGTATTCATTGTACTGTAACACACTAGTGGGCAAACTTCTTAAAAAATAGCAAAACTAAAGCGTTTCTTTAATTAGCGGATATCTCAAATGGGTCGAAAACAAGGGGGAAAAAGCATAATTGCGAATCGTTTGAACACGTGTTTATATATAGAAGTAGAGAAATGGTACAGTCTTAAACTTTTTTTTGTGCTGGATGACATGTAAAGTCATGCTTATCATGTTATTTCATTTGTGTACTCGAGCGTTTAATTGTAATGGAAAATTTTATTGTGCTTTTATTTTTCTTTAGTTAATATAGATAAAAATTCTACAGTTTAGAAAAAACAACAGTGTATACTTTTTTTGTTTATCGCTCCGGTTTGTTACAATGAGGCAGGATGATTATTCGCTACATAAGCACTGAATCCCGTTTTGGGGAATAAATATTTTGAGAATATTATTTCTTATTTTATGTTTTGGTTAAAATGTGTCATATCTAAGGGATATTATACAGCATGGACAGTGCCGATTAAAAAAGTACAAAAATAAATTCCCTTTGCAAGTCATTTCCACCTGATATAACGTGGCAAAAAAAGGTACACTGTTAGTAATTGTAACATTTTTTTTTTTTTTTTTGACTATTTCTCCCGAAGTTTAATAGAAGATCCCTATGCTTTTTGTGAATTCATTTGAATGTGCATTTTTCGAAACGTTTTATACTTTCTAACCAGTGTGCATGTAACACACACTTGACATAACATGTTTAAAATATATGATTTTGCAATTGGGGGGATCCATTTCACATAATTATATACATGGAAATTATCTATCACAAATAAAAGTAAAGAAATGTTACTTTTTTTTTCATTTTTTTTGTAACTATTTTTTTATGTGCATCTAATCGGATGAAATGATCAATTTGCTTAAATCCCAATTTGTACATGCACATAGTACTATTTCACCTGTTTTATATATTTACATCTTTGTCGCTTCATTAAGTATCAATACATTTTATTTTTTAATTAACTCCTGGATGAGGAGCTTACTTCACATTAACATTTTTTTGAGAGAAATTTTCTTATGAGCAGCTCATTTTTGGGAGAATTTCACCCACTTGTGCAAAACAGTTGTAAACAGCAGTACTTTATGTTAACATGGCTGCCTGCATATTCTACATAAATGTGAAAAAAAAAAAAAAAAAAAAAAAAACATAAGAATTGAAACTGCTGGGAAAAAATGTTATCGAGAATTCTTCAGTTGAACCGAAATTATTGTCCTCTGCTTTTTGTCCCAATGAGAGCACCCGCAAAAAAGAAGAACATACAGGAGAAAAAGAAAAAGGAATCGTAAGTCCTTTCAAATAGAACAGAAATGCATTGTCGTTTCTAAAGGAGAGGGGCCTGGGACACACATCTTGGTGTAGAATTGAGTTATGTTCGGAGACGAGATAACAGAAAAGTATCTCTCCCTCAATATATGTACATATATATATATGTATATGTATATACACATATGCATATCGGTTATGGGATATTTTGTTCCCCTTATTTATTGGACCAATTATTCATTTTTTCTTTACTACTTTTTCCCACACCTCTTAAGAGCTGAAGATAAAGATAAATTGGCGGAAACTAGGTACTTGCCATATATTCCGCCAGCTTACATTTCTGATACTGTCTCCTTTTTTAAGGACAAAAATAAGGTAGATAATTTGCTGTCACTAATTTTTAGCCCCCAAAATTCAACGGACACTTATGAAGACCGAGTTGAATATCAGAAGAAGTTTGAAATGTATCAAATTTTGAAGCAAGTACTAAAAAAAAAAAAAAAAAAAAATGAAAACCAAATATATTTCCTCTTCATGAATGCATATTTTATTCCCATCCCAATATGCATATCATATTTACAATTTTTTCTTATTTATACATTCTATATTAACAAATTATATGATCTCAATGAATATTCTAATGCTTTGTATTCTTTATGAGGAGTAAAAATAGACATGTCGATATGATGGTTATGGCATAGGCCAAAAAAAAAAAAAAAAAAAAAAAAAAAAAACATCTATCATATATTATACTTTTGAATAAATTATAATGTGTATAATTCAACAGCTTTTTCCTCCCATGGTCCCCTACCCTTTTTCCATGATACTTAATGTTATCACTTTTTTCATTCCCTATATTATTAAACTTCCCAAAATAAAAAAAAAAAAAAAATTTACAGAAAGAAGAAGAAAAATACGAAAGACATTTAGAAAAAATGAAAGAAAAAATTTTCAAGTCAATTGAAAACCTACCAGAAGAGTTATATGATGAAAGTATTAAAAGTGGCGAATTATTTGATCATAAGGAAATTCAGTTTGGTTTAAAATATGAAAATGATTTAGTGAACAGTTTGAATAATTACAGACAAAAATTACTCCATGTGTATAAGATCCTGCTTTACCTACGGTTCCCATTTTACTTAATTAAAAAAAAGAACCCCATGCTTTTTTATATAAGTGAAAGTAAAGCTATAAGTCGACAGAAGCAAATTAATGCACAAAGGAAAAAATTAAAAAAAAAATAAATCACCAAATGAGGTGGAAATATTGTCTATTTGTCACTAAAACGCAGTCATTGTGCTTTCACAACACACAAACACACACAAAAAAAAAAAAAAAAAAAAAAAAAAGTGCCTATTTATACTTTTTCGTCTGAGTGAGGTTTAAATAAAAATCTCATTAAAGTATTACGTCATATCATCGGAAAACGGAACACTGGCTAACCTTTCATGGGAATTTAAATAACCATTTTAAGCTTCTTCATCGCTGTCACTGTATTCCTTTTAAAATTAAAAGTGAGAAGAAAGAATAAAAATGAAATTTTTTTTTAGAGCATAACACATTTTGAATAAGAAAATGCTTACTATTCTTTTATGCTTTTTCAATTAGTGCTTTTGAAAAACTTCTACGATGGTATGTGTGTATACGCACATTAATGCATTCTTACATATATACATATATGTATTCTTTTTTTTTTTTTTTTTTTTTTTTTTTTTTTTGTGTATGTGGGTTTATTCTATCCCATTACCATGTTGCTAATAAGCTTCTTCTTATATAAGAATTTTTCCAAGTCCTTCGTTTTAAAGGCGTCATTATCTGTTAAATGTAATGAAAATTAATTTTAATGATGTTGTGTGTGTGTGTGTGTTTATGATTTTATTTGAGGGAGGGAAAAACTATTATGCATGCGTTTTTCCTTTTTTTTCTTGAGCACTTCCAAAGTCTTCAAATCCAACACAGGTTTTAATGAGGACTCCATCGATAAATAAACATAAGCTTGGTAAAATTCTTAAATTCAACTTGTTCATAAAAAATAAGCAATTCTTAGCTTCTACTCTGCAAAAGGGTATCATAATGGATGGGGTGTGTATGTTGTGTGTTTATGGAATGTGTGTACGTCGCAATGAGTACCAATATTTTCGGCATATCAGGGTCCTGTTGTTTTTATTTTGTCACTCTTATTGCGACTATTGATGCATTTTCTCTTTTTATTACTTAATAAATTTAGTAGCCAAATGTATATTAGCCAATTTAATCAAATGGGCATGTAAAATGTTGCATCGCTTGAATGTGTTATCATAAAAGTGGCATACCTTATGCGGAAAAAAGGAGAGGAAAAGTTACAACATATATATATATATATTTGTTTTTTTAAAATTAAATAAATAAAATTATAAATGCATGTACATGGAAATGTGCACATCAGTGTATATACATTCACATATATATGTATGTATATATATGAATATTTTACCACATTGCTGTTTTTTAGAACCGTTGGAATAAAATCTTTCTCACTTATTTCGATATAAACACCGTCTTTCTTTAATTCCTGCTTCTTCTATTAACATTAAAAGAAGGGGAAATAGAATTGTAAGATGGCACATAGGTTTGGGATTGGTGAATAGGTACCTTATGAAAAAAATAATTTTGTTCATCTTTTTTCATCCGATTTTTGTCAAAAAATTTTCATTCTTTACTTTAAGTTGTGTCAGTCTTTTTTCCCTCCATTTTCGGATTTCCTCCTCGTCGCTGTTTTCATCTGCTAAAAAATTTCATGTTGTTGTTTTTTTTTTTTTCCCAACTACTTTTGTATTTACTTAGTTGAATATCTGTTTACTTTTCTAATACAGAAAAAGAGTAAGTACATTGTAACAAGTAGTTGGTTACATGTAAGATAAGATTAAATATGAATACGCATGTATTTATGGGTCTACATATCAAATCAGACATATGTAAATTCATAGGCCCCTTAACGCATAAGCCCTTAGTACTAATTTTCAGTCTTTATATTGTTTATACCTCGTGGTGAATTATCTTCTACCTTTTCTCCATCGAGCCACTGTTTACTCTGCTCATTTTTTTGATTTTTTTCATTTTCCAATTTGAACTCTTTCGATAAGTTCTCTTTCGCTTTTTCCTGTAATGTTTAGATTAACATGCAAAAAAAAAAAAAAAAAAAAAAAAGAAAAACGTGGGGTACAGTGTTATGGAGTGCTTTTTTATAAGGTCCTTTTCATAATATTTAACAACGTCACATTTTATTTGAATTCTAGTTCTACGAATGCATTTGTTATGTGCAGTCATGTTTTTATAAGTATGAGTACATACATGCACACTAACAAACATATACACACTCTCCTTTATTCTTTTATGTGCGAATAATATAGGTATGTATTTTTACCAGTGTAATGGCCGTGCATATATCAGTCAATTTGTTTTTCGGAATCATGTTAGCACTGCCTTTACTTCGATAAATTATTGAGATTTGTCACAATAATTGGAGTGTAAATTGTTTCTCTCAGTTTGCTTTATTTTATTATTTTCCTTATCCTTATAAAAAGGAAATACGTTGTTTAAAAAAAAAAACAATATCTTAAATGAATATGTTTTTTTTTTAACTTTTTTAATTATGTCTTAGTTATTTTAAATGTTTATATGTCTAAAAAAAGTTTGTATAAGAGTAGTTTTACGTTGTTAAATGAAGGAGAAAGTGAAGGGTTATCGTAGAATGATGGTTGCACATATGCAAGAAAATAGCTTATATACACACAAAATGGAAATAAAAAAGAAGGAATTGAGAATAAAAAAAAAAAAAGAAAAAAAAAGGAGGTAGGAGTGTGAAATCGGTCCGGTAGGGAAAGTGTGTAACGTAAAAAAAAAAAAAAAAAAAAAAAAAAAATGGAAAATAAAAAAAAGTTATACGCAGAATAGAGGACACAAAATGGGGCATGTCAAATCTGTAAGCCCAACGTTACTGAGTTGAATTTATTAAAAAAAAAAGTAGGATCTACAATATTCTCTTAATAAATATATGCATAAATTTTTTTTATGCAACAAATTCTATGTTCATATGGTGTGAATTCTGAATGGGTATTCAAATTCGAAAAAAAAAAAAAAAAAAAAAAAAAAGTTAATTCCGTTTAGGGAAAATGTACAGATAAATAATCGTGAGATTATATAAGCTCGTGCATGTTCATATATATATTTATATTTCTGAAATGAAAATTTATGCAGCTGCATAAAAAATTTTCATATATCGACTTTTTATTTGCTCTTTATGTATTATTTGCGTATATTAGTGACTTCTTATAGGGTAAAACTATCATTTCACTATTATATTGTTTTCCATTTCTTCCATGATAGTGGAGGTTAAATATAAATTTTAAATTTCTCTTTATGCACTTGCTTATATTGTCCCATGGGAATTGTATGGCTTGGTGGACGACACGTGTACCATCCTTATATATGTTTTCATAGATATACACATTCATTCATGTATATTAATCCTTTTTTTTTTTTTTTTTTTTTTTTGACGCTTTTGACAGATAAAATTGCACCGTAAAAATCCCAAGGTCGAATAAAAGACCTTTCCCTTTCTTATTTGACCTCCTTTTTTATAGAAGTCAATTTTTTCAAACATAAAAAATATAATCAGAATTATAAATGATAGGCAACATATATGATAAAAAAATCTAGTATGGGACAAAAACTGGATATTATGTTTATGCTGTTTTTTTCCTTTGATCAACTCTTTTTTTTCTTTTCAGTATTACCGTTTTTTGTTCTCCACTCTTCAATGGGAAAGGCCTAAATGTGTGGGTGTGTGACAGAATAAAAAGAAATATATATATATATATATAGTATAAATTACAAAATAGGGTAAATGGTAACTATTTTTTTTCTTCTTGACTAAGCAAAAACATATGGGAAGTCTTTTCTCATAAAAGAACATTGCATGTGCTCATTTTCCCCTCAGCATTTCATCTATCTCCAATTTCTTATTTTATTGAACTTACCTGAAGTTTCGTTATGCACCTTGTAATACTCTTATTAATTAGAATCCCAATTATAAAAGAAAATACCATTTGCGTATAGTACCCATCAATATGTACACATTTTCCTGAAAACGAAAAAAAAAGGGCCAATTTATTTTGCTAAACATGCATACTCCGAGAGTTTATAATTAAATAAGTATTTGAGGGTGTGTATGGTGTGTTCTAACGGAATGTAATTTTACATTTGGACTTTTTTAAAAAATGTTATATGTATATTCATGCTAAAAATGAAAAGATCTATATACCTCTGTAGCACACTGTTCTGTCGGTATAATCCAGGAGCCATAAAAATATGGTTGACCACTACAAAAAAGAGGGAAGATGAGAAAATAGAAAAAATAAAAATTAGTGTGTGTGTATGTATGGGAGGGATGGAAAAAATTATCATTTTGTTTCGTTCTTGTGATGTGTCGAAAGTGGTTTATAGCTTTATCAATTGTAAAGTTTAAAAAAACGTATGTCTGTGTTTTATGTGTATATTATTATATTTATGTATTACGTGTGATCCCATGTTATTAACGGTATTTAGAAAGGTCATGTATGTCCCACCTATTTCGGGATCTGAAATTATGTTTTGGAAGCTCATCTGTGTAAAGTAGGGTGGAACATAGAATGAGTGAGAAGACAAAAAAAAAAAAAAAAAAAAAAAAAGGTACTAGGTGCAATAATAGATGGAGAGAAACAAATGGATATATCTAAACATGCAATAATCCATGTTGTATATATATTTTTTACCACTAATACACAATTGCAAATATATGAAACTCTCCATCATAATGAAGGAAAATTGAACATATTATTATTTTTGATGATGAGGGTTAAAGATTAATAGTTTTATTTATTTGAATGATCATGAACTAAGTATACATAAAAGTACATATAAAAAATTATAGAAACAGGAAATAGAAATTTCTTACCGATGATACTGTCATCAAATCGATGCAGAAATGATTAAACACTTGAGCAGCGAATATGTATAAATAGTAGGAGTAAAAATAGATCTGAGGAAGTTCTGACTTGTTCGAGTATATATACTCAGTTAAAGGTAAAAGAGTAGACAAAATAATATTTGAAAAATATCTTAATACATATCCATAATAATAAATATTTAGAGGGTTTATATTTTGTGCAATTTTCCCTATAATTGCTGATGATATAATTGATATGGGAATAAAGAATGGGTTAAAAATTGCAAACTCTTCTTTTGTTATTCCTTTTTTCAGCATTTTGAAATTCGTTCCAACCTCCACGGATGCAAATGGAAAACGATTTAATAAAAATATAAAAATGAATATTTTCATGGGAGGTAAAAATAGTAATTCGTACAAATTTTTATATGTGTCCTTTGAATTGGCAAACTCGTTTTGGTATCCTCTTTCTTCCTTTTTGCTACCAACATTTGGTACCACGACTGTTTTTTCTTTTCCATTATCATTCATTATTTCTTTTTTAAAGCATGTTAATATTGTTAGAGCCAAAATAAATGTTCCCCAAAATTTCAAAAAAATATTCATATCAACAAATGGTTGAAATGATGGGTATATTATGTCCATGTTTTCATGCAAATTTCTGTAGTGACTGGATTCCTTAAACATACTATGCATGTATTTTATATATTTCTTAAAAATGTAGAAGCATATGTTCTTGTTGTTTAGTGTTAAAAATGATAACTGTGAGACGCAGTACCCGATGTTCTGTCCTAGGATGTTGCAGGTGGAGGCTAGCCTGCAGAAGTAGAAGGGTAGATGTGAAGAAGAACAAGAAGAAGAGGAACAAAATGAAAAAGGGATCAACTCCTTTATGCAGGTTCTAATAACGTCAGCTTTTTACCATATGCAGCAACGTTACATAATTTGCACAGAATATGGGGAATTGAACAAATCTCGTAACTATTTCGTATAGACTATGATCATACTCGCTCTCTATATTTTTGTCTGCCATATCTAGTGACTAATTTTTTTTCTGTAGTTTTCGATTACCCCTTGTTTTCTTCTGATAACATGGTTAGTGCCCATCCGTCGACTGCAATATCTTGGGTAGCCATCAAAAAAAAAAGCACAAAAAAGAAGCCCGTTAAGAAGTATAGATTTGTGCTGTTATTCTTTTCCCCTAACCACACGCTCACATTGTTACTATAACATATCATTGACAAACTACATATTAGCTGCAAATTGGTGAGTTATTTTCAAAAGTAAATTATATTGCGTCATTGTATAGGTTAAAAATTTTTTTTTTTTTTTTTTTTTCTTTTCTTTTTTTTAAATACCTGAAGTGGAATTATCCAACTTTTCCTCCTCCCAATTTTCTTATGATATACAGAATCGACAATTGGTGCCCATAATAATTTTAAGCTAAGGAGAAGGATATTAAAAAAAAAAGAAAAATTATTTAAGGAAAAAAAAAAAAAAAAAAAAAAAAAAGCATTTCTTTTTTTTGGTCATATACTTGTTTGTAATGTTTTACGTTTTCTGTGCTAACCTAAAAGGTATACTAACTAAAGACAAAATGCTTAACTGGGAGTAGCTTACTTTGTCTTGAATAACTAAGGGTACCACAGAAGAGACCCCGATAGGAACGCCTTGAAAGGGGAAAAATGGGCACACTCATAAGTAGGTATGTATGTATGTGTGTGTGTGTGTGTGTGTGTGTGCGTGAAGTATGTATATGTGCATCGGTATGGGTATATAATCGTGTCTGTATCTAAACAAATTGCTTCAAACACACATATGTGTGTTTATGTTAGTAGCGTATTGGTCGCATTTCAATTATTATTTAAATCGAGAGTGATATAAAGCAGTGATAAAATTGTGCTGGTGGTAGAAAAAGGAGGGAAACATATACTTTCTCCTCTTATACATGTGTTCGTTTGTACAAGTAATTTTATTCATATTTATAAGTGTATTTTTATCTGCATATACAAACATCAATGTGATAATATAACTCACAGTTGTAAGTTGTCCGCACCAATTCATCCACTATATACCAATAGAATATACTTTTCATTTTCCTTTTTCAATTATCCCAAGACTGGATATATGTGAATGTATAGGTTTTCTGGTGCAATACAACAAGCATCGTATTTCTCTGAACAGTTAAACAAATATTACCTTGTATTGTATATAACAGTAATAAGAAAATTACGTTATAAAAATCGTTACCCTTGGGGGATACCTTTTCTTCTTCTTTACAATAATCTCCATCTTTTATTGTGTCATGTTTTTGTTTCTTTTCTTTCGATACATTCGTGTCAGTTTTATCATAAACAAATTTGCTCATAATGGAAATTATGCTATTTGCTTGCGATTTTACGAATATATCATGTGTTTCTATTTCTGCCTTAATTTTTGCACTTGGCTTATTTTATATAAGCTTACATGGGAAATCTTTAAACTGTTTTTCCTTTAGGTCAACTTTCTTTTTTTCTTCTTCCTTTTGTTTTTTGTTTTATTTGTTTCTTTCTTTTTTTTTTTTTTTTTCCTCCTTCGAAAAAAAATCTTTAGCAATTTTGTTTTATTTTTTCTCTCCCTCATTTAGTTTTATTTTTAAAAAAAAAATTTTACACCTTACTATTTACGTATGCACTCGTTTTTTTTTTTTTTTTTTTTTTTTTTTTTTTTTCCTCAAAGGGAAAATCAATTGGAAAGGAACAAATTGAGAAAAGGAGAACGAAAAAAAGAAAAAAAAAATAGGATACCCAATAAAAACAGACCTTTTGTAGTTACATTTAAAAACAAAGAATAAAGAAATAAAAAAAAAAAAAGGAATAAATTAATGAATGAATCAGTTTTATTACACCAATATTTTTATATATAATCTTTCTGCAAAGAATAATTTTGATTCTTTAAAGTCTCTTTCTAAATATAGTTATGTCCCCTGCCTGAGGGACTGTGTTATAACATGATAAACTTCAAAAACGTTAATTTATGCATGTCCTTAATCTATGACATATACATATACATATCCATACACACATACACACATACACACATACACACATGCATACATGCACACATACACAATACGGTGGGGGGCCTCTATTTTTTCTCGTAGACAATGCAAAATTGTGATTTAAAAATGCGTATAGGTAAATACACACAAGTGTGTGGCACACTTTTACATCCGTTCTCTACACTATACAGTTACTACATATATATGTATATAAACGTTGCATGAATTTTTGTGTGTTTATATAAACAGTATAAATAGCTTGTATTAAGGGACAATCCAAAACGCACTTTTTAATAAATTGTACGCGTTATTAAATGGTAAAATCGATGCGAAAAAACACATGGAAATTTAAGTTCACTCATCGAAATGTAAAAAAAAGGATTGTGTAATAAAATTATATAATGGATAGATGGGGTGAAAAAAAAAAGAAAAAAAAAAAAAAGGGTTAAATAAACAGTTAACTGATATAAAAATTCCCGCAGGTTGAAACCTCTGACATTTAATTATCAATCTTCTCTATCTGAAGGAAGAGCAAAAAAAATAAAATAAAATAAAAATATTGGTTACTCAAAGGAAGGGAGAAAAGGTAAAGGTGCATAATCGAACAAATGCACAAATGCTGTGCGACATACAGGGGTGCAAATATTGTATTTTCTCTACTTACTCCACATGGATAGATTATTGTTATATCCTGAATAATTGTAATTTCTATTGTTGTAGTTATTTTGCTGCTGATACTGAGTACTTTGATAGTAGTTTTGCAGCCCAGGTGGTGTCTGAAGTGTGTAGTTGTAATTATTGTAATTAAAGAAGTTACTTGTGCTGTCTCGCGTTCCGTTATATCCGTTGCTGCTGCTGTAGTTCCTGCGCAAAAAAAAAAAAAAAAAAAAAAAAAATGTGTACTTTTCCTTTTAAATGTACATATTTAAAGAACTTTCATTCTACAATCTCTCAATTCTATGGATGGGGTGTTTAACTTTGCCCAACAAAGATAATTATTAATTTGATTCACATTTCAAATAGTTTTATATATATATATATATATATATAAATATTTTTTCAAGATAACTATCCATTTTCGACATAATCCCTCACTCTGTACTTACAAGTTATTTGTATAGTTGTAATTGTTCTTGGTACTCCTATTATAATTGTAGTTCAAACTGTAATGATTTAAGTTTTTCTCATTAATACTATTCCAACTGTTTCTGTACGAATTTGCACTCGTGTTGGCATTGGTGGATGACACACTATTATTCAAGTACGTGTTGTTCTGTTCCTTGTCTTGGGATATATTGAATCCTGGTGGGATTCTGTAATTATTGGAGTTTGGGTTATAATAGTTACCATTGTGATATAACTGTTTACTTATAAAACTGCTTTGATTGTTCTGAGATACAATGTTAAGATTATTTGTTTCTGCTTTTCCTGTTATGGATGAAGAAGTGGATGATGCTGTATTTTGTGAATTATTTGGATTAATCTGGCTCTGCGTGTAATGACTTATTGAATTATTGTTATTATTCAACAAATTCTGTTGATGCTGCTGTTGTCCTGTGTGTTTGTTTTGGTTGTGGTGATTCGTCGAATGTTGTTGTTGTGTCGCATTCAGGTTGATGCCTTTATTTTGTATACCTTGATTTTGCTTCATAGATGAAATAGATGGTGGTGTTTGCAACTGCATATCGCTAATGGTTTTACTTATCTGTTGTTTATTTTTTAACTCGCTGGTAGCGCTAGTTGTGCGCGAAATTGTTAAGTTTGGGTTCACGCTGCCGTTCATGTTTATACTACTTAATGATAAGTTGTTAATTCCTTTATTTGTTGTTCCTTCTAAACAAGAACTATTATTATTATTATTGTTCATATTTATCGAATTTTTATTTGAACTATTTTGATTTTCATGTGTTAAATTGGTAGATTGTTGTAAGGATCCAGATATGCATACATCACCTGAATTACTTAAATCATCATCGTCTGTATTATTTAATTGCCTCTTTTTTACATTAGCATTCATAAAATTTATGTAATTATTCATGTTCACATTGTTATTCTGTCCGTATATATTATTATCATCGAAACTATCATAATTCATATTATAGCTATAATTATTATTATGAGCACTATTATTTTTACTGTAGTTATTATTTATCAATCCATACTGAGGTGCTAACGTTTGGGTCGAGTATCCATTGTAATGCATATTGTTGTATGGGTACGACAAATTTGTGAACGAATAATTATACTGGTTAGCTAATCCTGGAGGAGAATTATACGAACTGTACATATTATTGTTACTCAAGTTGTTCATGCTTGTGTTCATTAAATTTATGTTACTTGTATCAGTGTTGGTGTTTTTATTCGATACACTAGTATTCGTTCCTGTATTTTTTGCACTGATGGTTGCCCCTATATTTGCACTAGTAATGGGACTATCCAAAATGCTGTTATTTCTCTTACGATTGATTCCATGGTTGCTGCTTCCATTGTTACTGTTTCCATTGTTGCTGTTTCCATTGTTGTTGTTTTCGTTGTTGCTGTTTTCGTTGTTTCCGTTTTCATTGTTGGTGCCTCCGTTATAGTTGTTTCCATTTAGATTGCAAGCACCAGTTGCTGAAATGGTATTATTCGCAGAGATTTGATGGCCTTGAAAAAATTTCTGTGAAATCTGACTTAGTTGTATAGAACTAGTGTCATCATCACGGTCGTAATTTTTATTCTTTAGTGCATTCTGGATATATTTACTATTCTTTGCACTTAGCAAGAGTGATGCGGAATTATCCTGCACGTTACTTGTTCTAGGAGATGGATTCATAAACACAGATGATGAACTGGTTAATAACTGTTTGTCATTTTGATTACTCTTGTTAAGTGCAGTATTACTGCTATTATTATTATGCATGAGATGATGATAATTATTAGTCGATGCTGCTGGTGTGCCTGCTGTGACTCCTGTAACTGCCGCTACTGTTGATGAGGCCGATGATGCTGATGTTATAATTTTGGGTATATACAAATTATGTGATTTTGTATTAACGTGTGAATTTTTATTGTTTGAAGATGAAAATAAGTATTTATTCCTATTCTCATTTAGCATATCACCGTTGTCTTCTCTTTTCTGATTTCTATTTTTAAAATCAAAGTGTCTAAATTCTCTTTCTTTTGAACTTCTGAAATCATTATTGTTATGATCATAATCTCTGTTGTTATCACTTTCCTTCTGATGCATTTCGAGGGAACGGATGTAGTTAATGTTACTTAGGTGATCGTTGTTCGTACTCATGGCCGAGGAATCAATACTGTAATTTTTTCTTAAGCTATTTCTTTTTCTGCTTTCAAAATGCAACATTTTGTTGTTGCTATAGTTGTTGTTGTAACTGTTGTAGTAATTGTTGCTGCTGTTATTATGAATGTTGTAGTTGTTACCGTTACCATTGCTGTTGTTGTTGCTACTGTTATTGTGAATGCTGTAATTATTGCTAATGCAATTCTGATTGCTGTTGCTTTGTTTGGTATAGTTGTTGTTCATGTTGAGGCTATTCATGTTGACGTCATTCATGTTAACGTTATTCATGTTAATGTTATTCATATTGATGTTATTCATGTTGATGCCCTTGTTGCTGACGCTGTTATTGTTAATTTCCTTGTTGTTGCCACTGCTGCTGCTGTTGCCTATGTTATGATTGCTGTAGTTCGTGCTTTCATGAGCCTTGTACTTGCCACTGAGGGAAATGTCTAAACTTTCATAAACGCTGCTATGATTTTTACTATTATTGTTCGTAGTGCTTTTGTTTTGAAATGGGTCAATTTTTCTATCTGCAAGAGTATCAATGTTTTCAATTTGGTTTCCAGTAATATTTATATTACCGAAGAATATTTTCTTATTCATATTGTTATCACTCATATGAGATAAATTGGGCATGTATATTGGAATAACATTTTGTTCTTTTCCATCATAGCTTTCTGATAGGGCTAAGTCATCTGATACCAATCTCTCCGTACTAAATGTTAAGTTTAGGCTACTATAATTGTTGCTACTCATTTTACTACTCTTGACTTTTTTCGATTGTTGATCGTAAGATGTTGGTACATCTGCTGGTCTTGTTCTCACTTTTAAGGATACATTATTATCATTATAAGAAACTTCTTCTAGATCAATACTTTTCTTACTTTTCTTTTCATTCGCATCAAATTTTAATTCACTCATTTTTTTAACACTACTTGTTTCTTTCTTGTTCGATTCAATGCTATCCTTTACATATGTTTCCTTCTCCATTTTATTTTTATGATCTACGAACGATTGTGTCTTTTTCGAATCCATTTCAACAAGTAATTTGTTAATGTTTCTTAAGCCATTAATTCCTTCATTTTTACTTGCATGGTTATAACTTAAGTGAGATACCTTATTATTGTGCATTTCTTCTCCATCCTGTTTTTCTAAGTTTTTCAAATGAACTCTACTTATATTTTCATGGTTTATGTGGCCAATATCATTTCTGCTATTTAAGTTGCTGTCATTATTTATGTCAATGTTCTTTTCATTGGATAAATTCTGATTGATGGGGTGGTGCTTATCCGTGATATTTTCCATTTCTTTCGCCTTTTCTTTTCCCTTACCTTTTTTTTTTGGCTTTTCGGATTTACTACTCTGATCTGCACTCTTCTTACTAACCCCTTGAGCACATGACTCTGCTTTCAATTCTTTTGAGTTTTTTGGAGCATTTTTTTTTAAACCAGAATGATTTTCTATCTTTTCATTTGTATTCTGTGCATTATTATTATTGGCGCTCGTAGCAGTACCTTTCGTTATAACTGATACCCACAACTTTTCAGTATCATTATTTTTAGTTGGTAATAAATGGCCTTTCTTTTTTTTTTTTTCTTTTTTTTCTTCATCTATTAATAATTTATTATTCGATTCAATTTGTGTGTTCATTATTCCGTTTTGGTTAACTTCCATATTTTTCATTTCATCTATGGATGGTGATAATGACTTTTTTATTTTTCTATTAACCACAGATGCGTATGATGTGTTGGCATTCGCCTTTTCGTTAGTCGCTTTTTTGGTTTCTATCGTCATTTTCTTCTTATCATTATTCTCGTTATCGTTGTTAATATTATTGGATTGGTTATTATTATTAGCATCGTACGATAACTTTTCCCCTGTATGAGGATCGTAATCCGTGTTATTATTCTTACTACTATTTCTTTTAGATTTAAAGTTATTTTTACTCAAATAATTTGGTTGCTTTTGACCTCCTTTTCCATAGGAATTATAATAGCTACTATTTCCAGAATTGTTATATGCATTTGTTGATTTATTATTAAAAGGTGGAAATCTCTGTTTACCATTTCGAGAGGTTGTAGAATCATCTACAGTTTTATTATTATACCTGTTATAATTTTTATTAAAAAATTTATCATGATAGCTAAAGTTACTATACCTATTGGCACTGTTGGACATCGAGGTTGTTCCATGGCCACTTGCGCCAACATAGGATGCATGATAACTACTACTACTGTTTGTAGCATTGATATTTGTTATTGGTGTTCCTTTACTCTTGGAATCCTTTTTAATATTATTTTCATCACTGGATTTGTTTCCTCCCCCTTCTGCTGCTCCTTTGCCATTTTCCAATTTTGTGTATTTTTTTTTATCAAAATTGTTAAAATGGCTATTATTGTTATTATTATTATTGTTACCAATGCCACCACCGCTGTTATTACTAACATGGTTATTATAACTGCTTTTGTTAGCTTTTCTTTTTGTGTCATTCTCTCTGCTTTTTACATAATTATCGTCGTTTTCCGCATCATTTGATTCTTTAAAACCTTTTTTTTTTTTTTTATTTACATCCCTTTCTTCTAAGGAATCATTCAAAAATTCGTCATGATAGTTTTCATTTATGCCCTTTTTTTTTTTTTCACCTTCGGATTTTATAGCTCCTTTCTTACTTTTAATACCTTTAGCATTATTCACAGTGTCGTGATTTTCTCCTTCTCCTTCTTCTTCTTCTTCTCCATCTCCTTCTGCAAAGGAAGCTGCTGCTATAGATGATAAAGATTTTATGTTCAAAAGTTTTCTTGCATTTTTTCCCACGTGTTGTTTCTCTTTTAAACCATTTTCTTCATGTGTGTGTTTATTAATTTCATGTAACGTTGACGAGTCCTCATATTTTGCACTATTTTTTACAAAATGCATTACTTTATTATTATTCGAAATAGAGGACTTATTATGCTGATCAACTGCAAAAGATGAACCTGTATTACTTTTATTTTTCCATAAGTCCTTTTCTTTAAATCTAAAACCTTTGGGCAAAATTTTGCCAATTTGTTTATTACCTTTTCTTCCAGTATTATTTTGAGGTAAATTATCTTTTTTACCATTTTTTTCGATTGGTTTCTTGTTTTTTTTACTTTTAACTGTTTCCCACAAATTTTCTTCATTTTCTTCCCTAGATTCCATGATATTACATAATTCTAGTTGAATTTTTTCGATATCAAATTTGTATAAACTTATAAAGTTATATACATCATCCTTATTATATCCATAGTAATCCAATATTGGGGATATTATGTCAATTAATTTTTCTGTTCTTGGTGAGTAACAAGATTTATCTTCTATCTTTTTTTTGGAGAGTGAACTCCATTTGCTATTGCTTAAATTTTTTAAGGTTAGTACCATTGTTTCGTTTGTAGTTGACTTTTCCATTATTTAAATTTATTAATATATTGCATATTTTTTTTTTTTTTTTTTCTTCCCCTTCTTTTTTTATCTATGCAATTTTTAATATTTTGTGTAAGTATTAAATAAAATATAACAACGTGTGTGTGTAAAAGTAATCGCATACGATTGGAAATGTACTTACGTATATATATATGCATAAACACACATATGCTTCTATTAGCGATTATTTATCCCACTCTGAATATATAATATATATGACTGTGAGAGCAATATTTTCTTTAAATTGATTCACTTGTATATATATATATATATATATACTCTGCGAGGTGTACTAAACATTTACATGTAAACTTCCTGGTAACTTCCCTTTTACTTCGATACTCTAATTATAATTCTTTGTATATGTTTCTATTCTCTTTGACAAACATTCAAAATGTAAATGTAAAATTGGATAAATTTTATTCACAGCATTAAGTGAACGGGGGGTCAAAAGTAATAAGGATGTAATTATAACAAGAAGGGGGGAAATGAACAGTATACAGTAAAGAAGAAAAAAAAAATTGCCTACGTATAATGATATGTGGGCGTTATATATAACCTCCGCGAATCACAAACTTGGTTAGTCTCTTTCACTTGTTATTGTTAAATCTTAATATATGTATGTGTAGTATGCTGATGTTTTCTTCCTATTTATCCTTTTTAAGAATTCACGTTAATGTATTATTTACATGAATTATTATATAAATGCTTGTATACATATATACATACATATATGCATATATGCATCCACTATAATTTTCATTCTCCTATTAATTATTCCATGAAATGAAATAAAAACAGGGAACAATATACATAGCATAAAAATGAAAAGATTTAAATTTTTTCACAGGTGACTAGTACCAATCATTTGATTTTACAGTCCTCTTAATTTTCAATTTAAAAAAAAAAATTGTACAGGAAAAGATGAAGCTAAAACACATTCAATACATGTTATACATATTTGTGCTCATATATAAATGAACACATATATGATGTGTTTTTTTTTGTGATATATGACTTTAATGCATGAAGTTGTATTACATTGTGGTAAAAACTATCAATTAAGTTCTTGTGAAATTGAATTAAAATATAATCCAATTTTTTAGCGTATATGCTAGTGCTTAAAAAAAAAAAAAAAAGGGGAAAAAGAGTAATTATATTGTGTACACAAATTCACTATTTCATAAACAGCTTCAAAATGACACAACTTAATTACAAAATAAACGGGGAAGGGGGTAGGTATATGAACATATGTACATAATGAGTATGCGATGCGTACACATATTTAATTGTACATTATGTTGTATTACATGTTATATATATTTACAAATATAATGCTTATATTTAAAGTTTAAATATATTTAAACATAACGCAATTATACGTCAGGAAAATGTGAAGGCTCAATTTTATGAATGATTTTTCACCGCAATTCTTCCTTGTAAGCAGAAATGGATTATGTACTTTTATTTTACTTTTTTTTTGTAAAATAATGCTCACGTATATAGTGCATATTTTGAATACATATATATACGTATATAAAATGTATGAAATTATATAACATATTTTTTTATTATGTTATAACATCTGAAATTTTACAAATGTTGTAAAAATGCTATGTCATGTTTACGTAGCTACGAAATAATAGTTATAAAAATGGTATGTATGTATGTATGTATATATATTAAACAATTATGCATTATTTTAACATGCATGGGTTATTTAATAAATACGCATTTCTCTATTTGGTTTTTTTAATATTGATGTTTTTTTCTTTTTAAACATATATCCACATGAAGTACATTTTTTTTCATATTCCTACTTCATGTTCTTGTATTTTTCTTTCAAGTTTTGCAATTAAAATTTGCGCAGAATTATTTATACAGAAAAATTTATTTTAATATAATACCCCAGAGGTTTTTTTTGCTATACAAAATCCATACTTAAGTATATATACGTGGGGTAAGGGCAGTATCACGTACAAAATATATAAATTGTTCATTACGTCACGTATCATTTTTGTACGTATATAAAATATATAATATATAATAATACAGGTTTTGTATGTGTATATTGCATATTTAAAAATACATATACAAGCTCTTACAAATTGAAAATTTATATCGAATACAATAAGGTATAATTTATACGTATGTAAAAAATATACAAAGTAGTTTGCATATATATACTTATATATTTCATTTAATTCGTGCCCATTATATGTGCCAATTGCTAAAACATGGTACTATATACTTAAAATTTTTACTTAGCACGACGACTCATATTTCTAATTTTTTTAGTTCATATAAAAAAAAAATGCATGATATATTTTTTATTCGTAGAATTTTACAAAAACGAAAAAGTAAATATTCTACGTAAGGTATTCTTTTTTTTTTTCTTTTTTTTTTTTTAATATTGCATTAATAATAAGAACAATGATAAAGATTATATATCAGTATATGAATTTATCATTTTTCCCCACGAAAGGTTTTTGACATTTAAAAAACTGTATTTTTTTTTGGAAGGTTTTGAAGGGTTTTTCGTTTATTCTTAATTCGTTTTTATTTGACTGTATTTATTTTATAGGGTTTACTTGTTTTTACATGGTTTCCCTTTTTTAACACTATTTATGCGTTTTATTTGGTTTTACTTGTTTATTTAATACTGCTAACACTTTTTATTTGGTTTTAATCATTTTATCTGATTCTTTTCTGTTAATTCTTTTTTTAATAGCTATTTTAAAATAATAAGAAATAAGAGTTAATGTTTTTATTTATAAGGATTTTTATTTCTTTTCTCCAGGCACGGATATATTTTTCGTTTTTTTTAACACATCATAACCAAATTTATAGTGTATGCATTTTATAATAAAAAAAAAAAAAAAAAAAAGTCTTTCGAAATACATGCCATATGACACTTTTTTTTTTGGAACGTAATAGTTCAACATTCCGTTTTATTTTAACATACATTCTTTTATTTTATAGTGCGGGAAAAAAAACAAAAGTAAATGTAAAAACCAAATGTAAGAACAAAATTTTATGTGAATATAAACATTATATACACGTTCTATTTCTTAAAATTGGCTTGTATACGATAGACATCTAATTGTGTTACTTTTCCGCACTGCTATTCAGCAATACACTTTTTTTTAAAACGATAGTATTTGCTTTAAGCGTGAATATGCCACTATATTATTGTGCGTGTCACTTATGCATGTACGTATAAATACCTTGTGTGACCTGCTAAAAATGTAATTACCTTTTTTTTTTTTTCCCCCTATTTTTAAGTAACGTTGTAAAGTGTATGTACAACTTTAGATGTGAAACGGCAAGGTGAATTTTTAATGCTACAAAATGTAATAAAAAAAAGTAATTACTTATTGATGTAAAAAACAAAAAATAAAAAAATATACACAATATAAAAAATTTGATTAATTTTTTTGGCCTATTCAAAAAATTGTAAATTATTGTCCCCAATTGGACAAAGGTGTTTCTTTACGGCGGCGTAATGAAAAATATCTCAAGAAAGAGATTTTTATTATTTTATTTTATTTTTTTTTTTTTGATGCAATATTAGAACTTATGACATATTAAAAAAAATATTTATTGGCGGAAAAATTCTACGACGTATTTCACATGAAGCGCAACATTTTTTTGGTTTTCGTATAATAATTTGTAAATGTCTCCTTTTTTTTGTTTTGTTTTATCAAAGATGATAATGCCACAAGGGGTTTATATACAAGGGAAAGGGATTATTTACTAGCAGTACAGTTTTATGTGCACAGGTATTAAATTAAATCCGAATGTTCATATGCATGAATGAACACATTTGTAAATTTACCAATAAGACAAATCAACACGTAATAGACATATTAGCTTGTAGGTCAAGTAAATTGTTCCACGCGTATCCACTGTATCCCAATTTTTTTTTTTATATGAAATCCAAATTTTTAAAATTAAGAAGATTCATATAATTGAATTTTCATAAAACACAAAACTTTTCCTTTTTGTTTGCTAAAAAAAGAAAGGATCAAAATTGTTTTCATTTCTTGAAATTAGTGAATGCGCAAAGACAATGAGGACAATAGAAAAGAACAAAATAGAAGTTTTATGTACCATTTTGCGTTTCCAGATTTTTAAGGGTTCTTAGTAAAGAAAATCAGCACTATTGATTTTAAGTGCCATTTTGGCATAAAAAAAAAAAAATTAGTGATAATAAATTTAAGGTGGGGCAGGAAAAATTGCACTCTGTAATGGTACATCTATGCATGCACACCTTTTGGCACTGGATTCGAAAAGGTCTGATATGTTGACCCATACATTTGAGAAGAGAAAAATATATACTAATTGTAATAACATTTTTTCTGTTGAATAAACCTTGTGTTCTGCATGTGTCGTATGCCATTTGCAAAATAAGTTATTTTATTTTTATTTTTTTCTTTCTTTCATCGTGAAATAAATATATATGTTAAAACGTTTAAATTAACTTTTTTTTTTTCTTTTTTTCCCCCATAATTGTTGAATTAAAATTAACATAGTGTATTTTTTGATGAACAAAAGAGTATGTAATACATATAAGCATAAAAACCGTATGGTGAACAAAACCTTTCAGATCATTTAAAACTTTTTAAAATTATAATCCAAAGAATGAATACAGCAGAAAAAATATCAGCTTTCTTCATCTTCAAGTTTTTGTTCTTTTACTATATTTATAGAAAGCCGTCCCGCCTGTTTGATTCATTGGTATTGTAGAGGGAATTCCTGTGCTCACCCACCCCACCAAAAAAAAAAAAAAAAACTAAAAGAACACACATGAGTATGTGTGTGTATGTGCACACATGTATTCAGAAGGAATACATCATCAAACACTCAAACAAGTTTTTTATGTTTCATTTTCCCATTTGTCACATGTGTTGCAACTTTATTATAAAATTTTTAATGTTTCATTTTTTGAACATGTTAGATACACCTATCTCGTCTTTTTTTTTTTTTTTTTTTTTTTTTCCACTGCTCTTTCGTGATAGGTGTGCAAAATAAATAATAAGAAAATCCCCCATGCATGTATCATTCAAATATTAGGTCTAAGTCATTACGGGCAAAGTGTCTGCTTGTACGTACATGATGTGAGTTTTTATGAGAGAAAACGAAAAGAAAAAAAAAAAAAAAAGGAACTACTAATGTTCAAGTATAACTGTGTAATGAATCTTTTTTATTATTATTTTATATGCTTTATGTAACTTTTTTTATAGTTTTTTCCCTTTTTTTACGTTTTGATACCACCCGAAGAAAAATCAAGTAATAAAATTTGAAAAAAAAAAAAAAAAAATTCTTAATGTCAAGATTGGAAAGGTTAAAAAGGGTTATGGATTGCTAATATATCCCTTTTTTGTGTGCATGCCATATACATATCTACACAATTAAAATGTACACATGAAAGTGTACCTGCTAACACACGTACATATAATAAAAACTGCTTTATCTTGGTAGACACAAATCTAGAATTCGAAATATGCGAATTTTTAGAAGAAGAATATGGCAAAGCAAAACAAGACAAAGCACAAAATGCATGTATATACAACATCGAACGAGTAAAAAAAAAGTGTATTTATGGATACAATGAAGAGCCAGAAGAGTTTTTAAAAATATATTTTTTATATCCGAATACAATTAATTATTTTGCTAGTTTACTAAAAAAGAAATTATTTAAAAATAGAATTTGGGAGTTGTATGAAGTGCACATCAGTTATATGCTACACTTTTTATGTTCGAAAAATATTTATGGCTGTTCCGAAATTTACATAAATAAAAACATACTTTTTCGAAAAGAATTTTTTAGCAAAATAAATTTTGAATGTTTTATGGAAGAAGAAAAATGGAATTTAAAAAGCAAATGTAGCATTGAAACCATAAAGAGGAACAAATATTTATATCCCGATGCCCCATATTTTTTTACAGACAAAACGACAAATGTTAATTTTTCCAATTTAAAAAGAGAAACTTCTTATGATATTGAGTGTGATATAAAACATGAAGACATATTAAATCATCAAATATATTCCTGGAAGTTTGAAAAATACAAGCGAAAATGGAAAGAAGAATTGAATTTTGATTTACCTATCTGTCATTTGGACTCCTTTGCTAAATTATGGATGAAAGAAAAAAAAAGATGTGAACATGTGAACCCTGATTGGGTAAGGGAAATTTTTAACTTTGACGATTTTGAAAAGGAGTTAGACTTTGCTTCTTTTGACGTGCTTACCGACAGAACGAAGAAATTGTTCTCTGATTTTATGAAGTTTATGAGAGGATCCGATGAAGTAGAAGAAGTAAGCGGGGAAGTGAAAGCAATAAACGGAGAAGTGAAAGAAATATGTGGAAATACTAGAGAAGGACTTATCAGCGCAACGAATGGGAAGAAGGAAGAAGCAAGAGATGTAGGTAACGACGTTATCGTGAAAGGAAACCGAGGTATGGAAAGAGAATCTCGGCTGAACTTAAATTTAGAAAAGTGCACAAAGAATGGGACAACTAAAATGGCACCCCCAAAAAATTCAGATGATAATAAGAGAAAATACATAGCTTCATTCGAAATTAATAACAAAAGAAAAGACATTATCAGATATATTTATAAGAAAAAGCCTCCAAAGATAAGAGAGTATTATGCAATTTTGAGCAATTTGAGTAGCAAAAAAGGGAAAAGGAAAAATGAGAATGGGGCTAATGAGGGAGAAGACAAAAATAGAGAGAAGAATTTTTGTGAAAAGGGACTATTTGGGAAGGACCTCGATGCCACATTAAATAGCAAGAAAGAGACATCTAAGAACAAAACGGAGAGGAAAAAAATGAACACAAAATACGGAAACATATTTTTTCTTGAAATTCTTACAGAAGTGAAGAGAGAAAATTACAATTCATCAAATTACAAGGAAGATGAAATAAAAGCCATCTTTTATATAGTTAGAGATGAAAGACTTATGAATTATTATGACGACTATACTAATTGTGTTGGTGTTATAGCTAGTCAGCCATTTCCTGACATGTTTCCATATTTATTTAACAAAAAAATAGAAACGAAATTAAACATGAAACGACGCCCACGCGTTGAGGTGTGTAACAATGGTGATTATATTTGTAGGGACATGTTCGGGGAGCCATCTGATGAAGAAACATTCAGAAAAGAATATAAATTTGCAAGGATGAAAAATACTGAAGGAGGAGAAACGGAAGTTGAAGATGAAGCTGAAGGAGGAGAAGCGGAAGTTGAGGATGAAGCTGGAGGAGAAGAAGAAAAAGTGGAATGGATAAAAAAAGGAACCCCTTTGGACGTAAATTACAGCAATGTAAATATATACATTGCTGAGAATGAAAGAGATGTTATAAAAAAATTGATCGACAAAATTAATTTTTACTCTCCTTTAAGCATAGTGTCCTATGAAAACGATAAATACAACGTTAGTTACATAAATCAAAGGTGTCTGGCTTTGGACATGGGTAATTTTTACCAACATATTAGTAAGCTAAATGACCAGAAGGAATTTATAGAATTAAATAATACATATAATAAAAATATAAAAGGTATACTAATTGAGAGTTTGTATAAATTATCGAATATTTCAAATACGTCTTTCGAGAATTTATGTAAGTATTACTTAAATATTAATATACCGTCTATAAGTAAATACATATTATATTTCTGGTACAGTTATGAGAAGACAAAATTACAAAACTGTTGCAAAGATGGAAGTGGGAGTACTGATGAATACTCATTTTATCCATATAGATACATAACTATAAAGTATTTTTTAATGAAAGTTCACTTTTTACTATTCATATATGACAAAATTGGGTTTTTAAAAAAGAAAATGGATTTCTGTAAATATATTCACGTAGATTTGTTGTCTCTAATCAATAGAGGATCACAATTTATTATCGAATCATTTCTTGTAAAATTATGTATGAAAAATGGTTTCCTTCTATATTCACCCTCCAATAAAGAAATAATGAATCAGAGACCTATTTTACACACACCTTTAGTGTTACAACCCAAAAGCTCAATTAACTTTTTCCCATTACTGGTTTTCGATTTTCAGTCCTTATATCCTTCCATTGTAATAGCTTTCAATATCTGCTACTCGACATGTTTGGGAACATTGTCCTACAAGGGAAGGTCTAGTGCACATGGGGATCACCCCTCTGAGGAAAGTAAATATGAGGAAGATATCCTAGAAGAGAATAAAATTCGAGAATTTAGTAGTGGAAGTTCATCTGGTTATTCATTGGACATGTTGAATGTTAAAAGGGAAGCCGAATTTGCTTCCATAGGTTATAACAGAAAGGCAGGTAATTCTAACACTAGTCCGAGCGACTCAAATGGTAATTCAGACGAGTCAAATGGCATGTCTAATAATTTGGAAGACAATTTGGATAAGGATAAGATCGTTAGAGCTGATGAATTCATGCCATGGGAAGTTCCCAATTATGAACTTTTTCCGAATGATCAATCGAATAGATCAAAAGGGGATGGAAATGGTAATCGAAATGGGGATGGAAAACGAGGGGGTATTATTTCATCCCCTGCCATTAGCACAAAGGAGGAAAGTAACCAGAGCGACAAGAATAAATTTGAGGATGGAGAAAAGGTGCGGAATTGGGAATTCATAAGATTAGGGGTAAAGAAGAAGCCACAAAATGTAATGAAAATGATTAAAAATTTAAAAAGAGATGATGTCCTGATAACAAGCAACAATACTGTATATGTGAATAAAAAAAAAAGAAAAGGAATTTGTACACTTTTTCTCGAGGATATGTTAAAAACAAGAATAATGCTAAAGAGATGTATTAAAATTTATGATGAAAGAAGAGGAATGAGGTTAGTTGAGAAAATGGGGAAATTAAAAATGATATTAAATGTAGCTACTGGTTATATAGGGGCCAATTTTTCAGGAAGGATGCCGTGTGTTGACATTTCAGAGAGTATCATAAATACTGGGAAGAACTTTCTTCTGTACATCATTGAGTATATAAAAGAAAATTATCAATATATAAAAGTGCTATATGGAGATACAGATTCTTTATTTTTATTAAATGAAATGAATGATATCAATTACAGTTTTAAAATTGCTTATGACATTTTGCGTAATGTAAATAGTACATTACCATCCCCTGTGTATTTAAATTTTGAAAAAGTATATTGTCCATCTGTTTTAATGACAAAAAAACGATACTGTGGTTTTGCTTATAAAAAAGAAAGTGATGAGAATCCTACACTAGACCTAAAAGGGGTAGAAAGCATAAGGTCAGACCAATGTAATTTAGTAAAAAATGTACTAATACAGATTTATTTTATGTTTTATTATTTTAGGAATTTCTGTTATTTATCTTATTGTTGTTGTTGTTGTTCTATGTGTAACAACTTTTTCTCGAATTTTATTTGCACATGTAAAGAATCTAATAATCATCAAACATCCCCATGCTTGTTATCAAAAATGATAGAAGCAGTTTTGCATGTGTACAGAAAAGTGACAAATTTTGCAGATGACAAAGTAATAAACTTAGGAACCACAAATATTTTTGAGGAAGACACGGAGGAGTATAAAACGAAACTGTACGATCTACTTGTGCGCATAATAAACTGTGAAAAACATAATGTCATCTTAAAATTGCTGAACTATTTATATAAAGAAAAGTACGCATTCTTGTTGTATATATTTATCCGTTTCGGTGTATCATATTTCAAAATGGAGATCGAAAAAATTATCGAAAAGGATTATGAAAAAATTGTTAGCCAGTCTAATGATTGTTGCATCAGGAACCCTCATAATATAGTAAAAATTTGCTTGTGTGTGGGAGAAATAAATGAAAATAGAAAGTTTGACATTAAAAAATGTGACATGGAAAAATGTTTTTGTAATATCAAACAAGCTTTTTTGTTTTTCGATCCCAATCCAACATGTGAAAACCGAACAAGTTGCGTTTTTAATACGAAAATTTTTTATTCCCATCTCTCAATGAATATAAAAAAAGTGCTAAGTCACTTCTTTAACAAAATTTATGGTAATGAAATTTCATATGACAATTTTATTTTATACAAGAAAGTGAAATTGGGAACTTACAAAGGAGAACTGGAAAACAGCAAAAGAAAAGTTCCACTTCCACCTCAAGCTATTGTTGCAAAGAAGCTTTTAAAGACAAATCCACATTTAGTCATTACTTACAAGGAAAAAATTCCTTTTGTTATTACTAAAAAGTTGAAGGAAGATAAAATATATGACTCTGTTTCTCATCCATCATGTATTCGAGGGATTTACAATTCTCTTGCAGAAGAGGTGCTTCAAAGTCTTTATCACTCTCCACATGAGGGGGAGACGTTTACGAAGATAGGAGGAGTAGAGTACAATGGAACATCATCGGATAGACATGCAGAAAATCTAATACAAATAGAAGAGATACATAATGAGAGGGATATCTTTCAGAACAGCAATAAACTAGTACACAGGGGAAAAATTACAAAAAATAACAAGATAAAACTGAAGGAAATAAACTTTGATTATTATATACAAAACTTAGTTATACCACCTCTAAAAAGAATGCTAGATTTACTTCCCTATGATTCTCCAAATTTGGAAGAAATTTTTCACAGAACCAGAAGGACACACAACTGGGGAAGGACCCAAATTGATTTGTTCTCAAAAAATTTAAACCTTTTGGAGAAAACCCCTTTAAAGGGTATTTTGTTGTCAAGGGATGAAAAAAAGCAAATCGTTGACATGTCTACATTGGGCAAACATGATTCAACACTACATGATTCAAAGGAAGGTAATAAAAAAGTTTTAAGCGCTAGTGTTCACAGTGGTGTTGCCTGGAGACCCCCGAGGGTAAAAGAAAAAATGAACCACAACGAATCATGGTATAAGGAAAGTGCAAACTTTAACATAAAAATGGATGAAGAAGAAAATGAGAGAATAAGAAAACAGATAGTTCAATCATTTACAGATATAAACAGATCCCAGAATATGGTTAAGCGTTTAAATAAAATTTGCGTCCAATGTGCCAGCACTGAAATGGAAGCAGCCATGTGTCAATACGCAGTTCACTGCAATGTATATTTTAAAAAAACTATTTTGCAAGAACGAATTTCAAAAAATAAAGATACTATAAGGAGTTTTATTGGGGAATGATTTCCGCCCAACATGTAATTATTTTTCATGAGGCGTTTCTGAGGAATGAAATGGGATTTCCTAATGATACACAAATTAAATCCTACAAATGGATGTTCTATCATATTTTAGTTGGGATTATTGGTTCATCATCTTTATAATTTTAAGTGAATCTATGAAATATATATTTTTGCATGTGTATTAATGACAACTGAATCGACACATGCGGAGTGCGGTGGGTATCAATTGTGTCCAGCTCGTCTACTAATGTGTTGTGAATATCTTAGTTTTTTTTTTTTTTTTTTTTTCCCTCACTTAGCCGAAATGAATAAACCCATTTTTAATTTAATTTTAAAAAATGCAATTTCATAAGAGGGTTTATTATTTTTCCTTTTCATGCTTTTTTATTGTCTGTATAAATACACTCTTTTGACACATTTTCTGAACGTACTCCAATTTTGCTCTGCAATGGATATATATATATATATATATATATGTTTTTTTTTACATTTTAGTATACATTTGCTTATCTCCCCTCCATAATAGAGGGCAAAAAAGACAATGATACGTGTTTAAGTGGTGCGCCTAAATGGGAATGGCCATAAATGTAATTATCCTTTTGTAGTTCATCAATTTTTGATAAGTTTACGATTTTGTACTAGGTAGCTAAACATGGCTGACAGAGATAAAGCAAATTAGCAGAGTTGTTAATATTTTTTGTAAAGGTGACAAGGGAATATTCATCAGGAGAATTGACAAATCCTTCTTCTTGTGATATTTTACAACCATAATTAATTAAGGGTAATAAATCATTACTGTGGAAATTAGTTAATTTGGAAAGGTATGGATAAATTCCCCATGTAAGTTGGAGCTTTCTAGCTAAAGCGACATTTTCTGTAATGACAATAATTGGTGCTTTTGTTCGTAAGTTACTCAGTTTTTGTATTTTTTGAAATTCATTTGAAAATAAAATAATCGATTTCAAGTTGATGTTATTGCTTAGATCTCTTATGCTGTAAATTAATTTTTCAAAATGGGAATTTCCATTTGGAATTACCTGATTTGATATATTCATATACTTTACTATATTGTCATTTTTCTTTTGTGTATAATGGTAATAATAATAATCATTTTCTACATCTTTAATTATGCTATTTTGTGTTGAAGCAGTAAGAATTGGATACTGTCCAGTTGCAGTTTCAGCTGATAACATAACACAGTCAGATCCATCATATAAAGCCGTTGCGACATCCGCTACTTCTGCTCTTGTGGGGGAGGGTAAGAATCTCATACTCTCCATCATTTGAGTTGCTACAATAACCGGTTTGTTATATTTAATTCTACATAAGTTTATAATTTTTTTTTGTAATATTGGCAAATTGGACAAATTTGTTTCAATTCCAAGGTCCCCTCTTGCTATCATAATGCCATCTGAGAGTTTAATAATGCTTTCTATATTTTTTACAGCAGCGGGCTTTTCAATTTTTGATACAATAAATATGGTGTTTACGTTATTATCTTCCATTTTTTCATTATTCCACGTGGAATCAGATATGTCTGAAGTGTCAGAAGTGACTCGGGATGTCAGACTGACATCGCAACCATTGCTATGATGCGTGGTATGGGGGTCCACTTGACCCATTCTGTTATCATCTATTTGTAAATCCTGATTTTTGTACACGTCATATATTTTTTTATATTTTTCATAATTTTTTAAATAATAATTTTGATAATAATCATCTATTTCTTTTATGTAAAAATCATTGGCATCATCGTAATCCTTCATTTGTAACATATTCACGTCGTAACTGATTCTATCTTTTTTTATTTTGTTTCGATAAAAATCGCTGTCATAATAATCTTTTATAATACTTTTTAAAAAAATTAAATCATATTTCGTTTGTACAAAAGAATAGCCTAAAAAATCTACTCCTTCATTTATGCAAAATAAAATGTCTTTAATATCTTTTTCGTTTAATACTTCAATAGGCATAATCATATTTGGAATACAAAATCCCTTTTTGCTGTATAATTTCCCACCAGTTACTACTTGTACTTTTATGAAACTATTTTCTTTTACTAATTCATCAAAATTATTTTCGATAACTTTCATTTTTAAGTTTCCATCATCTAGTAATATCATTTGTCCATTTTTTACATTTTTTAACAAGTCAGGATAATTCAATTGTACCCTATTTTCATTTCCTGGAGTATTCATCAAATCGAATGAAAATAAATCTCCTTCTTTCAATTCTATGAATGTATTTTTTTCCATAGAATTTTTTTCATTCCTTTCAAATTCACCTATTCGTATTTTTGGTCCTTGGATATCTCCTAAAATGCCAATAGATGTATCATATTTCTTTTCTAAAATTCTGATCGAATTAATTATATATTTTTTAATACTTTTCAAACCATGAGAAAAATTTAATCTAAAAACATCAATACCACTTAGATAAAGTTTTTCTAGTTCCTCGAATTTCTCCGTTGCTGGTCCGATTGTGGCAATTTGTTTGCTTTTTGTGAATGATATTTTATTCTTTTTGCTTAATAAATTAATATCTCCTTTTTCTGTATTCTTCAAAATGGATCTATCGTTATGAGATAATATATTTTTTCTTCTATTTAATTGTTTATTTATGTAAGTACTGGTAAGAAAAAGTAATCCCCCACCACTACTTCCCCTGTTTTTAGTGCACACTTTGTTAAAATCAATACTGTCCTTTTCATATTTTATCATTCCTTCCACTAGCAATATTATCAATTCAATGATAAAAAAAAGGTGAATTAAGTTCATTCTGTTCTTTTCTTCTCATTTCAGGTGTTATTAAATATATCATAACAACGTATTTCTTGACGTGCTTCTCTGAGACGGGGGAATGTGTATTCTTAAATGTGTGTTCTGAAGATGTGTATAACCGTTCATATATGGGAATCTAGTTGTTTTTCTACTACCATGTAGTACATGTATGTGTCATGTGCTTCCTCTATCAAATGTAGAATTTCGCAAAATATGTGACTTTTTTTTTTTTTTTTTTTTCCCGTTTGTTTCGCTTTAATATGGCTCTTTTCTACTTTCCGCATGTCAGCATCTTTTTTCCCCAGATTTTTGAGTGTAGCAAAGGATTCAGATTTTTTTTCGCAGATTTGGAGATTCGCCAATTTTGAAGTTTCCCAATTTTTATCTTTCGCACGTTTGTAATTTTATAACGTCATTACTTTATCGATTCGTTCCCAAATGAATTTAATATGTAGGTTGCATTTGATTGGAAGGCATTTTAAACTCTAAAACTTAGTAACCTATTGAAATAAAAAAATTGATAAATTCTTAAATCCACAATTTGTAGTAAAAAAAGAAGAGAAAATTCTCCTTTTTTCAATTTTTTTTTTCCTTTTTATTTTTACGTTTCGCATTAAATTTAAGTTGACAAAGTGTGGAAACATTTTAGGTGATTTCTAAATAAGTGCATGTCAACGTCGCAAATATTACTATGGATTTACTTAATAATTCAGAAAGGAAATATTTCATTTTATTTATGGTTGTATGCTCAAGAAGAAAATAACTAGTCTATAGTGTGTTGTGTTTATACACACTGAAAAATTAAAATATATACATGTATAAACTATACCAATTACAAAATTCTTGTTAAAGTGTCAAAATTTTCACAAAATGAAGGGGTAAAATGATACATGTTTTCCAAATCAATAGTTGTAACATTTTTTTTTTTTTTTTTTTTTTATTTTCATCCTACTATTCTCTTCTGTTTCTTCTTTTCAAAGATGACAATTCACGAGTTTACGATAAATTAAGGTTTTCCCCTCGTTTTTTGCACTTTCGAAGTTAAAAAACTGTGGAAACATTTGTTCGTGATCGGCATAACATATAATTTGTGTGTAAAGGTGAAATTGTACATACACATGATAATAGATATATGTATCTATGCATGTATGCTATAGATGTCTCAATGCATATGGATGTACAGTATTTTTATGGCATCCTCAGGGTATCTACATAAATATGAAAGGATGGATGAATGTATGCAAGTATTTTTATTTTATTTTTTTTTTTTCCACGATTTTTCTGTACATTATTAAAGGTGTAAAGGTCAATGTGATAATTTTAAAATAACCGACTGTAATTGTATATGTTACAAAAGAACGAAAACGGCTTTTCTATTTTCTTTCATATGAACACAAGTATTGTCTGAGTTCCTTAGAAATATACAAGTGCTGATAAGTATTAAGATTTTCCCCGTCCGTCACAATGTTTTTATCTTTACAAGTAGATTAAATGATACCTTTTTTTTTTTTTTTTTTTTTTTTTTACATAACACTGTCTAACTATCTTATATTAACCAAGAATACACAATGTTTTTTAATAAATATAGAAAAAAATTTACAAACACCAAAAGGAGGTATTGTGATGTACAAAATATTGATTATAAAAAATGTGGAAAACCATTAGACATTTTTGCAGACGAGGATTCGTTAAAAAATCTCATATTAAGAGATTACTTTAAAATAATTTTAAAAAATGTTTTTATAAATTTTCAGAAAAAAAATTATTTCTTTGAAGTATTTATCCATGTGGACATATTAAAATTGTGATATATGCATAAATAATCCCAAAAAAGCAGGAATTATAAATATGGCTGCTTATCAATGTAGAGTATTCGAATGTCACATTTTTTTTTTTTTTTTTTTTTCCCTTTAGATTGTCCAATTTCATTTTTTTTCTTTTTTTTTTTTAAAATGTAGAATTGATTCCATGCATTACGAGGGGTGTTATATAACGAAAAACTTCGTCTCGTTTAATAACTTTTTTAATGAAATTTCATACTCATTGTTATCCAAATTTGAGCAACAATTTAAGGTGCTAATACAAGGAGCATTCTGCAAGTATTCGTGTGGAATTAAACATGCGTTTATCTTCGTTTATTTCAGTGTGTAATCGGATGCGTTACCCTTTTAGACATCCCCATTAATGCATGTATGTATATATATATCTACACATCCATGGGAATATATATGTTACATTCCCTTGCCCAAACATCCGTTCACAGAAAGAACAACTGGGTGATGATATGGTGGATTACCTAAATATTATTATAAGCTGTAAATTTCTCACTGTTACACTTATTCCTATTAATACTCCAATAAAAGTAATTAATGAGTTTAACAGAATTAAGAAACGAAGTTTTTATTACAATTATGTAATGTCCATAAATGCATATGAATGTACACATACAAATATATGATGACTTTTACCATAATTAAAAACAAACAGACTGATTGTATTCTGAATTTAATGAATTTGAACCACCCAGGATGTAATTTTTATCAAGTGATTGAACTAATTAATGCAACATTAATGTGCAAGGACAAAAAGAGTTTTTTATATAGAAAGCTTTATATGAGAATATGTGAATGCTCCAAAAAGTATTTACCGCACCAAAATATAATTATAAGAATAAATAAATTTGGGAATATGAATGAGTAAGAGATTTTTCAAAAAAAATTACGTCAAAATGAGAGGAAAAACGAGAACTAGAGATAGATAAACGAATACAGTGTAAAAAATATACATATATATATATATGTGTTTGGAGGGATTAATATAAAAATCGAAAAATGAAGCTCTTTTTTTGTTGTTTTTTTTTTAACCATTTTGATCTGCTAAGAATGAAAAGCGATCATGGTGGACATTAGTATGCAAACATTACAACAGTTGCAGTTGTGTGTGCACAAAGAAGGTATTTTATTTTTTCGTAGAAACAATGAAGATAAGAAAATGTGCATGTTGTGCTTCACAAAGGAATATGAAGAAGTTGCCCATAAAAGACAGTTCAAAAATTTTTACGTTTTGAAATTTTCTTTTAGCAAGACGATAGATGAGTATAGCAGTAGAGGTTATGCCGTTTTGAAATGTCATTTTGATTTTTTTTCTAAGTTCATTTCTTATCACTCTACGCACATTGTAAAAATATGTATGCATGTTTATTTTATTTTATATATTTATTTTATTATTATTTTTTTTTTCTCTTTTATCAAGACGAATGCTCAACGTTTGAAGTCTTATACCAAGATGTCACCGAAAAGAACGAGACTTTTGAAATTGGGATGAAATATAATTTGATAGTTGTATCTATTCCTAATCAAGTTAAGAATAAGATTTGTAGATGATTATACTACTCTGTGAGAGGCTATTGATGTTTATAAGAACATGACATATATATTCTATCATTTTTGCATATGCATGTAATGCCTACTTATCATTTTTTTTTTTTTTTTTTTTTTTGTTATGCTCTTTCGTTGCAGCCAAATAAGAACAGCATTAAAGGGGAGCGAGTTGGAAATATTTGGCTACTAAATTATAGGATGAATGTAATTTTTCTAAAAAAAAAAAAATAAAAGACGCACTCATTTTTTTTTTTTTTTTCATTTCAGCTCCAGAATTTGTGCAATATAGAATATTTTACAACTTTACAATTTCATAATTATTTATTTCACTTTTATTTTATTTTTTTTGTCCTTTTTTTAAGAAAACGAGAAAATTTGAATGCAGTTCATTGTCGTTGGTAGAAGACGAAAACATGTCATTATCTACTGAGAAGTTTAATTTTTTACTGCAAACTGAAAATTTAGAAGGTGCTTTTTATTTTAATTTAACTTTTGTGAACAGCAGTTTCTAAAAGCCTTTTTGAGTACTCGCACACGTGTAAGAAAATGCAAAGCATGTTCCTAGAAAATCTTTTCCATGGTCTTTTTTTTTTTTTTTTTTTTTTTTTGGCTTCTCCTTTCGTACGAATCAGCTATTAATAAAATTATAAGTGGTATATTAAAGCTCCCATCCAATAATTCTTGTTTGAATAAAATTTGCAAAACCACAAAGCTAGCCCTTATTTTGATTAGTATATGTAGTAATGTGTTAAAGTATGCAAAGTTAGATACATTTGCTCATGACTTATATAGCAAATTGAATGAGAACCAGTGGATCAGTGGGAATGTTACGCGACATGCCTTAACGAGTAAGTTGACCATTTGAACATGAAGGAAAGATAATAAGAAGGCAAAAAAAAATAAAAAAAATAATAAATAATAATAATAATAATAATAAAAATAACATAAATAAGTAAATGGAGAAATAAAATAAGATTACCATAAGAAAGGTACATAACTAACGGATGCACACGTTGTTGAGTGGGCTTAAGGCATCCAAGTGCTATATGTTCATCTGTATAGACAAATACATGTGATTACACTTTTCCACATCCTTGATTGTTTCCCTGTCACGTAGGAATAAGAGCGCCGCATTGTTTCTTCTTATGTCTAGATGAAGTAATAATGATGGAATTAGTTAAGTTTTGCAGTTATTTCTGCAAAATAAAAATACTACATGTAAAAGCAGATTCTTTTGACATTTTATATACTCAAAAGTATGATGTACTAGTAATCAATATAAACAATTTGAACAGTTGTCAAATTAACATATTAGTGGAATTAATGAAGAATGGAGTGTACAAATGTAAGAAGGTATCCTTTCCTGTGTCGACAACCTTTTGGATATATGCCGTGAAGTCTTACATAAGAAACGAACATGTAAAGTTTTGCAAAACGCTTCGCCCTGTATCTGTGTGAATGGTCGCGTCGAGGGGTTCTAATTACATACGTAGTAGCATACACAAGAAAACACATACACGGGAATCCCTCCGACTTGACCTTCCTTGTGCGTTAAAAAACACTACCCGTGATATCGAAAAACCTTTTCAGGAATTCAACACTTATATCAAGGGAAACCTGTTGGCACGGTTCGATTTCTTATTCGAACTAAGCTTTGATGAAGAGGATGATATAATCGATGAAATACTAAGGAAAACTGATGAAGTTGAAAAGGAAAATTTTGATTTTTACTTTGAACTGAATAAAAACTATTCTTATTTAAAAAGAAGCCATTTAACTTATTTTGAATTCAAGGGAATGTGCAATGTGGCGAAATCTATTATCCAAAAATATTTTAGTATGGCTGCGGACTTATCTACTTTGACTGTGTAACTATACATGATACCGCTTACTTTTTCCTTTTTATTTTATTATTATTTTTAGTTTATTTTTTTTAGAGAGTGTGATTAATTTGTACAAAGTTAAGAGTATACTGATTTTTGTGTGCTCCTAATTTAGAAGCACCAGTTGACACATGTGTCGTGTATCCTTTCATTTCTTTATCATCTCACATACAGACATCACATAGGAATATGTGAATTGCTATGCATCAGTGCATCTATATTGTTAAAGAAAAAGGAATGTCTAATTGAGCATACTGTTTTGGGTCTCTTTTTATATGACAAATTTGTGTCTTCCACAAAAAATAAGCTAACACAATTTAATAAAAACATTTTAAACAGTGTAATGAATTCTCAAGATAAGAACAGTAATTCTTTTCAGAAGCTAATGACTTACTTTTCATCATATATAAATGCAACGATGAATATATAGTGACGCTGCGTGCTGGATATATAATTTGGGGGAATTTCCATCCATAGACAGAGGAGTAAATGTGTAATGGGACATGATAGTAATACTATATTTATATACTACATATATTTAAACCTATTTACCAAGAACATGTTGTTACCCATCTTAAAAAAATAAGCCGATTTGCAAGTTATGTAATGTATGGACAATATATTACATTAAGAAAAACCATAAATCTGAATTAATTCACGTATGTAGCATATCCCTTTTGTGTTTCTTTAATGTGATTCTACCATTAATATTGTGAAAATAAAAAAAAAAATAATAATAAAAATAAATAATACCTATTGCGTATGCTATGTTCGAATACCTAATCGTTACATTTAATACAACTTCCCTTAAAGTTATGTGTGTTTTACGATATTATTTATTCTCTACTTTATTTTTTTTTTTTTTCAATTTATGCTTTAAATTGAGCAATAATTTACGCACTAATTTATATTATGTGCATGGGGTTTTCTTAACGAAACAAAGTCTTTTATTTTTTACATAGTTTTTTGTGCAACCTTGCATTTTTTTTTTTTTCTTTTTTTCCTCTTTTTTATAAATTATTTAAAAAAAAATTATGAAGAAAAAAGGAAATGGAATGATATGTAGCACTCATCCACAAGGAAGGTAAGATTTGCTAACTTGTGATAAATGATCCTCAAAATGTGTAAAAACATAATGGGGTGTGTTGAGTATAAAAAACATTCCATATATATATAGAGATATATGGGTGCATACGCAAACAGTACACATAAGTATGTATTATGTATAGAATTTGGATACATGGAGGAACTGTGTAAAAAAAAAAAAAAGTAATAAAAATAAAAAAAAATAAATAGAACTTTGCTTGTGCATGTTACTTATATCTTGTAAGTTCATGGAGTGAATATGTAAAACGTTAAGTAAGCATTAGGTCAATATGAAAATTAGCACCCCATAATTTTGGAAAATTCCCTCAAAATGTGTATATACATAAATATATATGTACATATGTTTGGACAAAAAAGGAGACTGAAAGAGTCTTCCTTCTCTTCACATTTGCGATAATGCTTATATATAAAAATGCGTTCATGCGTGGGAAAAAAAAAAAAAAAAAAAAACTGAACACAGAGGTAGCATATGAATCAGACGTTTTTATTTCTTTTAGCATATCTGTCATTTTCATGTTATAAGTTTGCATGTAAACATTCATTGTTATAATAACTTTTGCAATTCATCGTAAAAAACAAGGACAAGAGCTCCTCCAGCCCCTCTAATGACATTGGCCCAAGCTCCCTTAAAAAATCCCGCAAGTCCTTCATTTTTCAATATTTTAAACCAACAGTCAATAGTGTTTTTATATTGAATTTCTTCTTTTGCTTTTCTTCCTGACATCATCATCATTCTTCTTCTAACCGTATCAAACGGATATGAAATGAGGCCAGCTAATATAGTAACTGATTGGGCAACAGCCCATTTCAAAACTATATGTGTATTTTTATCATTATTAAATAAAAGGGCCTTGGCACTATCATATAATCCAAAATATGAACCTCTATACACAATTATACCTGTGACAGAAACACCAAAACCACTATACAGTGACAATAAACCGGTTTGTTTATATATTTTTGTTAAACAATCAAATAATCCAGTAAATTGTCTGTCTTTTCCTTTTCCTATATCTGATGCTAATCTTGTTCTTGCGAAATCTAATGGGTATACAATTAAGAGCGATATAGCACCTGCTGTTGCACCTGATAAAATATTAACACAAAAAAACTTGGTGAACTCTGTATTCTGATCATATCTGGGAAAAATATTTTTAAAATAATCTTTAAAGGCAAAATTAAAAGCTTGAGTTGGGAAATAACGAATAATGTTAGCTGTATTTCCTCTCCAGAATGACATAACTCCTTGTTCTTGTGATACTCTTTTAAAGCAGTTTATTAATCCTGAATATCTTTCAACTTGACCCGATTTTATTTCTGGTATTGAATCTTGTGTTTGAATAAGCATTTTAACTCTCTCTATTGGAGCAACTACTGTTTTTGATATGGCCGCAGAAACACCTCCCATAAGGAAGTCAGCCGCAAAGTTGGTTTTTATATCTCCACTCATTTTGAAAAACAGGATATATTATGTATGTGCTTGTGTCGAAGAAAATTGTTGGGAGTATGGCAGTGAGCTATGGTACAACTCTATTACACGCACAAGTTGTACTAATTAAGTGCTACTTCTATATACACTCAATTGATCAATTTCTTTTTACGTATGCTGATATGTTTGCATATATAGGATATTTTTTATTTACACATACACACACGCACAAGAACAAGCACAAGTAATTTTGTGGGGATAGCACAACTATACATCCATAAAATGAGCGATGGAAATCGAAAGAAATGTATAAATGTTTGAACAATTATTAATGAAATGTCAAGAGAGTAAAATAGCAAATAAAGTGTATATTTTAACAAAACATATCTTTGGCACAATTTCTTAATAAAGCATTGCTTTAAGTTTTCCCTTTTATCTTCATGTTATTTCAAAAAAAATTATGACATTTTATTTATAGACTTCAATGTTGGTACTGGTTTTTTCTACAAGGTCGGAAAAATGCACATTGTTTTTGAAGGTGGTGTTAAAAAAAAAAAAAAAAATCCAAATAATAAAAGATGAATTAATATGTAGTAGTGTATATATATGTGCTCTTCAAAACTACACAGAAAAGCTTGATGAAAATAAGTGAATTAAACGATTAAACATTTTATAAATATTGTGTAAAAAGAAAAAAGAAAAAAAGGAAAAAAAAGTTCTTATTGCTCAGTTGCTTATTAGAAATGTTGTAAATTAGTGGAACAATTTTTTGTGCTTAAAAATGTATATTATATGTTAGTTCATTTATTTTACTTACCAAATATTTTTCCCCCGGTAATTATGTATGTGTGACATTGTATATATTGTATATTGATAAATGTGTTTATATATAGATACGTGTTATTATTTGTTTAAATATGTCGATGCATGTGGATAATTCTTATGTTGTTTCTTCCCTATTTTTATATGTATTCGTACTTAAGGAGTTCTGAATACACTTTGGTTAACTTATTTTTTAGTTTTTATTTTTGTGGATTTGCCTTTCATGGTTTAATTGCTTTGCCATAAGGAAATATATTCATAATACTTTTTTTTTTATTTATATATATATATTTTTTTTTTTTCTCTCAATCTTTTTTTAATTTTCTTTATTTTTTCCCCCTCCTTTACAATTGTTTAATTTTTATTGTGACTATATTTTTTTATTACTCTATTTTATTTTATTTTATTTTGTTTTATTCTTTTTTATTTTATTTTATTTTATTTTTTTTAGCCTTTTAAAATTGAGTTATGTACTTTTAATTTTTCAAATATTTAATATTCCTTCATTATTAACCTTTTCCCTGAGAAATTTAATATATTCCCTAAAAATAAGTTTTTTTTTTTTTTTTTTTTTTTAACGTCACATTATTTTGGTATCTTTCTACAATTCTACGCTTACTTATTTTTATTATTTGTTGATTATTTTGCTTTATTTTATTAATTCATCTTTGTAGATACAAAGAAAATATTATATGCACCACCCTCAAATATGTGTACACGTCCGTTAACAACATTTATATACGTTAAATATGATAATCTATAAAAGCATAATATTATATATGTATATATTAACGCTATGTGAATAACGAAAAATACTAAACCCACTGACATTATCCCATACATTTTGAGAATTTTTTTTTGGCTCAACGACCTTATTAATGTTACCTACATTAAGGCGCTTTATTATTTCACAATTTATGAATTCATAAATTTACTTTTATTTTCTCACATTTGTTGCGAATTTGTAACGTGGGGGTATACCTTTGTTAATTCCATATTGGTATAAGGGTACTTCTTCAGCCTCGCTGGTAGTGTGCATGAATACATATAAATGTATACATACATAACGTAAAAAGTTCTGTGTACGCTTTGCCTATTAGGCATATCTATATATATACACTAGCAGACTTAAATATTAGGAAATTACACCACAAACCATTTAAACACATGTTTAATTCTGAGGGAATACAAAATAAATGGAAAAAAAAAAAATTGCGTTGCATAAAAATGCTAAGCGCAAATTAGAATTTTTAATTTGAATGAATAACAACCCATATCTGTATAATTCAAAATTGAATGCACTTTTAGCTTCTTTGGAACTTTTTTTCATTTTATTTTTTTCCTTATTTTTATATTTGTGACAAAATTCAATTTCGTTAAAGAAATTCCCTGATACTCCACCTGTTAATCTCTTATTCCATTTATTTCCACTTCGAAAGTTTTGGAAAATTTGTATTTGTTGCGGAATTTTTCTTGGATAAACCCTTTTTTTAAAAGAGGTAGGAAAAAAAAAAAAAAAATGTAATACTTTGCGTAAAGTTTACAGGAAAGTATGGCATCACTTGCGTATGAGAGAATATACACCACACACGCAAACGCAGTTATGTGTATACACATGGATGCATATATTTAGTTCTATAAAATAAGGGATAAAACTACACTGGGTTCATTTCCCGCAAACACAAAGTAATTAAGGTGGTAAAGAAACAAATATGACGAGGAGACATATAATATAAAAGGAAATTTTCTTTAAAAAATAGAATAAATAACTGAACCGTTGAGGTGAGGTGGGGATATGTTGCGTATGTATCAAGTTCAGCAAGAAGGCAGTGGATCAATCAAACATAGAGCTAATCAGGCAAAAAATTAACAAACAAAGTGCTAATAAAACAATGGAAAGAATGAATTAATGAACATACGTATGCATGTTCATAACTAAACAGAGAATGCAAAAATAAACAGCTTGATTTTCGAATTAATCGAATCACCCATATAATGTGTGTATTTACAAAATAAAGAAAAGTACTTTCAACATAAATATGATGCCCAGCACAAATTTCAAACTGTAATTTTTACATAAAAAACAATAACTCATAATTAATGCTGAAAATTCTCTTAATTAATCTTCAAATAAGGATATCGACCTTTTTTTTTTTTTTTTTTTTTTTTTTTTTCAACCCCAATGTGCTGCCTATTTTTGCATTTCTACTGAAACGGTTTAAACACATAAGCAATGTGAAATGAATTAATAAACATATTTTTTTTCAATTTTATAATTAAATTATCATTATTGTGCAGGAGAAATGAATCAGCATAATTGTGGCATATATTTTGGCTCTTATAATTAACTAAAAATTCATCCTTTTTTTTTGCGAAAAATGTGTAAATAAAAAAATCTTCGTAACATATTTTGATTACATTAAAAAGTATTTCTTCAAACTCAGGGAAATATTTGCTCATGTCATTGTTGTAAATTTTGAGAGCTGCAGCATGGTCTATTTTTAATTTTTTTTCTACTTCGTTTGAATGCATGATTGATCCTAAATTCATTGTGTAATTTTTAATTTTCTTTATGTTCAGCTGCTTTGCATATTTTTGATGGTCAAACAATGAAATGTTGGTTTTTAGAAAGTAACTTAGACAATCATTCTGTAATCTGATGTATATATTACTAAAAATTATTTCCAATTTGCATTTGCTTAATTGGTTGTTTTGATATTTTAAGTTTTTGTTTTTTTTCTCCTCCTTTATCAGAAAGTTCCTCTTTTTAAAAACCAAAGGCTTTTTCTCGTACATATCTGACAATAACAATAAAAGAAAAATTTTCAATTCCGCAATATTTATGTCTGTACTGAAATCTAAATTGTTATGATTACAATTGGTGAAAAAAGGAATAAAATTGTCGTTCTTATTTTTGTGGTTCACCACTTTGGGTGTTATGGTGTTAATTTGATCCATATGGTTTAGCACTGTATATTTCTGTTTATCGGAACTGCACAAAATATCCTCAAAGGTTTTTTGACAAAACTGGAAAAATGCCTCATTCAGGATTAACTCTGGAGTTACAAATATTTGTAATGATATGATCAGTTTCTCCTTTACACCTAGCAGATGTTCATTCTGCTTCATTACTTGAACCAACTTGTCCAAAATATGATCTTTTTTTTGTAATGTTTTAGATGCGTAAATTGATAAAATGTGAAAACTGCAAAAAAAGAAATGCGGATCTTTTATTTTTGATAGGACTTTCTCTATGATAGTGTTAAAAAAAAAAGTACTTATTTCATAATTTTTACTTTTTAAAAAGTATAAAATGGAAAGTAATGATTTTATATCCACCGTATTAAAATTATTCAGTATGTCTATGCATATATCTTGGACTACATTATTATCAAGCAATATGTTAAAATAAGAGGAAGAACAAAAAATTGAAATTAAGCTTATATAACTATATTTTTTTAATCTCGTCTGTATTTTTAAATATAGCGATTTTAAGAAGTTATGTATTTCAGTATGTTGTGCTGAATTTGTTTGACCATATTTACATAAACATACAAAAATGTCCGTAACATCTTTTTCGTTATAATGATTTTTATCAAATAATATTTTTAAATTGGTTAGTATTTTTTTAAATAATTTCTCATCAAGTAAATTTAAATTTACTAAACAATCTAGAATGATACAACAATTATACACATTCAATAATTTTATATTATTCTCTGATTCGTATTTTATATATTCATATATGTTGTAGTAATTTTTTATTCTTAATTTATTTATGTTATACACAAGAAAACAAAAATCTTTTTTTTTTAACTTAACGAGATGTTCCTTCTCCAATATGTATGTATTATCCTTTTTTGAAAAATGTTCGATGAGAATTTTTTTTTTTTTTACCATATCCATATGATAACTGTAATGTGATGAGCTATTTGTTATGCCTATATTTGTCCCTTGGTTCGTGGTACTGTTTTTACTCTCTTGAAAATAAACAGGTGAATATCCAATTATATCATCACAAAGAGCATAGCAGTCCGTCCAACAATAATCATCTCCACTTAACACTGATCCTTTTGTTTTGATTCTTTTTTCATATTTCAAATTTAAATTTAAGACCACAGAAAGAATAACTTCCTTGAACATTTTTTCATCCTTAAAATTGGTCCTCTGGAATACATGCATTAGCATGTTTAGGGAGCAAATGTCTAGAATATGTATATTTCGCAGCTTATATAAATTTTGGCATAACCCATTTTCTGGGTTCAGCAATACTTTTTGCACTTTTCGCAATACACATTTATCTATATTTCCTCTCACCCTTGTGTAACTATGCATGAACAAAATTAAGTGATCAAAATTTATTTTGTAGAAGAATAGGAAATACAGAAAAAGTTTATACATAACTTTTTTTAATTCTTCCACATTTTGTAAGTGCTCCAGATTGTTTAACTTAGAATATGTATTACATATTAACGTTAGGTCTAGGAAGTTCAAATGATTTTTCTTGTTTCTAAAAAGAGAACTAATATTTTTATAATTTTGTTTATCAATTAGGTTTTTCCATGTTATTTTCTCTTTTTCCTTACTCATATTACTACTCTTATTAATAGCATAATCATCAGTTTGAAAATTACATAGTGACTCTTGATATGTCAAATTGTTATCCTGACTAAGATTTAAGAGCTCCGATTCATTGTATGCGAGGCAATTATGTCCTTCGAAGTGTTCACTCGTTTTTTTCTGTATTCCCTTTTTTCTTCTCGTAAGAGAAATAAAATATTTCTGACAATTTAATATGAATATTAGGTTATCTGTATATTCGTTTAAAAATGTCAAATTGATGTATTTGTACGAATTGGAAATACTATAAAAGGTGAGAATTATCTGTTTCAAGTTCATCTGGAAAATGAAATTTATATTTTCCGTATTAGCTATGCGTTTCCAAAAGCTGTTACTGTGTACTTTTTTTTTACTTAACAGGTGAACTATTATGGAAAAATCTTTTTCATTAAGTTGTTTCATTTTCAGCAGATGTAAAAAGTTCTCGTTGAATTTGTACATGCTACACAAATCATCTTTTTTGCAAAATTTTCTTATCTGCTTGACTAGTTCGGATTGTCCACACGAATTTTCTACGTTCACAGCTTTGGCAGTTGTATCTTTGCTTTTTACATTTGTGGTTAAAGTCATTGCAGTTCCTTTTTTGATTATATCCTGGCTTTCCCAAAATGCTTTCCCACTGATTTGTTCGCATTTTACAATGGCATTTTCTATATTCGTCAATTTACTCCATACTGCTGTTCCATAAAGCCTTACTTTTACGCTTCTCTGGTTTAATAACTGCTTTGTTAGACATACAATTTTGCATTTTTGTAAATTCTTCATCTAATGGATCTGTTATGGGCATTAGAACCGTTCGAGAAATATAGACCATTTTTTGGTCTTTTTTTTTTTTGTGTAAAAAAAGGGTAAAGTTGACTTCAATGAAGAATTATGTAATCAAATTGAAAACGTGCTGCAATCTCATATACTTCTGTCTGTACATGTGACCATTTTATGCTAAACCTATTTGGGATACATACCATTTTTATTTCCTTTTGTTGTGACTTTTTGTTTTCTTTCTTCCATCCTAGAAAAGCTCTTCCCTCCTTCCTAACCCTTTTTGTAACCTAGGAAGGACGTGTTTCTTTGAAGTATTTTCTTTTGTAATTACTGATTTCCTTCTTTACATTTTTTTAGCATTGCAGTTAGAAATATACAGAAATGTATAAAATCGTGAACAAAAAGTTTCTTTTAGCTTTTTGCTTTTATATCAAGTATGTTTTTTCTTTTTGAAAAAAGCTAAAGCAATGCACTTTTTTTTTTTTGACTAGGAATGTTGTTCCTTTGCTACCTATTTTGAATATTCAATTTTTTTAACTTTCTTTAAATGTTACATTTTATTTTATTTTTGTTTTTTATGGTATCACACAATCGTTATGTTATCTATGCATACATAGGCATCGAGCGAACATGTTTGAAAAAAAAAAAAAAAATTGCAGTGTTGTCACAGGCTATTATGTGAATTTGTGCAGATAAAATAAACATCACATTTTATTTTCCCAATTTTTAATACATACAAAAAATTATGTTTATGTAGTAAAGGTTGACAATAATTTCCTCTTTTTTTTTTTTTTTTTTTTTTTTGGTTTTCTTAATATGTGAAAAGTTTAAATTAATATCTGGAAAAGTGTTTCACATTATAGTATAGTGTAATGAATTTTTTTTTTTTTCTTTCTTTTTTTTTTTTTTTTTTTTTTTTTTTTTTTTTTTTTTTTTTTTTTTTTTTTTTTTTTTTTTTTTATTTTTTTTTTTTTTTTTTTTTTTTTTTTTTTTACACCTTCATTTCTTCATTGTTAAAAATGAAGAGTAAAACATAAAGGAGTAAATTTTTTTTATTTGTAAACGCTGATTGACTTTAATTAAGTATTCTAACATGTATTTATGAATGTGTAAGGAAAAATATTCATAGATATGCATAAATAGGCATTAAACATAAATTACTGTTATTCACGAGTTACACATGCATAATACAAGTCAGAATATAAATGTTTAAGACATTTCCATTTTGTTTTTAACACCTTCTATTTTCCAGAATTCTTTGCCATTTTATATGATGGAAGAAGTGTTTTGTTTTTTCGTTTTTTTTTTCATAAATTGGAAAAGCACGATTTGAGAGAATTTCACGTAAACTTTAAAAAGTCGAACAGTGTACACCACTCCAATTATGTGCAAGAAATAAATCGGTAAAAGTGTATACGTATAGGAATATACATATGCATAAATATATATACACACATATGCGTTTACATATTTGTTCATGTACCTGTTTGTGAGTTGTAGGAGGAAAAAGGAGAAAAAATGTCACCAATGAAAAGCACATTTGGCATATACAGTGGCGCTGCATATGAGTATTTTCCACTTTCATTTCGACTGAATTGGTGACACCACACACGTACATACGTACATATATTTATATATATATATATATTTTGCTTCTTCTGACATTAGTTGTGTATATTACAATTAGCGAAAATAGATATTCTCCATATCTTGTAAAATAGCAGAGGGATTTTTTTTTTTTTTAGTATTATAGAGATAAAACTATTAAAGGATGGTTTATTTTTATTGCTTAATATTCAAAATTAACAAAAGAAAGGGAATTTAAAGTTTTCTCTTTTTACCACATGGATACATACATATATGTGTGTAATCTGTATTAATTTTCGAAGACTTTCCAGAAAATACACCATACACATTTAGATGCCAATTTTTGATACATATTTTGTATTTTATTTTCTGGTCGTGCGTATATGCCTAAGAGTTTTATCTCCTTTTGTTTCATATTTCTCTATTCTTATTTTTCTACTTATTTAATTTCTTAATTATTCCTTTTTTTTTTTTTTTTTTTGTTCTTTAACCTCATTCGTGTGGTTTTGCCACTTTTTCAATTTATCTTTCCTACGAATATTTTTCAATATACATATGTTCACGAATGTGTGTTTGTTATTTGAGTATAGTTCCTATCATCCGTGTAGAGGCTTTTCTATATGCTTGTTTCTTTGCTCTAGCCGAATGTATATACCCCGTTACTTTTTTAATATATACATGTGTGTTTAAATTATTGTGCTCATATGAGAATAAATCTACTCAACCGTCCCTCCTCCTATTCATGTCTTATTAATGGTCATTTGTAAATCCATTTTATATATTTATATTACAAGCAAATATACTTTTATTTTATATCTAGTGTTTGTAACAAATTTGACATGATCAAATTATTTTTCTCCCTAATAACTGAAAAGCTGAAAAAATAGCAAAAGTTCGATAAAGACAATTTTATATAGTTCAGTTAATATATAGGAAGTACCAACGTTTGTCTTCCATATAAGGTGGAAGCGAAACAAGACAGGAAATTTTCATACGTATGTATATATGTATATTAAATCGTACCTATATATAAAAGTAGTGTGGCACAGACAGAGGTGTATCTCCTCCGCACCCCGTCAAAGCTTACATAAAAATATACATGTACTTGGACGAAGAAAACAAAATGGATAAGTTAGTCCCAATAGTAAACAAATTACAAAATGTGTTGTCTTCTTTTATTAGCAGTGAAACTCTTAGCTTGCCACACATTGCAGTAGTAGGTGCCCAATCTGTAGGAAAGACGTCTCTACTGGAATCATTAGTTGGATTAAGTTTTATGCCAAAGGGGGAAGATATTGTAACTAGAACCCCAATAATTATACAATTAACAAATTCTAAGCAAGAAGAATGCTATTGCACTTTAACGTATACCGATTATGATAATAATCGAGTAGAAAAACATATAGAGGATTTTTCTATTTTAAACGATATATTAATAGATGTGACTGAAGAAATTACCGGGGGGAATAAATGTATTAAGGAAACTCCAATAATTATTGAAATACGCAAAAGTGACGTTTTAGACTTAACCTTAATTGATTTACCAGGATTAACAAAAGTACCTGTAGGAAATCAACCCCAAAATGTAGAAGAACAAATTGTGAATTTAGTAAATAAATATATAAAGAATCCAAATTGCATAATTTTAGCTGTTTCATGTGCTAATATCGATTTGGCAAATTCAGATAGTTTGAAAATGGCTAGGAGTGTAGACCCTAAACATGAAAGAACCATAGGAGTTATAACAAAGTGTGATATGGTGGAAAAACCAGAAATATGGAAGAAAATGATAAGTGGCTCTTTATATCCATTAAAAAAAGGGTTTGTAGCCGTTGTTTGTAGAAGTCAGAAAGATGTTGAAGATAATACGAGCATTGAAGATTCGTTAAGGAAAGAAGAAGAATATTTTAATCAATGTATAGATCTTACGAATCAAGTGGAATGTATTATGGAATGTGGAATAAAAAATTTAGCCAAAAAATTAAATAATATTCTTATTGAACATATTAAAAATACTGTACCATTTTTAAAACCCAAAATAGATGCTTTAAAAAGTATAGAAGAAGAAAAATTATTAGAATTAGGAGAACCTATGGATAACATGAATCGTTCTGAATATTTAGCAGTTCTAGTTAATTATATAACAAAATTTTCACAACAGTATCAAGATATAATTGATGGAAAAGTATTCTATAAAGATCGAGTAGATGAACTAAAAGGAGGAGCAAGAATTCATTACATTTTTAATGATTGGTATATAAAATCGTTAAATGATTTTTCTCCTCTAGAATTATTAACAGATGAAGAAATAAGAATAGCTATCCGAAATTCTAGTGGACCAAGAGGTGCACTATTTGTCCCAGAAAGTGCATTTGAAACTTTAATAAAAAAATTAATAAACTGCTTGAAAGAGCCATCACTACGTTGTGCAGATCAGGTATATGAAGAACTCATAAAAATTGTTGATAACTGTAGGATAGCTGATATGGAGAGATTTACTAATTTAAAAAGTGCAATAAATGAACAGGTTAAAATACTGTTAAAAGATTGCTTACAACCAACAAAAGAAATGATTAAAAACTTAATGTTAATTGAATTATCTTATATTAATACTAGTCATCCCGATTTCTTAAATGAACAGTTTATGAGAAATGTATATGACAAAGACAACGAATACGTAGAAGAATTGGATCATGTTGGTCATACACCGAGTAATAAACTCCCGCACCCGAAAAGAGACTTTCAAGAAAACTACACATCTATGGGTAGTAATAGTAACAACATGAATTGTTCTACCATTCATCATCATCACCAACACCATCAACACCATCAGCAGCATCAGCAGCATCATCAAAATCATCAAAATCATCAAAATCAACATTGTCACACCTATAAGGAAGATACAAAACTGTGGAAAAATAGAGAAGATATAAAATCATTCAAAAACAAGGAAGGAACAAAAATAACAAATATTCATAACAGTAGAGAAAATGTTTTCATTTTGCCAGTTATTCCTGAAAAAATTATACCAGAGTATTCATCTTCATCGAAGGAAATAATAGAAATCGATCTAATAAAATCTTTAATTAATAACTACTTTAACATTGTTCGAAAACATATAGCCGATGCCGTCCCCAAAGCCATTATGCACTTTATGGTTAATACATCTAGGAAGACAATGCAGAAGGTGCTGATTTCCAACCTGCACAATAGTGAACTTTTTAACTTATTTAATGAATGTTCATCTATTAAAGTGAAAAGAAGCAATTGCAAAAAAAATTTGGAATCCCTAAACCAGGCTATCAAAATGTTGGCAGAGATTAGGAATCAGGAACTTTAGGGTTTTGTCTAGGATACAATCGCATGCGTTAGCCAATACATGTACCTATGGCCATTCATGCCTGCTTAAGTGTTTTTATGTCTATTATTATGTATTGCAATGAGGAAATGCATGTAAATGAAAACGTGTGCATGAGAAAAATCCTCAACCCCCCCGGGAAAAAAACAAAACAAAATAAAACTCTAAAAGAATTCCAAAAAAAAACCCAATGGAAAATATTTACCATTTTTGTGTAGTCTCCTCGCCTTGACAAAAATCTACCGCATACATTTGTGAGCACATGTAAAACTTGCAATTACGCGGACTGAACTTCATAAGTGGGGTACACGAAAATATGATGTTATTTTTGACTTTATACAAATGTTGCATATTTGTCTTTTGCATATGTATGTATAAGCACGGTGTGTACATGGCCGTGTTCTGTGCATAATTTATACATTTACACATGTGCACTTCCCCTATATATATGCTATTTTTTAAGTCTTAAAATGAAAACATTTGTAACATAATGCGCGGAGCGAAAATTGTGCATATGTATACATACATGTATATAAAGATGTATATGCACACGAATTTGCGTCCGTTGCGTACTAATATGTTAATTATGTGTGAATAACACGTTAGCCACATTTGAAATATACATTATATCACATTTATAGTTCCACTTTTTATATCCCCCACCTTGTGTTTTCATATAATCACCAATTTTTTTTTTTTTGATATACACAAGAAAAAAAGAATTAAAAAAATGTTCAGTTTCTCATTCTTTTCTTTTCCCCTTTTTTTTTTTTTTTTTTTTAATTTAATAAAATTGTTTTATGAACATGTATATTCTTCTTTATGGATCATTCTGTATATACTCTTGGTAAGCAGAAAGGTACTTATATTTAGTTTTTTTTTTTTTTTTTTTTTTCTCTCTCTGTTCCATTTTTAAGGAAACTTACATTCTTTCTGTAAAATATTTTTGTAAAATTTATCTACAAAGAGTGCAAAATGAAATGGGACAAAATTTTATTAAGCACAATTGAAGGAAAAAAAAATAGAAACAACAAAGTAATGTAAAAAATAAAGGCATAAAATATTTCGACAGCGCACACTTACCATGTTATTTTAAAGCATACGCATAACATGTCCAACATATTCAAAGTATATACATTTAATTATTAAAATTAATATTTATTTCTTAATTTCCCTTTTCCATTTTAAAGTTGCTTGTTGTAAATTTGTTAACATCTTGAGAAGAGGAAAATTTGCACACAAATTAGATCATTATGTAGTTTTTAGCAGTCTGTTTAAGAGTTATTTTTCCGGGGGATTATTTCAAAATATCCCTGTATTTATTTATTATTTTTTTTTTTTTTTTTACGTTCCAAATAATTTATGCATAGCTTCATGAAGTTAAGCACTTGGTATAGTTATGTTGTGCTTGAAAAGTTCTGCTTTTGTTGTCGTGAATTTTTAAACACTTGACGAATTTTAATTTTTAGTTTATTCTATTTGATTTTAGCCTAGTAGGATAAATGTTGTTACTTGTTTTTCCTTTACCTCCCATCCATGTACCAATAAAATGAGGTATTCCCTCCCCCTAGGCACATTTCTGAATTAAGAAAATGAAATCATGGGGTTAGTTGAAAAACAAAAGTCCTGAACAAAATTGAAGTATTCAATAATTCAAAAGATGGAAGATCCTAATGACAACAAGGAACCTAATTCTCATAAAAGGAATTTTCGCAAAAGGGCAGACATTTTAAATGAGGATTATTATGCTAAATATGAAAAAAAGCGTAAACTAAAGGCAGCCAAGAAGATGTAAGTATTGGGAAAATATTCTGCATTGTCACCTTGTTTCACTGTTATCTAATTTGTTAGCATTTCTGCTTGTTTTCTTTTTCTTGAAGATTAATTTGATGAATATAACGATGATATGTTTTCCGGCATTTGCAAATGCCACTTACCTGTACATATGTTTAAGCCTTATATGATACGTACACACATACATGACATTTTGAATATCTTCACGAAGCATCACATAGAAAGTGTGCATATCTTTGTGGAAAACTGTATTCATCTGTTTTAACAACTGTGTACTGAAAAATGTGACATTCGGTCCTATATATGACCAGTTTGAATTTTAATTATGTATTTATTTTTTTTTTTATTTATTATTTGTTATTTTTTGGAAATTTCCATGTTGCAAACAATGCCCTTTTTCATATTTTTACATTTGCATTTTGCATTTTTATATTTCCCATACACACACACACCCTTCTTCCCCGTTTTGAACACATGTGGTATCATGTGGTATCATGTCGTATCCCTTTTCTCATAGAAACGAAGGTCAAGATGTGAAGTTCAGCCAAAATGTGAAAAGCAAACTTAGGGAATATTATGAAATGCGCTTTGATAAGAAAGTGATAAATCTTCCCTTCAGCACAGATTCAATAAATATACAACAAAGAGGATTTAATGATTACAGCAAAGATATGATATTAAAAAAGAATCATATGAACAAACCATTATGGATATGTTCAGATGGATTTATATATTTAGAAATGTTTAATATTTGTAGTAAACAAGCATCTGATTTTCTTATAACAATTGCTGAACCTATATGTAGACCAGAGTTAATTCATGAGTTTCAAGTAACAATATTTTCATTATATGCAGCTATATCTGTGGGAATTACCCTTGATGAATTATTAATAAACTTAGATAAATTTTCAAAAAATTCCCTGCCAGATGAATTAGTACATAATATTAAAAAAAGTGCTGAATCTTTTGGAAAGGCAAAATTAGTACTAAGGGAGAACAAATACTATATTGAAGCTACAAACAAATCGGAACTAGATTATTTGTTAAAAAATAATATTATAAAAAATGCAAGATTATATTCAAATGAAGACAATAATGAAGAACAAAAGAAGAATATCTTTACTATAAATAACAATTTTAAAGAAAATAAGCGTACTCAAAGTAGTACTGATAATACAGTAACTACTAACCAGTGGAATTTTGAAAACGAAACTTCCAAAGACAAGAAGTACGAGGACACGTACGTGACATATGAAGCCCCTGTATTGGACACAACACAGTTGGGTTATAAGAATTGCATATCATTTAGCTTATTTTGTGGCGTGTTTATTTGTGTGCTATTTAGAGATAAACTGTTTCTTGTTCTTTCAACACACATTCTTTGCATCTTTACATATGTTTAACTTAATATGAACGTTTTCTTGCATGTTCCAAGTTCTCAATATAACGTACATATGCAGTGTAAAAAAAAATAAATAAATAAAATAAGTAAAAAAAAATATTTTTTTCAACACATTTTACATTTTCCTACTTTTTGGTATATCCATGAACAGGATTCAAAATTAGTGAAAGCGAAAAGCAGCTAATGCTAGAGGAGAGAAAGAATGCAAACGAAAACACAAATGCAAATGCACGTTATTCAGAAGTGTACTCATTCGAAGTGAACTCTGACAAGATAGAGGAAGTAAAACAGGAAGCTCTTCAAACAATGCAAAGACCTTTATTAATGGAATACGATTTTAGAAGAGATAAAAAAAATCCAAATCTAATTTGTTCGTTAAAAAGCCATGTACAGATAAGATATTACCAAGAAAAGGCTTTAAGAAAAATGTTTAGTAATGGGAGAAGTAGATCAGGCATTATAGTTCTTCCTTGTGGTGTGGGTAAAACATTAACAGGAATTACAGCTGCTAGTACAATAAAAAAATCATCTTTATTTTTAACAACATCAGCTGTAGCTGTTGAACAATGGAAAAAGCAGTTTGAAGATTTTACAAATATTCATCCAAGACATATAAGAATATTAACATCAGATTATAAATTTGATTTATGGCCTATTAACGAAGCTGGTGTATTAATTTCGACATATACAATGTTGGCATATTCAGGAAAAAGAAGTGAACAAAGTTTGAAAATCGTAAATGATATAAGACGAAGAGAATGGGGATTATTAGTTTTCGATGAAGTGCAATTTGCACCCGCACCATCTTTTAGAAGAATAAATGAAATTGTAAAATCTCATTGCAAACTTGGTTTAACAGCAACATTGGTAAGAGAGGATTTGTTGATTCGAGATTTACAATGGATTATTGGACCTAAATTATATGAAGCTAATTGGGTAGAATTACAAAATAAAGGTTTTTTAGCAAAAGCTTTATGTAAAGAAATATGGTGTAGTATGCCAAGTTCTTTTTATAAATATTATTTGAAATCAAACAGTTTTATTAAGAGAAGATTATATACATGTAACCCTAGAAAATTAATGATGTGTGAATATTTAATTAAACATCATGAACAAAATAATGACAAAATTATTGTTTTTAGTGATAATATTTTTGCCTTATTACATATTGCAAAAACGTTAAACAAGCCTTTTATATATGGTAAACTTTCCCCAATTGAAAGAATAGCAATTATAAATAAATTCAAAAATGATCCTTCTATTAACACAATTTTGTTAAGTAAAGTTGGAGATAATGCAATTGACATACCCATAGCAAATGTCGTTATTCAAATATCTTTCAATTTCGCTTCTAGAAGGCAAGAAGCGCAACGGTTAGGAAGAATTATTAGACCAAAAAATAAAGGTAATGAAAAAAAAAATATTAATGACCCAGACTCCTTTTTTTATAGTCTCGTTAGCAAAGATACCATAGAAATGTGTTACTCAGATAAAAGACAAAGATTTCTCATAAATCAAGGATATGCTTACAATGTCCTTAGTGATAATATTGTTGATTTTAATAAATTAAATTTAGTGTACAAAAATAAAAAAATTCAAGAAAATTTGCTAAAGTGTATTTTAGCAAGTACAGATGATGGTAATAACGATGAAGATGATGATTTATTTGAGGATTCAAATTTTGAAAAAGAAAACCTTAAAATAGGAAATAAAGTTGATACGAATTCTTCACAAAATAAAAAAGATGATATGTTAAAGAAGGTAGATAATGGGGAAAGTTTGCTAAAATTATCAGCCAACGTAGATGTAACATTTAATGATAAAAAAAAGAGTTCACAGAAAAAATTTGCAGATAAGCATATTTTATTTAGAAAGTTTTTAAGTCAGAATAAATAGTTCTATTTAGGGGGTGGAAGATAGGAAGCTAGATTGGTTTATTTCTACCGGAGCATTCTTTCCTGTTACATGTGGTGCAGCATGGCTGCAAGAGTTCAGTTGATTGGTTGTCGAAAAAAAAAAGCCAAACATGTGCACGTACATATATATGCACTTATATACGTACGTGTGTATTTATATCCCCACCTACAGAAGCATTGTGCATAACCGTAGTTTTGTTTTTGTTTTTTCTCTGCGTTGATCAGCTATGTATGGGACCAGTTACACAACTGAATGCTATATGTTGCAATTGGAAACAAGTTATAATGACATGCTAACTTAACAAAAATGTAATTCTCTTTTATTGCTTCTATATATTCGGTATAATTTAAGTAAAATAAAAATGTGTAGACGTGCCCAATATAGTTAGGAGAATACCCATATATCAAAAGAACGTGAAAAAGTGACACAAATATATACGTCACACCTCAGAGACAATGGTATGTAAAATTGTCTTTTTTTTTTTTTTTTTTTTTTTAAATATATGACATTTTAAGTAATTTTAAAAAGGGTAATCATTTACGAGATAATCACTGGTATGATACTAGTAACGCATGGCACTTTTCGGGAGGAAGAATAATAGTAACACGAGCTGAAAAGAAAAAAATGATTAATGAAATAATATACTTGTACATAAGATATCTACCTATTTTATATATACTTTCCAGTTGTACTATCTGGTTCCATTTTTAAAAAACCAAAAAAAATATATTATTCATTAACCCGAACAGAGCGGATGAATTCGTATTTATAACAGATCATGTATTATTGTTTTTCTCGTTTTTTCACCCCTATTATCTATTAATCTGTTGTGTATGATGCATCTCCCCCTTTTTAAATTTCCCTAATTGTTCCATTTCTACACTTTTGAGTATTTGTAACAACCTGTTTACATGCATCATAATTCGATGAAAGTACCATCATCGTACGTATGGCATAGTCAAAAGTAATCAAATTATAATTTTTTTTTTTATGTTGTACTAATATATTTTATTCTCACGATTGGGAAAAAAGTGGAACTCGTGTGCTGGATATATAGAGTTTGGAAGAAGAATAATAATGTAAAATATGACGCAAAAATGCACATAACATTTTATTTTTTGGTAAATTATAGTGTAATTATTTTTAAGCTGTTGCTAAGACATACCACTTTTATTTTATTTTGTTTTATTTATTTTATTTTATTTATTTATTTTTTTATTCTTTTTTTTTTTTATTTTTTTTACTCTTATTCACGTTTTCATAACATTCCTTTATTTCGAATTAGGGATTAGAATATCTTAAATGGGGTACCACCTTGACGTGTTATATATATGGTTATACGCACGTAAAATTGTGGGCATTTAAAAAATGTAGTCATGTATGCTCTAGTTATGAATATTTGCCTACGTAAGTTATTCACTATAAATATATGTGCTTATTTTAATATCACAATACAACATGTGTGTGTGTGTGTATGGGGAAGGGCTAAGGTATTTGGGGATTCATTATGGAATATCATTTTGATGCTTTTTTTTTTTTTATTCTAAGAAGAAATAAAAAAAAGAAGATTATGACGACAACCTGACGGTTGAAAGATAATGTTACACATATTTTTTTTTACCGCAGGAGCGATCATGCAATATGCATATATATATTGAGTAGGTATACATTCGAATGTTGTGGCCTATTTTACTATCTTCCTATGCCTATAGCATTAATATATACATATATATATATATATAAGCGCACGATATTGTAATGACGTAAAAAAAAAAAAAAAAAAACTAAGTAATTAATTAAATTTTTATATTCTATATTTTCTTTGATGGGATAATTTTTTATTATAATTATTAAGTGATAATAAAAGCCCCCGCAAAATAATTATATATACATGTTTATATATATCTATATATATATATATTTATATAATCAGAAACAAGGCTCCATATATATAAAAGGAATATTATAAAAAAAAAAAAAAAAAAAAAAAAAGGGGAAAATAACCAGATTAAAAAAAAAAAGTATAAAACAGAACAGATATAAACATAATTCACTGTTAATAGCTACATTTTTTATCATTAAGGAAAAGAGATAAAGGAAAATGAATGCAGGTTACAGTGACGTTGTGTTGCTAGTTCAATTTTCAAGAAAAATAGAAAGTAGGACATTTGTTGAATACAATTCTCTAAAATTAGCTCTAAATGGTAACTACTCAAAAAAAAAAAAAAAAATCCTATATAAAGCAGCATATATAAAAACAAATGTACAAAGTTTACATAAGACTAGTACATATATACATTTCAGTTGTGAAGATTGTGTTAACATGAGTGATACGTTAATAGTTTAGTTATGTATGCACATGTCCATTTTTGTCGTATATATGCTTTGCATATGAATATACATAGAAGTTATACATACTTTTTCCATTTATATAAAAATACGCATATATATTAATAATTCTTTTTCCTTTTTTACTCTCTAGGAATTTGCCAACTATACGAACAAGCAATAAAAGAAAGTGACCCCACAGTGCAAAGAATAACATATAACATGAACGATTTATTTTTGTATATTGACAACATACAGAAAATGACCATTTTATTGTTAGTTTTAAGATAAGAAAAAAAAAAAAAAGTATTAAATGAGATAACAGTGACGAAAATGATTGAAAATAAATAGTCAATATGCTATTCACTGGGCATCTGTGTAGACGACTTTATGAACATCGCTAAGAGAGAACATATTATTTCACGCGTTTACTAATGTATGCTGAATAAAATGTCTTATTATATCTATAAAGCTGAAGTATTATGCACATTTTTTTTTTTCTTGTAGATTTCATCAACCTACATGGACATACAAACCACATGACAAAATATGGATTAAACAAAAGCTGGTTGAACATATAAAAAATCAAATAGGCCAATAATAGTAAATATATATATTAATACAGCTGAAGATCGTTCACCTTATGAGTAATGTTGTCATTGTTATTCAACTGTTACACTAATTTGACAATATGTAGTGCGATGATGTATATTTTCTGAACACCTTTATTGATCAATCATAATGGAAAAAGAAGAGAAAAAAAAATGAAATAAAGAATATCCTATAATCCGGAATCCCTCATAGTTCCAATGTTTATAATTTATTCCCAAGCAAATAACCTCTATATTTTTCCAATGCATTTTTGTAGTCCTCATCAAGCTTATTCTTTAGTTGTTCTTTCCGTTCATTTGTCTGTTGAAAAGGAGGGAAAGTAAAATGAAAAATTAAAAAAGGATGGTGATGTGAAAATGGGAAACAATAAGGAAAAAGACGAAGAAGAGAATCAGAAGAGAAGCAGAAGAGAAACAAGATGTTACAAATAATTTATATTAAATTTTTTTTTTTGAGCAGAGCGTTATGTACGGATGCATTTTGACCATGCAGTATCGACAGAAACGTTTTATTAAACTGTTTTTTATATTCGGTTTTCACCGCGCTTTTATTAAGTATTGGAGGGTGTGTGTTTGATAACGTTTCCTCATGGCATATACACATGTTCGTAGATGTGTGTATGAATGCACTTATGTATAACATATATATATGTATGTGCTTTACGCTTTGTTCTTCGTTCCTTAGCACTTTTTCCTTTTCCTACAAACATATTTTTTTAATTTTAAAATACATTTCAAAGTGAAATATTTTCATTCTTAAAAATATAGCGAAAATGTGAAAAAAGAGGGATAAAAATAGAAAATTAAAAAATGTGAAAAATGGCGGAAATTTTATACTTACCTTGCTCAACTGAAGTTGCCTTTTTACTTTTTCCTTGTTCACATATACCCTATTTTGAACCCATTGTAAAAATTCGTCTATTTCTGCCTTGGTCTGCAGGAAGAAGGTACGCAAGTGGTGTATATGCAATTATGCGTATTGTATACGTACAAATCTGCGTATGTATAAAAGTGGAAACAATCCCTATTCATCTCCTCAGTGGATATACATCCGAATGAATTACCGAATTCAAAAGATTTTCTTCTATTTCGTAAACAAAAACACAGCCACTTGAGTCTCCAATTATAATCTTGTTATACGAATACTTGTATACATCTTTGTATAGGAGGGGAACATGTATATAAAAATTTATGAATATAATATATAAACATACACACAACACACACACGCAGATACAAACTTGCGTATGTAGGAATGATGATGTGTTAGATATGACATTTTAATAGAAAAAATTTAAGTTGTTTGGAAAGTGGAATACAAACTAATCGTAATTTTAATTATGAATTCTACATAAAAGTGTAGAACTGGAACAGAGAAACATAAGTCAAATTGATTTAATCTTTTTTTGTACTATTTTTCATCCATTCATTCGTTAATTTTTTTTTTTTTTTTTTTTTTTTTTTTCTTCCCTAACCATCTTCATCCTTATTAATCAAATATTCATTGGTGTCTACAAATGTTTCCGAATTTTCATAGGAGATATCATCACTATGATTTTTTTGAATATTCGTTTTTTTTTTCAAAGCATTAAATAAGCTAGAATCGAAATTCTGGAAGATACTAATACATGTCAAGCTATAACTGCTGATAGACAACGAGTACATGCAACTATTTTTTCGTTCCATTAGATTCCATATTTCTATATGCCCATTTATTTTTCCAACAAATATAACACTTATTTTACTTTGACTGAATTCGCAGCAGGAGTATATTTCATTACTTCTGAAAAGAGTGAAGTTGAGGTGAGTTAGTGTGAATACACATGGGTTCAGAGATTATTGTGCTCATGTATCAGCTTCTTATTCGGTCTGTTCACCTGCTAACTATTTTCTTCTTTTATTAGGAGACCACTCTAATACACACTTAGATGTACTAACACTCAAATGAGAGACAAATCATTTAGTGGTTATACAAGTAGAATATAAATAAATGACACACGAGGATGATAAGAAACAGAGGAATGCAAGAAAAAAAATATTTTATAGCTTACTTGGGTGATATATATAGAGGATGCTCTTCGCTTTCTTTCCACAGAAAAAAGTTCGTATCAGTTAATGTTAGAATTAAATATTTAATGATGTTATTTCTCTTTACGCATATTAGTGTCTTAAAACTTTTATAGTCCTTTAATGAAAAAGGGAAGGGAGAGATGGAAAAAACAAAACAAAACAAAACGAAGCCATATAAATAAAGAGAAAATAAACAAATATGAATTTTCTCCTTAGGGAGAAATGGAAAATACTCTATTTATAACAAGTAAATAAAAAGAAGAAATTGCACATGTATTAATTTAGGAGGTGGCCTCATCACCATCTACATGTTTTGTTCCTTGAACGAATATCCACACAGATCTATAGCAAAATTGTAAATACAAATGAAAAAAACACATCTACATAATTATTCTACTTTTTTTCTTTTCTTACATCATTTATTTTGCTTATAATAGAATAGTTCTTTTCTTTTTGCATACATCCATACAAATTTCCAACCACGTATTCTCCTTCTTCCTGAAAATATGATAAATAAGGAATGAAAATTATTGTGCACAGAATTGCACTTGGATGGTATCAGACGAACAGACTACAACAGTGTAACAAAAACACACTTAAGTATGCATATTCATGACATTGCAAAAGTGATGTGTTTTAAAAAAATAAAATAATAACAATATAAAAATAATCCATAAGGTTAACATGTAGAAGTCTAAGTGTTAATTACGCTAAAAAAAAAAAATCAAAATAATCGAAATAATCGAAATAATAAAAATAATAAAAATAAAAATTACTGAAAAGGCAAAAAAGGAGGAAACATTCGAATTTAACTCCATAAAATGAAAATACGTAAATCCTAATGAATATTCTGGGAAAAGTATAATAGTTCAAATAATGTTCTATTAAGGAAAGTTCATAATAACATTGTATTGTATTTACGGTTAGGCAGATATTTGTATATTTTGTGCCTAATATGGTAGTACTAACTGATGAATGCACGAATAAACGTCAAATAGAAGTATATTTTTTTTTACCTGTATTTGGTCTCGTAGCATTTATTTTGAATAGAGGCTTGAAACTGTATAGGTCATCAACTAATTCTTTTTCTTTTTTCTTTGCACTACTTTTAACTTCAACTATTTCTATGTTTGTTGTATCCCATATTAGTATCGTCCCATCGACTAATAGGGAGGAGGTGAAATAGATGGAGATGAAGAAAAAGAGAGAAAAAGAGTTATGAGTCCAATTATACCACATGGGGATAAAATGGGTATATGCACATTTTCACTTATTGTTCTGCTACATATAGATATAGAAAAAATATATATATATATATATAAATCACCTGAAATAGAGATCAACAAATGGCAATTCTTCTGGTTGCTAATAGATATTTTCTTTTCACTTAGAACTAATGTTTTGTCATTTAGAAATACAAGGGACGTCACTTCTCTTTTATGTGAATGCTCTATGCTGCTATATATGTAGGGTTCTAAGTCGACAGTTCTTTCATCTAAATGGGAATTCAAATGGTGAAGTGGCATTACATTTGACAGTAGTTAATGCAGGAACCAAGCATAAGCTGTCTTGAAGTGTATACATATATATATATATATGTGTATATGTATATACATATTTTTTTACTTATTTTGGGATCTAAAAGCGGTTTTGCATGAAAATTGGGGGGTAGTTTCCAAATGACTAGCTGTTAAAAATAATATTTTGGGGGAGGGCGAAAAGAGTTAGATCGTAAAAAAAGTCATAATACATTAGTATGTATATTAATAAAGAAAAGGTATGTGTTATTTTATATGTTTTTTTTTTGAAAAAATATGAGTCGAACCAATCCGTTACTGCATCCGGCGATAACAAAGTCATAGCCCCTTTCATTTATAACAGCACTGGAAATTTGCTATATAAAAATGAATGAAATGAATAATAGGAATAAAATTATTCGTGAGATACAGTATATTATCTATGTTTTAAGGTGATATGTAGTTATGTGGGATGAACACTTATTTTTTTTATCTTATCGCATGATGAATATTTCATCCTATCTCGCTTTGTATTATTTGTCTCGAATCAGTCAATTAAAATATCTACAAGTTGTTTTTCTCCTTTTATTTTTTCTTTATTTTGGTTACATATGGAGATATCAAGGCGTATATTGGATTTATGTAGTTGGTGTAGGACCAAATGAGGATGTAGCTGTCCGTATTAACCCCTTCGATAAAATTGTCATTTTTGTAATTGTTTATATATACAGTAAATATGAGATAATTTATTAAAGACAGATACAGCGTAAACAAGACTACTTTATCTGTTGTGTATTTCACATCTGTATATATGAATATTTTATTTAATTTTTTGACACTTTTAAATGATAATATATCCAAAATTTCTGTGTTTGGTTGTCCCTTTTTTTCTGTTATTATGATATTTTCAATTATGTATTTTTCTATAACTGGAAAAAGTCTATGAAGAAATTTATGCAATTTGTATGATTTTAATATTTCTTCTTTTTTCTCTTTTAAGAATTCTATATTATATTGAATTCCCATATGCTTGTAAACTGCTTTATATGTTTGACATGTTTTTTCTTGATGTATGATAGAATTGTTTGAGAAAAAATCTAGCGTTTTTGCTCGTATTGCTGAATTAGCCTAAAAAAGAGTTACATCGCAGGGATCCTTGTTATTGTGAAATATATATACATGTGTATTAAATCGTTTATCAACTCTTTTGTTTGTTCATTATTTCCCCCGTATATTTATCTTTACTTACCAATTCATTACCCTTAATGGATGTAAAATTACCATGATCAACAAACTCCAGGGTGGCTTCCCCTTTGTTCTTTTTACTGATATATATACGCTTTTTGAATTTCTTCCTATTTTCATTAACATTCATGGAACTTATTTCTTTTTCAATTTGTTGCTCGTACGATGAAACATAATTTTTTGGCTTTAAGAAAACACAACTTAGCTCTTGTTTTTCTGTGGATTTTTCGTTGAGACAGCTTTCCCTCATATTGAGGTCTGGGAGATCAACAGACCTTTTACTTTTCTGTAATAAGAGAAAAAAAAAAAAAAAAACGTAAAACATCAAAATTAAGAAACAATAAAATAAGGAAAATGAGTACTATCTAATGTATGTCTAAAATTTAAAGAGTGTGAAATTTTGAAGTGGTTAATAGCAGTGTGGTGTAAAAAAAAAAAAAAAAAAAAAAATCCATAATACTACCATGAGAAAGTAGGAAAATATCTCTTCATCGACAACCAGTGCATAATTCTTTTTGTAATATTTATGCAAATTCTTGAAAATTAATATTTCATCAAGTTTGTATTTCTTAAAGAGTGGAAAGAATTAACAAATTGTATATGTGCCAATTTGTAGATGTTTTTATAATAGTGCGAAGAAGGGGGATCACATGCTGGATATGTACTTATTCACTCTTACTAGTCACACCAATGGAAATATAAAAAATGGAAAACAAATGGAGTGTAAATTTAGACATACACAGATGTAGGTGATTTGATGCAAATCTAAATTTTTACTGTTAACGCATTTTTGATTAGGAGAAACTCGTCCGAGCTTAAGTATTTTTGAATGAGGGAGAAAAAGTAACTTTTATCTACGCACACAGTTTGGGAATTTTTAAAAAGCAGGGTACTCAAGTCATTGCATAAATCTATCCCCATAACATTTTTAAAATTTTTTTCTAACTCAACATTTAGTGCACTAAATAAAGGAGAAAAATATGGAATTATAGGGGTAAAATATGCAAATTATAAAATAAAAAAAATACACCTAGGGTAGCATAACATAGAAAAGACTCTTATACCGTTAAACTGCATTTTAGTTAGAGTGTTTGCTTTGTTTTGCTTTTTTATTCTTTTCATTTTTTTTTAATTTTCCGCTTGTTCACATAACTACACATGTAGAGGCCTACAAATGTGTGCATCTTCTTATGTAGCTGAATGCACATATTGCAATATATTTCTCTATTTCCTACTCATTCACATATATATATATTTTTCCTTATATTGTTTTGCACATATACATTAATGCGTTCAAGAATTAACCTTATTAACAAATTGTCACTTTTTGTATGCACATTCGAATCCGGAAAGGCCTCCAGTTCCTTGTGTAGCATACCTAACTCGGGTATGATTTTATTCTTTAAAATGTGCTGCTTTTTATCAAGACTTGCAGTTTTTGCTCTAGTGTCATTTTCGTTTCTTTTTTTCGTTTCACTTGTTATTTTTTTTTTATCATCATTATCTCTTTCATTTTTGTTTTTTACATCAATATCATTTTTACTTTTGGAATCTGCTTTTTGCAATTTATTTTTATTGTCAATTTCAAGTTTTTTTTTAGTCATGTCATTTTTTTTTTTAATATGTTCTTTTTGTTCATGATCAGATTTATCACTGTCTTTTTTTTTCTTTGGGTTCTTTTTTTCAGTATGAATAACATTTTTACTCTTCATTATTTTTCGTTAAGTGTTACAGTTTAGTTCTTTTTATTTTAATTTATTTTATTTTTTTTTTTCAGAAGATCTTTAAATTGTATACGTTTAAAAGAATATTTTATAAACACGTAGAAAAAACTGTTATGGTTAATGCAGCACTGGACTTAACGAATGGAGAATTAAAGCAATTCGTACATATAATATAAGACACTTTCCGCTGGAAAATAAATATTGAAGTTAAAGTGTGATCGTTTCAAATATACATGACATTTACTTTTTGATGGAATGCAGATAAAGAACAGCGATATGGAATTAGACAAAATAAAAATAAGAAAAAGGGAAAGAAAGTGATAATATAAAAGTATATTTATAATGTTACTAACTTGCGTGCACTATAGGTAGTAGCGGAATAGGCTAGAAAAAAAATTATTTTATTTCATTTTTCTGCCAATAATTAAATATATACTGCTCTATGTCACTTTATGAGCTCATCTCAAATTAAATATTTACTCATAAAATATCCATTTCATAACAGCACTACAGTGAGGTATAAAAAATTGAAGTTTTACTAAAAATTTTAAATAATGCGAATGTTAGAAACTAGTTTCTCCCTTTTATTTTATTTTTGTCAAATCGTGTTCCAGAGTAGTTAAAATGGTTTGTATGCTTTTCTTATTTATTAATAATTTATTCTTATTTTCATTTAATTTCTGTTCAACATAAATCATATTATTATTTTCCTTTGAAGCTTTGTGCAATATGTAAAGGCCGTACACACTCACCTTGGAAAAGGAGAAAAATGAAGTTTTTTTTTTTTAATAATATCGCCAGTAATTCCTTGAGAATACGATTTTAAGTGCATACGTTCGCACGAAAAAGGTGCCCATATAAATACAGGAACACACATGTGCATGTACAAATGTGTGAGGAAGCTACGAAAATGCACAAACATATATATATACACGAAAATGTACACCTTTTTAGGTAGCTTATTGTTTCATTTTATCTCTCTTTCCAAACCAAATAAAAAAGCGAGTGGGTGACTGAAGCAATGGCAAAAAAGAAACCCGTTATAAATAAGCCCAAGATTTCTTTATCTTTATATCCTTTGGAATTATTTTCAGTTAATATCTACAAATACAAGAATAGAAAGATAAACGAAAAAAAAGCCAGTAATTAAATAATTGTTGAATATTTTAATATGGCGTGGCATAATGAATAATGTAAACGGATGAATGTACACGCTAAATTTAACTGAATCATTGAAAAACAAGAGTGAAGTGTTTCATAATGCCATTTTGGTGTGTACTTGAATTTTCTCTTTCCTCAAGTTCGATTTAGCGATTAGCAGAACATTTAATTCGTCAATTGCCTTTTGAAATTTCACTTTTTTTTCTTCATTTAAATATTTGTAATAAATGTTAACCGACTGCGGTGTAAAAAACAGATGAAGGAAATAAATTATAAAAAATTGACGCTATTAAAAAATATCACAAAATTTACAAAGTCCTTTAACGTAAAAAATGTGTGGTTAAACCGAAACCCTGAATTGACTCAACAAAAATGTGTATATTCTTATCATTGTGCGACAGGAATTCATGTTAACGAAAAAGTTATATGATTCTCATCTTAATGTGTGAAACATGATATATCTGTTTCATACAAATGGGCAGGAATTACGTTTTCCCATGGTGACAATATGTCGTGTACGTAACACATTCGTGAAAGGCAATGGTCGTTCATATATAATACTGATGTAGTTGTACGAGAGGAGCACGTGTAAATGTAATTTCTCAGTGCGTATGCAGCATGCAAAACGTGCACATATATATATATTTAATACATATTGGATACATACACATACACACACACACAAACATACATACATACACTTGCTTCAACATAAGCACACCATAAAAAACGTTTGGCAAAATGGGATTACTTCTTGCAGTGAATAGAGAGAACCCCTATCTAGTTCACTTTGGGCTTTTCTTATTGAGTCGATTATTATTTGTTCTGAAAAAGAATTTTTATGCGTCCACAGCCTGTTATGCTTGGGATGCAAATAAAAAAGGTTCAGGTTTTCAAAGTTACTGAGGCATTTAAAAACGTTCCTGTATTCTTCATTTTTATAAAACTTGGGTGATGAACAAAATGCCTTTTTTGCAAAATTCTTATTAAATGTTTTTGAAATTTTGGGAAAAATAATATCTGTATACAAATGCATTTTTTTTTTTTTTTTTTCTTATTTTTCATGCCATCGAAGCAGAATGTTTTTTTAAAGTATTTTCATCACAGTTTTCACATTTTTTAAGCAATTCTTGTGTTTATTGTTCTTATGTAATGTTGCATTGGGTCTAGGTATGAACAAAATCAAGAAAAAAATAGTGTATACATATATATATATATATATATTGTGTATGTGTAAAAGTGTAATGAGATCAGTAACTATGATATAATACAAACATGTAAATTTTTATTTTTTAACTCATCTTTGTATTATTTTTAAGCTGAGCTCTAAATCTAAAGAATTTTTGCTCATAAGCTGAATCGTGAAACGTTAATATGTGACTAATTCAAATGCTTAATTGCTAAATGTTGAACGATAAATTTTTAAAATTTTTAAGCAGGTGAATGGTTTATCGGTTGAACTGTTAAATGATTAAGCTGGTGATTTACCAAAGCGCTAAATGCAAAGTCCAATTTCCTAATCGTTAAGATGCTTGTTTTCCTTACATTTATGATCATTTGAATTAGTGTTCACGCAAAGTTCAGCGAATTTTTTCACAAGTTCAAATATTCAAATATATATTACTTATATGTAAGCATTAATTCCTTTTTATGTTTACTTAAATTATTTGTGCACATATAATTCTCATGACTTTTTTAATTTCATTAAAAAATCGCAGTGTTATATTTTGTCATAACATGCATACATAAAGCATGACACAATGTTAAAATATATATATATGTATACATGCATACATTTTTTTTCAGTGTATTATATATAAAATTTTCACATTCAAGGGTAAAAAAAATTCTTAATTATATATCGCTTTGTATTAAAAAAAAAAAAAAAGAAAAGGTATATATAATTAAAATGTACATTTATCAATTTTTAAGTATGTAAAGAAACATGAGATATGCTTATTCACATTCCTTGTTTACATTTTAATTGAAAAAACCAATTTTTTGCCCTTAATTTTTTTTAAATTCCAGAGATTCATATTTTTAAATTATATACATATATATATATCCAAAAGAAGAAAGAACAAGTGGAAAATTCAAAAAAGTAGAAAGGGAAAAAAGTGAATTAGGCAGCATTAGTAAATTTAACTTTTTGTATATTAGAAAAACTTGTTTCCTTTCCTTTTTAACAATAACACGAAAAAATGGGGTCCTCCATCCAGCCATCAAGATTTTTAGATAGTAATAACCCTTTTAAGAAGGAGAAACATGATTGATGAGAGTGTATATGTTATATATGTGTATATATACACGTATATATGTACGGAAACAGTATTACACATATGCGTACGTGTGTATCGAGTTTTGATTTATTCATGTTTCACAAACCTATTGCTTAATATATATCATTTCCAATATGATAAAAAACTTACTGATTTAATACATATGCACGCATACATATGTGGATATTGTACGAATTTGTTTATATAACCAAATGCACATTTTTTATATGTTCACTGTTCCCCCATTTAAGTATATATATGTTGTGTGATCTTATGATTATATATTGTGTAAACGTGTGTATGGGAATGAGAAGAAATGGAGAATTTGTGAAAATAAAGAATCCATCATTTTTGTTCTTATTTTGTGAGCATTTGAGTATACACATTATTCCATTACACCATTACACATAATTCCTTTCTTCGCCATATATTTTCTCTTCAGGTGCAGTATTATCATTGTTCGCTATGGTTATTTCGGCAGCATTCCTGTACATGTTTTCAGAATTTTATTTGTTATCATTCGAAACGAAATTGCTTAATAATAAAGTGAGCATGATATTGTCTCGTTTATTCCCATTTAAAGTAAGAAACGCGAAAACGAATAATGAGAAAGTAAGAGAGGAAATAAAAATACAGTGTATTGTAAATATATATATAAACATTAAAATATCACATTTAAACAATTAAAAAATGTATGCATGTATGTATATACATTTACATGTATGCATGAAAAAAAAAAAAAAAGTTTTAAATACATTAACTAACCAAATATATTTTGTCTTTTTCCTAGAAGACTTTTGAGTACAACCTGACCCACATACTGCTTCTAACCATATGCATAATTATCCTTAGCCTTAAGTAAAATAACAAGAAATAAGATCGCACGGGAATTATTTATTAACAGTGTTCCGATAAATAGTGAATATGTCTTTTTTTTTGCATATAAACGCGAATGTATCTAATTAGTTGTAATTGTACTATTTGTGTGTTCGTTTTTTTATGGCTTACGTACATATATATTTTCATGCACACGCCTATAAATTGAATGTATTTTTTTTTTTTTTCTTTTCAATTTGTTTTCATCCCATAGACCTGATTATAGTTTCCATTGTAAAATGAGCTCAAAGGAATGCAAAAGAAGCCAAGGAAAGGATGATTCACACAAAATGGATGATGTTGATAGAATGCAAAGAGACAAGAAAAAATAAATATTAAGAATAAGGAAATAACAATATGGGGAATACTTATATTGAGTTTATTGTGCATACTATGTATATGCAGGTGTATAGATAATGTATATGGACATATGTATATATATTTACATATTATATATGTATACTTATACTATATAATCATTCAAGATTATGGTAAAATATGTGTTCTGAATTTTTAAACTTATTGTTTAACTAAGTCGGAAAAAAAACAAAAAAAAAATTAAATAAATAAATGACAACGAATAAATGTGGAGAAATAAATTAATAAAGTAGAACATGAACAAATAAACGATTATATAATAAATGTATTTTTTTTTTTTTTTTCCCAATAAGAAGCAAATTTTTTATAAATTTTTGCATTAAAAGTTATTTATTTAACTTTTTTTTTTTTTAAAATCTGTACATAAATAGAGACACCAAATTTAAATATAACTCTAAATTTATATATACCTCTCCATATACACATGTTCACATATATATATAATACGTTTAACATTTCATCAAAATGTGTTTAACTTTTTCAAAATAGGAAGTTACAAATAGAACAGATGTTACTTAGAATGGTGGTAATTACCAACTAGATAAAGTGCAAGTAGTTTAGTCGTTAAACATTTTCTTTATCATATTGCTAAATGTATCATATATGGTTTGGCTGCTGCTTGATAAAATAAGGGTTCTATGAATTTTATTAATAATGTAGAAAAACATAGATACGTCTTCTATCAAGGGATAAATTGGGTAGTTGTGGATATCATTTGTAAAAAGTAAATTACAAATGTGCTTGTTCTCGTCTAGATGGACAAACCCATTGGTGCGGGGGTGGTTGTTTTGGTCATGGTATTCAAATATGTTCTCCTTTTTACCTTTGTTGAAATTTGTTCTGTTGTCGTCGCCATTCATAATATTGCCTACATAGTCAGCGATATTTGTATCACCACCATCAGTGGCGTTATTTTTGTGTAATTCATTCATTGTATTTTCACATATATCTTGATGTTCAACCTTAATATTCTTTTCAATAAGTTGAAATATTTTTTCATAGTGCTTTACGTTTTCATTAATTATTTTGATAGTGTCCTTTCTATAAATGGTTGGTTCATATTCATAATATGCACAATAAATAACTCCTTCTTTGGTTAACAAGTCATTTAAGGATTTTACAAAGGCATCCACTTCGATGTTTTTATGTTTCTTTTGTTCTGGGCTATTTGTTACTTCTTCCGTTTGGTTATTCTGAACAGGTTCTTCCTTATGACAATTATTTGTATGTTCATCCTTATGAATGTTTTGAAATTTTCCAGAACTCTGAATATTTCCCCTTGTGTATGATGGGTCATTTATTTGTTGCACTTTCTTTTTTATAGTATCCTCATTGAGTGATTCCCCTTTATCAGTTAAGCGCATATTGGACCTCTCTTCCGTTTCAGATGTGCTGAAAAATTCTGCAATTATATTGTGAAAATATTCATTAAGGGGAATTTTTAAAGGTAAATTTGAATCTGCGGGTGGGATATTATTAACCTTATGCTTTTTAATAAATAGTTTTACGACATCAAATAATAAGGAAAAATTTAATGGTTTCTGATTCTTGGGGTTACTTTTATTTTTTTCATAAGGATTATCATGACTGTTTTCCCCTTTTACTTTCTTCAAATCGATTGGAGCCTTTGGTATATTATTTACTTCCTTTTTAATTTCTAAATATGTAAAGTACGTTAAGAAAAAACCTGGAGGACAAGAGCCACTATTATAGTCTAATTGTAAAATATGTATAGAATTACTTAAATTATCAAACTTTTTTTTTTGTTCTTCTTCCAAATTTTGGTGCTTGTGTATGTAAAATGATATTCCCTGTTTTCCTATAAGTGAGTAGGTGCTTAAAACCATCAACCTGTAAGTTTTAACTAACGTTTTACCTTTTTTAACCTTTTTTATATTTTTTTTTTTGCAGAGAAGGTATTTTTTCATCTCACAGAAATTTATGTTAGATCCAGATGATATAACAAACCTGGGTCTAATTATATAACCATTGTCTAAGATGATTTCTTTTATTTTTGTAGACGTAAAGGAATGAATCATATCATCATTCATTATTTTATCTTCTGTGTTATGGAAGATGGGAGAATAAATAATGTTTTGTATTTTTCTATTAATCATGTAGATGGAATTGTTTAGACAAGCCACTCGGGATATCGCATAAATAATGTCATTTAAGCCATAGGATGGATAAATAAAAGCATTCTCAAATAAATTTTGCATTTTAAATTTATTTAGCGAATTGATTAATATGTGTAAGCGTTGGAGAAATTCTTTCTGATTCATAATAAAATTTTTCGATTTGGTATATCCACTTAGATAATACTCGGAAATCTGCTTATTATTGCACTGTCGCAAATCTAAGTCGAACAGACCTATTCCATATATGAGGTAGTCAATTAACTTGCCCGAAATATTGTATAATTTCAAATAATCTGAAATATTAACATTTGCGAATTGTTCCGACAGTTCGGTATGATTAATTAGTTTAGTGTTCTGGTTTTGTTGAACTTTCCTTTTTTCATGTTGCATGTCTGTATCCTTATTATCCTCTTTTTTTTCACCCTTAAATAAGTGGTTATTTAGAGGTTCCTGCATTGTTTCACTTGTTATGATCTCGCTAGACTGACATAACCCACCATATTGTTCTATATTTGGCTTTCTTGTAAAATTATAATTTGAAAAATTGGAAAAGGTGTAATTCTTATCGTGAATAATGTTCTTATAAATAAAATTCATAATCATTCTTTTTTCAATCAAACTTAGATTTGTGTCTAAAAAGACTTGTGATTTGTTTAGTGGAATTTTTAGCAAAATTAAATCGTTTTCATTTTGATAATCATTGTTATTACTTATGTTCTGTATATGCGATGTGATGTCGTTGGTGTCATTTTTATTATTATCTCTTTCCCTTGGTTCAATTTTTGGACCATTTATTTTTTCCTTATCTGTTACATCAATTGTACAGGTGTTGTTTACCCTTTGATAGGATAAATAAAAATGCTGTATTCCTACAAAACTAATATATGTATGTGCGTTTAACTTTATTAGCAAATCAATAAGATTGCTTTCATTGTATAATATCTTAGGGTTAATGTCAATATTAAATTTATTATTATATATTTGAAAATAACTGTGAATAATTTTTTCCAGTTTTTTTTTTTTTTCTATGCTGTCATTATTTTCACAGGGTGAAAGAGGTATATATTCCTCGTAAAAATTCTTAAGTTTGTTTTTTTCATCTTGAAATTGGCTGAAATTCAAAGAACAGTTTACATCACCATAGTACTTGTTTTTGTCAATATTTATTACTTTGTAATTATTAATGGAAAAATAAGCTGATAATAAACTGTTCAGCAAGCTGGTACCACATATCAAAATGTCACAGTCGAATGTTCTGATTTTCTTGTCATCCATTCGAAGAAGGAAAAGAAAAAAAAAAAAAAGGGCTTTTGAATGATAGAGTAAAAAACAGCAAAAAGGTGAAACAAGCTGTTTAATGAAACAAATTATTTACGCAATACATAAGAACATGTATAAATAAGAATTTTTTTTTTTTTTCTTTCCTTCTTTGTTTCCCTTATAAATGTGCATTTTTATTATGAGTATATAAGAAAAGGACATACGGGTGGATTACTTCAAAGAGTAAAAGTGCCATAGCTGATGAATTCACATTGCCGATATTTTTTTTCTATTATATTTTTTTTTTCTTCTTTTTCACCATGTTTAAATGAGTTTATTTATATATTGAATAAATGGAACGCACGGGACGATGGAGCTTTTGTTCGACTATGTCACCATTATAAAAATAACATGCGCTGTTGTCCCATGGCACCCATATCATAGCAACTGTATGGTGAAATAATACTGTCATTTCTTCACTTTTGTTAAGTGTATGAATATATGTTATGATAATCCTTACCTATTCATTTTCTGTTCAGCGTGTGTGAATTTATTTTATTTTTTTTTTTTTTTTATAAAATTAAACAATGTAGAAGCATATGTCAAATTCGAAAGTGTCCTAAGGAAAACTATAAAAAGAGATTGTTACCACTTTTTTTCACTTTCTTTGTTCATGATATTATTTATAAAAAATATTTTAATAAAATTCTATCGATTTTGTAGAAAATATTAAAAGAAAATGCTTTTATCATTTAATTTAACCATTACGAAGCACATCAACAGGTATTTTTTAACGTTAAGTGGTAAGAAGTTGTGAGAATAATAAAAGATTACAATATATTTTTGAACTTTTGCAGAAAAAAAAATAATGATAAATGTAAATATGTACATATGTAGAACAAGCGTATTTATATGTATTTTTTATCCCATATGTATTAATTTTTCACCCTTGGATAATAAACTTTTTCATGTTTTTGTTAAGTGCATCAAGAGGGTTACCAATGTGCATAAAAAACTTTTACACATTTGAAGAAATCATTATGCATATAGTAATGAATTTCATATTGCTTTCATTTTTTAAGGCGCATTGCTTGCAAAAAGGACATGGCAAACAAACATGAAAAGGAAAACATACAGATCAAAAAAAAGGAAGAAGTTTATAAGATTGAAAGAAACGTTAATTAGAATACAGTGAATATAAGCGGTTGTCCCTTTTTTTTTTTTTTTTTTTTTTTATCTTCTGTTAAACTTTTTACAATTTTTATTTTATTTTTTTATACATGGGTTGTACTTTTCATCTTTATCAAACTATTTTGGAAATTATTCCATCATTTATAATTTTGTGCCTTTTTATTAGAGAAAATGCATATGTGTAAAATATACACCCTATCTTTCGCACACACATAGACACAATTATCGTTTATGTTGTCTAAGCAAGAATTTTCTTTTAAGCTTTTTTCTTTTTAGTATTTTTCTTTTTTCGTTTCTTCTTAACAAGTTTTAAATTTATTTCTTTTAATATTTCATTGTTAACTCTGTAAAAATTAATAATTTTAGCAATGTATTAAAAAAAAAAAAAAAAAAAAAAATATTAATATATGTGTGAAAATACAGAACTGTTAAAATGTGAAGAAAAAATATATCAAAAATAGAATTTAATTAATACATTTAAAATTGGGGTAGCATATAAAAAAGATAAGAATATTTTAAGTTTCATTTGAAATTCTCTATTAAACTATTTATGTGCTTACTCGTGAGGTAGTTTTAAAATAGAAATTGATTTATTAAAATTCATAGCATCATTTATTTTAGACAAATTGGCGTTTTCCAGGAAATTTCCGATTAATGATATGCTGGAAATGTTCTATAAATTTGTTCAAAAGGGAAGTCTGTTAGTACATACTTTAATATTTGCTTCTTTTTTTTTTCTCACTCTTTTTTTTACTTTCTTGTATTCGGTAATAATTTCTTTCTTTTGTGAGTGTGCAACTATTGGGAAGAATTTAAAATTCTCCCTGTAGTTATCAAATAAAATTTTCTTTTTCTTTCCACTTTTTTCTTTCGTCTTACTGTTTGGCTAGCTATAATTTTGCAAAACGTTTGAACAAATGAGTCACTTAAATTGAACATATTATAAGAAACGTCAACATTGTTTAAGGAATTGTTTAGTAAAAAGCTTTCGAAAAGCTAAGTGTCCAAAAGGTAAAAAAATGAATTATGTTCTGTTGTAATCGATGGTCAGAAGATAGATGAATAAACAAAATTGAAAGAAATGGGAATTATTTGATTAGGAAGCATTATTTCGCTGCTCAACTGAATGCAATTTTCCTTATTCTTACTGTGCACATTCCTTCATCATTAAATTTATTTCCACTTAAATTTAAAGTAGATAAAGAAGAGTTTAAATATATTATTATGTCTATTATATATTTAATACAATCGTTACTCAAGTTACAGTACTAAGAAAATAAAATAAAACACATAAATTTAAATGAAATAATATTTCAGTTCTTGAATAGTTTTTTTTTTTTTTTTTTTTTTTTTTTTTTTAAGCTGCGCATTTGTTTTCACTAGGATATGTTCATGTCTATGCGTATTTGAGTAAATATTTTAATGTTACTTGAAAACTTAGGGTTTTTAAATTATTATAGTTACACAATGATAGGGATAGGTATTTAAGGCAATGACAGTTTAGATCAATACAATCTATGGATAAATTTTCTAGCTTTAAAAATACAAAGTAGTTATGTCTTTTTATATATTATTATAAGTTGAGTGCTTGCATGGAAATGGAATATATGTGCTATGAATAATGCCAAGTATTGGCAGTTGTGAGAGTTGAGTATACACATATATATAAGTGGTATATACGTGAATATCCCAATATATATATGGATATGTATTATGACTCACCTTTGGGTAACCATTATCATATAAACTTTTTGAAAGAAGTGTTATCCCGTTTATATCTATGTTGCTGTTGAATATGCTCATTGATTTTATATTACACATGTTTTTGATAACTACTTCGTCAGATGGTTCTTCTTCAGGTTCTTTTTGTAGCTGGGCTTTTTTTTTTTTTAAATTCATTTTATTCTTTTTTTCTGTGTCTACGTTTTTTTTCCTAACATTTTTTGTGTTTTTTTTTAAAAGTTCGCTGATTTTTACATTATCCATATAAAAGCAAATTGCTTTTATCAAATCATTTCCATTTTGAACATTTAGAATATTAATTTTATTAATGCACTATTATGTTTAACACGCAGAAATAAAAATAAAAAAAAAAAAAAAAAGAAACAAACAAACAAGATGAAAAGTTAATAATTGTGTTAATTAAAATACTTATTTTTCAATGTATGAACATTGATGAAATTCATAATTCTGTTAGAATTTTTTTTTACGTCATAGTTGGAATCAATCATTGACAAAATTAAAAAACAGAAAGCTTCTGAGTTCACATCCTCGTAAATTGTTAAGTTACCGTTACTTTCTTTATTCTCCTTTAAAAAGGTAAATTATAAAATATATTGTGTGTATTATTATTCATTTTATTAGTTTCGTAGACTTTTTTTCTCTTTAAATGTGTCTATTTGTGGAGTTTTCACAAATTGGGTACTGTTGAACATTTCAGTGTTATTCTAATTTTTGATATTTCGATCGTACCTTTATTAGGAATTCATCTATTACATAAGAACTCTTCCTTTTGAACTTTTTTAACAACAAGTAGTAGCAGTCGACTAAGTTCTTTAAAAAAAAAAAAAAAAAAAAAAGTGAAAAAAGGAAAAAGGAAAAATATAAGTTTGGACGATTTTGACGAATGTTATTCAATATATCTATTCATATTTCTGTTTATTATTGAATTATTTTAACCTTGTAGCTTTCATTGGATTTACTGGATTTTTTGCTCTCCATTTTGACCACATCATTATGTTA